AACCCTAACCCCCTAACCCCTAACCCCCTAACCCCTAACCCCTAACCCCTAAACCCCTACCCCTAACCCCCTAACCCCCTAACCCCCTAACCCCCTAACCCCCTAACCCCCTAACCCCCTAACCCCTAACCCCCTAACCCCCTAACCCCCTAACCCCCTAACCCCTAACCCCCTAACCCCCTAACCCCTAACCCCCTAACCCCCTAACCCCCTAACCCCCTAACCCCCTAACCCCCTAACCCCTAAATGCCTTCAAGTCCGCCCAGGCAGACTTGACACTTGCTCTGCCTCCCCTCCAACAACAAGCACTGGTTGAGAATTCCTCAGCACTTGGCAGGCAGTGGCTCTCAGCCATCCCCTCCAGTGCAATCCTGAGGCTCACCAACTTTGAGGTGGCAGCAGCTCTGCAGCTGAGGACAATGGTGCCCAGCACCTCGCCCAGCTGCAGACATTGTGGACATGGAAACTTCCATGGACATGATGAAGTGTGCCCACACAAGTCCAAGTGGACTGTGGCTAGGCATGAGCAGGTGAAGAAGGTGATAGCTGGCACCCTCAATATCATCCCAGACATTGAGGTCCACCTTGAACCCTTCATCAGTGACACTACACACAGGAGGAATGACATAAGAATCTCTGGCTCCCATGCCTCTGGGCTGGCCAACCATGAGTATGACATCTCCATTGTGTCACTGGGCTCTGTCCAGGCCAGGACCACTGTCTCCCCACCTGGGTTCACTGGATCCACCCTGGAGAGGGCTTCTGCCACTGTCCACAAATTCCTTGACTCTGTATCTAGGGAGAAATTCAGAAATCTCCCTAGCTCTGCTGCCACCCCCTTCACTGCCCTCATCTTTTCTTTGGGTGGTGTCATGGAACACAGGACTGCCCAAGCCCTCCACACCTGGGGTGAGGTCCTACCTCCCCATTCCCACAGGATGCTTTGTATCAGACTCAGTCTCACCCTCCTTCGCGCCAGAGTGAGAAACTTTGATCTCTGGTCCCATTGAGCCAAGAAACTGCCACGTCTACTATAGTATCCTCCTCCCATAGTTCTTAGTAGTCAAAACCGATGCAGCCCCCCTACCCCCCAACATCGTCGCCACGACAGTCACTGCCTTCAAAAGCAAAGCTCCCACCATAGCGAGGACGATCAAACCGGAGATTGTGTTAGGCTTCAGGTCACGTGATATATCAACTCGGACCCGATGATATGGCATTTGGGATCTGATCCATGGGGCCCCACATTTAGTTAACCGAGACACCAATTTCACCCCAGTTTAGCGCCGCAGGCGGCAGCCCGCGGGATGCGTCATTCATTGCCAGGCCCCCGCAATGACCACTGCCAGCCACAGGCTTACGCCTGCGCTCTGTCAACCTGTTCACCTCTGAACCTTCCCATCCATCACCACAATGGCGACCAGCATCCCCTTGGATCGCATCAACGCGTCGACTTCTGATCTTGAACAGGCCGAGTCCCCATATGCCCAAGAGCCTGGCCAATCTGTCGCTCCGACGCCAGTCCGCAGTGCCAGCCCGTCGCCTCCCATTCCAGACGACGAACGCGAAGTGCAGTCCCTCCCTCCTGCCGATCGCGGACGGGATGCATGGCTATTCTTACTGGGAGCGACCATTATTGAGACCACCGTATGGGGGTTGCTCAATGCAGTTGGTATCCTTCAAAATTACTGGAGTACGGAGCGTTTCCCGGGCGATGAAGCGACCGTCACTCTCGCGACTTCGTTGATGAACGGTCTCTCATACATGAGCGCTGGCTTCTTTGGACCGTGAGCATCCAGGAGCGCATTCCACTTGCTAACACTCTAGTCTCTTTGCAGCATTCCCCCATCAAACCAAGATCATACAGATCGCGGGCCTGGTTGTCTCGACGATCGGGCTCATCGCGTCGGCATTTGTGTCGAACCCGTCGCAGCTCATTGGAACAGTCGGCATCATGTTCCCATTCAGTGCAGGTGAGTCGTCCGCGCGTGTATCATTGCTCATCTAAAGCACTGTACTTGCCGTGTGCGACCATGATCTACGAGTGGTTTTACGAGTACCGGGGTCGAGCCACCGGCATCATGTTTGCTGGTACTGGTGTTGGGGGCACCGTTTTCCCCGATCCTTCTTGATGGACTACTCAAACGCTTTGGATACAAGGCGACGATGATCTCTCTTGGTATTGGATTCTTTGCCATCAACGCTGCCTCGCTCGTTTTCATCCGCCGCCGTATCCCCCTCGCGCCAGCAGTGTCTCACAGGCGGCCAAAAATCGCATGGAGCCACCTGCGCAGTTGGGTTTTTGCTTGCGGATTCACCACTCTCCTTCTGTCATCGATGGGCAACTTCACTCCCACGCTTTGGATCCCCAGTGCGTTGTAATTTCAAGAATACACGCCCGCTGACTTTGCAGCATTTGCGGACAACGTTGGCGCGACGAAACCTGGCGGTGTCGCACTCGTTTCCATCATGAATGGCAAGTCCACTACCTTCCCTGTCATTGACTAACGGCGCAGCTGCATCAGTCCCCGGCAATGGACTCGTTGGATACTTGTCTGACCGAGTGCCAACGAAGGTCATGGTTTCGGTCACCTGCGTCCTGGCCGCCATCGGCGTGCTTCTGCCATGGGGTCTGGGTACAACCTCGGCCCCCCTCATCGTCTTTGCCATCCTCTGGGGGATGACAGCCTTGAGCTTGCCGGGTCTCTGGAGCAAGATCATCACTCCCATTTGCAAGGACGACCCTACGCTACCTGGGTTGGTGTTTTCAATCTTTGCAATGTTGCGTGGTATCGGCAACGTTACCGCTGGTCCCATTTCAACGAAACTTCTTCAAACTGACGCCTTCCGTGGTGCCATTGGCGCATACGGCACTAACTTCGTGAGTTCTTGTTGGGAGCCCTGTTTGCTAACGTATTCCCAAGGGTGCCGTTTTGATTTATACGGCCGTGACGACGTTCTTCGGCGGTGTTGTCGGAGCCTTTTTCCCCGCATAGACAGTACAAAACTCTTGTCTGCATGGTCCATTCGACTACAAATCCTAGCAGCGACTCTGAGCTACCAGTTGATAATCTTCTCGTACGCACTGATTGAGGACCTACGCAGCCGCTTCCCCCAAACTGTCATACAGAGATAAGACAGGTTGATCGCAGTGCTGACGATTGATGCCGAGATGGCCCAGTTGAGGAAGCCCCACTTGAATGCCCAGTCTGTTATGACATAATTCTGTGATGGTTAGCTCTCCTTATCACCGCGTAACTTACAAAACCAAAAGTCATGATCATTCCAATGACCATAATGGACAGCACGTAGGGCCCAGTCTGCTGAACCTGGTACTGAGGTCCCTGCTTGTCGCGGGGCTGGATCTCATGGTAGGCGTCAAAGCTGTATGTGATACTGAGGAGAGCAGCAAGCGGTCCTGCGACACTTAGGACAAACTCGCCGACCACAAAGCACATCCAGTGTACGCCGTAGTAAGGACCCAGACCCATCAGCAAGATGCCAAGAGGAGTCAACACCGTGGGGATTAGGAACAGTTCGAGCTTGTGTTCAGCCTCGGAGATGCCATGGTTTTGTCGGGCACGTCGTACCGTCCACCAGTCGCAGAGCCAACCGCCACCAACGGCGCCTGGACCGATGGCGAGGAAGGGGGACAAAAAGGTCAAACCCACAGCGTTTGGGGCAAGGTTGTAAGGCGGGCTTGACAGAACGCCGGAGGCGAGAGCGTTTGTGGCTGGTGTCAGCTGACATATTGGCATCCAACTTACCATTGTACAGGATTTGATAGAGGCCGAACATGAATCCGCACCAAAAGATGATGGGGATTCTTACAGCGAATGCTACGGCATACGGTGGCGTGCGCCATATGATACCCCACCCCTTTGGATTGATCTTGAACAACTTCCAGGGACGAGGTCCTGGCCAAGGGGAGACGATACGATCCATCGAGTGAACAACATCCGGGTGCTCAGCGGTCTCTGCCAGGACGCTTGCTTCCACTACGCATGTTTCAGGCGCAGTCTTGTTCTCCGACTGGTGATCGACCTCGGCCTCTTGAGTGGTAACGGAGTCGGTGTTCTGTCGCGTGAAGTTGGTCTCCTCGAGGAAAATGAATAAAAAGATGGCGGTAATTGCGGCAAACCCGCACGCAAAGGCCTCCAAAGTCAGCATCCAGTATGGGGGAGGGTGCTTACCGGAGGAGCATGCCAGCCGAGAGCCGTATACATGTAACCCGAGCAAATTGCTGCCAGTGCTGGAGCACTATATGTAGCACCCATGTAAGCTCCAAAAGGAAAAGCTCGTTCATGGTAGAAGTACTACCTTGTTAGCGCAGACCGGGCTGAGGAGCTGGTCCGGCGGCGACCATCAGGTCACCAACCGTTCCAGGCGAGTGACCGGCATATAAACGATGTGGACGTAGACTCACCGTGTCAGAGAGTGACAGCTCGGGCAAGGTGAAGATTGGTGACTGAAGAAAGCCGTAAATTACCGCCTGCGCAATCCAGGTTCCAAAGGCCCGTTGTTTAACGACCCAAAAGTAGTACGTGCCGAGCGCAAGACATGAGAATAGGTACACTGGACGTTTACCTATCGCGAGTGCAATCGGTTGGGTGATGCTGGCTCCAAGGCCGATGGCAAGATAGGTGTAACCCACCCCGGAGTTGAGGTTGTCAAGTGACAACCCAGTCTGTTCTTGGATCGGTTGATAGATGGCGTAGAGGCTTCCCGGTACAAAACACCCAGCACAGACGTACAGGATGATACACGCCAACTGGAGAGCCTTGCGTTTCTGCGACCAGTTGAGGGGGTCAGCTGGGTCGTTGCTCGGCTCTGGTACGAGAGTGAAGTTGTCGGAGCCGATGAGTTCACCCCTCTCATCGAGAATGCGGGTCGTCCCTGGAAAGTAAAGCCCAGTGTCGGTTTCGTCCATGTTGAAATGCGGTTGGAGCGACATGACCGCCCACAAGTACATTCTCCAATAATAAATAGAAAAGCATGGTCGCGAGTGAGGATCCCGTGACAACAATCGCCAAGAAAGGGCTTTGGCGATTAAGCGAGACTAGTGGATGTGAATGTCGTAGGGGGGTCCTACGTTCGTGGTGCGCACTACATTGTCAACGCCCGATTTGGACACCATGAAATAGCAGAAGCGAGTAGCGGACGGCGCGCTACATTGACAACGCCCGACTTGGACCCTGTGAGATAGCAGCATCGTGGAGATTGACCCACCACGGCAAACCATTGGTTAATCCGGCTCTAGCTCCAACCCAATATTCGCTTCGACGCGACGAGTACGGATAAATCATCCACCTGGAGGGCACCAAACATTAGTCGTGCACATGACTTGCAACGGTCGCCTATACAACGCTAGCCGCGAATAACTGTTCCTTTCCCCACTCGGCCACTCGGTTGTCACGGCAAAGCCTCATTTGGCGAGTTGTACGGCTCCTCTTCCGGGGGGAGCCTACTGGACAACATTGTTTTCTGACCCGCCAATTCCTTCATCCTTTTGCTATCCATCACCAAACATGTCCCGTACCGTTACCATTGCTGTGGCCCAAACGATTCCAGTTTCTCAGGAGCTGGACCCTCCGAGCGATCAGATGGATAATCGTGGCGCTTTCTGGGCTATCGACCAGAACTTGCTTGACACGATGCGACAAGTCGAGGAAGCTGCCACCCGCAAGGCCGATGTAGTTCACTTTCCAGAGTTCTGGTTACAAGATCTGGTTGGCCAAGGAAGACAAGTATGGTTGTGGGTAAGAAACACCCTAACACATGCAGCACCTTGCCTACCCTCACGCCCACATTGTCTCGTTCCTGCAGGTGGTTGCCGAAAAGTACAAGATCGCCATTGTGGGGTCGATAGCGTGTGGTCAACCTTCGTCACCTGAGACGCCGATGCCTGCTGAATCGCCCTTCGTCCATCTTCTGGGCGGACCTCCACCAAAGGCCCTCACAGACGCTCAACAATCCTGGGTCGAGTGGGTTCAGCATCACTTGGTGGACGTTGAGGCAAAAGTTGGCCACGCCCATTACCCCCAAATTCACAACACGTCCGTTTTCATCGACGACGAAGGGCAAGTTCTTGGCGAGTATGCTAAACGAAACCTCTGGCATCCTGAGCGGTATGTCTCAGTGGAGCAAAAGTGGGCAAAACACTTACCAAACAGCGACTATTTTGTCCGGGGAAGAAGGCAGAACCAAGTCTTTGAGACCAAGTTCGGCAGGGTTGGTCTTCTCATCTGTCAGTATGCTCCAAAGTTGTAATGCTCTTACAAGTCTCAGGCTGGGACATCTCGCATCCTTCGGCTGGGCAAGAGCTTTCCGACCAAGGAGTTGATATTGTGTTTGTCTCAGCCTACTGGCTAGCGACTGACAGCCATCCGTAGGTACGAACATGCGTGATTATCTAACAACGTCAGCCAACTGAACAACTGGCGGCATGTTAACGACTACGAAAAGACGGTTGTTCACAGCTGGATGCTTGCCCGGGCCATAGAGACGGAATCCGTGTGGTCCCTGTGCAACTGTGGGGGTGACCCCATGTCCGGGTACATGGGTGGTAGCGGTGTATGGGTTCCTTTGCGCGGCAATATCGGTGGTATTCCTGGCCCCGGGGCTGGACTACGCATAATGGAGATCGACATGAACGTCCTACAGGACACCCAGAAAGTCTACAAGATCCGCGATGACTACGCGCGGTACCTGAAGATGGTGGAGGCCAAAGAGGCGAATGGTACGAAATAGCGGCTGCGGCCATGCGCACTCCGGAGCGAAGGGGATGGTATGGCCTCGAAGCTGGACAGCAGTGACAGTAAACATGTAGTCGCCAGTTGTTTGTGGTCAAACATTTTCCGCTGCCGTGTCCCCTTCACAAGGCAAACCATGGGGAAGAACAATAGCATTTGAGGGAATTAAAGAGCACCAGAGGCGACGGCAGAGGCAAAGCCAGCTACACGCCTCGCCCTGTAGGCCTCCAGAGCGACCTTGCCATAGCGAACAGTAACAAGAACCAGTACGGCCACCCAGACGCTAAAGGGAACGGCAAAAGCGACGCTGCAGAAACTGATATGTTAGGATGTGACCCAGCACCCAGGCAGACTTACCCGTACTGAGTGCCGAGGGTGATGGCCGCTGCCAAAAGTACGAAAAATGAGATGGTAGCGCTCACAAGAACGCCTATTGAGATCAGCAACCTGGTTCTTGGCCCATTGGAACTCACACTGGGAAGGAAGACCAGCAAGACCCTCGACATCACCCGCAACCTTGCCTAGAAGCGGGCTGGCAGCAGATGCGCCAGCTGTGGCAGCGACATTCTCCAGGTTGTCGTGAATAGGAAGGCCACGCATGGTGTATCGTTGAAAAGTCAAAAGGTCAACAGTGATACATACTACATGTTGACGACGCGGGAGACAGTTTGCTGTTCGGAGGGCTCCAGCAGCACTGATGCGCAATGCAAGCCATACGGCTGCGGCGAACGGGTACTCATCCCACCGGGGGGTCTTCCTTAGCGCCACCTGCATCATGTTCCCGCCATGCCTGACGGCCACCGAGGTGCCATGATGGTCCTGAACTTTTTTCCATACCGTTATGAGTTGGAACAAGCCATCCTTGTGGGAGCAACTAGTTTACTGTAATGACCACCTTGCCCCTGGTCGTTCCCCCGTCAACTTTTTCAAACGCCGCTTCAAACTTTTCAAATGGATACACCTCGTCTACTAGTGGGCGAAGTCCGTCCGTGTCAATGAGACGCGAGATTGCTTGAAGTTGGTCGGCGTCGGTGTGCACGAGGTACCACTTGGAGTCGGCTTTCTTTCCCGGGGGTCGCACCGAGTCGGGATTCCCGTCGCCAACTTCGAGGAATAGGCCGTCGTCCTTGACGGCACCCCACAGCTGTCGCATTCCGTCCTTGCCACCTACAGTGTCCAAAACGAGATCGACGCCTTTGTGGTGGCCCGAGAGCGCTTCTGCGCCAGCATAATCGACAGCCTCGACCGCTCCAAAGCTCCGCACAAGCTCGCTCTTCGCCGGACGGGCCACACCAAGAACAGTTGCGCCTGCCGCTGCTGCAAGCTTGACGGCCCAGGAACCAACGCCTCCTGCTGCACCGGCCACCAAGACGCGGATAGCCTTGTTGGCATGCCTGGCGCGATCGCGGGCGGCAGCATCGCCATCCTGGACCGCAGTGGGATCGAGAGGTCCGTGCTCAAAGAGCCCTTGCCAGGCCGTTACCGCAGATAGCGGCACTGCGGCGGCCTGCGAGAACGAAAGGGATGAAGGCTTGAGGGAGACTCCAGATGCTGCGACTTCGGCGTACTGACGTAGCGCCCCCGTGACGCCGGCGTCGAGCATGAAGAAGACATCACTGCCGGGAGCGAGAGTCGATGACCCAGAGGGCGCTGACACGACGGTACCGGAGCCCTCAATGCAGGGAACTCTGTCGCGAGGCTTGGTGAAGAAGTGTGGGTCCGCCTGCTCCCATCCGCGCTCGTCTTTGCAAGGCGCGACGGCTTGGACCTTGATGACATAGTCCCCCTCAGCTGGGGTGGGGTAAGGTAGCGTTGCGAGCACCAGGCGGGTAGAAGCTGCTGTGGGTTGTAAGATCGCCTTGACGAGTGGACGCGCCATTGTGAGTGAGGTGGCGAGGTGTGGCCGCGCTAGACACGGCAGGTCTGTACTTTATAGTGTTGCTTTGGCGATGCTGACCGTTCGCCAAAGGAGGGCAGGGCAGAAGTCCCAGTGCAATGGTGACTGCATGCATAGGTGGGAATTCGGAAGGTGAGTGTGGAAGCAAGGGCTGACGCGACCGCTGACATCATCGTCGGCGGACGTGATTCCCATCAAATTCGGTAATGCATTCGGAAACAGCGCAGCACGTCGTTATTACGGCAGGTCATGTCATACCTGGCACACGTTTTGAAGCTCTGAAGCACTCACTGATCACTGTACAGCGCAAGCCTAAAGACGATCCAAGTGACTTGCGCTGCGAGCATCAAAGGACAAAACTAAACGGTTCCGACGGAGATGAGCCTGGGTGCACATCTCTATTGCGGTGACCAGTATCCCTGGGTACCATGTAAGTACTTACAGGGAGCGTAGGTATTGTACACCCGGTTCCTTCTCGTTCAGTTTGTAGACCAAGAAATGTTCCTCGAACTTATTATAAGAGTGTTCTAGAAGAGGGACGGGACTCTCGCGCCATAGGGTTGACATGCCACTTGGACTGCATATCACAACTACACATACAGGCTACGTCTCTGCGCTCTGCGCTGCTCTCCCTGGTACTATTCTCACTGGTATTACTCTCTCTGGAACGACTATTCTTGGAACTACTCCTTGTCAAAGTCCAACTCCCACATCTCACCGACGAGCGGAAGACCAAACCTGTCGTGTGGTTCCGTCTCCACGAGCACGAAACCACGCTTTCCGTACATCTTGCGCGCGGTTCCGAGCTCGGCGTGGGTCCACAGCTCGACCTTGGTGTAGCCTTTTTCGCGCGCATACGCCAGACAGACATCCACCATGCGCCCTCCCAGCCCGTGGCCGCGTGCGGCCGGAGTGAGGAGTACGAGACGGATTTTGGCGACGCCCTCACGGGCCTTCATGAGGAAGAGGCAGCCGGCCCGTTCTCCATTGACCTCGGCAATCCAACCATGTTCGCAGCTGTTGTCCATCTTCGCGAGGCCGGCCACGACGTCGGCGACCAGACCTTCAAACTCGCCGATCCAGCCGTACTCTTCGGCGTACAGGTCGGAATGCTGCTGCAGGACCCAGCCGAGGTCGCCATACTGGAGGTCGCGAAGAGTGGCCACGGGTGCAGGAGCCGAGGTCGAAGGCGCAGTGAGGATACGCTCAATGGTGCGCATGGCTTCAACAAGTTTCGTACGCTCGCCGTTGGGCAAGGAGGCCAGGAGCTCGGTCTGTTGAGACTGGGACGTGTCGTTGATGGGAGCGTAGGCCGAGAATCCCTCGGGAGTAAGAGTCAACCAGCTCTGGCGTTGGTCGCGTGGGTTGGGCTTGCGCGAGATCCATCCGGCGGCCTCAAAGCGCTTCAAGATGCGGGAGAGGTATCCCATGTCGACGCCGAGAGTGCGGGAGAGCTCAGAGGCGACTGACGTCTCCGAGTTGGCAAGTTCATACAGGACACGAGTCTCTGTGAGCGAGAGATCGGAGGAGAGGGCGAGGACTCCAGCGCGGCGAGTGTAAAAGCGGTTGAAATGCCGAACTGCCTGGACCTGGTCATTGTCGACAGAGGTTGGGTCCGAGGAAGACGGCACGTGGGAGTCGGGAGTCATGGCGTGGTGGATGCTTTTGCTGAATCGATGATGGAGGGAAGAGACAAAAGTTGACGGCCGTGGGCGTCGTGCTTTATGGTGGGGCCCAGAAAGCGAGGGAACAGGCTTGAGACGCAAAAACGCGTGGTTGCACATCGTTAGCGCGACTGTTGACTCGCGGCAACCAATTTGCAATAGACGCGGCGGCGGGGTGCAACAGCGGGAGCAAATACACTGCATTACGTAAGGGCAACGTCATCCTCCATCCCATCCATATCTGGCTACCTTTGATCATTGATCATTCACCAATGGTTCCAAGGCCGACGGAGGAGTGAGATGTCCTATTGCACGTTTCCTGCACTACGCTGGGGTTGATGTACAGAGGCTTACGGTCTGCAGAAGTGACGACAGCCACACCCATTCAGCATGACGGCACCACACGCACGAGACATTCCCTTCGACGTCCTCGCCCTCATCTGCGACAACCTCTCCTACAGTGAAGATGACAATGGCTCACGCGCCACCCTTTCTCGCCTCATGCGCTGCTCTTGGGCCTGCATGGAAGCAGCAATGCCCGCGCTGTACCGTCAATTGGTCATCCGCGAGACGACATTCCACAAGCTCGTGCTCGGCATCCCACTGGGTGATACGACAGCCGATCCACACAGTGACAATGTCGCAAGAGAACGCAAGCTGCGGTGTCTGTCAAGCGCCAGGACCTTGGTCATTGACTGCTGGCCAGTGGAGTGGGCGAAAATGGTCAAAAGGCTACGAGCGAGTCTGTTTCCGGCGGTCACCTCGGTAACGTTCACACCGACCGCATTTCTGGAAGGCGTCGCTGAAGGCTCTCGTGATATCTCACCACTGGAAACACTACTGTCTGGCATCAGACCCCAACGAGTATGCATCTCACACCCGACGCCTCGCGAAATCGACGCATTCTGCTCCCACCTGGACGGCAGTCTACGCGCCGCCCTACCTGCACCGCTGGGATTGCCCTCGAGGATAACATCGGGCACGGTCATTGACCTACGGAAGAACATCACAGCAGCGCTTTATGATCTCCCAGAATGGCTCGGGTCGCTACTGCGACGATGGGAGCTGGAAGTGCTGAACCTGCACGGTTTCTGCCTCCTCTGTCATCTTCCTCGCTTTCACGCCCAGCTACTGCGTGTCTTTCCATTGGACTCCTACCGCAACCACCCATTCAGCTACACCAAGACACCAGGCCACGACGGGTTCTTCCAACTCCAGAATTACCCCAACTACTGGCTCCAGGCTGCCAAGCAGCTGAACGATTTCAAACGCTCTGGAAATACCCAGGCCGTGGAGCTGGTGGGGGTTGGAGGTAACCTGGAGCTGAAGTGCCGATGTGTCGTCGAGTACTCTCAGAACATCTTGGAGATCAAGGAGCGGATCTTGGAGTCTATGGAGGGCAGAGTGGACTTGCGACTGCCGCACTGGTCTGACGCGCAGCCGTGCCAGTGTTGCGGGAAGGTTGTCAAACCAGGGTCGGACCTCGCGTCAGTTGCTGAAACCAAGCTGCAACCACCTTGTGTGAGTTTTGCGAAACGCCTGACAGTTGCTAATGGCATTCACAGAATAAAGGTCACCGTTGGATGTTGTACTAGCACAAATGCAAGTTGTGTTTTACACTTTCCACGCCTCTGTGCCCTACAGCTGTTCACATTTACTCGGTCTTGCGGGCCTGAGCGTCGCACCACTCCCACATCCGGTCCACAGCAACCTTGTTCTTGAGGTCGGGACGGGCCGGACACTGGGTTTGGAAGCACGAAATGAAAGATCCGCTCATCCGGCGAGCCTCGGCGACAGACACTTCACCGCACCAGATCTGGTTCAGCGCGCCGTCGTACGGCTGGAGCTGGTACAGTGGGGTCAGCCACGTGAGCTTATACATGGCTTCGACGCCGCCAAGGTGCCTCGAGAGGTTGGTGGCAACGACACCAGGGTGGACTGAGAAAGTGATAATCTCGCCATCGATTGCGTTGGGCGATCCGGGACCATGGTGTGTATTGACAAAGTTGGCAAGCGCAATGTCGCCCCACTTGGACTCGCCGTAGGCGGCCCACTTGTCGAGTTCGGTGCGGGACTCAATGGCCTCATAGTTGATGCCGCCACGAGGCGCAAAGACGTGTCCAACAGAGGAAAGTGAGATGAGGCGAGCGGGGCTGTCAGGGGTCTCTCGCGAGGTCTGCTTCAGGAGGGGGAGCAGAAGAGATATCAGTCGCTGGTGGCCAAGAGTCTACGGGTCAGTTGCAGTAGTGATTCGAATCACTCACGTTGGTGCCAAACTGGAGAGGGTACCCCTGCTTTGTGAACTGTCCTGGGTCCGTAGCCATAATACCCGCATTGGCAAACAACATATCGAGACGTTGCACTTTGCCCTTGAGCTCGTTTGCACAGCGTTCAACGCTGTCCAGGTCGGAGAGGTCCATGTTGATGTACTCGATGGTCCCCACCTTGGCAGCGTTGGGGGTCTCGTACTCGAACTCGCCGTACATGTTGCACCTGCCACCCTTCTTGATTCTAGCAATCGCGTCCGTGGCACGCTGGTCCGAACGGCAACCGATATATACGGTGGCGCCGTGCAGATAGTATTCGCGAGCAGTCTCGTAGCCGGTTCCAGAGTTGCCGCCAGTAATGAAGACGACCTGGTTGGCTATGAGTTGCTGTCTCGTACTCAATCGAAACTCACAGTACCACGTTTATCGCCCATCTGCGACGGTTTCCAATGGGGACGGATCCACCAGAAAAAGGGGAATCCGCCGTGGAGCATGAGCAAGTAGTAGTATTCGATCCATTGCCACCAAGTGGTCTGGAACGGGGCTACTGGGGAAGGCTTCGTTGTTGCCATCGTGGGAAGGGAATGTGAGAGAAAGATGTGGGGTTCTCTCGATCTCGACACGGCAGTTGCTTTATATAGACTGTCACAGCGGGACCCAGGATGATGTCATGGCGAGGTACATGTCGTCAAGACAAACGCCCAGATGTGCGGATGTTGACGGTCGTAAGCGTGTAAGCGAGGAGAACCCACTTCACTTTCACGTGGGGCAATCCCGGACGACATGCAAGGTTGCGGAGTCACGTTGCAAATGGTGCTGTTCTGCTGTGCTTGGGTATTTGGATGGCAGCCAATCCAGCATGGAGGGCCAACAGTGGAGGGCTGGGGCACGATTTGATGGCCGAGAGCTGGGCCAAGGCCTCCGGGGTGTGGGGCCAACATGGCGACAGTGATTATGGCTGAAGGCGGCAGCAGCAAAGTTGAAGTCGACCCCCAGTTGGTGTCGCCTCGGATGATTACATTTGTAGACTGCTGTCGAGACTCATGGAGGGCCTAACGGCAGAGAACCGCATGGCCACGAAATGGCTCTCCGTTTATCTGAGTGCAGGTCAGAATGTCGTGGCCGAGGCCAAGCAGTCCTCCAATGCGTCCGACGACGCTGTCAGGACGTCTGATGGGGCGGCACCTATTGAAGGATTAAACGTGTTGTCAGAACACTGTGAAGGAAACTGACAGGCGCAGACTGATCGATTGATCGACTGACCAACTGAATCCACAGGTCACGGATCACGGAGCTCTCCTCCACCGCCCATCAGCCACCTTCTTTCCATCTCGGTCGATTCTTGACAATGAATGAGAGTAATTTCCCGGCCGAACAAACCCACTGGCCACCGGCCATTGGCCATTTGGCGGCTGAAACGTCAGTAGCAAGCGCTCCCACACCACTGAGACAAACGGTGCCGTGAGTCTGGTGGTGTTCATCCCCGATATCGGGGATAATCGACAACCGCAGTACACGCAAACGGACTTGCGAGCTTGCGACCTGTGTTTGCCACCGGTTGGCAACTGCGTCTGTAAAAGAGAGGTCTTGATTTGGCAAACAGACTGCTGTGTCGGCTGTATCCGGTGGGTACGAAGAGCATAAACGCAGGCCAGCGGGAAAGACGGAAAACAAGCCCAGCTGCACTCTTCCTAAGCCGCTCCAGCCTCCGTGATAGAAGACCGAGTCCAGCTGATATTACTCTTATACCAGCTGATCTCGTCACAAATCGACCGAGAGCGCACCAGAAGCCATCAGACCTTCCGTTGGCGGACAGTTTTAGTGATATCGACAACAATAGATTCCTCTGTGGGCGGCCGACAAGCACAGTGAGGCAATAACCGAGCAACAGCTATAACATCCAGGCGGCCGCGGGAAAGGACCTCGCTCGGCGACCACAATGACCGTCATTGAGACTCAGCTCCAACAACACAACGATTGCCTCCAGCGCCTCAAGCTTGAGGGTGCTAGCGGTAGCATCACCGCTGAAGAGCGTGCTTGGCTGCCTTCCATCCCGGCATCGGCGTCGGACGAGTCGATCCGCCATGAGCTGGAAACCAAGGGCGTTGTTCACATCAAGGGAGTGATGCCGCGCGAGTTCGTACTCGAGGCGCGCAGAAAGTGGGTAGCGTGATGCGGTGGACCATGCTGACCCGGGTAGGTACTTTGAATGGGTAGAACCTACACATATCCTCAAGGAAGGTACCGACCCGAAGGAAGGTATCTGGGCGGCCGGCGACCGGGACCCGAACCACTTTGTGCCACCCGCAGGCGCTGGGTACATTGAGATGAACCCCCAGGCCGCTGTCTACATTGATCGCGCGTGGGACATGCTGGACGAGGAGTGGCCCAAGGACTTTTGCTCAAACCAGTGTGAGCATGAATGCAGCTTGCGTCACTGACTAGCCTGCAGATATCAAGACAATGGTCACACGCATCCACCACGACTGGCACGAGCCGTTCTGCTTCAAGCGCCAGATCTGGCGCACCAATGTCCCCCACGCAAAGGGCACCTCGACCGGCGTACACTATGACCACATTTTCCTCCGTGGTGGGCCCCCGACAGCTATTACCGCCTGGGTACCCGTAGGCGACTGCACGCCGGAGATGGGCGGACTGATGTACCTCGAAAATTCGATCCCAATTGCTCAGAAGATTGAAGACGACTTCACCGAGCTGGGCAAGGCAAAGGGCTTTACAGAAGACGATTTGGTGTATGCGTTCAACTCCAACATGGACGCTACGGGTATGCTTTCGATGGACCCCGGAACGTTTGGCCAGCAGTTTGGCGAGAATAGGAAATGGCTCATTGGCGACTATGAAGCAGGTGATATCGTATTCCACCACTCGATGATGATCCATGCCAGCGGGTCCAACCTCGATCCGCAGGGCAGGATCCGTCTGTCCACCGACTTGCGCTACGGCGACCGCAACCACCCGTACGATGCTCGCTGGGACCAGGACCGTATGCGTCCGGGTGATCGCCTGTAGAGACCACGGGGACCGCTCCCGCGTGCCAGTCATGAACAGTTTGAGAACGGTGACGCTAATTGAAGGTGCCGACATTGTAGTATTAGCAACCCCAGAAGCGAAATGTGATGGTGAGATATATCCTTGCCATTAGCATTGTCAGCGGTGTTCCGCGATCAAAGTGGAGACACAATCTTATGGGCATCTATGATACAGTTAGGTCGCCAGCACAGTGGCTCTAGTTGATAAACTTGCGGAGGAGCCAGGTTCCGGCCACGGCCAAGAGCGCGGCGTTGCTCGCGCTAGTCGGCAGGCCAGCACTGCTCTTGGCTTCCGCGGTAGACGAGGATTGGCCAGCTGCCCCAGTAGTAGCAGTTCCCGACGTCGACGCCGCACTGGCGCTGGTGCAGTTGGTGAATGGGCAGCTAGCGGATTCAACAGTCTGGGACGAGTAGACGCTCGGCACGGTGTACTCGAGGTAGTCAAAGTCAAAGTAGGTCGTGTTGCCGCTGCTGGGTCCTTCGTTAACGAGTCGCAGAGTGTGCTGACCCTCGGGAAGACTGCCCGCAAAGAATGCCAAGCCGTGAACCTTTTCACAGTATTTTGCGTAACCACCACCACACCCAGAGCGACCAGTGTGGGTGGCCACGTTCGTGTCGTTGATGTAGACTGAGTACGGGCCATGGTCATTGACCTGGTCGCCATAAATGTAGACGGCCGAGCCAGTAAAGTTCAACTCGAAGTAGGGTCCGGGGCCGCCAGTGTACGTCGAGGTCTGGTTGTAAAAGTTGGGCCCGGTCTGCTGGGTCCACGAGCCAGAGTATTGAAGCTCACTAGCGCGGTCGTCCAGCGTGGTGTTGGCAAGAGTCGCGCTGGATCGGTCAGCTCTAGCTCCACCGGCAGTAATGCAACTCACCTGTCGCCACCCAGCTCCACACCTACAACAATGAGGTCAAGAAGCAGGCCATCGCCATGGTTGGTGAGAACGAGCTGATGCTCGGCGTAAGCCAGCTGGTCTGTGCCGTACAGCAAGGTGCGGCCGTCGGTCAAGTTGGGTGTGGAATAGGAGCTGGTGAATGGCTGCGACGAGCTGGAATCCAAAGTGATCGTATAGTTTGGGCTCGTGCCGGTACCGCCATACACCCAGAGACCGTTACCTATGAAGAGGTCAGTTTCGGTCCGACAACCACGACTGGTGACTCACCGGTAAAGTTGAAGGAAGCCTGGGCGCCGGACACAGTCGTCAGGTGGTACGTAGCTGTGTTTGTGAGCCATACGTTTCAAAGGCACGAGACAAGGCCTGGCGAGCGTCTGGCGTCTGGCCATTCTGGGCCTGCTGTGCCCACCTTGATGCCACTGGGACCCGGTCACATCTTGAGAAGCGTTGAACCAAGTAGGGTTGTCCTGTGGGTTTGGTGTGGTCCATTCGTCATAGTTGGAGTAGGCGACGATAGGGTCAAAATCGTCGACTGTGAGATTGACCTTGCTGGACATGGCTCTGCGGTGGATGATGGAATCAGAGCAAGGCTGGGAGGCGAGAGACGTTGTGTGTTCATGCAGGAGGAGGGTGGTGTTGTCGTCGTCGCGTCGCGTCGTGTTGTCGCGGACGGAAGGGGGGGGGGCGGGGGCTGACTGTTCCGCCTAGGGGGCCCCGTTTGTGTATCGGCCGTACGCCGTACATCCAGAGACCATATGGCCTCTTGGGTCCCGCTGTCGACTCCCTCGTATGCTACTCTTGCATGCTTTTGACGTACACTACCTTCCATGTGCGTCAAGGTGAAGTGCTCAAAGCAAAAGAAACGAAAAGAAACCCAGGACAACACTGCGCACGGCTGCGGATCTTGGCTGCTCCTTGGCATATCTACCGCCCACGCGCGCGGTCTAAATGGATTCTAACACCAACAGTTCCCAGTCTCTTTTGCCCACTGACTCTCGCTCCCTATACGTACACCATGTGGCCACTCACTCCATGGCGTCCGCTCGAACCAGCACCATGGCAGCGCTCGATGCTGCGTCTCCTCACCATAGGCCCCATCATCGCATCCATTCCCATCGTCGCCGTCTACCATATAGGCACATACATCTACTGGCGTCCCAAACGCGGTCTGGCTCGGCACCTGGGCGTCAATGTCTTCCGGTATCTCGGGGCGGCGATCCGCCTGGGTTGCGTTGCCATTCGCGATCCCGAGGAAGCTAGCATCCCCAAGCTGGCAAAGTACCACCGGCACCTGGCTGATGCCGGCGAACCGCGCACTATCCCGCCCATCAAAGACGACGTACCACGTCTGCCAGTGCTCGAGTCGGCTGGAGACAAGATCAAGGCTGCTCCCTTCCCCGGATTCATGCTGGCGCCCAAGGGCACACCCCAAGACGACATCTGGGCACGAGCCAAGCCCGGAGAGAAGGGCATCTTCTACATTGTTGGCGGAGGGTACGAAGTTGGCCACCCTCTCCAGTTCTTCTGCCCTTGGGATCTCGTCAACGAGACAGGTCTGCGCCTCTTCAGTGAGTTCCATCGTTCTTGACATGTACCGACTCTTAGCACCCAACTACCGCAAAACCGTGGTCCACGACCAGGCCTGGCCAACTCAGATGTTTGACCTGCTCGCCGGATGGCAGTACATGATTGAGGAGCTCGGCTTTGAACCCAAGGTGCGACTCACATGTGCTGCTTTCACTGACGACACGAAAGAATGTAGTTGTCCACGGATCAAGTGCAGGTGGACACGGATGTCTTGTCCTGACGCGATACCTTGACGAGCTGCTCCAGACTGGTTGGACACGCTGGGGCCTGCCGGCCGGGCTCTATGCATCCGCCGTGGGTGACTGCCCGTATGCTTGTGCTGACCCACCAGCCGTGCTGTGATCAAACTGGGTCCATGCCATCCATTGACACCAACCAGCACACAGTACGCCACTTGAACATGACAGACGCAGGCAGCTGACGATCCAGGACTGGCTCGTCGACCCACGCCTGATCATCTTCCCAGTTGTTCTCCGATACATCACAAACCCGACGTCCGACCCATACCTGTGCCCAGCCCTTGCCCCGCGCCCCGACCTGCATTTCAAGCGTCTGGCCGCTGCCAACTTTCCAGTGTACGTTGACGCAGGCACTGATGAGCGGCTGTGGGACGAGGTCGTCCGCACGGTGGAGAACATGCGCTATGCTGGGATTGATGTCCATTTCACTGGGGTGAGTAATGTGTGGCGACAACGCTGACGCTTCAGTACGAAGGGGGCACCCACTGCGAGTATGTGTTTGCCCGCTCGCCTGTCAAGTTTTGGCCTGGCGTTGGCTTCACATGGCCCCTGCTGGTTTCCCAGTTCAAGCAGTTCCTCAAACAAGCCTGGCCCGACGTCCAAACCGCGTCTGCCTGAAATTGAACTGGATGAACAGCCCCCCCCATGTAGCCCAAGATTGAGTAGGAAATACCCTTCCATATAATGGATATAGCAAGTCTCTCTGTCCTAACAAAATCCGTTTACGACTACTTACAGTACAACCACGCTCATATCCTGGCCTAGAGTTTGGCTCGAGGGGCAGGGGCATCGTGCTCGCCACCGATCTTGGCCCACTCGGCATGCACAATCTTCTTAACGTCCGACTTCACAATCTTGCCGTTGGCGTTGCGGGGCAACAGATCAAGCACCAAGACAATGGCAGGGCGCGCCGGGTGTCGCAACCTCGGCTCGACCGTTTTCAGAATGTCGTGAGAGGTAGCACTGGCACCGGGCGCGAGACTGACGGCAATACCCACCCGCTCACCCAGCCTGGCACAGGGCACGGCAACGGCGGCCACCTCGGCGATGCGGTCGTCCATGGCAACGGCGTTCTCGACCTCTGCAGAGGCAATGTTCTCTCCACCACGGATGATGACGTCCTTTGCGCGATCACGAATGTACAGGAATCCATTGTCGCCGATCATGGCCATGTCGCCGGTGTCCAGCCAGCCGTCCGCTGTTAGGGTCTCGGCGGTGGCCTTGGGGTTGTCGACATACTCCTTCATGATATTAGGGCCCTTGCATTGGACGATGCCGATCTGGTTGGGGCCCAAGACCTCTTTTGTCTCTTGGTCGACGATGCGGATGGAACAGATGGGGACGGCGGGTCCGACGGCCTCGGGCTGAGTATGGTCAGCATCAGATGACAAAAACAGACCCAGAAAACTCACGTTGGCGAGGTAGTCTGGGCCAGTAAAGCCCGTGTGGAGACCATTCGTCTCCGTCATGCCGTACGCATGGGTTGGCATAGACATGGGCCAGCGCTTGACAATGTCGTCTCCAAGACGCTGGGCAGGGGGAGCGCCACCGTAAGTGACATTCTCAATGACGTGGTCCTCGGGGAGAAGAGGTGACTGGAGGACCGCGACCGCAATGGAGGGAACACCGCCAATGACGGTGCACTTTTCCTTGACGATGATGTCAATAGCGTCCTTGACGCTCCAGCGGCGCATGAATACCATGCGCATGCCAAATGCCATTGCACGCATCATCCATCCGAGGCAACCGGTAACGTGGAAGAGTGGCACAGCGAGAAGCATGACGCTCTGGACCTCGGGAGGCTTTGTGAGATCCATGGCCATCTCGAGCGGTGCTCCAGCACGCAGGGCCATGCGCACGCCCATGGCGAGGCCTGAAATAAAGTGGACAAGTGCTGCACGCTGGTCACTGAGCACGCCCTTTGGCATGCTGGTCGTTCCCGACGTGAACAATATCATCCCGTCGCTGTCTGGCCCGAGCGAGTCGATACCGAGTCCCTCGCCAGTCAGGACGGCACGCACAGATGCCGCCGATGGCTTGGGGCTGACGACTTCCTGAACACCAGCTCGAGTGGCAGGCGACGTGTGGCTGACAGATGACCAGCAGTAGATTGGGCCAATGTTCTTAGCCAGGAGCTGCGCCGATGCCGGTCCAAGGATCTTGGCCAGGTCAACGTCGACGAGCGTGAGTTTGGGCTTGGTGAGGGCGAGGCAGTGGATATGAGCGTCGAGCTGCCTGTGCATTGTTAGTGAAAGTGTGTCAGAATGTTGCAACCCACATTGTCGAATTGAGTAGCACTGGTACGGCACCGAGGAGATGGATAGCAACAAATGACTCCATCCAGGCCGTGCAGTTCAAGCCGCCGATGCCAACGCGGGTGCCGAGTCCAACACCTTGCTCCCTCAACCATCCGGCCAGCTGGACAGCATGATCAAACACCTGGCCATAGGTCAACACCTCGCGGGCATAGAAGTCGGCGGGCTCGGGTACAGGCGCAGAGATCATAGTGCGGTCGCGCCACTGGGCAAACTTGTCCAGCATGAAGACGCGGAAGTTGGGTTCGGCCTGGCCGCTCGTCAGCGTGATGCATATGCCTCTTTGCGGACGTACATTCTTCCAAGTACGGTGCGTGATGCCCTTGATTACTACTTCCTCTGTGGCAAAAGTGGGCGTGTCGAGCAGGATCCTGTCGCCTGGGCACAATGTCAGTTGGGGTTGTCGCGTGAGAGTAGAGACATACATTCCTCATATGAGAGGGGGTTCTCCGGTGGCGGTGGCAGCTGGTTCATTGTGCTGCAATGACGTTTTTAGGTAAGTGTTGCCGGGATAGTGTGGATGGTGTGACAGTAAAGAGAGACAGCAACAGCAGGTTATGTACGTCGTCTCCAGCAGTGCACAGTCAGCATCAGAGCCAGGACCCCACCGGCCCCGTTGTTCGGAGACCGGCAACCAAGTCGCCCACCTTGGAAGAGCATTGGGGTACTGGGGTAAATCGGCCAACGCCGACCGGGGACCCATGGCGCGGAACGTGGAATAACCGCGGCCAACGCCGGCCCGTGTACCCCGTGTGTCCTGGCACACAATCGGTAAGCATTGAATACCGACCGCGAGTGCCGGGCCGCTCCTGGCCACTGGGCCACTGACGTCGGGGGCCAGCGACGTACTGGACTGTGGCTGCGTGAAGCTCCAGGTAAGAGACACACGCAACTCTCATACATCTTGCTGCTAGCCCTACTGATACACACCTGCCGCACGTCAACTTCTACGACTCATCATTCGCTACAGTAGGGCGATCTGCTACCCCTTGCGCGGCGGCGAAGGCTGGTGGTCCGACGCGGGCGCGTGTGACGGTGAATTCAGGACAAGCCTTGCAGTGGCGAGGACAGGGGCGATGGAGACTCTGACGATTGATGCGACGATAACGTCGGTGACGAGGGGTGCGAAGACACGGCAGGCGACTAATGTGGGTCTGATAATAGTTCGGGTACAGGCGGGTTGGGGACGGCAGCGTCGGCACCATACAACACATCCGCTGCTAACGGCTGGGAAGCGGTGTTGAGTGGATATCTCTCCGTCACACTGGCCTTCTTGCGCCAGTGCTTGCCAAGCGCGTCCTCCATTGTGAGGTTCTCGCAGTCCTCGTATGTGCCGCTAACGGCCACTGTGTCACGCGGCATTGGGTCATTGGCGGGCAAAAAGTCACCCATCTGTGTGCTGGTGAACGACGTCCGCGACGCCGAGTCAAACTCTTCGTATGCGTCGATCCCAAACGTGAACGATTCGTCAAGGATGCCTCTAAGAAGCGGGCGAATAGTGGCCAGCGGTGGGTATGGGTGGTTCTGGGGCAGATGGGCCGTCCCCTGTCAATTAGAGAGGCATACAAAACGGAAACATACCTCGCTGTACGCCTCTTCTATCATGTCATCAGTACGTTGGATCCATTCCGCGATGGTGGCCGGTATCCTGTCGCAAAACGCGTCGGCCATGGTGCGGTAGAGACGACTTGTGAGTCAGCGTCTGTACGGGGACGCGCCGGCCGTACGTCTCGTAGCGCCGGCGGCAAGGTAACGAAACGGGGCGCAAAACACTGCGCATCACGGCAAACACTGGCAAAGCAGACTCACATCTGAAGCGTGCGATCACCCACGGCGAGGGCCACACATGTTGCGTCCACCTTTGACCAGTCGCCCGACACCTCGGCGGTGCCCCACACTTGGGATGCTGTACGGCACGCCCACGCTGCGGCACGTTCCAGGTCGGCCAAGGTTGTGGGGAATACGATGGGTGCGGCGAATGAGTACTCATCGCGTGGGAAATGTTGTGGCAAGGCAAGCGGTACGTAGAGGGACATCAGACGGTGTATGTGGTGATGGATGCGGGGGAGTGTCGTAGCCGTAAGGTAAACGACCGTGGAAAACTTCATGTGACGTCACGGCACAAGGGCGACATGTTTTTGAGTTGGACACGTCAGTATTACCACTGGACATGTCAGTATTACCACTGATCCACCGAGGTCTATCCAACAGGATCCTCCCTCACCATATCGCGCTGAACATGCTAAGACCATGATGGCTGCCCTTTTCAGCGGCCCCACAAGTGCTGCCAAGGTGCTCACAATCAGACTGGGCCGCCGTTGAATGTGACCACAATGGTACACGCCGGGCTGTCCAATTTAGCCAACCATGCCACTCAGCCCGAGTTTGGTGCTATTCTGTCTCACGATGTGGGGCGGACGATTGCTGTCAACAATGAGGCCGACCTCGTCGAGAACGAGTCTGGCCGGTACCGCAAGCTGTTCAACTGCGTCCTCCAACTGCCGCATTGTACCTCGCTCATAGACTCACGCGTGCCCGTCCTCAGCAAGCCGTCCGATACACCAATGGTACATTTGTACAAAACTGGGCGGCTAGAATAGGCAGACCTTATCGTTCTTTTATGGTGCCGCAGATATACTGGGCGCAGTCTACCCCGGCGCGGAGGCGACGGCGACCTGCCTCGGTTAGTGACAACGCCGAGATCATCCTCGACGTCACAGTGGATATGGCGCAACTGCAGGCACGACAGCGCGACATGGAGCTCCCCCAGCTGTTCAAATGTGTAAACAGTGTCTTCTTGAGGATGCTTCAGACGGCAGCCACCGCCCATTGGGTGAACTCAGAGTATGCATTGCTCTCGACCAGCACACGCTACCCAGTTACTTCTTTCGGTCCTTCTCGTCGAGTTGTTGGTTATCTCGCCACATTCGGGTTGAATGCGACAGGCCAGCCCGTCCGGAGTGCGGATAACTTTCCATTCACAGCCATGTACATGTCTCGCTGTATTCCACCACAAGGCCCGTTTGCACCACATAAAGGGACGGCCAATAGGACCAGACACGCTACGCACGCCTGGGGGGTGGGGGGAGGGATGGCGACAGCGATGGGGCAGCTCACCTTAAGTCGAACCACGCCAATGCACCACGAGGTCACCCTGCACTTCGGCGGCGACGATCAGTGTAGCCTGCTCTCCCGTCAGCGAAATGGCCGTCCATCTGCATTCGACCTCATCCAAATCGACTTGGGGTGAGTACAGGGAAGGGGTCGCGATTACGCTGCAGAAGTACTAGTCGAGAGAAGATGTTGCAGTAAGTACATTCGCTAGGGTATTACAGACGATGCGGGGAAGGATATGTAAGCTGTGTACTCTCTATAACTCGAAGTCACCAGACGGCCCTCCCTGTTTGTCCTTGCCCTCCTTTCTCAGCTCGAGCATCTTGGCCGCCTCGCCCTTCCAATCGTGGTTAACGAAATCTGACAAACGTCGGCCAGTCACCGAGTGGCGCATACGCTCAAAGCGACATGGCTCGATAGGCGCCACCATGGCCTTGCGGATCGTGTCCACAAACGAGGTGTAGTTGAACGCCTGGACCTGATACACGTAGGGCTCGGGCACGCGCTCGAGCGAGTCGTGCTGGACAAACGACCATGAGCGGTCGTTTTCGTTTGTGCCACCGTCACGCAGCTTGTGCGGGTTGGCAAATGGCACGGCGTATGCGAGTGAACGGTATGGGGACGGGCTGAGGGTAGGAGCGCCCATGCCGAGCATGAGGCGGGCCTTTGAAAACTCTGCGTCAAACTCGGTCGCGTTGAGCTTGCCCAAGTTGTGAACCACGGGCGGTGGCATAGGACCCCACTTTTGCTTGTCCTCTTCGGAACGCTGGTCGACAATACCGGCCACAAACTCGAATCCTGGGAACTCGTCCTTGAGCTCGTCGTAGGCACGCTGGTAAAAGTCGGTGTCGTACACCATCTGGTCACCGTTGTGAAAGTAGTGCGCGTATTTGGCCATGATGTAGACGCGATAAGGACGTTCCTCCCAAGGGACGATATGAATCTCCTCTGGGTCCGGGTTCATGTCGTAACCGAGATAAGTAAAGTCTGAGCTCTCTGGGTCGGTGTAGGCGTGAAACTCTTGCGCGCCCGTGGAGACCCAGGCAATGCCGTCGTCCTGGACGGTAACGTTCCAGTGCCCCGAGATACGCGGCTCGGCGCAGACAACCCACGCACGGCCAACTACAGTTGACCAGCCCGTAGGGTAGTACTGGAAGTTGAAGTACTGAAAGTCAGCTGGTGGTGCCCATATATCGGTACCTGCTCCTCACCTTCCATGCCGGGATGCCGAGGGGAAAGTCGGGACGCTTCTTGTACATGTCAAACGTGCCATGACGCTGCTCCTCTCCCGGTTCGGAGATGATAACCTTGATCATGTCCCCGAACTGGCGATGCAGGTGGTACATGTACTCTGGGGTTTTCGTCAGACAAGGTGTGCAGCGACGGGAGGCGCAATCCACTCACTCCAGTTGTTGTCACCGCCGTGAAGGACAGTAAAGCCCTGGCGCTCCAGCGCACGCATCTGAAGGTCCGTCAGCACAAGTCGGTTCCACCAAGCCCTGCGCGTTTTGCAGCACTGACCATGCCAACACACCTGTCACTGTCAGTACGCCGTTTCCCGTCACTGCACAGAGGGCCAAACTCACCACACGCCCTCGCCGCCGTGATAGCCGTCGTAGTAGCCCCACTGGCAGTGGAAGGTGCTGAAGATCGCAATCTAAGGACGGACCGTCAGCGCACGCCCCCCGAGGTCAAACCACGTCGGGTGCAACACCCCTCGCGCCATCGCAGAACCTGGGAACACCATGTGTCACTCACAGAGACCTGGTTGGGATGGCAGTCTCCGCGCGCGAGACAGGCTGTGAGCAGGCGTAGCCTTGACTCGGAATGCCATTTGTAGCCTTCGTACGGGTCGTTGACGCCCACGTCGGTGGAGTTGGGCACGTGGGTGAGGAGTTCGTATCCGTGCTCTTGTTCTGTGACTGCGTGTGGTGTTCCTGTCAGAGTCTCTGCAATGGTGGATGCTGAGATGCCTGAGAGGTGGCCTTTGCGCTGGACGAGGGCGAGGAGGAACAAGGACGCCGCGGCCGAGAAGACGATGTAGAGGATGGCGTTCCTGTTGGCGAACAGTCGTCGGGCTTGCATTGCTGAAAGCCCCTGTGACATTGTGCCGCCGAGGGAGGAGGGAGGGGGAGGGGGGGGAGGAGGATGGAATGCGGTGAGAGTGAGTGTGGTTGTGATGGAGGAGGAGGAGGAGATGAAAACGAGAGCGAGAGAAATGTGCCGTTGGATGTGCGCGCGCGCTCCCAGGAGGAGGATCAATTGTGCAAGGGATGGAATCCACAGGGAAAAACAGGCGTCGACAGGGAGTCCTATAGTGCGGTCGGTGCGGTCGGTGCGGTCGGTGCAGTCGGTGAGGGAGCACCGAGATGTCGCTTGCAGCTGTTGCCCCGCTGCGGCGGTGGGAAGAGTGGTAGTGAGGAATGGACGGATGGACGGATGGATACCAGAGATCGAGAGTGTAAACCGTTGGGCGTTGGCACGAAAAGGTGGGGGGCGGCGGCGGCGGGTTGAGGCGCTTGGGGAACGCGTTCGCGTATGAAATGGAGCTGCCAAGAAATGGGAATGGGATTGGGAAGAGGTGATGGGTGGGGTGGGGGTTCAACAAAGGAAAGATGCATGCATGTTGTGTGTGGTTGATCATGTCCGCAACGCTGTACGTTGACAGACCAAGACCCCTCGCCCCTTCCCAACCCACCACCCCCCAGGCCACGGGAAGAGGCGGGGAGCTCACGAGAGCTTACGGGGACCTTTGACGCTTTTTCCACTGGCAGCGACCGCACACCACTTGTCAACATGGGGCAAGAGGAGACCACAGCAGGCACCCCCCCACCCCACCCCGCTCCCTGGGCATCCCGAGTTTGTCGGCACAGTTGTCGTGTATCAGTATGAAAACATGCAAGGCCGAGCAGAGGCGCCCACAGTGTGCTTGCGTGCTGTATGCTCGCCAATGCGCTGAGACGTGCCGGAATGCTGGAATGCTGGAAGCTGGAATGCCATTGTCCACCAGCCACCAGCCACCGGCCTGTTCACCAGCTTAGCCAGAGGTCTGAGAGAAACCCAAACCCAAACCCGACAACGACAACTACCAACTACCCCGTATTCCTCACTTGTCCTCCACCTGGCTGCATACGAGTACATGTTCCGCACTTGTCGTCGTCGTGTCGCCGCAGCAACGGCTGCATGACTCTCACACCCTAGAGATCCACCTTGACAGCAACGGCCGCCTTGGACGCAAACCCGGAAACAAACAGCCAGCCCTGCTTCTTGCCCTCGTTCTTCTTGGGATCAATCGCAATCAGAACAGCGGCCGACGCTGAGCGAAGCACGTTGCCGTCGTCCTCGAACAGCAAAGTGGTGTTGAGCTGCCCACGGCCGAGACCCGAGGTGAGAAAGACAGAAGGCGCAATGGCGCCCTCGGCGATGTCAAGCTCCTTTTCCAGCTTGATCCCCTGGGTGAGACCGGCGTTGACAACACCACTGGCGTCGTGGTCAACGGAGGGGTAAGGGTCGGTGAACCAGAAGGGGTTGTCAATAGTGATCGGGAGAGGGAATTCGTGGACGACCTCGAGGGTGCGGTCCTCCTTGATCCGAGCAGTGTAGGTCACACCGCCAGCGGCATCGTTGATCAGGATGGTCGAGACGTTGGGGGTGTGGCCGAGACCATTGTTGTTGTGGAGACCAGTGAGAGCGACCTTTGCCTGGACACCGTCGGCGCCGTTCTTCGTCTCGTCGGCCTCTACATAAACAGTGGTCGACCAGCCGGCGAAGCGCTTGGTGCCCAGGACCTCGACCGTACGAAGGGGTCCCTCGCGGTAGTGGTGGTCGTTGGTGACGTAAAACGCGAACGGCGAAATGGCAAAGATGTCGTTGGGCATCTTGACGAGGTCGTGCTCAACGGAGCGGACGTGAGTAGCAATGTCGGTGCCAATAACATGGTGGAAGATCTCGATCCGCGAGGCGGCCTTGACGGGCGCGGTAGCGTCGAGGGTCTGCAGGTACTCTGTGGTGGGCAAGTGGTTGACGGCCAGAATGTAGATTGCATCCTGTTGCTCTGGGTCGCGGACAGTGTCGATGCCGTGGGTGCTGAACGGAGCGTCAAAGCCCTTGAGCTCGAGACGGGTAGTCTTAAACGTCGTGGGATCAATGACACGCAGGCCACCGCCGTGCTCGAGGATGCTCTGGGGCTCGCCGAAGCGCGTCAGAGGCGGGAACCACTTGCTGCGTCCTCCATCCCTGTCGTGAGCAGCAGCAAAGATAAGGCCACTGGCATGGTCGAGGTGCAGGTCCTCGGCGTTGATGGTGTCTGGGATGACCTTGATCTCTCCTGCGGCGTGGAAGGTGTTGGGCTTGCGGAAAGCGCCGACTGTCTGGGCACGCTCGTAGAGAGCGCGACCCAGGAGAGCGATCAGGGCCACGACGAACAAGGTGGCTCGCATTGTTTTGTGGTGGATGGAGCAATGTAGAGAAAGAGAGAGAGTAGCCCCGTTGGTCGCCAGCACACACACCCACCAAATGGTCACCGGACCTCCGGTAATGGCACCGTGCGTGATCCGTGTTAACCGTGTTCTCTCGGTCTTGGCCGACGTGTGTTGGATGGCCCAGTCGAGGGCTCTTTCGTACATACGGTTTCGTGCCAGTGGCGCACACGGCGCTCCATGTCGCTGGTACACAACTCATGTGCAGTAGCCATCGGTCGGTACAGGTCTGTACATGCAGGCGCCCATTGGCACCTCTCCCTTGCAGGTACACACGGGTACACGGGTCGTCACATTTCCTCCATCATCCTGAACGCTTGGCGTTCGTGTTCCACCGCCAGGCCGCGCGGCCCACGGCACAGACTATAGACCACGCGCAGCCCGTTCGACACCCGGACACCCCTGCAAAAGCCATCCCGCGTATACACCTCTAGTCCACTTTCACCACTTCTCCCTGGGTGACGCGCACAAGCGTCTCAAAATCAATCGGAAAGACGGCCTGGTGGTGGCCTGCTGCGGCCCAGATTTCCGGGTAACTCGCCAGCTCCTCATCCACCAACGTGCGCACCCGCTCCAAGTGTCCCACAGGTGCGACGCCGCCGATTGCCTGGCCCGTCTTGGTCTTGACAAACTCGGGTTTCGCTCGCTTGATCGCTTTGGCCGAGGCAAGGCCCAGTCGGGAAGCCAGAGCCTTGGTGTCGACGCGGTGACCGCCGCTGGTCAGCACAAGCAACGCCTCGCCGCCGACCTCGAAGATGAGCGAGTTGGCGATCGCAGACACTGGGCAGCCCAGTTGAGCGGCAGCGGTGGCGGCTGTTGGTGCTGTGTCAGGCAGGATGCGGACAAGCGTGTCAACGTTGGTGACCTCAGCATCACGGAGGGCTGCAGACACGGCCTTGACGGCTCGATGGTTGAGGACGCTGCTCACGCTGGGCGTGGAGGCACCTGTGGCCGGTGTCGAGGGCGTTGAGGATGGGTCGATGACAGATGTGTCTGTCATGCGTGCAGGTGTCCTGAGCGACAGACAAGTGGTCGATGATGGGCTGTTTAAATGCAGACTGTCGAACGACATGTTCAAGTCCCGGTCGGGGACCAGAAGTGTGACTCGAACCCTTGGTGATTTTTGGCTGTGATTGCCGAGAACGGTAAAGGACCCCGCGTCGGATCCGCGCGCAAGTGAGTGGCTCTTGCGCTCTTGTGACAAAACCCAGTTGGCCAGTGGCCAGTGGCAAGAGAGTGTTGGGCAAAAAAGTGTGCAATGTTCACGACAGCCAAATACGGTGTTGCCGCAATTTCTTGGCAGGCGTGGTGCGCCGCTTTGCGCCAATGCAACATGTTGGGCTTTGCGTCCACATTTCACCTGCTTAACGATGCTTGCTGCAACCGCAGGATACTTGGCCATATTGTTCCAGTTGGTCAGTATGAGGACTGAGACCGTGTCATCGCATGGACTCGATGCAACAGATGTCTTGCACCTTTGTTACACGCTTCTCACGCCCTAGCGCGCATGGCATGGCACTCGCCATCACCGCGACACCGTGCGCACACGCGACCGTGTGCTGTGCAACATGCACAACACGCACTCATCGATCACTGATCACTGATGGATCCCTCTCTCATCCTCCCATCAAGTCAACCCTAAACCGATAGCCCTCGGTCCATGGCTTCCAAGCGCCAAAGCGTAGGGGAGCGAGCAGTGGCACTCGTGCTCGGCAAGCTCAAGGCAGCCGAACGCGTCCTGGGCCGACTACACCTTATCCCGCCGCCGCTCCAGGGCCTGATAACCAGCATTACTTCCGAGTCGCCGTTCAGCACCCATTCACGACCCGCATTGCAGCAGACAACAGTGCAGGTGGTCTCGACACCCCAGCCTGTCCGAGATCGCCAGTTCAGCCCCAGCATCAGCCTCGATTGCGCCTCCGATCCCGAATCGAGCTCGCCACATACTCTGCGACACGAACGGCGCCGTCATCCTGATCCCACCGAGGTCTCGCACGAGCGACCGTCGTCCATGCCACAGCAGGCGTACTTGATTGGTCGCCCAGACAGTCCCATGCTCCAAGCCAAGGACATCCAAACCTATACTGACGACGAGGATGACGGGTGAGCCATCAGTCCCGAACCATTACTGACCACTGCTCCCAGTTCCACCTCATTCCAGCTGACATTCAACGCCGACGCGCTCCGTGAACTCCTCGAAAAGTGGGAAGCGACGCCTGCCGTCGATGACGAGTCTGCTCCACGCATAGTAGGTTTGGGCGAACCTCCGTACCTTTCTCCAGGTGGCGCTGACCCGGCGGCCTAGGACACAGACTTGACCGTCCCGGCGACGAGCAGGGTACATGAGATGGGTCACGACGTGTTCTTCCACAAGTTATATCCGCGCTGGTAGCGGAGCACCGTGTAAATGGACAATTTCAGACTTGTAGCTAGACTGTTGGCTGGTGACGCATGCATGTGGCCATGCGGTGATGTGTTCCCAAATTAGGCGGTTGGAGTGTTCAGAGCAATACCGAGCGGATGGTAAGCGGACGATTTGTCCTTGAAAACCGGCCGTTAGCCCTGTAATGGGTGCGTACAATGGTGTGACCTTGCAGTTGGGGTGAAGACGCAACTGTACAACTGTTCACCCATCACACCTTCCACCAGCATTGTGGCGGATAACCCGCGACCCACCCTCACATGTCCGCTGAAAGTCGCGGTAGGACTCGCTTATTCCATGCACCCTCACGGTGCGGCTAACGTCCGAGCGGCCCTCGCCCATGCAGTTTGTTGGAGACGATACAGCCTCGCAAATCAAGGAGCCACGGACCGAGGCCTTTATAGCGGAGGTCAATATTGCATTAACAGAGGTTTCCATAGTATTGGTAGCGTTTAAAGGAGCCTGTTTCCCGTTCTGCGGGCAGGAATCCACCCAGGAATAAAACGCCTGTGGCCTGTGGGTGAGTCTTCTCGTAGACGGGATTGCCTCTGGGATTCCCCCGGGATTCCCGGGTTGGGCCGGGCAAGCCGACCGGAAGCCGCCTGACAATGACCGCGTGTGGGTCAACAGAGGCGTGTAAAAAGGCCGCGCGCGGGGTCCTTCTTATGTCATGTGCCCGTTCGTGCACCGTACCCACCGTCTCGCATCTGTGTCCATTCGTGGAACACGTCGAAGGAGGCGCGGTGGGCGCCCTACGTTCCCATCGTCCCACCCAGCCAGACGGACAAAGCCCCCCCCCCCCCCCCCCCCTTGTGCTATTGCCGACGTCTGCTCACTCACTTTCCCCAGTCCATTCGTTCAGCCCAAGTATATACCCTTTCTCTCTCTCTCTCTCATCTCTCTTCCCATTCTCATTCACTCCCCAGGCCCTTCGTTCCAACCCGAACACCACAATGGCAGCCATTATCAAGACTACCCTCCTCAACCGCACCGTCGGCGTTGTTACAGGTGCGTCTCCTTTGCCTTTTTTGCCCTCACAGCTGACCACTCTCAGGCGCTGCCTCGGGTATCGGCGCAGCTGCTCTCGAGTGCTTTGCTGCAGCTGGGGCGCACGCCATCTATGCTGCCGACATCAAGGCCCCCACCAACACGGACCTCAAGGCTAAGGGATATGATTCCGAGGTTATTGGGGTAGCCTGTGACATCACCAAAGAAGACCAGGTCGAGGCACTGGTTCGCCGCATCATCAAGGACCAAGGTCGCCTGGACTGGTTCGTGAGTAGCAGGAGGGTGTGCGCACATACATGCATTGCTGACGTGGCGCCTAGTTTGCAAATGCTGGTATTGTCGACTTTGAGGTGCTGAACACGACGACCTCTTCGGGCCTCACTCGCATGCTCGACGTCAACGTGGTAGGCGCTTTCAACAGCGTTCAGTGGGCCGCGCGTGGTATGATGAACACCAGCGATGCCAAGCCCAAGTCTGGCGGAAGCATTATCATCACTGTGAGTCAGAAGAAGCATTGAAGCATCGAGGCATTGAAGGATCGAGGCACGGCAACCGGCGCCCTCGTGTTGAAACGAGTGGCACAAAGAGAATCAAAAGATACTAGCCACAGATCCACAGACTAGACGCTTTTGAGTCTAGGCCAGACCTCAGTGATCTACCTACACTCCGGACCCAAAGCTTACACCCCTCAGACGTCACTGGCAACTACCTTTGGTGGTATGGGTGCTCCCGCCTACACGATCTCCAAGCACGCAACTGTCGGTCTGGTCCGCTCGGCAGCGACCAACCTCAAAATGGCCGGCACTGGCATTCGTGTCAATGGCGTGGGACCTGGCCCAACCCAGACAAACATTGGCCAGAATAACGTGGGCGCCGCTTCCGAGCAGGCGCGTAACGCAATGATGGCCAAAATGGGGGCCATGGCCCAGGCTCCTCCAGAGGCCGCGGCCCTGATGGCTGAGAACGTTGCTCCTCCCGAGCTCATCGCTCAGACGGCCGTCTTCCTCGCCAGTGACATGAGCGGCGGTGTTAACGGAGAGAACATTATCGTTGACAAGGGTCTCCGCCAGCTGCCCGATCCCATGAGCGGCCTCATGTTCCAGCCCGTCTTTGAACCCATTGACGTCTAGGTCTGCCTACTGTGGCCGGGGAGACAAGAAGTAATAGAAACGTTGATGGCACAATGCATAGGCTACAGATGTATGCCATGAGAGCTCCCAGTTCCACCACTTTGATTCATTCTACAGACAACTAATTATGCACACCACTGTCACCATATTTAGCCAGTCATGCCACCGTTCCTGAAGCGGGTCATTCCACTCGCCCTCTCATCGTTTGTGATGAGGTCGGCGTCGATACCTGCAGTAATGAACGCCTGGGTGGAGGTCTTGAGGCGAGCGGAAGAACGGAAGTGATTGCTCCAGGAGTTGTCCGAGTGCCTGTTGACAATCGGGAAACGGTCCTGGTAGCGCTCCTAATTTGCAGGTTTTAACGACGAGTTGCAACCTGCAGTTATAGCACTCACAGTCAGGTCCTTGAACTAGGCCGCTGTACCGGCCCGTGCGTCGCAGTACACACGACGGGCGACAACCAGAAGCTTGCATCCTAGCTCGTCGGCAAAGGGAGTGAAATGCACATGCCGGCTGTGATATGGTCAGTCTGGCATTGCTTTGTCGAGTATACGAGTATGCGAGCACTCACGTGGGAGACGCAGCCAAGGCGGTGGCAGGGGCAGCCGGCGGGGTTGAGGACCTCGTGCCACTTGGACCTGCGATGGTCGGGTCCGAGTGGAGGAGCCCTGGGGAAGTTGCACTTCCAACTCCCGTGCTGCTCGTGGCTTTCCTCTTCCTGCTCTTCTCGGCGTTGTCCGCTCTGCGCCTCTTGTGCGCTTGGCTGTTGAATCAGTCACTGGTGGTACCATTGGACACGTGCGGTCCGGGCGATAAACTAGACTCACTGCTGCTTGTCCGTCAAATCGGAGATGCCTTGTGGGGGAGCAGGTGGCGGGCAATATCCACGCGCACCGGGTTGCCTCTCCGACGCCGTCTTCAGCGTGTGGTCGATACCCGCTGAGACGTAGAAGGTGACACGGGCGTCACACCACGCCTCGTGTTTGCGGTAGCAGCTCGCCCAGGCAAACGGGGCGAACCATGCCAGGGCGGGGTAACGAGAGGAGAACTCGCGCCGAATATGGCCCCACAGGCCTTGCGACCTGCCGGGCAAGTCCTCGTTGAGGATGCGCATGTACGCGACCATCCTAACGAGGAAGTCCATGTGATCATCGTCGAAAAGCAGTTGGTCAGGCGATCCTTTGCTGTTGTGGGTTGTCAGCATAGCCGGGGTCAGAAGGCGGGTGCTCACTACTTCTTAAAAACGGTTTTCGGTCTCTGGATTGGGACCGGATAGCTGGAGGAGGGAGTCGTGGGGAGGGTGCCCCGAATGAGTTGGACGCTACCTAGGTGAGCTTTCCTTCGTTGAGTTCAATTCCGACACTCACATGTTTGGCGAGTCATACCAAGCGACAGGGGTGTCCTGTTCGCCGGGCATGTCGTACAACCTGTATGGCGGTCAGCAATCCTCGTATAACGGGGTCGGCTCACGTTTATGGCGGTGTCTCTGAGAGTTTGTGTGAATCAGTACCCATGTTTGGTGCGAGTTGTGTTGATGGTTGTGCGGTGATGTGCTTGTTGTTGACGTTGAAGGCAAAATACTTCCGCGCCCCCAAGTGCCACCGACAAAACGCGGACGCTCCGCGTGGGTGATCGGCACAATCACGTACACAGTCACCTACAGTCAACCCCCAGCCCAACATGTGTTGACCTTCCTCCGTCACCGCTTCTTTTCTCTCTCATTCCATTCTCCACACACCATGCCTCGTGACATTTCCTCTTCCGAGAGCGCTGCCTGGGCCGTCGACAACAAGGCTGAGAAGAAGAACAAGAAGCCTAGCATGGCCCCCCTCACCGACAGCCAGTTTGACTACAAGAACCGCCGCCTCGCCGCCGAGGCCAAGTCCATCGACGCGACCAGCGTCCATGAGTGGGACAGGATCATCGTAAGTCACCGCAGAGTGGCTTCTCGTCGTGACGTGACGTGACATCCTTGGTTACTGATCCGCCACAATACTCAGAAGCTATACGGACACAAGCACAAGATCCTCATGTGTCACACTGCCGAAGTCTGGGCATACCACTGCCGCGTGGTCAGCCCAGAGATTGGCCAGTACAGGGCCGCGGGCATTAACAAGACCCTCAAGACGTCGCGTGAGCGCAAGGAAGGAAGCGAGCTCAACCCTGTATGTATGCCCACTTCTCCCCTGTCAACAATCAGTTAACAATGGCAGCGCTTCATCAAGGGATGGTCGACTCGCCCCGCTGGTACCTCGGGCAGCGCCGTTGGCGTCACGTGAGTATTGGTTCGTCACGGCATGTGTTAATATGACAGTAAGCGCCGCATGTCCGACATCGACCGCGACCTTCAGGCCCGCCTGTTTGCTCTCGTTACCCTCCACGGCGGTGTCGACCTCCGCAAGGCCGACACGACCGACGCCGCCAAGCCCCTCTCGCCCAAGGGCCCTAACTTTTGGTCTCGTATGCAAGTGATCAAGGGAGGCTCTTACCTGGTCTTGGAACGTGCCGTGCTTACTCTTCAAAGGCACACGACCGGCGACTGGCCTCTGTTCAATGACATTGGCGCTAGGATCATGTCCACTCACTGGTCAATGTTAGTGGCAAGTCGCACCCTAGAGCTACATAAACCGCCACATACCAGCCCTCGAATTGGGCCGTGGTACCTGCGTGGCGCAAGGAGGTATGTATTATGTACGGACAATGTGTGGCAAAGAAAACATCGAAAATTCATCCCACTAAAACCTTTCAACCAACTACAGCCACACACACACTCTCTCTTTCTCTCCTCAAGCCGCCTTCTCGTTGTCGTATCCAGGGTTGTTTTCCACATGCGCTGCCTCCTTTTTAATCTCATGCTCCTCCTGGAGGTGGCTTTCGGCGGGGAGACGAGCCGACTCGCCGTCAAAGATGACGGCGATCTCTTCCAGCATGCGGCCCTTGGTCTCGGGGAAGGTGAAGTAGATGATGACGATGGCGTAGATCTGAACAGCGAGGAAACAGAAGTAGTACTTCCAGGCGAGGTGTTCGAGAGCGATCGGGTTTCTTACGGGTCAGCAGCTGTCTCTGAAGAAGGATTGAGTAGACGGATGGAGGAGGGGTCGTCGATCCACTTAAAAAAAAAAATCTCGCAAACTCCCGAAAATTGCTTCCGATACTCACACGTAGGTGTTGAACAGACTGCTTCCCATGGCGCAGGTCATGAGAATGGCCACACCCTTGGAACGAAGGCTGAAGGGCAGAATCTCCAGGGGGTATGACAAGGTGAAAGGTGTATAGCCAATGTCGTAGAATGCGAAGAAGACGAACAAGAAGGCCAAGACTGCCTTGCCAGCGCCATCTTGACCGTTGGCGTAAGTGGCAGAGCATGCGGTAATGACAACGTAGGAAAAGAACATGCCGATTGCCGACGTGAGCCACAGCTTGCGGCGACCAAAGCGCTCCGAGACAAGAGAGCCGCCGATTGCGGCGAGCCAGTTGAAGACCTGGAGACCACCGTTGTAGCCCGTTTGCTGTGCAGAGTTGGTGATGCCCACAGACTCGAGGATGGAAACGAGGCTGGCGAGTTAGCAAGAGGGCATATTTTCTTGTCTCACTAGTAACTAATGACACCGTTTCCGATCCACTGGCTCGTAAACCCAATTGACTGCAGGTCAGCATTCAAAGAAAACAGGTGAACTTACAATAATGATAGACAAACGCCAGAGGTTGCCCCTGGTCTTGAAAAAGGTCATGTAACTCGTAGATTGCGCAGCGCTGCTCTCAAGGTCGATGGCCTCCTTGATTTCCTCAAGCTCGTACAAGACAAGCTCATCCTCCATGTCGCCGTTGGCATGGTATTTTGCCAGTATGGCGTGGGCCTCTTCAAAGCGTCCTTTAGCAACGAGCCAGCGTGGCGACTCGGGAATGAATGGAATGGTGCAAAGGGCCATGGCAGGAATGATGATTTGGAACAGGCAGCACATGCGCCAGCTCCAATTGGTGCCCTCCATGTAAACGGCGCCAAATGTCACCCATGCAGCGATAATGCCACCAATGTAGTAGCAAGTCTGAATAAGGGCAGTCGTCTGGGCGCGGTTGCGAGGGTGGGCAATTTCGGTAGTGTACGGTCCACCAGCGACATTGGCCAAGGAGCCGCCAAACCCGACAATGAAACGTCCGCCAAACAGCTTCCAAGGGCCAGTTGTAAATGTTTGAACGAGGGCGCCAGCGATGATAACGACATAGGCGAGGGACATAATGGCCTTACGGCCAAACTTGTCGGAAAGCATGGCACCGGGGACGTACGCAGGAATGGCACCCATGGACTGCGCGGCGACGACGGTGCCGAGCATCGTCGCGCCAGGGTTCTCGATGGCGGTCATGAAAAGCGGGTTGGCCTGAAGACCGGTCATGACGGATCCGTCGTATCCTTGAAGGTCAGCGACGTGCTACGCAGCAGGTGTCGCTTCTCATCACGTTTTGAACTCACCGAGGGTGACACTGCTAGAAAAGCCGACAGCGATGCCCAACGCCAGTTGACGGAGACCACGGTCCTTGAACCACCATTCGGCGGTGTTGTTGCGCAGGTGCGCGAGGGGGTTTGAGGCACTGCTCATGGTGAAGTCGATGGTGTAAGTTGTAGGGGGAGCATTCTGGCCTGTAAAATCTGAGCTGTGCTTATATGTAGATGCCCAGGCGACGTTTCCACTTCACCTCGGGCCAGATGGTCGCCGAATATCCGAAGATCTGCCACTGCCACCGCAGCTCTCCCTTTGTCAGGACAACCAGAGATACCGGGGACCCAGACTACGGTCACTGATCCACCGAGTCCAAAAAAGGTGTTCGCCGCGAAATGTGCCCTGGTAACGGTCTTGGCACTGGCCCACTGGCCACTGGGTAGTGGTCCCCCCTGGGGAATACCAACGGGGCTGCGGCCGTCGGTTTCGGCCGTGTGGTAACCTGTGCAGGGACAGCTGGAGTTGTCGGCGCGGCTGGAGACGGCAAATCTGTACAAAAACATCTGCTGCAATTGTTTTCCGTCATCCGAATCGACGTATGCCATCCCTGCGAGGAGAGGGGGGGGGGGGGGGGGGCCTGAAGGAATCAAGGAAATGTGGCCTCCGGAGGTCTCCATGGGCCATGCGGTGGGGCACAGCTGGGGCACACACTTGGCCTGCGGCCTGCGAACGATCGCACGCAGTCAGGATGGTCTCTCGCTTGGGTGGCAGATTCAGGCGTGGTGCGCAAAGCGACTGAAGCTCCTCTCCGTACGCACCCTTGTCGATGTCGTCGACAGAACTGCGCACGGCTGTTCAGGTCAGCAGGCTCGGTCAAAGGACGATCCGGGACAATGCTGGGGACGTCTGGGAGACCAGAGGCGCCCCAGAGGGCCAGAACGCGCAGTGCGAACAGCCCCAAAGACCGCTCCGGTCTGTAGCATCCATAGCGGGAAAATGTCGGAAACATACGGTTAAAATGTCAAGCCCGCCCCGACAGAAGCCGCAAGGCCGCGACCCCCCACATGTCCCCGCATGTCCAGCCACGCGTGCCATGTGATACGACTCGTGTTCACCCCCTCTTCCTCATTCTCATGATGTCCGAACACGAAGAAGACCACGATCACGACCAAGACGACGAGTCGGTAGATGGCATTGTCAAGCGGCGAAGAATCGCACGCCCTCGCAAAGCGTGAGTCACATGTCGCTGTGACCGTGCCCAGTTTTCGCGTGTCAGATGCCCTCGATGCTGTCGTGGTGTCGGTGGTTCATGACATGAAGAAAGTCATCGGTTGTCAAACCTCTGCCGGCGGCTTGTGACCCGGCTGGGTGGTCGCCGCCGGCAGGTCCGGCTCCCCAGCGGTCGCCGCTCCCCAACTTGCGCTCACCTCCTTCCAGCTGCACGACTTGTCGAGGGCTCAAAGTAGGTACCTCAAGCCTGTGGAGCACCAGTCATCTAACCAAACAACAACCAGACGCGGTGCCTCCCTTGCAACCCAGACGATCCGCCTTCGGCTCACTGTTCACGATGCACTCGCCTCAACCTTCCTTGCGAGTACAAGTCTGCTCGGCGCGGGTGAATAGAGCCCCATCTCATCTCTGAAACTAACAAATGTCAGACCCCCCAGGGGATTTAAACGCACCTCACCCAAGGCCGCCAGAAGCTTTTCGCATGCCACCCACGACGATTCAGAGCTCCTCGAAGGTGCCTCGACGCTGTCAGATCCCTCACCAGCGTCCGGTCTCAAGGTTAGGCGACCGCCAGCTCCAGAGTCGTTCTGGTCCAGCGATCAAGCCCCAATTGGACCAGGTTCTGGTCCTGGAGACCTGACCGATAGCAGCGTCCGGCAGCGGCTTGAGAACGCATCATTCTCGCCGGCATCCACTGCTCCAAGGAGTGTCGAGCCCATCGACCCAAAGGCACTCACATTGCACTCGTCAGCATCCACCTACAACCAACCTCTTCAACAGAAACACGCCCCCTTCTTCCTCAGCCGATCGTTTAACCCCTCCACCAACGTGCCGCAGACTACACTGGAGGGCTATCTTGAACCTCACATTGGGCAGGACGACAGCCGGCCAGCATCAGTGGAACCAGAAGACGGCACACCTGCCCTTTGGGTAGCACCAACATCTGTCGTCGACACACCCGATGTGGTTGGCGTTGGGGTCGTGTCAGAACCAGAGGCCCGTTGGTTGTTCGAACAGTGAGTGCTCATTGCAGTGCCGCGAACTGACCGTTGAAGGTTTGAACAGCATGTGTCCCCCTCGTCACACGTTTTTGACCACCAATACCACACCTACGAGCGCATCCGCCATTCTCCTGTGCTATTCAACGCCATCATCTACGCAGCCTCGCGGTTTTTTCGCCCCAACGTGACTGAGTGGTGTCTGGACTTGGCCGAGACGGGCGTCTCCCGGGCTGTGAGGAACGGAAACATCGATCTACCTCTTGTCCAAGCACTGCTCACTTTGGTCTATTGGAAGCGGCCCAAGGACCCTACTGCATACTTCAAGCTCGGAATGGCAACCCGGTGTATTGCGCAGCTCGGAGTCCAGTGGCATATTGAAGATTTTGACCCTACCATGTCCGAGGAGGCTGAGAGAGCCCTCGTGGACGTTGAAAGGACCATTTACAGTGCGTGGACACACACGAGGGTAGAACGCTAACCAGGCTAAAGACGTCTTTGGCATGGACAACTCGTACAGTATCATGTTCCGTCTCCCGGGGACGACGACTTGGCCAATCCCACACTCTTCCGAATTGAAAGTCTGGGCTCACAAACATTCGCGCCTCAACGTCGATGGTGACTTGTTCAAGGTCTTTCTTACCGAGTGAGCCACCACCACGTGCAAAATGTCCTGCTAACGTCTCAAGATGCTGGGAGATGCACCAGCGCGTTGGTGAACGAACTCTGTGGGTGTCAGCGCCCCGAGAAAACGACGAGGACAGTTTTACAATCTGTTCGGTGGCACTCGACACCCTGGGAACGATGCACGACCGCTGGCTCAATGATGATCGGAGACTCAAGGGCATCTTTCGTTCCATAACCGCCGTGATGCTCAAGACTATGTTGATCAAGCAGCACATTCTCGGTATACGGCATTGCCTTTCAAGCAGTTCCACTGTCCTGGACCTTTTAAACGAGTTTGGGATGGTCGTCCTCGAAATTGTGGCCTCGGGAGAGGTTGTCTTCTTCTCGGACATGTCGACAACTGCGCTCTCGATGCCCGCATTGCTGTGTTACAACGTAAGTCGCATGTTGCAGACGCCTTGCTGACAGGTGCAGAGCCGCCAATTGCTGGAGCAGCCCGGAGACATTGCCCGCGCCACCACTGTTCTTCGCGCCATATCAAACGCACTGGACAGTGTTGCGAGTCGCATCACGGAAGATCATCCCTTGCGGTATGTCCAACGCTGCTACAAACGCATCCTCAATGCTTTCGAAAAGTACCGGCCAGACAACCCCCAGCCACAGGACGATGTGGTACGTATAATTGTTGCCAGTTTCCACAGATCCACTGACTCCATTCAGCTTGCGCAACTGCAGCTCTTGCTCAGTCAGAACTGGTCGTACATTCCAACGCCCCCAATACCGCCGCCAGTGACAGTTCGTTTATTAATAACCCCTTTTGGATGTACCCCACGCATGTTCTGTAGCATAATAGTCCCCATGTATGTGACTTAGTGATGGCGTGTGGAAGGCAAAACGTCGGCGGTCAATCACTTGGCATGGAGCAACGGTCGCTCCCATGTTCAGCACACCCAGTCACCACCACCTCTGTGTATACGACAGGCGATAACTACGAAGCCTACATGAGCAACAGTAGCGGCTGACAATACCTCCCTGCCCCCCTCGCCTCAATCTCGCCGCGCTTACGACCTACGAGCCGGAGGCGTGTCGTCCCTTTGGCGTGGGCTGGGCGACCCCCTCGTCGGGCCAGGTGAGCGGCGCCTGGCAGGCGGCGTGTCGTCCCTCTCCCTTCGGCTCGGGCTGGGCGACCTCCTCCTCCTCCTCGGGCTGGGCGAGCGGCGCTTTGTAGGCCGTGTGTCATCCCTCTCCCTTCGACGTGGGCTAGGCGAGCGACGCCTCGCTGGCGGTGTGTCGTCCCTGCCCCGCGGACTGGGAGACCTCCTCCTGGGGCTGGGCGAACGGCGCCTGGGTGGCTCCCGCTCACCTCCACGGTTTCCGTACCCATGATCACGTTCACGTGCGGCATAGCCTTGGTCGCGTGCACCGTAACCCTGGCCCCGCCCACCATATCCTTGATCCCGTCCTCCATGGCCCTGGTCACGGCCACCATATCCCCCACGCGCTCCATAACCACGGTCCTGGTCGTCGCGACGGTATCCACCCCGGCGGTCATCGAAACGGCGCTCATCCTGAATTGTCAGCCGAGCCTCGCAGGAAGTTGCCACTTACCCTCCGTCCATAGTCGTCATTCAGAGCCTCGGCACGCTGGCGCATCTGGTTCTGGAGACCGGCGGCACCTGGTCCACCGCGGTTCTGGGCCTCGAGCTCCTTCTTCTTGGCCTCGATAAACTCGGCCGGGACGCCGCCGACAGTGGCCTGGGCGCTCAAGAGGAGCTTCCACAACTCGTCCACAAAGGACGCGGCGCCATACTTGTCCATGAAGCCGACAAGGGCGACTTGCATCTTGCGGGGGTCGGGGACCTGTCCATTGTCAGCAAGATGTTGGGGGTTATTGGAGTGGGGGTGATCAGGAGTCTGTAGCCTGACAGATGGGACACAACCTGTGGGGCGCATTTGGGTCGCCGCACAGAAACCTAAACGACGCCTTTCTTTCGCCAAGCTAGCTGCGAGTAATGGCTAGTTCGGAGACGTTGCCAACATAAGGCGCCTGTCTGGCAGTGCTCCTCTGACCGTCTCGGCAGCAACAATGTCGTGACCTTCTCCCATCGCTGGACCATTACTCACCGGCTTGTCCCTGTCCTCGAGCATGCTATACACGTATTCGACAACCACATCGTCCTCAAACTTCATCAGCTCGGTGACGCGCTTGGCGATCCAAGGACGGAGCACCGAGATGTTGACTTTACGCAGGTCGACCTGTTCCGTGGTCAGCGTTGTTTATGCGAAAATGGCAGGATGAGCCTGCCGCGTCTCAGCAGACCCAAAGAGCAGCACGCACAGCACGCCGCTCTACAGATCCGTAGGTGCTTGCTTGGGTTTACTCCATCCGCCTGCAGTCCACACTGCGCCCAAACCTCACCTTGTCGCTAAAGTGTGCCGGGAACTTTGTAGCCTTGATGCTGGCGGCCTCCTTGTCCTTGAACCGCTGCACAAGAGTCAGTCTTCTGTGCGGCTGCGGCGGTGTCACTCACAGTATCCTGGGTGCTGTCTGCACCGCGCATGGAGTCGGCCATAATGAACGGATGGGGAGGATGGGTGGATGGGTGGAGTGAAGATGTCGAAGTGGTCCGAAAGCTCTGAAGTGAACCGGTGGCCGGTGGAGGGCGGAGGAATAACCGTGATGGGGGCGCGGGGCCGCCTTGAGCCGTGAGCGCCCAGTGATCCAGTGATCGGTGAACATACGACTGCGTGTTCTACGTCTTGTATGTCTTTAAGCCTAGGCGCATGGGGTGCATCAGAAGGCGGTCACTGTCCAGCAGAGATGAATATGCTAGCCTTGTGACCATTGGGCCAGTCCACGGACATGTGTCCAGTGACACATTCCCGCCGGCACCGCCTGACTACAGCATCGTCTCGTCCGTCACCGCTTCCGTTGTCGCCTAGGTCACCCAAACGTGTGCTCTGCTTCCAGGGCCGTCCTCGCTGGCCCGTCGTCAGCAGAAGGCAATGTTCATCAGCTCAAACGTCTCTCACACCCAAAGTGTTGCACTCTCAAAACAAAAAAACGTCTTCATCATGACTACACAAAAATGTCTGTCCGCCAACACTCCACACCGTTCACTCTGCAGCTCGTCGTCGCGCCACGGCTCCTTGCCCCCGTAAAGGAGGATCGATGCGGGCCCCTCAAAGCTGCTCGGCAGGGTGAGATGGAGTGCGCACGGTTTGGTTATCACCGGGCTCGACACGTCGCTCTTGGAAACGGGAACGCTAGACCGACCACTGAACAGGCTGGAATAGAACTTTAATGTTTCTGAAAAGGACAGTCAGCATGTGTTGCCACAAGTACTTGTGCTACTCACCCGTGGATATTTTGTTCAAAGAAGAAAGTCATGGCAAGGAGCAAGACGGTTATATGGGCGAAGGGGTTGTGATACAGGCGGAGAAATGATGTGGCAGGTCCTGTGCCACGCAGATGGGCGCGTTTGCGCACCACATTTGTCCACATTTCCAACCCAGGCTCCAGGCAAAAGCAGCGTTCCAACAAGCAGCAGGGCATGCACACCGGGCCTCGAGGAATCCAAAAACAATGACCACTGACAGGATCGAACTGCCGACCTCCGCATGAACTAGTAACCAAGGCTGGGTATTAGTACGATGCTCTAACCAGCTGAGCTAAGCGGCCCATTACGTAAGTCGGTTTTGGAGGACTGATCGTTGCGGCTCACGCCCGCCAGGTCAAACGTGGAGAACGCATAGGCCCATGATCGCATGGGGGCAGACGGTTTCACAGCTCCAGACTACTGTAAAGCGCCTACGGTGGTTGACAACGACGCAGAAGCGCGAGAGCATGACCAAGTTGGAACCTCGGTGGCGTGGCAGAAACCTATCGTGAAGTTCATGGACAAGTGACCCCAAAATCGCCAGCAGGGGGGGCCAAAGCAAAAGCACACGGTCCACCTTCTTAAATCGTCCTACTGTCCTCTTGCTACTGCGAAGGCCATGACGAGGATTGTGGCATTCGCGTAATGGTTTCCTGTCGACACTTCTGAACTCGAGGCAAGGACGTTTGATTCCATTCGAGCAACATGCAGTGATAATCACACTATCGAGTCTATTGCGGCAAGGTCTGCATGGACACATGCTATAAAGGTCCTTCGTCATATTCCTTGGGCCTGTGGCAATAGACGAAGGCGAAGAAATGGCCAAGGTGACATGAACGCGGTGCCGCCGCCACACTCACGACACAGGTGGTCCTAATTTGGTCCCGCTCGGAAGCAAATGTTCTCAGGCACGGTTTTGCCTGACGGAGGCAGATCACCGATTGTCGCCACTTTGACCACTGTGACTCCATCGACATCTGTTTCTTTCAACACCACCTTCCAACCCTCCAGAGACCGACCTAAAAAGGTTGGTTTGGGAGGCAGTGAAGCCCCTGTTGACGAGAGTGGGATTCGAACCCACGTCCGAAGACTGCGGATGAGCTGCTTCGTAAGAGAAGCAGATACACCTTAACACAGCGCCTTAGACCGCTCGGCCATCTCGCCGGTTACGTAAGTGGTTGCAGCGGTGGGAATGGATGCTGAAGGGTGCTGAAGGGGTGCTGAAGGGGTTGTGCAGGTGGAGAGAGAGGGACATAAGAGTTGTATGGATGTCGGGGAGCTGTGGAGAGGGGCGTGTCGACGGGTGTTTGTGACGGAGCCGGAAAACGGAGGTTCAAAGGGGTGTCGGTTCAACAGGACGGAGGTTCAGCAGGACACCTGGAATCAGGCGTCATCTGTATTAGGGAATGGCTATGAGCCATCATTTCTATTTCTATCTGCAGTCACCAGAGTGGACGCTCCGTATCCGTGCTATGCAGAATTGTTCTATGCGGCCTTGTTCTCCTTATTCATCTCTGCATTGCCACTGGGTCCAAGTAGTTGGGGAGACTCCCCCATTCACACACCTGGTGGTGGCCCTCTGTAAACGGTGGTCACGACATGAAGACAGGCCATGTCGAGATACCAGTGACGCCATGCCAAAGGCGTGTCCCTTGGTGTGAGCTGCGAGTGACGTGGCCACGTCGCGACTTGTGACCCACGGCGAGGGCACAGTCACTGGGGTCCAACATGGCCACGTTGTGTGCGAGCGGTGAACAGCCTCGGCACACCTTCAAACGGCTGGACGTGGCCCAGCCACGTCCAGTACCCACGGCGGCGATCACTGGGTGTCAGCGCCGATCTGTGTGTGGATCGGCGCACCACCTAGAAAACACCCCGCCACATCCATTTCCCGCCGCCCCCTGCCCAATCTTCAACCGGCCATTGCTCCACTTCCACAGCTGCAATCCGGCTCAAAATTCGACAGCAGAGAGCCATGCATCAGGAGAACAGACATCGCAGGGCAATGTGGCGGAGTGGTTAACGCGATTGACTAGAAATCAATTTCCTTCGGGAGCATCTGTTCGAATCAGGTCATTGTCGGAGCACGCTCTCATGAGCGCTCAACAGCTTTTTGGAGTGTTCCTTACCCTGGAGCGCACAGGGCAACAGAAGCAGTTGTGGCACGTTGTGGCGTCCGGCCAACCGGAGTTGTGATATGCGCCGCTTACTCTTTGGGGCTGCGCAGCCGGACTGGTCTCGTCAGAAGGTGACACGGTGCTGCGCCGTTGTGTATTGCACTGCATGCGGTTGGCCACTGCCCTTATCACAGATCTCTGTGCGTCCTCCAGAACGTCCATGGCCCTGGGAACAAGCCGGGAAACAAGCTCCAGACCGGTGCTGATGGGCGCCACACGCAGTCTGCCAAGCGTCACCTGGTGCAAGATATTACGCTGACTGTAATATTCTAAACGCGCCAAGACCACCTACGCCGCAGTTCGCAGTCTGCGGCGGCCGCTAAGGTTGCGGGTTAGGTTGCGGATGGGGTCGATTACACCACTCTACACAACCGGTCGCACCTCGTTGTCAGTGAACATGTGGTCATAAGTTCACATCCCCTGCGCCGTGTTGGGTTTCAAGGTGCACTGGTGACTGCGCAGGTGTCATCGCGTCCACTGGTGACTTTGGCCAGACCCACCACCGGGCCGTCTGACAGCTGCGCAACTTGTGTCTGGACGGGTATAACAAGCAGCTGACCATTGGACCAAGACAGTCTCACAAGCCCTTCTCTTCTCTCCTTTCACCCCCACTACACCATGCTCACTTTCAAGGCTCTCACTGTCCTTCTGACCTCGCTCGCGCTCGGGGTCACCGCTCACCCTGGTGAGCTTGACCACACCGCCGAGGCTCTCGAGCGTCGCGAGGCTCTCAACATGATGGGCAAGCGCTCGCTCTCGCACTGCCACAACCAGCTGGCTGCTCGTGGTGTGCACGTTCGCAACGAGGCGCGTCGCTCGGCTTTCCGTAGGCACCTCACCCGCGGTCTGGTGCGTCGCGACTTGGCCAGCGCTATCGCCACGGACCACCTGTCCAACCTCACTGGCGTCACGACCGCGTCCGACTCGTCGACCTTCTTCACCGGCGAGAGCCAGTGTATTCTCGCCCCGGAAGTCACACAGGGACCTTACTGTGAGTAGTCTGAGCCCTCCAATCACTGATGCATTTTTTTTTTCCAGACGTGACTGGCGAGTACTTCCGCAAGGACATCACCGAGTCCCAGGAGGGTGTGGCACTGTACCTCGACGTTCAGGTCATCGACACCACCACCTGCGAGCCCCTCTCGGGCGTCGCCATGGACATGTGGCACTGCAACGCTACGGGTGTCTACTCTGGTGTTGTCGCCTCGGGCAACGGCGACGTGAACGACGCCACCAACATTAACAACACGTTCCTCCGCGGCATCCAAGAGACGGACTCGGACGGTGTTGTCCAGTTCCACTCGATCGTTCCCGGCCACTACAGCGGCCGTACTACCCACGCTCACGTGCTTGCCCACACTGCCGGCAACTGGGAGCTTCTTGCCAACAACACCATCACGGGCGGCACCACGTCGTCCCACGTTGGTCAGCTCTTCTTCGACCAGAGCCTCCTCACCGAGGTCGCTGCCGTCTCGCCCTACTCGACCAACACCCAGTCCACCACCACCAACTCTGAAGACTCGATCATGTCCGAGGAGGCTGCCGACATTGACCCCATTGTGGAGTATGTTCTTCTCGGCGACACTGTCGCCGACGGCATCTTTGCCTGGATCACGGTCGGCATCGACAGCACGGCCAACTACACCGTTAGCCCGGCTGCTACGTACGGTGAGAACGGCGGTGTCGCCAACGCCGACTCGAACATGGGCGGCGGCGGTGGTGGTGCTCCCAGCGGCTCGATGGGTAACGGCACTGCCCCCAGCGGTTTTGGCGGCGGTAACGGTACCGCCCCGACTGGCTCGATGGACGGTGGCAACGGTACTGCCCCGACTGGTTCGACGGTCCCGACCGACGTCGCTGTCTCGTCGACTGCCGCTGCCGAAACCACTGCCGCCGAGTCCACCGTGTCCAGCTCGGGAGCCGACAGCTCGTCGTGCAAGCGCAAGCGTTCTTTCCGCCGCAGCACCCTCTAAGCGAGTCAAACAGTGGTGGTATCCTATCCATCTTGTCATACTTGTAAATAAAGAGAGAAAATCGTGAAAGCAGTAGCATTTTCATGGTCGAGCACGACAACTTGGCTCCATTTCATGCGCTGTGCGCACCGCCTCGTGTTCCACCTAGTTCTTCGTAGTCCCCTATGCATTTATCCTACCACTTTTTGCCGGTTCTGAGTGAGTGGCAGTGGCGGCCGTGGCGCTAAACGTCTTCCCACCTATTTTGAGTTGCGCGGTGCGCAGTCGCCACTAGCCCATCACACACATAACCTCTCCCTACATGCTATGTACAGCCACAAATATGACAACAGATCGTGCATTAAATCCCTTTCTCTCCTCAGTCCAGTCCAAACGTCCACACCTTGACACACATTCCAAATCCTTCGAGCGCAGCTGGATTGGTTAGATTGTTTCTACGCGCAACACCCACCTTCAGGAGGGAACGCCGGGTTTCTTGGATCCGTCCCACCGGTCGCGTCCATCTCGCCCGTAGCCCAGTAAGTGAGGTAGATGCTGCGGGCATCCGCCTGGATACAGCTACTCATCTTCATGGCTTGCGGATGGTTACCGAGTAGGACGTGTGCGCGGAGTGTAGGTGTTGGGTCCACTGGGTCCTCTCCCTTGGCCGGAAGGGCGGGTAGACGGTCGCCTTCGAAAATAATAACATTGAATGACGTGCAGACGATAATGTGGTCACGGTAAGTCGTAAGCTGGCGAATGGTTGTTCCGAGGCCAATGATAATCGTGTTTTGCGCAATGTGGTGTGAACGGTCCGGAGCGGCCAACAAGGCTGCCTCATGGAACACGCGAGCGTAGTCGCGAACAATAAAGACTGCACCCGAGCGTGCAGTGCACACCAGGTCGGTAGATGTAAAGTGTACCGCGGTGAAGCCGTACTCGATGTCGTCTTCCTGGTCCACGAGGAGACGGACGGGGTGCATTGCAATGCCGCGCAGGACAGCGTCGTCAAACTCTGGAGTGCCCTTGTATGCTCCAGTCACGACTGCGCGGCCAATAGGCGCAGGCACACCGTCCTCTGTCTTTCCCGGGTTTGCCCGCACACGTTCGGCGTCGGGAATAGCCTTGAAGTCTTCGGCTAGAGACAGTGGGAATGCGAGGTTGGCAGCGTCCTTGGCCGATGCACGGAGTGGCGGAAACGACGCAAGGTGCCGCAACGTCTGGCGCGAGTAGACGTGCATCTGGCGGTCGAGGCAGATGAAGGCAAACTCGTCGTCGAGCTCAATGTACTGGAAGAAAGAGTTAGCCCGTGTGGCTTCACAGCCGTCTACCCACATTGGGCCTCCCATGGTCTTCCCATCCGCGCTCAATTGTCTCCATCTCGCGATTCTCCTCCAAGTGCCAGATGTACACTGCCGAGGATCCTGCCGCAGCGACAATGGCCCGCGGGTTCTCGGAATCGGCGTCGTCCACATGGAGACGGAACGCGAGGCAGCGAGCCGATGGCTCCAGGGTGCGGAAATGCTCCATGTGGCCACGAGGCAGGGGCTCATCTTGCACGCCAGGATGAAATTCGTCATCGTGGGTGTATGACACGGCCGAGTCGGCCACAGACGAATATCCTGCACGGGGGAGACGAGAGCGAGCGCGAGCTTCGCCGGTGCGCCAGACCTCGAGCGCCGTATTGCTGTTGGAGGCGTCAAACTGCAAACCTGCAAGGGGCTGGACATGGCCTGGGGTATCGAACACGGCGAACCCACGGCCCGCTTCGAGATGGGCATACCCTTCCATACCCTCAATGGCGAAGATGGGCTTGCAATTGACCCGATCCACGACGGTCATGCCGCTCATGCGCGACGTGCAGAGGAGGACGTTTTGTTCAGGGTTGGACTTGATACGCCAGACAGTGTTGGTTGGCGGGGTGATCCAACGCAGGCGGCAGCGAGCGGTACTCCATGCCGTTTGCAGTTGTTTGTGGGACTGACCTATGAGTCTGTCAGCGCACACCTCCTTCTGACACTCGGCCTAAGCGACTCACAGACATAACGCCAGTTGACACGAACGCTCTCCCCAAGCGGTGTATCGAGCGGTGTTGAAGTGAGCTGCAAGAAGGCAGGACCGGGACTGTCGACCGATCGGGTCGCCCAGTGTCTGATCGTCGGTGGGTCCAACAGACGCCCAACGTCGTCAACGACGGGACGTCGGTCGTGTTCGTCGACCGTCCAACGGCCCTCGGTGGCGAGGCTGTCGCAAGCGTAAACGTCACTGGGCTCGACGGGGGCCCGGAGTGCGGCCCTACGCCATAGACCCGACGAGAATGCCTGGGAACAGTCGTGCCAGCAGTGCGATACCCGTTCTGCCTGCAGGAGGTCCTGTCCGTCTAGGTGGGATAGAATGTCTACGAAGAGGTCGGTGCCGAGGCAGACCAAGGGGTCCTGTGTGCCGAGGAGACTCATGGCGGGGAGGGGGGAGTGACGGGAAGATAAGACGAAGTGTGGAGTGGTGCAAGGGACGATAACATTCTTGTCAATGAAATGAAACTGGAATGACACTGACACTGTGACGTCACGTGAATTCAGCCAATGTATAGTTGCTAGCTGCGTTTGGTGGGTGGGAGATATATACATTTGGGTGGGGACACGGTTCAACTCTACAGATCGTTTTGCGCATGCATGGCTGCTGTTGCTGGAATGACATGTGGTGTCTGGTCTTGTGGGTGTCTTGGAGCGATCGCAAACGACAGGTGGGATGAGTGGACGGTGTGCTCTTGCTTTGTCTGTCTTTTTTCTGAATACAAAAAGCTAAAAGGGGGCCGGGGGAGAGACCTTGGACCGCGCGGTCCAGGCCCACAGAGATGCACAGAGATCCCAAAGCAGAGTCGTCAGGAGCTTATATATGCAGGAATAACCCCCGGGGAACGCGTTTGGAGTCCCCAGGCGCGGGGAGAGGGAATTGGGCCCACTGTACGCAACTGGCGGCGGCGCTCTCAATGTCTCGGGAGCGGAGAAGCGTAAAATGGTAGAGAACGAACGGTATGCACACACGCAGAAAGGCCACCACAGCATACCCACGTACTCTCTCCCCGCCCCCGCGCGCCCGCGCGTGCCGGTTCTCACCCGTCGAATGACTGACACACGCACCCACACACCCACACACACATACACACAACACGCACAAGATACGAATACTCACCATCTCCCAATCTCCCCATCGCCCATTCTCTCCATCGCTCTTCTTTCCTCTAGCCCCCCTACCATGCACTGATCACCTCTCTCAAGGATCCACCTCTGCCAGAAACCAACACAACAGCGTTACACATCGAATCCCGCCTCCCCCCCGCCCACACCTCCCATCATGCCCGCAGCAAAGCCCTACCTTGACATTGATCTCAAACACGCCATGGTCGCCCACTCCCACGGCCCACCCCACAGCAGTTCCCACAACAGTAGCAACAACAGTAACAACAACAAGATGGCACTCGTCTCGGGCTCGTCGTCCGCACCCAGGTCGTCTGCCGGCGCGCTCCTCTCCCTTTCCCAAGACATTACGGCGCTCGTCTCACTCTCCATCGAAGCCACGGCGTCACTCGTCAACGACTATGTCCGCACCGCGCTAGGGACCATCGGAGTGGGCGAGCTCGTCCGTCCCGAATCCGCCCGCCGCGGGGGCAGCAGCAACAGCGAGAGCGGTGCCGGCCTTGCCGTCGTCGTTGTCGGCGCCTCTGACCGTGAGTTTGCTGCTTGCTGGCCGCTGGGGGTTCCTCGCCACTGACGCCAACTTTGCTCTTTTGCTTTGCTGCCCCTTATCAAGCCACGGGACAGTCTCTCACGCTCCGCCTTGCCAAGTCTGGCTACACCGTCTTCCCCTTTGTCCCTGTGTCAGCGCCGGGCTCGACGGGGGCCGCGCCCGCATCGTCGCCCTTTTCGGCGCTGCTTCTCGCGTGGTCTGGCGTGCAGAAGCGTCTCCAGGCCCGTGATCCAGACCATACCGGAGCCGTCGTGCCACTGGTCATCGACGACATGGGAGACGCTTTCTTGTCCGCCAACCCATACACGACGGCCCCGCCTTCGCCGCCGAGACGCGGTGGGCGCTTCGCCCATGCCGGTGAAACAGTTCGCGCGTACTGCCGTGAGAATGGCCTCGCACTCGTCGCCATTGTGTGTGCGGCGCCCCCAGCAATCAGGCCACCATCACCGCGGCGCAACAACAACAACAACAGCAACAACGGCAGTGGCAGCAGCGCCGACACTCTTGTGCCTTGCCTGTCGGGACCCATCCATGAAGTCCCACTCTCTGGAATCCCCACATCGGCTCTTGCTCGCACAGACGAAGAGGCCCTTATTGCACTGTACCGCGCCAACATTCTCGACCCCTTGTGTGTGGTACGCGCCCTAGGCGACCTTCTCGTTAGCCCTCGTGGCGATGGCCGTACGCGTGGCCGCGTCCTCTTTGTCGAGACAAACGGCACAGTGGAGGACTTGGACCCAACTGCGGCCTTTGGACCATTCACCGGGGCCGCGCGCATGATCTCCGCTGCCAGAGCCGAGACTGCCCGTCTTCTCCGTGCCGAACTCGGTGGGGCGGGCATTGACGTGTGCGAGATTGTTGTCGGTGGGTGATCCCTCCCCTTTGTGTCCACGCAAAACACTAATGCTTGTGTGCAGGACCCATGGCACCGCGCCTCGTCGGACCCGTCCATCTCCGCTCGTCGTCTGGCGACAGCGACACCGACTGCGCCCTGGCCCAGTACGACGAGAAGAGGCCCGCAGTGATTCCGCGCGACGGCCCTCTGGCCTCCCGCATCCGCCTTCTCGCGCGTATCTTTGCCGTCGACGATGCGCTCGTCTACTCGTGCGTCCGCCGCGCCATTGAGGACCGGTACCCGCGTGCGCGCCACCATGCCGGCCTCGCCCCGCTTTTGTCGACCGTCGCCAACGCCACCCCCGGAGCTGGTATTGTCCGTTTCCTTGGTCGTTGGGTTCTGGGTCGCTTGTTTGCAGGCTCAAACGGGCGTTAGAGAGAACACACGTGTGCCCGTGTCCCCGCCGGTTCCTAGTCGCCGACGTGCCGTGTAAGATAACTCACCGCTGTCCCCTCAACCCACGTCCACCCCGGGCCTGCCGGATCCCGACCCACCATAGAGGTCGTAATTACACTTGTCACCGACGCCCTCCGTTGTATTTCCTCGTTTTCTCGCTTCTGTGCGCTTCGTCTTAGAGAGACTGTGCCCACCGCCTTCCCACGAACACCCTCACGATTCACCCTCGCTCCTCCTCCTCCTCCCCGCCACATTGTGTGTGTTCCCCAGACTTGCGTGCCCACTTGTAACATGACCCCGTACGAGCACGAGATGTTGATGCGATGCTAGTTGTCTCCCGTCTTGAGTGTATGTGCTGCGCGCCCGTGTCCGTGCCGTGTCCGTACCGTGTCCCGTGCCGTGTCGCCGTGTGTCTACCGTGTCTCTGGGTGTGTCGTCCCCTTGCCTTGATCCTATCCCCGGCACAGTGCGTCGGAGAGCGCCGCGTGCTGCGTCGCGCGGCTGTGTGTTGCTCACAAGCAAGATCGGAGGTGTGCGCACGCGACCGAACACCAAGGGGGCTGTCGTCCGTTTGTGGGGACAGTACTTTGAACCCACAAAGATCCAGAGACAAGGATGCAACACATGAGCTACGGCCTCGTGTGTCGCTTATGACTTTCGACCATCGTCAACGGCTGGTTCTCTGACAAGTTGCCACCCCCCTCTGCGCAAGCGATACACGCCAGAAGCACACAGGGGAGCACTGCCAGCGCATGGGCCCTGCGGGGTTCAGCGGGGGATGAGCGGGGTGAGCGGGGTGAGCGGGGTTCAATGGAGCAGGTACAAGGAAGACAGCACGGACGACGGGGCACGTGAAGAGTCACATAGGCCGGCTCGACAACAGCCACAACCTCGCTTGAATAACTTGCCCACAGGTCAGCCTAATCGCCACTGCCACTTATCATCCACGTCGTCGGCACTCTACAACCACCGAGCTGGTCAGCGAGGTCGTAGGCAATACTCGAACCTGTATGGGTACACCAGTTTGTGTGCGTGTATTGGGACAAGGGTCATGTCCGTCTTGGCCCAGCTACTCTGTATAGAGGACAGCATCGAGCGGTGGTGGCGGCGGGGCTGCAGCGGGGGCACGGCGCGGAGCACACACGGCCCGATATCCACCATATCCACCCCCTGGCTGCGGGGCATGCTGGACGCGTCTGACGGCTGACAGGGCGGCTCGCCACCCCGCAGTCCGGACACACGATCATGAGAGAGCGACTCGTACCCCGACGCAGACTCAACGAACGCGGCGTTGCGCCCTACTGAGCCAGTGGAGCGTCGCATGTTCTTCGGCTGAACAGTTCATGGCATGAGCGCTAGTGACGCGTCTGTTGAACCTGCTGACGCTGATGCACAGGCCAAGAATGCAAGCCCCCAAACTAGCCATGCTAGAGCAAATAATTTAGTTCAAGACATTGAGTGGGGGGGGGCGAGAAGCGACGAGGGCAGAGATTTGAGGCCAGGTGCCTGGGCCGAGGCCGTCCATTGAAGACGAAAGCCCAGCCGCAGAAGCGCAGACAGGCGCAGACAGGCGCAGGCTCGCACGACTGAGCTGTGGGCGCTGTTGCCTGCGGCCTGGCTGGGCATCTGCAGCGTGTGAGCACGTGAACTCTTTATGTGACTGTTTTATATGTTTTTGCCCAACGGAACGAGGCAGTGAACATACATATGCCGTCAGCAGGTCTTGCGGCGTCACGGCGTAGCCGACGACAACCGCCATCCGCGAGACAGTGTGGCCAGATGCCTCAAGACCTGCAAAGCCAAGACAGCCCAGTCGGGATGTGCCGACTGCCGAGTCGGAACACTGCCCGAGACCATGACGCGTGAGGCCCGCCAAGCTGGGATGAACTATATGCCACATTTGTCGGACGCGTCGCGTCTCCGTCCCGGAAGCATCGTGCAAAGAGAGAAGGCCTCTCACTACAAACTTGTCAACGATCCCGTTGGTGCTGAGCAGAAGTGCCACTCTTCCGTGCCTCGAGGTGGGTCTCCCCCAGTTTGAACACTCACCGCTGCCGTACTGCAAGGCACGAAACGACGTTTTGCGGGGCAGTGTCGAAGTGGTCCTGTACTCTGCCAAGTAGCCGGCGAGTGCATGCGCATTGCGAGTTGAATGAGTATTGCAGGGCGACGGACGGCATTGCGAGTTGAATGAGTATTGCAGGGCGACGGACGGCCTGCGTGACATTTCGCTGGGTCGACTCTGCGCAAGTGCAGTGCCACAGGTCCACATGCGCAGACTGAGCGTCATTCACAGGCAACATGACTCTCAAGGATCATCATGGGACCATGGCGTACCAAGGGATCCCATATATTACTCCAGACGTCATCGGTGCATCGCCTCGTCATATATGGAACACGACGAAAGGTTCAGAATAAGCCAACCTGTGGCCTGTGGCCACTCACAGGCCGAGCTTTTTCCCAGACACTGAAACAGCGTGTGGGTGCACGAGATCCCGCCGTGGACCTGTTTGTCCGCACTTGCCAGTATGCATGCTCTCTGCGTGCAACCGACCACCCAAGCTCCGTGACTCCGCATTCTCGCCTCTCCTCGGCGTGTGCGTTTTCTCGATCACACGTCCAACATTGCAATGACGAAGTGTGGCGGTACGTACGTACTCTTTTCTCTCTGCGAGCCAAAGCTTGTCAATCGCCACCTGCTGGGCGGAATCCCCGCCGACATTGCGCTGCGCAGGCACGCAGAGTACACTGTCACGCGCTTACGTCCGTCGCTCTCGCCCTGCGTCATCGTGTCATAAAAAAACAGAATACAAAAAAAAGGACGAACGACAGAGATTGCGGATGTGCTGAGCGTGGGGTCTCCCGTGCCCCGTGCCGTGCTGGACCACATGCACCTGAAATGGTGTGCGACGACAAATACGCAAAATGACGCTCTCTCATCGGCGGTCATGGCCGATGGACCACACTTTTATCTCTCCGGATGGACGCGGCGGCTGGTGGCCTGGTGGGCGATGACGGGCGACGCCGAGGTGACGATGACGGAGGCCGCGATGGGGTGACCCCGATTGGCCAGCATGACAGGAGTGTGTAGGAGTGCAGGAGGCACGTATGTACGCAGGAGGCAAAACAGGGAGAGAGACTGGTGCCGCCGCTGGGCGCCAGCGCCGTAAACAAACGCAACATTGCCACATTGCGGCGGCGGGCTGCGAGACATCATGCCAGGTTGTGGCTGCGGACCTCTCAGGACGTACTTGGCAGGGCTGAGCCGGTCGCGCAGGAGAGATCAGAGACATGATGCGAGCCGAGCAGATAGACTGTGCACGGTTGCCACCAGTTGCGTGCCGAGGGCAGGGGCGAGTGGGTGATCGGCCAACAGCGTCCGGTGCCGAAACCAACCAAACCCGCATTGTTGACAATGTTTCGTGAGCCACAAGCTGTGCATTTCCGGTATATGGGCGGCGACGGCGTGGGAGCGGGCGCCGAAGAGGGGTCAGGTGCAGCTGCGACATGCTCGATAGAGTACAGAGTACAACACATGGCGACATTGGGGCTTGTTCATGTCGCCAGGACACCAAGTAAAATGCTCTATCATTGGCAGGCCCTTGGCTGCGGCCAAAATAGCTAAAAAAGCCAATGTCGGTTTGGGTGCGAAATGCATAAAAAGGACACGACGTACAGTACAGGACGTACAGGACCTTGCATATGCATCCCATCGATCCTATCGGGGGCCGTGACACACCCAGCTGCTGCGAGAGCCTGCAGGTATGCAAGAACGATCAGAACCCGAATGACCCGCGCATTTGGCAAAGGGACCCGCTCTTGGTCCAACCGACGCGACGTTGCAGGGACCATTGGGGGGATACCGGGGAGATGGGCCTGCGCAACGCTCCTCTCTTGGGCCCACGTCTTCTTCTCGTTTGGGTAATGGTCGCTATCTCGTCGTCACTGGCAGGCCGTGGAGAGCAGCGGGGGAGAGCCCGTGGTCGGCAACGACGCTGCGGGGGATGGGCCCGAGCAAGGGCCGGTTGGCCTGTGCCAGTAGTGGAGCTTTTCATTATGGGTCAGTGCGTACGCGTCCTCTTGTCCTCTGATCCTGCGGTGTCCTGTACGGAAATGCGCGCGCGCGTCGTGCATATAGGGGAGAAGGGGGAGAGGAGCGCGGGGAGGCCGAGGACCAATGCTTTGCCTCTGGTGGCGCAGAGCGCGTTGGGGTGGCGCTTGCTTGGGCCCCGAGTGGCACCCGGAACCCGGGGGAATGCGGCTGCGGTAAGCTGTGCAGTGACGCACAAAGGACAACGAAAAAAAAGGAAAGAGAAAAGAAAACAAAAAGGTAAACGAGGGAGCAAAGAGAGCGAGCGAGAGAGAGAGAGAGGTTATGGCCGTAGCGATGATGGCAGGTTAATGTATAGGACGAGGAGGCACGAGGTGAGAGACGGTTGGAGAAGAGTGACAGCACAGGAACCAGGGAGGATGGAAACGGCGCGCGAGCTGCCCAAGAGGTGCCTGTTGTGGGACCATATGTCGGCCATGTCCCGAGTCATCATCGTCGGTCCTTCATTGCGCGCGCGCGCCGGCTGCTTTGGGCTCTCTGGCTTGAGCCTTGAAGCCAAAGTGGGATCTCTCTCAGGTGCATCAGGTGGGGAATTGCTAGGCACACGCGCTCCCTTTTTTACCTTTTCGTCCTTATTTTGCCCTTTTGTGACCCCCCCAGAGATCCAGAGATGGATGGGTGCATCTGCTGCCCAACCCACCCATGCCACCCACGGCCACACCAGCGACCAGCGACCGACCGGCCTAGCGCGGCAGTCGCCCCGTGCCGTCGCCCGCCCGCCAGCCCGCCCGCCCTGCGGCCCACACCCTTCTCAATCAGCCGTCAGCCCCCCCCCCCCCCCACCGGCCCACCGCCCGCACGCCCGCACGCCCGCACGAGCCAGCCATCCATCCCCCTCTCTCCCACCGATCCACCCATGCCCCCCCCCTCCCATTCTTGTAAAGACACCACGTCCATCTTGTTACTCTCTCTCTCTACCTCTCTCTCTCTCTCTTGCATCTAGCATCCACCCACCCCCCAGCATCCACCAAGCTACAATGTTTGTCAAGGCTACCACCTTCGCCGCCCTCATGGCCACCGCTCTCGCTCAGACCTTCAGCGTCAGCACCCCCGTGAGTACACAGCACCCCTCGCTCTCCTTTTGTTCGCTCTGCCCACCGCACGTTCTTTCGTCACCAGCCTCTCTGTTGGCTGCATCCGGTCCATCCTGATGGCCAGCAAGCATGCACAGAGCAGACAAGAACAGCAGCACAACTACCCACCACCTGAACCATCCAGCTGACGCTTCCAACAGGCCTCGCTCATCACTTGCCGTGAGTAGATTTGGATACGCCCACCAAGGGAGCCAAGGCCGCACTTCCGAGACGCCCCATCCACAAGGACAGCTGGCCGCCGGCTTCCAATTCCATCCCATCCATTCCCTCTCGGTTACTGACTTGTTACACAGAGCCCTCGCTCATCTCGTGGACCGGTGGTACCGCCCCCTTCATCCTGTGAGTGGAGAAAACCCCAGGCGCGGGGATCGGGTCGACTCGCACTCCAGCCACCAGCTGGGGGTGTGGTCAGAGCCACAGCGGCGTCCGAATGACTTGCAACATCCCCAACCCCCTCGCCCAACGATCATTCATTTTACTAATCCGCAACAGCTCGGTCATCCCCGGCGGTGATGTCTCGGCCGCTGCTCTCGAGTACCTCGAGTCGTCGACCACCTCGTCGTCGTACACCTGGACCGTCAACCTCGTCGGCGGCACCTACATCACCTTCAAGGTCACCGACGCGACCGGTGCCAACGTTTACTCGGCCCCCCTCACCATCCAGGCCGGCTCGTCGACCTCGTGCATGACCACCACCGGTGGCTCGTCCTCGACTGAGGTGAGTAGCACATGCGCGCGCCGTGATTACATGGGAAAGACACTGACTGGTTTGCAGGCTGGTTCGTCGGGCACCGCCGCCGCTACCGACGCCTCGACCACCGAGGTGAGTCTCAGTGTGGCTGGAAGCGATTCCAACAGTCGCCCAGCTGCCGGGAACCAACACTGACCTTTGTTCAGTCTGCCTCCACCGCCTCCACCGAGGTCGCTTCCTCCACTGAGGTCGCCAACACCACCACTGTTGCCACCACCTCGGCCACCGTGAGTCTACGTGTCCAGATGGCAGCGTGAGCCATGATCCAATGCTGACGTTGCAGACCTCGGCCGCTGCCACCACCACGACCAGCCAGGCTGTTACCACCGCCACCTCGTCCACCGTCAAGGCCTCGAGCGCCACCGTTGTCTCGTCCAAGGCCAGCACCTCGGCCGCTGCCTCGACCACCTCGGCCGCTGGTGCCATGCAGACCGGCATCTCGGGTGTCGTTGCCGCCGGTGCCATCATGGCCCTCATCCTCTAAGGGGGTTGAGCCTGCACCTCTGGAACAGCTCCTAGCCGCAGTGTCCTTCCTTGTTGATCTCGGTCGATAAAGAGGAGGCCCCAGCGGCGAGAAGCCATGTCTCCCATCGGACAGGGCCGGACGCTGGACATATCCACAGAACCAAACCTCCTTCGTTCTTCCCCACCTTTGCTTTTATGTAGCTCTCCCAATCCCTTAATCCGCGGTCTGACCCAGCATTTCCTGAACGTGATTCCAGTTACGTAGGATCCTTTGACGGGTATGCAACACGTTCCCTTGTTCAATGTTTTATGTGGCATGTGGGGGACGCTGTGGCAGGTGGTGCTGACTATCGCCCAGGCATGGGCGAGCACAGGTCACCCAATGTGTGCGGCTGTGTTGCAATACAGGCAAGGCCGTCAGTGATCCGTGATCCGTGTGCGGCAACGGTCTGTTTTACACCCACGGACTGGCTAATTGCATCCTGTTCCTAACGTGTTAGAGTTAATATTTATCAATCAGATGACGTCGGTGCACCTTGACAAGGTTTGGCGAGAATTCGGTCCTGAGTGGGGGGGGGGGAGGTACTGTACTGTTTTTGGACACGGGAAGGCTCGTCTCCCAGTCATGGCCAGTCATTTACATGTCCATGTTTCCAGCGGAACAAGTTACCACAGCTGCGGCGTCCGGCCGTAATTTGGCCGTCAAACAGGCAACTGTAGTGGCCGCAGTGGCCCACAGCTGAATGGTGCATGCTGGGCTCCCGTCCTCAGTGGATCAGTGTGTGGTTAGGGTGGCCTATGCATGGTGCGCTGGCGTGTTGTCTGTTACCCGTCAAGTCTGCACTCTGCCACCACCCACACAGCCCCCCACGGCCACCACCCTCCGTCGCAATCGTCATTTGGCTGCAAACCCATACACGCCGCCGCGGAATAAAAGTCAGACGGGGTCACGTGACAAGCTTTTCTGCTTACCGTGGGAGAGTGGGAAGAGTGCCGACAACACAGTCCTCATACATCGTAATGGGTGGCGGCCACCGAACGCACACGGCCCTTGCAACATCCATCCACTCATCCTCTCCAGTGTCTGCGCAACCATGGGCATCCTCGACAGCGACAAGGTCGCGTTTGCTCCAGAACAGCTCAACGAGCAGAGTGTAGAGGCACTGTCAAGCATCGCAACCGTATGTCCCTGCCGTGCTTCATTCAACCCGCAGCCTTGTTGTTGTTGACTCACCACCGCCGCCCACAGAAACTGGGCGCGACCGTCACTGAACCCGAAGACGCAACCGTCCTCCTCACCAACCCGGGATCACCAGCCTACAAGCCCCTCACGGGCACTGCGCCGTCCTCGTCTTCTTCGCACCCAGCCACACAAGTACCGTACAACTGGCTCGCGGCCTGTCGCGCCGCCGAGACCCGCATCGACCCGGCATCCCGCTCCATCCCACACCCATTCTTGCAGCACACCACACCGACAAAGGCAGGTGTGCCAGTACGCGTGTGGGTGAGCGTCAACATTCTGCGCAGGCCATCCACCGCGGACGCAAGGGCGAACCAGCTGTCGGTCGAGAATGAACTGGCGTGCTGCGGGGCCATCATCGTCCCGAAACGCTCCCAGGCCGACATTCTCATCGTCGACCGCAAGACGACCTTTTACCAGAACACCATCCGCCAAGAGATGAAACAGCACGGCCGTGACTGGCAGCGCGTGGCCGAGCGTGAATGGGTCGACGCGTGTGTCCAAAACAAAAGGTTTTTAAGCGTCACGAGCGGGGACGTAAAGGCCGAAGACGACGACGAAAGTGATGAGCTCGACGACAGCTTTGCCGATGACCACAATGTGGCTGCAGCACACCGTGGCCCCGGACGGCCGGTTGGAAAGTGAGTGTGCATCCAGGCGGAGACAAGCGGGCACAGTGCTGACGGTCCCACCCCAGACCTCGCATCGAGTACACCCCTCAGGACGACGATTTTCTCTGCCGCTACCTGGCCTACCACTACCCAGGTGGAAGCTGGGGCAGCCGCAAGACATATGAGGTCATGGTGCGCTCTTCTTGCCTATGTACCCTTCCACTGACTATCATCCAGCACGCTAGCCAGAACAAGTATCCCATTGCCGACCGCCACTCGCCCCAGTCGTGGCACGAGCGGTTCAAGAAGAATGCCGTCCCGTTTCGTCGTCGAGTCGAGGCCTTTGTCGCGGCCAAGATTGACGACCGGCTCAAGACTGCCAAGGAAAGGGAACGCATGGCTGAGCGCGAGGATAAGAACAAAGAGGCAACAGCTCTTGACAAGGGTAAGAGCAAGGCAACCAATGCGGCTAGCGACGTCGTCAGTCCCAGCAAGCCGCCAGCAGCAGCAGCAGCTCCAAAGCGCAAGCTCGTGGACAAGTCGGACTCGGACTCGGACTCGTCGCCCCTCTCTCCACAAAACGAGAGGCAAAAGAAAAAGGGAGCTAGCGTCGCGTCGTCCCTCGGCCGGTCTGACCGGTTTGGTGGGGCGCCGGCGAGTCCCAAGTCCAAGAAGAAGCGGTCGCCCGAGGCCCCCGAGCGCGACGATGATGTTCCAGAGACTACCTTCGACGCAGGTGATGCAGTGGCGGCTGTCGAGTCCCAGCCGCCTATCGACGATGTCCTGGTCCCCGAGACTGTCCTTCCGGCTCCAGCTCCCGAACCCGCGCTCGCCGAGAGTGAGACGGTGGTGCGATCCCACTCGCACGTCATCGAGTCGATCCAAGTGAGCCAAGTGACCATCTCGACTGAAAACGGCAATGGGACCCAAGTCGACACCACGAGCGTCGCCATTGAGGCCAATGACACGGTCCCTGCTCTCCCTCAGCCGCCACTGCACCGCAAAACGGTTGCCGACGAGATTGCATACACATCGTACCGCCGCCGCTCGAGCGCGTCGTCGGCGCACCCCCGCCGCCAGTCGACCGAAAAGGCAAAGGACACTGTCAATGCGAGCGCGACCGTGCCGCTCACCCCGGTCGCGCCTTCCGGTGCCGCTCTTCCTCCTGTTCCTCCCAGTCCGCCAACGCCGGCAGCGACTCCGCTTACACCGCAACAATGGCAGGAGCGTGTCGTCACGGGCCAGGACCGCGCGCAGGCCATGCGGGAGGCGTACAGGCAGCGCATTGCAGAGTATAGCCAAAAGTACGACCTCGCGCCCAACGAGTTGTTTGAGATTGTGAGCGCCATCCCGAAGAAGACGGGGCGCTGTTTCTGGGATGACGTGGAGAATGGGTTGAAGGAGAAGTTTGGGTTTTAAGCCGCCAAAAAAACGGGAGTCGCGCGCGCGCTGGGCGGGTGTGGGCGCGCGGCAAGTCTCATGTGTATAGACTAGGCCAGCATTTGTACTGTATGATAAGGAGAGTGTGGTATCGCGCTGCGCGAGTGACCTCTGTGGTCTGCTTGATGTGGGCCGGCCTTATGTCGGCTGACACGTTGGCCCCTGCTGCTGTGCTGCACCGACATGACAAACACCATACACATTGACTCTGTCGCCGTGCCGGATGGGTGTCTATGTGTTTCTCCACTTTCCACGCCACAACACCCAAAAGCCCTACAGACACCATCAGCCCCCTGATCCCACTGATGGCTGTACACCTTGCCAGATGCATACACTTCGATAAGAAACCACAACGGATACGGAAATATCTCACAACGAGCGAGGTGGGACACACTACAACTACTGAACTTGTTTCCTTCTCTCTCTCCTCTTCACCGAGTACAAACTAGACACAAAACGGAAAGGGTATATATGACAGGGGGTGCGGTGAGGATGCCACAGCCGTTCTCGTTAATCGTTCTTCGTCGCATGCTTGAAAACAGGCAGACGCTGATGCAATACGCGGACGGAAAGCGGATATCGAAATGGTCGGAACCCACACACACACACGCCCCCGGTCGCTGGCTCACTCAACGCAGCTCAAATGTGCCACGCGAGTAGCTGGGTACATGTGTCAGGTCGAGTTCCTGGAACGGCTCCTGGTTGAGCGAGTGGAAGTAATAGCCCTTGATGGTCGCCTCCCTGGGGACGGCGGGGGCACGCGCCACGGACGCGCGGCGGGGAGCCTCGGGCCGCGTCGCTGCCGTGGTGGACGGGCGACGGGGTGCCGGCCCGGTACCGCTAGCAGTCTCGGCGGTGCGCGTGGTCGAGGTGCTCTGGCGGCGGGGAGGGTCAGGACGGGGACCGGTCGAGCTCATGCGGCGACCGGTGCCCCTCAACGGCGAGCGAGGGATGACGGGGGACGCAGGAGGCTCGTCGTTGACCTCGATGGCGGGACTAAAGTCGACGATTGCGTAGTAGAAGCCTGCAACAGTGAGTAACACGGTCACGCATGTCCCCTTTGCCTCTTTTTTACTCACCGGCAAAGCTGGCGCCGCTAATGTCGCGCACCGAGTGGTCTGGAACGAGGAACTTTTCCTTGAGGCGGATAAAGCAAAACTCCCTTTCCTTGGGCCTCGTCTCGCCGCTGGCCGTGTCCTGGAGGGGGTCGCGGAACAGCATCTCTTCGCGGACGACGTCCTGGCGCGTGGACGTGCGACGAAACTGCTCAAACCGGCCCCAGTGGCGGATATCGTCGTGCTCTGTCGCGCCAAACCTCTCGCCAGTGATAAAGCCATACTTGGGCCCGATAATCTCTCCGTCAAAAAACGTCGTGAGCTGAGGATGCGAGTCGGTGAGGTTTGAGATGGTGAGGTAGCCGCAGAGGGTGTATGCGTTGAAATCGACATTGACAATCTCAATGTCGACCTCGTAAGAGCTCCGGCCGGAATTTTGGGTGCCGCGGAAGATGGACCCGGGATAGAGACAGCCACGGCCTTGGGATTTTACGCTGCTGCGCGTCACGTCCAGCAGCGGGTTGGCGGGATGCTCCTCCTCGTCGAGAGCTGCCGGCTTGACACTAGATGGAGTGGCTGCCGCTGTTGCTGCTGCTGTGATAGCGGCAAGTGACGGGACAGTGGCCCAGGGCGACATGGGCGGCGCAGGCAGAGACGTTGACATGTCGGGGTCGCACTTGGGGGTGGACCCTGTACCCGCGCGCGGGGTTGGGATACCAACAGGCTCCTCCGGCGACTGCTGGGACTCGGCCAAAGGGGTAGGCAAAGGCGACGGTGAGCCAGCCTGGCAGAGGGTGGAGTCGGCATCGTCGGCCGATTGCTCGCGCACCGTCGGCGTGGGAGGGCGTCGGGGGGCGACTTGACTGGTCGCGCCCTCTGAAGCATGCAAGGTGCTCCGGGGACGACGAGCGGCGACGGCTGCGTCCCGTATACGCGCGAGGTCGAGCACAACGGGTTCACATTCGGACCTGCGGCGAGCTGCGGCGGTGAGGCTCGTGATGCCGCCGCCGCCGCCGCCTTGACGGCTGCTGCCTTGTGCTTGTGCGCCGCCCTGATTGCCAGGGATGATACCGAGGGTCAGACCGAGTCCGCGCGAGCTCTCGGCGCGAAAGCAGGCTGCACAGAAGCGCTCAATCTCCTCGCCAAGGATAACGACGCCGTCGACGGGACTGAGACTTGCAGCACCGCAGATTGCGCACTTGAGGGCGGCGGGCGGGGGCAGCGTTGTGCCGCCGCCCTGGGGTACCGCCGATGAGGATTCGGTGGGCATTGGGTGGCGACCAGGGGCTGTGCGGGTGGGGTGCGCAGGCTTGGGGATGGCCAGAGCGCGCAGGGGGGTGTGGAGGGGGAGAGGAAGGGGCGAGACGGGATGGAGAGAGCGAGTGAGAGAGAGAGTCTGTGTGGGAGGGAGCAACGGCGAGAGAGAGCGAGTGAGCGACGGAGCTCACGCGCGCATTCTGGTACTCTGGAGCAGGCCCCGTGGAGTGAGAGGGATACGCGGGGGGGATGGAGCTAGACCGGCGCATCCGCCGCCGGATTTTTGCATCCACCCAGAAGAGCTCACGTGCACGCCCACAGAGAACGTCAGTACGCCAGCTTGTCAACAAGACGATGCGCGCGCAACAATGACGGCGAGATTGTCGGCGTGGTTACTTGGCTTTTTTTTGCATGCATGTGTCCACCCAGCGCATGTTTATCCATCGTCTCGACTCGAGGCAGCTAAGCGCGGTCATTGTCAAGTCAATCACTGATAGCAATATATACGCTCTCCGCCACCATTTCCACGCCGTCTTGGCTGTCCTGTTCTAATGACGTGTGATTGTTTTAAATTGTTTAATCGGTGTCGGGCAGTCCGAGTCGATGATTTCTTGGCTTGTGTGTGGCTCCCCCCCTCGTATCGCTGCGCGGGCCGGACGGACGCGGCGGTTCTATGGGCTCTGTGGCTGCTGCCCCCTGCCCAGGCCAGGCCCGGAAACGCAGGTTGGACGACTTTTCTACTCAAAAGATCCACCACACCTTTAATCTCCAACCACCACTCACCCCAACTTTCACCCACTCCCACCCCCACCTTCACCAACCCCCTTCACCATGTGTGGCATCTACTGCTGCTACAACCGCAAGGAGGGCGACGTCGCCGCCTTCCGCCCCCGTGCCATCGCATGCTCCAAGAAGCAGCGTCACCGTGGCCCCGACTGGTCGGGCTGCTACATGGCCAAGGACTCGCTCCTCGTCCACGAGCGTCTCGCCATTGTTGGTGTTGGTGAGTTTATTGGACCCGGCGTCCAGTCTGTTTCCCCGTGTGCCATGTTGCTGACGTGATGTCCCCAAGACACCGGTGCCCAGCCCCTCGTCTCGGACGATGAGCAGGTCATCCTCGCCGTCAACGGTGAGATCTACAACCACCTCGACCTCCGCAAGAGCCTCAAGAACCCTCCCCAGTTCAAGACCCACTCGGACTGTGAGGTGATCATGTACCTCTACAAGGAGCACGGCACCGACATGTGCAACATGCTCGACGGCATGTTCTCGTTCGTCCTCCTCGACACCTCGGTCACCCCCTCGCGCCTCGTTGCCGCCCGTGACCCCATTGGTATCACCACTTTGTACATGGGCTGGCACTCGTCGGCTCCCGAGACTCTGTACTTTGCCTCGGAGCTCAAGTGCATTGAGGAGGAGTGTGACAACCTCCAGGCCTTCCCTCCCGGACACTTTTACGACTCGGACAAGAAGGAGTTTACCCGCTACTACAACCCCACTTGGTGGAACACTGACCAGGACCCCACCCCTCCTACCAACCCCGCCGACCTCACCGCTATCCGCGAGACCCTCGAGATGGCCGTGCGCAAGCGTCTCATGTCCGAGGTTCCTTACGGTGTCCTCCTCTCGGGTGGTCTCGACTCGTCGCTCATTGCCTCGATCGCTGCCCGTGAGACCGACAAGCTCGCCGAGGAGCAGGAGCGCCGCCGCAAGGCTCACCGCGAGGCCCAGGCCAAGGGCGAGACCATCACCGACGACGCTCCCCTCGCTTCGTGGCCCCAGCTCCACTCGTTCGCCGTCGGTCTCGAGGGCGCCCCCGACCTGATCGCCGCCCGCAAGGCCGCTGACATGCTCGGTACGGTCCACCACGAGTACCACTTTACCGTCCAGGAGGGTCTTGACGCCATCGACGAGGTCATCTACCACCTCGAGACCTTTGACGTCACCACTGTCCGTGCCTCGACCCCCATGTACCTGCTCTCGCGCAAGATCAAGGCCATGGGTGTCAAGATGGTCCTCTCGGGCGAGGGTTCCGACGAGATCTTTGGTGGCTACCTCTACTTCCACGCCGCCCCCAACCCCAAGGACTTCCACGACGAGTGTGTCAAGCGTGTCAAGAACCTCCACACCGCCGACTGCCTCCGCGCCAACAAGTCGACCATGGCTTGGGGTCTCGAGGCCCGTGTCCCCTTCCTGGACAAGAAGTTCCTCGAGGTCGCCATGAACACTGACCCCGCTTCCAAGATGTTCTCCAAGGGTTCCGAGCAGAAGACCGACGCCGACGGCCGCCCCATCATGGAGAAGTACATTCTCCGCAAGGCGTTCGACTGCTCGCCCGACGGCAAGGCATACCTCCCGGACTCTATCCTCTGGCGCCAGAAGGAGCAGTTCTCGGACGGTGTCGGCTACTCGTGGATTGACGGCATGAAGGAGCACTCGGCCAAGATCGTCTCGGACGAGGACTTTGCCAAGCGCGCCGAGCGCTGGCCCGAGAGCACTCCCGACACCAAGGAGGCTTACTGGATCCGTGACCTCTTCGAGGGCCACTTCCCTACCGACGCCGCCGCCAAGACTGCTGTTCGCTGGGGTGAGTTTTGAGTGAACATGCTTACTACAAATGCTTACGTAATCATCTCAGTTCCGAAGCAAGAATGGGGAGTTAGTGCGGACCCTTCGGGCCGTGCGGTCGCTATCCATACTGCTGCGTACGAAGAGAAGGCGTAAAAGGCTTGACAGGACGGCCGGAAGGTCGGAGACGGTTGGAGGGGGAGATTTTGTCGGGGCGGGTCATAGAGGCCCCAGTTTTCATATGGCCACATGCATCTGTTAGTACGCGATAGAGCAGCATCTTGGCAACGTCCTGGGCGAAATTTTGAGCGGATAGCATTGCAGAAGCATGAGATAAGGACGACGCAATGTGGGAGGTCGGGTGAAAATTGGAGGAAGTTGATCACGAGTGCCACAATTGCCCGGTGCGGAAAATTGTGTGCCACATTGAGAATTTGTAATTCGTTTACAATTTTCGCCCTTATTGTGAAAGCCCCCAGGCCCTCAGTCTGTAATGCCCACCCCGTGGACTTGCAGTGCCACATATGTCCCGAGCCGTACTCGTCAATCTCTAGGGACAAGGACCAGTGCTTACCAAACACGGGCTTATCTAAACCCAAGAATGGTTATGCGACTGGCATCTCCGGCCAAGCAGTCCTGGTATTGACGCTTGGTCCATCGCGGCCACATGCCTACTGCTTCCCTCAATCAAACACCAAAGATGTGGCACTCGCATACTACTATCATGAGCTGTGTTTTTCGTGCTGTCTAGGTATATCTGTATCCTGGAGAGCGCGTCTAAAGCGGGGCAGCAGCGTCCTCGACATCATACAGGTGAATCTCATATAGCTCGTCCTCGCACGTGCCCAGGTCATCGGCAAGCGAGTCGAGGGCGCCGCTCAGCAGCTCTTCGTCAGACTCGTGGTCCTCAAAGTGCTTGACAATGTGTGGTTCCAGTCGCCTGAGCACAAGGCCAAGATAGGCCAGTTTGGTGTTGGCGAGCGCGATCTGTGTCTGGACCATGGCGATCTTGGTGTCTGCCAGCTCGATCTGGTTGCGGACCTCGGCAGCGCGGATATCGCGATCGCGCAGGTCGTGGAGCATCAGCTCGAGGGAGGTGGTGCCGCTACTGCTGCTGCTGAGACTTTTGAGCGAGATGTCCGGGGTTGTGGTGGAAGGCGTCACACTCGTGATGGAGCGATCCGGGCTGGTGGGTGGGCTTGGTGTCTTTGGGCTGACGCTACGGCCCTTGATAAAGCTGGGCATGCGCATTGCGGGTGGGCAAGGCTGGGTGCTGGGTCGGTGTCAGCTCTTTGAGGCACACTGGTCAGAAGACACCTGGGCTGACTAGTTTGTGGTAGAGGTCTCGGGAGTAGTGTCATTCCCGCTGAAAGGAGTCCTCTTTGGTCGACAATAAATGAAAAGGGGAGCTTGTGGGACGACTACTCGGACCGCTTGTGGGCACAGCAAAGTCCAAGGGACACCGCAGTGCGTGATGAGGGCGTACTTGTGTATTGTCGTTGTCGGCACAACATCCCCGGCTGAGGTGAGTGCTAACCGGTGCAGAGTCCTCCAGTGCAGTGTTCGCCAAGTTGGTCTCGGAGAAGGGGGGCAGTGGAGGGGATGGCAGGCGGAGAAAGGGTCCTAAGCCTCGTCTTGGGAGCGTGCCGTGCTTCACGCTGCCCCGGGAGGAAATGGCACGTACGCTCAAGGTGGTGTTTTAAGAATTAAAAGACAGCGGGTTTGGAGGAGAGTTTATACAGTACGCAAAGGCCAGCGAGGGAAGGCAGACGACGTGAGGCAACCACGGACAAGCGAAGGTCAACCGGTCAAAGGACGGGTCACCACGAGGAGATCTTTGTGGCAGCCTGTTAATTGGTGGCATGGCACAGACACATACTTGGCTGTCCAGTTGCCAGTTGAAGCATTTGATGGTTAGGTACTGGCAACTATCAAACGGCCTTGGTGTTATGCATCAACGTGATGGCCATGAGAGCGGCTATCGTCTTCTGTCCATGAAAGGGCGTAGGGGCACAAGTTGCACTCGAAGATGGGTTGTCCCTCGCTTGTTCTCGGCGGCAGTTGACAATTAGACATCGTGTCTGCTCGGTAGACGGGCGCATAGCATCTTGACATAAGGCTTCACCAACCGATTTATGAGTCCTGTGGCCTGTGGCTGGCGGGGACGCTGGTTGACTTGAGAATAATGCCCTTTGGAGATTAGATTGCGCTCACGACATATGTATGTAGCTGCGTCTGTCGGTATCCGGGATGCGTCTCCAACGGTTGACCTCTACGGCCGTGCAACCTCCCCACCCTCTGTTAGCTCCGGGGACAGGTAGCCGTGCAGCATGCGGCTGTCGCCGGAAATCGGCGTTGGACTTGGATCAACAATGCAGACACGCAACATGAACAAACGGCACGCACAAAACGACGTGCAAACACAGTCGGACATGGCCGAACACCGCAGCCCCGCGGCCGCACTCATCGGTATGGGTGGGACCTGGTGGCCAGCGCCGCCGGCATTCGGCAATACCAACCGGGCACCATGACGCTTCGCTAGACGTTATATGGGGTGGTGCATGCGTCTTCTCACAACCCCCCACCGCTTCTCCCTCCCTCGACGCGACCAGCCTCACCCGCCATGCCAGTCATCACCACCCAAATCACCGAGCTCTGTGAGTTTGACTCGCTTTCGGCAGAAAAGTGAGCTAACAATACAGTCGGCATTGAGCACCCGGTCCTCCTCGCGGGCATGAACGTTGCCGCCGGCCCCAAGCTCGCGGCAGCAGTTACAAACGCTGGCGGTCTGGGCGTCATTGGCGGCGTGCGTGCCACTCCCAAGCACCTCCGCCGCCAGATCCGTGACCTCAAGGCCGGTCTCAACGACCCCAACGCACCCTTCGGTGTCGACCTGCTTCTGCCCCAGCTAGGCGGTAGCGCTCGCAAGACCAACAAGGACTACACCAACGGTGGTCTCGATGACCTGCTTACCGTCATCATCGAGGAGGGCACCAAACTGTTCGTGTCGGCTGTGGGTGTGCCACCCAAGTCGGCCGTGGACCGTCTGCACAAGCACGGCATCCTTGTCATGAACATGGTCGGCGCCGTCAAGCACGTCCACAAGGCCCTCGATGTTGGTGTTGACATCATCTGTGCCCAAGGCGGCGAGGGTGGTGGTCACACTGGTGACACGGCTACCAGCATTCTCATCCCGGCCTGTGTCGACGCTGTCCGTGGCAAGCTCTCGCCCCTTACCGGCAAGCAAGTGCCCGTCATCGCCGCCGGTGGCATCAGCGACGGCCGTGGCCTTGCTGCGGCCCTCATGTGGGGCGCCCAGGCCGTGTGGGTCGGCACCCGCTTTGTCGCCTCAGTTGAAGCTGGTGCGCCTCCCAAGCACAAGGAGCTCGTTGTTACGGCTGGCTTTGGCGACACGGCTCGCACTCTCATCTATTCTGGACGCCCCATGCGTGTCCGCAAGACCGACTACGTCAAGGAGTGGGAGGACACTAGGCAGCAGGAGATCACCGAGCTGTGCGCGCAAGGCATCGTTCCGCACGACAGGGAGCTCGAGAACAAGCCCGAACGCTCCTTGGAGGGGACCAAGTGGCTCATGGGGGACGTGGCTGCTGTCGTGAACGAAGTACTCCCCGCAAAGACCATCATCGACAACATGGTAATGGATGCTAAGCGAGCCATTACCCAAGGCTACCAGGACCTGAACGGTGGTAGGGCGAAGCTGTAGGCTACCCAGTAGGATACGTACAGTTGTTTTAGTTAGTGTGCATGTACATACGTATGATCAATGACTTGACGAACGAGGACCCAAACAGAACCGTTCACATGCCCTCCCGGCCATCCCAGCTAGTGCGTCGCTCATGAAGCGGATGTACACTGTGACGCGCCTTGGTGATGGTCCGCCTTCCGGTCAGTCCCAACCCGCAATCCATTGGCTCCATGCCTTCCATTGCTGGCGGTACCCGCATCTTGATTGACTCGCACTGGGCATGGTATTCCCTGTTCGCCCTCACCTTCCTAGTGGTTGCGTCTTTCCTATTGAATGTGGCACATCATATTTTCATTGTATTTAGTGTTGTTTTCGCCAACGATGGTCTTCGTCCCTACCGCTTCAATTTGCCGGCCATAGACGATTACTTAACGAGATACGGAGCCAGCACAGTATACGCCTCCTGCGTTCCTAATGCCGGTGAAATTTGATGGAAGAAGCTGTGGCAGCTGCAGGCCTCCCCTCATTCACACGCTGACAAACAGACATGCCCACTCAGTGTATGGCCTTGTGACTCCCTCGACCCCTCGTCCGGACGGAGCCAAAGCCCTCTGCCACACTCACGACCCACAACCTACAGGCCACAGCCAAATCCCACCAGTGGGGCCAACCCCGCCGCAACCACATTACTCTAATCCAAATTGTGCATGCAAAAATTCCCATATAATGAATGAGCTACCCCCTACCTCGCTCTCTGTCTACCTCTCTGTCTCTCTGCCTCTCTCTCTCTAGACGTGCTTGGGGGCGCGAATGTCAAACGCGCCCGTGCCGGAAGTGCTTGGCCGACCCATGACGATACGGGCCGCGGGGGAGTTGAGGTCGTCGTAGTCACCGTGCAGGACCGCCTCGGAGAGGAACGCGACGGTAGTCTCGAACGAGGCCTTGAGCAAAGGCGACGACTTGGAGCTAATACCCGTACGGTTGAAGGGGCGGTAGCCACCGTTGTGGGTCATGTAGTCGGCAATGACCGTCAGGTGGCGGTAGTCGACTCCGATACCGTAAGCGCCGAACACGCCACCCATCTCGTCAATGATGGCACGACGAGCGGCCTCGACACCGTAGGTGGTAAGAATGGCGTAGACATCGTTGGACCCAATCTTGTCAAGGTCGATGAGCTCGTCGGCAAGTGCCCACATGCCGCGAATGTTGGAGCCCTCGGTGATGAGCTGACGGGTAAACTCGCCCTTGTCGTTGAAGATCTTCATGCAGCGGCCAATGCTGTCGACCTCGTGCACAACCGACTCGCGGCACGCGCGCTCGATAATGTCAACGAGCAGGAGCTTGGGAGCCTGGCCGGGGAACTCGAGGTCAAACTCGGCCGAAGCACCGTTGTGGCTGTCAAACGAAAAGCTGGTGGCGTACTTGGCGGCCTTCATGAAGAGCTCGGAGAAACCGTCGGCACGGCGGTCAAGTGCCGCCTTGGTAGCAGCGTCACCGTCCATGTCGTCGTCCGAGTCGCCCTCGTCATCGCCGTCGCGCTCGATAATGTCCTCGAGGTCGACAACGCCAGCATCCTCAGCCTCGTCCTCGTCATACTCGTGCTGCTTGGACTGGCGGGCACGCTTGAGCTGGCCGGCGTCCTCGTCATCATCGTCCAGCTCGTCGTCACGGCCACGGCGGGCAGGGGCGCTTTCGTCGGCGTCGTCGTTGCGCAAACGCAGACCCTTGCCAACGGCCTTGTCCTGCTCGGCCGTCTTGACAGCGTTGCGGAGCTCGGCGACAATCTCCTTCTTGAGCTGAGCGGCAAACGACGTTGCGAGCGACTCGTGGAGCTGGTCCTTTGTAATCTGGTACTCTTCGCAGTACTCCTCGGTAGGGTAGAAGGCCAGGTTGACGGTGTACTTGCGCAGACGCGAGTTGTTGGCGTTGGCCGACTTGCCTGAAAGACGCTCGGTAACGGTGACCTTCTCCACCACTTCAGAGAGGTTGAGACGCGAGACCTGCTTGACAAACGACTCGACGTCCTTGTCCTGAATCTCCTCGCGAAGTGGGAGCTTCATGGTGGGGGTGGCGGGCTTCTGGGCAGCGGTCATGACAATCTCACGAAGACGGGGGATACCGAGGGTAACGTTTGCGGCACCGTGACCAGCCAAGTGGAAAGTGTTGAGCGTCATCTGTGTCGACGGCTCACCAACACCCTGCGAGGCAAGGAGACCGACAGCCTCTCCGGGCTCGACAAGCGAGCGCATGTAGCGGACACGAGCGAGCTGCTGGAAGTCGCGCTCGCCGAGCTTGGTCGCCGAGTAAGGGGAAGCAGTCTGAGCCGCCTCGCCGCCCTTGCGACGGATAAGACCCTTCTTGTTGTCCTTGATATAGTCGTTGACCTGCTTGACGTAGGCCTCGGACATGGAACCAAGGTAGCGGGAAGGCGAGTAGACGGACATGGCGGGCTCATACTTCGAGGGCTTCTTGAGCGCCTTCTTGGTGTAGTCGACAGCCTCGTCCATGATAACCTTGCCCACGAGGTCCTGGGGGCGGAAGCGCTGGATGAGCGACTCGTGGTTGCGGCAAGAGAAGTCAAACTCTTGCAAGTGCTTTGACTTTGTGACGTCGATGGCGTCCTCACCGTACATGAACTGCAGGACCGAAGAGTCCGAGTCACGGACAGTGTGGTCATAGTGGACCTTGACGCCCTCCAGGTGCTTGATAAGACAGCGCTGGAGATAACCGGAACGCGACGTCTTGACGGCGGTGTCGATGAGACCCTCACGACCAGCCATACAATGGAAGTAGTACTCTTGGGGGCGGACACCCGTCAAGAAACGGTTGGCGACATATCCACCGGCACGAGCCGACGTGTCAAAGGGCTTGAACGCGGGCAGCGTCTTGCCCGACACCATGGTAGGCACACGACGGCCTTCGAGCGCCTGCTGACCGAGCAGAGTGGAAATCTGCGACGCATTGACCTTGGAGCCCTTGGCACCGGAAATGGTCATGGTCTGCATGTTGTTGTCGGGGAAGGGACGGATGAGGTGTGCGGGGAGGACGTCATTGTTAATCTTGGAAGTCGTCTTGTTGAAGACACTTTGCATGGCAGCGTCCAGACCGGCCATGAGGTGGTCGTCGCGAAGGATCTCCTCGAGACGGATGCGCATGTTCTCGAGGGCCTCGGGGTCGTCGACCTTGGAGTCCTCGGGGAGACCAACATACTTCATCGCGGCCCTGGTGCCGTCATCCTTGGCGTCGTCAAAGATCTTCTGGCGAAGAGCCTCGCCTTCATCGGTAAGGATAAGGTCGTCCATACGACAGGTGAACGCAGTGTGCTGGAGGTACTTTGTGAGCAACCTCGAGAGCACACCAAGGAGACGGTTGGCAATGTAAGGGCCGTACAGCTCGTGCACCGAGTGGATGAGACCGTAGGCCGAGGCACCGTACTGCGACTTGTCGAGAACACCGCAAACAAGGTGGCCGTCGACGAAGATGACATTCTCCTCCGACATGTCGGGGTCGGACGAGTCGTCACGCATCCACAGCTTGTTCTGGATCTTGTTCTTGGAAGTAAGGTTGAGACCCTTGGCGTTGGTGGGGGTGAGGTTGGTCATGATGGTCGAAATAATCTGCTTGCCGGTCCACATGGGCTTGGGCTTGTAGATAGCGGGGGGGAGGGTGATGATGCGCGAACGACCAGTGTAGTTGTTCTCGGTACGGAGGGCACCGTAGACAAGCTGGAAATACTCGTCGCGGGTGAAGAACGACGACTTGTTGCACATCCAGACACCAGCAACCACGTGGTCCTGGATAAGACCACGCAGGGGGTTACCGGAGGTGGGGACGAGGTACTGGTTGTCGGTGTTGGCAAGCATCTGGGCCTCGGCACGAGCGACCTCGTTCTGAGGGAAATGAATGTTCATTTCGTCTCCGTCGAAGTCGGCGTTGTAAGAGTTACAGTTGGCGTAGTGCATGCGGATGGTCTTCTCGCCACGGAGCACCTTGACGCGGTGACACATCATCGAGGGCTTGTGGAGCGTGGGCTGACGGTTGAGAATGACAATGTCGCCGTCACGGATGTGGCGGTAGACCTTCTTGTTGCGAGCCTGAGGACCACCGCTACCGCTGGCGTGGTCGTCGTTTTGCGGCGTGAGGAGCTGGTTGGCAATAGCAAGACGCTGCTCGGGCGACATGCGGTCGAGCGAAATCTTGGAGCCGTCCTCGTTCTGGACGAGCGAAGCACCGGGGTGGACCTTGGGGCCGTTGATGACCAGCTGGCGCATCTCGTGCACGTTTTGGGGGGTCACGGGCTCGGGGTAGGTGAGCTTTTTGGCAAACATGGGAGGAATACCAATCTCGTTGGTCTCGACATTAATGTCGGGCGAAATGACCGAACGAGCGGCGTAGTTGACACGCTTGCCCATCATGTGCTTGCGGAAGAGACCCTCCTTCTTCTCGAGAAGCTGCTTGACACCCTGGGGAGGGAGCTTGCCCTGCGCCATAACGGTAGGGTTCTTGGTGCTGTCCATGAACGAGTTGACGTCGTGCTGCAGCTTGATGAGCGAGTCGAGGAGCAGCTCAAACGAGCGGGTCTTGTCGAGCTTCTTGAGCATCTCCATGAGTTCCTCTGTCTTCTCCTGGCGGTCAAAGTCGATCAGGTTCTGGTTGACCTCGAGGATGCGGTGACAAGTGTTGATGACAGCCGAGAGCAGAGAGTTCTGCGAGTTCTCAAACAGGTCGTCGCCCATCTTGGCCGCGGGACGGAAACGAGTAGGGGTGACGGGGAGCACGTCCATGAAGAACATGTCAGCAATGGGAGGTGGGGGCGCGTGTGTCGACTTTGCCTGGGGTCCACCGTGACGGCCGTAGAGAAGCGAACAAATCTCGGCCTCGAGCTGGAACAGACGACGGAGGTGGTCGCGCACCTCGGCAGCGGCCATAACACGCTCGTTGCGACCGCGTGTGCCCTTGATCTGGCCACTGGCAGTACGGGCGCGACCGTCGAGCTGAACGCCCTCGTCCTCGTCATCCTCCTCGCTCTCTTCCTCGTCCTGCTCCTCCTCAGCCTCGTCGACGTCCATCTCATTGTCGCTGGACTCGCTGGCGCTGGACGAAGACGAGGCCTCGATGCCCTCGTCGTCGGCAGCAGCCTTGATCTTGCGCTTGTTGACAATCTTGCCAAAGCTGGCGTTGGGCTTCTTCAGGCCCAGGGTGTGGTTGGCAACCTTTTGCTTGGGAGTGAGGTCGTATTCGACAATCTTGATAGCCTTCTCCTTGCGGAACGAGTTGCCGTAAGCCTGGCAGTGCGAACACCTGGCCCAAAGCTTCTTGCCAAACTCGTGCAGAACGCGCTTGCGCTCCTCAAAGACGAGACCGTCCTTGTAGTCGTCACGGACGTGCTTCTTCTTCTTGTGCTTGAGAACCGCCTTGACGTACTCCTCCATTCGCAGGATAAACTCGGCGGCAGTCTCGGCGGGCACGGCAGAGTCCATGTCCTCCTCGGTGGGGTCGCCTTCCTCCTTGCTGCCCTTGTCCTTGGTAACAGGGTGGAAGTTGGCAACGTAGTGGGCCTCCTCGAGACAACCGGCATCCAACAAACGCAGACGAGCAATGTAGCGCTTGAGCTAAGGAAAAGAGTTAGAACAAAGTATTCCTATAGAAAGTTTGTGCCAACACTTACGACAATCTCGGGCATCTTAAAGTGGTGGCAGTAGAGACACACCGAACGCAGGAGCTGATAGCACTGGTTCATGAAGAGAGGGTGGTAGACGGGGGAAGGGAGCTCAATGTGGCCAAAGTGGCCAGGGCACTGGAAGCCGGTGAGGGAACATGTCTCACAGCTGGTAGAAAGTTAGTGCCGGTGCTTTTTGCTCCCCCCGATCGACGTACACATCACGAGCGTTCATGGGTCCCAGCGAGGGGTCGTAAAGACCACCGCGGGTGGGCTGTGCCAGGTTGTCAAGCAGGACAGCGTTGTCAATCTTCTTGACCGAGATCGCGCGAATGTCGCTGGTCGAGAGGAAGGAAAAGGACAGGCTCGAGACCTCGGAGTGGAGGGGGTGGGCGATGTCCATGCAGTCGGTCATGGTGGAGACTTGTGCTTTTGGGTAATGTGTTGTTGAAGGGAGGGGGTGGCCGTGGTGGGCTCTGACCGCGGTGCGACTATGCGACTGTAGGCCGTCTGTAGCGTTCGCGCGCGCGAGCCCTCGTGAGGTGGTTGGGGGGGGAGAGGGGGAGGGGAGAGAGGGTGTTGGGATGGGAACGAGAGACAAGGCAGTGACCACCAAACGTCAGTTCAGAATTCACTGGCCAAAATCGCAAAACTTGTGGTAAGGAAAATATTACGTAAGAGAATGCGCGTGGCAGTCGCGTGGCAGTCGCGTGATCCATAACCCATCAGCGGGATCAAAACAACGCGCGGCCGCGCCACCAGGCTGCAGGCAGCGAGAGAGCGTGTGTGCGCCGGCTACGCACGATTGCCGTTGGTACAGCTCTGGTGGTGCAAGAAGACGAGTGGGTGTGGTGGTCGCATCTCTCTCTCTCTTCTCTTCAACATCCACCTCTCCACCTCCATCTCTCACAACGCCCATCATGTCGGCGGCAGCGCCCATCGACACGTACGTGTTCTTTTCCTCCTCTACCCCAATCCACTCACACACCCCCACAGTCAGTTCCACCGAGCTGTCGACTTGGTTCAAAGGTACGCCATACCATTTTCCCGTCATCGCGCGTCCCGGACGGTTGCGCGTATTTCTATCCACCTATCTGACGCGTCTTTCCCAGTCTGCCAAAAGGCGGGCCGATCCAGACGACATATGAAGAAAAGCTGAAGCTGTATTCCTTGTACAAGCAAGGTGCGCAGGGTCTTTGTTCTTTTGTTGGTCGGTGGTACCTCTGCTGACCTCACACGACAGCGACTGAAGGCGACATCAGTGCGCCTCGACCCGGTATGCTCGACATGTTGGGCCGGGCCAAGTGGTGCGTGCGCCATCCCTGTTGCCGCAACCATTAGACTGACTTTGTGGTTCCCAGGGACTCGTGGAACAAGCAGCGCGGCGTGGATAAGCGCGAGGCAAAGCAGCTCTATGTCTCTGCGCTTCTAAAGGTGAGGCCGACCCCCCTATGCTCTCACAACACACACGGACCGCTTCTGACCACAATCGCCCACAGATCTTCCAACGATACGAGGAGCGCGAGAACGATGCTAGGCGCTACATTGCCGAGCTCACAGCCATGGCACCCCCGAGCCGTGACCATGCTCGCTCCCCCGCGTCATCGTCGTCGTCGTTCCATTCGTCGCGCGCTTCTCCACCACCCGATGTCGACCAAGGGCAGCAGTTTTCTCCCCCAGATCCCTCGCTCCCAGCTCCCGACATTGCTCCCAACCTGATCCCTCCGTCGGCTCTCAACACATCGCATCGTTCACTGGCAACACTTCCTTATCAGTACGACAACAATTCGCAGTACAGCGGTGCACTCCAGCACCCTCCTGCACCTTCATCTCTCCGTGACCCATATAACCCGCCGGTGACATCACGTCCTGGCTCATTGTTTAGCGGTGTGGGTGGAAGCCTACAGCCAACACGCGACCCACTGGCCAACCTGCGTGGGTCGGGACGACAGCAGCCGCTCGGACCCCTGGGCTACGTGCCAGAACAGCCGGGCGTGCCTCCCAGCGCCGGACGAGCGTCGGTCCCACCACGCGTACCCAGCTTGCCTCCCATGGCGAGCGCGTACCAACCCATCGCCCGCGACTATGGCACACCAGACCTCCCCCACCTGCAGCACCAGCACCAGGGCTCGCATGGCTCGCCGTACGCCATGCACCCCTCCCCCGGCTTTCCCCAACGTCCAACCTCCGTGTCAACGTTTTCTGCCGCGCCTCTCAACCTGCCAGCCACGCTCCAGCAAATCAACACGTCCCTGCAGGCGTTGCACGAGCGCCTCACAGCCCTCGAGCACGCGCAGGCCATGCTGCTGCGTAAAGACGCAACCAAGAGCTCGTGGTTCTGGGCAAACTCGGATGAGGACGAGCTGGACGACGCCGAGATGGAGCAAGAACGCGATAGGTGGGGCTACAACCAGCCGTCCACCACCATTCGCCTGCGGAAGAAGAGACGAGGCGGGCTCACTGTCCGCGTGCTATGGGCACTGCTTACGGGCGTGCGGCGTGCGATGATTGGCGTGGGCACCACCGTGGCCATTGCCGCGCTGGTGATTGCGCTCATGAACGGCGGGTGGAGGCGGCAAGCGCGTAATATCTGGGGCAAGCTGCACTTGCGGGTGGTGCGTCTCCTGGCAGATAAGTAGAAAGCCTTTTAGAGCGCCCCTTTTGCCTCTCCTTTATCCTTCAGTTGTAGATAGCAAGGCTCTGTCACGCATGCATGCCCACCATGACGCCAACGAGATGCACCGGGATTTGGTTGCGTGCCGTCTCCTCAGCTGCCAAACACTCCCTCCTTCCCTCATCATGTCGTGTTGTTGTTGTGTATACAGTTTTACCATTGTCTCTCCCTCCTAGACTATACTATCCCCCTGGACCGTGTCATTATCGTGTAGCGCGATGGCGGCGGGCGGTGGCGGCGTGTGTTTTGTCTAGAAGAACCGCCAGTAAATGAAGATGATGACAAAGAGGGCAATGCCACCGACTGGTGCCCACTTGCGTATCATGGCGTCAATGTTGATCTGACGAGCCGCTTTCCTGTACTTTGCAGACTCGGAGCGGAGCGAGGTCGACAGGTGGGACATGCCTAAAGGTGGTGGTCAGTAACGATCGTGTGCGAAGAAGCTGTTCCACAACTCACGGTCGAGCGAGTCTCCACGCCACAGCAGGTCCTCCATGTTTTTGGTCATGATACGGGTGACGTCGCGGAGGTTCTCGTTCAGCTGGTCGAGATGGTTCGAGGGCCCAGCGGCGCTGCTGCTGCTGCCACCGCCCTGGGTGAGCGTCCTCGAGTCACGGTACAGGCGGGTGGTTTTGGAAATGAACGTGTCTGCAAGCGGGGTCAGCCAAAAGGATACTGCAAGGCTCCCAGGTACACCATATGCCCTAGGTTCCAGCGCTCCAACTCACCAAAGCCCATGAAAGCGTATGGCCTCGTCGCTCCCTCAATCTTGCCCTCGTAGCTACGCTGGAACTCCTTGCTCAGCTCGTCGAGGTACGAGAACGCCAGCTTGCGGGGGTACGACTGGTCACAGATGCACATGTAGATGACATTGCCGACGATCAGGTAGCTGTGGAGAGCAATGTCAGCGAGTGAACAACAGAGGGTAGTACGGCGCGTTGGGTCAGGTTGAGGGTGTTGTTGGGCTGCAGCCGGTTGGGAGCTACCAACTGTGCCGGAGCAGAACGGCAAGCCAAGCCAACTTGAATGAGCCGCTGGATCAGAAGCATGTGCTGCTGTGCCCGCATACTCCGTCCACATGCACAGCTGCGCTGGCGTGGCCGACAGATTGTGTGATACGCGGTGGGGACCCAAGCACCCATATGTCGAGGTATGGCCCCCGGGTACCGGGGAGACGCCTGGCGGCGCAACTCACTGCAGTGTGTAGTCTCCGCTCTCAATGGAGCACGCGGGCTCCGAGTTGGGGGTCAGGCGACGGAAGATGAGCTTGGACTGCTGCTTGTACTCGGTAAGGGCCTTCTCGGTCTGTGGTTAAGAGGTCCACGTCAGTTTGTGCAAGGAATTGGAAGCAAAGGCGATGAAAGTGGCCACCAGGGGTGTATCGAACACGTAGACACGCCTGCCCACCGGTGGCGTGGTCGCAAGCCATCACTTACTGTCTCATCGTCGACGCTTGCTGCGAGGGGGAGGCCGTCGTTGACTCTGAAGATGGTGGTTGAGCGAACCATGCTTGATATAATAATATGGGGAGATGTGCGTTGTCGACACTTGTTGCAACCGCAATGTAACCACCATCCACGGCACAACCTCACCTGCTGACGCGTATGGCGCTGGGACGACAACAGAGCCATTACGTAAACAAACATATGAGTCACGTGACCGCTCGTGGCTACCACCTAATGCATTCATCCTCTCGCACTTCTAAACAACTTTGCCCCTCGCTCTCTCTCTCCCTCTTCACGACACTCAGTGCTGGTGGAACTCGTCGTCGCTGTGGTCAAACGGCGACGTGACCTTTACCTTGAAGGGCTCATTGTACGTCGACCGTTCCTCCTCTGAAGTCGAGAGTGGTGTCGAACGGGACACTGTGCTCGATCGCGAGCGGCCAAATGGAGGCGACTTTGCGAGGGCGGCAATGTTGTTGTTGCTCGAGGTACGGCGGGAAGGAGGGGGAGGGGGAGCAGGCTTCCTGAGACTGCCAGCACGCGACCGGTTTCCCGACGTGGGCACAGGCTGCGCAGCAGCCGCAATTGGGGTGTTGTCATCGTCCGCATCGCCCGTGTTGGACTCGTTGTCGGTTTCGTCGTCTGTCGTCAAAGTTTCGGTCCTCGATGTGCTGCGTCCCATGACAGGGGGTAGACGGCGGGCGGTAAGAGGTGCGCTCGCGTGGGGCGTAGGGATATACTCCTCGGTGTAGGCCCTGGGGAAGATGCCAGACATGCCCTCGCAGACGCCGAGCAGCCAGTCTGCAGACACCTCCTTTGTGACCTCGATAATCTGTCCACGGCGGAGTGGAAGCTCGTCCGACTCGAGACCCTCAAACTCGTACAGCGCCTTGACAAAGGTGCCCACGGGCGAGGACGGCGAAGTCAAAGCACGACGGCGAGGTGTCGTCTCGTTCTCCGAGGGCGCCAGGCCCGTGACAACGGACACAACCGAGTGCGACCGGGCACGGTTGCCGATACCCGGACGGACGATGGGCGGGTCGTAAGGCTTTGGCTCCTCATCGTCAGAAGCAAGGTTGACGTTGCCGTCCTTCTTGCCAAAGGCCATCTTGGAGGCGCTAGAGCCCAGCTTGCCGATCGAGCCCATGATGGAGCGGGTCTTGCCCTTGCTTGCGGAAGCATTGCTATCGGAACGAGCACGGTTGGTAACGCTGTCCGCACGAGTGCGGTTGACGGCACTGTCTGCCCGAGGGCGGCCCGCGCTGCTGTCCGAGCGGTTACGAGTGCCGTTGCGAGTGGGGGACGTGCGACTGGCGGAACGAGGGCGAGTCACGGGCCCGTCATCGTCCGAGTCTGTCATCACGTGAGGAGCTGGACGAGTGGGGGTACGGCCACCAACAGACCTGGACGAAACGCTGGACTTTGCGCGAGGACGCGACTGGGGCTTGTGCTCTGAGGGGAAGGTGTCTCGCAAGTTCTCGAGCAAATCTCTACAGCGTGTGTAGTACTCAAACTCGGCGTCGATAATGTCCTGCAGGGCGGCAAACTGTTCAGCCTCCTGATGCTTGATGTTGAGCATGCGAAGCTTGGTCTCGTCCTCGGCTTCCTCGCTGGGTGGGTCAGAACACGACACTGATGAAATGACTCACAATCTCTGCTGCGCAATCTCGACCTCTTGCTCCAACGCTGGGTTGTCCTTCTTGGCCGACTTCAACCGGGTGAGCGCCGAGTCCAAGGTCAACCTGCCGACGTCATCAGCCTTTGTCCCGCGCCACAGATCGCCACAGGGCCACAGACGTGGTAGCCGCAACCCAACGCACCTCCTAGAGTCCATCTTCTTCCGGAAAAGTTTGTACTCGTTGACCGCGGCCAGCGCGGCATCTGCAAACAGTGTCAGTTGCTGGGGATGGCCATGGGTATTATGACGTACCGGTGGACTCTGTAAAGTCGTGCAAGCGTTCACCAAAGTCCTCGGTAACCTGAACGCCGTCAGCACATGATGATGCACACGCCCAGCGCGCCAGCGCAGACTCACAGATGCAACCTTGCACCTCGCGCGGCCATACTTGATAAGACCATCACCTAAGGGCCCGTGTGTCAGCACACAACTGGCCTGAGAACAAAGAACAGGACAGGCTATGCTCACCGTAGTTTCCACCTGCGTCGTTTCCATAGTCGATCATGACGAGGCCCAGAGCCTCGCCGACATTGATCTTGTCCTTGGCGCCCGTGCCGCTCGGCGGGTAGGGGTCTGCTGTGGGCTTGACCTTTGAGACTTGCTCGTAGAATGGCACCGAGGTCGCGTGCAGGCTGATTGTTGGGTGTCAGCCACCCACCATCGCACTTTTACCGTTCGGGTTGTGACTTACCGTTCAATGCCCTTGCGGATGGGCTCGATCTCATCTTCAAACTCTGCAAACTCTTCAGAGTAGTGCGTCCGCTCGCCAGAGAAGACCTGTGGCGCTTGTTAGTAGGGAGGCTGTGTGTGTGTTGTCTCTTCGCGCATCAAAATCAACGCACCTTCTCGTTTGTCCATTGTGTGACCTTGTTGAGCTGTGCGTGTGGTGTCAGTTGTGCGTGCAGTGGACGAGCAAAGGGAGAAGCCGTACCTGCTTGAGAGCCTTGCGCTGCATCGTGGCCGTGGGGGGAGGGGGGATGCAGGAGTCGGCGGTGGAAGGAGTGTGAGGTGTCAAAGGGCAACGACGACGACAACGACGACGACGGCGGCGACAAAAGGCCAAGCAGAGAATCGGCCCACCCCGGCCACCCCGGAACACGACGGGGGCGCCGGCGGTTTGCACACACGCGCACACATCACCCCAGGCACGCGTCAGCGGTGCTCAGATAAACGATAGTTACGTAATACATATTACATGTCCCATCAGGGGTCCCCACACACCCCTTTTTCTCAAAACGACACTCTTTTTGGCTGTGTTTCATCTTCCGTGCACAAAAAGAGAGGTGTGTGTCTCATATCCCCCCGTCAACGAGGCCCCCCCCCCCACCCGATCCCATTCGTCTGCGACTTTGCATTCCGCAGCTCTATTGTCACCCCATTGTTCGTTTCCTATTTGAAACTGTCAGCACCACCTGCGCGCCCAGTGGCTTTCGTAGACGTCAAGGAGGGACAATGGCTCAGTCAAATCTCGCGTCAAAGGCAAACTCCACAAAAGCGATGACCGTACATTTCAACAGTATGTCGCATCACCTGATGGTCGATGTCTCTTACATGCCTGCAATCAAAGCTGAGAGAGTCCAAGTACGTTTATGTCCTTGAGATCATGTTGGCGGCGCTTTGGCAGGTTGACATACTTCACGATGTCTGTCGGCGCAGTACACTGACATGGACTCACCACCTAAGCCTTGACCAAGTCGTTCTGCCCAATCAGCCTTCCCACAATACCGACCCCCTCTCGGCCATCATGACATGAGGTCACGAACGGCTCACATCACCAGGCTTTCTCGGGATACCTTTCCTGCGGCTTGGTCGCCGGACCCGAAGGAACGAGGTCTATACGCGCGTGAACCCGGATAACAAAGGGATATACTCACTGGACCCGTTATCTGGCATCTGGCATGGTCGATACGATCAATCTCGTGCAGCAAGCACTTTAGAGCTGGACGTGGAAAGCAACATTGCGCCCAAACTATACACCACGGCGTCCCGACGCTAGAGCGACTGTGGACGCTGACCGGTGCGTCCACGTCCAACCTTGACCATGCCGGCCCCGGCAAGCCAAGCCGCTCCACTTGCCAAATACGACTGTCAGTGAAGACCAAAATACGGGATATGCGTCTTGGCGGTTGAACACGAAGAATTGAGTAGAGCGCAAACAGAGAAGCGGGAAAATAATCCGGGTGAAATGGATCTCCCAACCGTCGGCTGACCTCCACGCTGCACCAACATGTTGCGAGTGCAACACGGTAAACCATGTGGCTCGTCCACTCCACAACCCCAGGCACGCTTCACGCGACCGCGGCCCGGGCTTGGATCCATTGCTGTGGGACCGAAAGCCGAGCCGTTAATGGGTACCAGTGCCTCCTGTTGTGCATGGACGGTCGGGCACTGGTCTTGGTGTTGTGAGGCGAGCGTGTGATTTCGTGCCCGGCTACTGTCACTGGGGGAAAAGACGCGGCACACGGCATGCAGATGGAACGGCATATAAGATGTAGAGCCCCACCCATAAGACACATGCGTCCACGGTGCTCCATCCTGTTGCCCACCCAAATAAATCCCCTTCTCCCACCGCCACAGCACAACCATGAATGGTGAAATTCATCAAGTCGAATCCCTCAAGGACGGCCACCATGACCACGCAGTTGCCGCTCCAGGTGAGGGTACTTTGAAGCGCAACATTGGACCAGTCGGTATCGTCGGCCTTGGCCTGTCCATTGTCAACGGCTGGGTCGCAATGAGCTCGACCATTGTCATCGGTCTCGGCCAAGGTGGCACCCCTATCATTCTGTACGGGCTGATCGGCACGAGTCTTGTCAACGCGTTTGTTATTTCTACCATTGCCGAGCTGGCTGCTGCGTACCCAACTGCCGGCGGACAGTACGTCTGGAGTGCGATCCTGGGTGGCGCGCTCGAGGACGGTGATGACGAGGAGCAAATTGAGGAGCGGCGGAGGACATCAAAGTGGGTGTGAACTTGACTACAAAAAAACCTTGCTGACCGCACAGGCACCCACTGTCATTTATTGTCGGCTGGTCGACGGTGTACGAGTGGATCGTCATTGTCGCTGCCGTATCAATCATCTGCAGTCAAGCGGTCTGGGGACTGGTCACGACCTTCCACCCAGACTTTGTGATTGAACGGTGGCACGTGTTTCTCATCTTCGAGCTCGTCAACACGAACAGTGCCATTGTCAACATCTTCTTCCTCAACCGCATGCCCAACATTGGCACCTTCTTCCTGGTCCTTTCCAACCTCATGTTCCTTGCCATCATCATTGTGTGCCCTTCAACCGCCAAAACGCACCAGAGCAGCTCGTTTGTGTGGACGCAGTGGCAGAACCAGACTGGCTGGACCAACAAGTTTGTCGTTGCCGCCACAGGTCTTGTCAACCCAGGTGCGTTAGCTAATCTGCGGTAGTGCTCAGCTTACACCTTATAGCATTCATTTGGTCTGGCGTGGACGGAGCAGTCCATATTGCCGAGGAGTGTCTCCATTCTGCACGCACGGTTCCCATCGCCCTTTTCGCCTCTATTGGTCTCGGTTTTGTCACCGGCCTTGGTGCCTCCATTGCCCTGCTCTACTCCGTGCAAGACTTTGACGCCGCTGCGTCCGCCGAGCTACCTTTTTTGACCATCATCGTTCAGGCGACCCGCTCCAATGCTGCCGGCGTAGTCTTCATGGTCGCCTTCCTTTTCATCGTGCAGATCATGACGAATTCTATCCAGATGGCGTCGTCCCGTCTCATCTGGTCCTTTGCGCGTGACAAGGCTCTGCCCTTCTCTCAAAAACTGAGCCATATTTCGCCCACGCTCCGCGTCCCCGTCTTGTCCATTCTACTCTCCTGGTCCGGCGTCACCATTCTCGGCCTGCTGTACATTGGGTCTGCGACAGTGTACAACTCGATCATTTCTTGCTGCATTATTCTCCAAAACATTGCCATTTCAGTGGTCGCCATCCAGCTCATGCTCAAGGGACGCAAGATGAACCCCAACAGATGGCTCAAGCTCGGTTGGTTTGGCTGGGTGGCCAACAGTGTCACTGTCGTGTGGACGGTCTTCACCACCGTCATGTGGCTCTTCCCTCTCACGCCCAAGCCTACAGGATCGGAAATGAGTGCGTATCCCGTGGCCCTCACAAAACATTATCGTCTTTTAGTTGACACGCTCTTATCAGACTACTCGGTCGCCGTGCTCGGTGCCATGGCGCTCATCGCTCTTCTGGATTGGGTCTTCCATGCCCGCAAGCACTTCCACGGCCCCAGCAAGGCCACGCTTGATGCGATCGAGGAGGAGAACAGGATATACCAGCACCACGTCACCACTCTCCAGGACGCGTCGTACGCCAAGGAGCGTGGTGAGGTGGTCCATAACGAGAAGCAGTAGTGGATGAAGGTTCTTGTTGGCGTTTTTCATTGTTGATTCATAACATCATGAATGCTTGAAGCAGTCGACGTAGATCTCTTCTAGTGTCAGGAAACCAGCAGCCGCCACCATCGTCTGTCGATCTCTCGGCAAGATGCCGAGCTTTGTGTCACGTGATCAACTCTATGACGTTCACAACCACCGTTCGAACGGGATCACCGTGTTGTCGCGCGACAATTGTTAGCAACATACATTCTTCTCACACAATCTACGTGTCATGTCGCCCCACCGCCAAGACCTGTCCTACCTGGTGGTATCAGGCGGTACAGGCGCAAACTCGTTCACAACAGCATTCGGCGCGTCCCCAGCGTATGTGCTGCCCGTGTCCGACGACGGAGGGTCCTCTGCCGAGATATTGCGGTGCTTTGGTGGGCCGTCTATCGGTGACATTCGTGGGTTCTGCATGGTTCTGAAGCAATGACAAGTTCACTGATACCTATATCGCAGGCTCCAGGTTGATTCGTCTCATTCCCCAACCTCCCGACGGTGCAAACAGCCGAGATGACCGCGAACGACTCGCCATCTACAACCTCATGGCGCACCGCTTTCCAGCCGACATTTCAGAAAAGGCGGGTCGTGACATGTGGGAGGAGATCGTGGAAGGCCGAGGACCGCTGTGGAATGGTGTTGGGGATGACAAGAAGGAGTGCATCAGAGGTGGGTTGCAGCTGAAATGAGACTCCACTGACTTGCAACCACAGCCTTCTTGGTCCATTTCCAAGCCCTCAACCTCCGTCGCGCACACAAGCGGTTTTCGTTTCGCAACTTTTCTATCGGCAATGGTTTTTTGACAGGCGCAAGAGACCTGTTTAGCAATCTGCCGAGCGCCATCTTCCTCTTCAAGGCTGTGGCCGGTGTCAATGTGAGCAGTCATAGGTCATTCGGCATGAATCCACCAACTGACCGCCCGACAGGAAAGCGTACAGGTGATCCCTATCATCAACACCAACCGCAAGTCGTACGTGAGCGCGCTTTACTGACGTTTGGCAGAGACTATCACTATTGCTGCTCAGCTTGTAAGTTATATGGTCGTCAATGTAACTGACACTCCACAGGAAAACGGCACCAAACTCGTCGGACAGTGCAACATTTCGCATCCAGCCCCCGAGCCCGCGCAGCCCGTGACCACCCTCGTCCGTGCAAGGAGTCTGGCCGGTGCGCCGGGCAAGCCTCACCGCTCTCACATCCGCCGCGGAAACAGGCGCGACTCGCGTACGTTCGACACCGCCGACACGCCCATGTCGACGCCTGAACGCGGCGCCACGCCGTTCTCTTACAGCTACGACGGGCTCGAGGACGAAAATGACGCCATTGGGTCGTCCAACATCTCCTACACAAAGGGCGCCGTGGAAGTGCCGCTGGAAGCCCGAATTGAAAAGTTGTTCTATATCAACCTATATGGCCAGGTGAGCTACGTGTCGGCAAGTTCATTTACAGTAGCTGACAACGTCTCAGGAGATCTTCCCTATGCCCAACGAAGACCTCTTTGATGCCATCGAGAAACGCGATGTGTTTGTCTACTCTTGCGGTTCGCTGTGGACGAGTATCATCCCCTGTCTGGTGTTGCGCGGCCTGGCCTCGACGATCGCCCAGTCCAAATCGCTCAAGGCCAAGGTCCTTTTGAGTGAGCCTCGAATGCTTCACTCCACGTCACTGACCTGCTAGTGAATTCCGTCAACGACCGCGAAACGCCAGACTTTACGGCCATGGACTATATCGACACCATTGCCAACATGCTGCGCCACTTTGACATTCCGGTGCCGATGCAGACGGCCAGGAACGGACCAGTCATCTGGGAGACGACGAGCTTCATCACGCATCTGGTGTATCTCGAAGGGTGTGCTGTGCCGGTAGATGAAGCGGCAGTCCAGGTGGGTACAGTTGAGTTGAGCGATGGACTGTAACTGACTGTTATGTGCAGGAGCGAGGTATCAAGGTAGTCAAGATTCCGTCTAGCGTCCATCGTACGCCACTGGGCAAGACGCCGATGTTTTCCAGCCCCACCGTGGAGTGGGCCATGGAACAAGTTGTAAACCACCTGTAACGACGAGACGTATGTATTGCATGTGATGTGCTGATACGACGTCAGTACTGAATTTCGGCCATTTGGCCAGCATTCCTGCCACTTATGACGTCTGACCATGTCCCAACGCCCTACTTTCTTCTCTTGGGCGTCGACTTGACACTCGCATGACACCAAAGGACACCAACAAGGATACGCGTCATGGATGTATGCTCAGAGGAGCTATGTGGTCTTCCTCTCATCCGCTTTTGGTCTCTCTTCCGTGTCGTTTGTCTTCTCAACCCCATTCAAGATGATGTTCCCCTTCTACATCCCTCCGCCCACCATCAACACCGGATCCATCACATTCCCACCAGCACCCCCTCTCCCCCCTAGACCGCGACTCGTCTCCAAGCCGAACCCACAGCTCAAGGCCAACGCCGGCGGGCCCAAGGTAGCCCCGCCAGACCTCACTTTGCACTAACATGCACAGACCCGCCGGATCTACTGGCCCAACCGTCTCGACGCCGCATACGCGACCCACTCGCTGTCGGCCGTTGATGGCCTCTCGCGCCCGTTCGTCGGGCCTTTGCACCCAGCCTTTCTCGTCCGCCGTTCCCTCGAGAGACTTGCATTCACGCGCGTCACCCTGCCGCACATCCGCCCCGAACCGCTGCCTTCGATCGTTATCGACCGGTTCCTGCAGCAAGGCAGGATATGGTCTGGGTTTGGCGCGACGTGTCCCGGTTTCAACTACCCCGCCGCCAACAAAAGTGCCAGTTCAATCTCGTCGGGCTCAAGTTCAGAGCACAGCGAGAGGGTCCTCCGTGGCCACAACCACTCCAACTGCACCGCACGCCTAGTGGCCAAGTTTACCTCTCCGACGGAACACTATGGCCGCGAGGGCGTGTGTCCCGAAGCGGCGCGCGAGGCGTGGCTATACACGCACAACTTGCGCTGTCTGCAGGGGAAAGTCGTGCCACGGTGGTGGGGGGTGTACTATGCCGAGCAGAGTGCGGGACGTGGGACGAGGCGGGCTGAAGTCCTGTGCGCCATCATGGAGGATGCTGGGCGGCCGCTTGATGAGGTCGAGGCGGGCCACCTGGACAAGGCCGACAAGTGAGAAACACCCTCCATTGCCACTGGGCTGACTTCCACCTAGGATAGTCATCCGGGACAAATACGCCGCGCTCCATGCCTCGGGCGTAGTACACTACTCGTGTGCGCCGAAACACTGGCTGGTGCCCTACTCGCTCGAGCTGCTTCCCATCGACGTCTGCAGCCTTCGCCTGATCGATTTTGGATCCTCCCTCGTCCGCCGGGACGTGTTTACAGACTCGTTTGCAGGAGGAATCCCTGCTGCCGGAGCCCAGTATCTGGGCGCCATGGACCAGGACGAATGGGAACGCCATGCGCAGGTGGAGATGGAGCATGTGTGCAAGATTTGGGCGTAGAATTGCCCGACGCGTATGCGGCGAGGAAGGGGTTGGAGACGGTCAAAGAGGAGGAAGAAGAGGGGGAAGAGGAGGTGTGGTTTAGTACACAGTGCAATACCCGTGGCCCCTGCATCCGACACCGTACGTTGTAGAGTTATGGATTGTGCATTGCAAGAGTGCAATGGTGCCACCTGGGGCTCCTTGGGAACAACTCCGGATAAATCGCGCTGGGATCCACTCCGAAATGTCAATCTTGGGCCACCTCGGTTCTCATCAACAACCAGTCTCTCTACCGCCATGCCGCTCCTCTCGCCACACCTCGCGTTTGCTCCAGGAGATGACCCAACATCTTCTTTGCCTCCTCGCGGATCGCACCTGGTCGTGAGCGACACCTTGACGGCACCAAGCCACTTCGCTGTCCTCCACCTCGTCCTCGCAGCTGTGTCGAGCAAAGTCCCAGTGAGTTGAGAAGTCGCGCGTTGACAACTCATGTCATCTGGGGTAGTGAGACGTCCTGTCCTGTAGCTAACCACCACACAGGTCATCTGGGTTGACTTGCGCCTGGAAGGCAGGGCATCCTGGGACGCCATTGCGCGTCGACTGGGCACACCTCTTCCTTCGTCTCCCTCGGCATTCGTGCACATCCAACCCACACCTCTGCCCTCACCTCCAGGATCTACTCCTCCATCCCTCAACGCAGCATCAGCACCAGCACTGTACGACCCGAACCCGACCTTGCGGCCGACCTTTGACGCCATCGCGACCGCCATGGCCGCGCTCAAGTTGGACAACGGAAACGCAAACCTTGGTCCTGGTCCTGGTCCCACCGCACCTGCCCTGGTGCTACTCGACGGTCTCTCCGAGCTCGCGCACATGGGCTTTTCCGTCTCTGAAATTACGCAGTTTGTGCGCGCCGTGCTCGCGTCCTCGAGCGCCGCAGTGGTGTCGACATTACACGCCGACCACCTCCCGCGTACCGCCGCCGCTGCCGCCAGTACAGGCGCGCAGGAAACAGATGCGGACGCAGCGGCCCTCCTCGCCGGTATGCTGCGTCTCGCGGGCTGCTGGTGGCGCGTCTCGGGCTTGGCCAGTGGGCGGAGCGGCGATGTGAGCGGCGAGATTTCGGTGCACCCACTGGGTGCTGCTCCTGCCGGCGTGGCCGTGCCCCGGAGCGCGGCGTTGCAGTACCGTCTCGAGGCTGCCGGTGTCAAGATGTTTGCAAAGGGCACGGGACGCGGCTTCCTCTAGAGATGTCTCTGGACCTGTAGATTAGGATTTGAGGCGACGGCATGACCTCTGCCTGCTGGCCGCTGCAGTAGACACCTATAGACACTACACACTTGCTTGCTAGCAGTCCATGTGCTGCATTCCCAAAAAAATGTATGTACAGTCCCAAAAGACACAAGGACAAGCGAGGCTACCATGGCCCGCTTTGTCCGTTTTAAAGTTGAGGGCATTAAAAGTATAGCTATTGCCCAAAGAGAACCGCGGTGACCCACTGGGGGAATGGCGTGCCAGCGTCTGGCGCGGCACAGGAGTATCCCCACCGGTCGTCGTACACGACGAAAATGGCGCGGTAGTGGAGGATGATGGCGCCGACGATACACAGGTGCCACATGTTGTGTGATGCGCCCCACGTGTCAAACTTGCCTGGCATGGCGCACTCGGGAAAGTGGAAGGCGTAGAAGAGCAGGCCGGTCACGTAGGTTGCCACGGAGAGGGAGAAGGGGGAGACAAAGGCGTTGGCGCGCTCGCTGCCGTGCTGCATGTAGAGCTGGACGATGGGCGCGACCATGGCGACGTTGAGGAGGAGGAAGAAGAGGATACGCCAGTGCTTGTTCTTGCGCTGGTTGAACCATTTCTGGAAGGGCAGGTACGAGCCGAGCGCACCAAACGCGAGGTTGACACCGGTGTAGGCGCAAACGGTCTTGGGCGAGCAGTAGTAGGCATTGTAGACGACCGTGTTGAAGCTCATGGCAATGAGCCACGAGATGCCAATGTAGTCGACACAGGCACCCCACTCAAACCAGCGGTGGCTCGCACAGCCGCTGAGAATGTGCCAGCCGGCCGAAGACGACAGGCAGGATGCCGCCGCGAGGAGGTACGAGATGAGCATGGCCGTGTCGACCCAGTGGGCGTCCTTGAGCGGGGTGCGCCAGATGAAGAAAGGAATCACCAGCGCAAGGATCAAGCAAGTGGGGATAAAGTGCGAGTGGATGTTGACGGTCTCGTTGTGCCACTGGAACGCCGACTTGATGAGCGGAATGGGTCCCTTGCCACGCCCCAGAGGAATGAAGCGGCTGCGGTCGGGTTAGTACCTGCTGCTTTACACATGCCCGGATTGCACAGACGGCTACTCACTATCCGGTATGAATGTACTGGTTGTTACGCCACCACATGGGGAGATCGTTGAACGTGATGAGCTTGGAGCCATCACAGCTGCGGACGAGGGCCTCTTGGACATTTGGCACCTTGGCCTGCGCACGTTCCTCGTCGGCAGCAGCAGCGGCGGCAGCCGCGTTGAGCTTGAGCGTCTCCTCGACGGTCTGGTCATCGGCCTCGCCTTCATCGTCGACAACTGACGCAGCAAGCTCGACAGCTGGGCGGATCCACTGGTCGAGGAACGAAGGGTTGTAGTCGTGCTCGCCCAAGCTCTTGGAACGGCGCAAGCGAAAGTTGGCAACGGCGTGGGCAGGTCCAGGCGTACGGTTCGGGAACAAGTACTCTGGCTCGTCCTCTTCGTCCTCGATAGGTGACCACCGCTCGTCCAGAGACGAGCTCTTTGTGTGGTATCCACTGCCGCGGGCCCACCCTTCTCCTCGCCTGCGTCCCAGCCGACGGTTCTGGGAAGAAGATGAAGACGCTCCAAACTCGTCCTCACCTCCCTCCTCCCATCCGAGCGTCTCCCAGCCTGCCCAGTCGTCTGGCGGAAGAGCAGCGTGCACAAAGTCGATGACACGTTTGCGAGCGCCGCCAACTGCGCGGTGCGCCTCTGAGACCGGGTCAGGCCAAGCGCCTTCGCGGCCCAAACCGAGGTCGACGGCGTGGAGCCTGTTGGGCAGGCCGCGCAGCCATTCTCGACTGGGTGCGAGCTCGGTAATGCCGGTGGGCACATAGGCCAGCACGTCTTGACGCAAAGAGCACAGGTAGTCGAGCATGGCATGGTCCTCGTCGGTCGCGGGGAGCGGCGGCGGCGAGTTTGCATCGCGGCGGGCACGTGCGGCAGCCGCAGTGTTGTTGGGGTGGTGTCGCCGGCGAAGCTCGTGGTGCGGGGCCAGTGCCGACGTCGTCGCCCCAGCTGCGCTCGAGCGGAACACGTCGCCGTCGCCGTCTGTCTCGTCTTCAGACGACGGGGAGGGTGACGACGTGACGCTGTCACGCCGAATGGGCTCGTCGACCTGTAAGGGTTCCATGCCCAGGCGTTCACGAAGGGCGTTCTCCGCCTCTCCGAGGTAGCCTAACAGCGCATTGCGCAGGCCAGACATGCTTGGAAAGCCGCGCGGGAAGGGCAGGATGGAGCCTGCAAGCTCATTGTGCTCGAGCGAGGGGTTTGGGTGGGAGAGGCGGCGGGCCCAGACAGATGGTGATGCCTGGGCGGGAGACGCCATGGTGGGTGGTGGTGGGTGGTGGTGGTGGTGGTGGTGGACTAGAGATTCGGTTGGCAGGTCCGAGCGTTTCGGTGCAATCTTCCGAGCGCCGAGAAACCGGTCAGAGGAGCGAACGGGGGGTCGGTGAGGTAGGGAGTGGATGGGGGGGCAAGGGCCGTGGTGATGGATGGTGAGGGCGGGTTGGCCGTTGTGATTAGATCGACGGGTGAGGGGGAGAGTGCAAGAGAGAGAGAGAGAGAAAGCAGAATGAGTGTGTGTGTGAGATGCCAAGGACAGTTGCCGGGGGACCCATGCAACGGTGGGCCGTGGGTGGGGTGGTGCGAGACGGCAGGGGGAACGGACACGGCCAAATTCAGAACCCAACAGTCGGCGGGGGTGGGGGGACACGAGAGCCCCACCCCCCACTGTCGCTTTTGGCGTCATACTCCCCCCCGTCTCCCAGTCCCCCCACATGCACAACACACTTGCAAGAGCTTGATCACACTTGTAAACGACAACCGACAACAGTACGCGACTGTCCCAAAAACAACAAAAAAATTGGCGCTGCATCTGAGACAATACAGTGCGCGCGCGTCTCTTTTCAGTTGCACACGGCAGGCGGCGGCGGCGGCGTGGGGACAGAGAGATCCAAAACATCCCTCTTCGGCCGTGGGTCCCGACACACCCATTTAGCCCATGTACAATCATTCTAAAAGGCAATACACATCACTTTCTAATCACGGCACTTACATGGGGTGATTAGACGGAGATGTGCAGACACCTCCGTTTTCAAAAGGGGGCCCCGCACACCCAGCACGAATGAGCAAAGGCTCCGTTATTGTTGTCCTCAACGTCCACAACCCTATATCTCCATGCACCATTCAGCTGCTGCCGACGACGAAGCCACCCGTTCCGCCCTCCGATTCGCCACCAACTACGTGTTGGCCGCAGTAGAACCCCCAAGCCACGCCGCAGACGAACCCCTCCGTCACCGCGACATGGTCTCTGGCGTGAGTCTTTCCAGGGCTCCCAGTGAGCGAGTGGTCACCTAGCCACCCATAGGCTACCTCGACGCTCAGGTCAGAGCCCGTGGCGCTTGGGCCCGCACACTGGTGGGCTCGCACAACCCTAGTCGCACTGAAGGCCACGCCTGCGCACGATCTCCAACGGCGTCGAGGGCTGCCGCGTAGTCTCGTGCAGGCTCCTCCTGACTGCGATTTGTACCGTCGTCGCCCCGCTCGAAGAAGAGGGTCACCCGGAGATTCGCTTGTAGAGAAGGTCTACACCCAGCTGGCGCCCCTCCCGCCTCCAGGGCCGTCAAGTCGCGCATTGCTACGGGATCTGGCTGCACCGTTTTCTAATTGTGCGACCAAGAAGTCTACGTGCACGTCACCGACGACGTGGGCCTCAGCCTCGGCGGCCTCTTGAACAGTAAATGGTCAGTAACAACCCACTACTGGCGAGTTCTGCATTGCATAGCGAGAGTACCGAACCGACGTGCGTGCCAGGGCCGAGATTGTAAGCGTTGGCGAGACGTTCCGGCAGGCCGGCGTCGTGGCCCCACCAACGTAATGCCAAGTCTGTTCAGCATCTACCCGCCGCGATATGGACAGGCGCAGACGTGCATGTCGGGCTTTGACGGCGTACTCGTCACAGGCCAGCCGCACTTTGGCGCCCTTGTCGCGGCCGAGCGGTAGTGGGTCCCGCGGGCCCTCACCACTGGCCAGTGATCGTCTACCTGGTCATGGCCAGCGGTCGGAGAGGTGGTACAGGACCCCACGACCGTCTCGCTTTCTGCCGCCACACCAGCCCCTCCTCATTATCCAACAATGACGCAATGTCACCCGCTGCTTGTCTCTTATATATGTAACTGTCAACTGTTCCGTACTTGTGTAGCTGTAAACCATGTTGTTTTTCTAACCACGCGCCAAATCTGATATTCTAACCGAGACAAGATGTAAAGTGGGTTGCCCAGTGGACAGTGGCCCAGTGGGAACCCCGTCTTCTTTTTCTCTCTTTTTCATTTTTGGGCGTGGCCGACCGGTGAAAGATGGCGAAACAAAAAATACCCCTAAAATAATAATAATAATAATAAATACAAATGACCCGTAAAAATGCCGTACTGACCCCCGCAGTTTCCTGCCCGTTCTGTGTACTGGGTTGTGTGGCAAGTGGAATGGCTGCTGAATTGTGGGCGTGGGTGGGGAGGAGTGGGGAAACTTTACCTCACCGCCAGGGTCTGTAGGTTTGGCCATGGTGGGGCCAAGGTGCGGCCACTGCATCGTCGTCCCAAGTAGCGAGGAACCCGGGACGGAAGCTGTACATCCCACTGGCCGCTGAAGGCCAATTTGCTCAGCGGCCAAACTACCTAGGAATTCTGGGAAGGAAGAGATGAGGGCTGGAGGGAAGACGCGGAAGGCTGTGTGTGATACCAGTCGTCGAGTACTTTTATGTCGTCCAGTATGGACATGCATCTCTTTCCAGCCATATTTGCATTATTAAAGAAGAATGTCCGGGGGGCTTGGTGGCAAGGTGCTGGAAGCCTCGAGCGCTTGTTTTCTCAGACCTTCTTGGGCTTGCCGTTACCATCGGTGGTGACCTTGCCGTTGCCACACGTAGTCATGCCGAGGCTGCTGAGAAGGCCAGTGGAAAGGTCGTACAGCCACCCGTGGACACACATCTCGCGGCCCGGAGTGGTCTCCCAGGCCTTCTTGAAGATGGACGACTTGTAGACGTTCTGGACCTGCATCTGGACGTTGGCGACTGTGAGGTCCATGTTGGTGGCGTTGGCAGGGAGGCACTGGCGGAGCTTGGTGATAGGGATGAGGAAGTTGTTGAGAGGGTCGTCGGTTGGCTTGGTGCTGACAATGTGAGCGCAGCCTGTGTGGTCGGGGTGGTCGCTGATGTAAGAGGTAAAGTTGACAGCGTCATAGACAGCCTTGATACCACCGCAGCCAGTGTGGCCGACGATGACGACTACGGGAGTATCGTCAGAGGCTGTTGTATTACAAGAGAGCCAAGACTTACTGTTGGAGACGTTGAGGTGGTCGACAGCGTACTCGACGACGGCGCCTGCGTTGTTGTCCTTGACCTGGAACTGGTTGGCAATGTTGCGCTGGTTCACAGGTATCAGCTACAAGGTCATCATGTTGCCAAAACCAACTTACGTGAGTGAAGATCTGGCCTGGGAGCTGGTCGGTGATGACACTCTCGGGGATGCGCGAGTCGGAGCAGCCGATCCAGACGATGGGGGGAGCCTGGGCGAGGGACAAGTTGTACAGGAACCCAGGGTGAGACGTGTTCATGGAGGCCGACCATTGAGCGTTTCCCTCAAGGAAGGGGACGGAGAGCTTTGCGACGGACCAGGCAGCCATTGTAGAGAAGATATGTGTGGGGGGGGCTAAGGGGGGGGGGGGGGGGGGGGGTAGAGTATGTATTTATGAGACAATGGAGAGTGCCGTGATGCAGGAAGGGGGACACGAAGAAAGGGAGAGTGTACGAGGAAGAAGAGTCCCACAACGGCCAGTTTATATGCTGTTTGACCACGGCAGCTCTTCATGTTAGCGCTCCATTCGCATTCGCCCCAGTTCTCGCTTCCGTCTCGATCTCTCGCATAGGCCGTGCCGTCGCAATATGGCTTGTCTCTTGGTCTCATTCATCCCAGCACGTGGGACCTTTCTCGGCTCGCTCGTCCCAAGGAGCCAAGGGGCTGACAGTGGATGACTACAACAAGCGAACTGGCAGCAACATCTCAACGGGAAACGTACAGTACAAGTACAGCCCAGGTGACTGTAAATTCGATCATTTGTGTTGCGGCATCGTCGGGGTATATCCCTGTTTCAATCTCCTCTCTGTGTCGCAGACAGCTGGGTCTCTTTGAGCGTCTGCTCTGGCGTTCCCTCCCTCTTGATCTCTTGGCAAGTCGGTGACTGTGCGTTATTTTAAATAACCAGTGTGTTCTGGAAAAACACAGAAACCTGTTTCACACTTTTACACACTTAATTGACACGACCGCGGATGGGCGTGGGTACAGTAGAGATGCTAGAGATGTCTGCACAGAAGACATCAGGCACACCTGTTATCCGCGCTCCAATACCCACACTAGTACACCATAGCACGCTAGTAAAGTCGCCACATTGCTACGCAGGGTGAATGAATGTCCCCACAGACGTCATGGGTCATTGATATCTGGGCACCCTTTCACCGGCGTCCAGTTCGGCATGTTGTGGATCATGGAACGCACGCTGTGCGTGTCCTGTGATCCTGTGACCCCCTGGCCGCTGGCCGCTGGGGTGGGCTCGGGTTGTGCGACGGCACACACGGTGGGGTTGTGGACGCATTTACTAATGGCCATTAACAATTTAAAATATAATACACGGAGATGCCATTTAAATCTCCGCACCACGTGGCCCCCGCTAAAAGTTGACCTCTTCGGCGCGCCCATATACCCATTACTCACGACTGTTCTCTCCTTTGACAACCCCCACACCTCTACATCAACAATGGGCAAGGCGCAGTACAAGAAGAAGACCGCCGCCAAGCGTCACAACCCCATCCGTGTCCCCGATGCCCATCTGGGTGCCGGCCGCATCGACGGCAAGGTCGACTCGGAGAAGGAGAAGCAGATGATCCCCGTCATGGCCAAGGTGCGCCCCGTTCTCTTCTTCTTTGCTCCTTGCGCTGTACCTTGCTGACATGTCTTCTCATAGCTCCGGTCTGCCGATTACTCTGACAGGACGTGGGCGTGTGCTGCCATCTGCAACCTCATTTCAGGCGACCCCGCTACCCGCCGCCTGTTCCAGGGCAAGAACGTTGTCGGCGAGCTCATCGAGCGCCTGTCCGACAGCGTCGACGAGGTCGTTGTCGAGGCTTCGGGTGCGCTCCGCAACCTTGCCATTGACGGTGGTCACGAGATGTGCGGTGAGATGTTCAACAAGGGCATCATGTCCCACCTCACCACCCTCATGGGCAAGATTAGCGGTACCATTGACGGCGTCCTCGCCGCCAACACCAAGGACCTGTCGGACGAGGAGCTCCAGGCCCGCAAGCACCTGCTCAGCCTGACTGAGAATGTCATTTCACTCATCTGGTCGCTCGCCGACGCGTCCCACAAGACCCTTGCTGCCGTCAACGCCGCTGGCTGCGAGGGTGTGCTCGTCAAGGTCCTCCAGGGCCGCGATTCTCTCAGCGTCGGTGTCGTGCTCGCCGCTGCCCAGGCTCTGTACGCTCTTACCCAGGACAACTGGACCTTCTCCAAGGCCCTCACCAGCACTCCCGATGCTATTTCCACCCTCGTTGAGATGGCCAACAAGGACCACACCCAGGCCGAAAAGGACCTCAAGGGCAAGGGCAAGGCCAAGAAGGACGGCGACGCCGCCATGCAGGACGACGACGAGGAGATTGGCGACGGCCGTGTTCTCCTCACGCGCGTGCTTGTTGTCGGCACCATTCGCAACATTGTCCAGCCGGGCTCGTGGGCCGACAAGCAGGTCGGTATCGCCGCGCTGACCAACGACGCCATTCTTCCCCTCGTCAACTCGCTGCTTGATGTCAACCTCGGCAACGTCGTCCAGCGTGTCACCGAGCTCGTCAGCCAAGTGCCAAAGGAGACCGTTCCTCTCGCTGGCAAGAACCTCGGCACCGACCACCGTTCGCCCGCCGAGGTCAAGCTCGAGCGTGTCGAGCGCATGCTCGTGACGGTCGTTACCGCGCTCGAGGTGCTCACTGGTATTTGCGCTGGTCTTGAGGACGCCGAGGAGACTATGGACGAGGACGCCAGTGACGATGCCGAGGTCGCCGACGACCAGGACATGGAGGACGCTATGGGAGACGAGGCTCTGATCGCGCAGGGCAGGGACCCCCGCGCTGCGGCTGACCAGGCTGCTCCCTCTCCCGTGGTGAACGCCACCTCGCTCCCTCACCTCGTTGGTGCCCTCCGCTTGCCTGAGCGTCTCACCGCTCTGGCTCAGCTCACCCCGCTCTCGTTCCCGCCCACTGGCTCTGAGCCCTCGATCCACCCGCCCACCACTGCGGCTCTCTCGAGCCTGCACCTGCGCGCCCTCGAGGCCCTCAACAACATCTTTGTGACTACCCACGCCGCCCTCGCCGGTTCGCCCTCAAGCGAGCTCGTGGGCCTCGCCGCTGCCCTCCCGGCAACTGGACTGTGGGAGGCGCTTTTCGCCATTGTTTCGGCTGCTGGATCAGACGCTGCAGCTCTCACCGCCCGTGGGCAGGAGATGCGCCGTGAGGTCATGGAGGCCGCCCTCGCCGCGGCCTGGGGTGTGGTCAAGACCTCGCCCGGCACTCTCACCCCGGCTCCTGCCACCGTCCAGATGCTCATGGACGTGCTCCCCGCACTCTCGAGCGACGCGGCCCGCGCACGCACGCTCGACACGCTCGCCGGTGTCGCTTCGCGCCCTGGCGTCACTGTCGCGGACAATGCTGCGATTGGCGCGTTCCTCATGACTGCCCTCGCGTCAAACCCTTCCACCGAGATCACCGTCGCGCTCCTCAACGCCATCATCGACGTGTACGCCGACGAGACGCGCGAGTACGACGCCCCCGTGTTTGTCGCTGGCGACTACACCTCCAAGTTGGCCGCGACTGTTGCGCGCGTGCGCAACGCGACGCGCTCGGTCGACAAGAGGAAGCAGCCCGAGCTCCGCAGCCACGCCGAGGAGGCCTACGAGAACCTCACCGCGTTCATCAAGTACCGCCGCAGCCTCTAGGCGAGCGACGAGGAAAGAGCAGGAGAGAAGCTAGTGTGTCCCAGGGACACGAGGAGTCCCAGGTGTTTATTTTTGTTCTAGAGTTTTGATGATGTCTATACCATGCATGAATGATGCTAGTGATGTACCCCCCGAAGCCACAACGCTACCAGGGAACTGTGCTTTTGTTTACTTCTTCTTACCGCCCTTGCGCTTGCGGGGCTTTTCAGGCGTGGCCTCGGACTCCATCCACGAGTCGTCGATGACGACGGGGGCCACGGGCTCGGCGCTGGCCTCGACGTCGACGTTGTCGACAGCCTTGGCGGCAAGACGAGCCTGCTGCGCGACCTCGCTGGGGGCCTCGATAGTCTCGTCGCGCACCTCGACGTCGTCGTCCTCCTCGCGCCACGACCAGAGCAAGCCGAGCTCGCCGCGGAGGGCGGCGAGGAGAGCCGGGCCGAGGATACACGCCGGCGAGAGGTACAGGAGCGCGGGCTGGGCGCGGTTCTGGACCGTCACGGCGTACACGGTCGCGCACAGGCCGAGGACGTACGAGACGAGCGCGGCGATAAAGTACGGCTTGGGGAAGCGGCTGCGCGGGGTGATGTCGCTCTTGGGGTTGGCAAGGACGTGGCGGCCCATGTCGAAACGAAGGCAGAGAGCGATGAGGAGGCCCGGGACAACAACGTCACCGAGGCCCAGCATGACAAAGTTGCCGGCGCCCTTGGGTGCCAGGAGCTTGATGGGCGCGTCGATGCCCTTGGCGACGGTGACCATGACAGGGGTGTAGAAGACCTGCGCGTGAGTAACGGGGTTCTCCTGTACTCCGCTCAACTCACCCAGAAGATGTCATACACAAGCAGCAAGCTGAGGAGAAGGGCAGCAGTAGGGAATCCGTCCAGACGGAGCAGGCCAAGCGCCGAGGTACCGAGACAGAGGGCAAGGACGTTGGTGAGGACGTAAGGGCGGCCAAGGGGCACGTAGAGAGCCGGGAGGGCAACGGCCGGGACGACCGAGATGAGCGAGGCGACGCGCATGGGCAGGTGGAAGACCTCTGCAAGAGTTAGCATTGCTTCAACAACACCCCCCAACTCACGCTTGATGCCTGCAGAGATGCGGACGTGGTAGACGGTGCTCGCGACGCCGAAGAGGCGCAAGATGCCGCCGATGATGGACCCAAAGGTCGAGTGGACGGCAAAGACACCCAGGCCGGAGACTGAGGAGGGTAAGCTGATGCGTCCACCTGCTGCAGCGTGTGCTGCCGCTCGACAACACTCACAGTAAACACCGAGCACGAGGTCGATCCACTTCTTGTCGACATACTTGATCAGAGCCCAGAGACCCAGGAGCGCGGCACTGCCCAGGATGGGAAACAGGATGCTGTCCGCGAGCGTGATAGTCTCGTCCATTTCCGAGTCGAGGTCATCGTCGTCCTCGTCGTCCTCGCCGAGAAGACGCTTGCGGTCCAGACGACGCGCCGCGCGCCTCCGCGCCTTGACCGAGGCCGGGACACGGAGCGACTGGTACGACCCAAGGATGATGGGGAGCATGGCCTGCGCTCCGAGGGCGGAAAAGCCTGAGAGCGGGGAAGACATTGTGAGGGAGGGAGGGAACGTTGAAAGATAGAAGTAAGGAGCGTGAGGGGTGGTGTGTTGACGCGTTTGACACGGGGGCGCGCTGTAGCCGTTTTTAAAACGCAAGGAAGGGGAAAAACGAGGCGCCGCTGTAAAAGGGTACGTTGTCGCTGTGGTTCACACCAGTTGGCCAGTTGTCTGGAGTGAGGGGTGCAAAAGCGGGTGGTGGAAAGAGTGGAATGGAAAGAGAGATGTGACGAGCAACATGACCGAGAGCTGTCGTTTCAGGTGCTGCAGGCGGCGTTGGCCGACGTGGCATCGGCATGTGGCACCCAAAGCGAGTGAAGGGTTCGAGTGGCGATTGCTTCCTCCGCCGCCTCGGCCTTGTTCGCCACAGCAAGAGTACTGGCTAGGCAACAGCACTATAGATAGATAGATACAGGACAACTACACACATGGATGGCTACATTACGGTTGAATCAATCGGCGCGACTCGGTCCAGTATTCACTTGGACACAGGAATTGGACATTGTGGCTCGTGGACGCTGGGTTCGCCCTCGGTCGAGGCGTACACCTGCGCGTCTGCAGCCGTCGAATGGAGTGGAGGAGTGTCGGGAGGTGCCCGCCCCGGTTGCGGTAGTGGTTGGTCGACACTCGGCGACGTGGCTGCTGCCGCTGCCCGTGCCGCTGCAGTCGCTGCGGTCCAGCACTTTTGCATCTTGATCGAGGACCAGTCGGCCCGTCGCAGGCTCTCGCACAAAAACGGCGGAAACGGAAGGGCACGGCTCCTCGAGCTCGTCCTTGTGTCGCACGAGCGGGTCATACTCGCCGAGCCGCTCGCGCAGGGTCGCTTCGTCAAACATCTCGCAGAGGCGCTGCGAGTCTGGCGGCGGCGAGTCAACGGCCGGCGTGGCGCACATGTCCATGGCGATGCGGCAGAACATCATCACCTCGCTGCGACTTGCTAGGTGATGCAACTGTTCGACATCTCGCAGCGTGCGTGCGGCCATCTGGTACGCCACGGCAGAGAACCCTCTTGTCTCGGAGTACCACTCTTGAGCCGTAAGACGTGGTCGCTTGCCCCATTGATCCTGGTTCCTGTTGCGGTCAGCAAACAAGAAAACGCATTGGCGATGGACACGATACTGGACTGTGTAGAATGGGGGAGAGAGAAAGAACCACTGCGACCCAACACAGACAACGACGATTGCACCGCCGTCTACGATTGCCCCGTCTCCCCTCCTTGGCGCTCGTACTTTGGCCTTCCACTAGCCCGCCCGCCCGCCCGCCAGCAGGTTCCAAAACTCACAGCTCGTACACCTTGTCAAAAACGACGAGACGCTGCACGACAGCGTTGATGTCGTCCCAAGATTGTGTCTCCACGGCGCGCGCCCAGGTGACGCTCGCGTTGCGCGCAGCCCAGAGAATACGCGCGCTCGCTCTCTTGACGGGATCGGCGTAGTGACTGTGCCGCCGCGTATGTTCGGCGCGCGGGAAGTGAGGCGCGATGGCAGGTTTGTATGTTGCCCTCGTTGAATCGAATATGGGGTTTGAGGACAAGGACATTGGGATCGCCTGATGGGCGGATGGATTGATGCGGAATGGAATGGGTAGAGAGGGTTATTTACCCGATATGGGCAGATGGCCGATATGGCGGCAATGGGTGGTACTATTTGCCCCCCCCCCACACGGGCTGCTGACGCCAACGTCGGCGACCATAGGAGTGTCGTGCGGACTGAACGTCGTATCTATCAGATGCATTCCATGCGGACTCGTCGTCTCCGCCTGCGTGGGATCCGTTGTTGTGGCTGTCACCTTTGGATGTGCATAGGTGGGGGCCCTTTGGCCTTTGGGTGGGCAACACCTTTCGGGTGCGCCTCTTTTGTTTTTCGGGCTTCGGACGGGCATGTTACGCTGGATCACATGCTGCATGCTGGACAACGGACCTGTTTCGGACGTCCACGTTCGGGCTTGTTCCCTTGCACTTCGATGGATCGGTGGCCCGGTGGCCTGCATGTGAAAGTGGGCCATCCCAGCCGCGCGCAGTCACTTGTCAAATACATTTTACTGAAGCCAGCTCACACGTAAAGGGATCAAGGGTGGTGAGACATGAAATGCACAGCGGAACACCAAACACCACCACACCACGAGGGGCCAAAGAGTGGGGGTGGTGGTGGTGGTGGGGGTGGTGATGATGCCGAGGACACCGGAGATCACACACACTCTTTCGGATCTACTCAAGTACTACTGGCGGCGACGAAAGAGGCTCACTGGCAGCTGCTGCTGGGCCTGGGGCACTCAATTGATGGCGCTGCCTCCTGAATGCTTGGGGAATGCCATCACCGTTACAATGAAACGGAGCGACACCCGGGCCGTCAAGTTCGCGATAGGGTGTGAGGGAATGCTGACACACTGCTGCAGGAGCAAAGCAACCACAGAGGCCCGGAATGTGGCGAGAGAGAGGATCCAGTACGTGGGAGTCAACTGTCAGGACTCTGTGGGATGATACATGACGACGACGACGGACGTGACGGGGATATGGGAGAGCGCGACAAGATCGAGGGTTTGTCGTGGCTATCAATGGCATCCGTTTCTCTATTGTCGGCCGCATCAAAAGGACCTGTGGCCTGTGGGCCTGTGGGCCTGTGGGCCTGTGGGGCCTGTGATCTCGGCGTGTACCGTACCGTCGGAGCTGGTGCCAATCTCGGGTATCCAAGGGCAAGAAAACAAGGTGGTGGACAAAGAGGAATTGTGACAAAGAAGAGGGCGGTGTGCGATGAGCGGACGATCCAGCGTCCGATCCCCATCACGACCCCATACCGCAACCACGGCCACCGCCAAGCGCAGTCTTCTCTGAAGCATACAGCACGGTTTGGCCTACGTCAGCTGATCGACTGGGTCTCCTATGACAGATCTGTCTCTGTTGAACAGTTCAACAGCGGGTTTGCGGACAAAACAGCAGTGCTGCATCTCGTCGATAGGGCCACCTCAACTCGACACGTTCAGCCTCTACAACTGTGAACGCCTCCGCGGGGCCGCGACGAGCTACGAGGGGTGTACGGAACGCGGGTATACGGGTGCCACGTCTCTGTACTGGTACCTGCACAGGTGCAGGTACCAAAGGTGTGGTGCTGGGGAACAGATGGACGCCCCGTGTGAGTGGTGGCGAACATGGACGGGAAAGGCAAACAGGGTGGGGGGGGAGAGGGCTGGCGACAATGCCCCTCACATGCCCCACACGACGTCAGCTCTGGTCAGCTTGTTCGTGTTCTGGCGCAGGCTGCCTGTGGCCTGCCGGTCCGTGTAGCAGCAGTGCAGACACTTGACGCGCAGCCTCCGCGGTGGCGGGTGGCGGAGGTGGCAGTGGTAGGCACTGGCTTGGAGCTTAGGCAGGAGCTAGAGGGCGACACGGGGGCGAACAGAGATGCGGAAAAACAGCACGTTGCGCGAGGGGCATGCATGCAGCAAAATGGTTCACATGGCGAGCAAAGCGAGGTGGGAAGACACGGGAGGAGGGCAGCGATGGGTTTGCTTGTGTGTGTGTATGTGTGGGTTTTGATATGATGTTTCATCCCGACCTCATCGTTTCCGGCACCACGCAGTGCGGCCCTGGCTTCCGCGTCGTTGTGGCCACGCCGAGGACACGGAAATCCTCTGGCCTTACTCGATTGGCAACCGCCGCTTCGTCATGGCACCGGCATGTGCAGTTGATCGCTCGTTGCGACGAGGGTGACTGCAGTAGTGGCACACCACATGTGCCTTGCGTCTATCCCTAGGCAGTACAATACATTTGATGCATACACAATTAGAAGATACAGGAGTTGTTGTGCGCGTTTTGGACCATCCGCGTCGGTGTCGGCGATGGTTATGCTTCATGTGCGTGGCGGGGTCGTTTCAATGAGCGGGTACGGGTGACTGCCGCAAGCCGTCATGCCGTTCGTAACACAAGGCGGTTCAGAAGGCGGGGGGTATAGGTGTAGGAGACAGCCCTTGATGTTCAAGCAGGCCGTCGAATTGGACCGTCCGGAGCAACACCACTTGGACGCGTTGTCGGCCGAGGGCCTCCTTGAGGAGCTGCATGCGATCAATCGGGCCTTTTTCCACATCCGGGGTTTTGGCCGCGAGGATGGGCGTGTAGTCGGGGGGAGGATAACAGTCGGGAACCGGGGGAGGAAAGTCTGCATTGCATCAGCGCTGAGAATGCGCTGTCAATTACCAGACGAGAGCGGCTCGTACAACTCATCCTCTGTTTCTTTGCTTGGTCCGTCACGCGGGCCCTCTCCTTCATTTGCATTGGCTGCAACGGTCGACAACCGCGTCACACGCGCGCCAAAGTCGGCACCCATGAGTACAGCATCCGATACATGGTCACCAGGCTGATCACCGTCGCTCTCAAGGATCTCGTATTCTGGCGCTACCTCCTGCTGGGAGATGTGGTTGGCAACGCGAGCCTTTAACCTGGCCCCAAGCATCTGTCCATCTGGACGGAAGCGGAGGGACGACGGGAGAACAATGTGGTTGGAGACAATAGGCGGGCAGGTAACCGGCTGGGAGACGATGTACTCGATGGCCGCCACGGGCAGGCTCCACCAATAGCCGAAGCCGTCGTCATTCGCAAAGTCGTGTGGGAAGATCGTGCAGCCGTCTGAGGTGTTCGCGGCGTTGTCGAGCAGGTCCTCAACATGAATTGGAATACCGGGCGGGAGGGTGGCCTCGTCCAAGAACCAGTCTGACACATCGATCGCGACCAAGGTGCCGGAGAGAGCGAGGAGACGGAGGAACTTTGCGTTGAACATGTCGATTGCGATCTGGGTGCCGAACGCCTGATGCGAGCTGACGAGTTGAACGATGCTTTGCGCCAATCCCCGCGAAACAAGTGAACCGTCCCACTCTGCTGAGGAGCACTTCCTCTCACCGACTAGGCCGCAGATCGCCAGTTGGCCATGCCTGGCGGCAATAACATCATCTGGTTTTCGTATACCGTCCCTAATGGTTTTGACAGAGACGACGGATCCGGATGGAACTGAGTGTCAGAATGGTTAGTCTGCTGTACAGAAACTCACCTGTAGAGATGTCACCGGCGTCACGTCGCAGCTGGCGGATCTCGGCTTGCATTGGCGTGTCGCGATATCTCGACCGCCCTTGAGCGTGCAATGGGCCCAGGTCGCGATTGGTGGCAATGATAACGTGGGCGTCAAGGAGGGCGGGGCCAAGTTCGCTTGGCAGCTTTGGTGAAAAACAGGTGCCAAGCACTGCATTCATGTTGCCGTTATAGGTTGTCTCCTCACCAGGGACATCGGCGAGGGTACTCAAGGCCAATCGGCGTGCATTGCGTACAGCTTGTGTGATGGATGGGTCAAACGTCCATACAACGTCGCGGAAGAGCGAGGATGGGTCGGGCATTGCGGTTGTTGGTATGCTGCATCCTGCCCTCTCCCAGAGCGTTGTCACTCGTTCTTGTTGCGTGGATGCTGGATGTTGATGTGGCTGATCGCTGATAAAGATCGCAGAGATACACAGTGATTGAGGAGGATAGCCACGTGACATCTTACGTAAAGTGGACCTTGTACTGCCAGCCGCTGGTGCCCCACGCTTTATGGCGACGCGGAAAAACCCAATGTGTTTGTGGCCTGTGCGCGAGAGGAGTACGAGGAGTGATGCTTCGCTCGTGCTGTGGGTGGATATATGCCCGGGAGGGGACCTGTGCCCGTGAGAGAAGCAGCAGCACAGTAAGGAGCAGCGTGCAATGGCTCGGCTGCCCCAACACAACGGGCGCGCGCCACGAAACGCCGCTGTACCGCTGTCCCTCTCCCGCAGCAGGGCACTAGTCCGATGGCGACGACGACCATGACGGACGGCGCGGACGGACGGACGGACGATGGGACACAACAACGTCGTTTGGCCCGAAAACCCACATCTCGGCGGCGCCACAAGCTGACGCCATGACCACCCCGCGCGCCGCCAGCGCCACGGCCCGGAGAGTGGGGGGGGAGAGCGTGCGCACAGGGAGCGGACGGGCACTCTCCGCTGTGCATATGCTCTCTCTAGCCCTCTCGCTGTGCCTCTGTGTGCATGCACCTCTCTCTCGCTCTCTCTCTGCACATATGTCTGTGCGTTTTGCGTTGGACCCGGGGGTGTGTGTGCGAGAAAAGGATCAAAGGAATCCATCAAAAGCGCCGTCGTCACAACGACCCACACACCACCCCCTCTCCATATCTCTCCATCGTCTGACATTTTCCAAAGCCTCCTTGTTTTCCGTCGCCCATCTTTCGTGCCCCCTCCCCCTCCCCCTCCCTCTCTACGATCAGATCCACGGCGGCCATCGCGCCGTCGGGTGCGCAACCAACAGCGAGCACACACGATCCACACACAATACAAAAGAACACCGGGACCCCCGCACAGCGCGTCTCACAGTCCATCACCCCCCTTTCACAAGTTCGACACCCCGACTCCTTTCGTCATCACGCCTGCCCCTTTTCCATTCATCATACATATACCGTTACTTTACGGCCCTCTTTGCCAGCAAGGTCCATTACACTGAACACTCACATTCGTTGCTTGCCATGAGCTGGCTCTCGTCCCTCTGCTTCTGGCCGCTGGCGGTGAGTCCTGAAGGGGTATATTTCCGCCAACAACAACCTGGTTGCCACTGCTGACCACCCCAACTCTATACCAGCCTGAGCGTCAACCCCTCCTCCTCGATGTCTCCCCTTCGTCCCAGTTCCCTCCCCCACACACCGTGTTGACCGCACCCGTCCCGCGCACTCGCCCGTTCAACCACCTCGCATCTCTCCTTGGCCGGCTGCCAGCACCGGAAGACGCCGAGCTCCGCCACTCGCACAGCTCAAACCACTCGACCGCCTCGTCCCGTCCACTGAGCATTGTCGAGTATGCCGACCGCCGGTGGGAGGAGCGCCGCGAAGAGCGTCAAGGTCGTGCCCGTCGTCGAGAGGCCGAGTCCCGGCGACAGCGTGCACTCTCCAGTGCATATGGCAGGTGAGTAGACTTGCATCAACGGAGGCTCCTCAGGGCGGAAGGATCAGTGGCACTCTGCCGCGTGTGCGCCAGTGGTCGTGTCAACTTGACGCAACCCACACCGCAGTCCCCTTTTGGGTTCTTTGATGAATCTTGCTGACTCGCCATCAGCCGCATGTGCAAGGTAGATGGACACCGTACCTCCCAGCCAACCACCCCAACGTTTGTCGACGGCCGCGAGGCCCCGCCACGCCCGCCCAGCGCGACCAGCACCCACTCGCGTGCCACCCAGGGGTCCATGGGCAACCGTCAAAGTCACGTCCGCCACCGCTCCCTCGACGTCTTGCCTCTCCAGACCTCGATCACCGACATTGTCGTCCCCGACTCCCCCACGAGCTTTGCCCAGTCGCCGTCCACCACCCCTCATGCTCTCCCCTCTCCTCCGCCGGCATTCTCCACCCGCCGCACCGTCTCCACTCCCGTTGTCCCCTCTCCACCGACATCCCCTACGACCCCACCCCAGGGGTGGTTGTCACTCCAGCTGAGACCGTGTGCTGGGCCGAAGATGACTCGGGTGTCAGCACACCTGCATCCCCAGCGGACCTGCAGGTGGACCTCCCGGTGCTCAGCAGGTCGCCGCCGATCTCCCCGGGCTCAACCACCTCCGCTCCGACTCGTCCCTCACCACCCTCAACACACTCGCCTCGCCGTGTGCCGTCAGGGCAAGCCTCCCCCTCGAGGAAAAATACCGTGCTTCCCGCGCTGCTCGTGGCAGCATGAGTTCGGTCAGCGATGCTCGCTCCCCCTCGCCCCACCCGCGCGACCTCGTGGACCGTATGTCCGAGGCCGATGGATACCCCTTCCCGCACCCAAACGAGTACGACGAGGGTGAGACCCTGTACGACGCGGACGACAGCGGAGTGGTCCACAAGACCATTGGACTGGCGGGTCTCAAGCCCATCTGCGGCACAGGCAGCACGCGTCGTCGCAAGCACAACAAGCGCGTCCGCTTCCCGCCCGGCACGGCTACGACTGGCCGCCGTTCCCGTGCGGACAGCAAGGCCAGCATGACGTTTGGCGACTATGAAAAGGTCGCCGACGAAAAGGCCTAGAGACATGGGCCCCTGTGAAAGAAGAAGAACCTAGGCGTAGGTTGTGTCAGAAGAAATCCACCAAAAAATACCTCCCCACCCCCTTAGACCCTCCTCCCACCCACCATCCCAGCACACCCCCCCTCACACCACCACCACCACCACCGCTCCATCTGGGCCCACTTTGTTTTATCTATCCATCATCGACTGTACGTTGGGTGGCCGCCGGGACATCTATCCGCGAGGCCGCGGCAGCGCCGCAGCAAAATATCTGCCGGTCGCGCCGTCATTGTCTTTTTTTCTGTCTTTTCCGTATCATTTCCAGGCTTTTTTATGTAGAGAACGCTGGACGACCTCACGAATTTGTAGTGTCATGCATCAGGTGTAGACTATACGACCTTTTGTCGGACGCTTGCTTGCATGGAGGCTACTCTAGTGGAGCTTGCTTGGCTGCACTGACGAGAGGCGCAGGGTCCTGCATCAGTTTGCTGCTTCCATGCTCCCCATGCTCCACTGCCACTCCACTGGCCGGCATGACCACTGCTAAACGTATAATACTGTCTGGGAGGCTTTGTTTCAAACCTGTACCTGCCTGCTCCACTCGCACCGTCAGGTCAAGGGTCACAGAGTACAGAGTGCAGAGTATGGGCGTGGGTGCGTGCGTGTGAAAGGCCGTTGCAGGATCACAGGTGGGGGGCCAAGCCATAGAATCGTACGTTTTGCGTGTCTGGTCATTTCATCCTGATGCGCGCAAATTTGGTCCTCGAGTCCTTGTGTCCTGGTGCGTTTGGCGTTTTGTCTACGGCAACGGCAACGCCCAAAAGGCCCAGGTCCCGGCGGCCTCGTGTACACGATCTTAGCGTTCTGGCGCTCGAGCACTCGCAAGGCAGGCACAGCGAGAGAAAGAAAGAAAGAGAAAAAAAAAGCCTTGCCCTCTCCGAAAGAGGGTGTTCGTTGCGAGTGATGGTGACCCCCAAACGACATTTCGATGCCACATTCGGAACACACAGAACAGGAAGAAACACATCATATGATACATGCTCATGGTCCACGGCCCGTCCACATGCTCCCTTAGTCCACACCTTCTGTGCACACGCAATGGGCCTGGGATCTATGGCGAGTGCCTCCGCACCGGCACCGAGCGGAGCGGACGGCGCATCGTCCGCCTGTCCGCTCCAGCTCGAGCTCGAGAGAGACACCACCACCCATCATCCCCACCGCCCCACCGCCTACAGCCGCGGACAACACACCAACGCCACTGCTGGCAGACTGCCCGCCAGCACCGACACTAGCAGAGTTCGACCGAGCAGACTATCTGTGCGCCACGGCACTCGCCCGTACGCCAGACGCGCCAGAATGGGGGAACAAAGCGCAGCTTAATGCGCGAGAGGCTTGAAAGTCGGCCCCGCACGCCACTGGCGGTCTCCCCACATACACACCATCCCGGCCGCCACCCACCCCCTCTTCGCCTCAGTCGGACGCTTTTCTCTCATCGACGGCGGCGGGGTGGCGCGCTCTCGTCGTCGTGGTCGTCGTGGTCGTCGTCGTCGTCGTCGATGCTGTCAGGAACCAAGGTCTCCCGACCACTCCTGCGGCGCGACTGCGTGTGAGCTGAGACACACGGAATAAAAGAAACTTACGGGCCCGGCCTGGCTTTGAGATTGTGACTGCGATTGCGATTGCGACTGGGCTTGAGACTGCGTGAATCGATCGACCTCCTCTTCTTCCAGTGAAGCACCATTTCCATCCTCTTCATCGTCATCGTCGTCGCGGCCATTGCCGTTCGCGCGGCTGGGACGCTTGCGCTTGCGTTGGGCGTTCGTCCAGGTGTCCTCGTTGCGCCCAATCGCGCCCTCGCCGATAGCGCGTGGCTGGATCTCGTTCAAGTCGGCCTGGCATTGGCGACACTTGGGACGGGGGGAGCCTTTGATCTTGTCGTAGCAGTGCGTGTGGTAGTGAGCGTCGCAGTCGCCTGCGTCGCATGCAACACCCTGGGACGTCAGACAGAGCAACGGACAGATGCCAGCCAAGCGGTACTCACCGACAACATCAGCCTCTCACACTGCTTGCACTTTTGCACATAGTCCTCGTACGTCTCCTTGAGGTAGTGGTCAAGCTCGAGCATTGCGCGAGGAGCCAACGAGTATCGACCGCGCCTAGAGGTCAACGTCTGTTGCTACGCATGCCTAAAGCTTACTTCGACTTTGCGAGCCACTGGCGCGACACGAGCGCCGAAAGGAGGTGCTCGGCATCGGACCGCTTCATCGTGCTCTCGAGCTCGGCAGTCTGGTGGAGGGCCTCGGCGGTCGAGACCGAGTTGGCCGGGTAGGACGTGATAATTGCCTCGACGACGGTACGGTAGAATGTAATCTCGAGAGGGGTGAGGTCGGTCGCATGTTGGGCAATGTCACCGGCCTCGGTGTTGCACAGGACAACCCAGATGTGTTTGCCCTCTTGCCCACGCCTCACGTACATGCTCACTTCCTCGAGCAAGACCGAGATCTCGTCGAGAAAGTCTTTCAGGCCACTGCGGTTACGCTGGTGTGCAGGAACAAAGTCGGGGTGGGTATCTGCAGAGGGTGAACGGCAGGGAAGGCGGTCATGTGCAGGGGCACAGAACGGAGGAAGGTGCGGTTTGGCCGGTTTGGTTGGCGAGGAGAGGGCAATGGGGGTGACGAGTAAGATGCGCATATCAAGAAACAGAGGATACAGCAGTGTCAGTGCTGGACTTTGCTTCACCGTCGTGCAGAGTACTCACGGAGCACGGCGCTGACGGCGCGGCGGTACATTTCAATGGCGACATCTTCGGTCATTGCACGACGACTGAGGAGGGACTGGATGTAGATGCGATGCAAGTCGGTGGCGCGGAGCGCTGGATGACCGTTAGCGGCCATGGTGCACGGTTCCGCCGTAGGGTTGTTTTGTGGTGATGATGGAGGAGATGGTGACAAGAGCAGGACAACGAAGCAGCCGCAACAACAACAATGTGTGGGCCGTGGGAGAACGCGTTGGACGCGTCCAGTCACCCGGTGTGTTTAGGTAATGACATTAGGAATATGGCTTCTAATGCTCTACCAGGCACATAATAACCTCCACTTCCTATTCAACTATCACGTGACCTCCGAGAAGTTGTGACGGAAGTCAGATGGCTCTCTCTGTTGAGATTTCTCGCAACTGGAACGACCTGAACATCCATAACAACCACAGCCATGGGCGAGACAGTCACAAAACGCCTGCATATTGGCGGAATCACGCCCTCGATTACGGCAGACCACCTGCGTGACCGCTTTCGCAGCTTTGGCACCGTCCAGGAGGTTGAGGAGATGGGTATCGATGCCCTCGGTGAGTCCTCCAGTGTCACCTCCAACTGGCACTGTCACTCATGAGACAATCGAGCTAACCCTGCCAGGTCAGCATCGGCCGTTTGCTTTCCTTACCATTGAGACCACTCCGGCTCAGCTGAGGAAGTGTGAGCTTGCGGTTCGTAGCTCAAAACTAACAGACAGGCTTGAACATCATGTCCGGCGCCATGTGGCGCGGTGCCCAGCTCCGTTTGGCAGAGGCCAAGCCTCGTTACGATGCAAAGTGAGTGCATCGTGGACACTATTCAGGAGGGATATGGCACCTACGCACTCGTGGCATAGCCCAAGAGACATCCGGGCATGACTGACATGACAGGCTTGTTGCCGACCGCAACGCTCCGGCCGGCGACGCCGCCCGCCGCACAAGCAGGCGTCTCCGCCGCGCCGTCGTTCTTAACGGCGGCTGCAAGGAGGCTCAGGACATGAGCCTCGTTACCACCAAGAACTTTACCCACCGCACAGTAAGCTACCGTAGCCTATGTCTTCTGTTCAGCTCTGACGTCCACGAGTTCTGGGTCAACGACAACGGCCACCTGATCCGTCCCATGTCCATGCGCCCGACCCACCCCATCCCCGCACCTCTCGATGCCGTCCGCAACTCTTCAGCTCGTCCTCCTGTCCGTGCACACCGCCGCGTGATCGACCCACGCCGATGGGCGCGTGAACACCTCATTCTGAACGGCGAGGTGACACCCGCAAGCGAGGTTCCCGAGTGGGAGTTTGAGGATGCCGACGAGGCCGAGGATGCCGACGAGGAAGGCCGCGTGCTTCTTGGATGGTGGCGCAGGGGCGACGAGGAGACTGCCGTGTGGGCCCGTAGGCCCCGCGTCGGCGACGAGGAGGACGCGTACGAGTTTGAGTTTGGCAGTGAGGCTGGCCAGTCTGATTCTTCGGACCTCTTCCCAGCTCGCGAGGGATCGCCTCTGTTCCCCACTCGCGCCGACTCTCCTCTGTTCCCTGCCCGTGCCGACTCGCCACTGTTCCCCGTTCGTGAGGGTACCGAGGCCGAGGACAGCTCTCCTCTGTTCCCCGTCCGCAAGGAGCTGCCGGAGGAGAGCGCCAGTGACTCTGATGTGGCCGCCAGCGCCGAATCACCTCTCTTCCCTGTCCGCAAGGAGCTGGAGGAGGAGAGCGATGATGCCGACGCCTCAGTTCCGTCCAAGTCGCCCAGCCCATCGCCCGTCTCCACCGCACCAGTCGCTGCCGCTGCCTCTCTCAAGCGTGCGCGCGCCGCCGAGGACAGCGACAGCGACGACACTGCTCCTGTTGTCCCCGCCGTTCCCGAGAAGATCCGTGCCATCGGTGCCGCAGAGCGCTCGGGTGCGCTGAACGTCATCTCGTCACTCCTGGACGTCAAGGCCGACAAGGCTCCCGCCCCCGTCGTCAAGCACTCGTGGACCGGCTACGCCGAGTCGGACTCTGACGACGACCTCGACTACTCGGCCCTCAAGCCCCAGACTGCCGCCGATGACGACGACTTTGAGGTTGTTGTTGCGCGGGCTTCTGCTCCTAGCCCCGAGGTGGCCCCCGCGTACGCGAGGTCTAGGTCAAGCGTGCAGCAGACCATGGATTTCGACAAGTTTCCCACCGCAAAGCATGTTGGCGTCAACCTCCCGGACATGGACTCTGACTCGGACTCGGACGACGGCGACGACTCGTTCATGAGGGGCCGTCCGCAGGTCGGTGGTGGTCCTATCCCCGACGAGTCAGAGGACTCGGGATCGGACTCGGACTCGGACTCGGACTCGGACTCGTCCAGCTCATCCGGATCTTCTAGCTCGGGCTCATCAGACTCTTCGGACAGTGAAGAGGAGAGCAAGAAGGAGAACGACAAGGCCAAGAACGACAAGAAGGAAGAGTCCAGCGATGACTCGAGCGACGACTCGTCCAGTGGCTCGGGATCAGATTCAGACTCTGACTCGTCGGACTCTGACTCGGACTCTTCAGACTCAGACTCTTCAGACTCGGGCTCTGAGGAATCCGACGACGAGGACATCAAGCAGTCTGGCCCCGCAGCTGCTGTCCCTGGCAAGCTGAAGGCCATGTTCGCCCCCGCAGCTGCCAAGACATCCTCGTTCTCGCTCATGGGCACACTGGCTCCGGACCTTGAGATTGACGAAACCATCGACGTTCCCCTGCCGACTTCCAAGAACGCCCCCGAACTCGAGGTGCTCGCCGCTGTCCAGCGCAGCACGTTCGACCCCGACACCAACATCCCCCTCTTCTTCCCCCTGCCCGTCCGCCCTGTGAAGCGCGGCGAGGCGCGCAGTCTTCTCGCTCCCGAGCCAGAGCCCGAGGCCGACGGTGAGGGCGAGGGTCACGATGAGGGTTACGGCGGCGACCAGCAAGGCGGCCATGATGCGTACGGCGCTGCCAGCAACCCCTACGAGAACGCCAACTCGTACGACGTGGGCAGTGCCGGCCCTTCGCGCTGGGGTGGCGCGGCCGCTCCAGGCCGTTGGGGCCAGGACACGCGTACTGCCCAGCCTGTTGCTGCCGCACCGGTGGCGACCAAGAAGCGTGCTGGATTCTACGAGGCCGAAACCGACGAGGACATGAAGAAGCGCTGGGAGGCTCGTCGTCTGGAGCTTACCCAGGGCTGGAAGAGGAAGCACCGCGAGGCCGTTAAGCACAGGAGGAGGAGGGGTGGACAGGATGCCGAATGAGTACGGTAGCAGAGGTTTGAGTTTCTGGCATTGACAGGCATGTATGCATTCATTCTGCACATAGACACTGTCTACGGATACGGCGCTGTACTGTTACAGTGCATTGATTGAGCCTTTGGCACGGTGACAGATCACAGAGCTGCACAGACGTTTCGGGCATTGACACGCATTTATGCAATCATTCTGCACATACAGCAGAAACTGTCTACGAATACTGCACCTGACGGTAGCAGCTCGCAGATATACACAGAGGTTTCGGGCATGGACAGGGACGTTGACAGGCATTTATGCATTTATTCTGCACATGGACAATACTACACATTGAAACTTTTGGAGGGCTACTGAGACGATCCACTGATCCGTTTCTTCACTCGATGCTTTAAACTGCTTTTCCGCTTAGAGACCGCGCCACTCCATGTTCTCCTTGACCTCGAAGTCGCCGCTGGCGACCATGGTCTGCGCGTCGACACCGACCTTGACGGCCCAAGTACCAATCTCGGTGGTCCAGGTGTCGTAGCCCTCGTCCCAGTGGGAGATGGCGTCTGCGATGGGGTCAGCTAAAGAAACAAACAGTGGTGGGATGCGGGAGGGGAGGGGATTATGGCAGACGGGCTAAGCTCGAGGCCGAAAGTGTCGCTCGCCCGAAGGACGGGTGGATAGTCCACTTGTCACAAGCATGACAAGCGTCCACCTCCACGGCCACATCGGACAACACACACTCTCGATTGCAACAGCCCGAATGATGTGGCGGAACGCCGTCGGCGCTTTTGCCACCCTAGCGCCTCTCCAACCCTTGTGGGAGTGGCATTCCCCAGCAGTGGCTCTCATGTTCACATGATCGAGCGACAAAAGAACTGGTGCACCCGAAAGGCGAGCATCGAGGCCGAGACAAAAGCGCAGCTGCGCCACACCCCACTCGTTGATCGGCAGCGCTAGTCTGGGGACTGGTGCAAGCGAACAGGAGGAATGCGGACGCCCAGCACCCGCCGACGTCCGCACATCCTGTGGCTCCTGCAGATCGCGCACTTGCGACTCCCGCGTCCCCAACAACACGTCCACAGAATCCGAAAAGAGTACTCACACTTGTCAAGGTCGACCTCGACACGCTGGGTCTGGCCAGGCTGGAGGTTGTAGACCTTCTTGAACGCCTGGAGGGCGACCTCGGGGTGCTTGAGGCCCGTGGCGGTCTCGGGAGGGGGAGCAGTGTAGAAGTGGACACTGTGGTCGGCGGTGACGCTGCCAGTGTTGGTGACGTTGATCGAAGCCTTGAGGCTCCAGTCGGCGGCGGTGGAGCCCTGGGGGGCCTCGACCTTGAGGTCGTCGTACTTGAAGCTCGTGTACGAGAGACCGTGGCCGAAGGGGAAGAGAGGCTCGATGCCGCGAGCGTTGTGGTGCTTGTAGCCGACCCAAATGCCCTCCTCGTAGTGGACACGAGTGCGGGCCGACTTGAAGTTCTGCGACGCGGCAATGTCACGCTCGCTCTTGGGGAAGGAGACGGGGAGACGACCGGCGGGAACCTGGCGGCCGTAGATGACGTCGGCGATGGCGTTACCGGCCTCGTTACCGCCGTACCAGGCCTGCACGATACCGGCGACCTTGTTGACCCAGGGCATCGAGACGGCAGAGCCGCACTGGAGGACAACAACAGTGTTGGGGTTGGCCTCGGCGACGGCGGTGATGAGGTCATCGCAGCGGAGGGGGAGTGACAAGGTGGAGCGGTCGTAGCCCTCAGTCTCCCAGTCGGGGTTGAGACCGGCTACGAGAACGACACGGTCGGCCGACTTGGCGGCGGCAACGGCGTCAAGAATAGCCTGGTCCTCGTCGTATGCCTCAGCGGCACCGATGCGGATACCCGTGATGGTGAAAGGACCAGCCTGGGTGGTGCGGTCCGAGGGACGACGGGTGTCGTGGACGACACGAATGGCGTAAGTCTGTGCAAATGTCAGTGAAACGAAGGTGCCACAGTGGGTTTGTACTACTTACGTTGCCCTTCTTAACCTGGACGACCTTCTTGACCTCGACGGTGCCGTTTCCGAAGAACTGGGTGCCCATGGTCTGGTTCTTCGAGTTGTCGATAACAACCTCGTTGTCGATGTAGAGCCAGCTCTGGCCAGTGCCGGTGATGCCAAACTCGTAACCGCCGTTGATGGGCGCGGTGAAGGTGGCAAGCAGCTCGGTAACATAGTCGCCGCCGAGGTCGGGGTGGTGGAAGTCGGCGAGGAAGATCTGCGAGCGGTCTCCCCAGTCCTTAACGGTGGGGGCCTCGGCGACCTTGCCAGTCTCAGCGTCAACCGCGTAGAAGTTGATGTCGTAACCGGCCTTGCCGTCGAGAGTGGTAAAGTGCTCGTCAAGGACGGGGAGGAACTTGGCGGTCTCACAGCCGAGCTTGTAGCTGAGCTCGACACCCTCGGGGGCGTTGTTGACAAGACCCTCCCATGGGTTAACCGACCAAGCAGCGCGGAGCTCGGCACTGCCACCACCGGTGATGACCCTGGCCTTGGCGTTGGGTCCAATAACGCAGACCTTGCCCTGCTTGACGGGAAGGACCTCGTTGTCGTTCTTGAGGAGAACAATACCCTCGCTGGCAAGGCGGCGAAGGAGAGCAGCGTCGTTGTCGCGGTCCTCGGTACGGGTGCGCTCCGAGTGGTCGCCATAGACCTCCTCGGGGCTCAGGCGCGCCCACTTCTGAACCCAGGTCAGAACCTTGGTGGCACGCTCGTCGATGGTGCGAGGGTCAATCTTGTGGGCGGAGATGAGGCGGCTGACGTAGCGCTGGTTGCGCCAGGTGTCCGCACCACCGGGCATCTCAAGGTCGAGGCCAGCGTTGATGCCCAAGTCGGTGCTGTAAGTACCGTACCAGTCGGACATGACAAGGCCGTCAAAGGCCCACTCCTTGCGGAGGAGGTCGCCGAGCAGCCACTTGTTCTCAGAGCAGTGGGTTCCGTTGAGCTTGTTGTAGCTAGTCATGTAGGCACCGGGCTTGGCGAGGCGCTGGGCGATCTGGAAGGGACGGAGGTAGACCTCACGGAGGGGGCGGGGAGCGACAATCGAGTCGGAGCCGTTACGCTCGTGCTCCTGGTCGTTGGCAACAAAGTGCTTGATAGTGGCCGACACGCCGTTCTCCTGCAGACCGTTGATGTACGCAGCAGCGGTGAGACCAGAGAGAGTGGGGTCCTCGCTGAAGCTCTCAAAGGCACGGCCACCGAGAGGCGAGCGCTGGATGTTGACAGTGGGAGCGAGCAGGCAGGAGGCGCCGCGGGCCTTGGCCTCGGCGGCAAGGAGGCGGCCGGCCTCGGCGGTGAGATCGGCATCGAAGGCGGCACCCACGCAGGTCGCGTTGGGAAGGGCCGACGCGGCGACTAAACGGCGTCAGTTGTTGTTATTCCATCGAGAGCATTCCCATAATCGTCACTCACTCATCTTGTAGAAGCTGCCACCACGAGCACCATTGGGGCCGTCGGTGACCTTGAGGCTCGGGATGTTGAGGCGGGGGATCTCGACAGTCCTGAAATGTGCGTCAGCTGAGATCTTGTGGACGTGTTTTTCGGGCCTCCTTCATGACCGTTGGGTTGTGTGGAAAGACCGATCTGGGTCATGGAGGCGCTTGTCTCTGGATCTCTGGGACATGTCGTTCCCAATATCCCGATATACCATTGCCAGTCCGGCCAGTCCACTCCAGCTGGCCAGCGTCTGCCGATGGGTGCCAAGCTGGCCAAGCTGGGCTTTCGGCAAATCCCTGGATCATTGGCACGGCATGCGCGGAGCACAGTCCGGGGATCCGGGGAGTGGCGGCCAAGCGGCAAGCGGCGGCCAAATGAAAAGACCACAACCACGGCAGTGCGCAGTACAGCAGTACAGCAGCCCCACATGGGTATGCGAGAAGACGAGAGAAAGGGGTGCACGAGAGACGGGAAAGCAGTACTCACTCCCACCAGTTCTTGCCAGCCAGCAGGCTGACCTTCTCGTCGATGGTGAGCTGCTTGACAAGCTCGGGAATCGAGGCGTCGAGGAAGGAGAGGTCCATGTTGCTAGGGAGGGGTGCGCTGACCTTGCGGTTCAGGTAGCTGGTGCTTGCACGGGTGCTGTTGTTCTTGAGGTCGGAGGTGGAGTTGGCAGAAGAGGCGGCCTGGACAGTCATCTTGGGCTTTTCTATGCCTCTTGGCTGGGGTAGCACAGATGTGTGGACAAGGATGGAGATGAGGAGGGGGCACGTCGGGGAGCACGTCACGTATATGTATGCCCACGGCCCACAGGTTCGGGGGGGAGGGACATTGGGGGCATTCGTGTTCATGGTCCCGGAACGGTGCGCGGGGTGTTCCTCGGCAATGAGCAACCGCCCTGGTTGTTACGAGGATTATCCGATGCTGCGCGCAACCTATTCCCCCGAAGTATTGCCGCACTTGCACCTCGTACAGCCTGCATGGCGGTTGTGCTGTGGCCCTTGGTTGACCCGTTTCCCTTCTCCCCTGTACTGTACGCACGCTATACATCTGCATCCACTGCGCTGCAGGGCCGTTGCATAGTCCTGGTTCCCGGTACGCGGGGAGGCAGTTCTACCGCCCACCGCAAAGTGGAGCCGGAACTGCCGGAACTCCTGGAGCTCCTCATCAAGACACCGAAATTGAGCGGTGGGGAAATGCACCGACGGACCACCCTGTGGCCTGTGGGCTGCGCTGACTGAACCAGCTTTATAAGTAACGTGCCGTCCAACCGGACTTCGGTGCCCGTACGGGCCCCATCTGCGGAGAAACTGGAAGAAGCCAGGTGCTTGAACGCGCAATAACATCGGAGTAGTGAGTGAGACATCCAGGACGGCTGAGCCTTTACCTATCAAGGGCCAAGCGGGCACTGCACACTCCATGCTGCTCGGCGAGAAAACCCCGAACTGCACTGTCGACTTCCTTGCCATTGGCGCCGGTTGGATCCCGATAGGGACACACCGCCAAAGGCGCTTAATCGATCTGGTTGTGCCGGCAGTGCAGCAGATATCCAGGCTTGCACCATCTCTAACACTTGTATACATGCCAAGAAGCTTCATATCTCATTTGCAGCGTTTCTATGACATCTCAAGTCTCAATGGCATTTTACAGTTTCAACGAGCCTGGTTATATCAGTCGGTAGATAGTTTGACTCTTATCACTTAAGACATCAAAATGTCATGGGTTCGAGCCCCATACTAGGCTTTGTTTTTGGCTTCTGTGCACTTGTATCCACAGAATGCGACTGTGCTTGCCGTCTTTTTGGATTGTGGGGAGTGTCTGAGCATAAGAGGATGATGAATGGCCGCACAGTGTCGGTATACAGCAGATAAGATATCGGTGTTGAGCCGGTGGATACTCAGTGCGTGAGAGACCCACAACTTTGTATCCCTCCATGTGCACGCTGACCTTCAATGCAACTCCTTTTTGCGAACCATGCAGTACTGATACATGCCACTACAAGCAAGACGTGTCGAAGAGCTGGCGCTATGGCTCATAACACGGTGATTAAGATTGTGCAGCGTTTTCCGTCCCGCCCCGCCGTGCCGAGGCGGGTGGATTTAGCGGGGTTGTGGCTGTGACTCCCACTGTTTGGGCAACGAAGCTGTGTGAGGATGGGGTAGGGATAGGAGAGTGTAGGTTGGAAGGGGGGATGGAGGCGGAAAGATGGATGAGAAAACGCAAAGCAAGACCATTGAGAATTAACGGGAATAGCTTGAGCGGTGGTGCGCGGTAATTGTGCTGTTGTCGTGGTGTGGATATCGTGGTGGTTTTTGTTATAAGCTGTTGTTGTGGTTTGCGTCTAACGAAGCGAAGCGCCTCCTGCTCTACCGAATGGAGAGTGGAGAATGAAGAAAAGCAGAAACGTCGTGTGGGTGTCGTGGCTGTTTGCGGGGAAGCAAAGCGAGCATGAGTGAAAAGCAAGCAATGACAGTCAAAGCAGTGACTAATCTTTACTCGGGGTCCTTCCAGTCGTTCCACTTTGCCGAGCTCGACTGGGACGAGGGACCGTCCTCGCGGGCAGTGCTACTGCTCGACTCGTCGTCGGCCTGCTTGAGGAACTCGTCAACCTCCTCCATGCCATCGCTGGGCGCAACCTCGGTGTGCTCATAGGGCGGCGGCGGGTTGGGCGTCCGCGACGAGTCGCGAGGGCGGCGCAGAGGAAGCTGGGAGGCCTCGGACGCTGTACGCCTACGGCCGTGATGAGGCTGGAACGCTGCCGGCGCAAAGAACAGCCAGCCGCGCTGCCGCCGTCCAGTGGTTGGCAGCAGGGTCGCGGGAGCCGCAAGCAGAATGTTGCCAGCCCGGCGCAGGGCGCCAGGCCAGTCTGGACCTTGCTGTTCATATGTAGGCGAGAGGGGACCACCCGAGCCAAGTGACAGAGTGGGCGACGAGCGGCCGCTCTCGGGGATAGAGCCCAGCACAGGAAGAAGCTGGTACTGCTGGTCGCGACCGTTGAAGATGGAGCGCAGGCCGCCTGGCGAGGTGGCCTTGGACCAGAGGAGACGCAGACAGCCAAAGAGCAGGACGACGCCGCCGACGATCATGAGGTTCTTGCCCCAACGGCCCAACCAGGTGATGAAGCCTGCGTCGTCGGCATGCCAGGACGACCCATACAGGTGCGAGAAGAACGAGTGGGGAACAGCCTCGTAAGGGGCATTCTTGCCGTACAGCGAGGTGGGCAGGACGCGGAGCTCGTGCGCGTCGTGCTTGTGTGAGTACACGGCACGCTGGGCCGAGAGGAACATGGGTCCAGTGGAGAACATGACCGTGGCGTAGGGCATAACGTAGTTGTGGTTGAACTTTTTCAGATTGTCAATCGTCTGCTTGAAGAAGGCGCTGCCGGTAGTCGAAACGAGCAGGTCGTTGGAGACGCCGACAGGGGCGGTAATAGGGAGCAGAACATCCCATTCCCCGGTGAGTAGAGGGTCGATCCGGCGACGACAGCCAATGTCGAGGTCCATGTAGACACCACCAAAGTGGTGCAGGAGGAAGTAACGGATCGAGTCGGCACGCTGGATGGGGTAAGGGTAGCCATCAAACATTTCGAGCTCGTCGGGGTAGTGCTTGGCCATGAACTCGCGGGACATGTCGTCGGTCCAGAGCTTGAACGTGTAGTCGGGCATGCCCTCACGACATTGACGCCACGCCACACGCCACTTTTCGGGGAGCACATTGCTCTTCCAAGTCTGGTGAATGATTCTCGGCATCCTCTCGCCTTCCCTGTAGAGATTGTCAGCGACGAGGTTCAGGCCAGTTCACGGTAAAAGAGAAGGCCAAGAGGTTCTGTGCCCATCGCACTGATAACACATATGGTCGCACATGGTTCCAGACCAGACGGCAGTGGCCACCGAGCTGGGTCTGTGCTCTGGTGGCGCCGGTGTGCCGCCGACCGGCCCTCGTTCGCCTGTTCTTCGCTGGGATGGATTGCACTCACTGGAGAGACACGTTGTAGAGGTTTTCCCATGAATCAGTGTCGGCGACGGTGCCGTCCCAGTCGGCACGCATCCAGTAACCACCAGTACCCTTGCCGTCGATACCCCAGACGGTGGAGTCGTCGGCAGGGACGCCGTCGACGGAAGCGGCCAGGTCAGTGTCACTGGCCACGGCATCGTCGCCCCAAGGGGTGTCAAGGTTGCTGGCAGTCTCGGTGGGAGGACGGGTGGTTGGGGCGGCAGTCTCCTCCACAGCGTCATCGCCGTCCCACTCCTGGCGCTCTTCGACTTGCTCCACGGACTCGTCGATAGCCTCGCGAAGCTTGGGGATCACATGTGCCGGATCCCATGGAACTTCGGCCTCGGTGAGCATGACTGAGCTGGGGACGCCAAAGTAGAGCTTGACGGTGGATAGCACAATGACGGTGCCCAAGAGTACGAGGCCTAGGAGGACCACAAAGATGAGGACCGCCCGGCGAGCGCGCGATGCGGGTTTTGTGTGGCTCGTGCGGAGGCCGCGGGATGCAAACGACATTGTGTGTGTACGGGGGCGGCGCTTGCTGTTTTTAGAGGAGTCGACAAGTTTGTCGAGGAGCCCAGCGGCCGTGCTTGGCGGCAGAGACGACGACGACGAGCCCAAAGGAATGGCAGCGAACGCGACTGGCGAGGACGGGGCAACGCTTGAAGGGGCGAGTGCCGAGGTTGTGGCCGGCGGTGACTTGTCGCCCGATGCAGAGGCGACACTGAGGCGGCGCCGGGGACCGCTTGTGATGGATGTGGTCGCGGCGGACGTCGCGGGCGATGTGTTTATGCGAGAAAAGGGGGGAGATGGCCGTGGGCGTGTGCGCAGTAAGAGATGTAGAGAGAGTGAGTGGTAGAATGTAAAGGGGAGGGAGAGGGAGGGAGAGAGATGGAGAGAGAGACGACGAGCGAGCGCCGAGACCAGCGGAGCGGGGGGGCTGTGGCCCACCAGGGGGAAAAGGGCAGGGGTGGGGCGGCAGGGAGGAAAATACACACAACGCATGGCCGCTGGCCCACCCGCCCAGGACATACTGCGTTCCTGAGGGCGGAACCAAACACGGCACCAAATAACCCCTAATCCGCACATTAGAAAAACTTTGGCTCCCCCCTTAGTTGTGCTCTAATAGACCAGTCCTAATGTCCATAAACACAGCCAAACACACGAAAAATGCCCCATCCCGCAGGCAGAAGCCTCTCTCTCTCCTCCAGTCTGGCCCTCGTCCCCCTGCAGGGGGGGGGGGGGTACGTGTCTCTACTGATTTTATGCATTTACCTGCCGCAAGCCCAAGTGGGCCAGATGCAGAGGGCCATGTGTTCCACAGGCCAATGTCCGCCACGCACAAGCGCACACAGGCCAGACCCCCAAATCCACCATGCCCGGTCGTCGAGCAATTCGCATTGTTATTGGGTCATTATCGGCCGCCGACAGTGGGACACGCCGCCGCGCGCCGTGGCCCCCATTCCGTCATTCCTTGAGCATGAACAAAACGGCTAAGTTTGATTACGGCTTAGTTTAGCTATGCCACAGATGGTTCAGGCTTGGCAACCTTCGTGGCAGAAGGCAAAGCGCGTTACATCACAAACGCCCAAAGCTTCGGGACTACCGGGGATTGATCACACCAACTTGATTCTTCGTTAACCTCGGCAACAAAGATCCACTGCGCTGAGCTCTGAGGCCACAACACCTCTGCATTGCACTGAGCGGAGCCGAACAGAAAGGCACCTTTGCCTCTTCAAACACCGGCAGCTATTGAGGGGCCAGAGGCTATGTCTGCCGTGCTTCACCAGGCTGTTCACTGCACATTCCGGACGCGTCGGCTCTGTGGATCTCACGACAGGTACCACACATACCCAAGCCAGACGACCAACTTGTGAATGACGACGGCTGGCCAGTGGCCTCTGACCCAGCTGGACCTTTCGCTTTTGTCAGATTGTTACCTCCTACGCAATCTGCTGCCATTCCGGATAACCTAACAGCAGTGCAGCAGGCCAGCAGGCCCGATTGCATGCCCACCTTCTCTGACATTCTCGCCCTCTGCCCGGTACAAAACAGCAGGGCCAACCAGTCATGTACAGACTCGCCGGAGCATGACGCGCATGACGCTGCCGTATATCCCATTGTACCGAAATTGTGGAGCAGTCGTTACGTTTCTGCCATTACGTTACAACATGAAGTGTGCAACTTTTGTTCCTACCACTGGCGAGGGTTCCGACAGAGGACAGATTTGGATTCGACAGGCATACACGTATCAATTCGGCCGCATGGCATGGGCTCTTGCCCAACCGAGTGCATGTGGCGTGTGGCATGCCGTCGCTCGGCGGACTGTTGCATGGGTCGCTCATGTTGATTTAGACTTTTAACTGCAACCTTGGCCACCACAGCGCCCAAGATGAGCCGTCGAAATTGTAGATCTTACATCATACTCTGGTTTTCTCGACCAAGTCAACGCTAATGCTATACATCGCTGGCAGGTCGTCATTGTGTGTCTATTGGCCATGAAAGGTCTCAGGCCAACGCCCTCTCAACAACTATGGAAACGGGGCAGCTACCGCCACTTTTGTCCTCCACAGACACGATGTGACTGTGTTGCGTCAACAAGCTCGTTTGTGGCGGAAGGCAATGGCGATGGCTCTCCCAAGCTAAACTCCGTTTACAGATCACGTTGTGTGGCCTGGGCACACAGTTGTTTATGAAGTTGTGAACCAACTGAACAAGCCCTCATTAAAAATGTCCTCCCGAAACAAATTGCCTAAAGCCAACCGCAAAGCCCGACGTGGCCGTGCCGTCCACTCATGGCCACTCAGTGTAGCTACTTGGCACTCGCCTCACGTCCAAGGCACATTCCTGCAGACAGCGCATTCCATTTCTCGCGCTCGGGCAGAGTATAGACCATACGCGACGTTCCTGTCGGAATGTTGAAGTTTCCACAACACTTTGCTTTTTTATCACTTTCGTTTTGGCGCTCTCAAGTTTCTCCTTTGTTCGCGACCGCATGAGATGTTGCAGATTGTATTGTCACGCGGCGCTACCCCCAGAGGAGAGGTCGTAGTGGTGACGTCAAAGAGCTGTGAGACACATGTGGGAGACCTGTACGAGGGCAAATGTAAGCTGGTGTCATGCGAGGAATGAAAAGGTAGTGAGGCGGGGAATGTAGCCAGACGACCGCCGTTCCCAGGCACCGGCGCGCTCCGAGACGACCAAGAAATGTCGGACGCTTTAGTGCTTGTCTTTCGCTTGTCCACTCACTCTCCATCCCATCCACTACACCCATGCTTTGTGCTCTGTGATACATCCATCTCTTCCGCGCAGCGCGCAGTCAAGCCATGAACACGCATACACACAACAGTTGACATCCCGCCCACCTGCTGCCAAGAGCCCAGGCCCGACCCGAAGGGAAGGCCAAGCAATTAAGCAAACGACGGGCCGTCCCAGGCCATCCCAGCTCGCCAGCAGGCTTTTGCCACACCCTACGTGCTCGCAGTTCGGCAAGGCTGCCAATCGCTATTTGTGGTCGACCATGCATGGTTGGCAAGCCCGACCCGTGCCGGTATGGCTAGGCGCAGCAGTGGGGACAGGCCGTTTCAACGGCGCCGCCGCGGGATGGCAAGACTAATGGTCCTAGCTGCGGCTACCGCAGCGACAGGATAAATACCATGGCCGTTGACGGCTGTTTGGGGCGTTTGTTGACGCGCAGCTGAGTGGCTTTGGCACTGTCATGGAGCTAGGCTGGACCCCGCTGATGCGTATGCTAACTGACATGGTGCGTGAGGGAGTACGTATTTGGGGGTGACAGTTGGAACCCCGAACAGAGCCGGCTGGACAGGCGAGTTCTCGGGTTCTCTCTAATCGTGTATGTACCCTGACCCACAGGCTCTCGCTTTGGTGCATCAACACATGCGTGCAGAACTTGTACAGCTCGAGGGAGAACAAACGTGGACGCCAAAAAGACTGCGACGACCAAAGGGCCGCGACCGTTGGGTGAGCAGCGAGATCCGAATGGCCCCTGAGCGAACGAGGCATTTCTCGGCTGTCAAACATGACTGCGGCAACGCCCATTATCCTTTATTGGGTCTCGCTCCCTGCTCAACCCTCTAGACAGCACCAAAGGCTTCTGCAACACACGTCTGCCGTGAGCTAACTGCTACTGATGGGCTGAATGCTTCCGGTTGTGAAGAGCGCGCGCAGTAGAGTGGTGGTCTCGTCTTTTGCAGTCCCTCGCGCGCATTGATCGCCCAACCCCTTGCGCCTCTTTGGGTTGTTCTTCATCCATCCGTTTGATTGCTGACCCCTCTAGCTCGACCTCCTCCTCCTCCTCCTCTACCACACTCCTTTACGTCTCTCTATTCTCTTATCCACGTCTGCCATACACCTTTGGCACATTCACTCTCATTGACACCCACCTTCATTTGACACCACACCCTCCGATCTCCGCAGTCACCAGTTCAACTCTTTTGCTGAACCCCCTCTCCCTCCTCTCCCTCCCGACAACAACTGGTGCTCTGGCTCTCTCCATCATCACCACCTACCGGCCATGCTGTTCATCCCTATCGCCGCCGTCGCCCTCGCGCTCACCGGCACCGCTGCCGCCGCGGGCCATGACGCCAAGCCAGCCCGTGGCCACTATCGCCGTTCCAGCCTCCGCGCTGAGCGCGAGATTGAGGCTTCGGGCAACCAGACTCTTGCCAAGCGCTCATACTCGGGAACCGGTACCTACTACTATGTCGGTGTCGGCGCATGTGGTGAGTAGACACTTGAGACTGCCCATGGGGTCGTACCACCATAGACAACGCACTTCGCGACGAGAAACGTGCATGGTCGGCTGGCGTTTGGAGCACACCCCGCCAAGACATACCAAATGGCCTGTGCCCTCCCTATACACTGGCAACAACCACGCGTCGTGCACGGATCACTGACATCTCCAGGTGACACTTCCGTGGACACCGACTACCTCGTCGCGCTGAACACCGACCAGTACGGCAGCGGTTACCCGGGCCCCGAGTGCTGGAAGACTGTTTCCATTACTGCCAACGGCGTCACTGTCAGGTGTGTTCATTCAAAGAGACGAGCTGCGGCATGCACTGACGAGCTACAGCAACGTTCCTATCCTTGACGAGTGCCCTACCTGCGACTATGGCTCGCTCGATCTCTCGCCTAGCGTAAGTACAAGGTGTATCCAGCACATTCCCCAAAGCTGGGAGAGGCACATGAAAACCAATGTTGACTTTGTCCCATTAGCTTTTCGAGCAGTTTGCCGAGCTCTCTGTCGGCACTCTGTCGATCACCTGGAACTACGACAGCAGCAGTGACACCACCACCACCTCGTCCAAGACCACGTCGACCTCCGTGTATGTGGCTCCCTCGACGTCGTCGACCTCGCAGTACACCCCCACTTCGACCTATGTGGCACCCACCAGCACCTACATCCCGCCGACCTCGACCTCGACCTCGTCGACTTCGGTGTACACTCCCCCCTCGACGTCCGAGACTCCCACGTCTACCGTGCAGTCGAGCACGACGGAAAGCTCGAGCACGATCGTCACGACCTCGTCTGAGCCCCTCTCGTCGACCATTGCCCTCAACTCGACCTCGTCGGCGGTCCTCAGCTCGACTGCTGCTGGAAACCTCACTGCGTCAGTCACTGGCTACAACGTGACGGCCAACTCCACTGCCACTGCCGTCCCCGCAGCTGCCACTGGAAACAACACTGTCGTGGTCACCGAGACCTCGAACTCGAACGACACCGTATCGGACTCGGCCTGGGTCGCGGTTGACGAGCTCGTTGTCCAGCTCGGCAAGATGATCGTCGCGGGTGCGGGCTCGTCGTAAGTGCGCAATGCACTCTGGCGCCACATCTTCACCCCGCATCCTACATATCTGCCAGACGTTTTCTTTTCCTCGTGGCTCCTCACCCCACTTCAAGACTCCTTGATTCCCCCAACCCAGGTATACCCCATGTATACCGTCTTGCCCTCCCGCACTCAAACTCTCATCTTATGTCCTAAGCTGGCTGGCTGGGCGTGCGGAACGACAGACGACGACACCACACACAATCCATCCGGGGCTGGCACCCCGAAACGTCTCTTTCTTCTGTGACTTGGATACCCCCGCTTTACTATGCTCTCCCCCTACTGTTCTTTTTAGGTTATTGGTTGCTGCTATGGATTGTGTGCTTCATGATAATAGTGTTCAAGGTGCTGGGCCTGTTGTTATGTTGATGGACAGACAGCGGGAAATGTGTGTCGCCCTTGCAAATCTGCTGGTCCAGTTATGCTATGCTGCAACAGGACAGTTGCTCCTGGAAGTTGACCAAAAACGTCTCCAGTGACTGGCCGCATCATGGCTGACTTGGGCATTGCACAATATTCAGCCAGCGGCCAACGGCCAACGGGGGCTTGAAGGACACCATTCCGATGGTTACAGCTTGGGGGTGTGTCCTGAAAAAGTCCGCTCAACACATGACGTTTTCAAGGTTGCAACTCATGCAACTCAGGTCGCCCTTCCAACTTTCTCACAACGATCACAACATTGCAGTCAAACCCCCTCACGGCTGTACTTTTTCATTGCTCATTGTCGCCACGACTAGCATACCACGATGCCGTCGTTTACACGCCGCGTCGCCCGCCCAGCCGCCGGACCAAGCACGTCCCAGGGCGGCTCGACCACCTCAACCCCTTCCTCTACACCATCCTCGCCCTCCGCACCCCTCCCCGGTACCCGACCGTGTCCCTCGGCCCCCACACTCCGCCTCCTTCCATCAGGCCTTGGATCGCTCGACGACCTCTTGGGCGGCGGCCTTCCAGTGGGTAACACACTCCTCCTGCTCGCGCCCGACGCACACACAGCCTGGGGCCGGCTCGTCGCTCGTCATGTCGCGGCGCAAGGTCTGGTGGATGCGCAGCGATGTGTAGTCGTCGCCGAGGATAGCAGCAAGTGGGCGGCTGGGATGCCATGGGTGGATCCCGCTGCGATCAAGGATGAGGGAGGGGAGAGCGATGGAGAAGGTGCTGGAGATGGCGTGGAGGCCGGCAGGACGAGGATCGCCTGGCGGTACGACTCGATGGGCAAGTTCCAGACCACTGTTGGTGAGCACAGGCAAGGTTGTATAAGGATGTTACAGCTGACTCACTCCCTAGGTGCGTCGTCGTCGGTCCTCGCGGCCAACATCACCCTCCCCTCACCAACGCGGACCCACCTTGAAGCCGATGGACGGCTAGTCCACCTCGAGCTCGACGACGACGTCTCTACAACCCTCACAGCACTCCAGTCGGCCCTCGACGCTCCCTTCCCCGGCGGCCAGCCTGGCGTCACCCGCGTAGCCGTCGATTTGGACGGTACGGGCTGGACGACGCAGCAAATCTCCCGTGCGCTTCTGGGTATTCGCGCGCTCGTACGCTCCCGTCCAGCCGCAGCGGTCATCACCCTCCCGCCTCGCCTGAGCACGCCGACGACTGCGGCGTCACTGGGATGGGCCGCCGACGCGTGTCTCTCGTTTACTGGATTCGGCGCTACCCCCAACCTTGCAAAGGTGTATCACCCGGCGCACGGTCTCCTCACCGTCCACTCGTTGCCGACGACACACCACCTCCTCTCCCCTGCTCTGCGGCACTCGACGCTTCTGGGTGTCGGCGACGGTGCGAGCGAGAACAACCTCGGGTTCAGGTTGAAGCGGAAGCGCTTCGTCATTGAGACGGTCCACCTCGGCATCGAGGGTGGAGAGGGCGAGAGGAGGACAGAGCCAAAGCAGAGGGCTGTGGTGCCCGTCCCAGTGGTCGCGCCGGGCACGACGGCGACGGAGGCAGCGGAGGGTGTGGACAGGGTCCAATTGCCGAGCGCTGCGACTGTGGCAGAGGAGGTCAAAGCCAAGCCCAAGAAGCCCCGCGCGCGAGTGAGGTTTGGTGACGACGAGGTGGCCGTGTCGGTCGGTGGCGACCACAAGCATGACCACAAGCATGACCACAAGCATGTTCACAAACATGACGCGGCACCGCGCGTGGCTATCCGTCACGACCGGCCAGACCTGTACGAGTTCTAGTCTTGCACAGGAGGGAGAGGAGATAGATCACATACAATCACATGCATACAGCGTATTACACAGGTCTCCAGGATACATATCTGGCTCGAGTCGGTAGGGTTGGTTGTGGCATGGGTCGAGTCCAGGGGCATGGGGCGCAAGGAGAACTGCTGGGTCAACAATGTTCAACACTTGACTCAGATTGCAGTCTTCTGTAATCACATGTTGGTGACGAGCAACGGTGGCCTTGACAGTAGTGCATCTGTTGGGTGCCGGTCGATGTGGGTGGCCCACCCACCATATGGTCTTCCTTGCTTCTGCTTCCTTGTGGAAAATCAGTAGCGGCCAGCGGCAGCACGCATCGTGCGGCGGAGGTTCCGAATCATGCTCTCCGAGTTCTTGTGATACTGGTGGGTCAGCAAAAAACGAAAATCAACCCGGCACCCACCACCGCGTCCGCTTCAGCCTTGAGGGTCATGGCACGCAGCTGTCCTTTCATGTCCGCAAGCGCCTCCTGGGTCATACGAGGACGCGTGTCGGTGACTGATGTTAGCTGTTTCTTGGAGAGCGGAAAATCTCTCACAGTACTCGGTGGCACCTTCGAGCGCGCCGGTAAACTCGGTGAAGCGGTCGTTTCCGAGACAGGAGCGGACGTCGGCGAGGGCAGTCTGTCATTAGTGCTGCCTAGGAGTGCACCCTGTCAGCACCTACCGAACGAGCGTCAAAGTACTTGAGCACACGGTCATGGTCGTCAGTGCCAGAGTCGGCGTACGTGGAGAGTAGGGCATTGATGCGGGAGACACTGAGAGGTTAGGCACTGTCAGAACACTTCACCCACCGAGCAGCGTGTTCCTTGTCCAGCTCGTCCAGCTTGGCGGATTGGGTGGCGGCAAGGGTGTCAATGGCGCTGAGGGTTGTGGCACGGATGTCCAGGCGCTTGCCTGATGGGTCAGCCGGTATAGGTACTACCTACCCACTCTTTCCATCAGAGCGCTTCCTGGCCGCAAATGTCTTGCGAAGCCTGAGAGAGGTCAGCACAAACGAGATCGTGACGTCTTACTGAGCAGCACTCCCAACCGAGTCACCCTCGTCGGGCACAGACTCGTCGTCCTTGCCGTCCTCGTCATCCTGCGACTCGTCATCGTCGCCGTCTTCATCCGAGCGGCGAATCATGTCGTACGAGTACCGCGCCTTCTTCTTGGCGGGGGCCTTTGTTGAGCGCGGGATGGGTTCGGAGGCGCGGGCCTTGCGTTTGGGTGCTGGAGTGGGAGGGCGTTTGGCTGAATAGGTGAGCGAGTGGGGCTTGTGGTCTACGTACGAGGCATTGGGGAGGATAGATGATGAGGTTGAAACCAACCAGGAAGTTGTGATGGATGGGGAAGAGGAGGAGGGAAGAAGAGACAACAACACCAGCGAGGGGAGGGAACAACAACACACACCGGATGAGTGGACCTCCTGGGTGGAGGCAGCTGGTCATGTGTGAGACGGAAGCAAATTGGACGCGTCGCGTCAGATTCAGGCCCAATGTTCGAGTGTCCATTGTTGCTCTTTCGCGTGTTGTTACATTTCAGAGCCACAACAACAAACCCCTTCCACAACCATGGCCGACACCTTTGAGCCCACAGGGCTCCTAGGCTTTGGTGACGATATCGAAATGGAGAGTGAGGAGCAGGTTGTCGCCTCGCCTCCGAAACCAGCGCCCGCCGGCGCTCCAGCACCAGCACCACGCCCCTTGCGTAACGACATGCCATCGTACTCGCCACCACCCTTCGACATGGATGAGGAACCGTCCGACTTTGAGGACGACGTGCAGGCCATGATGGACGAAGAGGCCGCGGCGAGCGTTGCCCGCGATCTGAGGAGTCTGGAACCCACTGCCGAGGAGAAGAAGAAGAAGCAGGAAGAGGCTGCGCGCCGTCGTCGTGCCGCCATCATGGCCGCGACCCAGCCTCAGCAGACTCAGCAGCCGACTCCACCAACTACACGCAAGACGTCTGGTGTTTCTTCTGCGGCATCTGGGTCTGATTCCCAGCTGCCAGAGTTTATGCTCAACCCAGACCTCGGGTTCGACTTTCGCCCGGTGGCCTCTAGTGAGCTCACCCCCCGCCTTGTACTTTGAGCTCTTGATCTAACACCACGCAGGCTCACGTACCCGCACCGAACTCACACCACCCCCGGACCTCGTCGTTGATGATGCCGAGGTGTTTGACGAGGTCGGCCGACACCTCCCGCGCCTCAGGGCCACGACGGCGAGTGGCGGCGTGGTCATGTTTCGCCGCAAGCTGAGGCAGCGTGCTGCAGAAGAGGAGATTCGGGACGACATTCAACTGCTGTCCAAACCCCTGCACAAGCTCAAGGCGGAGGTGGAGGAGATGAGGTCACGGGAGAAGGCTATGGAGTGAGTGGTCTCCGGAGCTATTGCCAAGTAAACGATGCTGACCATCAGGCTGGAGCGCGAGTTTGAGGCCGAGACACAACCGGCCAACGGCAAGGCCCCGGCAATGACAATGTGGGTGGACAAGTACCGGCCAAAGAAGTTTAGCGACCTCCTGGGCGAAGACGTGAGTGCGAAGAAGCGGGTGCCGGACGCTTGAACTGACAAACCAGCGCGTTCACCGCGAGGTCATGAACTGGCTCAAGGAGTGGGACAAGTGCGTGTTCAAGCGTCAGCCACTCAAGAAGAGAAAGCAAGAGGAAGAAGGCTTTGTTGTGAGTTTCAGCCTTACGGATACCGAACTGACAGTCAGTATGACCCACTCGGCCGCCCAAGAGACCGTGTGCTTCTCCTCTCTGGTCCGCCCGGTTACGGAAAGACCACGCTGGCGCACATTGTCGCTAAGCATGCCGGCTACGCGACTCTTGAGATCAACGCGTCGGATGACCGCAATGCTGCCACCGTGTCGAGTCGCATCAAGAATGCCATTGACGCTGGGTCGGGTCTCGCGTCGGACGGAAAGCCCACATGTGTCATCATCGACGAGATTGACGGAGCGAGTGGAGGAGGTGACACTGTGCGTGCTTTTGCTTTGTTGACCAGCTAACGCAACAGAGCTTTGTGCGCAGCCTCATCAAGCTCATTCAGGATGTGCCAGCCAGGAAGAAATGTAAGCTAGGAAAGGTCCTGTATGCTAGCTGACAACAGCCAACACTCCTGCACGACCACTCCGTCGCCCAATCATCTGCATCTGCAACGACCTTTACGCGCCTGCCCTCCGCCCACTCCGCCCCTTTGCCCATGTTGTGCGCTTCCGCAAGCCCGCCTCGCAGTTCCTTGTGGCTCGCCTGCGCGAGATCTGCGATCGCGAGCGGCTGACCGCCGACCTTCGTGTGCTCACCGCCTTGGTCGACTTGACAGGTGGCGATGTGCGAAGCTGTTTGAACACTCTCCAGGTTGGTTACAGTTGGCCAAGTGGTAGGGACTAACCGCATCAGTTTATCCAGTCCAAGTCGCCTGTGGTGACGCACGAGGCCATCAAGAGCTCGTCCGTTGGAACCAAGGACACGGGCACGACACTGCAGTCTGCCTGGGACAGTCTCTTCGTCCCCATGGCGGCCAAGCAGCGCCGCAAGCAGCTCGGTATCGACGACGGCCGCTACGTCGATCGCCTGGCTTTCATGGTGCAGGCATGCGGCGAGCATGAGCGTCTGGTACAGGGTCTGTTTGAACACTACCCCAATGTCAAGCCACTCGACGCAAGCCTGGCCAACGTGTGTCGCCTGCATGACTGGATCGCATATTATGACTGCCTGTCAGGCAAGATTGCCTCCAACATGGAGTTTGAGCTGCTCGCCTACGTGCCATACGCCATTGTGCCGTGGCACACACACATGGGTGCGCCGGGTAACGCGACCAGGCCTGCAGAGTGGCCCAAGGCAGACTACGAGGTGAGCTCGGGATTGCCATCCAAAGCTGACGTCCAGTCCTTCCAGACACGTGTGGCAAACGAGGAGATTGCCACCAGTCTCAAGACGTCGATCCCGCCCATCCTGCACTCGCTCTTCACGTCCTCGACGAGTCTGACCGAGCTCATCCCTTTGCTCATGCGCATCATTTCGCCCCCACTGAAGCCTGTGAATGCCAACATTGTCAAGCCGGCGGAACGGGCTGTGCTCGCGCGACTGGTGGAGCTCATGATTCCGCTGGGTCTGCAGTTCTGGCAGGAAAAGGCCGAGGACGGCCAGCCGATGATGCGTCTCGAGCCGTGAGTGTACTTGCTATTATGTTGTCTCGGGATAGCTCGCTGACGATGGTGATTAAAGCGCCATCGATGTGTTTGTACACTATGACGGAAAGCGAGCGGGGGACATTGCCGCGTCCCGCTTTGCAGTGAGACAGCTCGTGGCCCAAGCGGTGAGTAGTTTTGCCCTAGTGGAAAACACTATCTGGCACCAAAGAGGCCAAGAGGCTTATCACGCTATTTTCGCAGATGGACTCGGAAATGGCACGTCGACGCGGCCAGGCCGGAGCGGACTCTGATGCCAGCAACACCGCTGCCATGCTGGCGCAGCAATACGGCGTGGCCAAAACCGGACGCAAGGACGCCGCCGCCGAGTCCCTTGGGCCCTCCACGGACTTTTTTGGTCGTGTCAAGGCGCCTGCTATCGTCGAGGATCCAGGTGAGTGTTCTTCTATCTGCCAGAAGTTAGGCAGGCATGGTTGCAGGCTTTGTGCCACTGGCGCCAGCGGCCCTTAGAATACGAAAGGGGGCCGTATTCGCCTTTTTTCACACGTTATCGTGGCCGCGTTTCCTGTTCTTATCATTTTCCATTGCGATCCGGGGCACTGACACGCCACCCTTCCCTCAGATGCGCCAAGTGTGCCGACGCAGTTTGTGTTCCGCGCCGTGTACAAGTTCAACGAGGGCTCGTCGTCTGCCGTTCGCAAGAACGTAAAGATGAGTGCTCTGATGTGAGACGTGGAATATGTACTCTTTCTCATGTGAATGTGTTTGTAACCAAACGTGGCTGCACCAGTGTTTTGGGACCACCCCCGAGCCAGGGTCGCACCCTCATTTCTGTCGCCACAGAGTACGCGTTGGATGGAGACGTGTGTCGCGGTATCCCGAAGGATAGGCCCGACAGAGGCAGGGCTGTGGTAAGGGGTCACGGAAGGCGGACGCTAAACTGCGACAGAAAGAAGACGAACGACCAAGCGGGCAGCACTTACAGCAGAGTGTGCTTACGACTCTCGGCGCTGAGACGAGACAGACCATTTGCCCAATATACCAAATTGGCCAATTACTGGATTTTCAATATTAAGCGTCCCATTTGATTTGCTCGACTGACGACGTCTGGGGTTCTGTGGGGAAATTGTTTGGATCTAAATTCGAGCATTGCCCGGCTGTACATACGAGGCAGTGGTGATTTGCCTGAAAGAAGGTCCAAAAAGGACGCGTGGGGGGGGGGGGGGGGGGGGGGGGGGAGATGTACGACGCTTGTACGCTGGCGCGCGCGCAAGGTGGGGCCGGCATTCCGTTTTCGATGACGTCCTTCAGACGATGCGTTGTAATTTAACACTGGGTGCCTGGTATGGTGGGCGAAGATGTGGGCAGCAATAAGAAGTAAACGGTGAATCCGCGGGGTCTGCATTGCGAGATCCGAGCGGATTGGTGTACACTTGTACACTATTGTGCTGTGCCCGAATGACATCAATGCGAGCGTGGACGTCACACCGCCATGGCGTGCGTCAGCCTTCCGTCCACACAATGAATTCATGGTGGCCGTCGCCGCTGCCTTGTCAAGCGCTCACACTGGTGGGCCTGGCGTGACATGTCGAATGCCAAATGGCGCACAGCACGACTGATATGAGCAAAAAGGTAATCAAGTCTGCCCTGCACACCCATGGAGATCCATGGAGCGCTGCCGTCTCTGCGATCTCTGCAGCAGTGCTCTCCTGTTCTTCCTCCTGTCCCAAACAATCCGCTTCGGACCCAGAGGCCACAGCCCACAGCCCACAGCCTTCAACGAGTCAGAGACCCGGGAGTAAATGACGGCTAACGGCCCGGGAGAGACGCGGGGGGGGGGAGGGGCGGGGGGCACGAACAGACGTCCAACGAGCGGGAGCAAATTCATCACCCAACACACACGACACACCGACCACCCACGGCCCAGAGGCTTGGGAGATGTGGCGTCGGGCGGGCGTGTCAGGGCAGCTCTCTTACGGCATATCAGGGGAGGCTGGGGGGGAGGGGGTGTCAGATGCGGTGGATCTGAGCGCAGCAAGCGGCGCAGGCGGAAGGCAGCAGGCAAGACAAGAGGCCGCAGAGGGGGGGGGGGTCAGGAAGAAGGAACCAGAATAAAGATGCCCCCAGGGCCCACTCCCTTGCGGCGATTGCGCCGATACACACTGCAAAGGCGACATTCTGGAGCAAGAGCCTGGGGCCTGTGCCCAGAGGCGTGTCCCTGACCGAACGAGACAAAGGTACACTCAAAGGGACCCGCGGGAGACGGCGAGAGCGAAAGTGAGAGACAAGACGCCCCTCTGGTCCTGCGCGCTGTCTCTTCTGGCGCCCACCCACCGCTTCCGCCGCCTCCGCCGCCACACTCCGCCCACCCGGCCTGCCCTCCGGCCTGTGCCCTCTCCCTTCCTCCCCCTCTGCCCCCCTTCCCCCTCCCCCTCTCCCCCTCTCCCCCCTCCCCACTCCCCCCCCCCCCGTCCATCCCCTATCATCTCCCATCCTCACAATCTTTTCCTCTTCTACAACCACCACATCGACGTCCCCACCCCCCCAACCACCCCCTCCTCCTACACGCTTTTGCGCTCTCCTCCGACCTCCTAGCTGGTACCCCGGATCCCGCTTGCTCGTGAGTACAATTGTCGTCGCCAACACGCGCGCGTGTGTGTCCTCTGCCTCGAGTTTGGTGGACAGAGAAGCCCGGGAGAGGAAGGGACGGAAAAGAAGGATGGGCCTCCCAGGAAGCAAAAGGGTTGTGCGCTGGGTGGTGGGCCACTCGGATTGGGCGGTGGGGGCCAGTGTCGCGTCCGCTGGGATACGGATACAGACACACTGCACCGCCTTGCCACCACCTCGATGCCCACGCCGGCCATGCATGCAGCGAGCAGGCTGTACACATCGACGTGCTCGCACGTAGACGTGGCCACCAAAGAAGCTCAGAAGGGGGGGGGCACGGGCAGACGAGAGGGCGCTAGCCGACACGGCGTTATCGGGCACCCCAGCCCAGGTGTGCTGGTGCTGGCGTGTGGTCCCGTGACCATTTGGCCATTTGGCCTCTTCCTCCCCCAAAGCTATCCGCCGCCTGGCGTCTCTCCCCTCTTTTCCCGCGCCGGCACCACTCCACCACTGCCCACGGTGGTGTGAGTCGTCCTCGCTGTCGGTGGCCATGTCGCGAGCGCCGCTCGACTCGTCACTGTGCACGTGTCGGCGGAAAGCCCGAGCCTGCGTTGGCAGCCACGGAGGATGTGGGCCTGCGCAGGCGGCGTGGGCAGAGGCACACCAGTACCCGGCGGGCTGCCTGCCGGGGGGAAGGATTCGTCAGACACCGCCCCCGCCCACGCTCCCCCTCTGTTCCTTCACCATGCATTCCAACCACACACCCCCGAGAGTACCGGAGCTGACCACCACTGTTCCCCCCCACTTTACATGCAATGTTCACAAACCTCTCGCACACGCCACCCAACATATACAGTGCTCGCGACCCAGTCCAGCACTCTCCCCCCCCCCCCTCTCCTCAAGCCTTCTTGCCGACAGCGCCATATATTGCACAAACAACCCGCTCACATCAATCACCAAGCCGTCGAGTCCCTAAACATTGACTGTCTTTGACATCCGGCCCCCATCCGACAAACTCTTTTTTCGACCTCGCCAGCACCGCGTCTGACGACTTCGTGCTCCGCAACACCGCCAAGCTGGAGGTTTAACTCCCCCTCTCAGCTCTCTCCCGACCTCCTTGTGTACGCTTGAGATTCGTCTCGCGGCACGCTCTTCTCCCCCCAACTAAACCACTTTGTTCGAAGCCTCCCCCGCTTCCGCATAGTCTCTAGCACCCGCCAACACCAACACCATCACCAGGATCTTCCGTCCTCATCCCCCAAACGAACCCCAACGCTAGTTTTTTTTCTTTCCTTGTGCTCCAGTTGTATCCAACTGTAACAGCCCGGTACTGCCTTCCTCACCACGACTCTCGAGATCACACACAGACCCAACTCTTCTCACAATAAAGATGGCTTCCACCTCTCCCCTTTCGACTTCCCCCATTGAGGCGCCCACGGGGCCCATCGCCCTTGCTGGTGCGCCTCGCCCGGCCGGCGCCCCCAAGCCCAAGCCCCGCAAGCGTGTCAACACGGCCGAGAAGCGCCACCAGCACAACGCCATTGAGCGTCAGCGTCGTGAGACTCTGAACAGCAAGTTCCTCGTTCTTGCCCGTCTCCTTCCCTCGCTTGCCGCGTGCCGCCGCCCTTCCAAGTCGGCCATTGTCAACGGCTCCATCTCGCACCTCAGCCACCAGCGCTCCCAGCGTCTCCTCGCCGCCAAGCTGCTCCGTCAGATGGCCGCCGAGCGTGAGGAGCTCCTCGCCGAGGTCAACCAGTGGCGCCAGGCAAACGGCTGCCAGCCCAAGACCACCGCCTCCCCCTGGGCCGAAGAGGCCGAGGAGGTTTACCAGGTTGAGAAGGAGACCTTTGGCTCCTTTGCTTCCATGGGCGGCGAGGGTGGCGACGACCAGGACGACCAGGACGACGAGCCCCAGGACTCGTCGTCTTACTCGGACTCTACCATGAACATTGAAAAGGCCAACCTCGTCGTCGGCGGCTCGTTCTCGACGGGCCTCATCACCCCTCGCTCGTCCACCGACATGGGCTCCACCATGGAGTCTTCCATGTTCGCCAAGCCCGCCGCCATGAGCTGGACTGGCTCCAACTTTACCATGGCCCCGACCATGCCCTTCAACGCGTTCATGCCCGAGTCGGCCGACACTTCGTCGATCCCCTCGCCCGTCGGCTCGTCGTCGCACCACAGCACCATCCTCACGCCGCCCAGCGTCGAGCAGGGTAACATGTACACGATGTCCCCTGCCTCGTCTGCCTCGCCCGAGGACACGACCCAGGCTTCGCGCCAGCCTGCCGCTCAGCAGCAGCAGCAGTGGACCCCTCAGCAGCTGGCCTTCTTCCAGCAGCAGGTCCAGCACCAGCAGCTCCAGCGTCAGCAGCAGGCCGCCCTTGCCGCGTTCGCCGCCCAGCCTCAGGACATGAACATGGGCAACATGTTCATGCCCAACCAGCAGCTCGCTCCCCAGCAGGCCAACCTTGCTCAGCTCATGGCTATGCTCCCCCAGCACCAGCAGCAACAGCAGCAGCAGCAGGCCGCGGCCGCGCAGCCCGAGCAGATCGACCAGTGGCGCAAGCTTGTCCTTGGCGGTCTCCTCGCCCAGACCCAGCAGGCCGATGCGTCCAAGCTTGGCCAGGGCTTTGGCTTTGGTCTCCAGAACGGCTGGTCCGAGCAGACTGTCGGCGTTTAATCGTGTCGTAGGCTTAGCGTTTGGTCGTCGTCACCACCACCCTCCTCCCCAATCCTAGTTCCTTCTTCCCCCCCGCCTTTTTCCTTCCTTGTCCGTCTGATCTCGTCTCTCGTGTGTTTGGATACCAGTTGTTGGTATTGTAGTTGGATGCATCCTTGCTCAAAGAATCATTCTTGTTGCAGATAGCCGCTAGCGTTACATTTGAGACGTACCATGGTTTGATCTAATCTCTCGGATCCGTTGTGGCCACTGATCCGCCGTGGTGGTCATAGGCTCCCTTGGCTCACAGCAGCAGCCGTCACCACACCCAGCCTTACAACCCATCCCCACTCAGCTGTCTTGCAATTCTTCATTCACCGGAGTGACACCCACTTGGCAGTGCCCGCAAGTCGTTGTGAAACCGTGCAAATTCCTGTGCCACCTCGACAACGTTCCGGCTCGTGCTTGTCGCGACACTTGCGCGACCCGGCGACGACACGCATGCGTTCCCGACGTTGACTTGGCCTGGATCATCTCCCCTGCTCGCACAATCTTTGCATGCAGCACCACGTACACTCTCCTACCAAGCACCCCTGCTGCATTGTTTCTCACCGCGCTACGGGTGAACCGAGTCCTCAGCACCCGCGAGCGTGCGTGCGTGCTGGTGCTTTCCCCTTCGCGTAAACACTACAAACTCGAGACACAGGAGCGCACACGACCAGTACACACACACTATCAGCACGCGACACACGCGACACTATCAGCACGCGACACACGCGACGCATGCACACTGTCTCCGCGTTCCTTCGCGTAGCCACCAGACGAAACTTTCCCACTACAAAAGTAAGGGCTGGAGCATGTCCAGCATGGCCAGGCGTTGGGTCCACGGCCACGGGTTGGTCACACGATCTGGCTGCAAAGTACGGAAACACCCAGATCTAGACCTTTGGTCGAGGTGTGTACACGCAAGGGGAATACCATAGTGCATCCATGCGGTTCCACACGAAACCACCACTTTCATCTGTGGCAGGTGGGGTGGTGGTCGTCGTGCGTGCTGTGCGTAAAGCTGGTGTTGACGGGTATCTTCTCAGCCGGTCTCCCACCACAAATAGTCGTGCCACGCGACGTTATTCCCTGGCCATGGTGGCCACCTTCCTTGCTACAGGCGAAATTGCCACGCTGGGCAGTGTTTCCGAAAAACGCGGAAGAGCCGAAATGGTCGGTCGGGGGTGTACAGGGCATGGCAAATGGACAAGGGTCCCAGAGACAAGGTTGACGCGGGCCATAGGCACCAGCACTCTGCCACTTTCTGGGCGGTGAGACAGGTCTGTGGTGCAGCATGCAATCGAGGGTGAGGCGGGGATCACCGCTTACTGTTCTCACCAGCGTCATAGGGGACATTGTCCTCGGCGGCAGCGTGCGCGCGTATCCGTCGTCGTCGTCGTTGGTGACTCGAGTCGCTCCGTCGCTAGGAGCGGATATGCCCCACCCGTGTCCCCGCGTTTCCCACCTGGTTGGCCTCAGTCGCTCGGAGCCTGTACGAAGCTGAGGGTTGGGTACGGTATGAATGAAGTCTCTCGGGATTGCGGGATTCAGCAATCCCGCGGACCTAGGACGTTTGAGAAAGCGTTTGCATGGCACCTGGCACCGATCTCACCAGTTACGAATAAACGGTCCGGGACACGTCCACCACCAAGGGGAAGAGGACCGAGGCACACAGTCCCAGCAGCTATTTCTTACCCTGTCTCCCGAGAGGAACCAGGACGCCATATACCCCGCACAACCAAACGTTGGTCCAGCGCGGGCAGTGTAAGCACGATGAAGGTTGTTGATCAACGATTAAGGACCCGAGGTGACTGTCCAAGGTTGTTCGTTTCCTGTTCGGGCAAAGTGCCAGAGGATGGCCGAGGTATTACATTGTGATTATTTCTGATTTAATGGCCGGAAATTCAGGCGCGGCGGATCTGTGTTATGTTTATAACGCGAGCACAGACAGCTCCAAAGGGTTTCAACGACAGCACAACGTGTCGTGGATTAGGGTTGCATCGAGAACCGCCTTTACATCACGAGAAGGCTTCGATACACGAGTTTGGAGAGGAGTCCAACTCAATTACTGCTTGTAACCAGGCCAATCCCTCCGACCAGGACAAGCACCTGGAGGACATGGCATCGCCACAGACGTCAAGATATCCACGCTCCACCCAGATCGCATGCGGCGCTCACCGCCGCTCCGTATCTTTCGGCTCTCCGCACAGTTGTCAACGCGCCACTCCTGCTCCTGCACTGTTGAGGTCGAAAACAGCTGCGGTTCCTCACCCTTTCACCGCCTCGTCATTTGAACGCGAACAATGTCTTAACATGCGCTGGGATCTGGCACAGAACAGCGTTGAACCCCTAAGCGACGGCGACGGGCAGTCAGACCCCGGACCTGCGTCGTCATGGTGGGGCCTTTTTTCGTCCTGGCCAGCTCGTTTTGTTCAACCTTTTGTGCCACGGACGCGCCTGGGCGCGCCGTCGCGTGTGCAGGTCCCTGCGATCACCGAATGACGCGTGACTGTGGAGTGTGTGAGCGGGGTAAAGAGTAGAGCCGCAAACTGCCGCACAGTGACATCATGCTGGGATCTGGCTGAATGAATAGCCACAGAGGCAGTGCATTGAACCCCATCCATCTGGTAAGCAGGCCTTTCGTGCATAGCCACACAGTCTCAACAGTCTCAATCTGGATCCCAGCGCGTCTTGTGATCTATGGGCTACTCAAGTCCTCTCCAGTAGATTCGAGAGTGCCATCTGGCTCTGGTGAAAAGGGACAGCCTTGCCACGGTGGGCTCCCGCAACTACCATTGCTCAAAGCCTGCTATCCAAGTGACAACCCTATAGGTGGTTACTAACCAACACAAGGGATGACCGCAGCACTAAGAATCTTGTTCAACTCTGCCACACTGTAGAGCCAAGACTGGCCTGTGGTGGCCTGCAACGGCAGAAGCCGTACCGCAAAGCGTTACCCACGGTGGTTGAGGTACATGCTGGCGACGATACGCAGTGATCAGCAGAACTCAACCGCCACGACGTTAGTGACGGAGGCGTGGCTGGCTACATGCGGCATCTCCAGCGTCCACCCGCTACCCTCTACCTCCCGACGTGGGTACAATGCCAACATCTGAGCTATTTCCTCAACAAACGGGCCAACAATAAAGCGACCACTGCACAGTCTGTGACCAGGGCGGGGACCTATCACATGTTCATTAAGATGACCCAGTGAACTGGGAAGCCGAGATGCAAAACCTGCAGGAACCCGGACTGTGCGGAAGACTCGGGGCGTTCCCGACAAGAACGCGCACCTGAGCAGATCGTGTGCAAGCCACGACGCAAACTGGTGGATTGGTCGTAAGCCTAGAACTCCGGTTGATGAATCGGCTTTTACAAACGGCATAACAGGTCGCCGGTATTCCTGTAAATGTCCGACGGTCTCTCACAGGCTGGCAGATACAGCCCAAAAAATGATTGCTTCAGGCGGTTGCACACCCGCACTGCCGGCCCAGCCACCTCCTCATCACTCACCAAGGCCTGGGCTTGTCTGCCCCTTCCTCAGAATATGAAATAGCTCCTCTAGTCGCCAGCAACGGCGTCGGCGACCTCGGCCCGTGCGACCCTCTGCAATCTCTAAAGACTGCAGAGGTCGTGTTTGTGAGAGGGTCTTATTCGTCCGAGAGACAACCATCCAGGGCACTTCGGCCAGTTTTGTATATCAACCGCACCGGCTCAACCTGTACAATGATCCATTTTGCTTAATAAACCCCCTGGCACATTCCAAGTGCTGATCGGCGCATAAGCCCAGGAGTGCGCTCTCAGCCGGCACAACTACTCTGACTTGTGACGCGGTGGAAGAACAAAACATGCCGAGAGGGAGGAACGGATCCATGGCGCAGCCACGATGCGGACCAGAGGCGGCCGTTTAAAAGTTCTACAGTGATTGTTCCGAGGCTTTTCCACGCCTTCATGCCGCTGCTTTTCCACGCATACAGCCAGCGCTGTGTGAAAACGGCATTTAGAGCGTGGGTGACAGTGCGGGAACACTGAGGGCTTTGAGGGTCTGGCGCAGAATTGGGAAACGAGGGAGAGGGAAGGAAGAAACGTGTAGAGAACTGACATGCCCGTGATGGCCACACGGCGTTCTAGATATGAAAATCCCAAGTACGCCATGGGTTCGCCCTTTCCTCCGTGCTCCTCTGCCTCTCGGCATCTGCCTGGGCTGCCTAGGGCCATGTCTTGGTCGGTCGCCGTGCCGAGCGGACGGCAGAGCAACGAACGGGAAGATGAGAAAGCAATGCAAACGGTAATGGGAATGATGGCCGGTATGTGGACGGTGCACGAAAATCTGAAAATGGCGATGCGGGATAGCGAGTGCGGATAAAGCCTGTTGTCGTAGTGGCGTCGCGGTGCTCTATCTCTCTCTGACCCAAACGACCTAGACCTTGGCCGTTGCTCATTTCTCGCCAAACGTACGTCCACGTCACGCGCCAGCCCTCGCCGGACCTTTCGCCAATCCATTTAGTGATCACGGGTTGCACGCACGTTGCAACTTGTCATTCTACCGGTATATCAGGTGGATACATCAATACCCGCAACCAACAAACGGCGACAAGCGAGTTTGCAAACGCGGCTTGCTTGGTCAGACAGACGCCTTCACACAACCTCCACAGGCTGCTCCAGACCTTCCCTCTAGGCGAATTGATTCCCTAAACTCGGACCGCCACCGACTCCTGGCTTCGAACAAAAGGTATAATAGACGGCGCCAACCCGTCCTCGACAGACTCTTTCTTCATCTTATGTGAGCTTGACTGCAGAGCACCATCCCCCGACATCCTTGCCTTTTAACCAGAATTAACCATGGCAGAGACCCCTAGACACGAGCCAGTGCCATCGCAGATTGCTGTAGTGGATTCCACTGCCACAGACCTAGAGTCCACCACATCCCCCATCGCAGGCCCGTCCACTCTTCCAGAGTCCTCTTCCTCTTCCTCTACCCCCTCTCACACCCAATTCTCCGAGATGCCTGCACGTCACGAGAAGGAGGGTTCCTCCACTTCTGGCAACGGTGTCGACCTTGGTCGCACCGAGACCCACCAGTCTGCCTTGAGCGAGAAGTTCACCGAGCTTTCGCGCATGGTCAGTGTCGAGGCCGCTGCCGGTCCCATTGCGCTGTATGCTCCCCGTTCGCGTTCCGGTTCCCAGTCGTCGCGCATGACCTCTGGCCGCGTCGGTGTCTCGTTCCCCGCCACTGTTGACGAGCACGAGCGCGCACGTGGCGAGCGCACCAAGCCAGGCAGGGTCGGCCTCGCTCGTTCCTCTACGCGCCCCGACCTCCCGCGTATCGACTCTGAGAAGACCCTCGCCCCAAGCGACTGCGAAGATGATGACGGCGAGGTCAAGGAACACCCACTCCGCAAGCTCGCCAAGTACAAGAGCAGGGACAGCAAGGACGTTTCGGCGCCGCCTTCGCCCACTTCCGAGACCCACGAGCACACTGAGAGTGTCGAGGAGGATGTCCAGGTGGTCATGTCGCGTGCGCGCAAGATCCTCCTCGGTTTCGTCATCATGCTCTCGGTCTTTATCTCGTCCATGAACTCGAACGCCGTCATCCTCACCATCATGTCCGTGTCTGCCGACTTGGGTGTCACCGAGGTTGAGGCACAGTGGATTTCATCCGCCTACTCACTCGCTTTCGGATGCGGTCTCTTGTTCTCGGGTCGCTTTGCCGACATTTACGGTCGCAAGCACCTCTTCCTCGGCGGCCTGGCGGTGTCGATCGTCTTTTCGATCCTCTCAGGCGTCATCCGCTCGTTCCCAGCCCTCTGCGTCATGCGCGCCCTCTGTGGTATCGGTCTTTCCGTTGCCATCCCCGCCGCCTTTGGAGTGGTGGGCACTTCATTCCGCCATGAGGTAAGTTTTGCCCCTTGTGCCAGCCATTGGATACACCAAACTAACCCACCACCCAGCCTGAGCGCACCATCGCCTTCTCTTGCTTCGGTCTCGGCAACCCCCTCGGCGCTTCCGTCGGCATGCTCGTCGGTGGCGGTGTGGCAAGCATCAACGCCCACGGATGGCAGTACCTCTACTTTGTTCTCGGCGGCCTCACCCTGATTCCCTTCGTTCTCGGCTTCTGGGTTGTCCCTGCCGATGCCAAGAAGGGCAAGGTCGACACCCGTATTGACTGGCTCGGTGGCTTTATCATCACCGCTGCGCTTTGTCTGTTCACTTTCAGCATCACCGAGAGTGGCATTGCCTCGCAAGGGTGGAAGACGTCGTACGTCATTGCGCTCCTCGTCATCAGTGTCTTCCTCTTTGGCGCTTTCGGCGCATGGGAGCGCTACGTTGAGCGCCACCTCAGCTTCCCGCCACTCGTCAAGCTTTCGCTCTTCAGCCGCGACGGCTGGAAGATTACCATTATCATGGGCTGTGCCTTCCTCCCCTTCGTGGCCATTGCCGGATGGGTGTACCTCGTTTCCCTGTTCTACCAGGAGCTCAAGGGAATGACTCCCCTCGGCAACGCCATCCACACCCTCCCAGCTTCGCTGTGCGGTATCCTCGCCGCTCTGGCTGTCATGTGGATCGTGCCCCGCGTTCGCGCTCCCTACGTCCTCATGGCTGGTGGCTTCCTGTCAGGTCTTGCCTGCCTGCTCTTCGTTGTCATCCCTCCCGACACCACCTACTGGGCCAGTGGCTTCCTTTCGATGCTTCTCCTTCCCTTCGGCGCCGACCTCACGGTTGGCATCGGATCGATCCTCATGTCCAACCTGTGCGAGGACGACGAGCAGTCTGTGGGCGGCGCGCTCTTCCAGACTGCCACGCAAATTGCCTCGGCCCTCGGTATCTGTATCTCCTCGCTCGTCCAGGTCAACGTGTACAACAAGACCGGCGACTACCACACAGGACTCCAGCATGCCTTTGGCATGACCACCGCCTGGGCCTGGGCTGTCGTGGTCATTGCGGCCATCTTCCTCCGCAAGATGGGCCTCGCCAAGGACGTCGGCAACGGCCGTGCTATCCATTAGTTGGACATTTTGCACGACACCAACAAAAGACGCTGCCATGGAACGGACTGCCTTGACAGCAAAGCGACACAAAGACCATCGCTCAAAAACAACGGACATTTACGACATAGAAATAGACAGTTAAACAAACAATATTGTGTATCATATGAATTTTATCAACTTTTACGCTCCAGATTGCTTTAAAAGACGGTTCTGTGCCTGGCATGGTCGCTCCAGAGGCCTTGAGGATATCTGCAGGCACTTGAAGGCTCAAAAGACATCAGAGAAGCCGTCAGTGTTGGAATTTGATGCCGTTTTAGCGCCCGAGACCGATGGTCTTAAGCTGGCAATTGTCTTTCAGAAGAGGATGGGGATGCATAGGCGTCTACAGAGCTGCTTATATGCACACAGAAGGGAGGCCCGAGCACTACAGAGAAGCACGAGGACAATGAAGAAGCAGAAAGAGCAGCATTGGTGCGGTACCCTCGTTCTCCGGTCAGCTCGGTGCCACACTGCAGTGGCGCAAGTGGGTACGTAATCTCAACACGTCAGACGTTGTAATGTCGCAACTGCTCCACCCCTCATTTCTAATGAACATTACAACACCGTTGGTGAAACGGTATCATGCGTCGTTGCCACGTGCAATCTCGACGCGGCAGGGGTTCGACTCCCTTACGGTGTATCTCTTTTGCCCCTCTGCAGACCTATGCATCTCTTTTGGAGGTAGGAAGACTCAGGGGATGAAATAGAGGCGTGGAAGTGGTGGGTGGGATGATCGGTGATGGGTCTGCCAATGGGGTCGTCTTGGGTTCAAAAACTCGTAACCGAGGCTCAAGGCCCGTGCCTGAACGCCCCATTTCGACGCGCCGGCGCAGAAGGTTCCGTCTGTAGACGGAGGTATCGGGAAGTTTGCGAGAAGCCTCCCTGACATCGTCCAGAGGTCCCAAAGACGTCTACCATGTCTGTAGACGTTCTAGAGGTCCAACCAGGTGCTACAGGGGCTAAAAAGAAAGGATATAAGCCTAGTATGGGGCTCGAACCCATGACATTTTGATGTCTTATATAGTAAGAGTCAAACTATCTACCGACTGATATAACCAGGCTCATGTCTAAGGGCGGCCAAGTGAGTTTAAGACGTTGCGACCGCGAATTCTTGGCCCACGAACGTTCCCCGAGGCCGTAAGAGACCTTATATGGGTGCTTTAGGCCTCTTAACTCGGGGCCTGGCCGGAGGCGAGTGCACAGAGGCCTGCTACAGAGCTTGGAGTAGTAGAAGGGCAGACGCTCACAGACCGATTGGTAGGGAACAACGGCACATGCTTCAAAACAGAGGGCACTGCCATATCCACAGTACTCACTTTACTTAACTGTGGCCCTGCGACATCCCTCACACTGCTGCGACGGTCTGCAGCATCACATCGTTGGTCATATCGGCGACTTTGGCCACAGCTCCACCAGCGAAGGGAAGAAAGATAACGGCAATTCCAAAATTTTGATTCCGCGATCGACGCCACTAATGTGCGGAGCCAAAATTCTGCTGTGGCACTCGCTCAATCTTCATCTTTCAAGCCCAGAATGAGGCCGTTTCGTCCAGCTGTTGAATGCAGATGTACCGGAGCTGACAGGGGCCAAAAAGGAAGCCCAGTATGGGGCTCGAACCCATGACATTTTGATGTCCTAATGTAGTAAGAGTCAAACTATCTACCGACTGATATAACCGGGCTTGTGTTGTGAGGGTGTGTGATGTGAGTTGAAGAGGAGCCGGCAGTCGTGCCGGGCGCATTGGGCTATAGCCATCCTACAAACACCTTGTAGAGAAGTACAGGAGGGTCTACAGACTCTAGTCTACCGTGCGCTTCCCAACTCGTCCCCATGGCGTTATCCATTTCTCATGGCGAGGCCACGAGATGGACTGTGGGTCCCCGGTCCCCGAGGTTGTAATGGGTGGCAAATGGGGATCGTATGTGGATTAGAAATGGGAGTTGAAATGCCCGGTGCCTCCACCCTGGCGTCGGGTCGGAAATCACCCACGACGCGACCCACGCAACCCACAAACACTCTGCAAGCATCTCATTCTCCACGACAATCTTTCGACGTACGTCGGCAAGGACTCATACGCGGATACGGTGCGAACACGTTTAGGTTGGGGACTTTGCGCACGTCGCCAGCGACACGTAGATTATTCATAAAGGAGCTTGTTCACACTTTCCTGTGTCTTTATCCTCTCCCAACCCAACTCTCCACCCGACATGACCGTGCGTCTTCGCTCTACCGTAAACGGCAACGACTCCTCCCCTACTCCCACTCCTCATCCTATCAAGATGAATGGACAGAACGGTGTTTCCAACGGCGAGGCTAGTCCACTCCTTCCTCCCACCCCGGCCGACAACCACCAGCTCCACAACAAAGCCAGGGTGTTCCACCGCGCCCAGCTCACCGACTACAAGACCTCTCATGAGAAGGTTCCCTGGCAGACAGACAACGAGTGGATTCTCAAGGGATACCGCCCGCAGCTGTACAACATCCGCGCCTGTCTGTGGAGTGCCATTGGTTGTGAGTGGAACTGGTGATACTTGAGCCACCTGGTGCTAACTGCCACTGCAGACGTCCACAACGAGACCGTCAACATTCACTCTCACTCAATCGGTGCCCTCTTCTTTGCCATCCTCCTGCCGCTTCACGTCATGGGTGCCTACTTCCCCACCCTTGGCGTGTTCCCCGGCAGCTCCGCCCAGCCTCCTACCACTGTCATTGACAAGATCTGCCTTGCCACCTACTGCGTCTCCGCCGTTACTTGCATGGGCCTAAGCTCGTGGTTCCACACTGTTCAGTGCTGTTCACAGGATGTTTGTGACCTTGCCCACTGTGGTGATTATGTGAGTTATATGGTGTTTGCGGTTGTAACTGACGATAACCAGGTCGGGATCGTTGTTCTCATCGTTGGCTCTATCCTCCCTGGCATGTACTATGGCTTCCACGACAACCCCGTCCTCCGCTACGTCTACATGGGTAAGTTTGAGACCGCCAGACTGTCACAAGGAACCATTACTGACATCCTCTACAGCCGGTATCGCGACTGCAGGTGTGACTGCTGGCTACATGGTCCTCTCCCCTCACCACCGCAAGCACCGTTGGCACCGTACCCTCACTTTCATTGCCCTCGGCGTCAGTGCAGTCGTTCCTGTCGGCCATGTCGTTCTCTCCAAGGGCCTCGAGTTTGCCCGCAACAGGATGGGCTTTGACTACATTCTCGGTGGCGGTGTGGCCTACATCGTCGGCGCGGTCCTCTAGTGAGTCATTTCCGAGGATGTGTACTCTCAGTTCTGAAAAGGGGTCCACCAAGCCTTACACCGCTCGGTACTCTTCACTGTCCCATGCTGACTCCCCAGCGCCGACCGCTTCCCCGAGAAGTTCTTCCCTGGCAAGTTCGACTACTTTGGGTCGTCGCACCAGATCTTCCACTGCTTCGTCCTCCTCGGAGCGTGGCTGCAGTTCTCGGCCCTCCGTTGGATGGCCTACGGCCTTGCCACTGCCTAAGCCGTGTGCAAGCTCCCTCCCAAACTCAATCGCACACCCCTTTATTTCGCCATGTCTCGACCACCATCCCTATTTGGAGAGGGTCAAGACGTACAAGGGTGGCTTCTACAATGTGCATTACTCTGCGGCCCGTGGAGCATGTTCTGCACCGCCGAACAACAGTGGTACGTGCAGAACAGCTCCCAAACGACAAGGCGTGCCACAGCGCGACCCCCGAAGGACCGCCCGCCAAGACAAAAGCAAGGTTCTAAATGAGGCTGTGCTCGGCCCGGCCTAGTCCAGAGTAGAATCGTAGATAGATCTGTATCTTGATGCACTATACTACCCCTACACATGCCACCAACGCACGCACGCATGCTATACCTTGGCGGTGATTAGTGACGGTCGCAAGCACCGGGTTGGGCCCAGGCTGTCTGGCCACTCTGGAGAAGAGTCTAGACCTGGCCCCTTTTGGTGTGAGCACAGCGGGGCAGTGACAAGTGAGTGCCTCAACATGCTTGTTCACCAGTCGACACGGGCCGGTGCAGTCCCGGCCGACGAGGCAGATTCGTAAGGGAGATTGGGGTCACCAAGTGCCAGAGTAAAGCACCACTGTGCTTTGACCTCCAGGACACAGTGCAGTGGCCTTGACCACCATTGTATCCTCCCCCCTGTTGGTGCCGTGTGAACGTGCATGGTCATGGCCGTCATGGTCAAGGAGAGAGCGTGGACGGACATGGGCGTGGCGGGACACCGATGGATCCATGCGACCGGATGTGCGGGATGTGCGTGTGGGGTCTTACGCGTGGGTGGCGCTGCGGGCTGAAACTCAAGGTGACCTTGCAGGGGGCATTTGGCGAGCGCGAACGCGTGGGTGGCGTGGGTGGGTAGAATGGATGCACACCAATGCAGTGTGCACTCTTGGACTGTTGTACGCTTGTTAAAGCGGGTGGATTGTGCATGAGCATGTCGTTACAAGGTGGGAGACGGGACTTTGAGAGGGCCATTCGTCGTCTGTCTTCGAGAATGACCATACACAAAGCGAGCTACGGGTGCCTTGAACGCAAAGGTTCGTCGTACACACACCCATCTTGTTCACCCAATCCATCCAACGATCCCAACGATCCAACCCGAGTCATTTCCGGCAAAGGGGGGTTTCATCGTCGATTTCTTCATTCTCTCCTTCCCGCTCTCCCTTGTCAGGTGTCGCCGCCACCAGCATGGTCCTGCTCCCCACCCCACCACTAGGCCACCAGGACGGCCCAGCGCTTAAACCCGCCCAAGAGTACGGCAACTGTGCTTTAACGTGTCCTGGATCGTCCTGCAGGATGGGACGCGTGGGTGACGCGCGCCGCGGTACCACCGTGCCGCCGCCGCTTGTTGTGCCCTGGACATGGACCACTGGCCACTTTATGTCTCGGCGCGAGTGGCCGAGTGGGCTTCCATTTCTACCGTTTCTGGCGTCAGGCGCGTCCGTCAGCCACGCGCGAGCGTGTGGCACAAGAGGGACAGACGCGGACGGGTCAAGGAGGATTGAAAAAGTCCCAGCACGAAACGCGACTGCTTGGCAAAGGGAAGTGCCAGTAGGTGTATAGGTGCAAAGGGCAGACGGAGAGGCGGGGCCAGTGCTCCAGAGCGAGAGCAATGTGGTCCTGCACACCTGACGCTCATTCCTCGCGCCATCCTTCTTGGCAAACACCACACACGTCCCCCCGCCTCCCTCTCTCTTGCCCGTGGCTGCCCGCCGCAGCCGGTCGTTCTTCAACTCTCCTATGCACTTGTACTAACCTTCTCATCTCCATCTTCCACTCCCTTTCTCTCTCACCTAGCATCCTCTCATTGTCCGTTCTGGAACGACAATACACATCCCGACACTCCTTTCTCGCCTTCTGACGCTCGTTTTCTGAATCGCCGCTCCGTCCCCACCCTCTTACGACTTCAACTCCCCTCCCCCGAACACAACACATAGCAACAATGCGCGTTACCCCCGCCCTCGTCCTCGCCCTCGGCGCTCTTACTGTTGACGCCCGCCGCTCGCGCCGTGCGTGTGCCGCCAAGGCTCAGAGCTACTCTGTGGGCGCCTCTGCTGCCGCTGCCCAGACGACCGCCAGCCTCACGTCGGTGGCCGTTCCCGAGTCCACCGACAGGACCGACGTCGACTGGTCGTCGCCCGTCGGCTCGGTTGCCGCTTCGGCCACCGAGACTGCCACTGACGTGTCTGTGGAGCAGGCCACCACCGTCGCTTCGTCGGCCGACGCCCAGGCCACCGACGCCCAGGCCACCGACGTCTCGGCTGACGAGTCTACGACTGTCGCTTCGGCAGTGGACGCCCAGACCACCGACGTCTCGTCTGAGGACTCGGCTAGCGTTGTCGCCTACGAGGCCGCTGCTGAGGCTACCGATGCTACCACCGAGGCCTCGACCCAGGCCGCTTCGGCGACGACCACCGCCTCCGCCTCGTCGGCCACCCCTACCCTCCCCGTCCCCGACGCCGACTACATCTTCACCGAGTCCTCGACCGCCGAGGACATTGCCGGATCTTCGGCCTTGTCGAGCTACATCCTCTCGTACTACAACCAGTGGCGTGCCGAGTTTGGCTCTGGCGAGGTTGTGTGGAACACCACCCTTGCCCAGAAGGCCAGCGACCTCATGGGCGCCTGCAAGTGGGACCACGCGTCTTCCAACAACGACAACAACCTGTGAGTTGGCTGTTGCTGTCGCTTTTTGTAGAGAGTCTTGAATCTGACAATGTTTTCAAGTGCCGCCGGCCCCGTCTACCACTGGACCGTCAACAGCATGCTCGACATGTGGGCCAACGAGTACACCGCCTGGGACTTTGCCAACCCCGACGCTGGCACTCTTTCGCACTTCACCATGGTGGGTAGCCAACCTGCATTCCCAGAGCGCGCACGCTAACGTTTTAGATGGTCTGGAAGGAGACTACCCAGATCGGTTGCGGTTGGTCGTACGACGTCTGCAGTGAGGGCTCGGAGAAGGAGTTCTACCTCTCGTGCTCGCACTGGACTCCTGGCAACTACGTTGGCGAGGCCGCTGCCAACGTTGGCAGCTTCATCGGATAAACGAGAAGCCCAATTTTATCGGCGGTCAGTGGAAAGGTCTTCCAGGACGGTCAGTCCCACACATCTCCCGTTTTCTTGAGTTAGCCTCAAGTTTACACCCCCATCTCTCCCCCATTTCTTCCTCCACGGGCGTGAGCGACTGGTTCGTACACGTCTCTCCGACCGAGGCGGGGTCAATAGATTCCGTCTATGTCTTGGTCTGTTATGTCATCTCTTTACTTGAACACAGGGCATGCCACCTTTTCTATTCCTTGTGTTACATGTTTGGCAGCAGCTACTCTCTGTTTGACTTCAATAGACAGCTGTCTGGGGCATCTTTTACTTGTGACCAGTTGTGTTGTTTCTACTCCATCCACTGCCGGCTCGGCCTCCCGAGCATAGGAGGGATGGGTGGAAAGATTGAGATGGTCGAGATGCCACACGTCGATCCTTGTGCCCAGAAAAAAAAGGTTCCGCCGGAATCTGGCCTGCAATGTCCACACGCTCCCGGCACGTTCAAACAATCTCGATCAGACTTGTGTTTCCATCGTCAACCCAAACATACATCATGACTCGTGAGCTTGGCGCTTGGGAAGGTGTTGAGTAGCTGACAAGTACAGGTGGCGACCAGCGTGAGCGCGACCGTCAGAAGAACCTCGACAAACTGTGAGTCGCCTGTCGCCTGATTCCACGCGCGGTGGACATTTCATCGTCGCCCCTCGCCCATTCCCCGCTCGTGTACCCGTGCCGTCTTCTCTGTCGCGCTTGACGTGGTGCGATGGCGGTGTCGCGCTCATTTGCGGCCTTGCTACCATTGTGGATTGAGCAGAGCAACGATATGGTGCAGCCTGTGCATCCATGCCCGCACCATACCCACACACCGCCGCCAGCTTTCTCCCTGTGTTGGACATGCAGAGGAGAGTCTTGCAGCTGACACCACCCCAGGGCGGCTGCTGGCAAGAAGCAGACCGGCAACCCCCAGCAGCGCCGCGAGGCGTGAGTAGCTCTTCCATTGCGCGCATGGGGATATACTGACACTGGGAGCGACGCCAAGGCTCTTCAGGAGAAGTAAGTGCAGCTGAGCGAGCGAGCTTAGAGGGTTTGAACGCAGCTGACGGAACAGGATTGCTGTAAGTCGCTGTGTCACAGGTCCAGGTCAACGACGACTGACGTATACAGGCCAAGAAGGCAGCTGCCGAGGGCGGAGGTGACGCCAGCGCCAAGGGCAAGAAGAAGTAATTAGCACCAGAGTTGAACCCATCTCGACTCTTTTTCTCCATCCGCTTGCTTGCTTCTGTCTTGTAGTCTCCAGGCGCGCCATCTCCGCGCACGGGCGAGGGGGCATACCCTACAAATCCTCATATTTTTACACTCGCGGCGCGTTGCGACAAGAATGCAATGCATAGATGCCAGTGATGCTGACTAGTGCTGTCACCCCCCCCCCACCCCCCTTCTAAGATCGCACCCGCTCTCCCTCCTCCCTAATGCAGTCCAAACAATGGAATGATCCAGTCCTAATTCTGTCGACAAAACCCTTGCAGGAGACATGCTTAGGCCTCACCGCCAAGAGCGACAATCTCGGAGCGGACACCAGCCTCGGTGTCAATCTTTTGCAGCTGGGTCTTCTCAAGCTGCTCCCCCTTGGCAATGCGAGCCTTGAGGTCCTCGATAGCCTTCAGCTTCTTGGTGAGGTTACGGATCTTCTTGGCAGAAGCGTCCTCGTCGGCGGCGATGTCCACCTTGGCCAGCTCGGCAGCGGGGGCCTCGGGCTCGGGCTCCGCCTTCTTGTTCTTGGTCCTCTGGCGCTTCTTCTTCTCGCCACCAGCGGCACCCGACGTGCCGGGCACGGGGGCGCCGGGAACAGTGCCGGGGATGTAGCGGCCAGCAGGCTTGCCACCCTTGAAGAGCGGGGTGGAGGCTCCCGACGAGGGAGCCGAGTCGTCGTCACGGAAGTTGTACGCGTTCGAGGCAGCGGTGCCGCGGGCGCCTGGAGGGCGGTAGGCGCCAGCAGGCTTGGTGGCGGCACCGTTCGAGGCCTCCTCCTCGCCCTTGGGACGGTAGAGGGCCACCGAGTCGTTGGCGGCGGGAGGCTGGGGCACGACGGCAGGGAAGGCCGAGACAGTCTCGACACGCGAGGGGCGGAAAGTGGCCGCGTACAAGTCGTCCTGGGGGTGAATGTGGAGGAGCTGGCCACCACACCACCAAATCCTGACACCGTTGTCGACACGGAGACGGGGCGACAGGGTGGCGGTGAGGATGTATTGACCGCAAGGCGACCACTCGCAGTGCGACGAGTTGGAGGCCTTGAACTCGGCAACCTTTTTGCGCGTGCTCACGTCCCAAATGTCAACGCCGCCCGCCAGGTTACCGAAACCGGCCGAGAGCAGGAGACGGCCCTGGGGCTGGTACAGCAAAAAGTTGCGAGGGTTGGAGCCAAACGAGTGGACCGCGCGGGCCTTCTGGTCAAACACCTGGGTGCGAGCCGGCATGTAGCCGTAGCAGACGGTGAACTCGCGCGAGTTGGGGCTCCAGCAAAAGTCGTAGATGGGGCCCTCCTTGTCGAGGTCGACGAGGCCGTCAAACGAGCCGTCGAGACCCACAAGGTACAGATTTGTCTCGCCATAGTACGACTTGCCAGTGTTGTCAACGTCGGTGTGGGCGAGGAACAGTGCCATGGTACCGGCATTGTTCCACTTGACGGACAGTTTGTCGGCCTTGTAGAACGCCTTGCGAGCAAGGGTCTGGGGCATGTCGCGGGTCTCGAGCTTGTCCTCGGCGGCGTCACCGTTAACGACGGGCTTGGTCTTGCCAATGATAGACGAGAGCGGGTAGAGAGCGAGCGTTGCCGGGGCACCCTTGCTCTCACCGACCCAGACGGCAAGTGCGGGCTCGTTGTAGGGGCGAACAGGCTTGGAGTTGGTAGCGCTTTCGGGCAGAGCCGAGGGGCGCGAGAGGAAGAGGCCCTTGACCTGGCTGTTGCCCTTGACGCGGGTCGACGGGCGAGGAGCAAGAGGCGGGCAGAAGACCAAGAGGTCCGAAGCGGTGGCACGGATCAGGTGCGATTCGTCGGGAGTGACGATCGGCACCCAGTCGTCCATCGTCTTCTGGTACCACCCACCGACAAGCTCACCAGTCTTGACGTTCCATGCCTTGACGTTCTTGTGCACGTCGGTGTCGCTCTTGACGGGGCGCTCAAAAGTGAACAGCGTGGTCGACAGAGGCGAAAACGACAGAGCAATGATGTTGGGCTGCTCAAGAGTCAGGGGAGCCGACGACGAGCCCGACGCGGTCGACATCAGCTGGACACTGCGCGACTGTTAGCTTGTAAACAGGACGTTGGTAGGCTTACGTCTCGCCCTGGGCATAGGCAAAGAACTCTCCATCGAGAGAGTACGCGACGGCGCGGGTAGCGGCAGTCTCGCTGTAGAGGCGGAGCGTCAGCAATGTATAGTTGTTCCAACGCGCAGAAACGACTCACGAAGGGATCGATGGCAAGACGTCCCACGAGGGGCTCTCAGAAATGCCGGTCGTCTTCTGGGCGCGGACTGGAGGGGAAGCGTCAGTAAACTGTCTTGGCCGAAACGTTTGGGTGTGCAACTTACAAGCGTACTGGGCCGGAGCAGACATTTGTGTGTGTGTGTGTGTGCGCGTCGTTTGGTTTGGCAGGCAAAAGGGGTAGAATGTTGAGGAGCTGCTGTTGACGGCCAATTGCGATGATCTGCTGGGAGTCGGCCTGCGACGTCTGTTTCTCTCTGTCACCTGGGTGGAAGAGGCGGGGGGGTTGGGACTCTCTTGGAAAAGAACAACGGGAGGAATGTGTGCGGTCGATCACGTCTGAGCATCGACACACCCAAAAGGCCAAAAGTGGCGCGCAGGAGGCACCGCCGTGCCGGGCTCCAGCCAGCGTGCGGGTGTCAGTGATAAGTGTAGAATGAGCCAAGTGGTGGAGTAGGTATATCACACGTCATTTATATGTTTTCAATTATAATGACGTGTTATTTTAAGAAAATCGTCACCGCGATTCATTTTGATTTGGGATTTTTATCCGGCCTGAGATACGACGGGTGCTCCGCGTCCGGGGGTGAGCGACATATGGTGGGCGATGGTAATCCGGTCGACCCGGGACGCTTTGTTGCAATATCTCAATCACCACTCTCCCACCCCCAACCCCCCAACGCTCTATCACAGAACCACGGCTGCATAGCCTGTGTGTGTCTTGTACATCTCAACAACAACAACACCGTGGACTCGTATCGTCTTCTCCTGCGTGCTTTAAAAAAACGGGACTGCGTCTCATTAGAACCGACTCGTCGCTCCGACCCTCATCTCCAAACCGCTCTCCCCCATCCTCCTCCAATCCACTTCGCCGCAATGCACCAGAAGGGCAACTCCATCCGTCTCCTCACGGGTAAGCTCCTCCACACCTACACGAGATCCAAGGCTGACACTCTTGTCCAGGCAACGCTCACCCCAAGCTTGCTGAGAATGTCGCCAACCGGTATGTCTTTTCTGGGCCGAGTACTCGCGCGAGCAATTCCACGCTCCGACAACCCCAAGATCCTGTACATTCCTTGGCTCATAGCCATGGTCTGTCCAGCAATCCTGGTTGCACCGATCCCTCTACATCTCTGCGCCTAATGCCAATGCTGACGCTTGTCTCTTCGCCATCACTCCTCGTCTTTCGCCCACCCTGACATTGCTCCTTGTCACGCCACTCATAAACCATCGGAACATTCACTTCCGTCGACCGACAATCTTTTCCCCTGCGACGTTTGTCACCCGTCTTGTTGCCCACCCCACCATAACCCGGTCCTATCCTACACTGTTCTCTTTTGATGTTCTGCCCACAGCCTTGGCATTCCTCTCACCCCCTGCTCGGTGACCAAGTTTGTCTCGCTCGAGACCTCGGTGCAAATCCACCAGTCCGTCCGTGATGAGGACGTTTTCATCCTCCAGTCGCCGTCGCCCCCCGACGTCAACGACCACCTCATGGAGCTCCTGATCATGATCTCTGGTGTGTAGCCGCGTGTGCAAAGATTACGGTGTACCCAAGTCCCCCTGGTGGTCCTGTCTTCTGACGCCCAAACTAGCGTGCAAGATCGCTTCTGCCAAGCGTATCACCGCCGTCATCCCGTGCTACCCATATGCGCGCCAGGACAAGAAGGACAAGTCGCGTGCCCCCATCACCGCCAAGTAAGCTTGCTATTGTGTGGGCGTAGAAGCTGACATGCAGGCTCGTTGCCAACCTGCTGGCCGTTGCCGGTGCCGACCACGTTATCACCCTCGACCTTCACGCGTCCCAGATCCAGGGTTTCTTTGACATTCCCGTCGACAACCTTTTCCTCGAGCCCTCCATGATCCGCTACATCAAGGCCGAGATCCCAAACTGGCGCAACGCCATCATTGTGTCGCCCGACGCCGGTGGTGCCAAGCGGTAAGTTTGAACGGCACCGTTCCTTAATTAAGCTCGTGTTTTGGATGCTGACATTTGGTCAGTGCTACCGCTCTTGCCGACCAGCTCAACCTCGACTTTGCGCTCATCAACCGCAAGCGCAAACGCGACCTTTCGGCCTCGATGATGGTTCCCACCGTTCCCCCTACTCCCATGGGTTCGGACGCTGGCTCGCACCACGAGGACGAGGACGAGCACGACCACACCAACGACATGATGGAGCTCCTCGTCGGCGACGTCAAGGGCCGTGTTGCCATCCTCATTGACGACATGATCGACACTGGCCACACTGTTCGCCTTGCCGCCGATGTCCTCCGTGACGCCGGTGCCACCGAGGTCTACGCCCTCATCTCGCACGGTCTCCTCTCGGATGTCACCATCGAGAACCTCAAGGACCTCCCGCTCAAGAAGCTGGTCGTCTCCAACTCGATCGACCAGACCAGCAGGCTAGAGGCCTGCCCCGTCCTCGACACTATTGACGTTGCCCCCGTCATTGCCGAGTCGATCCGCCGTACCCACAACGGAGAGTCCATCTCGGCCCTCTTCAAGCCTGACTACTTCTAAACCACCATTCGAAGGTAGTGCAGCTGAGGCTGGTGCGCGGTCAACCTGCCCCCCTCGTGTACCATTTGTATGACTGTGACGCAGAGAACGATGCATCTCAATCAAAGAAGGAAACGGGTTCCGCGCGCGCGGCGTTTACGAAAAGTCAATGTCGTCCCAGTCGTCGCCTGTCGAGTAAGCTGACGTAGTCTCCACTGCGCTCTACCTACCCATTCCCATGGTGTGGCGGAACCCGGCCTCGTCGTCGAGGGCATGCTGCGACTTGATGAACGACATGACCGCGTCGACATTGTCTGCTGGGTTAGAGCTTGCCGCAGTTCGAACCCACCATGCCAACGCTGTGCCGCCTTCTTGGCCACGGCCGCCGCCTGGCGCTTACGCTGATACTTGACGGGGTCAGCAGCACCGTAGGCGGCCAGCTCGGTCTTGAGGGTTGCACGCGTGGTCTCGGCGTCGGCAAGGGTGGCCAGGAGCTGGCGGCGTTCGGGCTGCGTGGGTCAGGCAGGGTCCGATGAGGTCCACCCACAGTGTCCTCGCGTCCCTGCTGCGAGCTGGCCAGAGTGGTGCGCGCCTCGGTGATCTTGTCGAGGAGGGTGTCGGCTTCCTTGGTCAGGCGGTCGAGATCGGCTTGCTTCTGAATGTGACTGTTAGCGCAGTTGACTGGGGGATGTGAGCGGTAGACAGTACCTTGGCGCCAGCGGTGCTTGGGAAGGACCAATAATCTGCCGTTAGCTGTTGCAGAAGAGCTAGGATAGCTAACAGTTGCTCGTGCCACTGATGCTGTCAGCTACCACAATCAGAGCACCAGCTCACATCTTCTCCATCGTGACCAGACCATCGGCCTGGAGCTCGTCCAGGATCTCCTTGACCGATTGCTGCACTGGGTGGTTGAGCTCACGTTGGGCCTTGAACATGGCCAGCTCACCGATACCCTTCTGTTCTGTGAGGGTTAGTTGGGAGTCCCAACCTTACGCAACTCACTAGGCGCATTCTTCTCGAGTTCCTTGAGAGTAAAGAACTCGCTCTGGCGGTTAGCTGGGAGGGGAGGAGAAGGGAAGCTAGAGAAGCTGGGTTGGGCGCACCTTCTCGTGGAAGAGCTCCATCACTGAGTGGGTGAGCTTCGAAGAACGACTTAACCACCTACTCTTTGTGCGTTTCTCCTCGCGAGAGAGACCGCGTTTGGACATTGTGGTCTTGTGGTGGGTGTGAGGAGGGTGGAGAAGAGTAAAGTTGAAAGATGGCCTGCGTGAGTTGTAATGCTAGTGTGGTGGTTGAGAGGGAAGGCAACAGATCGCCGGGGGGAAGGCGGGTGACTGGACTTGGGAAGGGTGGAGAAGATCGTCGTCTGGATCGTCACAGATCACTGCAGGTGGTTGTCAGCAAACTCGTCACATCTACAACCTTACCACTGATAACTGAAGACATCACCCTGGCGTACTCGCACAAGGATAGCTCGTGTGTATAAGGCGTGTGCCACTTCTGAAGCTCGTCAAGCCCATAGCCACCTCGTCTGTGTAATCACTGTGGCGACGTGTGTCGACGATCACTGATCAGTGACCAACGGTGGGGTACATTGTCCACCACTCCCGGGAGCCACCTCTGTCTCTCATCTGTCCTCCTCTCTCGCCACCAGGACTAGCGTCGAGTGTGCCTGCTGTCTGCTGTCTAGTACAGCATGCGTGCATGCGTCGTCCTTGATGCTCTGTGATCTGTGGCCAGTTGGGCTGTGGCTCACCTTGCGGCGTTCGTCGGCAAACCGCGGGCCACGAGTTTCGATCATCCCAGTTCTCTTGCGAGTCCAAGAACAGGCGGGCACCGGAGACTCAAAGCCAGGACAACATCTACTTTGCCCCTCCACGGGTGCCCATCAACGACCTACTATGCAGCTGCAGTCAACGTTCTGGACGTTCTGGCGGACACCATTGCTGATAAAGAGCGCAACTTTCTGTCGGCGTCGTCCGGTTTTGGCGCAGCCCTTTCCAATGAACCGGGGGTCCAGCCAGGCACGAGCGATAGAGACGATGTCGTGATGAGCAAGCATTCCGTGCTCTCGTTTGCTTCTACCCACATCCCGTCGCAGAAACATCTTCTCTCTTCCTTATTCCCCTCTCTAAGGCTCAACAGCGCTTCTCCCTCTTCTCCACCTCCTCCCTTCTCCCACACTTTTTAGCTCAGCATGCCCGCGACGCTCCCGGCGTGGCCACCGGCGCTCACGCCCGAGCAGCAGGCCGAGCTCCTCCTCGAGGCATCGGCGTACGCTCTCGCCCACGGCTTCACCTTGCTCCCTGTCCACCCTCCCTCAGGCCCTCCTCCAGCCCCCACGCATGCCATTGCTGCCCCGCTCTCGCTCTTCCCCACCCCCTTCCCTCGGAGCGAGTACGAACGCGCCCGGTCGCTCCAGACGGCTTACAACGCGCTGTACGCCCGCGTCGCACTCGACCAGGAGTTTATCGACCGCGTGATCGGTTCAGTGGCCAAGGTGGACACGTTCCAGGGAGAGCTCTGGACTCGCTGGAAGGGTGTTCGCGCCGAGCTCCCCCAGCCTGTTCAGCTGGGCATCTTCCGCTCCGACTACCTCCTCCATGCGTCCGAGAGCTCGTTTGAGATCAAGCAGGTCGAGTTCAACACTATCGCCGCGTCGTTTGGCGCTTTGAGCCAGAAGGCAGGAGAGATGCACCGGTGGGTAGAACTTGCTTTTTCCTTGCTGACCCAGCAGCTTCCTTGCACAGACCACAGGCGCGTTCTATGGTGCGGCACCAGAGCTCGCGGACGCTACTGCCTACCCGGACAACCACTCGCTCGAAGAGTTGGCTGCCGGCCTGGCCCAGGGCTGGAAGGTGTACGGCAACAAGGACGCCGTCGTCCTGGTCGTTGTGCAAGAGGGCGAGCGCAACGTGTTTGACCAGCGTGGACTCCAGTACGAGCTGCTGTCCAAGCACGGCGTCAGGAGTGTTCGTTACACGTTTGCCGAGCTGGGGCGCCTTGCCCAGGTCGACCCTTCGTCCAAGCACCTCCTCATCCCTAACCCGCTCACTCCCAACGCTCCCCCCTCCGAGATTGCCGTTGTCTACTACCGCGCCGCCTACACCCCAACCGACTACACCTCGTCCAAGGAGTGGGACACGCGCGTCCTCCTTGAGCGCTCCCTCGCCATCAAATGCCCGACCATGGCGCTCCAGCTCGCCGGTGCCAAGAAGGTGCAGCAGGAGCTCGCCCTTCCTGGTGTCCTTGAGGACTTCCTTCTGGGATCGAGCCGCCCCGACGTTGGCCTCGGCGCTGGTGCCGGCTCGCTCACCCAGGAGGACGTTGACGCCGTGCGCGCGACCTGGACAGGCCTGTGGCCCATGGACGACAGCGAGGAGGGTCTCGAGGCCCAGCGCCTGGCCGAGACCCACCCCGAGCGCTTTGTGCTCAAGCCCCAGCGCGAGGGCGGTGGAAACAACATTTACCGCACCGACATTCCACCATATCTCGCCAAGCTGGCCGCCGAGCCCAGCAACCCCGGCGACCCTCCCAAGCGCGAGGGCTACATTCTCATGGAGCTCATCGAGCCCCCACAGGGTGTGCACAACTGGCTCGTGCGCGGAGGAGAGGGCAAGCCCCGCCTCGCCGACGTCGTGAGCGAGCTGGGCGTGTATGGTGTTTCCCTCTTTGGCGGCAAGGACGCCAAGAGCATCGTCAACCGCAGTGCAGGAACCCTCCTCCGCACCAAGGGACGTGAGAGTGACGAAGGTGGTGTGGCAATCGGTAAGCTGTTGCCGGATTCACGCAACTGACAACTCAGGCATCTCATCAATTGACAGTCCCCTGCTTGTGAACTAGAAGCGTAGAAACCAGAGCAGTGTATGGGTACTGCTTTGACATGGACAGCTTATTCAAATTCATTCGTCACTTTTAAAGCTGCTGTCCTTTTGACACTAACACTCTTCAGGTTCCTTCCTTTTCTCCTTCACCTCAACACGTCAAAGTGTAGGCGCGGCTTAGAACTCCTCAGCGAGCCACTCGAACGTGTCGTCGAGGGTCTGGTCCTTGCCATGGAACGAAAACTTGAAGACGCTCTGGGCCTTGTGGCTGTTGAACGTGATGGCCTTGGCCTCGAGGCCGGAGCGGAACTTGGCGTCCGACTTGCCGGGGGTGAGCTTGCGGTCCGGGTAGATGTGCATCGCCGACTGGACGAAGGTGTGTTAGTACTGCTACCTCCTGGGAAAGGCGGGCTTTTACTCACAAGGGCAAGGTCGTTGCCCCACATGGCACACGAGGCGAGGATGAAGCGCTGGCCCGATGCTTCCGGGGTGCGGAGGGCGTGGATACAGGACATGGCGACTGACAGTCAGAGAGACTGCAAAGATATGAACAACTCACCGTCACGGACGTCGACGACGTTGTACCACTGCTTCTCAATCTGGGCCTCGGTGACACCAGGGTGGGTGAAGGGCTTGCACATGTCTGCGGTCGTCAGCTGAGGTGCCGGGTCGGTCCATGCAAACCTGACACTGAGGCTACTTACTAAGAACAGGGTGGTGCTTCAGTTCGCCAGCGGCCTGCATGGGTGCACCAAGGACCATGGAGGGGAGGAGAGCGACGGCGTCGTACTTGCGCGTTTGCTCAAAGTGCTCCCAGAACTTGCGCTCAGCGAGGACCTTGCTGGCTGCAGAGCGGTCAGCGAGTGGTCTGGATCAGGACGACACAGAAGAGCTACTGACCGCTGTACTTGTCGTAACCGGAAGCCGAAGCGCCCTTGGATTTACAGTTCTCCACCGCGATGTTGTTCCAGTCTGCGCGAACGCGGGTCAACACCACTGCCACTGAAGCTTGCACTCACCATTCTCAGTCCACGTCTTGGGGCCCATCATGTTCGACGGCTCCTGCGCAATGGCGCCAGTGGAGCTGATGTGGATGACGCGCTTGCACTGCGGGGCATGGGCGTGGATGGCGGACATGAGGCGCTCGATGCTGTGCACGGCCGGGTCGATGATGAGCTTGGGGTCGCCCTTCTGGTCGAGCTCGGCCGGGGCGGCAAAGTTGACCACGGCATCGACGCCAACGACGGCCTTGTCGTAGGCACCGGTCTGGGGCGTCAACTAAAGGGAACCAGGGTGGTGGAGAAGGGGTTAAGGTTAAGGCAGTACTCACCTTGATGAAGTCCTCAACGATCATGGTCTCGACCTTGCCGCCAAAGGCGTCCTTCATGCGGTCGGCGCGCGCGCGCGAGCGCACAGTTGCGCGGACCTTGTAGCCCTCGTCGAGGAGCTGGCGCACGGCGTGGGTACCGAGGTAGCCAGCACCGCCAGTGACGAGAACAAGGCCGGACTGGAGAGCGGGCATTGTGATGTGTGAGTGTGTTTTGGGAGTTGCGTGAGGAGGTAGTTATGAGATGAGAGAAGACGCTGGGGGTGAGTGAGCTGAACGGGTCAGTGGTCTGCTTATATCTTGCGACAGGCAGGCTCTGGCCGCGGCGTGGGATTCACCCCAAGTAGCCAAGACGTGCAGGTCACAGAGTGAGGACAATACCACGCTCCAGAACAAGTGACCTAGAGAGTCAGCGGATCAGTGGTGGACAGCAAGGAACACCGGGCAACCATCACCGCAGGTCACCACTAGAACCGCCACATTATTCCCTCTTCACTCCAGGACACGGCGCCACCATCAGCACACGGCACGGAGCATGGTGACCAGTCACGGCTCTTGGTCGCTCTTGGAGTGGTGGGGCCCATGGGGTAGAATTTTGCTTTGGGCCCCATTCTTCAGCAGCAGGCCTCGGTTGTGACAAGGACGAGGAGGGAAGTGAGCGCCACGCTGTTGTTTGTGTGTATGTGTGTTTGCGTCAGCCGTCCTCTGCATTCCCGTGGCCTCTGGAGTCCTAATTCACTGTGACAGCCTGTCGGTGTTGGTGGGAATTGTGACCCTCATGAAGCACAGTAGTTCACAAGATGGCATTTCTTTCATATCTATTCTACACTGATGCCTTTTGCTTGGCGGATAGGGCCTGGACTGTCTCCAGAAGCGTGGCGTCCTTGTCGCGGTAGTTGAGCCCCAGAACGCGTGTGGCCTTGGAGCCGTCGAAGACCATTGCCTTTGCGACTAGGCCGGCGCGGTAAGCCGGGTCAGCGTTGGCATTGACGCCTGCCTCCGGCAGGACTTGGGCGGCAGCGACGGCAAAGTCGTTGTAGAAGAGCGGCGCCGCTGCGATAATGAAGCGCTCACCCCCCGCAGCGGGAGTGGTCACACCAGCGACGATTGCAGCAGCGACTGACATGTCAGCAAACAGTGTCATGGGTCATTTTCATTCTCACCATCGCGGACATCGACAATGTCGACAGTGGGCTGCTCAAGAGTCGCAGTTGGCACGCCAGGGCGCATGAACGGGAGAGCAGACGCGTTGGAGCCGACAATAGCACCGCCAGCGGCGGTGAACTGGGTAGGAGGACCAAAGATCTCTTGGTCAGAGTGCATCCAAGGGGCAAGGGACTCACGAGACCGGGGTTGAGCACGACGCCGTCAAACGCAGGCTTCTTCTCCTCCAAGAAAGACCAAAACGCCTTCTCTGCTACAGTCTTGGACGCTGAATACTTGGCGCCTCCAGGAGCAGCTGCGCCGAGCTTGTCACAGAGATCCACAATCTCGTTGTTCCAGTCGGCCTCCGTCCTCTTCCCTGGACCGGCAACGCCTGCGCGCCCAACGGCAGCGACGGAGCTGGGGATGTTAGGTCCATACTGCTGGCTGGGTAACCTACCTAATGTCCACGATACGCTTGGCCTTGGGATTGTTCTTCTCGAGGGAGTGGAGGATGCCTGTCACTCCCGCAACGGCAGGACCAATGACGTTGTTGGGGTCGCCCTCGTTGGTCGTGTCGAGGGGAGAGGCTACGTGCACGACGGCATCGACACCGACAACAGCCTCATCGTAGGCGCCGGTCTTTTGAAAGTCAGTCGCGGCTACATGCCTTCAGTTGACACTCACTTTGCTCATGTCCTCGACGATGACGTAAGAGGCCTTGGGACTGAGCTCTTTGAGGTGCTCGCCCTTCTGAGCCGAGCGGACTGTGCCGCGGACCGAAAAGCCGGCGTCAAGGAGAGCCTTGACGGCATAGCTGGAGCGTCAGCATGTGGGAACGTGGGGTGCGAGCAACCAGCAACTTACGTGCCGACAAAGCCCGAAGCGCCCGTGACAAGGACAAGGCCAGAGTTGACTGCGGGCATGTTTGGTGTGTAGGCGTGGCTGCGTGATGGGTGGGAAGGGGCTGGTGGATGAGTGGATGTTGTGCGTGTGAGTGAGGTGGATGGGCAGCGTGTGGGAAGAGTGAGAGAGTGGAGTCTGTCCTTTAAATTGTCTGCCCGTCAACTGTGCCATGCCATGCCATGTCATGTCGTGACATCTAATCTCGCTTGGATGGCCATGGCCGGCAAAGGCGCACCGGCCGTGTATCCCCGGTGGACCGGTGGACTCTGCCGAGGCGGATTAACAACGATGCCGTGATTATAAACAAGTGACCGTCGGCCTTGTAGCCCTCTATATCCTCTATGCATTGTCAGCATGTACCGCTGTACCGCTGTGGGGATGGCTTTGGCAGAATCCAGTGGTGTGCATGCACGTTTTGACAAGGAGAGATTTTGCTTTTCTTGGCGGCGATCACCGACGACATATCCATATGCCCACAGCTTGTCATTGACGTCATTTGTTGACAACAATGAACATTCCCCATGCGTCCACTCTTTTGTTCCTCGTCACTTGCTGTGCGCGGCCTTTTGCTGCGCCCGCATATGCCTAGACTTCTCATTTAGAACCACGTTGCCCAGGCTGTCACCCCCGTGCGTCTCAGAGAGCCAGCTTCGGTCTTACCCCGTGCGTGTCTTCAGTGTTTGTGTTTCTTCTGGCGGAGCCCGTTCTTCGGCGCCACCAAAAGCCGAGAAGGCTTCTTCTCGGAGCCTCCGCATCGGTCCATCCACTTGACAAACCCCATGGTCCCATGTACCTTCCACCTCTCGCATCGGCACTCCGGATCCCAGGATCCCATGTCTGATGGGAACACCCGGAGCTTGCTGTTATACACTGGCACAATCACTGAACACAACCCACACTCCCCCCTTTTTGTCACTTCGCACTCTTGTTCTCCCCAACACACAAACACCCATCAACAATGTCTACTTCGCACCACCCACACCTAACCCCACCTCATCCATTCCACACCACCTTTGTCAACATGCGCTCAACGTCGCCTTTGTCGTCGGCGTCATCGTCCACCTCGCAGCTGTCCCAACTGGCTCAGTTCAACGCAATGTGTCTGCGCACCCAGTTTGGGTCACGGTCGAGGTCGCGGCACACTGCCGAGCGCCGCGCCATGCTCTGGGACTACATTGAGGAGCACTTTCCCTACCTCGAGAACAACCAGAGGCTCCAGTACCTTCGCGAACGGCGCGACCTCGAGTTTCCCGAGCTGGTCAAGGAGGTGCGGCGTCTGATCACCGTGGAGGTAAGCAAAACCGGGTGGCGTCAGCGGCTGATCGAGCTCAGCAACAGCCAAAGAATGCTGCACCTTCCTGTCCCCCTGCCATCTACGACAATCCTCGCATGCGGTTTGAGGGAAAGCTCAAGTCTGAGGGTATTACCGATGCCGTAGAGGTCTTGTTCGAGGACACGGGCAAGTTGAGGTCAAGGATTTACCTCGTTTTGGCCGAAGTGGACCCACTGTTTGAGATCAACGACGGCGAATACCGCATGCTTCTCGACGACCGGGGGTTTTGCCTCCCCGACGTCCTTCGCGAGATCCTGCGGATCCTTGACATGGGAGCAGTGAGTCCATGGCGAGCTACTGAGCTGACCTTGTTGCAGTATGCGATTCCAATCTCCATGTGGCACAACCTCTCGGGTGCAAAGTCTGACTCGGGGGTGAGTGACCGTTCGGCAAAGAGTGGAATGGACGCTGATCAACAGCTTGAGCGCTCTCCACAAGCTACCAGCCCGTGTAGCTGCGGGAACCACTACTCTCGCTCTCACTAGCCTGCTTCTCCACTTTGTCTCCTCAGCACTTGAACATATTAGCAACAGCACGTAAACATCATCCACATCAACCGCATGCCCTCGTCTTGTACAATACCTTACATGTAACCACGTTTGTTTCTACATTGGCCTGTGACTGCTTCTACCCAAATGTCGGACCTGCCGAGAGACGCAAAAGCCGCCACCCGAAATGAACAGAAGCGGTGACGAGGCGCGGCCTGTCTTCCTTCTCTTCGGGCCTTATTCGTCGGACCGAGGGAGCGGCCTGCCGGAGCAACCGGGCGCGGTGGCGACTGTGATCGCCCGTTCTGGAATGGAAGCGCACATAACTGAAACTTGTGTCACAAACAACGGCTGTCGAGTGAGACACAGAGGCGACGCAGTCAGATCCAGCTTAACGACGCACACGGCCACTCCGGCCTGCGGGCACTCCGGCCTTAGAACCATTAACAGACCACTCCGTATGCATCCCCTCCACAGTACGTACTGTACGTGCTACTCTGCAGTGGTAAAAGCCACCGACGCACGGACAATGTTCTTCCATACCTCGAGCTCATGCTCGTCGCGTGGCGCGTAGATCATGACGTACGTGAGTGGCATCAACACGCCGCTGATCGGGTGTCGCTGTCCCCAGCCAGTCCTCAGGACGGATCTGGCATCTTCCAGGCTGAGCAGGACGTGCGAACTGCCTTCAGAGTGGACATGCGCAATCTCGCTGTGCTTGACAAACTTGGGCGGGTGGACCAGAGCCACGGCGGGGAACGATGGGTGTTCAAGGACCGACGGGCGGAACTCGAGGAGCTGAGGAGAGGCCTTGGTGAGCGAGCTGAGGTACGCGTTCATCTCGTCGACATATTGCGGCGCCGGTTCTGTCGTCTGGCGCTGGGGAACGACATAGCCGGGCACCGTCGGACGCTCGCCCGCACGCGTAGGGAGCGGAGCCGCCAAAAAGGACTCGCGCCCGTGGGGAGCAAACTCGGCGTCGGCTGCAGGGTTGGAGAAAGGTGCTGGCGACAGCGTGTCGCGTGCAAGTGGCTGGAGGAGGCCTTGGAACGCCCACCCAAAGACATTGTGAGGGAAGCCGCCCGGACCAAGGGCCATGTATCCCCGATAAGACGCCAGGAGGCTTGACACCAGTGGTGAAAGGACCAAGGGAAGACCGAGGGCCAGGCTGACGGCGTATGGATGCTGACGAGCAGACTGCACGAGGGCGTCCAGCGCCTTGCTGGGAGCTTGTGTGAGTGACATGTTGGGAGTGGTCGGGATACCCGTTTGTGTTGCGCTCGAGTGGGTATTTATGGCTGTACGAGGTGGACGAGCCATTCCGCATTATGTGATACCCCGGCTGCGATTGTTGCTGTCAGGCACACCTCTCTCGGGAGCGTGAACATCCGATTGAACATCCGATTCCCACACATGTTGCATCTTCTTTTTGCTTAACAGACTTAAGAGCACTTATATAACACATAAATTTACGCTCCCCTTCAAGCTACCACTTCAGGCCGCCCAGGAAAGCCTTGACAGAAACAGCGACCTCGTTGACATGGGTCTCGAGGAGGAAGTGGCCCCCGTCGAGGAGTTCGACTCGCGCGTTGGGAAGGTCGCGCTTGAACGCCTCGGCACCAGGGTAGATGAAGCACGGGTCGCCCTTGCCCCATACGGCAAGAAGCGGCGGGGAGTGGGTACGGAAGTACTCCTGGAACTTGGGGTAGAGCTTGACGTTGTTCTGGTAGTCCCAGAAGATCGTGAACTGGAGGTTGCGCTTGTCCTCGGGGCCCAGGTGCTGGAGATAGTCGAGCGTGTACATCTGCGGGTCGACAAGCTTCCGGTTGGTCTCGGGCACGCCGTCATAGTACTGCGCCTTGGTCCACTCAATGTCGCCGATCGCCTCGAAGAGGACCGAGCGAATCTCGGCGTGCTCGTCACCCCCAGCCCACCACCTCTGCAGGCCGCCCCAAAAGTCTGGACCGAGTCCCTCATCGTACGCATTGCCGTTCTGGGTGATGATGGCGGCGATGAGCTCGGGACGCTTGAGCGCAAGGCGAAAGGCAGTGGGTGCTCCGTAGTCGAACACATAGACGGCAAACTTCTTGATCCCAAGGGCGTCGACCAGGCCGCTGACCGTCTCTGCCATGAGGTCAAAGCTGAGGGTCACTCCTGCGGGAACCGTGGTGTGGCCGAAGCCCGGGAGGTCAGGTGCGACGACGTGGTACTGGCCAGCAAGAAGCGGGATGAGGTTGCGGTACTGCAGGTTGGTGGATGGGAACCCGTGAAGGAGGATGACAACCGGCGCGGTTGCCGAGCCCGCCTCGGCGTAGTGCACAGTGACACCCGACGAAAGGGTCTGGTTGTGGAACGAAGTAACCATCTTGAATGCTGCTGGTGAAGGAGAGTGGGAGACGACTTGAAGATGCGTTGGGTATGAGCAGACTGTCGTGCTTCTAATATACATGCTCGCACACGGTCGGCAGTGCGTCAGTTGATCAGCCACGTTGACACAATGACGTTCGGCTCGGTAAGGCAGATGGAAACTCCGTCGTCGTGACTAATCAGTCCAAACGTGTCAGTAGATGCTTGGTGCCCGGGTATCCCATGCATGTTTTCCGAGTGTACCTCGCGATGCAATGGGCAGTGCAGATGCAGAGAAACACTGGAGTCGACACAGTCAGCAGACGTCATGTTTGATGGACAAGTGGGACTGTGGGGGACGGGCGGTCGGCATCCTTGCTTCCGTGATGTCATCTCACACAACGAGGCGCCTCCTGATGTTCCGAACCGACTCGAACAGTCTGTATGCATGCGCGCGTCACGCATTGATGGCACTGGGCACACTGGATCCACAATAGGTTGCACCCCTCTGGGCCTCCGAAGACAAACATATATTGATACCATAATGAAAACACCTCGTCTGGAAACAAGGGCGAGTGGTACATATCTTCACACCTTCATGCGAGGGACATCATTCCTTAGCCACGACCACCGCACCATTGGTGTCGAGCAGCTATTGATGCATTCTCAGTAGATAATGCCCAAGTACTGGCCACAGTAGGCACAGTAGCATCTACGCCCCCCCATGCAAATCTCGTACCGGCCAATAACGCACTGGACGGCTGTCTGTGAGCGCCATTTCCAGACGTTTTACCCCTACCTCCCTTGTTCTCCCCGGCTTCGTTTCCGGCACAAGGCATGGTTAAAGACGAGTGGCGGATGTTTCAATGCTGGCTGCGTTGAGGGTGATGAAAATGTTTTAAAAGGACGAGAGGGCGAGTCGTTGGGATAACTGAACGGGGCATCCGGCAGGTATTTTATACACTTTTTTGTGGCCTCGGTGATGGAATCCGATGTCACACTTTTCTCTGCGGAATCAGAACCCCTCCGCAATGTTGCACTGCCTGCTGCTGATGGCTGATGATCAAATCATTCAACAATGCTGGTCATTGCGTCGGGTTCTTCAAACCAGGTCTGCAGCCAATCCATAAGAGGTGCAGGACACACACTTCATCGGGTTTCGGGAGAATTTATTGTTATTTAATTTCAAATCATACATCAGACTTAGGCATGAACCTGCTGGCGAGAAGGAACAGGCATGGGGTCGAGGTGGGCATTCTTCTGACGGAGGATATACCTCTTGAACCACCAGGGGAGGACCTTCTTGACCTGGTAGCCCGTAAACTGGGCTGTAGGGACAGAGAAAACCTGTCGTGCATTGTCAGCAAAAGTGCCACGCCGTCGCCCATGTGACACACCTGGTCGAGCTCCTCAAGGGTGAGCTGCTTGGTCTCGGGAACCCAGAGGTAGATCCACACAAAGGCCACGGCGTTCATGCCGGCGTAGAAGCCAAAGGCGCCTGTAGGGGTCAAGGCGCGGAGGAGACGAGGGAACTGTGTGGTTAGTGCTGGGCGGTAGGGTCTTGTACTCACGGTCAAAGCAAGAACGGCGCCCCAGGCGTTGTTCCAAGCGACACTCCAGGACATACCCTGCTCGCGCTGCACCAGAGGGAAGACCTCGGCAGAGTACATGAAGCTGAAGAGGTGTTAGCCACCGCGACGGATGTTTTTGACGATATTTTCCCGCCACCTCCAAATGTATGCGCAAACTTCACCCGTCTATTGCTGGCGGATCATTTGGTACTTACGGGACTGGTCCCTCTCCAACGCTGTAAGCAATTGTAAAGAGGTACACAAATAAGGCGACCAAACCCGTGCGGATCTGTTGGTCCTCGATTAGGAAACAGAGACCGCCGGCAAGAAGCGTCCAACACATGTTAGGGAAGGTTGCAAGTAAAAGTGAACGACGTCCGACTTCAAAGGGTGGTCAGCAACTGTGGTATTTCTCATGGGACCCACAAGTGTCAATCGTGAACACGGCGGGAAGGGCAAAAACAAAGTTGAGAGCGCCAAAGCCGATTGACGCGTATAACGCTTCCGTGTCAGTTGAGCCTCCCTCGCTGAAGATTGTGGACGAGTAGAATGCCATCTGTTGTCGTCAGCAACGCTCCTTGAGACTGATCTTTACAATGTTTATGCCACACATCTGTTGAGCGAGCATGACGACGGAAGCGGCAAGGGTGGCGCGACGGCAGCGAGGGATGGTGAAGCATTCGGTCAGGCGAGTGATGTAGGTGCGACCTTGAATGACCTTTTGCTCCTCGGCAAACTGGACGTAGGCGTAGTACTGGACAGTCAGGTTTCGTGTATCGGAGAGCAATACTCACAAGGTCACGAGCCGCCTGGAGTTCAGTGTTTCGGATCTTCTTCATGGAAGTCCATGCATCTGTGATGCGTCCCTTCTTCATGTACCACCTGGGACTCTCAGGACAGAACAGGACACCAATGGCAAGGGGGACGGCCGGGATGAACGCAGAGCCCAGTTGAAGACGCCAAGCAATCTTTCCGGTGTCCTTAACCGCAGCGTTGGCGCAGAATCCAAGGAAGATGCCAAAGGCGGTCCAAAGTTGCCAGCCCATGGTGAGAGCGCCGCGGATAGCCGCAGGGGAGATTTCGGCGCAGTACATTGCGACGGTCGCTGCCTTGGCGCCAACACCGACACCCATGACAAGACGCACAGCAGCAAGCGCCTGCCAGCTGTGCGTGAAACCGGAAGCAATTGGCGTGGCGATAAGCATAATGGCAGTAATAAAGATCTCTCCTCGACGGCCAAACCAGTTGTTCAGAGGGTCACTGATCCAGCAGCCAAGAAGACAGGCCGAGATGTAAGGGGACGAGTTGACAAAGCCGACAATCCACTCGTCGCGGTTACCACCCGGTTCGCCGACGGGTGTGGCGATACCAAACTCCTGGGGGAACGAAAGGTCTTGCGTGAGCTGACAGGTCACACGAGTTTCACTCACTGGCACCGTTGGAACCCGTCTGGTCCCACCCCTGAGTGGCAGCACCCAAAGCACACACAATGACCGTCAGGTAGAGAGCCTTGGGCAGGTGCCACTTGTGCTTCTTCTCGTGCTCAAGAGAATCCTTGTCCTCGGAAGTGAGCTCGGGAATGTTGGCAAAGTCATGCTGGCGCCGCGCAACAAGAGCGCCCTTGCGGAACGTTTCCTGGTCCGCCTGAAGACCAAACTCCTCGACGAAGGCGTCCACCTCGGCCATCAGCTGGCCGTGGCTGCGGCCAACAAGAGGGTTGAGCTCATCTTGGAGCTCGATGGCAGGCGGTGTGTTGGAGCCATACTTTTCGATCTGGCTGTCCTCGTCAACGACGATCTTGTCTTGATGGGTGGGTGGGGTAGCCATGGTTTGTTTGTCAGAGGCTTGTGGGGAAAGGCGGGGCTCTCTCTTGGCAAGATACATGTACAATTTCCAGCACGGAATAAACGCAACCGGGTGACAAAGGAAGCTGCAGCTGGTCTCTCAGCAATTCGCAATGGTCACAAGAGGTCCCCGCTATCTGACATTTCCCCAATCAACTCCATGTCGACGCGCAAAGCCAAGATGCATAGCTTGCCACATCAGGTCCGTCTTGGTATGAGCGATTTACGACTTCCTTCGCCACGCTGCCTCAAAGCAAATCGTTCCTGGACACCCCACCTGCCCCCACTCCACATCGTGACCATCGGTCCCCAAGCACGCCAAGGCCTTGGCGAGGACAGCCGCAGTCCCGAGTCCGCTCACACTCTAGCCTAGTTGCACTCTGGAATGGCCATTTGGAGGTTGTGGGCGGGGTGAATGGGCGGACAGGGCGCACATTGAGGCTCGTTGCCTTCCCCAAATACCCTCATTCTCCCCGATGTTTAGTCAAACCCGAGATCTTGCTCTGGATATCTGAACACATGTTGCGGCAACAGCCACCTGCTGAGCGGTATGTGCACTCTGATAGTTGCGGCAAGATTACAGCTCCCTGAAGCGCTTACTACTGGGTAGCTGTTGCTCTGACCTTGACCCGGCGGCACTTGGCACCTCCGACCCCCACCTGGTCCTCCATGCTTACTCGTGGGGTAACTGGGGTCATGAACTGTGGTTGCTTTGTGGATGTGGACGTGAGGCCATGAGGCACGGCTGCAAGTCTCTGCCCACTCTCCGTTTGCGGCTAGCGGTCACGAAAACACGGACGCGATGGTGACTAGGCGTCGGCTACTCTTAGCGGCACGACCCGGCAACAAACGATTGGCAACGTGAGCCTCTATCCGTGCCTTTTACAGACCGCATCTCAGCAGCCCCGACAGTGATAGCGTATAGCTGAAGACTAGCACGCTGCGTGGTTTTGTAAAACGTTGCTTTCAAGCGGGGTTCCAAAGGTCCGCGCCTCACTCTGAGGTCCCAAAATGTGATTACGTAAAAGAAATTGAGCGGATGTTTGCCTTGCAGCACGTGACCTGGTTTGCCGCTGGCCGCTGGCCGCGCTTCAACGCTCCCCAACTCGTCGACTCGCTGACACGACGTGCCCTCGTCCGCCCATTCACGATTCCTTTCGCCTCCCCAGTCCGCAGTGTGCAGTGCACTCATCAGGAAGCGCAGGCTATACTCTAGCCTAACTTTACATGTCCGCACGTTACCTACAGCGGACTCTACTGCGGGTATGATGTCACGCAATGTCGGGTAACTGGGTAAGGTTCGGGACACTTGGTGGGGGTGGCGCACACTGTGGTACTGTACGTACTGTGGGACGGATGCTGGCGAGAGGATAGTGTGGTCTGCACTGCCAGCAGGTGCCGTATACCAGAGTTTAAAGCCAAGTTGCCGTATTTTGTGCTCTCACACGACTGACTCTCACTCACACATCCCTCAATGCCCACCAGCAACAAGGTCGCCCTCATTACTGGATGCTCCGAGCCCGCCAGCCTCGGCGCCGCACTCGCGATCGAGTTCAAGCGCCGTGGGTATCGCGTTTATGCGACTGCGCGCAATATTAAGACGATGGGCAATCTTCAGGCCGAAGGGTGTGACCTGTTGACCCTCGACGTTGTCTCACCCACCTCGATCCAGGAAGCCATCAGTGCTGTGACGACCGACGCAGGTCGTCTGGACCTCCTCGTCAACAATGCAAGTCCCTCGTCGGGATAGAACACTGACTAGAAGGCCGGTCTGGCGACCGTGTGCCCCCTACTGGATGTCGATATCGACTGTATGCGCCGAACGTTTGAGGTGAACGTCTTCGGGCCAATGGCGATGGTGCAAGGCTTTGCCCCGCTCCTCGTTAAGACTGCAACTCCCGAGCGCCCGACGGTTATTGTCAATATCGGCAGTACCGCGTCCCTTCCCCCACCCTTCATGGCGACCTACGGTGCATCCAAAGCTGCCATACAAGGTTTATCAGGTGCCCTCCGACTTGAAATGTACAGTCTCAACGTCCGCGTTATGACCCTCGAGCTGGGGGTAGTAAGGACGGCTATGAGCGCCGGCGAAAAGCTAGGCGACATTATGAGGTCGCCCACGTCTGGCTATTACGACAACTTTGACGAGATTTTCAAGCAGGTTGAAGCCACCATGGCCGACCTGCTCACCAGTGCTCCGACCGCGGCCGCTGTCGCCAGCCAGATTGCCGATGCAGTCAAGGCATCGCCGCCGCCAAAATTGTGGCTCGGCGAAATGTCAGCGGCGTTCCGGTTCATCGTCCCTCTACTGCCCGTCAGGCTCCTTGACCATCTGTGGTGGAAACCGCAAGGGGTGGACAAGGTGAAGGCACCTATCCGGTAGGCGTCACGCATGATGGCATATACTATGTGTTTATGGTGCTGCATAATGGTAGCCCGCACCACCTGTCCGCACAAGAATGTCATGTTCTGTACTTCGGAAGTGCGGGCGGATAAGCAGCCAGAACCCTTTGACCTTACTGTCATACGGACGGCGACGGTGTTTGCCTAAAAATGGTGGTCGACTAACATTAGTTGCGGAGGTCATGAGGTTGCATGGAAAGCATGGTAAGGGTGCGAGACACTACTATACAGTATGGAGCCTAGCAAGTCATGCCACAGTGGTCTCAGTGCGATGCCCAGTATGGTTGTTTGCCTTAATAGCCACAAATCTGCCGAGATTTAGAGCAGACCGTTCTGTTTCCACCTTACAGGCCTTGATGTGTCCTGCATTGAACACGGATCTGGCCACAAGGATTCTCCAAAAGACCCCATCCAAAGCCGAGGCCTAACCGATACGGACGGACGCTTTGCGCCCCTGTTACTTGACGGCAAACTGCAACGGAGACTTTACCAGCTGCGCGTGGCAGGCATGTAGGTAACCATTCCGTCATCTGTCTACTCAGAGCCACACCAGCATCGTGCGCTCTCGTTAGTGCTCCTGGCGTCTTCCCTTCTAAGCACCTGCCAACCCTCTCGCGTGCATGTCGCTTGTCGCACACGTCATTGTTCTGCTTGGGCGTGGTGTACTGGGCGCTGATTTCCTCGCACCCACGCTCCTCGCCCCCGCGCCCTGTCGTCAACTCGCACTCCGCAGCCGATACCACTGACCGCCGGGTTTCGGCCCCACGGAGCCTCCCCGGGGCATTACAGGACATGCCACACCCAAGCCACCCAGCCAGGCAATCGCCGCTCACACGACCAACAAACACGGTGATACCAAAAAAACGCAGTAGCGCAGAAACTGACATGGATGGGGCTTTTGCAGATCTTTCCACTGTAACTGTTCTTGCGCCTATCCCGAACCGTGGCGTGCTCATCGACGTTCTGAAAACCTGCTGCCGAAGTCGCAAAGCCGGCCCGAGTCTTCCAGATGAAAGGGCTGGGCGGCAAATCCGCGGCGCCGACCGCCGCGCTCAACACGAGGGACCAGCTGGACGCTCAACGCTGCTCAAAGCGGGCAAACGGCGCCGCCGAGTGCCACAAGATCCACTTGGCATTGGGTGCCCTGCCTCGAATTAGACTGTTGACCCCTGGCTCATGCGGCACAAGGTGAGCGGTAGTGCAGACATGCCGAACTTGCTCCTATACTCACGCGACTGGCTTCTGTAAGCCATCCTTTTATCTCGCCGACCGGTCTCGTTCTCGGAACGAAGCGCCGTGTTATCAGTGCGCGGGGGTCGCGTCACTGTTCACTTTAAACGAGGGAATACAGCAGCAACGCTGAACGCTTTGACGTGACGTTCCACGAGCCATCGAGGGTTCGCCGTCCGAAGATTGCCCGACAAGTCCGGGCTATGTGCACAAGATATGGGCGCCCGGGTACCTTTTGCCAAGGCGTTGTGGGAGGCGTAAGCACCTGCCAGCCCAAACCGATTCCATCGAACCATCCTTCCATCTCATCAGAGCAGCTCCCTGACCCCCCCTCCCGCACATGGACGAAAATTTTGAACACGCACGCGACCAGTCATGGTTTGGCTAGTTGGCTTGTTTTCTGAGTCTACGCAGGGATGCGTGGACGGTGGTGGTGGACGTGGACAGCTGATCCGCAGTGCTGATATGTCTTATGATAATCCCAATCAAATCGCGCGCGCGCATGTCGTCATATGAATATAATTTCCCGCAGCCCTCGTTTAAGTCTCTGCCCGCATCCATGGTCTCATGACTCTGCCAAACGAGCATCCCAATGCTCAGATCGCATGTCTGGGCGTTGGATCATGGGATCTCCTATCTCACACGCGGGGCACGTGGAGCATGGACAGCGCCTCCCGGCCTGTTGTGACGCACAGTGGCCAAGCCTTTGCCTGGGCCGTGGGCGCGCGGGCGCGGGAGGGGGGGGAGGTGTGTTGGGTTGGGGCGGTCGCCTTCCGACACAGTCTGCGTTGTCTGCAGGGCGACGGTCGTCGTGCAATTGCAAGCGAGCCTCGAGAGCCTAGCAGCAGGCAGCGAGCGTATTGGCCATTTGGGAATATTGCACACCTCAGGGGCCGGCACGAGGACGGAAACAATACCTCGATGTGACGTATTAAAAACAGCAGAGCACTGTCCATGAGGTGTCGATGGGTTGAGCGGGGCAACAAAAGGGGTGGGAGGGAAACAGGGTTGATATCCTCGCCATGCATGTGGAGAAGGACTACTATCTCGAACGCTGTTGCGTACGGTCATGTCTACGATGGCCAGCATAGATATGACAAGATTTGTGGGCGGTGACGTACGTTGACGGGATAGATTGCCCAGAGGGTGCCTGTGTTGTGCTGCTGGCATGAAACAATCCCATTCTGGTACCCACCCACCCTTGTTGCCCAATCGCAAACCACAACTTTGGCAGGCGGAGCCCACAGCAGCACCCGGCATCCGCATGTGCATGGCGGCCATCGTCGCCCGAAATTGATACCCCCCGCGCGTGTGTTGGGGTCGCTCCTGAGTGAGAGCTGCCTGAGACGCAGGCGTGGGCGGCCAGAGACACTTTGCTCGCCTGAAAGAGGCGCTGCGCCGTGCGCCGTGCACAAGGGTCCCCCTTCTCTCCCCTTGCGGGCAGCCGGCGCAGCCAGAAAACGGGCCAAGATACCATCCCGCCGGCCACCGGAGCCACCCACACACCCATTCGAGCAGCGGTTTATAGATTCACCCCCTCGTCCCCGTTTTTTTCTCTTTCTTTCACACTCCACCCCCGCCGCCATGAGTGACACATTGACCAGCGAACACGCCGACCACCCGGACAACGCGCTGTCGAGGAGGCAGAGCATCGCCCACTCTCACGGAGAGCATGTCGGCGACTCTGCCGACGACCTCCTCGCGCAGATGGGCTACAAGCCCGAGCTCGTCCGCACACGCTCGACTCTGCACGTCGCTTTCATGTCGTTTGTCCTCGCCTCGATCCCGTACGGTCTCGCTACGACCCTCTACTACCCTCTCCAGGGCGGTGGTCCCGCCGTCGTCATTTGGGGATGGGTTCTCGTCTCGCTCATCATCCTCTGTGTCGCCTCGTCGCTCGGCGAGATTACGTCCGTCTTCCCTACCGCCGGTGGTGTCTACTACCAGACTTTTATGCTGGCGCCTGCCCGTTTCCGTCGCATGGCCGCCTACATCTGTGGCTGGGCTTATGTTGTCGGCAACATCACCATCACCCTCGCTGTCCAGTTTGGTACCACCCTCTTCTTTGTCGCGTGCATCAACGTGTTCGAGTCGGAGCCCGGAGTCGGCATTTGGGATGCCCAGACCTACCAGATCTTCCTCCTCTTCGTCGCCATCACCGTTCTCTGCAACTTGATTTCGATCTTTGCCAACCGTTGGCTTCACTGGCTCGACGTGAGTTACAAAGGCCATGGAACGGAACAGTCACTAACCATCGCAGGCCTTTGCCATCTTCTGGACCTTTGCCGGCCTGATCGCCATTCTCCTGACCGTTCTCATCATGGCCAAGGGAGGCCGTCGCTCCGGTGCCTACGCGTTTGGCTACTTTGAGCCCACTTCGGGCTGGCCTGCTGGCTGGTCGTTCTGCGTCGGTCTCCTCCACGCTGCGTACGCCACCTCGTCGACCGGAATGATTGTCTCCATGTGCGAAGAGGTCCAGTCGCCCGCTACTCAGGTGCCCAAGGCCATGGTTATCACCATTGTCATCAACACTGTTGGCGGTCTCCTCTTCCTCGTCCCCCTCATGTTCGTCCTTCCCGACCTCCAGATGCTCGTTGCCCTCTCCTCTGGCCAGCCTGTGCCGACCATCATCAAGTCGGCTGTCGGCTCGTCGGGCGGTGCCATCGGTCTCCTCATCCCCCTCATGGTCCTTGCCATTCTCTGTGGTACCGCCTGTACCACTGCCGCCTCGCGCTGCACTTGGGCGTTCTCGCGTGACGGTGCCATCCCCGGCTCCAAGTGGTGGAAGGTTGTCCACCCCAAGCTCGACCTCCCTCTTAACGCCATGATGCTCTCGATGGCTATCCAGATCATCCTTGGTGTCATCTACTTTGGCTCGACCGCCGCTTTCAACGCCTTCTCGGGTGTCGGTGTTATTTCGCTTACCATCTCGTACGCTGCCCCCATCTTCGTTTCGATGCTCGAGGGCCGCAAGGCCGTCAAGACTGGCAAGTTCTACCTCGGCAAGCTCGGCTGGGTCTGCAACGCCGTCGCCATCGGCTGGTCGTTCCTTGCGCTCCCCCTCTTCTGCATGCCCGCCTACCTGCCCGTCACGGCCGCCACCGTCAACTACGCACCTGTCGTCTTCGTCGCTTTTACCCTCATGTCCATTGGGTGGTACCTGTTTTGGGGCAGAGCTAATTACCAAGGTCCTCCCCGGTGAGTCCCAGACGGGTCTGGAATTGAGTAGAGGAGGTTAAGAGAGGTGGAGAAATGATCGGCATCAACAAGCGATCGGCCTTCCACAAAAAAAGCCGATCGGTGGTCAACCGCAATGCCGATCTTTCGTGTTTACTTCTACGCCCTCTTCTACTCCCAGACCCCTTTCCTAACGTTGAACAAACGCTGACAGACATCAGGGACGACATCACGGAGTCCATGCAGCACGACGGTGCCGCCGAGACCCACCACCACCAGTCTTCGGACCCCAAGAAGGCCGAGTAAGCTCGTGCCAGCTGTATTCTTGGGTCACGCTTCACCTTTCAACAAAGGGCAGCACACGGTTATGTTTCAGTAGTGTATTCTTTCAACAAGCGTCTGGTTCCCCAGGTAGAAACTTCGTCTCTTCGCTCTCTTTCTCTCTCTCTCTCTCTCTCTATCATAATACATCTGGTCACCCATGCATTTAACGCTGTGACGAGGACCGAGGCGACGCTGGCGGTGAGGCGCTTCAGCGTCTGGCCACTGTGGGCAATTTGTTGAACGGTGCGTCTTGGAATCTTCGTTGCTTGGGAGCCAATGGTTCGCTGGCCTCCTCCAGCATCTTGAGCTGCGCTTCCGTCTTGCGCGACGACCTGGGTGGAGAGATGGCGGCCAGCGACGTTTCCAATGCCTGGGCCCTGCTGTCCACGCCATTTGTCGACTCGCCACGGGGCGGCGAAACGGGCTGTACGTGGCTGTTGATGTAGTACGAGCCCGGGATACCGTGCGTCACGTCCAATTCGGCATTGTCATGCGTGGCTCTTTGAATGTTGACGGGCTCTGCCATGTCGTGTGTGTGTGGCCGAGTGAGGCATAGCCACGGGCAGAGTCCTGTTTTTGTCAGCTTTTCTGCTAACCTTGTCCACTCGCCCACCTGTCGAGCTCAACTCACGGCTCCTCCCACATCTGCCCCTTCCACATCCGCCCCTCCCACATCCGCCCCTCCCACATCTGTATACCCCGTAGTCGTGGGCCGGCAGTGAGGATTATTGGAGGAACAGTCCATGTCCTTGTCACGTTGCGCGATGTCGCGGCGACTGGTGTCTGCATGTTCGCCAACACAAACCGGCTGTTGACTGGGGTCAAGTGAGGTGGCAGGAAGGTCCTTGGGCACGGGCTTGTTGCAGTTGCCAATGTTTGGCGCTGTCTCGACTTGCATCAAGCGCGCATGCGTTCCACCGGTGGTGGAGTGGAGCTTGCCCTCGCCACCCGTGGCCTCCTCTGACGCGATCGGATTGGTGAGCCCAGCCTTGGACGAGTCCTTGAAGACGCGCTCGGAGTGGTCGGCAAAACGATCTGCCGTAGGGGATCCTGTTGTTCACCATGGTCATGGGTGAGGCGCTGGCGTTTGCGGGCCTCGTCCTCGGCTCTCTGCGCGCGCGTGCGACCGGTAGGGGTTGGGTCAAGCGGGCGTTTGGAGCTATGCGGAGTCAGTACTCTGAACGTACAAACAGCTGTCAACTGCCCAGGTGCAACGAGAGGCTCCCCAGAGTCGGTGGCAAGTTCCGCATTGGCAGCCTGCTGTTGGTCGATATCCGCCAACCACGCCTGACGAAAGGTCGCGAGGACATCTTCGCCCTCGTGAGTGTCGCGGGAGATGTTGGCGTGCTCGAGTGAAAGAGGCCTGTTTTCGAGTGGCACGACAACTGGTGGACTATGCCCAGTCGCGGACGAGTCGCTACTGTGGCGAGGAGATGGCGTCATGCTCGTGGGTGGGCGCTGGGGAGAGGAAAGAGAAAACTGTCGAGCTGTGGCGCTGTCAGAAACGACCACGGGCTCGCAGAGACGTGCACTTCGGTACGGAGCAACGTTGTCACTCACAAGATAAGCACGCAGAGGGGGACAAAACGCGTTGCAATGTAGTGGCTGTGGATGGAGAACAGTTGGAAACGAAACGTGTGAACTCCCTCCAGATCATGGCCACTCAGCCAACATATGTAGGTCGCCCGACGGGCGCGAAGCTGGGACGAGGGGTTCGGGGTTCGGGGAGGAGGGCACCTACACACCGATGACATGGGCGGTTACTGACGAGGGGCGAGGGAACGATGTACAAGAGCACCTCGGGATGGCAACGCCCCAAAACGGCGACGAGGCAGAGACCAAGCGAGCATGACTGAGCGATAAGCGATGAGCGACCGTCCTCCGGATGGCAACCTCTTGTCCGACATGTATCTGATGGAGAGATCCACATGTCGATCTCGTCTTTGGCTGCGTCTTGAGATGGGCTACAAGCTCGCGCGACGCTGAACATTGTACCGGTAACTGTACGTCCCGCCAGCGCAGACTTGGAGAGGGGACACACAACACCGAGGGGGAAAGCTGCACCCGCCACAGCTTCTTATGAGAAATACCACACACACATGTCCATTCGGGGCGATGATGGCGCCTGAGCAGTGTCACTTGCGGCCAGTTCTTAGGATCCCATGATCCCGGCCTGTTATATGTGGTCACGGACGAGATTTCGACGGTAAACGACGGCTCGGGACTCTGGGTCCTCTGATACGAATGTTTTGGGTTGGAACTGGTCTGTGTATCTGGTCAGCACACGCACAGCTTGCTGTTGTTCTCCCATTCGGAAGCCTGACCAGCGTCGTTGCTCTCTTGTGCCACCCTGGTGTCGTTTCCCGGGCCTAGGACGCGCGCATCGCGTCGTTGCCGGTGACATGAGCGGCGACAGACCCTCAAACTCTGTTCTTTTCTGGCACGCCGAGTGTGGGTTGTGCCAGGGCGACCAGCTCTTACTTTTGGCTGTCGTGCACCGAGAGGGTTGTCCCGATGACCGTCCGTTGCAGAGACAGGCCAGTGTACCAGTGTACCGGTGTACCAGTGGTCCCAGTCTGCATAGCCGCTTTACATCAGATGATCCATGCCGCTTCAGAACGTCATAGCTGCCCCTGACGTCCGGCCGAGCCAGATTAACAGTCGAAGGCTGAAGGGCGAGTTCTGTTGGACTAGCTTGAGGACGCCGCTGTGGTAGTGATCGTGTTACTGTCCTGCAACATAGCCGGCCAGGCGGCTGCTAAAGGGCTGTGCTGGAAACATCATTGCCGCAAATTGCGGAGGAGGGAGTGCAGTACCTCACACATGGAGGATGACGACAGGCATCAGAGACGGCGGGCAAAGGCTAGAGGGCTTTTATCCGCCAGGTCCAAAACGACAAACGACGGTTTCTCGCCAGGTACAACCTGTTCATGTTGCAGCGTCTCCCGGCCCCCAATGCCCTTCCTCCGCCAAGTACATATACCCCAGAGCACCCTTTTTCGTCTCGTGTCGCCACCACACTCCCCTCCCCCGCATCTCGCAATGCTCACATCGTTGCGGTTGCCATCGATGCCTGATTTCCGGCCCACCATGCGCGGCCGACGTTGGCGCGTATCCCTCCCATCCGTCCCGGCGGCTTCCCCCACCATTCCTTCTCGGGGCCCAGATCCGCCCACTACAATTGACGCCGACTGGTACCCGCACCTGATCGAGCTCGTTATCGATAATGCCGTTCAGTGTGACGCTCCCTTGTCACTCTCTCTTCGTCTTGTGTGCCGGGAGTGGCGAGACCGCATCGATGCGACAATGGCAAAGCATCTCGTCGTCTCTCGAGCAGGTGGGGGCATTTCTATTGCGGTTGTTCAGGGATTCTCGGGTCTCCAGCCACCTCTGCCCCTGTTCTGCGTCCCCACTGTTGGCCACATCAACCCTTCCACCGCCCGGCTGTTGGCGTATGCTCAAGTCATCGACATGGTGGGCCGTGTAGACGATGCTGTCGTCGCCGACCTCGTCGCCGCGGCCACTCGACTGAACATACTTAGGGTCAGGGCCAACGTCCTTGGCACACTTGTCGCGGCGGCACGAACCGTCGTCCTTTGGCACGACGCCTACGCCGAGCCGTCCACCACCGCCACCACCACCACCGCCGCCGCCGCCTATTCCAGTACCCCGATTACCAAAGAGGTGGTCAACGTTCCTGTCGGCAGTGTCATGGATGCACTCATGGTATGCTCGGTCCGGCTGCGCAACACGCGTGCGGAGGAAGTTGTCTTCCATTTCCGCAAGTGGGGTTCCAAGCTTCGCCACCACGACACCAAGACCCTGCTCCGCGACGGCCTGGCAATCAAGGTGGCACCGCACAAGGGCCAATACCGGCGGGTCACCGTTGTGGGCCTCGAGAGCGACGACAAGACGTCCCCGTATGCTCTGGAGTGGGAGGACGAGATGGACGCCGACAAGGAGGAACGGACCGGGAGCGACGACCTGGATCAAGTGGTTGCTGCCGGCCGTCGACGCCTGCGCTTCATGTGTTGCAATCAGTATCGTGCGCAAGTCGGCGCGGACCAATACTGTCTCGAGACGTTCTCAACGACACATCCCAGCACAATCACGTTGTCACGGCACGACGTGGAGGAGCCGCGTGTCGCCACCGACAAGCCATAAACGTCCCCCAAGCGAGAGAGAGAGAGAGAGAGAGCTTGTGCTGCCTTTCACGATCAAAATGACCCCCAACGCCGATCAACACGACAATGTAACGCACCGATATTACGACAAATGACCCAACGAACGTTGCTTGAGCTTCCTGTAGCACTATGTCAGCGCCCGCCTATAGAAAGACACAGTGATCCTTGGCCATGTATGCCATCCGCCTCGTAGTCTGCACCGTTCTTTGTGGCACACTTGGGAGGAGATGGGACAAAACCCACCTGAGAGTCGCAAACTGACCCAAAGTGACCCATTGGGGAGACGTCTATGCGAGGAGAAACCACCGAAGCTGGAGATCTTGAGCTCACTGCAGCTTGGGGAAGTCCACAGCGTCGGTCCTGCCCGTCATAATACGGACCTCGCACCCCGGCAGTTCAGTAGCCTGAGAGTTATGGTGTACCCCCACAAGTAGCTCACACCAGACGTTGACGCGTCTAGGGCGTTTCAGAAGGAGTATTTTGAGCTGTGCTAGCAAACCACGCACCAACAAAAACAAAAGCAGCTGCGAGAGCCGGAGAGCAAGCCACCGGGCCACCGACATGTACGCCGGAAACGAGTGGCGGCAAGCCCACAGGCCCACATGCACTTTGCATTCCGGGAGGCGCTCGACAACCCTCCCTTCTTCCAGCTACAGGTGCCTCGTTCGATGGGCTCACGCAACACACCCCTTGCTGTTGTCGACATACCCGCCGCCACCACCCGCTCGGAGCCAAAAACGCCCTGTCCCACACATCTGTCGCTTCTGGCTTGTGCGTGGTATCATCGTCTAGTGACGCAGTGAGCTCGAAGCCACAGCTCACCCGGCCAAGGACACTGCACAGGTGCATGCCTCCTGGCGCGTATCATGTTGCATGTGAAGCAAGTTACTAGGTATCATAGGTGCCTCGACGAGTGTATCGTCCCGAAACCGCCAGAAGCGTCTGGCGACGTTTCAGGCATTGGCATAGCGTTGTGGTACTGTGTGGCCCTGTGGGGAAATCGAATGGTCTGTAGAACCCGGCCATGAGATGTGCCGCTTCCCCACAACCTCAAGCGAAGTCGATGTGAAAGGGGGAGTCGATGGGGGCCTTCTATCGCGCGGGAAGACGGCAGTCCTGAAAGCAGGACTGAAGCGTCATGGCTGCAAGCGTCGACTTGTGGCTCATTGGGGTGTACCAGTGTCGTTGGGTCAGAGTGCAATCGTGGTATCGTGAAGACGCAGCAGTAGAGACGGACCCAACCCAACTGCGCAGGGCTACCAGTCCCCCGTGTTCTTTCTGAAGACGCGTCGCGTGGTTGGGGTGCCTCGAGCGGCGGACGTTCATACGCAGCATGTGTGAGACAAGGCTTGACGCCGAGCCGAGCAAGACATCTGTGACTCAATACTGATCGGCGACCAAAGTGTGGTAGGCGGTGTACCGCTGACCCATGTTGTGTGTAGACGCCGCACAACGGTTGTCAAGGGTCAGGAGAATCAGGTCTGGAAAGTGTTCTGGAGAGTTGAGCCTAGTGCCTCGTCCCACTCCGCTGGCTCGCAACCTTAAGGAAACCTTCTGCCAAGCCGGTGTGTGTCCGAGCAACACTACTCGCTCGTTCAGTGGGCCCGCTTCCCTGGATACTCTCTCAAAGGTGGACGCCCGCAGTGGAAAAATAACATTATTCCATTGTTCATGTTGTTGGCTGCAAGATACACGCAGCAGATATACACGCCGGTCTGTACGAGAGACACGGCCAATAGACAAAAAAACTCTCACTTGGGGCGGGGGGCGGACGTCCGTGGCGCCGCGCGGTTTAGACGTGGTCGGTCTCGAAGCCGACCTTCTTGTCCTCGTGGAACTCGGGGGTGCTGGGCTCGGCGCCGCTGGTGGCGCTTGCACGGCGCTCGCGCGCCAGGCGGCGGTAACGAAGACCAGCGGCGATGAGGAGGACAAGGTCGAGGGTCAGGAAGAAGAAGCAGAACCAGCCGACAATCACTGGACATGGCGTCAGCGTCTCTGTGTATGTGTGTGTGTGTCAAACGGGGTGACTCACTGGCAATGTAAGTCTTGGTGTCGCGGTACTTGAGCGAACGGCCCATGGCCTCGATGAGCTTGACGATGGTGGCCGAGGGGATGCTGGGCGCAAAGGGGACAGCGGAGCGACCGACGCAGATGATAGTGGTGCTGTGACCCGTTAGACACATGTCCCGCGCTTGCATGATACACTTACGCGATAAGCGCGGCAAGGAGGGAGAAACACGAGAAGCCAAGGAGGCACTCTGTGGTCCAGCGAAGCCTGTTGGAGACCTTGCCCCTCTGCTCAAAGTAGACGAGGATGAGGGCAAACCACTGTTCAAAGAGCGGCGTGTCAGTCGGTGACAAGGTCAAGGGTTTATGCTATACTCACCGAGACACCGACGCCGAACATGGACGCGCCAGTCATGGCCGAGCCGGCACCGACAATGTCGCCAGCGTAAAGCTTACCGCCGGGGATCGTGTGGGCCAGAGTCTGACGGTCGGTGTGGAGCTCGGCGAGGGCTATATCGCAGTCAGCCATTGACGCTCCCGGTTCTACCTCCTTCTTCTTTGCCACATGCCACCACCACCGCGACCTACCCTTGGCGGCGAAACCACCAGCGACCGCCGCAAGGGCTCCCGACAGGTTGAGGGAGACGATGCGCGCCTTGATGAGAGAGTCGAGCTCGATGTAGCGTCCGATCATGGTGGTTTGCTTAGAAGAGACAAAAGAAAGAGCGTAGAGAGGGGGGTGTAGGGGGGGAGGGTACGGGGAGAACAGTTAGCGGGCCGTGTCACCATGCGCAGACCTTATAACCACAGCAACGGGGACCGTGTGCTGCTGCTGCTGCTGGCTGCTTGGCCTTTGCTGGCTGCTGGCTGCTGGCTGCTGGCGCTGCTGGCTGGCGTTTTGCATGCAGCCACCATCGATCACGCTGTGACCTGCCTTGGGATCTGGGCCAAGGGGTTGGTGGCCTGGGTGGCTTGGGCGGTCTTGGGTGGCCGGTTAACAGACGCAGCAAAAACCCGGGGTAGCACGTCAACATGGTGACAAGACTAGCATACGAAGAGCCATCAGAGAGCGTACGGGCAGAGAAATGCGGCCTCCACCCAGGCTTCTCCGCATGGGCAGCATGGGTAGACGATGGGGCCAGTGCTCTGGTTGCCGGGTGGAGCATCGTGCTCACAAGCGGGGCCTGGAGGGGGACCCGTGGCGGCAGGAGCTCGAGGCCAAGAGGGACCCATGGGCCGTCTAGGAAAAAAAGCTTTTGCTTGGCTCGACAGGCCCTTTGCTTGCGCTTTCTTGCGCTTTCTTGACCTCTCTTGCCGCGTGTACCCTGCTGGGGCCCGCGGCGTGGCCCTAGGCGTTCAATTAGCTTCTGCTGCTGCTGCTGCGTGTCCCCCCCCCCCCCGCAATTCGGGCATGTCTCGCTCTCGCTCACCGGCCGGCCTGTGTCGCACGCACGGTTAATGTCCTGTCCCGTAGAGCAATGCCGAGCCGCCGCCGTGAAACCCCTGCCTTCTCCCCACAGCCCCAGGCACCACCCACCACCCAGGTCGATCCCTTGCATGGCCGTGGTACAACCTCGCACACCCAGTACTGCGCCGGCCCGTATCCCCCGTATCGGCCCCCGTATGGACCCCCATGGGTGGCCAGGATGCTGGCCGGTGGCTCCATGGTGAGCCCCTAGAGGACGTAGGTTGCTTCTGTGCATTGTGTGCTGCGCACCTGCCTTTGATATTTTAACGCGCTGCCTAGGCAGCCTTCACTCTTGTTTTGAGCAAACAGCCCCAACGACCGGTCTCTCGCGCTCCGGACTGGGAGACTTGCGGACACTACCACGCCGCCAAGACCGTTCTAAGACGGGGTACATGGGTCGAGATCTGTTCCTTGGCACAGCGACCATCCTCCACACGAGCAAAACCCAACCCCCCGCCCCGTCTCCCGTCCCCACCCATGAACGGCCGGCGTGTCGTGTCGGCCAAGTCGGTGGCCGATAAGGCGAGGAACAGGGACGAGAAGCGGCGGACTGGGCGGATGCCTGGGGTGGGTGGTGTGGTGGAGGAGGTGTTGCCACCACCTGTTGGCCGCTTCCTTTGTCCCAGGAGGCGCCACCGTTGCGTTTGTACCCACGCCCAAACGCGACCGGCGGTGACTAGTAGACCGTAACCGGGCCAGCGACGGTAGCAGGCTGATGCGAGCCGTCGACGAGGTCTGTAGACCTTTTTTTTTCCACTGCGCAGCGCCAACAGTAGCGTCGCGATGCTGTGGCTGGACGAGTTGGATGTGGTGAGCAAGAGCCAAGTCGTCCAGGACAGACTACGTAGATTGATGTCGTGGACACTGGCATGGTGACGGGGCCGTCCCTGTCAATGCTGACATGATGGCCGTGCGTGGCCTACATAGCTTGCCGTCTGCGCACCCTTTGGTACGCACGGAGGCCCTTCCCACGCCAGCGGACATTGTCAGCGGACGTCGGTCAGCCAGCAGATGGTTGGACGTTGGACGCCGTGACAAGGCGTGGCCAATGTTGCCATGTTGCCGATAAGCCGCCACGTGGGGGTACTGAGGCCGTTGCATCGTTGCACAACTCTGCAGAAGAGGAGGCGACGTACATCTACGAAGGTTGACACTGGCATCCCAATTGTGCACGTTCAACGCGTCTGACCCCCCCTCCCGACTCCCTACAATGGAAGATCCTGCACACCTGAATACGCATAAACACAAAACGCAAGTCCTACGAGCCCCCCGTTGCTGAACCCGATGGCCCGTTGGCTCTTCCTGCCAGGCACCACGTCTGGCCGCTTCCATGAGGTGATTTATCGCGTACACACTGCCTTGTGCGCACCTCGTAAGATCTTAAGCGTCGGCGGGCTTCACAGGAGCACAGGTATGTACATTAGTGCACGTACATAACAGCCTTACGACATCAGATGCCCGTCTGCCTCGTCAACCCCGGGGGGGTGCCAACGGGGTTGGTGTCGACTGACCGCTGCGCGCGTCGCTGAATCGCTGGCGACAAGCGCCGCCGGCGCAAACCACGCCGTGTGGGGTTAGCCACATATGGACATCTGGACCAGCTCTTGCGTGCATATGCCCGCCTCTCCGTCTTGCATCGCCTTGCATTAGTCCTATTCAACTGGTGCCCGCGCGGCTCGACGGCTCTGCACAATTGACCGCTTTGCACACACTTGCACGCTCTTGACGCGCGCACACCCAATGGAAAGGATCAAACCGGCGCGCCTTCCGTTCCATCCGTTCCCATCCGTTGCAGGGGCCGATGGTTTTGGGTCTTGTTTCACGGTGTCTCGGCGCGACCAGCAACCCCTCACGCGCGACCATGTGCACTCCGATGGATGGGGGTGTGCATGTCCGACGCGGCAAGGGCGGTGCAAACGCGCTAGACGCAAGTTGAAGCATATAAAGACGAGGGTTGTCGTCTTGGACTTTGCCTTCTTTCACCACCGACTTCAGTTACTCCTCTGACCCGTTCTCCTCTTCCGACCTCGCGCTCTACTTGCTTCACCATGCACATTCCTCGCGCCTGCCACCGCACCGCTTGTCACACCGCCGTCACCGCGGCCGCCATCGCCTCGACCTTCACGTCGGCTGCACCCACGGCCACCGCTGCCGCCGTCAGCGCTTCCATCCACCTCCCGGCCGTCGGCGCTGGCTGGGACTACCAGCTCGGCGGCGCGTACACGCCTCCCTCGGGCGTGACCGTCGTCGGGCGCGACCGCACCGCGACGCCGGCCAAGCTCGGGTACGACATTTGCTATGTCAACGGCTTCCAGACGCAGGACGGCGAGAAGAGCCTGTGGCCCGCCGCCGCGCTCCTCAAGACCAGCAGCGGCGCGCTCGTGGGCGACCCGGACTGGCCGGGCGAGTACATTCTCGACACGCGCACGGCCGCGTCGCGCGCCGCCATCTTCTCGGTCGTCCAGCCGTGGATTGCGGGGTGCGCCGCCGCCGGATACCATGCCGTGGACATTGACAACCTCGACACGTACACGCGCTTCTCGCAGCTGTCGCAGGCGGGAAACTATGCGCTCGCGAGCATGTTCATCAACGAGGCGCACGCGCACGGCCTGGCCGCGGCACAGAAGAACGACGCCGAGAGCTGCGCGCTCGGCAAGTCGACCGGATTCGACTTTGCCGTCGCCGAAGAGTGCGCGTACAACAACGAGTGCGCGTCGTACACCGGCGTCTACTCGGTGGTCCTCGGCATCGAGTACAGCTCGGACGTTTCGGCCTCCACCTTCAAGGATTCCTACTGCAAGGCCGCGGACCGCCCGAAGAGCCTCATCTACCGCGACGTCGACCTCGTCCCCAAGGGCAAATCGGGATACCTCTACACCCCGTGCCAGTAGGCCACACGCCACAGGTGTGGGAGGTTGGCCCTCGACCCCCGCGTTCCATATTTGCCGTAACGGTGTTTAAAGCCCTGCCGGGAGCAGGGGCCCTGCAGCGCAGGGTGTGGTGGTGGTGGTGGTGGTGGTGGTGTTTCTGGCCGTATTTGTTCTCGTCTCCAAAATGCTATAGCCTGGTGTTAAGGACGGGGTTTGCACACATGGTCCGCGTTTAGCACACCGTGGGGGGCATTCTCGCCTTCTTTCTTTCTTTCCCGGCGGACATGCTTCTTCCCATTACAGTATAGCAGCCCCTTTCCGACCTGGGGGGCCTGGCCCATTCCCCCCTCTTCGGCCCCCCCTTCGGCCCCTTCTTTTGCGTTGAGGCACCTGCCTGGATGCCTGGCCCCCGAGCAAGCCGTTCGTTTGCTCATTGCTGGGGGATGAAACGTTGGAAGGAGCGCGGGTGCTGGTGTCGGAGGGTCCAGACTGTCGGCTTGACGAGACGTGCATCGCCTCCAAGTCTGCTGCTGGCAGTCCAAGGGGAGTCTGTAGAGTGTAGAGTGCTGCCCAGTTGGCCAGTTGCCCGGGAGTTGGCGTGTGCTGCGTCGTTCGTGTATGACTTTCTTTTGGGCCGACGATCGTATCGTTTCCACTTACGTAATCATTTCCCGGCCGTTTTGTTGTGAGCATTCCCTCGTTCACCTCGACCCCACGACCTCCCTCCTTTCCAACCTCCTCACTCCATGGCAATGACACAACCGATTCCACTTCACGGTCCCAGAGACGCCGACTGACATACCGCGAAAACACTGGTCCTCGGAGGTGTTCCACCCCCCCTTGCACGGCAACACATACCCGGGCGAACAGCTTCCATCGGCGGCGTAGAACGCGTCCGTCGTCCCATCGCCGCGCAGACAGGAGCGGCGACTGGAGCAGGATAACGCCAACAGCAGTCGCCCTGACCGTGTACGACAAGGTGGCAGCGTTGCGGGCAGCAGCCGTTCTCGCACGCAGCTCACCGAGCCGACTGGGCGCGATCAGGCCAGGACGGTCCAGGTGGGCAACGCCGTGGATCTTCAGGCCGTACCCGGAATGGACGGGCAAGGGGACGCAGCGATTGAGGAGCGCTATGGCTGGGTGCATCTCGGGCGCTCGGGCGCGCGCGCGCTGTTGGCACGCTGTGGCAGCAGCAGCAACCAGCAGCCTCGTTCCCATGTTCGCTGACATGTCAGACCGAGACCCACCTCACTGTCGCCGTCCCCTCCTTCAAGCAGGTCACTGACCACTGACCTGTGCCATGTTGCGCTCCTGCACTCGTTCCAGTGCCCCTTGGACCGCCATCACGCCACCCCGCGCCGCCGTCGAGTTTGACTGCTGCATCAATCGCCCCGTTGGCCGTCACGCAGGAGACTGGAGACTCTCAACGACCATGGCGTGTCGGTGTTCACTGTCAACCTCCGCATCGCCGAGATGAGCGCCCCCGGGTTTCCAGCCTAGGGCCGCCGTGCAAGCCGGCCGAGGCGTATACTGTCTGCACCCGGCCACATGCCACACCTCGGGCCTCCTGGCGCCACTCGCCGCCGAGCTCCAGCCCACCTCGGGCTGGCCGAAGCGGACATGACCACCAGACGCCGTCGCTCGATGCCTGCCCTGTGCACCCACTGGCCGATGTCGACTGGCGCCGGTGTCCTCGGCGGCCCCATAAGCAATCGCCGTGGACTTGGCGTTCATGTCCCTTTTGCCCATTGGCGAACGCGTTTTGTCTCACCTCGCGTCCTGTCTCACCTCGCGCGCGTCCTGTGTCTCACATGTCCCTCCGCTGGGCTCTGTGTGTGTGTTTCCTACTTTTCCACCTGATCCCACCTTTTGCTGTACACGTCCACTTCCCGCGCCTCATGTACCCATGGCCTCGCCTCTCCTGGTGTCCGGCAGGACATTACTTTCGTCTGCTTGCGCTCTGTCCCCACAAAGGCGAGTCAAAAAAGCCGCTCCAGGACGAGTGTTCGGTACGGCGCTAGACTGATGCGGCCGTGCGGCGCGTTGTTGCCGGGTACAACCGTGCCCAGCGGCAGTGTCCTGTCCGTCCTTCAGGCTTGTTGCAAGATACCCCTCCCTCCGCCAGCGCAAGACCTCGTTGCCCCGCGTTCGACTGTTAACCAGAACGAGGGATACCCCCCTCCCCCCCCCCCCCCCAAGCGTGCCTCGAGGCCACCTTTTTTTCTGATGTACCTTGCTCCCGTGGCTGCTCACTGCGGATCTGGATAGTCCATGTTGTGCATGTGCTGTGCTGTCTTGGCATGGACGTGGGCACCAATCAAGGGGCCAAGGGGGCAGAATACTGTTCGGTGGTTCAGGTTGAGACGCGTTCCGTGTCTGCTTCATGAAAAGGGTGTGTGCGGTATGTGCGCGCGCAGGGGGTGTCTGGGTGTGTGTGCCAAGTCTGTCTGTCTCTGATACCTGCGACGCCGAGGCTGGGTGTAGGTGGTTAGTAGGGTCTCTGGTGGGACTTATGGAGGACCTCGTTCGTGCAGCCAAGGGAGCACACCCTGGCCTCTGGATCTGATCTCTGATGTCCATGGTGGAGACGTTGGCAAGGGGTAGCAGGTAGGGGTGTTACTGACATTGGTCTCTCCACTGCCCCGACCCCAGAGCTGGTGAAACCCCGCACAGACGGGGGTCCTTGCCCGTCAGAACGGTGTGTGTGCTTTGTTCTGTCAGGAGACGTGTCGCGAGAGAGACATTTAAGCATGTAGCTGCTTGAGTCTGCGACCGTGTGACGAGAACAGAGAACATGAGTCTGTCCCGGGTTCTCTCATGTGCGGAGATTTCACAGGGCCCAGTAGAAAAAAAAAACGGTAATCTTCCGATGAACCCTCGTTCTCAAGAGGCCAAGAAGCCAAGAGGCCAGAGGTCCTCCCCTCCTCCACAGACCCCCCTTTCGTGCCCATCTCGGTGGACCAGTGGGCTAGTGACCCAGTGACCCAGTGATCAAATGGGCCATTCTGCCTGCCCAGCCCTTGGGGAGCAGTGTGCACTGTCATGCGCGACAGTTTTGCAGTGACACGGCGAGAGCGAGGCACAGACGGGCGCGCGCGACATTACACGCGTTGTGCTTCCGTGGCACGCGGCGGCAACGCACCAACAAGGCCAACACGCGCAGGTCGCGGCAGGTGACGACGCCGGCGCAAACGCGTGTGCGAGTGCACGCGCCAATGTTCCACTTGTCCCGGGGCCGGTGCGTCTGGGTAAAAAGGATGGGCTGTTCATGTTCCGGCACAATGACAACTGAAAAAACAGCCTGGGCGTTGGTCGTGAGGACAGCAAAAAACCATTGTGGGGGGTGGGTGGGTGATCCGCAGCGAGAGGGGTGGGTGTGGGTGTTTTGTGGGATCCGCAGCACCGACCACTTTTTGTCATGTCCTGTTCATGAGCATCACAGGGTGCTGGTTGCTCCCCGCGCCTCCCGTGCTGGTTCCTTTCATGTACTGTAGCTGGGACTGCAGTTGAAACGGGGTGGACATTGCAACAAAACGACGACGCTGTTAGTGCGAGAGTTACTGCGAGAGAGGGCGGCCATGTACTCCTCTGACCCTCTGATCCTCTGGGCTCTCCGGAACGATCGCTGCGCCGCGCTACTCGGCGCGCGCACGGTCTGGCCCTTGTGCATGCCGCCGACGGAGGGATGGAGGCTGGGAGCTGTGGGTGCTGGTGGTGTGGCCGCGGCGGGACGCGTCTCGCTCGCTCGTTCTCGCACATGAAGGGTTGGCTTGGCATTTTCCTGTGCCTCTCACCCAGGCCACTCTACCATCACCCCCAGGCCACCCACCCAGGCCAACCCCCCCAGGGCACACACGCATACGCGCGTCTGGCCGTTGCTCTCGGGGAGACGGGGGGGGAGGCACTTTTCCATGTGTGTGGTGTGGTGTGCGCCATATAATAAGACAGTGACCCATCAACCGTGTCAATCCCATTCCCACAATCTCTCTCGCTCCTCCTCCCACTCTCTCTCACCTCCTCCTCACACAAAAACAAGTCTGGCACTTGTTTTTCGCTGTATCCCCTCCGTCTCCTCTCTCCTCCGTCTCACTCTCGCTCTTCACGGCCCACCACTTTCACTTTTACGTTCGACACCCCCAACCCCCCCGACAGCGACACCCGCCATGCTGGCCACGGCTCTCGCCTCCCTTCTGTTTGCGGCTCCGGCCGTCAACGCCCACCTCGCCATGTGGCATCCCTCCATGTATGGGTGAGTACAGCAGAGTCGTGTTGGTGTATCGGGTGGCAAGCGAGAGCGAGCGAGCGAGGGAGCGAGCGAGTGGTGCGTACGTGCATGCGCTAGTGGCCCCCCAAGCCCAAGCCTTCCAGCCGTCCCCCCCCCGGGTTCCTCAAATTCCCGCTCGCCGCCACCGTCCCATCCGTTGGGCAACCGCCATTCAATGTGCCAAGCCAGGACTGACGCCGTTTGCTCTCTCTCTCTCCAGCTACAACGACGACTACACCCCCGTCACTCCCCTCTCCACCGACTTTGGAAACGGCGGCTTCAGCTCGTGGTGGTTCCACGGCGCGATCAACAGCCCTCCCGGTGAGTTGTCTCATGTGTGGCGCGCGGGGACACAGGGGTGGGTGATCAAGCCAGCCGGGTGGAACAAAGAGACCATCGATGAGATCCTGCCGAGCTGCTCGGCGGTGCATGGCCCGTCACTGTCGTTTCCCCGCTTGCACGCCACCGCCGCGCCACTGCGTGCTCCCGTGCTCCTTGTGCGCACGTCCAGTGCGTTCTGTTTTTCCCTTTTGACTAACCTCCCACAGCCGACGGCCAGTTCCTCGAGCTCCCGGCGGGTGGCACTCTGCAGGCCGAGATGGGCTGCGACAAGAGCATGACCTCGTTTGGCGGCCGCAGCTCGGCGCAGTATGCGTGCGACTCGTCTGGCTCGCTCCACCTGTCCGGCGACAACTTTGCCAACCAGTGGGACGTCAAGGGCGCCGCCATTGCCATTGCGTACAAGTCGGACGTCAACTCGATCCAGCCCGAAGACTTTACCGTCGTCTCCGTCAACCACGACTGCCCGTACAGCCGCGACTGTGGCTTCCAGATCCCCGCAGGTCTGCCCGCCTGCCCCGACGGCGGCTGCCACTGCATGTGGGGCTGGGTCCACTCGGCCGCCGGCGGCGGTGACGAAATGTACTTTGTCGGCTTCAAGTGCCAGGTCACTGGCGCCGCCGCAGACGCAAAGCCCATCCCGGCCCCGGCCCCGCCTGTCAGGTGCACCGGCGGCTCGGGATGCACCACGGGCGCCAAGCAGCCCATTTACTGGATGGTCGACAGGGCAAACGTCAACAACGGCGCCGGCGACCCGCCCTTCTACAACGACGACTATGGCTTCTCCAACGGTGCCCAGAACGACATCTGGGGTGGTTCCGGCGCGGTCGGCTCGGGATCGGGCTCCTCTGGGTCCTCGGGCTCTGGCTCTTCTGGCTCGTCTGGCTCTTCTGGCTCGTCTGGTTCTTCGGGCTCTTCGGGCTCTTCGGGCTCCTCTGGCTCTGGCTCTGGCTCTGGCTCTGGCTGGGGATCCTCCGCCGGCGGTGGATCGCCTACCAAGACCTCGTCGTGGAAGTCGTCCAAGACGTCCAAGTCTTCGTCCAATGGCTCGTGGAACGAGTACAACTCTGGCAACTCGGACAACTCTGGCTCCTCGGACAGCTCCAGCTCCAGCTCCAGCTCCACCTCCACGTCCAGCTCGGACGACAGCAACTGGGCGGCTTCCACCGACGGCGGCGACAGCAACTGGGCTGCGTCGACCGACGGCGGCGACAGCTGGGCTGCGTCGACCGACGGCGGCGACAACTACACCGCCGAGCCCACTTCCTCCACCCGCACTCGCGGCCACAAGTGGTCCCACAGCAGGCCCACCAACAAGGTGACGACCAAGTTCCGCAACTATGCTGCTGTCGTCACCGACCTCCCTGCTACCGACGCCGCCTCGGCCGCGACCGTGGCTGCCACCGACCTACCTGCGACCGACGCCGTCTCGGACGCGACCGTGGCACCCACCGTCGTGCCCGCGACTGCCGCTGCCTCTCCCAAGTGCACGCGCCGCAGCCGTAGGCGTGCTGCCTAGGCACCTTTTTTTTGCTCCGCTCACAATAGAGGTCTCCACACTGGGTGTGGACCATCTACAGCTACTCGACGTACCCGTGACGGACAACCTGTGATGAAAGTTTGGCCAGGGGCTGACCGTCAACCAACAATCGTTTTTTTATTCTGTACATCCAACCCTGGGTCGCCGGGGGGTGAGGACTGGCTTCCAACCCCCCCGGCGAAAAAGCACACACTATGTAGTTTAAACGCATCCGCTGCGCGACATGCATGACCCCCCAAACTGCTGCACCCTCTCTACAGGCTACAAGCTACTGGCAGGTGACAGCCCCAAGGTGCCATGGCTGCCATGGTTACTCGGCTCAGTGACCGGGACGGCTCCGGCGGTCTCAGGGATATTGGGTTTTGCGGATTGCCATGCGTTTGCCGAGTTAGCCGTTGATCGCGAGCACCACCAGAAGCACCACGAGGTGCACGGCGTGAGATCCATGAGATGCCCCGAAGAGGCTCGACGGTGGGGCCAACAGGTCCGACGGGGCGGTGGACAGCATATAGGCAGCATGCATCACTTCCCGTTGAGCGCCAACCCCCCGCCGTCACTCGCTCGCTCGCTCACGCCGGATCTGGCCGTCATTCCCCCGGTGGTCACGTTCCCCTCCCTCCACTCTCTCGTCTTGTTCCCCCCTCCACTCTCTGCCCAAAGTTGGGTGCCCCACCCCACCCACCCACTTATTCCCACCACAACCCACGTATCCTCACTCGCTGTCCGTCACCCACTCTCTCCCACTCCCTCCCAACCCTCCCAAGCCCCCCTCCAGCGACTCGCACCCCCCAAACCATGCCTGCACCGCCAACGCAGGTCACCATCTACGAGTCGGACCACACAGAAGAGGCATTCTTCCCCCAGCAGTCGGTGTACGACTACCTCTTGCCGCAGGCAGAGGGCATCTCTCCACGTCCCACATACGACGACGCACTGCCGGCCTTTATCGATGGCCCCAGCGGCACAGTGCTCACCAGGGGCGGGCTGGCAGACGCTGCTCTGCGCATCGCCAGCGGCTTGACACAGCTCGGCATGAAACCCGGTGACGTGGTCAGCATCTGGGGCCGCAACTGTCTCGAATGGGTCCAGGCAATGTATGGGTGCATGGCGGCCGGGCTGGTCATCACGCCGGCAAACGTGGCCTAGTGAGTGGACCGCCGAGCATCACAAAGCTTTGCTGACCCCCCTGCAGCGCACCGTTTGAGCTTGCGCACCAGATGAACAACTCGGGCGCACAGATGATGTTGGTCGACCCGCTCCTGCTGCCCCTGTTTGAAGCAACACGCCCGCTCTTCACCGCATCGTTGTTTCCAGCATCCCGCGTCATCCTGCTGTGCGACACGGCCGACAAGCCGGAAGACTCGCCATACAAGTCGCTGGGGGAGATCCTCGGCGACCGGCACGCGACACCGGTCAAGCTGGACGGCGCAGACGCGCACACGACGGCCTTTCTGTGCTACTCGTCAGGAACCACCGGTTTGCCAAAGGGCGTCATGACCTCGCACTTCAACCTCACGAGCCAGCTGCAGGCCGCCAACATTTCCTTTCCGCAGATCGAGTGGGACAAGGACGTGATCCTCGGTGTCCTGCCGTTCTCGCACGTCTACGGCCTCGCCGTCGTCCTCATGCACCCCGTCACGCGCGGCGTCCCCGTCGTCATTCTCCCGAAGTTCGACGAGATCAGCATGTTGACCGCCATCCAGAGCTACAAGATCACGTACGGCCTCATCGTCCCGCCCATTGTCATTGTGCTGCTCCACTCGAAAAACCTGCCCCACTACGACTGTTCCAGCCTGCACACGCTCGTCTGCGCCGCGGCCCCGCTCGCGCGGTCGCTGCAGGCCGCGTTCAACGCGCGTCTGCCGCACATTGTCCTCATGCAAGGGTACGGCATGACCGAGTGCTCGCCCGCGACACACTCGATGCGCCGTGAAGAGTCCGTGGGGCGCGCAGGAACCGTCGGACGCCTCCTGCCCGGATACCAGGCGCGGCTGGTGGATGCCAAGGGCCACGACGTCAAGCCGCACCACGCGGGCGAGCTGTGGCTGCGGGGACCGTGTGTCATGAAGGGATACCACAACAACGCCGAGGCGACGGCGAGCACCATTGGCCCCGGCGGCTGGCTCCGCACGGGCGACATTCTCGTCCGGTCCCAGGACGGGTTCTGGCGGTGGGTGGAAGGAAGGTGTTGATGGCGACGAGCTGAACCCTCCCAGTGTCATTGACCGCGTCAAGGAGCTCATAAAGTACAAGGGCTTCCAAGGTGGGTTCCAGAATGCTTGGCGGTAAAACCTGACCCCCCTTCAGTCGCGCCTGCCGAGCTCGAGGGTGTCCTCATGGAACATCCCATGGTGGCCGACGCCGGCGTGGTGGGAGTGTACGATGCGTCGCAGGCGACCGAGCTGCCCAGGTGAGTTGCGCGCGGTCCTCATGGACACCCCCCGGTCTAACTCTCTCACAGAGCGTACATTGTCCCAAAGGAAGAGTACGCAGACTACGTGCTGCTGCCACAAGAGGTGCAGGACTTTGTCGCGGCCACAGTGGCAGGGTACAAGAAGCTCCGGGGAGGCGTACAGACCATTGACGTGGTACCCAAATCGCCCTCGGGCAAGATCCTCCGCAAGCTGCTGCGCGAACGAGCCCAGAGGGAGTATGACGCGATTAACCCGAACAAGGCAAAGCTGTAGCAAGTACGACTTTTAACAGGACAAGACATGGCATGACATGAAGAAGAGGTGGGGGGCGTGAATGTAGCAAATGTAACAGGCAACCCGGCAGGGGCAACGCCGCTGGCTATGTCAACCTCTTGAGCATACGCTCAATAACGCATTCGACCAGAGCCTCGGTTCCAATGTCGGTGCCGAACTCGACATCCGCCTTCAAGCGGAGGTGGTGCATGAATATGACCTGGTCCTTCCACGAGTCGTCCAGCCTTGGGGTAACACAGTCAGTGAAAGTTTAGAGGCATTCTGCGAGCCGTACGTACCCTGTTCTCGTCGTTCCTGGTAAACTCGGTCATGTCCTCGACGTCCAGCCCGAACAGCCTGCCGTGTTAGAATGGCGATAAGGTATGAGATTGTGCTGACTCACGAAACCATGTCAAAAACGTTAATGCCCAGCATTTCCAGGCGCGGCGTAATTGCACCGTCTGGGCGGTATGCCCTCGTTGCGCATCCGTATCGCAGGTTGACGAGAATGAGGATTCCATCGGGATTTGGGTCGGCCAACCCGAAAGACGGGGACGTTTGGGAACGAGCGGGCCAAGTCTGCAACTAGGTTCTGGGCGCGGACGTCACTGTGGCCTGCGAGCTGGAGTCACGTCAGCAATCCGCAAAACCGATTTCTTGACCCACGGTCACCAAGACACCGCGCCTCAAACCTTTGTTGCGCAGAATTGGGGCCAGATCGAAGCCCAAGCACTGCCCAGTTAGCACCCACATACCCATGTTTGTCATACATACGTGTTTCTCCACCGCCAAAATCCACCTCGGGTTGCCCTCAAAGTCTGCCCCCATGATGTAGGGGATGTCGGTCAAAGTTGTCGTGCCGAGTGGGATGGCAGGGCCGCCGTGTAGGCGGTACGACAAACTGGTACCAGTCGCCAAGGCGATGGAGGCCGTAGACTTTGTGGCCAGGAAAAAGGTGTGACGACTAGCACCGGGGGGAGGCCGAGGATGATCTCGTCAAGGAACTGAGGGCCACGTCAATGGAGGAACAAATAATTAGGGAAACCACTCACGTCTTCTGACAACTTTCCTATTCCCTGTTTCTGGGCTTTGCGTTGAAGGACGTAGTGGAAGGCGCGAAACATTCTCCACTGTCCCTTGGTGATGATCACTTGGAGGGCGTTGAGGACATAGACAAGGACGCGTCGCCTCGGGACCGAGTACGTTCACAGTTCGCTGATGGTAAGCTTTGCACATGCCAAACCTTCCAATAACTCACTTCGTCCGAAGCGACCTTGGAGACCTTGGTCCTGGGCGGACGGTGGTGCGCTGATCTGAGCTCGCTTGCTGTTTGACGTCGTCGATGTAGGCTAGGGCCTGGTTGATCTCTGCTTTCGAGGGTCTGAACGGTCCAAGCTCTTTGTGGTCGATCTCCTTGCCAGGCGCAATCTCGACCTCATAGTCGACCTCGTAGGCGGTACCAGCAGGGATTGCTGTGTGGACAGGGTTGGAAGTGTAGCCGCTAATGACGGAGTTCATAAAGTTCAGGTCGGCGGCGATGCTCTCCTTTTCTTCGTCACGGAAGATGGCAGATAGGACGTGGCGGGGCATTGAGACGCTCCGGGCTGATGAGGAGGAGGTCCTCCAAGTTGAGCGCCAACATGGGGACGTCTGTTGAGATGGTTGCTAATGTGGATGTCAATGGGGAGAAGTACAGACTGCACACACACACACACACGTCAGCCCGCCTGCCATATGTCGCGCTACTACACCCAATATAACACCCACACGACTGATCGCGCGACTGTATGTATAGAAGCGGCAACACACCCACGCACCCAGATATGCTTCGTCACGTGACCCCGGTTGCTTCTGCACGTACAGGTCAATGGTGTGTGCCGCCAAGTTGCAAGTTGCTACCTCTGTCATGACATTCCGACACCAGGCCCCGCGCATGTTGGACCGAAACGCCTCGGCCAAGAATGAGGAGAGAGGTCCATGACATCCGTGTTGGCGCAATGCAAGGGTTATCTGATAAACACCCTCCGGCCGAACCGCCCAAAAGCCAAGCCCTTTGATCTCCAACCACATGGTTCAACATGTCCGCAGCCTTGGGACGGTTTGTGAGCAATGCTTACCGCGCCGCGGGCGGGAACGACCTCGGCCGAGCGGCCTGCCAAGATGGTACCGGGCGTCATGGCAATGTGCTGCACAACGCACCAGAAAGGCCAGAAACAAACGATCACCATCATGGAACGTTCGGAACACACTCCAGTGCCTCCTCGGCCGACGGGTCTTGGGTGTCTTGGCTTTTCGTCAATGTTCCCCCTCGTCTGCATACGACGTCGGGTCGTGGTGGTGGTATAACCAGCATGCATGCAAGGCCGCAGTGTGCATCTCCCCAACACCACAATCTCCATTCACGATGCTTGCCACTCTCCTCGTTGCTGCCCTTACCGCGTCGTCCGCCAGCGCCATGGCCATCTCGCCTCGCGCCTCCATCACGGTAGGCCGACACAATCTCGACTTTGGCTGACACAGATAACAGGAGTTCACCACCTCGCCGGTCGTGTTCAACTTTCCTCCCGGGCGTGAGGGCTTCAACGCCAGCACGGCGAGCAAGGCGCCGTGCGGCAACATGACCATGGGCGCCCGTGCCAACTACCCCCTGAGTGAGCCCCCCCCATACTCCAGTGATATATATACATACTCTCTTCTGACACCGTGTCCCAGCCGGCGGCCAGATCTCCCTGTCGCAGACCACGGCGATTGACAACCTCAACATTGTCTACACCAACGACAAGGACCCGGCGCGCTTCCACGCGTTCAGCAGCTTTGGCGCCGCGACCGTGCAGGACATTGGCAGCGGCGGGTACTGTACCGCCGGGCCCGACTTTGCCGCCCTGGGCATGGCCGCAGGCGACGTCGCGACCCTCATGGTGTTTTACCAGCTCGACGGCGCCGAGACGTACTACTACCACTGCGCGGACGTGCAGCTCGTCGCTGAATCATCGTTCACCAAGCCGAGCTATACGTGCGCCAACGCGACCGACGTCCAGATCGCCGCGTCAAACGACACGCTCAGCATGAGCGGCTGGTCGTCGGGCATGGCGCCCACGGCCACGGCGTCGAGCGGGAGCCACGCGTCGTCGAGCGCGGCGGCGGCGGCTGCGTCGTCGTCGTCGACGAGCACGTCGCGCGCCGACCGCGTCGTCGCTGGTGCCGGAGCCGTCCTCGCTGCCGTCGGAGCTGCGATGCTGTTCTAGAGAAGAGTGGGTAGTGGTTTCTGAACAGTCAAAGTGGCAGAAAAGGATCCAGAATCGAGTAATTTGAGTACACATATGCCACACTGTCGAATTGTCCACCACGCATGCTAAATCCGTACCGGCTGTTAATGTCGGAAACGCGGAAACTCGCCGAGGTGAGGGCCCCATGTGCGCAATGTGCGCCACTTGGCGAGTGTTCCCTCTGTCCTTGTGCGTGCTTCTCGCAAACGCGGTCATTCGCGGCTGGGTTCTAACCCGTAGTGTGTGCGTGCGGAGGATCACGTCGGTCGGGCCGGAGTGCTTCCTCTCGAGAGTGGTGGATACGGGCCGTAAATAAGAGCGCTGTCGGGCACAGCGGCCGCGGGGGAAACGTAAAGACGCATGCCCACTTTCGCGACTGTGTCTGCCCAACACACCCAGTCGGTTCCATCAGTCGAGCTCGTCGCCCTCTTGGCCACTTTTTCAGAGTCCTCTGAAACGGACCTGGTGGGCGTACTGGATGCATACATACTGTCTGGGGATGCACAGTGGGCTACCCAAGTACGACTGTGGATGCGTGAGCCCGAGATTAGATAGGGCCTTTTGACCGATCCACCTCCCCCCCCCCCCACGGGGCTCAGCACCACCACTCGCCACCAACCAAGCTGTCTACCCAGTCGTCACCCACATCATGTCAGCTCGCTTCGCTTCCCCAGCCCGCACACTGCCTAGCGTGCCAATGCATGCACAGCATCTCTCCACACTTCTTTAGCAAGCACGCTTCTTGCAGCGACGTCACTGTGCGCGCAGACCTCTGCGTCCTAAATGCCGCATCACGTGTGGATGGTTGTATCGGGTAGAGCCGACGAGCGCCGTGTTGGCCGAGGATGGGCATGCGGGGCCCGAACGCACTCCTGGGGGGATGATGGGATGGTGGATGAGGTGGATGCCTTCCTTCCTCGCGCCGCCAACCACTGACGAGGACCCCGTGTTATCTCTCTCCCTCGTCATCCTCCCTCGTCCTCATCGTCCACATCCCCCTCCTCACCATCCAGCATGCTCGTCGCCGACCTCGCATCGGCACGCGTATTGCGCTCAGCAGGTATGTGTGTCCTGCCCCACCCCTCCTCGTACTCCGCAGCCTCGTCTCTGCGCGAGCCAGAACGTCCCCACAGCCCATCACTGACCCTCCCCGCAGCGCTCGGTCTTCGACCAGCCTGCTCGCGCCGCTGGCTCCAAGTCCCCGCGCGCCGCGACGCCCAGGCCGCGCTCAAGGTTCCCGACCTCCCACCCCCGCCTCCCCCACCGCCCAAGACCCCCTCGGGCGAGGGCATCCCGTACTCGCAGCTCACCATTGGCGTCCCGCGAGAGACGTTCCCCAACGAGGCCCGCGTCGGCGTCACACCTACCGGTGTCGCGTTTCTGAAAAAGCAAGGGTTCGCACACGTCCTCGTCGAGCGCGGTGCGGGCGAAAAATCCACGTTTACAGACGCGGCGTACGCTGCGGCCGGCGCGGAGATTGTCCCCGATGGAAGCGGGTACGAGGGCGACATTGTCCTCCAGGTTCGCCCCCCGTCTGAGAAGCAGGTGGCTCTCCTGCGTCCCGACCAGACCCTCGTGTCGTTCATCTATCCGGGCATCAACAAGAACCTCGTCGAGGAGATCCGCGAGACGGGCGCAACGGCGTTTGCCATGGACGCCGTGCCGCGTATCTCGCGTGCCCAGGTCTTTGACGCGCTCAGCTCAATGGCCAACACGGCCGGATACCGCGCCGTCCTCGAGGCTGGAAACGTCTTTGGCCGCTTCTTCACGGGTCAGGTCACTGCCGCGGGCAAGATCCCTCCAGCCAAGGTTCTCGTGAGTGTGGCTCGTTGTGCCAGCCGTATTGCTTTCACCACGTCCCTGTGGGCCTCTCAGCCGTTGGCATGAGAGCCCGTTGATGCTCTTTTCGAGTCGCGAGTCTTTACCCGTGCCTCGTGTGGCGCTCCCCAGCGTACACATGTGTGCAGAGACGCAGGTCATGTCGCCAAGGTGCCTCGCCCGCCTGGCCTTCTGGGCTTCTGTCCGAGGCACCCCCCCTTGTGTATACGGCCTTGCTGACTCTGTTCCCAGGTCATTGGTGCCGGCGTTGCCGGTCTGTCCGCTATCACCACTGCCAAGCGTATGGGCGCCATTGTGCGCGGCTTTGACACTCGCCCCGTCGCCAAGGAACAGGTCGAGAGTCTCGGCGCCGAGTTCCTCACTGTCGCCATTGAAGAGGACGGAAGCGGCGTCGGCGGCTATGCCAAGGAGATGAGCCAGGTGAGTGGCAGCTTCCTCCCCGGGGTCTGTGCTAACGGGTAGGCCTTTCTCGATGCCGAGATGGCTCTCTTCGCCGACCAGGCCAAGGACGTCGACATTATCATCACCACGGCTCTGATCCGTACGTTATAAATTGCTCCTCGTCGCTAACGTCCCAGCCGGCAAGCCTGCTCCCAAGCTTTTGCTCAAGGAACACGTCGAGGCCATGAAGCGTGGGTTTCTCGTCGTTCCTCGTTTCTGACCCGCACAGCCGGATCCGTCGTCGTCGACCTTGCGGCGGAGACGGGTGGCAACTGCGAACTGACCGTCCCCGGCAAGCGCGTCAACCACAACGGCGTCACCATCCTCGGCTACACTGTGAGTCGCTGGTAGTGTCCTTGACGGTGGCTGTGGAGGCGGGCGTCCATGCCAGAGACCATTGCCGCCGGCCGGAGTGTGGATACTCCGCTAGTCTGGAGTTTAAGAACCACGTCAATGTGGATTTAACATGACGCATTGGCGTTTGGGGATACCTCTTGTTCCAGCTGCAACGCGGTGCTTGCAGACAGCTGATCGACAGGACCTGCCATCTCGCCTCCCGGCCCAGTCGTCGTCCCTCTACTCCAACAACATCACCAAGGTACGTCCATTGTAGCCAACAGCGCACCGCTCACACCCCAGTTCCTTGTGTCTATCGGCGAAAAGGGCCACTATGGGATCAACTACGAAGACGAGGTCGTCCGTGGCGCCATCGTCACGCGCGACAGGGAGATTCTCTGGCCTGCCCCCCGCCCAACGACCCCTCCCGCCGCCACCATTGCGCCCCCCAAGCCTGTGAGTGTTGCTGTGGCCTGTGGTGTTTGCAGAGAGACGACCCACTGACGTCGCCCAGACCGTTATGATCGAGGACAGCAAGACAGCGCTCACGCCATGGCAGTCTTCCGTTCGTGCCGCTACCACCACGACCGTCGGCATGGGTACTGTCCTTGGCCTGGGTGCCGTCACCAGCCCCGCGTTCATGACCATGTTCAACACGCTCGGCCTCGCCGGTCTTGTCGGCTTCCGTGCTGTCTGGAACGTCGCCCCGGCTCTTCACTCCCCCCTGATGTGTGAGTTCAGTGCCCCTACGACCAGTTGAGCGGGGTCACTTGACCTCTAGCTGTGTTTTGTCCGAAGCCAATTCAGCTAACCATCAGCCGTCACCAACGCGCTCTCCGGCCTCGTCGGCGTCGGCGGTCTCTTCGCCATGGGCGGCGGTATGCTGCCGTACACCTTCCCCCAGTGTCTGGGCGCCATCAGCGTGCTCCTGGCCAACCTCAGTGGGTTTCGTTTTGCTCTCGGCAACTAACCCACTCCAGACATCTTTGGCGGTTTCCTGATCACCAAGCGCATGCTCGACCTGTTCCGCCGCCCAGGCGACCCGCCAGAGTACGGCTGGCTGTACGCCATTCCGGGCGTCCTCTTTGCCGCTGGCCTCCTCTGGGCGTGGCAGAACGACGAAGCCGGGCTCACAGAGGCCGGATACACTGTGGCCACGTTCCTCTGTATCGGCGCCCTGACGGGTCTCAGCGCACAGGTGAGTGGTTGGTTCAGAAGAGGGATTTCCGTGGTGCTGCAGTTGGCGTCTGGCACTGGAGATTGGCTCCTGTGGTGTGCTGCTCGGCGTCGTCTAGGTGGCAATGAGAGGAACCTTCAGCGACTAACCTCCTCAGGCAACGGCACGCACCGGTAACATCCTCGGCATGCTCGGCGTGTTCGTCGGTGTCGTCACCACTCTCCTTGCTGTGGGCTTTACCACCGAGCAACTCGCGCAGGTCGCGATGGTCACTGCTCTCGGTGGTGGTGCCGGTCTGGCAATTGGCCGCCGTGTGTCGCCCATGGCCCTCCCTCAGACTGTGGCAGCCTTGCACAGTGTCGTTGGCCTGGCGGCCATGCTGACCTCTGCCGCCGTCGTCCTCGAAGCCGACACCAGCAAGCACGGCGGCGAGCTCACGCCCCTTCTCCTCGCCACGGCCTACCTCGGCGTCCTCATTGGTGGCGTGACCTTTACGGGCTCGATTGTCGCGTTCCTCAAGCTCGCCGGAAAGGTCAGCTCCAAGCCGTTGATCCTCCCCGGTCGCCACGCCATCAACGTCGGCCTCGTCAGCACCAATGCGCTTACCATGGGCGCGTTCATGACCATGGCCCCCGCCGCGCCAGCCATCGGTGCCGCGCTCCTCGCCGGCAACGCCGTTCTTTCCTGCATTCAAGGATACACGACGTCGGCGGCGATCGGTGGTGCCGACATGCCCGTCCTCGTCACGGTGCTCAACGCGTACTCTGGCTTTGCGCTTGTGGCTGAGGGTTTCATGCTCGACAACATGCTGCTCACGGCCACGGGATCGCTCATTGGCGCCAGTGGTAGTATCCTCAGCTACATCATGTGCCAGGCCATGAACCGTAGTCTGGCCAACGTCATCTTTGGCGGTATCGCCACAAACAACGCTGTCAATGGTGGGTTTGACGGTTGTGACACGGTACTAACCCATCGCAGACTCGACCAAGGGCCTGACGGTCGCCAAGACTAACATTGACGAGGTCGTCGACATGCTCGGCAATGCCGAAAGCGTCATCATTGTCCCGGGATACGGTGCGCAGCGCCGGCTAATCTGCTGTGTGAAAACCACGAACTGACAGCCCAGGAATGGCCGTGGCAAAGGCCCAGTACGCCATCTCCGACATGGTCGCCTCACTGCGCGCGCGCGGCATCAACGTCCGCTTCGGCATCCACCCCGTCGCGGGCCGTATGCCTGGCCAGTGCAACGTCCTGCTCGCCGAGGCCGGTGTGCCCTATGACGGTGAGTGGTGTGGGAACGCTTCAGTTGGATATCACCCCTGACACCACCGCAGTCGTCCTGGAGATGGACGAGATCAACGACGACTTCAAGCAGACCGACGTCGTGCTTTGTATCGGCGCCAACGACACGATCAACCCCATCGCCCTCGAGCCTGGCAGCCCTATTGCGGGCATGCCGGTGCTGAACGTCTGGAACGCAAAGAACGTCGTCGTCATGAAGCGCGGTATGGCTGCTGGTGAGTGCTACGGAACTGGTTGGGAGGAAGATGGATAGCGCAAAGGCACGCCAGTGCGCCAGTGGCCCGACAACGGGCGGCGTGGGTGCCTGTGTGCGGCTGATACGTGGTCACGTTTGGGCTATGGCTTCAGCCTTGTCCCTGTCTGTGTCTGCGTCTGCGCCTGTGGCAAGTGGCGGGCTGGGTCTGTGCATCAGGTTCGGCACTGCCGCCGGCCCAGCTCGAGGGTCTCGAGTGGCGGTAGAAGGAACTGTCCTTGCAGCGACTTATTGGTTGTGGCCGATGAGGGTGCGCACAGGCAAGCAGCAGCTGACACTCTGTGCTAGGATACGCCGAGGTCCCCAACCCGCTCTTCTTCTACCCCAACACCAAGATGCTGTTCGGCGACGCCAAAGCGACCTGCGACCAGCTGAGTAAAGGCCTCACGACCACGCCAGACAAGTAAGCCTGCAGCCGCACAGTTAGTTAGTTTGTAGAGCTGCGCCGACGTGGCGTAGTGTTGTGCCACGGCGCGCGCACAAGAGCCGGGGAGGCATTGTCCCCTTGGAAGAAAGAAGAAGGCAGTCCAGTCCGTTTTGATACCCGATGTACATGCACCCAGATGTCTGACACTTGCCCGTCGAGAAGATAGATGGCTTGATCTGGAACTGTGTGTGGCAAAGTCACGTGATGAAGGTATCCGATTTTGAGCTGCTGTCTCGGCCCACGCTGTCAGCGGTCCCCCAGGCGCCAGGTAGCGGAGTGGAGAGATGGAATATGATCGCCTGATTGTACTACCCCTCAGCTCGACAGGTCTCGCCGTCTTTGACGGGTTTGGAGGTATAACGCCCTGTCACTTGGTGCACTCGCCGGCAGATGCTGTGCTTTGCAAGATGCCACTCGCGTTCTCACTCTCACTCTCATGTCCTGACGCTCTGTACCACACAAACAGACAACCTCTGTTCACATGGCACAACACTATCTACAATTGGAACCCTACTCGCACTGCTACATTCCCGCCGACGTGTCTCCCCCCTGCCACAGCTCTAGCTGCCCACCCCAACCACACGACCCACTAGGGGGTTTTGCCACGTCAGAGGTCCGCAAACACCCACCCCGTCCCCGCAAGGACGGTAACATCGGGACGGGGCGCGACGTATCCGCGCGGGAAGCGGGGCAGACCTCGCAGGCCCTTGTCTGGAAACGCGTTGGCCATCTGGCCGTGGGCCGCCGTCCAGGCGGCAAGTTCGCGGTTGACGATGCTCTCGTCGGGCTCCTCACCGACGGTCGTCTGCAGCACCCACAGGCCGTAGCGGTCGAGCAAACTCGGGTGAGGCGCAAACTCGCCCAGCATGACCGCGAGGTCGGCATAGTCGTCCAAGGGCTCGTCGTCTGGTGGACCGCTCTCAGCGTCCTCGTACACACAGAACGTTGCGTTCAACGCGCGCCACGCCACGCGGCGGGCTGCTGCGCGATCGAGCTCGGTGTCGATGTAGCACTGCAGGTCACGGCACGCCTGTGTGTGTGTCAGTCAGATTCGGACAGGAAACGAGCGACGGTCGTACCCAGGCGAACACCTCGTCAATGTCGGCGTCACGCGCGGCTTTCCACTGCGGGTAGTACGGGAGATCACCTTCTCCGTTGTCTGCGACGCTGGCGTGCTCTTTGCTGGGTAGGTAAGCTACAGGTCTATCCAAGGGAGGCACATACCGCTGGAGGACGACGTCGCAGACGGCAAGGTAGACTGCTCCAGCCTTGTCACCGATGTGCGCCCACGACACCTCGTTAAACGCGTCGTGGATGGCCACCGTGGCGTTCTTGCAGGCCCACTCGATCTGTGAGCCAGGATTGAACGTGCCATGAAAAACAGGGATGGTGAAGGCCGTGTGGGACCAGTCGGTGAGCAGCCAGCCCGGCACCTGGGTGGGCTCAGCGACAGGCGGCGCCGGCGCGGGAGAGCCTGAGTGGTTGCTTTGGTCGACCGGTGGTGTCCTAGAGGACGGTGAGCGGGGTGGCCTGCACTCTTCGGGCATTGTGGGCTGTGAATGCAAAGGATAAAGGCGAGTTTGATGCTGTTGGTTGTGGTCGGGTGTTTACGACTGATCGACCTGTGGCCATTCCGCACGCCGGCTCTGCGGTTTCATCACCACACCCACTACACACTAGTGTGACCATGCGGGTTGTACAAGGCCCCCCTAGCCGACCACTTTCGCCGCACTGAGTACGCGCGACTGCAGACTTCACATCCTCCAGCTGTGATGGAAGACCAACGGGATGGAATCATGTGCAGTGTTGCCTAGAGAGGTACACTACCTGCTCGTGGGGACCGAGTATAGAGAGATCAGCAGAAAGAGTCGATAATGTGGCGACAACGATCAAGACCTGCGTCCATCTTCGACCTCCTGGCGCCGTGTGGAGACGCCAATACCGTCGAGCTCCAGGCAAATTACATCTGGGCTTCCAATGTACTGGAACTTCCCAGATGGCGACATGCACTTGTTTGCAAGGTGCCCAGAACGTCTCGATTCCTCAGAACACTGTACATGTCCCGCATGCATGTCGTCGTCTTGCATTGGAGCTACTGGAAGGCCTCGGGGTTTGACGCGGGCCCGGACTTGCATTCAGCATGTTCCGCCACTCGGCTCACAGGTGAGCTTGTGCCTCTTCCTCGACAGCCTCTACGTGAAGCTGCCTGAGCCTATCGCGTCGCTGTCGGGCGATATCAGGACCCTCTCTTTCGCAACTTGATTGTAGACATGGTATACAAAAGGGTAATCCATACCACTTGAGTGCCGAGGGTGACCGCCGCTCACGACAATTCAAACACCACCAGGGCCAACAACGAGCACTCCGAGAATGTGGGCGCCCCTTTGCAAACTGTGCACAGATGGAATGGACAACTATGGAAGCAGCACAAGGAGAAAGGCCTAACTCGTGCGAGCCATCTGCGAAACGGCCGTATCTGTCTCGCACACATGTGGCCGTCTTGCAACTGACCTGCTGGCTGTTGAATTACGGAATGTTGGAGAGAGCGGGTAGTCGACGTTGCAGCACAGGCCCAGATCGCAGTCGGCGCAACAACAACAACAACCGCAACAATAAAAATCAAGACTCTTTTTTAACTGTAATGCCTAGGGGGCTTGCTGAGAATGATCGGACTTCAGAATCCAGTCTGGGTCTACCCACAATTCAGAGTGTGATTACAACGGGGGACTGCTTGGGAGTTATGTAACTCCCGGCCAGACTGTATCGACACTGCCGAACTCCCGGATCGAACACAGGTTACTGTTGGCCCCGGTCAGGGATGATTAATCCCTCATCTACATTAACCGCTATGTAAATTGACCGCATTTGTACTGTGATTTGAAAGCGGCTAATGTATACAGCCCTACGGTGGCTACAGTACGTGCTTACAGGTTACACCTCGGCTGGCGGCGTGGCATGTGTGGGCGGAGGACTGGACTGGCATGGGTTTCACCGCGCCACCGCTTACATACTGCCACAGAGTGTGCGTGGGGCCGCGGATAGCGGTGAGCTTTCGCCCGGGGGGACGTGGTTAGAACCTGTTGGCATGCGGTGACCGTTTCAGCGATGACCATCTCGCGTCGCGGATCGGCTCCTGGCATTGCCGTGTCGCGTTTTGGTCTCCAGGTTTCCTGCGGCGGTTGTTGCGAGTCGTGGCAGAAGTGCTCCAGTGATCGGGGAGACGGTACACCCACTTCATCCCCTTGATCTGTTGACGTGCTGTTTCCTGCGTTTGCACTGTCCGGCTTTTCCGGAGGCACCATGTGGTTCGCGTCCATCCAAGCTTCCAAGGCCTGCTGGCACGGGGAACGGCCACCGGGAATGCGCGTTACAAGGCACTCGCGAACTCTTTTCCGCACATCAGAGAAAGTGCACCGACGACGAGCGGCGTGTGCCGCCGTCATTGAAGAGCGCGTACTTTCACAGCTTTACAAGCGTCAGTGCGAGTGACCGGCAGCGACGAGACGAGTGGACACGCATGGCTATCCAGCGCAGCGCTGAGCGATTGCGACCGAGCAAAGGGTCTTGATTGCGGGTGGCGCGAGGCTGTTTTCCAACCGCCACTCCACAGCCTCAGCTAGCGTTCAGCCTCCGGCATCCAGCTTCTGGTCTGTCGCATACCACGGCCACCTGATACCAGCCAGCAATAGATAGATATGCCTGTTGGTGACACACGCGCGGACGATAGAGGCCAAGAGCCACGACCCTAGGGGCCAAGAGCAAGACTGGCCGGCAATGGTCTGCCTCTAGCCGGTGATTGCGGTCAAAAGAGGCCCTGGGGGATACCTTAATGGGCTTGGCTGCGGCACAGACGACGAATCTATTCATTGACCGGCAACTGGTCAGTGGAGCAGCGGAGCAGTGGGTGACGTCGACTGCTACCCCTAGGTCGATGCATGCCCATGGAGGCCCGTCGTGCGCGGTATGTGTTGGAGCAGACGTCCTGCGTCCCGTGGGGGCAGGGTTGGCGACAGTCGCCTCCGGACTGTGTCGATCTGGAGCTGGAGGGTGAGCGCGGGGTGCCAAGGAGTGGGGGTGAGCCTGCCAGTGTTGAGATGTTGGTCAGAACAAGCAGTCGCCAGGAAACGAACACAGTGAGCCATGTATAAAGAAAAGTCCATCATGATACGATGCAAAAAGTCTACTGCATTCCCTGCTGGCGCGACGTTTGTTTTACGGGTAGGGGACACAAGAGCGATAAAGAGGAGAGTCATTAAATCGACACTGCTGGGAGGCAAGAACACAGGAAGGCGAGGGCCGCAGCGCTTAAACCTGCTGGGCGACCTCGTGGTCGGACGACTGCGAGGTCTTCTCAGCGTGGGTCTCGTGAGCGGCGACGCCCTGCGCGGCACGCTCGCGTGACTCCTTGCGGTAGTGCAGACCAGCGAGGACGAGGAGGACCCATGTGGCGGTCAGGAAGGCAAAGGCGAACCAGGCGCAGATCATCGACTCGTAAGCGGTGGTGCCCCTGTAGGTAATGTTCTTGCCGAGGGCGGCCGCGAGTGTGTTGAGGGTGGACTGGGTGAATCCGGGAGCGGAGAGGACGGCGCTGCGGCCGACAACAATGACGGTCGCGGCAATGGCGACACCGAGGACGAAGAGGGCGGCAACGCCGAGGGCAATCTCGTTGAGGAGACGCAGGATCCACGGCGAGTGGCCGTTCCTGCGCTCGCGCCAAAGGTGGATCTCGGCGTAGGTCTGGAGATAAGTTAGCTAAGAGCCACCAAGACGAGACGCAGGCCCAGGTGTACTCACGGCAACCGCAACGGCGAAACCGCACGCAGCGCACAGCAGGGCGGACACGACGACGACGTCCTGGGCTTCGACCTTGCCTCCGGGGACCGTCTTGGCCTGCGACAGTGGTCAGCGTGAGGGATCTATGGTTGTGTGACAGCTCTGCGATGACGTTGTGGGAGAGACATGTGCTTGCTGCGCTCGGGGCATGGGCCGGCAACGACGAGGAACAGTGCCTCTGTGCCGCCGCCGCCACCACCCCATGCCATCGGGCAACCCCTCAGGTAGAGCGTGCGTTTCCCGGTGGTCGGTGCGAGCGCCGCCGCTGCTATCGGCGGCGACACGCCGGCGCTCCGTCTCTGTACTGCACATGTCTTTGCTGCTCGCGGCGACGACGGACAATGCAGCGACGGGCGTGAACGGGGGGAGATGGCAAGCCATTCTGCAGACGCCAAGCATACGGCGGGCGGGGGCGGGCGGGCGGCAAATAAAGCCACCACCGACACAACTTTTGTGTCTTTGTCCTTGTCTCTGGCGGCTGCTGCCAAGCGTGTGCGTGTGTGACAGACGGGACTTGGCGAGCGTGAAGGTACAATGCAAGCATGCAAAAGGGGTGTAGAGGATGTGGTGGGGGGGGGGGGGGGGGAGCAGGCGGCAAAAACGTACCATGAAGACCTTGTCATCGTGCAGGACCTGGAGGGCTGTTTACAGTGTCAGCTGGGCGGGGGCCTTGGGCCTGGCGCGCGCGTCGTGCCATTTGGGACTCACCCCATCCTGCGAGACCTGTCGCTGCGACGGTCAAGGCGAACGAGAAGAAGATGCACACGAGGCGAGCGCGGAGGAGGGTCTTGAGGCTAGCCATGGTGTTGCTGGAATGAAAGTCGGTGGGTTGGTAAAGTGGTGGGTGTGGTGAGATGGTGTAATGTGGATGGACAGCAGGGGGCCAAGACTAGCGGGATGTTGTGGCTTCTTAAAAGAAACCCGAGCGAGCAGACATGTGTGACGCTAGGCGCGGGTCAGCTGGCTCTCGGGCAGCGCGCCAGAGGCCACAGGCCACATGCCCAGCAGTGCATTGCGCGCGCGCGTGCGGGTGAGACACACAAAACGCTTGCTCTGTCGTTGTTCGCGCTGCGTTTGCCGTTTTTTGCCGCCACCTGACCCCCCCCTCGTTCCCTTGCCGCGGCCCCCGGGGGGCTCTCAAAGGGAAAGCGCAATGTGCCGCAAGCGCACACGCAACAAAAAAATAAAGACCTCACACCCCTTGGACGCCTGGCCCTTTCCGACATGCCGCGAAATGGCAAACGCACCTCTGGGCCAAGCATGCAAGCAGACAGCAACAACACTGCCTTGAATGCGGACACCCGGCTCACAACTACCGGAGTGGACCGGCGTGTGTCTCTATTACACACTGGTCTCCTTGTGCTTTGCCCAACTTGTGTCCAGCGAAACCCGGCGCTTGCCTCCTTCTGAGCCACAAAGATAGGGCTCTACTGGCTTTAGGGGAGGACGAGGACGAGGCTGCTGGAGAGGCCTATGCGCACCAGCTTTGGGCTTATGCACAGTCACTACCACTCCCACACACGGATGGTTGTCGGGATCTTTGGACCCACACCAAGGGTTTGTCCTGGATGCTCATTCAGTACCTTTTTTTCTCGACCCAGTTCCTGATCGCGCGCATACTGACTGACAGGTGTTTACCGAATCACCTGTGGTAGATGCCTCTCCATCTTTGTGTTGCTCCAGAATATGTCTTGCATGTCTTGAGATCGGCGAGTGCCGCACGCCATGGTACGCACTCCCACACGCGGGTCGATGCCAAGACCCACAACAGACTGGTCTTGCTCACACGACCTTCCGCATCCAGCCGACGGATCTTGTCAGCAAAGGTCAGCCGTCATGGCCCATGCACACCCGACACCTTTTGACACCTTGTCTGCACCTCCCTCACTGCGCAGTCCACGTGCAAAACATCCTCTCGTGTTCCGCACTGGCTCATCGCCGACGCCAAGGCCATCGAGGCAGACGCCACAGGCCTTGCGTGGGACCGCCACCACCATGCCAGTGAGAACGGGGCGTCCAGGCATCCATCCCAATCCCTTGAACACTATTCGTGCAGTGGAGAATGTCATGCGCTAAGTGCTCGTGCAATGTGGCTGGAGCTGAAACTAACCTAGGTTGACGACAAGAAACCGAGGGTGCGTCCAGGTGGCCTGGTGCATCTCTCAAAAGCCCGACTTGTGAACAAGCACTACCAAAAAAATTCTTGTCGTGCCACTTTGTCATGGAACACACGAAGCTTGCCGACACATGCGGACAAGGGTTCTGTCACGACGCTTTGCAAGACAGTCTTGGCACACCATGCCACCAGAGGAAAAAAGCCTGGCCCGGTTTTTTTTGTCTGACAATTGATACACACTCGGCCATTGTGGTGGGCCATTGTCAGCGGCATATGGTCATTCTGCCGCCAATAGAATATCCACCCTTGTCGCCATGGCCTTTTACAGACGCCGTCATAACGCCACCTCCCCCCACGTCTCCTCCGACCCCGACATCGGTGTGGGTCCGGTGACTCTTGACAACCAGCCAAGACGGCTTGGCCGCAATGCATGTGCAGATGGTGATCATGCTGACTCTTGCGGCGTCTCGGAACACTGGCCCTGGTTGCTGGGTGGGGGAACTGGGTGGCGGGGGCCGTGGTCCGACGGCCATCCGGCGCGGCTGGGCTCTCGGGGCTCTCGGTGCTGCGCATACCGACGACAACGACCAGTGCCTGCCGCCGAGCTGCCGAGAGGGAAACAATTGCAGGACAGAGGGCATAAAGGATAACAAGCAACAAAAAGGAGAGGGAGAGAGGGAAGAGGGAAATACTAGAGTCTTGCTGCAGATCACACAGGTCATTTCTCGGCAAATCCTCCCCGCGCAGCAGCAGCAACCATCCTGACCCCCTCTGTGTGCGTGCATCTCCAGGCGGACGCGATTTCGCAGGAAAGGAATAAAAGTCAAGGAACGAGCAGATACGACAGATACGAGAACGTCTTGTCCTTTGATAGAGGCTGGCTGCAGACAGTCGCTCGCCGGTCCGTTTTCTTGTTTCTTCACGTTCTGCCTACCGCCCCATCACCACACCAGCCTGACTCATTACGACAGACCCCGTCAACCGTGCACACGACGCACTGCCCGTGCATGGAATCCATCATGCGCATGCTTGTTCACTGCTCACTGACAAGCAGCAGCATGGCAAGATACCATTAGGACATGGGGCCCATGGGACACTTTGTGCTGCCAAGAACGTTGCCTGCCTATAGACAGCGGATTAATCTATTTGGGGACCCTTGTATGGTTTGTTGATTCGCCCATGTTGCTCGTCGTCTGCACCGCCGCGGGGCACGTGCAGCCCATGTCTCTGGGGGCAGCATTCCATTCCATCCGTCCATCCATCGTCCACCCTCTCACTCACTCCCTCACTCTCCTCCCCATCCACACACGCATATGACCTCCCCATACAGCTCAGGCTCGGGCGGCGGGCAGTGGGGACAGCAACAAGCATACAACGCCGGAAGCTCCGGATGGTTCACACAACAACAAACCGTCCAGCATCTCAATTACGTCCATGGCCAGCCGCAAGGTCCATGCCAGCATGTGGGCCTCCCTCCCCCACCATTCTACGCAGGAGGAGCCCCCTCCCCCATCCAGCAGCAGCACAGCAGGCCTGGCCCGTCACATTCGGCGCAGCAGTACCCCCGACCGTCGCCGTCGCCGCTGCAACAGCACTACGCGCAACAAGCGGCCCAGTACGGCCCACCATCACCACAGCAAAGTAATGGATCATACTTTAACCAGCAACACACATACCAGCAACCTATGCAGCCCCAGTACACATCTGGGTCATACACTGCGTCCTCGCCAGTGGTATCGACTGGCCCGCCTCCTATTCCGCCAAGAATAGACGTGTCCGCGCCGCAGATTCTCCACCCACAACCACAATACCTCCAGTCTCCAACCCCGTCTCTCCCTCCTCACTCGACACCAAGCCCGCAACCCATGTTCCAGCAACAACAAGCGATGCCCCCTCCTCTGCCTCCACGCATGTCTCCCCAGCCTCTCTCTGCCGTGTCGGTGCAGTCGGGCTATCAGCAACAACAGTTGCCCCCACCGCTCCCTCCTCGCACCTCCTTCAGCCCCGCGCCGCCGATGCAGGGGTCCGCGTCGCCCACGCCTGCGCATACGGTACACGCGCCGCGGCCCCCGCCAGCGAGCTCGTCTACAAGACCGTCCAGGAGGCCACCACACAGGCTGCCGCCTTTGCCGACAGGCATGGGACAAGGCCAGGCTGCGGCGCAGGCGGTGGCCGGCACGGGATATAATGGACAAGCGCCTCAGCAGCAGTATCAGCAACAGCAGTTTGGCCAGGCCATGCAGTCCCCAGTGTCGCCAGGCTTCGCGCCAGTGTCACCCAGCCATTCCCAAAGCAACTGGTCACCACCACAGAGCATGCACCCTCTCCCTCTCCCACCGGTCCACCCACAGCGCCTTCCGTCGCCTCAGCCGATGCAGATGCCTATACCAGCGCCACACCAACCACCTGTGCAACAGCCCGTACCCCTCCAGCAGCCCCAGCCCGTCCAGCTCCAACCAGGCCCCGAGCAGGTCCCCATCCTCGCTGCCGAACCGCCTGCTCTGCCCCCTCCCCCGCCATACACCGAGACCGTGTCGGACGCCTTCTCGGTCAACGTCCCTGCGACCCCGACGTCGCCGCACCAGTCCCTCCACAGCGTGCACGTCTCCCCGCCCCGGCCCACACCCACGTTCGTCGTCCACAACGCCGACCCGGGCATGTCCCCGGCCCCCGTGCCCGGTGGCAGCGAAAAGTACGAGTACAGGCCGGAAAAGTACACGTACACGCCCAACCGCGGCATGGACGGCGACGTGGGGCCGAGGTCGCGCGCGATGGACATGGGCATGGAGGCCGGACCGTCGAGTGCTGGGCCGTCAAACTGGGCTGGCCCGAGCTCGTGGAGTGCGTGAGCGGGGGACGGGGACACTGGACACAGTGATGGGACCACCGTCGGCGATACCTTTGTTTCTGAACACTCGGCATACACACTACACGCCGCCAAAGACACTTACAGTTGGATCTTGCGCCAGAACCATCAGCAAACACGTCCTCCCAGCTTCCTACAACCTTACGAACTGTACTGTACATACAAGGCACTTATAGTTCCTTCTCTCTGTGTGTAAATAACCGTGCATGTAACAAGTACAACCCCCAACATCGCTCCTGGTCTCTAGCGGAGCTTGTTCTTCTCTTTCGAATACTGCGCGTCATGTCAGCTAACGAACCCGCGATATAGCAGACCTACGTCGTAGAACCCGCGGCCGGTCTTGCGGCCAAAGTGGCCCTCCTCGACGAGCTCGGGAATCATGTTGGACGGCGGGTCGACCATGGACTCGGGGACCAGGCCCTGTGCGGCGCGGATGGCCCACGACATGCCGATGAGGTTGCACGTGTCGAGGCCGACGTAGTCGAACAGCTTGAATGGGCCCATGGCTGGAGGGAGGGTATGAGCTAAAGCTTGACCACCCTGACACCGTAGCTCTCCTCACTCACGGTATCCTGCGCCGAGCTCCATGGCCTTGTCGACGTCCTCAAAGCTCGCGTCGCCGCGCTCGACGACCATGGTGGCCTCGCGATTGTACGCGGCCAGAATGCGGTTGACAATGAACCTGGGAAGAAGTTAGGAGGGTGACGGTGGCTAAGGATGTCGATCATCACAAGCAGGCAGCCACTCACCCAGGGGTATCCTTGCACTTGACGGCCACCTTTCCGAGGCTCTCGCCAAACTCAAACAGGCGGTCGTACGCCGCGTCCTCCATCGTGTCTGAGCGAATCACCTCGACGAGCCTCATGACGGGAACGGCTGGACAAACAAGTGTCAGCTGGGGAACGACAGTTCGTCGCGTCTAGCTCACGGTTGAAGAAGTGCAGACCGCCAAAGCGCGCCTTGCGCGCCGCAGGGCACTTTTCAGACACCTCCTTGACGAGCAAGGCGGATGTGTTGGTGGCAAAGATTGAGTCGGGCCTGGGGTTATCGTTGCGTCAGTGGTGAGGTGACGCCGGGGAGGTCTTGCAACCACTCACTTGGCGTGCTTGTCCAGCGCGGCCATGAGGTTCTGCTTGAGCTCAATGTTCTCCACGATCGACTCGATGACAATTTCCGCGTTGCCGACGGCCACAGAGCTGTAGGCGTGGGTGGTGAGTACTTTGTAAACGGGAGACGTGCGCTAAGGTAGCAGCTGCTTGAACAAGATGTGTACTGTAGCTGCACTTTGAACATGTCACTCACGGATCGGTCGTGGGACGCAAGTTGCCCAAGACGGTCTTGACGTACTCGTCCTCCTGGCCTGGAGCGACCTTCTTCGCCACACGCGCGACCGACCTGGCAATGATCTTCATGCCATTCCTGCACGTCAGTCAGTGCTCGTTCGAGGCCATGAGCCCAGTGTCGCCGTGCTCCTCCTCAGGCTCGTCTTCCCCCCTCCCCCAGCCTCCGCCCTCTTCGCCTCCACCACTCGCTCCACGCATACTCACTGGACAGCCTTGTCGCTAACGTCCGCGAGGTTGACGGTGTATCCCGCCTGCGCCGCGACCTGCGCAATGCCAGATCCCATGAGGCCGGCGCCGAACACGGCCACGACGTTGATACCCGCCGCAGGGCCCGAGCCGCGCTTGCCCGGACGCGGGACGGCGACTTTTGTAGGGATGGGAGGGGCGGGGCCGACGGGCATGGTGTGCGTGTGTGGGTAAGCTGGTTGGAGTTGGGAGTGAGTGAGAGAGGGAGAGACCGAGTGTTGACTTGACAGAGATATAAGTGCGTGGTTGTCGGAGGTGACATGAGCAACGGTGAGCGATGCCGGTCCGGTTAAACTAGCCGGGAGGAGCTAGTGCCGCCGGCGTGGGCGGACGACGCCGACGGCGTCCACGCCGTACCCACCGGCGTCGCCGAGCCATGTTCCGTCGCGTTCAGTACGATGCATAGCGCGGATAATCTAGCTAGCACCACTTATGGCCACTAAGCAGTCGTGTAGGCTAGGGAAGGATACACCTCGAGCCGATCCACGACGATGGTCCGCTTGGTGGGGCGGTTTGTTTACAAGCAGAGATATTTTCCGCGTGCACACGGACACGGAGACGGGATGCTCAAGGCCTGGCACGGCGACGAGGGCCCGCGTGGCGGTGGCTTTGGGGATGTGGAACCACAAGAAGCTCCGTATGCAGAACGGTGTGGCGAAACGCTTTCTGTTATGCTTGTGAATGCTGCATTTCTACTTTGGTACAATCCCAGCTCGACTGGCTAGGCTCTGGCTTTTCACTCTTTGGGCATTACGTCTTCGTAACTCGTACACATTAACCTGCACTCTGTTCTCTCACTCAGAGCCTCTGGTCCTCGGGCATGTGCTTCATGGCCTGGCGGACACCCAGGTCGCCGAGGACCTCCTCGGTACCGCCAAGGATGGCGTCAAACTTGCGGGTACGGTGGATCTGCTCGATGAAGCGGCCCATGCCCGTCTTGGTGAGGCCACGGCCACCAAAGATCATGATGGCGTCGTCGGCGACCTCGGCGAGGATCTTGGACGAGTTGAGCTTGAGGAAGCCGATGGGGCCGGCGAGGTACTTGGACTGCTCCTTGTAGTCCATCTGGCACATCTGGTACGCAATGTTCTCCAGGAACGCCTGCGCAGCCTCAGTCTTGGTGATCATGGACGCGAGCCTGGATTAATGTTAGCAAGGGGGAACGAGCGAGCTGCTCAGACTCACTTCTGACGGATGACGGGCTGCGCGATGAGGGGCTTGCCCGACACGCTACGCTGCGACGCCCAGAGGAGGCACTCCTCGACGGCCTTGCGGGCATAGCGGACGGTCTGGCACGAGATCATGAACCGCTCGTGGTTGAAGTTTGCGAGGATGACGCGCAGTCCGTCGTTCTCGGGACCGATCATGTTCTCGTTGGGGATCTTGACATTGTCAAAGGTGACATACGACGTGCCGGCGGTGGTGCCGTACGACGTCTTGATCTGCTTCGTGTTCACACCCTCGCAGCGGGGGACGAGGAAGACGGTGAGGTGGTCGCCGGTGCGGGCGCCGACAGTAAAGTAGTCCGAGTTGGTACCGCCGGTAATCCACTTCTTGGTGCCGTTGATGATCCATCCGGACCCGTCCTCGGCGCGGACGGCACGGCAGCGGAGACCCGCGACGTCCGAGCCGGCAAACGCCTCAGTGATCGCAAGACACAAGAGCTTCTCTCCCTCGAGCACCTCGGTCATGACCTTGGTACGCAGCGGCTCCTTGGCGTAGTTCATGATGGGCGGCAGTCCAATGACCATGTGGCCCTGGCAGCCGTCAATGTAGCCGCGGGCGCCACAGAGGGCGAGCTCCTGGTTGACGACAAGCTCGTGGAGATAGTCAAACTCCTCGCCCTTGACCGCACCGCCCATGAGAACCTTGCCGTGGAGGTGGGCCCCGGGTCCCATACGCATGTGGTTCATGCCGTTCTCGGCCATCTGCCTGAGGACGTCGGGGGAAGGGCGCTTGCCATTCTCTTCACACGCCTGTCCGTCGGGCGCCACAACCTCGGTGATGAACTTGCGCATCGCCTTTTGCAGCGCACGGTGCGAGTCCTTGTAGTATGGAGTCTTGAACGACGGGGTGAGCCACATGGGCTCGGCGTAGGGGACACGCGAGAGGTCGTCGGCCTGCGGAGTGCGGATCTTCTGCTTTTCGCCGGTAATCTGACCGATCTTGAGACGCTGGTACTGGGGCTTCAGGAGGACTTCGTGACGGTGCATGGCAAAGAAGACGGTCGTAGCGTCCTTGCCGGCTGGTGAAGCGTCAGATCAGAACAGACACACGCCTTCTCGTGCACTCACCGACATCGGCATCGAGCAGCACACCGGGACCACCAGGGTGGAGGCGGGCAAACTTGGAGAGGTCGTAGACATAGCTGTCGATGATGACGTACAGGTCGCCCTGCTTGTTGTGCTGGGCAACCTCGTCGCGGGTGAAGGGCTTGAGCTGCTTGGCCATGTTCGTTTTGCGTGCGGTTGAGGTTGTGTGCGATGGGAGGAGCAGGCAATCTCTCATCGTCTTTCCCATCCAATACATAAAGGTAGTTCCATCTTGTCCGTCTCTTCCCCGGATTTCGGCCCCGCAAGGTCCGCGTCCGCACAACGAGCGCGCGGCCGCGGCGTAACCGGCGGCGACGCGTTCCCATGACACCAACAGTGACAGCTTTCGCGACTGGGATTGGACAAGCAGGTGCGACCCGTCCTCGTCGTTACCTCGTCCCTTGCGGACGGGGGCGAGGGAGCAGGTGTGTCTGGTGGAGAGTGCGGTGACTGGACAAACGTCCCGGATATCGCCGGCGGTCAGAAAGTGAGTTCCCCAGTTTGATTTCGCCAGTTTGGTCTGCCGAACTCTTAACGTCCAAGCACATCATTGACCTCTTCTCTGACCTGTCCTTTAGGGCGCTGAGTTGCCCATCAGTCCATATGCACGCCCCACTCCGTCACGCGGGACCAGGCGCTCACGGTTGCTGAGAGAAGACTCTGACAACAACACAACAACACAACACGCGTCTCGTCTCTTCTTCCCAATTCGCACCTGATGTCTCAATCGGGGAACGTTCCCCCAGGCGGTGGGGGGGGGGTCTCACCGACCACCCCAACTTCGGACAGGCGACCCTCACAAGTAGGTGAAGAGGTGCAACATGCTCTGACTCCAGCGCTCGTCCGCTATATTGCCATGCTGCACGACCTCCTGCAACGCGTTCTCCAGCGCTTGCCAGAAGACTCCAGCGAGGTTCAACTCCAAGACCTGCGTGGACAGCTGGCAGCAGAGCGCTCCCGCAATGCCAACCTCGAACGCCAAAAGCAGCGTCTCGAAGAACGAGTCGAGGAGCTCGTCGACCAACACCAAGAGCTCGTGACAAAAGTCCTGCAGTTGACGCCCTCTGTGCCCGCTTCAAACCAGACTGCGTCCACTGCCATCCAAGAATCTACAAGCGCAGCTCGCTCCATGGTCAAGGTACCCACACACTCCGGCGGGGCCCAGCCGGACCTACCAGGAAAACGTGGTAGGTTTCTTGACCGATTTTGGTGCCTCCAGCTCATGTTTTTCTCAGCCGGACCCGCCTACACCTCGGATCCGCGTTCCGAGCTCAACTTGGGAGGCGTGAACGACACAGGAGAGGAAAGCTAGGGCACGCCATGATCCTCTTAGTCGATACAGGATGCAGGTGTGCAAACAATCGTGCAGGTTGTGGCTCAGTGATCAGTGAGGCAGCAAAGTAGTGAAATTTCATGGGAGGGTAAACGCTGTGTTTGGGCGGTAGCCGCCTTTACAGCGAGCAAAAGATCGTAGTCTGCAAGCTACAAGGTCGGCCCCTGGACGAGACAGAAGTCGCGGCAAGGCGGAACGACGGTGCTGCATGTGTGGGTGCTGTGATAAGGCCTCCTGACGTTCAATCGAGAGCATTGGCCTGACTCTGACTTGTCCCTTGGCGACGTGGCTGCTTGGCCCTCCCTTGCTACTTCCACAGACGGTGCATACTAACTACAACATTCTTGTGTCATGTGGGCCAACTCCAAAACCCTATGCCTCGGGGTAGCGCAGGCCGTGTCCGAAGCGGTAGAAGGGGTTCTCGGTGTCAAACGGCGTGTCAGTCTTGCCCTTCTCGACCGCGGCCATGCTGCGGGGCATGTCGAACGGCGCCTTGCCCTTGGGCGAGTGGCCCTGCAGCACCTCCACAAGGGCCGACTCGTTGACGCCAAACGAGAGCAGGACAGCGGTGGCGTCGTCGTCGAGCGAGCCGAGAATCGCCGGACGGTCGGCAAAGATCTCGACGACCACGGGCACCTTCTTGGCCAGCTCGGCGACCTTGGCGAGCGTGGCAGCGTCAAAGTCGAGGTTGCCGTGGTGGAAGCTCCTGGCGAAGAAGCCATTGCCCGTTGCCGTCCAGGGAGTCTCGAGACGGACGATAGCAACGTCGGCGGCGTCGGGAGTGTCGACGACGTTGGCAAAGCCGATCTCGGTGGGCTTCTTGAAGCCGTCGAGGTAGACCTTGGCGTCCTTGGCCAGGGGGAGGAGGGGCTTGCCGTTGTGGTCGGCGTTCTTGAGCAGGGTGACCGAGTCCTTCTGGGCGGTAAGACCGGCCTCGACAAAGTCCTTGCGGCCAACAATGGCCTCAGCCTGGGTGGCGTCCACGAAGGGGGACTCGAAGAGGCCCAGGTCAAACTTGTCGCGCAGGATGCGGCGCGCGCTCTCGTCGATGCGCGACTCGGGGACAAGGCCCTCCTTGACGGCCTGGAGCACGAGGTCGGGCTCATAGTGGCCGCCAAACTGGTCCACGCCAGCGTCGAGAGACATGGCCACGCGCTCGGAGACGCTCAGGTGCTCGACACCCCAGGCCTTGGCGGTGGCCAAGTCGCCCATGACCGCGGGGTCGCCGACCTGGGTGAGGACACCCCAGTCCGCGACGACGACACCCTTGAAGCCGAGCTCCTCGCGGAGACAGCCGGTGATGATGGGCTTGTTGTAGGCCATGGCGACCTCGGGGAACTTTGTGCCCACGGGCTTGCCGTAGGCGGGCATGACGTAGCGGACACCCTCGGCGACGGCGGCGCGGAAGGGCTTGAGGTGGTACTCCCACTGGTCGCCAGGGTAGACCTGCTCGGTACCCCAAGCAAAGTGGCTGTCGAGACCGTTCTTGAGCGGGCCACCGCCGGGGAAGTGCTTGACGCAGCCGGCCACCGACGTGGGTCCCAGGTCGGCGCTCTGCTGCAGGCCACGGACCTGGGCCGCGCAGAGTTCTGTCGCCAGGTTGGAGTCCTCGCCGAGCGAGCCCGGGATACGCGACCAGCGGGGCTCAGTCGCCAGGTCGGCCTGAGGGTGGAGAGCCATGCGGAGGCCAACGGCAATGTACTCTTGGCGAACAATGTCCGAGTACTCCTCCATCCTCTTGGGGTCGGCAAGCGCAGCAATACCAATGTTCTCGGGCCACTGGGAGAATGGTCCGGCGGGGAGCGAGAGCTGAGGGTTCTCGACGAACGCGTGGCGAGGGTCCGTGGACAGCGTGATGGGGATGCCCCAGCGGCTCTCGAGGGCCGTCTTCTGAAGGTTGTTGGCCCACTCGGCAAAGTCCTTGGCCTTGTCAAAGGAGCCCATGACGTTGAAGTGCACCAGTCCGTTGTCCAGGTGCTTGCGAGTCGCGGGCAGGCCGAACTTTGGGTCGACGGTGTCAAAGTCGATGGGGGGGATCATCATGTGGAACATGAGACCAGCCTTTTCCTCGAGCGACATGCGCGAGACGAGGTCGTCGACACGCTGGTCGACGGGCAGCGAGGCATCCTGGTACGGGTAGGCGGTCATGGCAGATGTCTCGTGCTGTCTGTCAGCCGGTGGCCGGTGGATCGCGCTGTCGTCAACTCACAGTGCTGAATGTGGTGGGGAGAGAAAGATGGGGGCTCGCTGCATCGTGTGCACGCTGTTATGTAGCCGAGTGGTCTCTCACCCCAGTCCTCAAGTGGGCGACGTACTCGAAGAGCGAACACGGCAGTACTGGCTGCACTGACTGATACGGCTAATCCTCTCTCGATCCCACCTCTTTTGGTCCGAACGAAAGGGCCGAGCTTTTTCCGGGGTAGGGCCTCTCTGCCCCACCGGGGTGGTGTATGCACACACGCCTGGCAGCTGGCCGCAGCTGGCAGAGCACCGCCGCCGCCCGTCTCGGTCGCGTCTCGGCCGCCGCCGATCCGCCGAAGGGGGAGACCAGACGTCAGAAGCCAGAAGCCAGAAGCCAGTAGCCAGAAGGGCTGTGCGGGAATGTGGGACTGTGGACGAAAGAGGGGAGGAAAAGGTCCGGTCGACATAGGATACCATGTGTCTGCAACGGCGCGTGCGGAGAGTTTTGCCGTGCGGTCAACACAAACCACCCTCATTCACCGGGGTCACCGCAGCCCCATACATGCGTCCTCGATGCTGCTCTCCTCTTCAGTTGACATGCTTTGGACATGCCTCTTGTCATGCCTGTAGGTCATCCTGCAGGCCACTCTCTCGCAGGCCACAGATCCACAGAGCCCAGGCCTCGATGATCCAGCAGAGCCACTCGTCACGCCCCGTCGTTGTCCCCGTGCCACAACGCCCCAGCGTGCCCAACACCTTTCACGTTGCCGTCACCATCATTAAGAAACCCGCTACCGCTCTCTGATATCTGACATCTAATCTCTGATGCTGTCCGACCAGGATGCACCGTATACTGTTGGCATTAGCTTGGAAGCACGATACCTCCTCGATCCTACCTGGTACAGCTGGCCAGCAGAGGTTTCTCCACTGTACCACTGTCCTTCCTCGTCCATCTGCACAGGCGCACACAGGGCGTACTGGTCGACTTGGAGACGGGTGAGGCTGACTTTGCTGGTCAGTCCGCGTGCATGGAGCGTGGACCGATGCTTCTTAGGGCGTCGCCTGTTGCGTTGACCCCCAGTTGTTCTGTGGGCCCATCATCCCACTTCGTCACTGCTCTCTCTTCCATCTTCACACCTCACCACCACCAGCCCCTCACCCCTCATGCCTCCTCAAGACCCACTCCATCAGCCTTCCCCCGCGCATACCAACGATGACAACAAGGCCGAGGACCAGCCGGCTCTCGGGAGCATGACCCGCGACCAGAAGCTCGATCGCCTCAACAGCCTTGTTACCTGTAGGTGCTGGCGTATGACATGCACTGACAGCAGCCATCCGCAACGACATCAGCGCTACCAGGGAGGATTACGAGACCTTTTCAAGTATGCTGCGCCGTGTTGTCGATACGCAGGAGACGCTCTCGGCCAGGATCGACAGCTTCTTGCCCATAGTCGACGAGTCCATCGCCTTGAGCGACGAGCTCTTCCCAGAGGTCGTCCAGCACAACCATGACGCCCAGAGCGAGGCTCAACTGGAGGTGCCCACACCCAATGTTCACGTGCTCGAAACCAAGCTGGCCCAGCTCGAGGCCAAGCTCTTCACGATTGCCGCCCATCTGCAAGCCCTCGAGATCCAGCAAGGCCCCACCGGTAATACTGGACCGGCCGCCCAACCCCTCCCTCGTCCCGATCTCGCGTCGCTTTGACCACCACCACTCGGAAACCCCCAGAGCAGGGGACCCCTCCACCTCGTGATGTGATACGTGAGCTGGCAACAGGTCCCCGCGGCCACCTGGTAAGAGGATGTGAGTTGCCTTTCCCTGTGTCGTCAGCTCATGTTTGTTCAGTACCGCCATGTTGCGCGCCTCTCCCCCACTCTACTCTCTCACCCTTCAAGTCATGCTGCTTATATATATGTGCATGTGTTTCTGATTTCTCATGCATCCATTGTCCATAGACACTGTCTCTGCTTGCAGCACTAGATTTACGCTTAGGACGCCACAGGTGACGCCGAGAACATCAACATAGCGGACGAGCACCACGCCCTTGGCCCGCTGGGTCCTACTCACTTCTGCCTGGCATACTGATCCAAGAGAGAGCACGGCACGAATATATACAAACGCCAAGCCTGTGGCGAGTGGCGAACGGCTGTCACTCCACGCTTTTCCTGCACCGCGCGCGCGCGCGCGCTGAGACCGAAGTACGGATAGCAGTACCATAGGTGACCTGTTGTTGCTCTTATGGCGCAAAATCTTGTCGATCCAGGTCCAGGAGCCAGGAGGTTGAGGAAGAGCATGAGGTGCGTGTGGCACTTTTAACGCATTTTCCGACTTTGAACCTGGTGACGGTCGTTGTGGTTTTTGGTCGATTGGTTGCGGGTGATGGGGGGAGCCAGTTAGCGTGTGTGTGGGGGGGGGGGGGGGGGGGGGCGTTAGTTGAGAACTGGCACATTCGCTGCATTGGCGCTGGGTCTGCACATATAACCTCAACCATGCTCACCTCAAGCATCCATGCCGAATACCCACACCGCCAAGACCGACGAACTCGCCGACGCCGTCAAACAGCTCAATGACCCCAATGTACTGTCCTGCTTCTTGACGTTTTTCGCCTGCAATCCCGCTGCCGATCAGACCCCTGTTGCCCACCCGTCCCCAGTCGCTCAACGGAAACGTCGCCCCACGCATGGGCCCACCTCGACGGCTCCACGATGCTCCAAGCGCATGAGGATGGATGACTCGGTGTCGGTGCCCACTGAAGACGATGGGGAGTCGGACGACGAGTCAGAAGACGAGACACGGAACTTCATCGAGTACCTGTACGACGTGCGACGCAAAGCGACCACCTCGCTGCTGCGTACGGTCATGCCTGGCCCGAGGAGTTTGAAGACTGGGTACGTTTTCTTATTTGCCGGTAAACGACACAATTTGCCTAGGGCCACACGTCATCTTGTGGCCATGATCCATGATATGGTGGAACGTGCCGCGCTTCGTCAAAGCATGGGCGTTTCGTAAAGTACTGACGTTTCGTTAGTTTTGTGCGCTGATACTCCCCCGAAGGTGGCGCGCTCCTCTGTCGACTGTGTACCTTGATTTTGTTGAACATCATGCAAGGACATGCGAGCTGGTTTCAGCAGCTGGAGTACTCGATGGGCAAGGCAGCCCACGAGTTGAAGGTCAAGGAGCGTTTCCGCGCAAACGTAAGTCAGAATCACGCTTCTTGACCCGTTTCGGTTGGCCACTCGTTGGATCGTTGGGTCCTTGTTGACGTGCCACTCAGGCCATCGACGAGCTCGTGCTCGGTTTCAAAGGAGCAAAACGATCAACCTTTGGTATCTACTCCGAGAGCCGAGCGAAAATTGCTGCGAGCCCAACCTGCAACCTCTCGTACTCGCGGACGGACGACCAGCACGCCAGCCCAATCCCAATGGGCTGTGACGAAGAGCTTATCGATCTGCCCCAAGCGTTCTCGGGCGTCACCTTCCAGGGAAACCCCGGCTTCATCCTAGGAGTCGAGAAACACAGAGCAAGAGAACGTCGTTGACCAATAGTGCCTAGCCCGGCGACTGATAGAAATGGGCATCCTCCGAGAAACGATCGGCGCGGGAAGCATCGTATCTGTGCGTGCATTCGCATCTCGACGGTTTGCTGACCGCAGTTCGAGGGCTATGCCGACACGGCGTGCCTCGACCTGATTGGTGACCTTGGGAGGAGCTTCCCGGACGCGCCGGTCATGATCCTTACGGACCCGAACCCCCATGGTATGGATATTGTTGCCAACATCCGCCATGGTGGCCACCAGGCGGCGTTCCGTGTCGACGGCGCCTGGACAGCCCGGACAGTGCGGATCGCTGTAAAGTGGTCCCATCTCTTCACGTGAGCGAGTACAAAGGCGTCATTTTAACCTGCAGCGACTTTGCGATGAAACTCCGTGACCTGGCGAGCTTCAACGCAACAGACAGGCTTCTGGTATGTTTGGTTCGTACTTCTCGCGTTTACTGACTGGACAGTGCGCCAGTCTCGCCAAGGACGCTGGGCTGGACGAGGATTGGCGGGAGGAGAGGCCAAGGCGATGGCCGAGAAAGAGCTCAAGGGCGATGCGGAGTGGCTTAAAGGGGGAAAGTGGGCTCTGTACGAGCATGTCGTGCGTTTGATCGGCCGGCAGCTCGCATGAGGCTGCAATGGCCAGAAGGTGCATGAGGTGTATGTATTACCGTGAGGTGCTTACGAGGGCATGGTAATGACAGAACGAGACCGCCACAAGCAGGCTGGAGCTCGTCTTGCGCGGCACCTCCCATTGAACTGTGAGGGGTTTTGCGACTGTAATCCGTACGCGACATATCATGGCTGCCAGTACCGGGGTTTGAAGCGCGAATCACCCCGACAACACACCAACGGTCTAGCGGGGGCACACATCCACGCAGCCCCACTCATGCACAGCATCAGTCGATGCGTAACGCAGGCCGGAGGGGAACGTGGGGCGTTGGGGGACGGTGTGACGGTGGGAGACACGCGGACAACAGCGGCGATTGGCACTGGCGCACTGGGCGAACAGGCCATCTGCGGCGTCCTGCTGCCACGAGCCGAGAGAAGCGGTCTTTGACCGACCACCAACTCGTCACAATTGCACAAGATCCCAGCCGCCGTTCCTTTGTTGCCAGCGACTAACAACTGCCACAACAACTGCCACACTCTCTGATGCAGTTGATCTTTTCAGTGGGCTCGTTGTGCATAGCGTTATTGCGCACAGCAGGGCGTAAAGGTCTCAACGTGGGAAGAAGATGGATTCTCGGCTTCTGATGCGCCTGCGCGCTGCGTCACGACGCCCAGGAGGGGGAGGGGGGTTCTGTTGGGGTCGGACCAGAATGCCACGTCTCTCGTTGTCGCCACCACTTCTTCTCATTCTTCCCACCACCTCATTCTTCCCACCACCTCATTCCATTCAGTGTCCCAACCCACAAGTATGGGCCGCAACAAAAATAAAGCGAAGAACCCCCAGGCCCGTCCCACCCCACAAGCCAACCCCGTCGAAGGTGCCGGCGGCGGCAACCCGCCTGCTGGCACCGATGCCAGCAATGCCACCCCGGCAGCCGACCCCGTCGAAGGTACCGGCGACGGCGGCAACCCACCTGCTGGCACCAATAGCCCCAACCCTCCCCCCGGTGGCCCTACGGGCGAAGACTTTCAGCGCGCGTTACGGGCGGTATGCGGTGAGTGTTGCTGGCGTATGCACATTTGCTGACCGTAGTCCTGGCGGAGGGCATGGTCTTTATCCGCTATGAGGTCACGATCGTTTCATCCACCGTCGCTGCCAACAACAACCTGCTCAGGCGCCTCCTCCCGTCGGTGACGACACCCCCCGTCCCCGAATACCCGTCTGTCCCAGCCGCTGCCGCTGCCGCTGCGCCCCCGCAGCCCACGGAGCCCGCGCCAGAGGCCGACTTCGTCAACATCAGCAACCCGCTCAACTTCACGGTGGAAGTGGTGGGAAGGATGGAGGCGGTCATCACGGTGCGCAAGGCCCATGGATCGCCACCAGCTCCTTGATCCTTTGGTCGTCGCCACGCGCCACGCACACGGGCGCGCACACGGGGCTCACCCACACACCGCTGCTCCTCATCCCCCATCCCCCATCCCCCTGTGCATACCACCAACCCCAACCCCGTCCCCCCGGCCCCACCCCATGCCCCATTCTAGCGCGTAAGTCTCAACTCTTGGTATGCCATCAGCTCATGTTTCCTCAGCCCGTCAAGCCCGCAAGCGTGGCACCATACCCGTTCCCCCAGCCCTGCGGCCCAGCACGGAGCAGCTCTAAACCGTCCAGCCCCGCTCGTTGTTACTACAACCCCCACTGTGTTTGCCATCTCTTTGCGTCTTTCCCCCTTGAGGTGCTTGCCATATGCGCTTACCTTGTACATGCATCCACTGGTCCACTGTACCCACTGTAATGCCGCCTCTGTCTCTGTCTCTGTGCTGGCGACCCTGGCGCCCCTGGGGCCCTTTGTTTCCGCTTACGTAATATTTTGTTGCTCAATTGTGACACAAACACGCGCGTGCTTTTGATCTCTTTCATCTCCTCCCTCATATCCAACATTCAGCCCAGCAACGTAAGTTCGACACAGCGCTCTTCAAGCCCCTTCGACCATGTCCGACAACGTCTTCCGCGAGTCTAACGGTGAGTAGCACAGCAGCAAAGGACTTCCCAGGTTGACATTGCCCAGCCCAGCCCACCAACGGCCCCGCCAACGGCGCCGCGCCGCCCAGCTTCCTCCAGAAGAAGGGTCTTCTTGGCAAGAGCAGCGTTGGGTGAGTTTTCAACTACGGCTCCTAGAGTCCTCGAAGCGCCAGCTGACGCTTCCAGCACCATGTCGCCCACGGACAACGTCATGTCCCCCATCTCGGCCAAGCTCAACGGCGCCAAGCAGCGTCATTTCCAGAAGTGAGTGGACCCTTGTGTTTTGTTTTGACTGGAACGGGGGTACTGACGCACACCCGCAGGGGCCCTGGCTCCAAGCCCATGCCGTTCGCCTCCAAGCTCTCGCAGCTCGCTACGCCGGGCAGCGCCCCCGCGTCGCCGGCACCCAGCGAGAAGAAGTTCTAAGCACGAACACGACCCACCTCGCATCGTCGGCGCCTTGCTAGCGCATGCCCCGTTTTTCATCTCCCAAAAAGACGGCCAGCAGCAGCACTCTCAACTCTGGTTGCTAGATGGCCTCATCTGCCGCCCATATCTACCGCCCACCATGCCTCATACATGAACACCACACCCTCCTATCGACAGAATACCCCCAGAGTCTCTGCACCGCTCGGAACGACGGAGAAACAGTCATGCGCCTCCACCCGAGTCTACCGAGCCCAACGCTTGTAGCACATGCACCATATCCTATGTTTGCATGCGCACTCACTGGTGGAACACTGTGCCAGACCCGCACTCACACTGACACCCAGACAAGAGGACTGACTGGCCAACGAGCGGGTAACGAGACCCAACTTGCAGAGAGGGGCGAGTGGGCCAACACGACGATTGAAGGACTCGAGAATGCCCTTTGACATCGCTTGCACCAGAAAGCCTTTTGAAACTAAGCCCCTAAGGAGCAAGGCAGTTGAGGACCAAGATGCGAGTGCGAGTGGCCTCGTTGGACGAATAATACGACTGACCACCATTGACGGGCCGGTGGACACTGGCAGCATGGAAGTCTGGAACACGGGGCCAGCCCCTCAGGAGGGACGAGGAGCGTACCCCTACCTCACGCAGTCATCCACTTCCTTTGCCACGACATGTCTCTCAGCTTGGCCGGGACGCATCCAACTGGGCTGCTTCCATCGAGGCGCCAAAGCAAACCGTACTGCAGTCAATCACTTCCAGCTAACCAAATGTATCAACACACGCCCATTGCTCCGAGTCCTCCCAAAAGATTTGGGCTGTTGATTTTCTCGTGTGCCCAGTGCAGTTTGATCGTTCAGTAGACAAAATGTGCAGCCCATGGACCTCCTTTGCTTGGCCGACGAGCTCTGTGCTGTTTGATATCGTCGGCAATGCGGTTGCTGACGGCGAGATGGTCAAAACAGAGCATGCAAAGCGACATCCGGCTGAGTAGATCGGACGGAAGCAAAAGTAGGCGGCAGACGCCGATCCACTTGCAAGCCGGACATTTGTCTCCCGTTGTGTTCCTTTCTCCTTGCATCGCAACAACAACAACAACCACAACAACAATGAGCTCGCTGTGGTCCAAGGTAGCTCGTGTGCTCCCATTCAAGCGTAACGTACGTAAACTTGCCGCTGGCCACCTCCAGCGGTCGCACTCTCCGCTCAACTTGCACTCTCCCTCTCTCACCCCCATCCCACCTCACCGGCAACGACTGACCCCGCACAGCGTCCCGTCGGCTACGACCTCCAAGGCAACAAATACTTTGAGCACCCCGACGCCAACGGCGGGCGCGACCGCCGTGTTGTCGAGTACGCCGACGACAAGGGCAGCATCACGGGCAAGGGCGAGGACTACCGCAAGGGCACGGCGCAGCTGCCCGTCCAGTGGACCGCTTGGATGAGCTATACGCGCGAGCTGCCGCCCACCATGGCCGAGCTGCAAGTGGACGCTGCGCGCCAGTCACGCCTGCAGCCGCTCATTGCCGCCATCGAGGCCAGGGAGAAGGCAGAGCGCATCGAGCAGGGCTACTTGCTCCCCGACGGCAGCGAGGTGCCCAGGTCCGACATGGACAACCGCGTCCCGGCAAGTCTGTCGTTCCCCGGCCGCAGCGGTCCCGGAGCAAACTTCCTCCCTGGAGAGGGCAGGAAGAAGCTCGTCATGCCGCCCCGCGAGGTCGCGCAGGCTGCTGGGTTTGACACCTCGCTCGCTCCCCCACGTGCGACTGTCGACCCGGCGTCGGCCGACGACGCCGCCGCGCTCCGCAAGCTCGCAGAGGACGACACCCGCCGTCGCCTGCGTGAGAGCGGCGTCGCCGAGAGTTCGGGCCAGGTCGACGGCGTCACGGGCGTCGGCCGCGCGTTCAAGCCAGCTCGTAGGAGGGGATGAGCGCGTCGTCTCGTTTAGACCAACCCTTACAGCACACCACTCTCGACTCCTTCTCACCTCGCATCATGTCCCCTCCAAACCTACTCCCATCTGTACCATAACGCAAAAAAACGCAGAGATGCATAGCCCGTCATACATATACAGTTTGCGGCGCCTCTGGCCGTGCTACAGAGTGTCCTATATCCCCTAACTGAATCCCTCTCCCTGTCACATATCTAGTTGCCGTCGTCGACCACAAAGACCTTTTCGATCGCGCCGGCCCCCTCACCGGGCACGAGCTTGTAGCCGTTGGCCTTGAAGAGACGGGAACGGAGGAAGGGCCCGACATCGTAAATCTCGACCTCCTTTGCGCGCTGCTCGAGCTGAGCGACGCGCACAGAGATGCGGTCCGGGTTGGCCTGGCGCTGGTGCCAGTAGATCTGGGCCTTTTCCTTGACAAGCTGGCCGAGGAGGAAGGACAAGAGCTCGTCGTGGTCGGCTGCCTGGTTGACATACTTGCGGAAACCGCGCTCGAGGGTCTTCTTGACACTCATCTTCTGGGCATTGACAAACGAGCCGACAGTCACCTGGATGGCGAGGTCAATGTCGTCTGCGCGCACAAACTCGCGCAGGTGCATCTTGGCGGACGCCTCGGCCATACGGATCATGGACTCGAGGTGACGGACGGTGATGGGGAAGGAGCCCGTGGCAAGCGACTCGCGACGCAGGTCGGCGTACAGACGCGCGAGCTTGTCCTGGTCCAGCTGGTAGAGCTTGGGCCTGATGAGCTCACGCGCGTACATGATGTACTTGCGGAGCATGTCCTGGGGAATAATGTCCTCGTCGACCGCGGTGGTGACCTGGACCTCGTCGATTTCGGGCTGGAAGTCTGGGTGGGAGCGGAGGTGCGAGCCGACCACAAACTGGGCGAGGTGCTCATCCATGACCGGGTCGACGGGATCCTTGACAACACAGAGGACGTCGAAACGCGACAGAATGGGCTCGGTGAGCTCGACGTTCTGCTGGAAGGGGATGGTGGCGTTGTAGCGGCCGCCGATAGGGTTGGCAGCGGCGACAATGGCACAGCGCGCCTGGAGACTGGTAACAATACCAGCCTTGGAGATGGAGATGCTCTGCTGCTCCATGGCCTCGTGGATGGAGGTACGGTCGGCGTCGTTCATCTTGTCAAACTCGTCAATGAGGCAGTGTCCCTTGTCGGCAAGCACAAGAGCGCCACCCTCGAGCGTCCACTCGCGGGTGACGGGGTCCTTGCGAACCGAAGCGGTGAGACCAACGGCACTGGCACCCTGACCGGTGGTAAAGACGGCACGCGAAGCAGTCTTTTCGACATACTTGAGGAACTGCGACTTTGCAGTACCGGGGTCACCGAGGAGGAGAACGTTGATGTCACCACGGATGCGGTGCTTGCGGTTAATGTCCTTGGAGACACCACCAAAGAGCGAAAGCGCAATGGCCGTCTTGATGTCGTCGTGGCCGTAGATGGACGGCGCGATCGACTTGACGATGCGCTTGGCAATGCGGTCGTCGCGCGCCATCTTGCGAATCGTCTTTTCATCTTCCTCGGTGAGACGGACAGCAGCGTACTGGTCCTCCTTCTTGTTGATAAAGTTGGCTTCGAGGACAGTGGAAAAGACGGGGAAACCATTCTTCGAGTTGAGCGACGCATCAAAGTTGTTGCGGTAGATACCGGTCACCTCAATCTCCTCTCCGGGCTTGGCAATGTCGATGAGGTCCCAGAGAAGAATGACCTCGCGGTGGCGAGGGAGACGACCGGCGGGCACGGAACCAGGCGACTCTTGGAGGGTCATTTTCTGGTAGTTGCGATACACGGTCTGCTCCGAGTTGACAGTGAACGGGCCGCGAGACTCGCAAGCGGTACAGAACGAAATCTTGAGCTCTTTGGTGGTGTCCTGGTAGAACGGGCCGAGGGTGGCACCGCACTTTTGGCAGTCAAACTTGACGTATTTGAGCTGGGGGAAGACGCCGCTGCGGCGCGTGACAACTCCCGAGGTGCGGATAAGGCAGTTGAGCTGGTTCTGGCGGAGGCCGCGGAGGGTGATGGCATTCGGAAGCTCGGTGATGCGGACGTGGACCTCCGAGTGGATGCGGTCGTACGAAGGGTAGTAGATGAGAATAACTTCGAGAGCCGCTTCGTCAAAGATCGGGAGCACGGCCTGGGGCGAGTTGGCCAAAAAGTAGGCGAGAACGGGTCGCACCGACCCCAAGTGGATGTAGGAGACTTCGAGCGACTCCGAGTTGACCTCACCCAGGTGCCTGATACGCTGGCCGTAGAAGGAGTCGCCATTGTCGTCCGTGTAGGTCATGAGGAACGAGCGGAAATGCTTATGGACGGCGCGACGGACCTGGTCGACAGCGACCCACTCGGCGACGGATGACGTCTTGACGTCACCCAGGTGCTCGAGGGTCATCTCCCCGCTGTCCACGACATCGTCCTGAGGCATGCGCTCGTCATACTGGCGACGCTGGCGATTGGCATTGATGCCGCTCAGCAAACCGCCGTCGAAGCCTCCATCGTCGTCGTCGTCACTCTGGAGGAACGTTGGCACGCGTCCACGGCGCGCAGCCCTGGTACCAGGCAGACCCTTGTCGCGGCGCGCCATGTCGCGTTCGGCGGCAAGACGGTCGGCACGCGACATCTCCTGGATGGAGGAGCGGTCATCAATGTCGGCATTCGAGTACGTGTCGAGGTCCGGGTTGGACTCGTAGTCGCGCGCGAGGTTGTCGTTGAACAGGTCCTCGCCCTCGTCATCAGAGTCATCCGCAACATCGCGACGACCGCGCACACGCATATCCTCCTCCTCGTCATCGCCGACATCCTCCTCGTCACCAAAGTCCGAGAACGGGGCGGGAGGAGATGAGGGAGGGAGCGAAGACGGGGGTGGGGACGAGGAGCGGTGGCCTGATGGGCCGGCTTCGGGCGATGAGGGGATGTCCTCGCGCCTGCGTTTGTTGCGGGGCTGGCTTGAAGGGGGTGGTGGTGAAGACTGCATGTTGTTAGTTGCTGGCAGTGTCGAAGGGGTGTGGTTGACACTTGCCATTATCGCTGGTTGTTGTTATGAGAGAGACAAGAGTAGAGAAACGAGAGAATGGTGGTGCGAAGAACGAGCGAGAGATGGGGGCAAATGGCCATCTCAGGACGGACACGCCGGCGGCGGAAAGCGCACAGGACGCGTCGAGGCCTGGGGGGGTGGACGCGTCGCCGAATTAATGTCGCGCGTATTTTGCACATTTTATCCCAAAACAGCCATTCTGTGCTCATATACATCCATGTACAGCTCGTTCTCTATCTCTATAGCTCCTCGTCCGACTCGTCCGCTGCGGAGGGGGGTACGTTAGCACTGGCGTCTTCGTTATGCAATCATTGTCCACTCACCACCCATGTTGGCGAGGAAGCTGGCAAAGTCGGCCTCACGCTGCGCCTCGGCAGTCACCTGTGGCACTGGGGCAGCAGCACGCTTGGCAGCAGCGGCAGCAGCCTTCTTCTCCTGTCGACCCTTCTTGCCCGACAAGCGGGCCTGCTGGTACTGCAGCTCCGCCTCCTCTTCCGCCTCTCCGTGGTCGACGTCCATGTCCATGAATCCAAGCAAGAGCTCGCCCTCGGTACGCTCGGCGGCAGCGCGGCGCTTCTTGTCCTTTTTAGCGGCCTGCTTGGCCCTTTGGCGGTCGAGAGCCGTGGCAGGAAGCATGGCGCGCTCCTCGGCTGTGAAGAGCCTGGATGCGTGGGCGTTGGGACGCGAGGGAGCGGGCATGAATGCGCCGCCACCGCTGCCGCCGGCCGACATGCCTGGAGCGGACGGGTAGCGCGAAGCGCCAAAGTCGCGGGGTTCGGGAGAGAGCGAGTCGCGCATCATCGAACGAGGCGAGCTCATGTCCGATCCAGGCGACATTGGGGGCATGTATGCGCCCATTGCCCTGGTCTGCTGGGCCGACGGCACACTAGGTCCAGCCTGGGGCGGCACGATCTCCTGCTCCTCCTCCATGTCCTCTGCCTCCGGCTCGGGCTCGGGACCGTCCCAGGCCGCCTCGTCGCCAAGGTTGTCAAACAGACCCTCAAGGCTGAAAGCCTCGGAAAGCTTAGTGAGAAGCTTGGCCTCGCCCACACGGTCGCCGTCCATGGCAATGTCGTTCTCGCCTTCGACAACCGGTGCAGGCGCGTTGGCCGGGTGGACCGCAGGCGGACGGGTGAAGTAAGGAATCTTGCCCGAGTTCCAGTCACGGAGGATCTGGAGAGCGGCACCCTGGAGGTCGGGAATACCGCCCTTGCCGAGACGGCCACGGGTGAGGGCAATCTTGATGAGCAGGTCACGCAAGTCGGTGAACGAGGGGATGTTGTAGAGCTTGCACAACAAGGCGGGGTCGGCGCGTTCGATGATGACCTCGACGGGCGCGGTGGGGTCCTCAACGAGCTCGGGCTTGATGCAGTTACGCAGCATGATCTCGGCCTGTCGCCTGCGGTTCTCAACACCCTCGTGCGCGCGGCCAAAGTCTTCGAGCACGACACCGGGGCAATCGATAATCTTGACACCCTTGTCAAGGATGACTTCCTGCGCCACACGTGTCTTGCCAGGCATGGCGGCGACGCCACACGCACGCGAACGCTTGAGCGAGTTGATCAGCGACGACTTGCCGACGTTGGGGTAGCCAACGACACCGACGGTGAGGGCCGAGTGAGGGGTCGAGAGAGCGTACTGCTTGAGCAGGTCCAGGAGGGCAGGAGCACCGAGCGAGGATGACGTGGTGGGCAGCTCGCGAACCACAGCCTTTTGACCGGGGACGGTAGCGACCTGGCTGACGGGTACGGCGTTCTGGCTCAGATGCTGGCGCTGGCTCTGGGTCGAACTCTTGAACGGCATGGTGGGGAACGAGTGGCGGAGGTGCTTGATCCAAGCGTCGAGGTTGGCACGCGGGACAAGGTCAATCTTGTTGACCACGGCGAGAAGCTTCTTTCCCTGGGCATCACGCTTGCGCACCTCGTCCTCGACCCACTTGCTGCGAGTTCCCTCGGGGTCGCGGGCGTCCAGCACCTGGATAATAACGTCACTGCGCTCAATGACTTTACGGAGCTCGCGCATGAACGCCTTGGCGGACGAGTCGCGCACAGTCAGCGAGGCATCGACGGGGGTACCGTCGTCAGCAACGGCGTTGGCCATGGCGGTTGCGTACGTGTCGCCGAGGTGGTTGGACGTGCTCGCAAGGGCGGCCATGGAACGGACACCACCATTGGGAGTGGGCGCGGGCTACAGCGTTAGCTGTGCAGGACGGAGCTCAACCCACCTTGGCCTTTGTGTAAGGAGCAGCCTGCTGGCGCTTGTCCTTGGGAGCGTTCAACTTGGGGACACCTCCATCCTTCTTGTTGCCTGCGTCCAAGTCAGCGTTTGGGTCCCAGTCATGACGTACGTACGCTGTGCGGTGGGGATGGAGAAGATCTTCTTTCCGCCGTTCTTCTTGGCTGGCGCTTGTCAGTAGGCTTCTCAAGACTAGATGTACGCACCTGCCTTGGGCATTATGGGTGTGTTTGTGTGATGCGTGTTGGTATCTATATACTGGTACAAATGCTTGTTGACGTCGTGAAAAGAATTTTGGGTGGCCAAAAAGATGAAACCCAGTGCGCCGGTGCGTTTAAGGGTGGAAAAACACGGAGATAAATCTCCGTTTTCGTGCCTGGTGGAATCCGCTCGACATAGCGAGATGTTGCCGAGTGCAACCGATGATGACTGTTGTTGCTTGCTCATCGCTCTCATCTCTCACATCTCTCACATCTCACCCGTCACCATGTCCGTCCTTCGCACCCGTCTCGCCTCCACATCCCTCTCCCTCGCAGCCCGCAGGACCCTCCACACCACCGCCGTCCGTCGCGACCACTTCCTGGACGCCGACGCAGAGGTCAGTAACCCAGAGTTGAGCCGCCGTCGTTTCCTCCTGCTGACATACTGCAGGCCTTCAAGGCTCGCGTGCTTGACGCCAAGTCGGACAAGCCTGTCCTTGTCGACTTTTACGCCGAGTAAGCTTATGTGGCCTTGTTCTAAGCTGAATGGAACAGCTGGTGCCAGCCGTGCCGCGTCCTCTCCCCTTTGCTCAAGGGCGTCACTGGACCCGAGAGCAACTTTGACCTCATGACCGTCAACGTTGACGAGCACGGCGACCTTGCCGGCCAGTTTAAGGTGCGTTAGGCCATGCGTATTGGATGAGTGTTAACGCCCACCCCAGGTCACTGCCCTTCCCACCGTCGTCGCGTTCAAGAACGGCGAGGTCAAGAACAAGTTTGGTGAGTGACCGTTGGTTTTGGCTAGTCGAAGCTTGTGTTCTAACCAACATCAGTTGGCTTCCGTGGTCAGGCGGACATTGAGAAGTTCCTCGGCATGCTCTAGGCTCTGCAATGTATTGTGCTGGTCTGGAAATGCCACCCCCAAGCGACTGTGCCTCGACTCAGTGTTGAGTTCTCCGCGGAGGCCTGATCAAACACCTGACGACCTGTGCGGCACACGTGCAGTGATACAGTGATCCAGTGGCCAGTGGCCAGTGGGCCAGTGAGCTGCCATGCAGACTGATCATCCCAGTCGCCTTCGCAACGAAGTCCACCGTTCTCACTATGTGCACCTGTGATGGACTCAATACGCGAACACGGGGAGACGATACATGGGAACACCGCGCAAAACGACCGCTGTGGGTACTGTGTCCCTGTAAGTGATGTCGCGCGAGTGTGGAGTCGAGACTGAGAGTCATGGGTCGAAGGACCAAAAGGTAGATAGCTATCGTTCTACAGTACGAAGCAATACATTTGATGAGGCTACGTGAAGAGACTGTTCGGGCCTTCTCATCGAACCGGGCACTTGATATTCTGAATGTGAGGTGCGTGCGAAATAGGGCGAGCCGCGAGCGCGCGAGCGTGGTGCGTGGCCACGTGCCGCTGTTTCCGGGAAGCAGCAAACTAGCTGCCAGGACGTGCCACACAGCTGCATACAATCTATTGTACAGTGACCTCCCGCATTCACATTTGCGTTAACCCGAAGCACCTTAACAGGCAGAGAGGGTACTTTATTTACGGGTATACCATGAGGAACAGTTCGGTCACGCTTACGGGTGCGAGCGGTGTCCCACCTCGGCGAGGTGACCGCCGTACTGCTGAGGGTGGCCGTACAGCTGGCGGCCTCCGTTCTGCAGGTGGCGAGAAACAAAGCCGACCGGGCTGCGAGAACGAGGAAGTGACCGTGGTGCTCGCTAAATAAACATGAGCTACAGCCACTGAAGGACAACTCACCTCGGCGGGGTACTGTTGGCCAGTGGGCCTCTGGCATGGACGCTCCTGGCATTGTCGTCTGTCCTGTACGACGAAAGGAGCGGCGAAGAGCTGTCACGCGCTTGTCGGCGGTCCTGCCAAGTCCAGGCGCTGCGGGTCGCCAGCGTATGCAGCGCAGACGACACTGGCAGGCGCGCGGGAATGGGAAGACGTGAGGGAGGGGTACTGAGAGAGTTGGACCGTGGGGCGTGCGGGGGCCGAATCTCAGGCAGGCAAAGGGGTGCAGAAACGATGTTGCTTGGGTGACCGACGGAAGGGAGGGATGACATTGGCGAGCTCGTGCTTGCGGATCTTGTCATTCTGCACAATAATGGTCTGGTTTTGAGCCTCGATTCGTAGCTGGATCCTGCTGATTTCCTCCATTTTCTCGTTGAGGATGGAAAGGATCCCAAGTCTGTTAACACCAGAAAGAATCTCGATCTGCATGGCCTGCGCAGTTGCGTTCTGGGTGTGCAGTTCGGCCAACATACCCACAAGTTCTGTTACGTTCAGCATGAGACATACACCAGCTCCTACCGGAAACAGCGTTGGCGCCTTCTTCGTCCTGATCGCTACTGCCATAGAGGTTTGAGGGAGCGCCTGCCGGGCTGTAACGCTGATCGTGTAGAACGTCGGCCGGGGAATGGTCCATCCCGGCTGCACGACCGGACCGAGGGTAACGAGGTGGTGGAGCGAGTAGAGGCGCAAGCTGTGGACCGCTGTCTTGGATGAACGCTATGTGATGGTTGTGATGGGTGTCGAGGAATGATATTCTGGGGATGTACGACCGGGCGTACGATGGGTGGGGGATGCGTGAGCGAGCAGGGGGGGGGAGTTGCGGACCGCCGTTGTGGATGGCAGGCGGGTGAGAGGGGGGAGGCTGTGCGCGAAGACTGTGGTTTGTGTTTGGGTGGGACATGGTGGGTGGATGTGTGGTGGAGGGATGTGTTGAGGTTCTGATGAGCCAATGTGGAAAGAAAAGATGTGCTGTGTGAATAACCCTACAAATAGCACGATGATGAAGGACACGGACATGATGCAACGAGCACCATTGTGAAGGTGAAGGCTCAGCTGTGCGTTTTGGGAACCAGTTGGGTGGAGAGACGACCAAGGTGGACGTCAAGGCACGGAACCAAACAAGCATTGCAATCGTTTAGCTTCACCTCCTGCAGGCCTCCGGTCCGCTCGTTGTCTTCCCTCGCTGTCTTCCCTCGATGTCTTCCCTCGGCGACCGAAGGAAGGTGGTTGTCGTGCCCATGATCACATGATGGCTAGCTGTCTTCTCCATCACTCTTCGTCCATTACCCCTCCCCCATCATCCTTCTTCCTTCCTTCATCCTTCCTCCCATCATCTCTCAGTCTCCATATCCATCTACACCTCTTCACCCCATCCATCCAAGCGAGTACGCCCGCTAGCGACTGATGTACGTCCTGACGCCTGATAGCACCTGCTCTCTCTTCCTCACTCGTCCCTGTAGACAGCAGCAGAGAATTTGAGCCTCTTTCTCCTCATTGTCTTCCTTCCCCAACGTCTTCCTAAGTGAGTTCCAGAATGGTGATTCGTACTCCATTGCTGTCCCGACCCAACAGTGGCGGCTCCCAACGGTGCCAGCGGCGTGGCTGGGGGCAACAGTGTGCCTACCCAGGCAGAGCTCTTCAACCCCGTTGCCCAACTCCAGCAACAAGCTCAGCCTCCTCTAAACAATCCTTTGGCCTTCGACCTCCCCATGGGGCCCGTTCAGAATGAACTTCAGGGCCACCGTCGCAAAATAATCGAGTCAGACGCCGCCCGTGCGCAGTCCATGGGGATCAACCCAATCGCCCCTCCTATTGGCCACGATGCCCACAGCATAATTCAACACGTACGACACTGATGGCCGCTATTTAACTGACGCCATAGACGAATGCGCTCCAACAGTACACTCCCGCGTGCCAGAGGCGTTGGCCCCCATGTGAGGAGTGTGCTGATGGTGGGTCTGACGCTTGCTACTCCGACCTCACGTCACGCAGCAAGAAGTGTATCTGCTGCCGCAAGTTAAAGCGGGTCTGCTCTCTGTCCGTCCCGGCCTTCCAGTGATCCAGTGATCAGTGATAAGGTCTATGTTTCGGTGTGTAACCTAACCTTCGGTGATGAAACTGACCAACATATAGCCCGACGCCCAGTCATGTTGTCCTCGTGGGGCATAATTAAGTTTCCGTTGTTCGCAAAACGTCCCCAAGGCCGCCAGAACAAATCAGTTGTGGGTCGTGGCTCATAATTAAGTTTCCGTAGTTGTTCCAGTTCCCAAGCCCAAAACCAGAAGGCAAACTAAGGTTCGTGTTAATAGTCGGCAGAGGCCATATGTGATGTAACGTACTTACTGTACATGTGATCTGATAGCAGTACAGCAAGCAATAGGCGCTTTGTAAGATATTGCGCTAATTGCTGGCTCCCTGTTTGCTCCCATGATGACACTGTACCAACTCCGTGCCGGCCGCTGCCGTTGGGAGAGGGAGCTTCGCACAGATTGAATGCTGTAAACCAAGTTCAGTTGCGCTAGGAATGACGGAGGATAAGCCGCAGGTCCATACCATCGACGCCACCGGACAAGAGACGCAGCGACAGCAGGATCTTATCGCCACATTATCAGTGTGAGCCATTTGTGGTTCCACCAAACCGAGGCATCACTATTTTACCCACAAAGGCCAAACGGGCAGACAGGGAGTAACGACAGGGAAAGCGGACGGTGGTCCCGAGTCGGCAGTACATACAGAGGGCCCTCGGCGCACCTGGGCATGCGCCTTCGCCACATTTCCGTCTGACAAGCTGTGGGCAGAAGCCACAAGACTCTAGGCATATAACCACATACAAGAGTTCTCCGCTTCCGAGGCCGGATGAACTGTCATGCAGCTCTCTCTCATTATGATTAGAAATGCTCAGCTGTGAGTGGCGTCGGGCTTGTCGCGCGGAGGCCGGCGCGCCCTGGAATCTGAGGGTCACCAGTAGATGTTTTTCTCTTTTTTCGCTCCTTTTTTCCTCTTTTCCTTTCCTTTTTCGTTGGTGCATCCAATAGGCTAATCGACACAGCACAAGACTTGTGTATTGCATGACGACCGGCTTCTATCGCAAGGTTGATTCCTGGTCAATAACGTCTGTGTTTTGGTGGCTCATCGGGGCCGCCATAACCTACAGGAGTGGTAAATCAATTAACGAGAAACCGAGTGAGTAATAATAATGCTGATGCTCCGCTGAGGGGAATGGCGGTGACCTGAGTCACCTGTTGTTGGTAAGACTGAGGAAATGGATAATGAGACACATCACAGCTACAATTGCCAGCGCTACTGCTGTCAACGAGCACAGTCTCAACGACGTATGTGGCCATCCAAGGACCGAGCCGCCACCTCACCAGTTGCAGATGTGGCATTCATAAACAGTGACACGTTGTTGCGGCTTCTGCTTGTGGGGCGCTAATGACCCGTATGACAGTGCAGACAACAAACCTAACGGGGAGGCGGCCTTCAGAACGCTGGGCACACGTTGAGCCGAGGTGGCAGGGCCTTATGGTGTTTGTTTCCGTCGTGTCCGTTTTCTTGCGCTGATCATGCCGATCAGTCGGTATCGACGCCCTCTCCACGTGTGTCCACGTCAACTCTCACACGACACGTCCGTCTTCTTCTCTTCTTCTCTCTCTCTATCTCTCTCTCTCTCACTCTCACTCTCACTCTTTCTCTCTCGCCCTTTCTCTCTCGCTCTTTCTCTCGCCGCACACACAGCACACGCGCGCGCTCTCTCTCTCTCTCTCCGCCTCACCAACACGCCGTTTTCCCTACTCCCCAAAATGTCCCCACCGCCTTACGACCTCTCATTCTCGTCGCCTCCATCAGATGAGGGCACCCACGCCACTGGGAACCTCGAGGCAGAACAGCAGCGCCCCTCAAACGCAACTGCGAACCTGGAGACAGAGAGACAGCGGGCCACCTACCAGATGGCAACGAGTAGGTGCTGCTTAATGACATGTGCTTATGAGTGACAGACGTCTTGGCTCAGGCGGAGGCAACATACACATTTCTCAAGTGGCAGGAACAGCTTAACAAGGAACTGCAGAATTCCAATGAGGCTCTCCAGGAAGCCAACGCCCAACTTGAATCAAGAGTCGAGCACCTGGAATCACAATCCCAGAACCAGCAGGAGAAGTACAACAAGCTCGAAGACCGCTACCTTGACCTCAACGAACGGACCAACTGGTTGCAGGAACTGCTCGACCGGCTCGTCAGCGACCGTGACCGAGTCAGTCGGTCAAACAGCCCGATGCGCAGTGTGCCAAGCCCTCGCATCATTGTACCAATGCCCAGGCGCGACCCCGTCCCTTCTAGGCCGGCCTCTTCACTCGGCCCCTCCCCTGTCCTTCACCCTCCCGCTAGCTTTAGCACTGACGATTTCCTTCGCCCTCCCCCTGCCGATGGCCTCGCGCATCCCAGCTCGTCGACAAGTTCGTCGACCTCCCTTTCCCGTCCAACCTTTACCCCTCCTAGCTCGTCATACCATGAGCGGCCCTGGACGAGCTCCTCGCCGCCGCGCCAACGCGTAAGGCTGAACCAGGATACTCATCCGTCCTCTCCGCCAATGGGTCTGCAAGGTGACAACAACGAGGCGTGAGAGCTTGGGAGAGGACGTCCAACTTATTTGTCAATACGTTCACGGGACCCGCATCTGATAGTGTATTTACACCTGTCCCTCTATGCAAATGGATTAGTCAACTCCAGACAGGACTTTGGGGGGACAAGTTGGGTGGCGCACAGGCTGCCGCGCCTGTTTTTTTTTTTTTCTCCTTTTTTTTTCCTTCTGCAAATGCACACATCATGTTCCACAATCCCATCAACACCCACCCCTCCACCTTCCCCCACAAAATGAACAGCCACCCCCCCCATCCATCTCATACCATCCATTCTCTACTACTCCCAACGTCCACACCTCCTCACTCACAACTTTGGCTTCGCCTTCTTCAATACCCTCCTTCCGCCACCACGCGCCCCTTCCCCCGAAGACCCCATTGCGCGTGCAGAGAATGGCCACTGGGGTGAGGTGGAGGCCACTGACGATACGCCACCTGTCCCCATCAAACCACAACACTCCAGTGTCCAACTCCTCGCGCTCACGTACCTGGATTCCATTTGTCCTCAACGTTGACGCCAACAACAGTCGTCCCGGCCCCAGGAGCTTGTACACCAAGTAGGTTACTGAAATCTGGCATCGTGAAGTTGACAGTTCAGCAAGCCCAAATCTTTCCAACCCAAGCAACTTCAAACACTAAAGATCGTATGCCAGCGACTCCACAAGAACATTGTCGAAGACTTGTCGTTTGAGTTGCGCCAAGGGCACTACAATCGGAAGGTGGATGGCACCAACCCGGATCTGGCAACCGTTGGCGCAAATTTGAGTCTTTGTTTGCTTGTTTGATCCTGGGCTGATGAGCCCTTAGCTTCTGGACGAGATTGTTGCTGGCCTGAAGGGAGCGAGTCGCTCCACGTTCAACATTCAAAGCAAGACCAGCACAGTCATCGCTGCGTCTGCTGCGAGTGACCTGACGTACACCATTGACGGCAAAGAATACTCCATCGGCCACGGACCCCAGGGGTCTGAAGGACAAAACTCGATACCCTCCAGCACCGGGGTCACGTTTAGGGGGCGAGTGCGTTGGATTTTGGTACTGGAGAAAAATGTGAGCCACTCATGAGGTTTTGGGCATTGACTTACAGAGATTGGCCACACCACTTGTCCAGAGAGGTTTGCTTAGGGATGACCGTCTCGGCCCAGGAGTGCTCGTCACAGTGGGTGGGTTCAGTATTCCAGTATTGGTTTCTGACAACAGCTTCGCGGCCAGTCAGGCATGCGAGGCCAGCATGTCGTTGCCGACGTCGCGCCCTCGTTCCCGGACGCCCCGGTCATGGGGGTTAGCGAGTCCTACCCTGTATCAATGTGCTAGTAAAGTTGAGTCCAGTACAAAAGATGAAACCTGCAAAGATTGCAAGCCCCAGGGCATCACCATCCTGGCTGTGCGGAAGTATGGTGCTTTAAAACGGAGATTCCGAGCGGACACTATCACGACACCGCGACTGGTCAGGTTTGCCCTCTGGTTCGACGACCTCGCCTCGCAAGCCAATATATTGTTGGACCTCGTTTGCTTTTCTTTTCCTAGTGTAACAACATCAACAACAAACGAGCCCTTCATGTCGCGGACTGCGATATCACCAAACAGTGCCACTGCTCTTGCCCTTGCCGACCCCGATGTCCTGGCAGGCTTCTACAGCTTTTTTTCCCGCGCCTTCGACGACGATGATATCACTACCACGGCTGATCCCGCGCACAACAACAACAAGCGCGGTGCATCCAACGACCACGATCCACGGCGCTCAAAGCGCCTAAAGGCGACAAATGCCAAAGCTGTGCCGCCCAGCGACCCGGGCGACGAAGACTCTGAGTCTGAGGACGACGAGTCTGGACATGGTGAGGGGTTGGTTGAAGCCCCCAGCTTTGCCAGGCCCATCGATTACACAAACCATGTCATCAACAACTCGGTCGACAATGCAGTGCGCACGGTCATTCCCGGCCCAAAGAGCCTGCGCACGGGGTATGTTTATCCCATTGGGCTTCTGCATTCGTGCTACGGCTGACATTTCATGAGGCGCCCCAAGCAGTACTCGCCGCCGGCGGCGTCGTTGCTGCGACGCATGTGCGTTCCCCTGCAGCCGAACCTGATTCTTGGCCACCAGACCTTCTTCAGGGGAATGGGGTACGGCGTGGGCGCAGGGTTTCGACCCGAGGTAAGTCGTAGTCTTGCTGTCACGACCAGGTTCTGTTATCCTGTGACACTCGCTGCTTTGGAGCATTGTTTGACGCGCCACTCAGATGCTCGACAAATTCGTCCTGGGATACCCCGGGGCGAATCGAGCGACATTTGGCGCCTACGCTGAAAGCGGAGCCATGCTTGCCGCCAGTCCGGGCTGCCTGTCCCTTTCCCTCAGTGGCGCTACCCCGCACAGCGCCCACATGCGCTTCGCGGTCTGTGGCGACCTGATGCACATTCCGATGGGCTCAACATTGGGCCTGGTGTGATGATGTCGGTGCGTTCTAGTCTTTGACTATCAATTTGCTGATTTCAGCTCTGCGGATACGCAGACGTCGGTGCCCTCGGTCTCATTGCCGACCTCCGCGCTAGTTTCCCCGAGGTGCCACTTTTGGCTCTTACGGATGCCAACCCCCAGGGCCTGGACATTGTTCGCAACGTCCAGCATTGCGTCTTGGATCCTAGATTGACTGGAGACACATAGTTTGTTGACGAGCTCGTCCTCGGCTTCCCCGGCGCCAAGCGAGAGACATTCCGAATCCTCGCCTAATGTCGCGGGCAGATCGCTGCCAGCAGTTCTTCTCGGTTGGGGTTTCTTGACCCGCTGTCCCCTCATCGGCTCCCAGTTCCCTTCACCCATGCTGAGTTTATGACGCCGATTCGGGGAGAGATCTGCTCGAATGCAGTACTGGTGGGCGGCATCGGCTTCGTTGTCATCGTGGAGAAACACGTGAGGCAAAAGCAAGAGGTTGTGGTTGCTGACCTGCAGGGCTTTGCCGGGGAGCTGGTGAGGAGTGGCATCCTGCGCGACCCGAGCATTGGGCGTGGCGCGATCATGTCGGTGCGTTCCAACCTTTTGACTATCCGGTTGCTGACTGCCAGACGGGCGGATTCGCGGATATCGGCACTCTGGCTGCCATCGCCAACCTCCGGGCAGCATTTCCTGCAATCCCGATGCTGGCGCTGACGGACGCCAATCCGCACGGCCTCGACATTTTGGCCAACATCCAGCATGGACCGAGGGGCCCGCCCTTCCGTGCGGACGGCAAGTGCACGCCCAGCGTGCAACGAGCCGGTGTCAAGTTTATGGACCTAACCAAGTGAGCTAGTACGGTGGCATTGACATGCTAACCACTGCAGTAAATTCGACATGTGCGAGAGCGAGCTCGAGACGTTCAACAAGAGCGACGTGAAATGCGTAAGTTTGTGTGTGGCTCCCGCATGTAACCTCTCACTGACTAGTAGTGCATCGGCATAGCTCAAGACACGCGGCTCGATGAGGAGATGCGCGCCGAGGCCATCATCATGGCAACCATGCAAGCCAAATGTGACATGAGTTGTGTAGACGGAGGCACGGCGGCCATCTACCGCTACATTGTGCGGCGGCTGGCCAACACTTGGCGTGACTGCACATGCATGCATATGATCCTATACAATGCTGCTTATCATTAAAAGACGTTGGCGCCCTCAATATCATTGCCGACCTCCGCTTCCCAGGTGCCACTTTTGGCTGTTACGGATGCCAACCCCCAGGGCCTGGTCATTGTCCGCAACATCCAGCACGGAGGTCGGACGCATCCATTCAGGGCTGACGGGCCGCGCACCCCCAGCGTCGAGCGCGTGGGCATCTCCTTTATTGGGATCACTTTCGGTGAGCGGGTACAAAACCAACTGTCATTGACATGCTAACCCTGTAGTGTCTTCGAAATGACACCCAGTGAGATGACGACGTTTGGCAATGGTGACGCTACGACCGTACGTGTGGGCCCCGCAGAAAGCTCGTAGCCTTTCACTGACCAAGCAGAGTGTGGGCCAGATCCAGGACCGCGTGATGGACACATCGATGAGGGAGGATGCAACGGCGATGGCAGAGGCGCACCTGAAATGCAACATGAAGTGCGTCAAGGTGGCGCATTCGCCGCTTATTCCTACATTGTAGGCCGGATCAGCGAGCACGTATGAAATACTTCATGTGGTGAGACGATGCGCAAGTCACGTTCTGCAATGGTGCGCATTTGACTGCTTGACATATGCAAACGTCGCCCAACTGTACTACGATTGTCCCTGTAACGGCAATCCCCCTGCCTCACTCCAGCACTGGATCGGTAGGTGACTTTCGAGGCGCAAAGATCCATGTCGTGACCTGCACCTGCGGTGCCAGCCAGAAACAGTGCACTTAAATTCGCTAAATCCAATGTACTGACTGTGAGTTCTTTTCGCGCGCGTTCGTCAGCACCGATCCCTCGGCAGCCGACCAACAGCCACCTCCCAACAACACGCGCCGCGCCTCCGACGAGCGCGATGCTCCACGGCACACGAAGCGCCTAAAGACGGGAGCGGGCCATGTCGTCGCGCCCAGCGACACCAGTAATGGCAATTCTAAGTCTAAGGACGAGGAGTCTGCGCATGATGGTGGTGTACCAGGTCCAGCGCCCAGCTTCACCACACCCCTGGACTACACGATAGACGTGATCCGGGAGTCCATCGACTACAGGCTCCGAACTGTCATTCCGGGACCCAGAAGTTTGCGCACTGGGTACGTTATCCTATTGAGCAGGAGGTACTAACCTGCGTTGCCAACCGCGCCAGTACACGCAGAAGGGGGCAGCGAGACTGCGCAAGCTGTGCACCATGCTGCATGCCAACCTCGTCCTTGGGCAGAACAGCTTCCTTCGCGGAGTTGTCAACAATGTTGCTATGGGATTTAGCTCGGAGGTGAGTCGTAGTCTTGGTGCCACGACCTGGTTGGCCTGTGACACTCGCGCGTTGGGTCTTTGTTTGACGCGCCGCTCAGTTGCTCGACGAGTTTATTCTTGGCTATCTCGGGGGGGACCCGAGCTACCTTTGGTGTCCTTGCCGAAAGTCGCGCCAAACTTGCTGCCACTCCAGGATGCCTTTGGTCCGCGCCCAACGAGGGTAGCTCACCAGGGTTGCCCAGTGGAATTGCAGTGGGCGGCGAGTTGGTTGACATCCCACTCGCGTTTCTCGGCGCCACCCTGCACGGCGTGGATCACAGGATAAGCGTCCGCTATCACCTGTCCAGTTCCTGTTGAAGCAAGTTACGTACAAGCCGAGACACATGGAGAGAGAGATAACACAAGCGGCGCATTGAATGCCTCTAGGCCTGAGGACTTGGGCCTGCCAAAGGATAGTAGTTTTGTATGTATCATGGTCTGTATCCAAAAGTTGGGCGGTTACATAATACACGTTTCGCGAAACAGCTCTCTTATCGCGGGAAGGCTTTGGGGAGGCGGTGCGCAAGGTCAGTGTCACCCCGTCGCCAAGTCGACGTTTACGCCCTGTACGCCTGGGCGAATGGACGTCGTGCCTTCTGATCCTCTGACCCTCGGATCTCTGAAACCCTCACTGCAGGCAGGCGGACGTAGGTGAGTAACTGCCACAGTGCTGCAGTTCGAGTACGGAAGGCTGAACAGCGAACTTCATCAGTGCATCAGAGAGCGTCACCAACCTATGCCACTCACTCATTGGACTCTTGCGATTGCAGAAAATGACCAATCGCTTTTCGCAGACCACGGAGATCAGCCAGTGCGTCACACCGAGCCCAAGCTACACGGTCTCAAAGTCGCGATCGCGACCAGTCGTGACCTTGCGTTCCCGCCAAATACAGAGTTGCACGAGCCTTATGTGGAGCCATCCCAGAGCGTGACCAGCAGGAGTCCAGGCCCGCCCAGCCCACAGGCCACAGGCCACATGGGACGTTGGGCGCTTGGGCACAATGTGATAGTGACATGGGGAGGACAGTGGCGACAGGCTGTGGTGGAGCGTCCAGGCGGCCTGCGTCGCTGCAAGTAGAGTCACCAAGCGCACTTTGGACTCAAGCAGCAATCTTGCAATTGCGCAAGCTACAGCCTGTGCCATCACCATCAACTACAAGCTGCCAAATGTGAAGCGTTGAGAATTCCGAGGCGCTGGTTGTCGCGAAGAAGCCCCTCGTCTGCGCCCGTTGTCCACACAGCAGGGCGTAGGCGTAGGCGTATGGCCTCGTTTTGAGGTAGAGACATCCGCGTCCCACATGGCCTCGTGCACGCTGCTGTTCATGGGCGCTTGAACGGGGCGGGGTGATGCTTCTGCTTGTCTCTTGAATCAGCATGCGTCTCTCTCTGACTTGTATCTCATCATTGGTGTTTCCTTCCACACCACCCCTTCAACCACTTCAAACAGTACAACACAATGCCCCCCGGTGCGGCTCGGGGAACGGGAAGGCGCGGTGGCAGTAGGGGCCGTGGTGGGCCAGCTCTCACAACACACCTTCGAACCCGCCCGCTGCTACCCCCACGTCGAACGCGCCCGCTTCGACACCCACGAACCCGCCCGCCCCCACGTCGAACCCGCCTGCTGCTACTCCCGCCGCCACCGACGCGCCTGCTACGGCGCCAGAGCCACCAAAAACTGGCCGCGAGGTCGTCGAGGGTGTGTCCTGGCATATCGCGTATGGCATGCTGACTGCAGACCTGTTCCACGTTGTCCGCAAAACCCACCAGGACGGCGGCGTCGTTAAAAACGTGCAAGGCGAACAAAAGGCCATCCTGGAGCGTGTCGAACAACGTCTGGAGAACCTCGAGAAGCGTATGGACGTTCTCGAGAGTGGTCCCGCGCAGCAAAAGCGTCAAGAGGAGAAGATGGATCTAGTGCTCTCGGCACTGGAGCGCATCGAAACCCACCTGGACACCAGGCCGGCCTCATCCCCCTCAACCAACACGGCCAGATCCCCTACAACGCACCCCCTCCTTTGTAAAACGGGTCTAGCCTCAGCCCCATCCACCAACACGGCCCAGCTCCCGTACAACCCACCCCTCTGTAAAACGGGTCCGGATCGAAGGCACACCCCATGTGGCCGGCAAAGAGGTTATCGCCGCTCTTGCCAAGGCATTCTCTCACGTGCCTGTCCTAGGCCTAACGGACCCCAATCCGTACGGCCTGAACCTGCTGGTCACGGTCAAACACGGTTCAAGACACGCACCACACCGCGCCGACAATGGACTCACACCGCGCATCGTCCCGCTTCTGCGCTGGACTGACCTCAGCAGGTGAGCTGGTGCACACGGTCGTTGTCATTCTAACCTTGCAGCGCGTTCCACATGACAGCGGATGAATTGTGCCCGTTTGAAAAGTCCGACAAAGAGATGGTATGTGTGACCCATCCTTCTTGAAACCTTTTGAAACTTTTCACTGACTGGCTAGTGCAAGGGTCTCCTCGCCGATGAGAGATTGTCCGTAGAATGGCGTGATGAGGCCAAGTTAATGGCGGAAAGCGAACGAAAGTGCGACATTGAAGCTATCAAGGGTGGCAAGTGGGTTGTGCACGAGTTCCTCGTACAAAAGATCTGCCAGCAGCTGGCATCCAACCCTTAGTAATATGTGATGTAACATGTCGTCTACGTTGCTAAGATTGGTTGTATACTCGCTTCCTCCTCCCCTCACGCCAGCACTGTGGCAGTGGGGGGTTTGCGAGGTGCAAAGATCCACGAAAAGTGGGTTGTAAACGTCTCGAACAAACCAAAGATCATGGCTGAGCTAGGTCCCGAGCGGAGACAGGTGAGCGCGCACCCAGCGTACAGGCCACGGATACCGCGCGTACGCCAGATCATGGCTGCCGTCTGTGCAAAGCTCGGTACCGGCTTTCCTGGGTTGAGCTCGGAGAAGGTCTGAATAGTGCTCTTCACGCTGTCGGCGGGGAAGAGCGAGACATTGTATCCTACGCCGGCGGCGGCACCCGACACCATAAGCTGCCAAGTGGCCAGGTCAGACTTGGTCGACTTGTGACCTGGTTCGGCCTTGGCCTGGTGCCGCGACACAAAGTAGCGCGCCAGCAGCTCGTAGGTGCCAAACCATGCAGCACCACCACCACTCTCACGGAGGAAGGTGCCAGTTTGGCCCAGCCATAAGCCGCGGATGCCCTGAGACCGCACCGTGTCGGCAACGAGGGCAAAGGGGCCCTTAGGCTTGGGTAGAGGCTGAGAGAGCTGGGCGGGGAGGACAATGGTGGAGGATGGGGATGCGGGGGCCTCGAGGGCCGTCTTGATCACGATAGGGCCAGCCGAGGACGCAACACCCTCACCGGCAAGCATCTGCACCTGCATACGGCACTTGATGAGTTCGATAGGAGTGCTGTGGCGTCAGACGAGGCGCTTGGCGCGATGGACCCACAGGACAAACGAGGTGACGGCACCGGCACCGCCACCAGCAAGCGCCAGTTCCGGGATGGTGAGCGCACGGGCCCGGTCTTCTGGTGGACGAAGAGCCACAATACCGGCCTGACACCTGTTGTACACGAAGAACAGAGTGGCATTCTCACACGCCGCGCCAAAAACCGGAGCAGATAGGCCCTAAATGTCAGCGTTATCCGTTATCTGGTCACTTACGCGGTAGAGACCACGGACACCCTCTTTGCGGTACGTCTGCTGGAAGCAGTCCAGTGGCCCCGCGAATGACAGTGGCCGATCGGTGGGCTGCGACTGCAAGCGGACCTTGACTATATATGATGTTAGCAACGCCATTACCGGGATTGCGGGGGTTATCGCGAGGCCAGGTCCAAGGAAACTATCCGACAAGCAATCGTCCACCGTCTGCGGCGAAGCTAGCCATGTAGAGCAACGAACTCACCAAGATCAAAAGGGTGTTCAAAAAGCTTTGCCATCATGCCGGCCGTCTGTACATGTCAGCAGGGGACGATGCGCTGTGGATGACTCACCATGCCAAACACCAGGTCGCGGACCGCGCCATTGGGGTCATCGACGCCGCTCATCGTTGTTCAAGAGCTCGGGATCAAGTAATAACAGAGGGTCGTGTAAGGTCGCTGACAAGCAATAACAACCGCTCTGTCGACCTGGGCTCTTGATGTGCTTGTTGTTTGTGGTGGGCAAGGGAGTGAATGATGAGCGATATCACGAAGATCCTGGACACATTACTTAGCAGTAGCCGACGGCGGGCGGCTACAAACAGAGGACACACATGGCAGTACGCAGAGAGATCAGCCAGATCTCTCCCCTCCACCTGTCATTATGTAATGCGGGGACCCCAGTCCATTTATACTCCCGCCAGTCACGCGTCAACTTCATCGTCAAAGGTAATTTCAGCGTCCACATGCGCCAACCTCTCTCATCAACAACACCAACAACCATCTCTCACAATGCCTGGCGCTGGCCCATCAAAGAAGGGCAACAACAAGTCCAAGTACCGTGCCCACGCAAAACGCGCTACCGGTCCCCCCAAGGGCGGCGATGGGCAGGGCGCCTTTGCTGCCGGACCTTTCGCAAAGTACCGCACGCAGCCTTTGGTGAGTGACTCTCGAGCAGGTGCCGCGCTAACCGTAAGCCCGACATGATGGCAGCCGCTGGTATCAGTGTGACCGCCGTGCAAGGAAAGGAGCGTATTGCTGAGCGCGAGATTCTCGAGGCTCTCGAGGAGGCGGCCGACGAGCTGTACCCTGAAACCAAAATGGAGGACGAAGCCGCGGCCGGCGGCGACGACGACGAGGACATCGAGGACATGCTCAAGAAGGAGCTCGCCACCATGTCGGGAGAGCCAGGAAAGAAGTCTCCCAGGTTCCGTCTTTGCAAGCGCGAGACTGCATGCGGTGAGCTTGGATTCCGTCAGGACCTCCCAGCTGACGACAGTGGTGTACATTATTGTGCTTGCGCCTCTTGACCCCGTCAAGCTCGTGACGCACATTATGGAGGGCTGCGAGCGTGCCAGGAAGTGTTCGCTCCGCTTTGTTCAACGTCTTACCCCCATCACCCGTGCTGGCAACGGTACTCTCAACTCGCTTGCGGAGCTTGCCCGTGATGTTCTCCCGGCTGGCTTCCACACAGAGGACGGTCGCGGCCTCAAGGTGAGTGCGACGAATGCAAGGCAGGGCCGTCCTAACTTTACAGTTTGGCATCAACACGCACACTCGTAATTCGGCCAAGATGGAGCGTCTAGACATGATCAAGACTGTGGCTGAGGAGGTGGTGAAGCTCAACCCTGAGCACAAAGTTGACCTCACCAACTCGGAGCGCACCGTCATGGTCGAGCTGTTCAAGGTGGGTACATCGCGTGCTGCCCGGCTGACCTAGCAGACTGTTATTGGCATTAGCGTGGTGCAAGACTTTGACAGGTTTAAAAAGTTCAACCCGTCGCGTGTGGCCAAGGATGCTGCTATTGCCGCCGGCGACGCGGTTGAGGAAGACGAGGTGGCCGCTCCTGCCACGAACCGCTCAGGAGAGCACGCAAAGTCGCGCGGCCACGCCAAGAACGCTAACCGCGAGAGGCGTGCCGAAGGAATTGCCCAGGCCGAGGCGGCCAAGACCACTGCTGCTGCTGCTGTTCCGGCCAAACGCAAGGCTGAGGAGAGCGCCGAGTCTCTGGAGGACGGCGAGGTGAACAAGAAGGAGGACGTCGAGAGCGGTGAAATTGTCGAGGACGAGAAGGCTGTGCTGGGAGAAGAGTTTGAGGAGGTGATCCAGGACGGCCGTGCGACCAAGATGCGTCGCGAAGAGTAGACCCCAGCTGTACTTACATGTATGCAACGACCTAGAGACCCAGTGGCCAGTGGCCAAGTGGGGCCGCGCACAATGTTTTTGTTTATGTTTTTGTCAGGTGCCGTCGAAGGTACGGAAAATGGTGGCGACACCGGGTTTTCAGGGTCCTTGGGCAATGAACCGAAAACTGGGATCGTCCACGCCGCCGTCGTGTGCGCGCGGCGCGCTTTCTCGGTGTTCCATTCTCTTCATCACTCACCAACAACACCTTCTCGCCGTCCAGCTCCATCGCGCTCTGTATCTGCACGCGATGGAGTCCTTTTTCGGCAAGGCCAAGCCCTCGCGACCGGCCGTCGCCACCCACGTTACCGTCAAGAAGGTCGTCAAGCCGGCGGCCGCCGCTCGGCCCGCGTCCTCATTCCACGCAGCGACATCCTCTTCCTCGAGCTCCAAGCTGCACAGGGCTGGACCTTCGTCTCATGGACACCAGTCGCACTCGCACTCGAGCTTGAGCGCTCGTCCCAAACCCCCAAGCTCTCGGGATCGCGATGGGACACCTCGGTCAAAGCCGACGTCGTCTCGTGGTCTGTCACCCCGTCTGTCGACCAGCGGCACCGCATCACCAGCGCGCAAGCGTAAAGCGTCGCCTCAGCGTGTCCTCCCGCCGAGCGACTCGGAGAGTGAGAGCAGCGATGATGCTTTGGCGCCTAAACGCAAGCGGTTTGCGAGCGCAGGGGCCGTCCCCGACGCCGAGGATGTGGACATTGGACGCCCCGTCTTTTGCCCTTCCCTGGCCGACAAGCGTGGCGAGTGGGGTCGCGGATACGCTGGCTTTGTGACGTGCGAAGAGGCACTAAAAGGTGTTGTGCATGGATGGGCAGGAGGCAACCGGGAAGTCAAGGAGAGTGCAAGAGAAAAGTACCAGTCCTGTAAGAGTTCTTCTCATCACTACCTCCCATCATCGCCCTCCTCACCTCCCCATTGTGCTCTATGCTGACAGCAACAGACTTTCCCCAGGCCGGCTTTGAGAATGCCGAGCCTTTACCATCTGTCGAGCTGCGATACCCGGGAGGAGCGATGGAAAAGTGAGTTTTGCCACCCAAAGGGCCCTTGCTGACAACGGAGATTCATTCTCCTCACCCCGATCTCTGCCCGCGAGTACAACCCCGTCAGCGAGCTTCGCAACGCCCTGCGTCTGATTCTGAAGCGTGAGTGGAAGTGTATGACGTTAAGCTCACGTCAGACTATATACCACCATCACACGCGCACATCTTCGGTTCGTTGGATGCCAGCGAGCTGGAATCAGCAGTACCCTCCAGGTTGCACACTCCTACGCCCGGTGCGCTCACGACCCCACCACCCGACAGTGCGTCACCGACTCCTCATACCCCGACAGAGACGATAGGCGATGCTTTGCGGCGTGCTCTGGCCCCCAACCGGCGTGATGGCCCTGGTCTCGTCAAGGCAGTCCAGCGCCTGAACAGAGCGTTGGCGGATATCCAGCACGATGGCACGCTGGCTGCGTGGTTGACGAGCCCCGATTACCGCATCTCGAGGCGAGAGTGGTCGGCCCTGGTGGACTTTTGCCACGAGCAGGCGTACACTCGCGTCGTTGCGCCCTTTGCGGACCAGCTGGAGCACCACCCCAAACACCCCGAAGAGGTGGCTCTGGCCATCAGCGAGAAGGAAGACGCGTACGGCGAGCTGCGGCACAACTTTATGAGCAAAGTGATTGAGCAAACCAACCTCGGTCCCGATCATACGTTTGTTGATCTCGGCAGCGGTGTGGGCAACTGCGTTGTCCAGGCTGCTGTGCAGGCCGGCTGCGCAAGCTACGGCTTTGAGCTGCTCCCCATCCCAGCCCGATGTGCACGTCTGCAGCTCCGTGAATGCCAGCGGCGATGGGCCATGTGGTGCCTCGAGGGCAACCTCGCTGCCGAGGTGCATGAGGGCGACTTTCGCCGCCATCCAGAGGTCGCCAAGCGTCTCGCGCAGGCTGACGTGGTTCTTGTCAACAACGAGGTGTTCCCCTCCTCGCTCAACATTGACCTCACCCACCTCTTCCTTGAGCTCAAGGACGGCGCAACCATCATCTCCCTCAAGCCGTTTGTGCCCGAGGGATTCAGAATGAACGAGTCCAACGTAAGTTATATGACATATATCCTCGGTAGCGTGAGCTAACATTGTCAGTGCGACTCCTTTGCTGCGATTCTCCGCTCTGTTCCCCATCCGTACTACTCGGGCTGGGTGAGCTGGAAGGCCGACTCGGGCAAGTACTATGTCCAAGTGGTCGACCGCGCGCGTCGCCTGCGGTATGAGGAGGAGATGGCTGGCCGGCGTAAGAGGTAGTTGAGCAGGACTCAGTGGGGGAGGTTGCCTGGCATCCTCCATTTTGTGTTGTCGTAATCGCCGTTTTCATCTGTCGTTGTCGCTGCTCAGATATCTAGGTCACATATGCCCAGCATCTCGCCATGTATCCTGTATCACCCAGAGCCCGCCGCCGTGTTTTGTCTACCATCTGCATCTCGTCGCCAGTCTATGTTACTACTAATGCTCCTCGAGCCGCTCCATCCTTGTCCTAGCGGAACATGCGTCCAACGGAGTTACGCACGAGGCCACCCATGACTTGGCCACCGATACCGCCAAGGCCAGGAAGGCCCGAGAGCATGCTGCTGGCGCCATTGGCAAACCGGCGCTGCGCGTCGCGGTCGGCATAGGTGAATCCGACAACGTTGGACATGTTGAACACCAGGGCAAGGAGGACGATGGGCAAGAACGAGACGTTGAACTTGAAGATTGAGACAATAAACAGCGCGACCCAGCCGAGGGGGTAGGCGTAGAGTGCAATCTGGTCTGTCAGTGTCGTGTTGGCGGACCAGCTAAGCTTACCCAGAACATCTTGGTGTCGATGGGGTTGGGGACCTGCGACGGCTGTACAGTGTCAGTCATTTGCCATGTGGGGAAGCCGTGGTAACTCACGTCGCGGCACTCAAACACCCAGCTGCTCTCTCCATCCTCGTCCACCTCGTTCCAGTACCGCAGACCCACGAGCGTGCGGCCCGCGACATTTCGGGTGTTCCAAAAGTCGAGCGAGAGGAGGACGACGACAATCGTGATCTGTGGGGGGGTTGCGGTCAGTACTTGTCATGCGGATGTCTGGCATCAAGAAGCAAGCCACGCCTGTTGGGCACGACGCTCTGATTGCGGTAACAGGAGCTTTGGGTCCAGAGCCACACGTAGACGTACAGAGAGGACGTAGTTGTCAGTGACTGTCGCGTCAGTTTAGGCCGCGTGCAGATACAAACGCTCAACTCACAGAGGCCGCACAGGACGTAGACGGCAATGGCCGCCGAGCGGAAAAAGTACAGGCAGAAAAGCGCACCCGGGTGCGATGACTGCTTGAGGATGGCGGCCTGGACGTCAGCTGTTGTTCCCAAGGGGTTGTTTGTGCTGATGGGTTGCGGGGGTTGAACATTGCGGAAGGCTGGGATGGCCGTCACAGCCGTATTCCAACTGTTCTGAGAGTACAGTCCACAAGCGCACAAGCGACATATCACTGCCCGATACACAGTGTACTCACAATACCACCCTCTTCAGCATCCCTTGGTGCGGTTCCGGGGACGAGGACGACGGGATCGGCAGCATTCCGAGTTTTGGGCGCGGCGCTCTCGCCAATGTTACCGGTGGGGAACTGGTGCGTCGTCTGGACGTCCTCGTCTGCCTCGATGGTGCCGCTAAGCAAGGGGGCGTTGGCCGACATGCTGACGGATGAGTGGGTGGTTGTAGGATGCGGTAGTGGTGGTAAGGTGAACGGCAAGTTGAGTTGGGCGGTGGAACGGAACAGCGGCCGGTGTGGTCGCGTCCATCCTGCGGCGTGGAGGTTGGCCATCCAGGGCGGTGACGTACCGCCGAATCTCTCAGCAACGGTCGCCGACCCACAACGACCAAAGACAGTGGGATGATATACACAGTGCATGCATGCTTTATACACATCGTTATCTACACTTCATCTACAGCTTGAACTTGTCAACTCCACTCTTCACCAGGTCCACAACCGCGGTATTGTCCAAGGGGTTGTACTGGTTGGTCACGAGCTTGATAACCTCTTGCGCGGCGATGCCACCAAAGAAGGCCGCGGTCGTAGGGGGAGTAAGGAAACCACCGCGGACGCTGAAGGTCAGCTTGGCAACTCTGGTATACGGTTGAAGCTACTCACACCTCCGTGATCGCATTGTCCATTTCCTCGGGGAGCTCGCCCGCGTCGATGTGGACCGTAGTGAGTGCCTTGGTAGCAAAACGTTCCACCTCGGCAACGTCCATGTCAATGTCACCAGCCTCGGATCCAGGCCAGCGTCCAAACACCTTGTAGAACTGCTCCGATGCGAGAATGGCGAGGACGAGACAGATGCCAATGGTTGGCTCGGCGCCAAAGGCAAAATCCTCAGCTGTTGGGTCAGAAATGCTCCGTTCATGGGGGTACCCACCGATGCGCTCCTTCATTCCACCCTCGTAAGCCTTGGTGGCACTGATGGGCGAGCCCTTGATAATAGCGACGCCGCCGACATTCTTAACAAACGACTCAATCTCGTTGGCGGGGATTGCGTCGACGGAAAGTTCGTTCTCCTGCAGGACCTGAGCAAGGAATGACGAGTACTTGGTCAAGTCGTCGAAGTACTGCTGCTTGTAGAGGTTCTGGAGCATGACGTATGACTGTGTCGATGAGTGCATATCGGGAAGCGAAGGCGAGACGGGAGGAAGGTGCGGGGCCGCCCCGAGGAAGCGAGACAGCGCATGAAGCAGGAGGTGGAGGTTCTTGGACTGAAGGGTTAGCGGGATTGTGTCCAAGAAACACCTACATTGTGAGAGACCGTGGCAATGCTGGGTTCACGAAGGAGGTCGGCAATGTCATAGGGAAGCTAAGAATGATCAGAATTGAGCGTTAGTCGTTTACTTACCGCGGACGAAGTCCAGACACGGTAGGCCTGGGCGAGGGCCTCGTCAAAGTTCTCCTCGTCGCCCTTTCGCCTCCAGCTGGTGAGCAGCTTCTTGAAATCGGCCTTGTCTTCTGAAGAACTGGGGAGCTTTCCATCGTGCTTCAACGTCAGTGGCAGAAACAGGGTCTGCTACTCACCGAGTCCTTCCAAAGACAAGCGGCGCGGACCAGGAGGACTACCCAAGGGATGTGAGAGTGGTCCATCGAGTCCATGGCTTCAATGTCGAGTTTGCGAGCGTAGGACTCAAGAGCAGGGAAGGGCTGGTCAATACGAAGAGTGTGCGTTGTGTCCGGGTGTGTGTCGCCCACTGGTGGATTAGAATGAACTGAGATCAGAGGCACTCACCGCAGTGCTCGCGAAGCTGGATCTGCATACGACCCGTGAGGCCAGACGTGCGGATCGAAACGAGGGGAATATCAGGTTGGCCAACAGTGGCGGAGGCTAGACGTTAGCCTTAGCAAGGAGACCAGTGCAAGCTCACTGTGCCAAAGAAGCTCAGCGAGGTCCTCCTCGAGCTTGGGAGGGACATTGGAGGCAATGATGAGCGTGAATGAGAGGAAGAAGTTGGGCTCGCTGGCGAGAAGCTCGGTAGCATTCTGATAGGTTATAGACTGGGACGTTGAAGAAACTTACGGCAATGCGCGCCTTGCCGTCGACGGCAGGGTTGAGCTCGCGGAGGAGACTGGTTATCAGCAATTGCGACTACAGGTCTCCAGCGACTTACCGGACCTCCTCCAGCGCAATAGACTTGCTGACCGAGCTTGCCTCTAGAAAGAAGTTGGTGGCAACATCAGTGGGAGTTGTGTTGCGGTCAGAGAGGATCGAGAAGTGTTGAATGCCTGCTGGTTAGCTTGGCAGCCTGTTGCTCACGGCTCACCTGGAAGGACGAGGTTCTTGAGAGTCTGGCAGCCCGACGCGTCGTCACCAATGAGTAGGATACGGGCGGACTCGAGCGAACGCTGGCCAGTGGAAGCCCAGAGACTGGAGCATTGGAGTAAAAGGTGGAGGGAAGGTGGCCAAGACGGAGGAAGGATCGGCGGTCGCGTCAGCTGTATTCGCGTCCTCTGATCTTTTTGACTCACCGCAGCTGGCGGTCGTAGCGACGGGCCTTGGCATCAGGACGACCACCGCTGAGGCTGTTAGCGAGAGTTCCGTATCCTTGGGCCACTGTTAAGCAGCCCCATCCTTTGCAGAACTCACGAAGGGATGGGAGTCGCACGCGACGACGGTGCGGACGCTACCGCGAGGGCCGTCGTTGCCTCGGATATGTCGATAGCATCCTCCATTTTGGCAATCTTGGGCGGGCGACTAATGGGAGAGGAAGGCGGGTCGTGGTTGGGAGTGCCCATCTAGAAGCAGTGATGGTATCGGTGGGCTCGCGCAAGGTGCCAGCTGCTGACCGAGAACCGGGGCGGGTATTGGGCTTGCTCCCTTCCGTGCTTGGTGCCGGTGGTGAGAGCTTGGAGAGCGGGACCTGCCAAATCGAAGCAGCAGAGATGACACAGTAACTGCAGTGAGCTATAGTGAAGAGAGAGTGTGAGGATGCTAGACTGTTGCTGTTGCTGTTGCAGCAGAAATGAGGAGAATGGAAAGGGGATGATGATGCAGCGGGGGTTGGAGGTGGAGGCGGCCGGCTGCCCGGCTTCAATGACGAGGAGTTGTGATCCAGTAATTGGTCCCGCGCTTTCCCGCGTATGGTGTATGTACTGTAACTAGCTGCCCGTTGGGAGATGCATTGCATCTCCCGTACTCCAATGGCCCGTACGGCCCGTGATGGCCAGACTCGTGGCCGCTGCACGCACTGCCTCCTCACGATGACAAGCTCGGTGTCCACGCTGTGGCGGCTTTTGGTAATTACGTAATTATGGGAGACCGACTCTTACCTATGCAGACCTCTCCGGAAGGCATGAGCGTTTGGTTGCAGAGTGGTTATTGCAGCTATTTAAGAGCATTGTCTTTTGGTGTGTGGCGACGGCAAATTGTCAGTCAGTGTCGACAGGCTGCGCCGCTTTCAGGTATTTGTGCCGTTCATACGCTTAATGCTCACTTGCATGTGTCTGCGACAGCCAGAAGGCGAAGGCTGGCTGTGGTTAGAAGTTGAGGTGTGACAAGGTCTAAACGATTAAGCCGCGGCCCCACTGACTCCTCTCAGCCTGTACGCGGTACGTCCCTAGGCAAACCTAGGCTTTTTTGCGGTAGTAATGCGACTAGCTATTGGGAGGACGTTTGCATGATTTTACGGTGGCTTCGATACTTCCATAGCCCTACATAGAAGGCAGCCATTTCTACGGTGTACGACAATTGAAAGGGCTGGGCAACCATATACCTGTGTACCACCTGAGAATACCGCACTCCTTGTTCGAGTGGCCACGCTGGATACCAGCACCTGAACGGAGGAGGCCCGGAACAATCTTGCCCTGCAGAATGGTCTCCTCGATAACCTGGGGAATCTCTTGCGGCGTGACGCGGCCGTACGAGAGGTATCCTGTGTGGCCACCATTACTGCTAGTACCGACACTACACTGGCTGATCGGCAATGAAAGTCGAACCATTCGAATCCTCGGAAGTCAGCCCGTCATTGACCTACTGAATGCACTGCGCAAAATTCCGCCATTGAGAAACAGGATGAGCCTGCTATCTGGAAGGTGCTTCTTGGCATAGACGATCAACATGCATATTAAGCAGGCATTTCTACGCGTCTCTTCACGAGTGTCCGCGTCGTAGCATCGCGGATCTGTATCTGAGGCAGTGGGCGATGTGCCCTGCGCTGCTTGCCGGTGCCGGCTGCGTCGAGGTCGGTCTAGTGCGAGTGATGTTGTGTAACCCTTGTGTCACTACTATCTACCAGTTGAGGATACCGCACTGCTTGGTCGCGTCGCGGCGCAGGATGCCGGCACCCGAACGGAGGAGGCCTGGAACAATCTTGCCCTGCAGAATGGTCTCCTCGATGACACGGGGAATCTCCTGCGGCGTGACGCGGCCGTACGAGAGGTACGCGCCCGAGGGGAAGAGGATGAGCATCACACCAGCGTAGCGGTGGCCGCCGAGGTGGTTGATGTCAAAGAGACCAATCTCGCCACCTTCGCCGCCGTGGACACCCTCAATCTCCTCCATACGGCGGCCCACCTCGGCCTCGCGCTCGGCGTCAGTGCCCTCGACCTCTTCGAGAGGAGGGCCCTCGAGGTGGGTGAGCGCCTTGCCGGTCTCGTCGACGCTGATGCCGTTCTTCTCGCAGACGGCGCGAATGGCGGGGCGGAGGAGACCAGCAGCGATGTGACACTTCTTGTCACGGTTCTTGTGCGAGCCTACACAAGGGTGTTAGTAATAGCAGCGTGGCCATTGGGTCCCTCCATCTACAACTCACAGACCAAAACGATTGCGCGGTAAGGGAGGACCCACGAGCGGCGGCGTTCGACACCGGCGCCACCGTCCTGCAAACTACGGCCCGCACGTCCCAAGGTACCGGCAAGGGCGCCCTCCCACAGACCCTTGGCGCCGTCGAGCGAGTTTTCGATTTCGCAGGTGACCTTCCAGTCTGGGAAGATGATGGCAGTCTGGTCCTGGGGGTCGTCGGACTGTGAGACCAACGACGACGAGTAGAGCGAAGGTGTCGAGTTGACGGGCTTTGTCAACGGCTCCGACGGGGCTGGGAAAGCAGAGGGAAGGACATATGTGGACGGCTGCTTGGCGTTGGCCTGGCGCTTAGGCTCTTTGCTGGTGGAGACCTTTTGGAGGTACTGGTGGAGCTGGTACGAGAGGGTCTCTGTGTCGTCCTGTACCGTGGGTCAGCATGCGCTGAGAAAGCACAGTATACTCACGGTGTGGTCGCGGGGCCAGTTGCTCTTGGCTGTCGAGATAACGACGACGCGGCCGGTGGGGGGACCGCCAGAACCCGCTAGATCCGACTCCCAGTCGACGCCGAGGTTGCTAGGGAGCATGCCGAGGTCTCCATACTTGTCGTGGACATACTCGTCGTAGGTCTTGCCGTCCCAGGCGTTACCAATCTCATTGATGGTGCCATTGCCCGTGTCGTTTGCACTGTCGGCACAGGGCTCGGCGCAGCCTGCGCAGTCGGCGTGCGAGACGGGCACTCCGTCCTTTTCGAGCAAGCCGGCGAGGTTGGTGTACTCCTTTGCGCGCTGCGTGTTGTGGTGGCCAGCCGGTGCAGGGCCCGGGGTGCCAGAGAATAAGGAGACCGCCGAGGCGATCTTGCGCAACATGGTGGATGGGTGTGTGGTGTTGTTGTTGTTGTTGGAGGGAATTGGTGTTTTGGGGATGACGGAAGTGTCCTGACTTATTTTAAACGTGCGAGCTTTTGCGGTTTTGTGAGCAGCGTGGTGTGTTTATTCAGCCGTCTCGGGTTGCTCGGCTCGGTGTGGGGCAGATATAGACACTAATGATGCCATGACCGAGGATTATGAAGTCGCCCCGGCATGGCTGCGCAGCGGGGCTGTGACGACCCAGTCGTATTGGGCAAGACGGCGTTCATTATGCATGCATGTAGCTGTACATCATGTCTGCCATCGTCTACCTGCCAACTGTTTTTATGTTTTTGCAGAGCAACACGTTTATCGCGAGCCCAAAAATCCGGGCACTGCCGCACCGTTACGCGCGTGCACACGCGGTACGCTGGACGGCGATCCACAATCTCTCCAGCCGAGAAGCGGGACTAAAATATGGCCGGACCACACACAGCCACACGTGGTAAGTCACGTGACATAACAGTACTTATGTAATGGAGGGCGGGGGGAAGACCGCAGATCGAATCCTGGCCACGACGGAGGGTGGCTGTTCCATGCGCAGACCAGGGCTGGCTAGCTGGCTATGTGTTCTCTCTCCATGTATGCCGGCTTCCTCGCTGATCGCTGGTCTTGGGCTCGCGGGTGGTGGAGGCGGGGGTGTGGTCACGGCTCACAGGCTGTCCACCGGGGCCCGCATTGGCAGTCGCCCCCGGGCTAGAGTTGGAGGGGTCGACGAGCAGCTCCCCGTCCACCTTCGGCATGGCTGGGGCACGACGAGTTCTGGCGGCGGGGTTGTAGGCAGCTCTTTAGTGATATGTCTCTTTATCAACATGCACAATAGCGCGGTGAGCCTCGGAGATGGTCCAGTAAGGCCAGTGCAAAACTGAGTGGTAGGCGTATGGGTTTGTTGATTGCCCGAAGAGCAGTTCGGGTGAAAGGGAAGCGTTACGCATGCATCAATGGTTGGATGGCCGCTGGCTGTTGTTGCGTTGTTGACGTGCACAGGTCGTACCCACACGGTGCAGACCCACAGTTCCAGTCACGTGACCTACATTGGGCTCACCCGTTGTTTTGGACCTACAACACCGCGTAGACTCTGCCATTCCGTCCCATCTCTCACATCCCTTTCTCCCGTCACTCGTCAGTGAAGACCTCGACAAACCTGGTCAAAGAACAGAGACCTGGGTCTTATCGACCCCTATAATGACCAGGTGGTGAGCCGCTGCGTATTGGCTCTAGCTCACCACCTCAGACGGACCTGTTCCACCCCATCCCCCACCATGTCTGATTCCTTCGACGACGATGACGACATCTTCTCCGACCCCGCCGCCCTCACTGCAATCGCGGCCATCGAGGAGCGCGCCATTGCTGCCTCGCAAGCACCCAAACGCGGGACAAGCCTTCATCACCGCGTTACAGCCCCTGCATCTCGTGGCCGCCGAGCAGCTGTCCCCGCTGTCGCCGCCGTTGCGCCGAGGAAGGCGCCTCCTCCGCTCAACACCAACCCACGCGTGACCGGTTGCGGCTTTGGATGGGAGACTGGGGGAAAGCATCAAGTTAGGGCAGAGCAAGCAGCTTCTCGCAACGCCACTGCTTCTGCTTCTGTCGCACCTCCACCAAGAGCCCCTCAGCAGCAGACGGACGATGACTACCCGATGGACGCGGTGGTCGTGAACGACAAGGGGCAGTATGGGTTCGGATCGAATGACGACGACCCCATTATCGACCAGCGCAAACGGCCAGAGATCAGACAGCTCGCAGAGAGCGCACCCCTACGCGCTGGCGAGCGTCCACCATTGCCTGGATCACAGGCGCGCCGCGAGGCCATCGCCGCTGCCACTGCCTCCAACGCCCCTGCCCTTGGCATGCGTGGCCCGATCCAGCGGTCCACTTCAAGCACATCTACGGGGGGCATCCCCACGGACGCACCGCGTCTTGGCAACAGCCGCTCGTTAGCTCGCTCAATCTCGACAGGAGCACAGGTGTTTGGTGGCCGTCCGCCAGCCGCCGGCTCATCACGCGTTAGTATTCTGCCCCCAATCCCGTCTCAAGGCAGCAACCCACCGTCCTCTCAAGGCGCTGTCGCGCGCCGTGCCGTTATGGAGCTCGATGAACAGAAGCGCCTGCGCGAAGCGGCCGACACCGAGGTACTCGCCCTCAGGTCGCGAGTTGCTCTGTTGGAACGAGGAGGCGCCCGGAGTCCCTGGCGAGACGAAGTCCAGGCCGGCGACAATGACTGGGAGACCAAGTATGGGCAGATTCAGCAGGAGCTATGGGCTACTCAAGGCAAGGCGTCTACAGCAAAACGCAATTGGGATACGGTATGTGGCTATACTCAACTCGTGTGGGTAAGCTGACAGCCACGCAGAACGAGGCCGCTCTCCGTGATCAGATTGAGAAGCTTCGCTCCAAGTTGCAAGACGTGGAATCTCAGACTAGGGCGCGGGAACTTGAGGCCAAGCAGCGTGTCGAGAGCATGAAGACGCAGGCAGTGTTTAGCGTGAGTGAGCAGTGACGGCTAAGGGCTGACTTAGCAGAACCACAATGCCATCGCATCTGCGTCCAAGGCTCGCCAGTGGTCTGGCTCTCAGCGCGCAGGTGCAACACCCATGAAAGGTGGCTCGCCATTACGCGACAAGAGTCTCATGACGCCTGCACCACTTATGCGCTCGGCTGCAAAGGGCAAAGGTGAGTCATGCGCTCCGGCACAGAGCTTACTCTCAGGACGAGCCGCACCACCGCAGCGTTTCGACCACCTCACAAATGCGTTCAACATTACGCCGACGGTCAACTCTCGCGCCAAGCGACAGCGAACGGAGGTGCCTAGCCCAACAACCACGCCCAAGAAGCAGCAACAGCGGGTTGTTTCGCCGGTGGTTTCGCCGATTCAAAGCCAGCAAAGCCAAGGCCGACATGGATCAGATTCAGGACTGGACGAGGCCGAGTTGGACTGGCAACCGGTGTTTGAGCAGCCAGCGTTTGAAGATGTGGTCATGGACGAACGGGATTCCAAACTTGAGGTAAGCCAGCACACGCTCGCACAGTCAGATGCTGACCTCCTTGAGCTGGTACACCACCTCCTCAACCACGTTACTTCGTCTTCTCTCCAAGACAACATGCCGTCGTCTTTCAACTTGGGCCTCGCATCTGAGCCTACCATTCTCAGGATCATGAAGGCTCCCGTTCTCATGAATGACATGGTCGCGGACGTCCTCGATCTGCCGGTATCTGCCTGGAAGGACGCCTGTCGTGATCTCCTGCAGGTGTGCGGCGACAACAGCAGACCGTTTGACGCAATAGCGCCAGACCTCATGCGGACCTTTGCCCTCATGCTCACCATTGTCATTGAGGCGGCATTGGCGGATAGGGATACGGCGGATGTTACTTTGGTAAGCCCGATGCCAACTGGGGTGGAAAGCTTACACCTCAGACTCCGGTTCTCATCGGTATCCTTCGTTTCATCGGGTCGACACTCTTGCTCTTCCCTGAGCTCGTCGAATACAATGGTGTAGCCATTATCGAAATGACCCAGCTGCTCCGAGAGGTTGGCAGCTGCATCACTGGACCGCAAGCCTTGGTCGTCCAATCGCGCTGGGACAAGAAGGAAAAGGAGACACTGGAGGCTGACGTGCCCGCCAACCAGCGTCCCTCGGCCCTGTGTCTTGGCGAACTCGCAGACGCAGTCGTTGAGGTCGGAGAGGCCATCTGCCTCGCCGACGTCAAGTGTGTCTGGTAGGTGTTTACTCGATGAGCGACAGTTCTGATCCAACCACAGGACCTCTGACCAGCTCGCGTATCTGATACTTGCGTTCACCAAGGACGACGACCCGAGGACTGTCCGCCGCGGACTGGATCTCTTTGTCGCTGCGTCGTGTCGTAAGCGATTTTGCCCGTGACAACAGCTGACGAGCCCAGGCCAAGACCACTTCCGTGCCATCATCTTCCCGCCGGACAGCTTCCCCGGCGACGTACCTGTCATTGACCGCGTTGCACGCTTCCTCGTCAACGGACATCCCAAGATGGAGGCTGCGCAGGTGGGTGTAGTGTCCACATACCATTCCTTTACTGACCCGCTTCCCAGGTCACCACGTTGTCGCTCTCCATTCTCGGCTCCCTGTTCATGCTCTCGCGTTCTGACGCCGACGCCACTGTCCTCATGACCGAGCACTCGGTGCTTGTCCCGGCTATTCTTACGATACTCCACCGCGAGAGTACAAGAATTTGGGGCGTGCGCGCCCAAGACAAGACAAAGTACAAGTGGGTGCTGAAAGCCCGGTGTAACGCTAACCCCGCCAGCCCGCTCACCATCCTGTCCCCTGCAATCGCCTTGCTGCACCACCTCGTCTTCCCTCCCCCATTGTCCAATAACATTCACGACGCCGGCCAAACCCGTGCAGTACCTGTGGAGGACAAGCGCCTCTTTGACGGCCCTCTGCCACAGGGCGTCGACCTCGCGCGCCGCCTCAACGAAGCAAGCTCGACCAAAGAGTTCAACGGCCTGCAGCACGTCTTTCTCACTGCACTGGGAAGCATGGCGTATGCCGAGTACGCCGACATGGACGAGAGCAAGTGGGAGAACTCGTCACCTGGCACAACGTCTCTGCCTTCCGACCATGCGAGTGACCTGCGCGCCATCCAGTTCATCGCGCAGGATCTGCTCGATGCTGTCGTTGAAGGTCCAGAGGGCGACCAGGTGTACGAGCTGTACGTCGACGACGACGACCACGGAGCTGCAAACATGCCTCCTCCAGGAGGCTCTGCTGTTCAGCAGGCCGAGGACGTGGATGAGGAGGACGAGGAACGCATGATTGGCGACGCAGAGCAGTGGGAAGCACCGCAGAGTCCCGTCTACCACTACATATCTGACGATTGAGGAAACCAACTGGGTTTCAATGTATCTAGTTTTTTGTCATCAACAGATCAACAAGGATCCCATATCCCAGGGCTTTTCGAGGCTGCAAAGGCTGTGATGTGAGGCTGCCAGGCTACTAGGCTACGGGCTATCGGCTATCCGCTACGTAGGGCGATCTCCAACTCTTGCAGTGATGCGCCGAGACCACGTCGCTGGGTATAGTGACGGTACGTGGCAACTGATGTCTGAGCCGAGCAGGCCAGATCGGAACTGCAAGGTCAACACAGCAAAGAACCTGCACAAATGCTGCTCGCCACCCCCGCCACTGGGACAACGGTCTGGCTCCAAGGGGCAAGTCAGGTGAACCATCGGGCGCCAAATAGAACGGCATGTTCTGTCGTTGTGCTCATGTCTCGAATTCACAGATATCACTAGCATCTGGCACCTCTGGCAGGTCTTACGGCAAGGACAGACAAAGCAATTATATTCTAGACCCGAGTGAGTCGACTCAACTCGGGCTCGACCTCCCCCCCTCCCCCCGTTCCCCCTCTGCATCGCTCGAATCCTCGCGCTCGCTCGCTCTCATCATGATCAAATCTCAAAATCTCAAACCGTACTCCTCTTTTAAAAAAACACTTGTGGATCGGGTGGGTGTGTGGGTGGGGGGTGCTGACGAAACGTTGGGGTAGGGGCTGTTCTCAACGGCATTGTCGCGTTTTGCCAGCGTATGAGTATGTGTACGGGCTGGAGGGCAGGGATATGACGAATGCACAAGGCATGGCAAGGAGGGCAACGGGCCTCGATCCCTCACTCCAGCCGACGTGCAAACCGCGTAGCGTGCAGGATTCTACTGCGCGTACGCGCTCGCGTCGAGGCATGCCTATGCGAGACCGCGGGGCACGGCCCAGTTGCGCACACTGTCGAGGAGGGTGGCAATGGCGGTGGGGTCGCCGGCGCGGACCTCGTTGAGGCTGACACCGGCGCTGTCGATGCCCGCGTCAATCACGCAGTCCATCATGGCGAACAGGCCCTCGACATTCGGCTGGCCAGTGGCGTCTCGTGCGAATGCGGAAGGGGGCACGGGAGGCTTGGGCTCGATGCCGGACAGGTGCTTGACCACGAGGAAGATGACCTCGCCCGAAATGAACGAGTTGGGGAACTGGGCCGCACGCGGGTACTGTGCCGGCAGAGTGGCGTTGACCCAGTTGAGGAGCTCGGCGTGGTGCTCGTCCTCGGGAGGGTAGTAGGATGCCACGCTTGGGCGCGACTGGCTGACCGAGGGCCGTCCGGTGCTCGACTTGGACATAGACGGCCGGCGGGTGTCACGGCTTGGGCGCGAGGGCGTGCCGCCGCTGTGGCTGGTCATCCGACGGCCACTGCCTGTTGTGTCGAGCGACATGAGGACGCTCGCGTCGCGGGGCGTGAGCTGGTTGACGTTTTCGCGGCGGTTGGCGCGTTGCGTGGCGTCAATCTGGGACGGGGAAGGCGGGCGGGGCTGGAGCGCCTGGGCTTCGGCGAGCGGGATGGTGGGGATGTTGCACGACGAGGTGACGGGGACAGAGTAGTCGCGAGCAATGGTGGCCTTCATAAGCGCCTTCATCCAGTCGCGGATCTGGCCCTGCTCGGCCGACGAGAAGTGGTGGGGCTTCTCTCCTGGCCCGACAAGACGGAACCCGTACGAGCCCGGGTTGGTGTTCTCGTCGACAATGATGCGGTGGCCCTTGAGGTCAATGTGACCCTTGACGCGGTCCTCGGTCTCGCTCTTGAGGTAGTACAGGTGCGAGCCCTTGAGAACAAAGAAGCGCGTCTTCCAAGTGTTGTACCGCTCGCCACGCTTCTTCAGGTAACCAGTCCTGTCGGGCGTGCCAATGGTACGCAGAGCCGAGCCAACAGCGGCCTGGGGCTGCGACGACACGCGCTTGTCGGGAGTAGCGGCAGTCATGGTGGTAGTGGGCTTGCTGGCGGCGGACGATCCGAGACCAATGCGCGAGGAAGCGCTGCGCTCAGCCGCGCTGGGCGACTGGGGAGGTGGCTTGCGGTTGCGGCCAAAGAAGCTGAGGCGGTCCGATTTGTTGTCGAGGCTGCCCTTCTTCTTGTGCGTGAGCGAGCCGGTCGACTCGCGCTTCACAACAGTGGCACCGCTGGTAGTGGCGGGGCTGACGGGCACCGACGAGGTCGAGAGCGACGGAGCGTGGCCGTTGCCGCCGCCATTGACAGCAGCAATGTGGTTGAGCTTGGTAGGCAGCTCGGCGGCGCGCGACTCCATAGGGTGTGCCTCGTCGATCGCCGGAGTGGACGGTGTCATGCTGACCTTGCGGCCGTGTGCCCATGCGCCGTGGCTGTCGTCAACCACAGGCGACGATGCTGCAGAGTAGGATGGGGTGACCGAGTGCGAGCGCGACGCGCCTCCCCACTGCTGAGACTGGTGGGCGGCAGCAGCTCCCTCGGGGATGGGCGATGGCTGAGCCGACGAGGTCGACAAGGCCGAAGCTGGGCGGCGAAGCTCATTGATAGCCGACGCGATGCGAACGCGCTTGCCAAACTGGGGGATGTCAAGCTCCTTGAGCAAAGTAGCATCGAGCTCGAGAAGGACGTCGCCGGAGATGTCGTGCTCGACAAACTTGCTGCAGATGGACTCGTCAAAGCCCTTGGCTTGCGCCCACTGAACAACATCGTCGACGGTCCACGACGCGGGCGGCTTGGCGGGAATGCCGGCACCCGAGGGTGTGCCGCCAGTGGAAGGCGAGGAGGTTGCGACGGGAGGGGTCGAAATCTGCGCCGCAGGCTGGAGTTGAGGGGTGGATGTTGACACTGGCGTCGAGTGCGTGGGCACTGGCGCCACAGGAACCAGTGGTGTCGGCACCACGCCGGGCGAAGCATGGAGTGAGGTCGAGCGCGCCGAGGGGGATGCAAGGGCCGCCTGGGGCACGGCGGGAGCGGGAATTGACGTCGACGACAGCGAGGGGCTGTGGCCCAAAGGAGGCGTCGAGAGGGGAGGCGTGCGCGATGCCGCAATGGAGCCAACAACGGCTGCAGTGCCAGCGCCAACCAGTCCGGCTCCAGCAGCAAGCGCGCCGACACCAATCTCGGGTGAGCCAGAAACGGAACGAGCAGCCGTCTCGGGCTGGGGCGGGACGCTGTGAGAAGGAGACGAGAGGTCGACAGCAGCGACGGGCTCGGGCTCTGCCACGATAGGGGATGTGGCCGGGAGGATGTGAGTGGCCTCGAATGGCGGGCTGCTTGGAGTAACAGCTGCGACCTTGGTGGGCGACGGGATGGGGGTAGCCTCGTCCGAGATGTCAGGCTTGAGCGTGCGAGTCGAGCTGTTGAGAGCGGTGACGGGCGAGACGGGGGCGTTGTCGCTACCGTTGCCGTTGACGGGCAGGGACGAGGTAGCGAGGGGGCTGCCGCTGACGGCCGTGCCGTTGGGCGTACCGTTGAGGGTTTGCACAGAGTGGTTGAGGCCGGCAGATGAAGGCTCCTCCTCATCGTCGCTCTCGTCCGAGTAGACAAGATCAGCAGCGACACCGCTCTCGCGCTGCTGCTGGCGATCGCGCTCTTCGTTGGCGAGCTTGGCTTGCTGTGCAAGACGAGCACGCGCATCAGAAGCAACGCCCAGAGGGACATTGTCGTCGTCGTCGTCGTCGTCATCGACGTCGGTCTGCGTTGACTCGACCTGTTCGCGCTCGCGAGCCTCGCGCTCAGCCTCTGCGGGGTCCTTGAGCGTGACGCCCTTGTGCACACCGGCAGCGTCATTCTTGGGCGCACCCATGGTGTCAATGGCCTCCTGGACTTCGCCAATGGTGTGGCCCATGACGTTGGTGCCGCCAGAGCGGGCTGCCAGCGCCGCGGCCTGCACTGAGGGTGCCGAATGCGGTGCGCCAGTAATGTCCAAAAGACTGTTGCGGTTGTTCAAGGGCTCGACGACGTTCTTTGCTGCTGCCGCCGATTCGCCGCTGTCGGCGCCAGCAGCACCGGTGAAGGGCGACGCGAGACCGTTAACAGCGGCAGCTCCATCGGGTGCACCCGGGGGAGGGGTTGTTGTCACTGGCGGCGCGTCATGGGGTGAGGGGGGAACTGGGATGGGGGACCCGGACCGCGAGTTTTTCTCTTCGCGACCGTTCGGGCCTGGAGGAGCGCCAGCGCCCACATCGGCAATGTCGTCGATGGGCTCCTCGGAGATGTACGTGGCCGGGAAGAGACCATCTTCGCCCTTGGTGTTGCGTCCCTGTTGGGTGACAAATCAGTATCATGCTACCGTTTTCTCACAGAGCCGCAACCGCAAAGCGCAAGAGAACGCAGGGGGTACCCGCGCTCACACACACTTGGCGTGCCCGGCCCCGCGGCGGTTTGGGTCGCACTTACCTTCCACCAGCCGTCGCCAAAGGCGTCATCCTTTTCAATGACCTCGATCTTCTCGCCTGCCTGGAACTCGAGCTCGTCGCCATGCTCGGCGACAAAGGTGTGGATGGCTGTCACGTAGAGCACCATGGTGAGATCCGTGTTCTGGAGGATGTGACGTAGACCAGAGTACGTGGCCAAGTTGGCCGATGCTGCGGTGAAGGGGTGATTGGGTGGCCCGTGCTACGTGATGACGGGGGAGAGGGTGGTGTTGGTGGGTGGGTGGGTGGGTGGGGTGAGAGATGGAGAGAAAGAAGTGTTGTGTACAAGAGAAGGGATTGGGGGGGAGGGGAGTATAGAGTCGGGAAGTAGGAAGGAGTTGTTGTGGGGGATGTTGGAACGCAGGCAACCAGGAGCGAGATGCAGGAGATGGCCAGGAGGTCGTTGCGCGTGGGATGGTGCGGGGTGGGATTGGCGGATGGGACACTCGGCGGCCAGCGACAGCAAGGACAGAGAGCAAGGCACCGTCGCCGCTATAGCCCAATCGGGAAAGAACAAGGCGGGCAGCGAGCAGCGGGCTGGGCGGCGCGACAGGGAACGGGTCCTGTATGGGATGGGCCACCAGGGTGCGATGGATGGATGGGAGGATGGGTGTTTGGTTTGATTGTGTAAGAGGATGGAGGATGGAGGAGGAGGAGGAAGATGGAGGAGCGAGAGGGAAGACGCAGACAGCGCACCCACACGGCGGGGAGGGAAGGCAACGCAGCGCTGCAACGGCTGTGACCTTTTCCGCTTTTCGGTCCTCCTCTTGACCATTTGTCGTCTCTCGCTCTTCCATCAGCACCACCGGATCGTTGGCCTTTAGCGTGAGACACTGATTGTCAGGGTCATCCTTGCGCTCTCCCTCCAGCCACGTGGCCCCCTCAGCCTGGGTGATCCTGACATTCCGTGTTGTCTCACTCTCTCCTTGCAACGTCACTGCTCTGGCTGCCACCGCGCCGTGTCGATCTCCAGAACGGACACGTTCATCCAACATCTCCATCACATGTCTTTGTGTTCTTGACACATCGCCCCTCATCCCACACACAACTCTCCCAACCTCCCCAACCTCCCCCAGACCCACTGCAATGTCCTCCGTCACCAAAGGTGTCATCCTCGTCGGCGGCCCCTCAAAGGGCACCCGCATGCGCCCCCTCACCCTCGACCGTAAGTACACCCCCAACACCCCCGCCCTTCACCACGCCGAGGTCACCTCTGCCTCCACTCCAAGGAAGCACCAGCTTCCTTCCTTCCGAGCGAAGCAGCAACACGCACACAACAAGACCATGCCCTCAGTCTCTCCCGGTGGCGAGCACGCACTAACATGCAACAGGCGCAAAGCCCCTCCTCCCCATCGCCGGCAAGGTAAGTTGAATGCGCGGAGGGCCAACTGCCCAAATGCAAGCTGACCCGCCGCAGCCCATGGTGTGGCACCCACTCGCGGCACTCGCAAAGGTTCCCGGCCTGTCCGAGATCATTCTGATCGGCTTCTACGAGGACAATGTGATGGCCCCCTTTGTCAAGGAGTCGCAGCGCGAGTTCCCCAACATTCGCATTAGGTGAGCTATCCCAATCAAAGGGTGACAGTACACAGCTCACACCGCAGCTACCTCCGCGAGTACAGGTCCCTCGGCACCGCCGGCGGCCTTTACCACTGTAAGTCGTCGTGCACATTGCCCGGTCTTTCCACCCCAAAGGAAAGCCAGCGCGCAGCTTCAGCCTCAGCCTCCCCGCGTCCGCTAGCTTGCTCGCTTGCTCAGACCCCCCACAACGTGCGTGGCGCTGACCCTCACCCTTCCTAGTCCGCGACTCGGTGCTCCGCCCGCCCGTCCCCCAGCACATCTTCATCTGCAACATTGACATTTGCTCGAGCTTCCCCTTTGCCGAGATGCTCGAGCTGCACAACAAGCACCGCGGCGTCGGCACCATTCTCGGTGTCAAGGTGCGTGTTTTTAATTTAAACTTCCAATTCAATGGGGGAGAGGACCTTTTATTTTCGGCCATTTTCTTGCTCTTTTTTTTTGCTGACGAACCCCCCAAGGTCAAGAAGGAGACTGCCACTCGTTACGGCTGCATTGTCTCGGACCCCGAGACTTCGCAGGTGCTGCACTATGTCGAGAAGCCCGAGAGCTGGATCTCGAACACGGTCAACGGCGGTGTCTACAGTGAGTGTGGAGTGGTTCTTGTGTTCTTGTGTCTTGTCCTTTGGTGGTCTCGTCTTCCCCACTCGGCTCCGAGATCCCGGCCCAACATGCTTGTTAACCATGTCTCGCCTGTTCTCGCCTTGTCTCGCCTCGTCCCGCCTTTGTGTCATTTTGGTCTCACGCTCCCGCTAACCTCCTCCCCCGCCAGTGTTCGACGTGTCCCTCTTTGACGAGATCAAGGTCGCCATGGACCTCAAGGCGACGCGCGCGCAAAACGACCCCCTTGTCCAGCTCGACGAAAACCTCCAACTGGAGCAGGACGTGATTGCGCCGCTGGCGGCCCAGCGCAAAATCTACGTGCTCGAGTCGAACGATTTCTGGAAGCAGATCAAGACGGCCGCCTCTGCCGTGACCGCCAACGCGCTGTACCTCAAGGACTATAGCAAGATCCGCCCCGACCTGTTGTCAAAGGGCGCCAACATCACCGGCCCCGTGTTCATTGACGACAGCGCCGTCATCGACCCCACGGCCAAGGTGGGCCCCAACGTCGCCATCGGCGCCGGCGTGACCGTCGGCGAGGGCGCGCGTATCGCCAACGCCATCCTGCTCGAGAACAGCCTGATCGACAAGCACACCGTGGTCCTCAACTCGATCATTGGCAGCGACTGCCGCCTGGGCCAGTGGGCGCGCGTCGACGGCGAGCCCGAGCCTGAGACGGCCGTCAAGGGCCAGATCTCCGTGTCCGTCCTCGCGTCCGAGGTGTGGGTCGCCCCCGAGACCCACATCCGCTCGTGTATCGTGCTCCCCAACAAGTCGCTCGGTAAGAGCGCCGCCAACCAGGTGCTCCTTTAGAACCAGGCCGCCGCCGCCATAAACCACCTCACCGCAAACTCCAAACTAGACTGCACGCTCCTCTGATCCTCTTGACTTGCCCTTTTTCTTGTGCGCCACGTTCATCACCCTTTGGTAGACCAACCCCCACCACCCCACCACCCCCCTTTATCTGTTTCCCGATTTCATTTTCCCGGCATTAAGGCGCCGCGCATGCATGGACGTATCTGGGGCTGTGCTGTATCGCAGAGAAGAGAAGAGAGATTAATGGGCGCCGGCCGGGCGTGAGCGTGAGGTTGGGGTGAGTTTGCGTGCGTGTGGGTTCGTTTGTGTTGTGCTGCGTTGCGGGTGCGTCTACATCTCCAACAGGCTGTTTGTCCGTTAGCTCGGGGCTCACATCCCTTTTCTATAACGTACCGATCAATAGCCATGCCCAGGTCGTCGCCACAGCTCGCCAGCACGGCGCCCACAATCTCCTCGTCGAGCGCAGGGAACATTTGATGGAGGGTGAGGACACTGGCGCTGCGCGCCTGTTCGCGCGCATACGCCTCGTGGCTCGCCTCGATCGTGCTCTGCATCGCCAGCTGCTGCTGCTGCTGCTGTTGCTGTTGCTGCTGGGCGTGGAAGTGGGCCGCCTGGTGCGCCTCGTACGCTTGTTGCTGCGCGGCGGCGTATTCGGGCGTCGGGGTGGGCTCGCGCGAGGTGTTCTCGGACACGCTGGGCGACAGGCCCAGCTGCGCGAGGAGGCGGGAGGGGGGCTGCGCCTGGTGTTCCGGTGCGCGTGTGGGCGTGTCCATGTGCTGCTGGTGCTGCTGCTGTCCATGTGGCCTGAGGCGGTTCATGTTGACGGGCATGGGCCCACCAGGCGCGTGGTGCCGGCGTTCAGCCTCGCGGTCGCGTGTCCCGCCGGGCGCCCACCGGTCGACCACCTCGTCGTCGCCGCTCTCGCTGCCCTCCTCGTCGGCTGCCGCCTGCATGTTCTCCAGAATCTTGCCAATGGCCGAAATCGGGCGCGAGACGGCTTCCTTGGCCGCGTCGCCTGTCCGCTGGAAGAAGCGCTTGGTCCCGTCCAGCGCCGCGCTCGTGTTGGGCAGCTGGAGCGCGCGTGCCGGCTCCTCGCCTGGGGAAGTGGCAAAGGGGGACATGTCGGAGCGCTCGGGGGCCGAAGCGCGTGCTCGTGGCGAAGTGGGCGAGGCCGGCAGCTCCTGGATCGCCTTTTCGACATTGAGCTCAAACTCTTCTTGCGTAATGTTCGACAGTGACGACGCGTCCATCGTCTCGATAAAGGCAATGGCACCTTGCAAGGACGAGAGGTAGTAGCCAGCCTCGCCCTGGAGCTTCTCCGGGTTACGGAAGCGGTTGATGTATCTGGGCACATGTCAGTTGCAGTTCTACTTTCCGCAACTTACTCGACGTTGGACAGCATGTTGTCGGGGCTAGCGCGCAGCACCACAAAGATAAGAATGGGCACAAACGCATCGGCTCCAGCAGATCCTCCCTCGGTGTGACGAATGAGGCCTTGGAGAGGTCAGCTATACCCTGAAGGAACGACAGCTCACCAAAGATAACCTTGCAGCAGTTGAGGATACAGATCATCTTGTCACGCGGCGCCTTGTAGTGGTTGATCTTGAGCAGTTCTGGTTGGGTTAGCCTCAAACGTTGGGAGGATTCGCGGAACCCACCTTGCTCTGCAAAGCCGAGGAAGCCCAGCGCGGCCTCGCCCTCGGGAACGTCCAGGTGGCGCTCGCGCACCCAGCCAAAGAGGTGGACACGCTGCGCAAACACGGCGTCGCGTTCAAGGTCGTCGGTGGTGATGGTTTGCGCGGCGGTGAGCTGCGGCGTAAAGGTGCTGGTCGCAGGTTAGCCAACGAATTTGACATGTGACCTACTATGGATACAGCCTGTTCATGACAAGCTTCTCCATCGCCTCGAGGGCGAGGTCAAACTCGGCCGGGGACTGGGACCGCCAGGGCTCCACGAGCTTCATCTTGTCGCCGATAAACTGGGTGTGTCAGTGTCTCCGCGCTAGTTGATCCGAGGGGAGCGACGCTGTGGCCCTGGAGGATATGCTTCTGTACTTGCGTCATGCCCGGCTCACACGCGCTCTGAGCATGATGCAAGCTGGTAGAGCAACCCAGGCATGTTCTCCAAGGCCAAATCAAGCGAAGACAAGCCAGGGAGCTGTCATGCCGCTGCCAACCGTGCGCCGAGCTCGACGACACCGCTCCCGGCACCAGAACGGCCTCGTCTCTCCTCACCGTACTCACTGCCAAAAAGTCTCGGATAAGTTTAATCTGCTCGTTGACGGTGAACGGCTTCTTGGCAAAGTTGGTAAGGAAGCTGCACTGTCAGCCATGTTGCCAAGTGCCGGTCCCGCTGAGCGACCTCTTCCAATCGCCTCAAACCCACCTCTTGAGATACCGCGCGACCGGATCAGCACTCTTGGTCCGGAGGTCCTTGAGAAAGCCCGCAAAGTTGAACTGGGGCTCGCCACTGGGCCCTTGCCCCTCTCCCTCTGCCCCACCTTCTCCCCCTCCCCCTCTTGCTCCGTCCCCCCGTCGCCGGGGCGTGGTCGACCCCGCCTCGCTCGGGCTCTGGCCGGGACTAGCGCTCGCAGCTGCAGGACTCGTGCCGGCGCTCGACACGTCCTGTACACGCCTCACGGGGCCTGCGAGGGTACTACCCGCCGCCGGCGTGGTCGTGACGGTCGGCCGTGGCCGCTCGCTGCGCCTGGGAGCCGGGGGCGGCGTCGCGAACGGGTCAAACTCTTCCAGACCAGCCGCGGCGCGCAGGTACTCTGGAGTAGCCTTGACCTGGCCCTGGCCCGCGCTGCCGCCGCCGGTCGACGCGAGGCCAGACGACGAGCTCGCGCTCGTGGAAGTTGCCGTCGACGACCCGGCCGGCGCGGGTGTGGGCGCGGGCGTGTGCCCCCCGTCCACGTCCAGTCCCAGCGTCTCGGGGATGGCGGGGTCCGCTGGTGGCTTGCTCGGTGCAGACGGGATCGAGGCCGCGCGCGTAGGCGCTGGAGTGGCCGTGGCCGTGGCCGTCACGGCTCCCAGGGCTGGTGCTGGTGTGCTGCTGGCGGTATCGGACAGAACGGCGGCGGCAAGCGGCAAGCTGGAGCGGCGTGGTGGCGAGGCAATGACTTGCGTGTCAGGCGGGAGAGGTGCGGTGGAGGAAGGTGTTGAGGGAGACACAGACACGGTCGAGGAAGGCGGGTGCGAGGAAGGCGGACTGGTGGGTGACATTGTTGTCGGTGTTGACGCCGACGCCAACGCCGGGGCCGGGTTGGGCGTTTCCCGCGCAGTGGACACGGGGTCGACGGCTGGGGACGTGGCCTGCTCGGCAGCAGTCACGTCGTCGCCAGCGCTACCTCCTGCTGCAACTCCCTCGTCCAGCGTCACTGCCAGAGCCGACGCACCATCCTGCACAGGCGCAGGTCGGGGTGGCGAGGCGAGGTCGACGACCGCCGGGTCGGTATCCGTAGAGCTCATGTGCCCAACGCTTTGCCCGCTGTCTAATGGGCCAACACGGAGGTGGTGTATCCTTGCTTGCGTGCTAGCTTGCTGTGTTATGCGCGCACGCTTGCAACCGATGCTCGAGGAGATGGTATATGTGAGTGTGTGCGAGGGAGTGTGACACACCCAATGAATACAACAACGTCCAGCTCGTGCGTGGCCGCTGGCCGGCAGGAGGAGATGCCGCCGCCGTGCGCACAGTGGGGCCCAACAGTCACCTTTGTCCGCAGCCAAGAATGCGCAGGCGCACGCAGGGCACATGCTGCACCGCTCAACTCGGGGCAAATGCAGAGAGAGTGGCGTGCAAAATGCGACACGGTATAGATGGCAACGCAGACCCTCTTACCATGCATACATACGACCCACTCTGGCACCACCTCTAACGTGCTCCGTGGCTGCCTCTCGCCTATCTCTGCGCCTCTGCATCATCCTTCACTCAATCTGTGCTCGCCACCGTTCCACAGTTCCAGGATTCCGCCACGTGGAACTTCACACGCGTTTCTGGGCGTCGTACGTCAGCGCGACCTCATCGTATCACCCACACCACTTGTCCCCCTCGCCCTACTCCCTTGTGCCTTTGCTGTTCGTTTCCTTTTTGCAACTCGTCAAACTCATAACATCGCCCAATGAACGGCCACGAGGCTAGACTAGCGCGGCATATATGTCTTTGGTAGGGGAGATGGGTTATGCCACGGCAACTACGGAGAGAAAGCGAGAGATAGAGACAAAGAGCGATGGGGGAAGAACACTCTCAGGTATCAATGGGAGGTTGTGCCGGACGTAAGGGGGGGTGGAGGGGAGGTACGGGGAAAGGTAGGGGTGGGTGGGGGGGTGGTGGCAGTACAAAAGAGGGGGCGGAGAACTGGGCACGTTACGCAGCTGGAGTGCGCGTCTAGAGAACGACACAGGGCTTCTTCTTGCCGTTCGAGGGGCGGCTCTTCTTGGACTGGAGAGGGAGGGGGGTTGTTGTCAGCTGTGTGTGTCTTCAGAGTTCCCAACAGGTGGACCTACCGAAAGAGCGTAGCGGGTGGCGGTCTGGAAGACCTCGCGGACACCCTCGCCCGACTTGGCCGAGCACTCGACGTAGCCGGCGGCGCCAATCTTCTGAGCGACGGCGAGACCCTCGGCGCGCGAGACGGGGCGCTGGTTCATGCGGGCCAGGTCGGCAATGGTCTTCTGGTCGTCGCGGAGATCCTTCTTGCACGCAACGAGGATGATGGGGAGGCCCTGGCAGAAGTGCAGCACCTCGGAAATCCACTTTTCTTGGACGTTGTCGAGCGAGTCGGGCGAGTCCACGGCGAAACAGATGAGGATGACGTGCGAGTCCGGGTACGAAAGGGGACGGAGACGGTCATAGTCCTCCTGGCCGGCGGTATCCCAAAGGGCCAGCTCGACCTTCTTGCCATCGACCTCGACGTCGGCAACGTAGTTCTCAAAGACGGTAGGGACGTAGACCTGTGCGGCAGTTGCGTGTCAGTTACAAGAGCAGAGAGTAGTTGCGCGCACGGGCCACGCGTCACTTGTCCCGCCATTTTGGCAGTGCACGCACCTCGGGGAACATGCCCTTGGAGAAGACGATAAGGCTGGGTAACACGGGTCAGCAATGGTGTCCCGACAATGCGTGCTTGGCGCGAGAGGGTAGCGCATTTTGAGCGCGCAAAACACGGATTGTTCTGCAACAAAGCGTGTGCCTCGTCACACCCCTCCCCTCCCCCTCTCCCCTTGTCTTCCAGTGGCCCATCAATCACATTCTGATGGCCAGCAGGATGCAAATAGAGCTCAAGGGGGGATGGGCGGCGGCGGCGATGGCGTTGGCGGCGCGATGGCAAACAGGGTGTCACGCGCGCGCGCTCGGGGCAGGCCCGGGGTGCGCCTCCGCTCTTTGGGCGGCGGTGCAAAACTCACAGACACGTCTTACCGCACGCGCCGTCGCCTGTGGAGTGTCAGCGCATTGTGTCTTGTGATGGGGCGGTGGAGGGGGAGGGAGAGCAGGGTGATGGTGAGGGGTGTTGGCGGCGGCGCGATGGCAGGGAGGAAGCGTTGATGGTGGGTCGTTGGGTGGTGGTCGTTGGTGGTGGTCGGTGGGTGGGTGGGTGGGGTGGGTGGTGTCGCCGCTGAGCCAAACGCGGTGTGCGGGCGGGAAAGGCAGCGAGGGGGCTGTGGGAGTCGCAACGCGGTGGCCGAGCAAGGGAGGGGTGGGGGTGTGATAGTTGGGACGTGGAGCTGCTACGTACCGACGATGACGAGCTTGCGCCTGATCTCTCCGGACATTGTTGTTAAGAGTTGACGGGTGGGGAGTAAGGAGGGTGAGGAGGAGAGAGGTTGGGGAGAGGGGGTGTGAGGATGAGATGGAGGTGGGTGGGTTGTGGGTGGGAGGTGTGTGTGGGTGGATGACGATTGGGGTTAAAGAGAGACGGTCGATGGCAAAAGAGGGGGGGGAGAGCAGGAGCACACAGGGGGGGGGGCACACGCGCGGGGGCGGGAGAGGGCCCACCGTACACCCGTATGCTGGGTACGCTGGGTGCGCGCGCTGGCTGCTGGCTGGGATGGCGGGTGTGTGCGGCAGCGGCTGCCTGGCTGGGACGGTCGTTATTTATCGGGCCCTCCCCGTTAACCCGCCGAGCTTGATCTAATGGAGACACCGCCTCATCGCCCCCGCCCCTCTGCCCCTAGAGCACCGTACACCGTCACAGCCAGCGGCCACAGCGGCCACAGCGGACAGCCAGCGGGGATATCGCCGATGTGGCAACCGTCTGTCCCCCCCGTGTTTCACGTGTCTGTCGTGCGCGCACGCGGCCGACGCGTCGCACATACAGCGGCAACCGGCTGCTGCACAGGTGCGCACAGCTGCGTCTTGGCAGCGTGCGGGGCAGGCGGTACATGGTATCATGGACATTGCTGATGCCCCCGTATTAATGCTGTGGCCGTACATGCGATTCGTCCTTCACACAGAGTCACATCCACCGCAAAACGTCCCAGGCTCAGTACTACCAGTTCTACCAGTTACACCCGGCAACAGGCAGAACTGACGGAAGAAAGACAACGGGGGAAGGATGGAACCGGGGAAGGCACACCTATAGGGAAGACACGGAGGGAAAGGTGGCAGCTGATACGAGTTGGACAGTTGCCACATTGCATCTGCAAACACCAGCATCTATAGACTACAAACGCCTGCCCCCGTTCTTGCATCCTCGCGGTGCTCTGGATCGCCACAACGCATCGGGTTCGTTCGCACATGGTAACCGATGCCAAGCTTCCGCGTGGCGCTCGGCTGTTGAGCTCCACTCCAAAGCGCCAGACGGAGTCGCGAGCAAGGGGCGTTCTGGTAGCCATCGATGGTGCTGGTGCTGACTACGAAACCACTGTTTTGGGTGAGGAGTCAGTCTGTCGGCCGTCCCACAGTTGCAACCACAATCGACCAGAAGAACGCGTCACGTTGAGCAAACGACACCCCCCCCCAAGATCCACCCATATGCGTGCACCACCCTATCCTTCCTCTGGCAACAAGCACGCATGCCCAGGCTGCGCACCCGTGGTCATATCTGCACAGCGTGCATGAGCGTAAAAACAGTCCCTATCTTCGTCTCTCTCAAAAGTCTAACAACGCCACGAAAAAAAGGGACGAACCGACCGTCGTCTCCTGTCGCCGTCCCCTTCGCGGACACACGTAACACCACCTATGCTCTACTCTCGACCACCCATGGGTCATGGGCCCCGGGCCAAGAGTTACAGGGGCGCAATGATACTGCTCGACTTTGAGTCGGAGATCTAGAGAGGGTGGGGTCAGTTTGCTGTGTCTGCGCGAGAGCCATTACGCATGTCCTGATACGTACAGTGCGCAGCACATAGTCGTCGCCGGCAGTGGTGATGTATCGGACCCACGGGAGCTGGAAAAGAAAGTCAGTTGCAAGGTCACACTCGACAAGTGAATTTAAACTGACCGCCGTGTATCCGCTGCGGTCGACGATTTTGAGGTAGCGCACCTGGACTAGGGAGAATGTTAGCCATATGCACTCTTCCAGAAATCCCTTTGATACTCACTGCCCGAGGTGGTAAAGTAGGGAATCTCAAACTTGACCGATATAGGTGCGCGCTTGTCGAGGTCCTCGCCAGCGACGCTGAAGGATGGGTTAGCGAGTGTGTTCCATTTGCCAGTCCGGGAGTCAACTCACGACGGCAGTCCAAAGTGTGCGCGCATGAGGTAGTCCTTGCCACCACCCTGTGGAAGAAGAGTCAGCGCTATCACTCCCTCCCCACACACCCCACACGTACCAGCTGCTTAATCTTCCAGATGAAGCACGACTTTTCGGGAGCGTACACGACCGAACCTGTAGCCGCACGGAATTTGGGGCTGTCGGCATCGCCTGGGACGGGAACATAGATTTCGACATTGTTGGCTGTTGAGCGGCGCTTGAACTGGCCACGGACCTTGACCATGTACTCTACACGGGAGCCGCGGTACGACTCGACCGACGCCTCGACCCACACAAGCGGCTTGACCGGTGTGGACAGGCGATAGGACATGAGCTCAAACTCGCCGTCGGGCGGGATAAAGCTGATGGTGCGGTCATTCTCAAACCGCGACAGACGGACACATTGGTGAAACTTGACGTCCTCCATCTCGATCGACTTGCCGCGCGCACTCCGGCCGGTGCTCTCAAACATGACCTTGTCGTTGAGACCCAGGCGCAGCTCGGGCATTCCCGAGAGGTAGCACTTCATCTTGACGGCACCCAGAATCTCCGAACGGATAACGTTGCCAGACGCATTGACGAGCATGTTGACCGACTCGACAACGTCGAGGAACACTTCGTTCTTGCGGTAACGGATGCCCTCGGAACGCCACGAGACGGCATTGGTGACGGCCATGGGCGGGCGCACCTGCACCTCGAGCTTGTGCGACTCCTGCGTAATGTATTCCTGGAGAATCTTGGACTCGGTCGTCTGCGGGAAGCCAAAGTCCATCATCTCGTCGAGCAGCTCGTAGATGATGACAAAGTTGTCGCGGATAGACTCCTCCTCCACCTCCTTGAAGTACTCGGTCAGCACCGATACCAGGCGATGCAGGAAGAGGATGATCTCGGCAGCGTTCGAGTTGCGCTTGGACATGGCAAGGACTGGAGGGAGACGGTGGTGTTAGTGTGGAGGAAACAGACGGTGCGCGAGTGCGCGAGGACGAGGGAGACCACCCACGGTAGAGGTTGTTGTGTCGGATGTGCATGTAGTTGATGCCCTCGTCGGAGAAGCATGGCTGGACGGTAACGTTCTCCTCCTCCATGTCGAGCACAAGCGGGATGAACCGCTCGACATACGACGTCGGCACGTCGTCGCGGTACGACCGCTGGATGAGGGACTGAATGGGTTGTCAGCGGGAGCTGCTGCAGAGACGAGTGCCTGCAGTCTTTACGAACCTTTCCCTTGACATCAAGGATAGCGACTGGAGGGTCAGCACGAATCTCAATGAACTAGTCGACGACGTACCAAGGCTCGCCATGGCGGGGGCAGGGGATAGAGGGATGCAGAGGAGGATATGGTCGTCATTGACTGCGTTGAGCGTGTCGAGGTGGACCACCACCCATTGCGTCCTCCACCCGTTTTGTTATCCGGCCCACCCCGTTTGTCGCGTGGCTTCCGCGCCTGGCCCTGTGACGCGACGCGCCCGATTGCTCTGCGCCGGGACGGACGGTACGAGCGACGGTGCTGGCAACGCACAGGCAGAGGCGGGTTTGGTGCATTCAGTCGCATTCATTCACCACCACCTGTTGCTCTCTTCCTCTCTCATCCCTCACCGCTTTCTATCTGTACCTTGTCCAACATGTCTGCTCCCCAGGAAGTAGGTAGACTTCCCTCCTTTCCGCACCTAGCTCACGCTCACGCTCCAGGACGACCTCCTCCCCACCCAGACCGAGGGCTACAAGGCGGGTATCCGACTGCATAACTGTCTAGGTCAACCCGGGGACTAACAACGCAGATCGGCCAGCAGAAGACCGTCGCTGAGCTCGCTGCTCTTGACCAGGTATGTTGCTCGCCCTGTGCCCCACACCCCATGGACACTGGTGCTGTGCTTGCGCTTCATCCTGGACAGCACGCTCGCGCCGCCAGGGGGCAGCCGCGTCCACATCTCGTACGAGTCACTGACACTTGTACAGGAGGACGAGTCGCTCCAGCGCTGGAAGGCGTCGCTCGGTCTCAACACTGCCGGCGGCAACGGTCTCCCCAAGAAGGTATGTTCTGTGGCCTTGCCACCACTCGCCTCACCACAGTTCACTGATGCTGACAACACCCAGGTCGTGCCCAAGACTCTCTTCCTCACCTCGCCTACTCGCCAGGGCGACGTCATTATTGACCTCACCAACGCTGCTGCCGAGAGCGCACGACTCAAGAAGGACCCTGGTGGGTAACATGACACCTGAAGCCCAATACCCAGCTAACGCGACACCCAGTGCTCATCAAGGAGGGCGTCGACTACTCGGTCGGTGAGTTGCAACCACTCGATTCTGATCGTCGCTAACTCTTCAGGCATCTCCTTTGTCGTCGAGAACGAGATTGTCTCGGGCCTGCGTTTCCTCCAGGTCGTGAAGCGTGCCGGTGTCACTGGTACGTTCTGTCTCGTTGGCCCTCCCTCTATTGTGGAGGGGCTGTGCTGATACGCTGTGCTGACCCTGTGTTTTAGTTGACAAGGTCCGTCCTCTCCGGGAACGAATCCCAATGTCCGGGGGTCCCAGGCGCCCCCCGCCATGGGAAAGACACAGGAATGCTGACAAGTGGTACAGACCGAGGCCATGCTTGGCTCGTACGGCCCCCAGCCCGAGCCCTACACCAAGGTGGTGAGTGCAGCTGAATCACGCTGAATGTAGGTAGCTGACACATGCGCCCAGTTTGCATCGGAGGAGTCGCCTTCGGGCATGCTCGCCCGCTCGGGCTCGTACACTGTCAAGACGCGCATCGTCGACGACGACAACAACAAGTGGCTCAACGACTTTGAGTGGAGTGAGTAGAACGATTGTTGTTGGCTGCGTTCATTCGGTTTTGGTGGAGGCCAGACCAAGTGTATCAAGGGGGCAGCCCCTTGTGGCGCACGCATGGGCCATGGAGAGTCGCACGAGCCCCATCGGCCAGCGGAAGTGGCTGGGGTAGTGTCGAGCGTGGCCCTTCGCATGCCTCGCACTCTGGCAGCGACGGCGGCGGCCAACTTTTGCGCAGACGGGGAACAATGTGGCGCGCCGTCCAATTGTGCTTTTTTTTTTGTGGCAGTTTGATCTAACCACCGCCACAGCCTTCAAGATCAGCAAGGAGTGGTAGAAGGTTCACCTCCACCTGTCCCGGCATTGGCTTCTGTGGTGTCCCCTCCTCCGGTGCCTTTGCCTGCAACCTGCACACTGCATTTCTTACCGCCCTTCCCACCTTGCATCCCGGTTCGAAAACACCCCACCCCCCTCCAAAGACATTGGCCGTCGCGCGTCTTGTCCATACTACCTTTCTTTTTTGCTTCTTCCCCCTCCTTCGAATCGACGGGCGAGGAGAGGGAACGGAGCTGTCGCGCCGTACCGCTCCTCTCCGTTAGTTTAATGTAATGTTGTCCCTGTCCAACAACGAGACCAGCACTAGTGTTCTGGCCTTTGGCTGCTATCGTCACAATTCGTTGCATCCCATCAACACCTAGTACTCTGAACCCTCGACGCTAAACGTCTTTGCGTATTTCAGGTACTGCAGCATGATTTGCTAGAAAAAGGGAGCTGGGTCAGCTTTGAAGGGTCCGGCCAAAACAGCTGTTGCACTCACGAAGATACCTTCCGGGAGGTTCATACTCAACAGCGTGTACTCAATCTTACTCAGCCCGTGCGTCAGGCCCAGGCGGTAGATTGCGTGGGCGATGGCAGACGGATACACGCTCTCCATGTACCAGCGGTGGTAGTAGGCGGTGAGCTTTGTGGCGGCGTTCAAGGTCCGGTTGAGGTCGCCGTCGAGCGAGTACATTTCCAACAGGCGCAACAGGGCGCGCGACGAAAACTTGGCCGTGAGACAACGCTGGAAGGCGTCCTTGGCCTCCTCCTTGTGGTGCATGCGCAGGGCGAGCTCGCCGAGAATCTCCCACTGGGACAGCATCAGCTTATGTCCCGTCACGCGCGGAAAAGCTCACCTCGTAGCCTGTTTTGCTGTACGACATGTGCTGGGTCTGGAAATGCGAAATCTCCGCGCGCCAGATAGTGTACACGCGCAGATCCTCGTAGAGAACAAGGAAAAGGTTGTCTGGAGAGTTAGTACGGCAGCCTTCTACCAACTCCTTACCAAGCCAGCGCTCGCACAGGCGCTTGTTTGAAAATGCCGAACCCTCAAAGCCCTCTTGGCCGTCCTTGTCGGTATTCTCGTCTGGGGCGTGCTTGAGCGACTCGGGCTTCTCCAGAGTGGGGGCGGTGACGACTGTCTCCTTTTGTGCTGGTGCGTCAGAGGCACTGCCGCCATTGAGCGTAGCCTCGTCCGCTGCCGAGTCGATCGAGACGCGGATGGAGGGGATACCGCCATCGCTGCCTGCGTCGGGCGAGTGGATGCCGCGCGTGGACGCGTCCTCGTCGGCATGGCCATTCTCCTCTCGCCTGCCAGCCGCGGCCGGTGCCGAGATGCTGCCCACAGGGCCGTCCATTGACGCCGTGGTCTTGTGCTGGCGCCATTCCTCCTCCATGACAAAGACAGCGCTCCTGGTCTTGAGCAGCTCGTCCCATCCGACCTTGGACACGAGGATTGTGAGCAGGTGGTACGCCTTGGCAAACGTGCCACGAAGACCGGGAGCGGGCAGACGCAGGAGCGCGACATCGGCCTCGTTGTCGCGCGCAGAGTCCTCGTCCAAGAGGCTCGACTCTGCGATAAACTTCTTGACGGGGAGGTGTGTGCGCGCCGGGGCCGGTAAGCGGTGCAGGTCGCGCTCGTTGTAGGTAAACATGGGGCAAGAGTTGAGCGTCAGAAGAGCCTTGTCAAACTGGCCCAACTCGATGTGGGCCTCGGACAGCTTGGCCCATGTGAGAAACTCGGATGGCGCAGAGTTGACGGCCTGCTGAGCGACTTGCAGCGCCCACTCGGCCTTACCCTTGGACAAGAGGAAATCGACCTGCGCGAGAAGAATAGGGTAGCTCTGGGGAGCCTTTTGCAGTGCCGAGTGCATGATCTGGACAGCCTTGATCTCCTCGTCTGCAATGGGTCAGCGTCCCTCAGGAGTCAGATGACCCACTCATTCCAATGTAGCTCTTGGCTACTAGCGCTGCGACCTCGGGCTCGCGAGCGTACATGCGCTCAAAGAGGTTGGCTGCACGCTCGAGGCGGAACGAGTCGGAAAAGTACTTGAGGACACCAGCAGTGAGGTGGTTGGACGCCGTCGTGGCCACCTGCACCTCGGGGTCGGATCCCAGCTGCCATCCTGGTCGGGTTAGCTGCGGTGCGGAGTCATGGTACCCACCCTTGAAGAGAGCTCCTCGGCCGCCTTCAGGAAGCGCACCTCGCCATCGACGGTCGTGATCGGGTCGAGCTTGCGGTATCCTGCCAGACGGTAGGAGGCGTCGTCGGCATAGAGGATGGAGCGGAGGAGGGCAGAGAGGTAGGTCTCGAGCCACAGCTCTGGTGTCGCCTCATGCCGCTCACCGCGCAGGTCGACGACGTACGCGTCCACGCCACCGGGAATGCGCGCCTCAACGCGAATGTCGACGCGAGAAAACGCGTTAAAGCAGCTGCAGCATAAATGTCAGCGAGGGAACAAGACGCGCGCACGCGCGCAGTTGGCGAGGTTCTGACCAGTAGGTGCCCATCCGGACGCGCCAGCCGTTGGTCTTTCCGCCAAACCATGCTTGCGCCTCGTCAACGTGGAACTGGAGGCTGTTGATGTATGCCGCAAGGGATGCCGACGAAGACGCTTCCACGCCGGAACTAACAAGAGTCAACAAAGCTTCATGACCAAAAGGCGTTCCTCATCCTTACCAGTAGTGATAGCTCCCGACGTCCTTCTGGGCGCCCTTCGGACCGTGCGACTTGACGACGTGGCAGAGGTCGGGCGGGCCAAGCTCACGGAAGGATGCTGAGCGCGGGGGTCAGCAGTGTCGGTGAAGGAGTAGAGGAGGAGAACGTACCGAGCGTCTCTGTACGGGCAGTGACCGCCTCGCCTACTTCGGTCTGTGATGGAGAGTTAGCGGAGGGTTCAGAGGTGTGTTGTGTCGGCGGCGCGGAAAGCCGGATGACCGCAAGAGCACGGGTGGCCAGGTGAACGGGATACGTACCTCTACAAACTCTGGGATGTCCTTGAATAGTTCAGACATCCCTGTTTAGCTGCGAGGACGTGGGGGATGGGTTGGAGAGAAAGGTGGGTTGTTGGAGGGACGGGATTGAAACGAGACGTCGAGATGACCGGGAAGGGACGACCGACCGACTGTCACGTCGACGCGCGCGGGCCGCAGAGACACATGGGGGTTATATCCTCCGCGTTGTGTTTCCTAACGACATTCCTATTGCTATTGCTCTCTATCTCTCTCTCCCTTCCACCCATCCAACATGACCTCTTCGCCTGGGATCGAGGTACGCTCCCCACCCCTCCTCATGCAGCACGCTCCCAACAGCTCACATTCTCCCTCCCAGCTCGTGCTCGAGACTCCAGGCGCTGGGCCATCGCGCCGTGCTCCGTCCACCCCGCCGCCGCTCCCTGACCCCTTGTTGGACGAAGACGACGAGGACGCCGACCGCGAGCTGTGTGCGTACCCTCCTCCATACCTGTCTCGCTGTACCATGCTTACGATACAGTTCTGCGAAGGCAAAAGGAGTACACCGACCTGGAGCGGTCGGTGGAGGTGAGCGGCACTGTCTGGTTCACCAAGCTAACGCCAAGGCCTCTGCCGAGCTGCTGACGTCGCTGGCCTCGTATCTCACCACTTTCCAGGACAACCTGTCCGACGTCTCGGGCCAGATTGCCGACTTGCAGGCGCGGAGTGACGAGATTGAGAGGCAACTGAAGGGACGACGCGTGGGTGTTTGGCGCCATCTGCTGCGCAATAATACATTGTCACTGACCTAAACGCAGGTCATCCTGCCACCTCTGAATGCGCTGCTGTCCGACCTCATCATCCCGACCTCCCTCGTGCTCACGATCCGCGACACGGAGCCAAGCGCCAACCCCACTCTGTGGCTACAGGCCGTTGCTGAGCTCGAGGACAAGATGGTGGCCGTCAAGTCGCGCGGCAGCAAGGTCAAGGCTGCGCGCGAGCTCGAAAGCGTCATCGAGGGCCTGTCGCTCAAGGCAATGAATGCCCTGCCGCCGTTCCTCCTCACCCTCATCCGCCCACTTCGCTCTGCCTCCAAGGGCCTGAGTACCAACTTGGCGGTGATGCAGACGTCTCTGCTGCTCAAGTATCAGCCGTTCTACGCCTTTCTGTTCCGCCAGTCGCCCCGACACGCCAAGCAGGTCGAGCGCGGCTACGCCAATGCGGCGCGCGCATACTATGAGACGGGCATGAGGCGATATTCACGTGCTCTGACTCAGGTCCGGGCGCGCGTGGTGGAAAAGCACGAGCTTGTCGGCGTCGTCAGCTCTGAAGAAGCCGCAGCGTCGACTGGCAAGACCCCCGCCAGCGTCAAGCAAATGTACGAGCGGCTCCAGTTTGCCGATCTCGACATTGACGGCGATGCTGGCGCGGTCATTCTCGCGTACATGGTCGACGACAAGGAGCTGACTGTGCCCATCGAGGCACTGTTCCGCTCTCTCGGTCTCGTGCTGCTCGACAATGCCTCGGCAGAGTTTACCTTCCTCGTGCGCTTCTTTGCACCCACCTCGATCACACCATCGTCGGCCCAGCACCGCGAACGTGTCCGGTCACACGAAACGACCCCTGTCGACTCGCCCGTCCTCGGCCCCGTATCCGAGGCAGGTCGCTCACGTGTCGGTCGGCGACGGAACGGCGCGGCCGCCACGCCAGACCCATCAGAGGGCCTCAAGGAGGCCGAGCGGATCTGGCACGAGGTGTTCGACTCGGCCCTCGAGTACTGCACAGCCTTCTTTACCACCACTCTCACCCCGACTCCTCCCAACTCGATCCCCTTGCTCACCCTCATTCGCCTCAACGACAAGCTCATCGCCACCGCCGAGAGCCGTGGCGCGTCCCCACTCGTGCCATACCTCACGGGCTGGAAGATGCAGCTCTGGCCCCTGTACCGCAAGTCGATGGACGCGCATATCGAGAGTATCAAAGTCCTCGCCGACCAGGCCGAGGGTAAAGGTATTGCCGGGTTCATCGGCAAGGGTGTCAAGGACGGGCAGGTTCGCGCCGTGGCTGTCAAGTATGCCGCCGTGTTCTCGTGTGTCGTTGCGTTGTCAGACGAAGCAGAGGAGGCCATGATGTTTTCGAGGTGAGTCTCTTTGCCTCGACCACCCTACTCGTTTTACTGACACCCTTGTCCAGCACGACACGCATGCGTACCGAGCTCGTGCGCCTTGCGCAGACCCAGGCCAACAAGATCAAGGACGTGGCCCAGCGCCACTCGTTCCTGTCCTCCATTTACGAGGTCGTCATGCGGGAGCTCGTCGCTGGTCCCGGCGCGCCCACGCACCCGCGTCTCCAGAGCGAGCTATCGTTCTTCCGCACGCGCGAGGAGGAGGCGCGGAGGAGGATCGCGCAGCAGTGAGCGTGAGCCTGACTGCCGCCGGCGCCGGCACTAGCCTTCATTTTAATCAAACGAGTAGAACAAGTGAAAAGACCACAGGTGGGATCGCTTGTTACATGGATGCATATTTTTTCTCCTCGCGTACAGCAGGGCCAGGCATGGTCGTATGTTGGCACTGGCACGCGGCAGCGTAGGCTACACACAGGGGCCTTAAAAAACAACTGAAGAAAACGAGTTGCGCTCTAAACCTCCTCATCGTCGTCGTCCTCCTCGGCACCAGCAGCGGCACCACCCTCTTCGGCATCCTCGTCGTGGCCCTCGACGTCGTCCTCGTCGTCGTCGCCACCCTCAAACTCGCCGTCGTCCTCCTCGTCCTCGTCCTCATCGTCGTCGCCGTTCTGGAGGCCGGCAGCGGCGAGAGCCTCGGCCTGGGAATGTGTGTGAGCCAAGTGCGGGAAACAGAGGGGGGTAGGAGGGACGAGAGGCAGTGAACGCAGCACACTGTGAAAGCACACCAACAACTAAGGGTGGATGCACACTGCCCGCAGAGATCACTCCCTCGTCCTGTCCAGACACGAGCCCACTGCCCACTTACCGACGAATAGTCCACCTGCTTACGCCTACGGGTACCACGAACGATGAGCTCGTCGTCCGAGTCGTCCGAGTCATCGTCATCCTCCTCCTCCTCGGGCTCCTCGGGGGCGGCGGTGGACTTGCCCTTGCCCTTGTCGACGGGGGCGGCGGTCTCAGCCTCCTCGGTAGCCTCGGCGTCGTCGGTCTTGGCCCTGGGGTAACAGTCAGTCACTTGAGATTCCATCCATCCATCCACGAAGGCAGGAAGGAGAGGACGATGGGGAGTTTGCACGACGCGAAAGGGCCGTAGTCCATGAGGAGGGCCGCACTCATATGGACGCGACGCGCCGCGCAGCCCGTACCCAAACAAACAAACTCTCTCCCTCCGCCTCCAAGACAGCCATTCAGGACCTACTTCTTGTCAACGACCTCGTCAGCCTCATCGGCCTTGCGCTTGTCTCCGACCTCGGGGGCCGGGGCGGTGGTGGTTGCGGCTTGCTCGGCGCTCATGGTTGCAGGGGTGGATGAAGGAGGAGGATGCGGGAGAGAGAGACTGGGCAAACACAAGAGCACCAGAACATTAATTCACGCCTTTACGCGTCATGTCCGCGTGATACTCCAAAGCCACAACAACCACGCCGCATCGCAACAACACGTCATTTTGATTTCGGCCCGCCGCTATTGAATCCAAAAGTTGACGTCGAGGACGCTCCCTTTCCACCAACAAACGGAGACACGGCCTGTCTCTTGAACCATACACACCCTCTCTCTAGCCATGGCACCCCCCACCCTCCCTCTCCCGGCAACGGCCGTTGCGTCGTCTTCGGGCGCGCTCCTGGTCGCATCCGGCACTTCCCTCCACTTTGCCGCCGGCGACAACGTCTCGTCGTCCACCACGCCCAACACCACTGTCCCCGCTGGCCTCGTGCGCAAGGTCGCCCTCAGCGCCGACGGCAAGCTGGCCGTGTCTGCCGGCGACGACAAGCACCTGACTGTGTGGAACATTGAGGACGGCAAGCTCTCCGTCAGGTCTACCCGCCAGACAGCTAAGAAGGTTGCCTCGATCGACTTTACGGCCGACAACCAGATTGTCGTCACTGACAAGGTCGCCGATGTGTACCTGTGAGTCGAGGGGGACGCAAGAGACAACACAGAGTTGGCGCTGACACCCCTCTCTCTAGCTATCCCCTGGACCCGCGCGACGTCGACGCCGAGAAGCGCCCCAAGGGCTTCCTCCTCGCTGCCGACCCGTCGCTCAACCCGGACGCCGACCTGCTCCTGGGCCACGTCTCGGTTGTCTCGCAGCACGTCCTCACGCCCGACGGCAAGCACATTATCACTGCCGACCGCGACGAGCACATCCGCGTCAGCAGGTTCCCCAAGGCCTATGTCATTGAGAGGTACCTCTTTGGCAGCGAGGGGTGAGTGGAAAAGTGGAGGGAAGGTGATGCGGGTGCCACATCGGGCAATGTCCGCAAACAAGCCAGAGAGGTTGCAGAGCCTATAGGCGCGCGGCAGTGCTCGTGCTCTTGCTCGTGCTCTTGCTCTTGCTAGATCCTTTGGCTGCGCCTTGCCGAAGGAAACGAAGGAATGCCCTCGTCTCCCCGTGGTCGAGACTCTGTGTCACCGAGCCGTGACGGGAATGGCAGACTGGCAGTCATTCCGACACTAACCATACCGCAGCTTCGTGTCCGCTATCCACGTCCCGGCCTCGCGCCCCAACGTGCTGCTGTCTGCCGGTGGCGAGTCGACTCTGCAGGTCTGGGACTGGACCTCGGGTTCGCTCCTCCGCCGCGTGGAGATTTGGCCCGCTGTCCTCCCCCACCGCCGCGTGCGCCCTCCCGCGCGCCGCGTCAAGAACAAGCACCGCAAGGTCGTCGGTTCGAGTGCGCTGGCCGGCATCGCTCCCAGCGACGACCCCACCAACGAGGGCTTCTACGTGGCCGTCGAGGGATCAGTGTACCCGCTCGGCCAGGGTGTGTGTGTTGAGCAGATTGGCTCCGTGACCGTTGGCGACAACACAGCTGTGGGAGTCTTCTTCTCCGAGGGATGCGCCGCGCTGCACTCTATTGTGGTTGACGCTGAGAACCCCGTCGTTGAGACTCTGGCTCTCCCATACCCCGTGCTGGGCTTCACTACCGTCCCCAGCCAGCCGAGCCAGCTGCTGGTCACCCTCGACACGTCGTTTGGCGTCGCCAAGACTGCGACTGAAATCGATGCGGCACGGGCCACGTCGAGCGTCGTGCTCGTCGACGTTGCGGCCGACGGCAAGGTATGTGATCGGCGAAGAGTGGTGACTCCAGACCGCCACCCGCAATGCTCATATGCTAACGCGCTACTCAGATGTCTGACAATACCGCGTCGTCTTCGCTCGTTGCATCCCTCCGCGCTGCGCTCTCGGACCCTTCGCTGGACGCTACGCCCACCACGCTCTCGCAGCTGGCACTGTTCCCCAACCTGTCGCTGTTCCCGCGCTGGCCCGGGTTTGAGGAGGACGAGGAGCTTGCTGGCCCCGCTGTGAACACGCCCGAGGGCAAGGCCGAGCTGGAAACGCTCAACTCGCGCCAGCTGGGCCGTCTCAAGGCGCGTGGCGAGGACGTGCAGGACCTGCTGCCCAAGAAGAAGAAGAGGCGAGGACGCAAGGGCGCGGCTGTCGGCGGCGATGACGCGGATGCAGAGGGCGAGCCCGACGAGGGTTCCGCGCCTGTGGATCTGGAGGCGCCCACACACGCCGCGGGTGGTGAGGACGTGGCCGCCAACGTGACAGCGTAACCGCTGAGCGCGCTGAGCACACACTGCTGCGACAAGCTATACACCATGCTTCCCAAGGGCGGGGCAGGCAGGCAGGCAGATTACAGTTACTTAGATTTGATTTCATTGTCTTCTTTTGCCTGTTGGTTGTTGGACGTTGGCTGGGGTGGGGGGGGCAACAAATGCTGCGAAGTGGGCGAAGAACGGGTGACGCTCGAGTGGGTCACCTGCACGACCTGCGCGCGGGCTGTGCGCTGTGCATGAGCCGTAGTCGGCGGGGAGAGGGTGGGCGGTGGTGTTAAGCTGTGCCGACGGCGCGGGCGGGGGGCGGAGTGAATGGCGGTGCGGGGAGCGGGGGAACAGCCAGGGAGAGTACGCAGCACAGTTCATGTGGGTCCATCCACCAATCCACCGAAATGTTCTGGACCACACAATGTCTCGAAATGGAGCAGAGCGATGGAGCGTGTGTCTCTGGAATCAGTCTTAGCTCTCCTGATGTCCTGACGTCCTGGCTGTCTCCTGACGTCCTGGCTGTGGCTCTCCTGTCTCTGTCTCTCCTGTGTCTCTGGCTCACATCGGGTTGTGTCTGGACCATGACAAGCGTGATTGTTAAAAGTGCGTCGGGTTTTGGGTCCTGAGGCTAGCCCCCGACATATTCCTGCCGTCTCGCGCGCAATGTCTAGCATAGGGTTCGGGCTAAGGGGGGTTATGCAGATGTGGATTGAGAGACGTTGTTCAGTCCCCCCAAGCAGCCAGCAAGCAAGCAGCATCTTTCTAAATGCATAACGTGGTTCCTCTGCGTGCGTGCGCGCGAATGCTCTGCTGCAGTGCCTGTGCTCTGGCCGCTGGTATGGACGAGAGACTGGGCCATCGTAGTGCATTCCCAGAGAGGCCAGAGAGGCCCGTCATCTGTCGGCTCCACCGCGCAGCTCTTTGCCCAGCTATGGCTCTGTTCTCGTCCACGCCAGCGCCAGTGGCCACGACGACGACGCGTCTTTGAATCTCTCTGCTCCGCCCGCCGCCGCCGTCCCTCCCTCTCTCTTTTCCATCACCACTCCTCCTCTTTCAACAGTCACACACACTCTTGCATACACACCACATTTCTCTCTCTGCCCACTTCCATCCACTTCCATCTCGCCCCGTTTGCAGTGGTCCAGATCGATCTCGGCCTCCCTCTCTCCCTCTCCCCCCCCTCTCCCTGCCCCGCGCCACCGCCACCGGGCTCCGGACCACCCACCCCTTGGTCTCCCCTGTGCCAGCCCTGGTCGCCGCCGCCGCCCCCGCCGCCGCCGCTGCCAGCACATCGACTCGACGCACCACCGGCCACCGCAGCAGCACCGACGGACCGGGTTCGCGCCCCCCCGTTTCTGGCGCGTGTCGATCAGCGAACCCCTCGTCGGCCCTCTCGGCACACTGGTTTCCCGGGTTTTTGATCAAAAGAAGGAGCCAGACATCGTCCAGGCATTTACAATCACCCCGTCATCCCCTTATTTACACGGTCTTGCCTCTTGCCACCAGATTCATTTCCACCCACCCACCCACCACCCACCACCACCGCTATCCTCTCTTCCCAGCACAGCCTGCACGTTTGATACGTCCTGGCCCGCGTCTCCACACCCACCCACCCACACCTGCCCCCTCACACCCCCTCAACCATCGCAATGGTATCGACTCGTCCACCACCAGCACCAGCACGCGGACGCATACCGTACCCATCAGCCGACACCTACGCACCCGGCGACGCAGGTGCACCACCAGTGACCACCATCGTGACCCCCCCACCAACTGCGACTGTCGCAGACCCAGACCGCCGCGGATCCGGCTCGAGCAGCGACGCCGCCAACGCGAACGCCGGCCCATCTGGACTCCGTCGTCTCCGGAGCATGCGCGATCGTGCCCGCGGGCGCGAACCCCGTGACCCAAGCGACCAGCTCAACCCCCCCGCAACAGCAGCTGCCCGCCGTGGAAGCCTCCGTCGTGCTAGCGGACAGTCGGAAACCTCTCGTGAACGCGAGCTGTCAGAGCGCGAGCGGAACATGCAGGGCCTCAAGACATGGTGGAAGGCGTTCTCCACTGGCCAACGGCCGCCCGCACAGCAGTCGTTCCGCCCCGCCCCGCGCACAATGACGACCCGCACTGTGTTTGGGGTCCCTCTGAACAAGATGCTCAGCTACGCTTCTATGCAGATCTCGACAAGCGCACCGGACGGATCGCTGTTTGTTTGGGGGTAAGTCCTTTCTTCTCCACACACACACACACCAGCCTCGCTCCTCCGTCCTGGCCAACATTGCCAGTGGCCAAGGGGTCCGGGGTATATCGGCTGTCCCCAGGTTCGAGCCGCGCGCTAACCCACCCCCCGCAGTGAAGTGCCCATCGTGGTGGCAAAATGCGGCGCATACCTCAAGGACAAGACCGACATTGAAGGCATCTTCCGCGTGTCGGGCTCAGCTAAGCGCATGCGGGACCTCCAAGCCATCTTTGACGAAGGCCCCACCGTGAGTAGCAGTTGCTTTTGTGGCCATTCATCGCCGCCTGGTGACTGGTTGGCGTTGCTGGCGTTTCTAGGCCTGTGGCCTCTCCATGCCTCTAGGCCCCGGGTTCAGGCTCTAGCCACGACGAGGCGTGTGCGGGTCGTGCGCGGGACGGCGCTCATGTTCCACAGTTTGGCGCGGACATCGAATGGGACGCCACAAACTTCTCACCACACGACGTCGCCACCATCTTCCGTCGGTACCTCACCCAGATGCCCGAGCCGGTCATCCCTGTGGCCTTCTACAACCACGTGTGTGCACGCCACAAGCCGTACCAGCCTCTTCGCTAACACAAAACACAGTTCCGTAATGTCCAGACCTCGGTGGACTTGACAACCGAGATGATGATCCGCGAGTACAAGCGCTTGATCCGCAAGATGCCAAAGGAGAACCAGTACCTCTTGCTCTACGTCCTCGACCTGCTGGGCATCGTCGAGAAGGACTCGGACCGCAATCTCATGACTGCCCCTAGTAAGTTTCAAGGCTTGAATCCTGTGGCTTTCTTCTGCCAGCGCGCCGTGGCGTCACCCCACATCGCGTTCAGCACTGACCACCACCCTCTAGATCTGGCAGTGATATTCCAGCCAGGCATTCTTTCTCACCCGGGTCATGACATGCGGCCCAAGGAGAGTGCGCTCTCCAAGGACGTTGTCGAGTTTCTCATCAGCCACCAGCACCAGTTTGTTGTGGCCATGTCCATGGTAAGGTTCTCGGCCCATTGCCCCCGGCGCGTGCCTCTGTCGCTGATACCGATTTCGCAGTCCATGTCGTCCGCACGCAGAGCGTCCAACTCCCACGAGGGGTCAGCTCCTCCCCTGCAAACAGAAACGTTGCTCGCCGTGCCCGAAACAGCCAGCCCCGTGTTGTCCTCGTCTCCGCCCTTGCCGTCCCCCACGGCCCTGGCCATTCCCGAGGTCATCCCGGAAGACGGCCAGCCAGACTTGCAGCCGACGCCGTCGCCAGGCGCGGACAGTGTAGACAACGCGGGTGCCATCTCCCCACTGTCGCGGCCACAGCCTGTCCGAGCAGACACCGACTACATGGTCCCTTCAGACTCGGACGACGACGCTCCCGCCGGAGGTTATTACATTGTGGAGAAGAGCGACCAACCCATGAGCCCAAGGACGTCGGCTCTGACACCTTCCAAGACGGCAACCATGGAGACGGCCGATGCCAGCTTCTTTGTGCCTGCGCTCCTGGCCCCACCACGGCCGCCCCGCTCGGCCAAGCGTGGCCGTCCATCACTCCCAAACCTGCCATCCCAAGGCGCCGTGCCCGTCATCGACGTCATGGATCCCTCCGATTCGGACGAGGACGCACCGTCCGGTGGCTACGTCGCGTACGAGAACAAGCGCCCGGCATCAGCCCGTCCAGCCTCGGCCTCACCGTCCCCGCTGCCGACCCCAAACAATGGCCGTGGCGGTCTCAACCGATCGCGTACAGTCCTGCAACCCGCCGACGCGCGCACAAACTCGCCCAAACCCCCTCCCGCCACGGGTCTCCTCCGCCGTCGCACCCTGCCCACCAAACGCGTAAGCGACTTTACCGCGCGCGTCCGACGTGCTGTCCGCGAGGCGTAAGCTGTGTGGCTGTGGGGGCACACGTACGTTTGTTGTTTGTTGGGGTGTGCACGTGAACCGCCCCCTCACAAACAAACGCGTGCTGAGACGTCGGAAAGCGGTTGTTGGGTTCCGGCATCCCCTAGATTTACCCCGGATATCCGCGGATCGAAAACACCCCCCGCGGCACTCTGCTCCTTGCTCAAGGGCTCTTGCAATCTTCGTTTCAATCTACAGAACGCGTCTCGTATTGCGCGCGGCTCAAAAACACTTGCTACCAGACACTTCTTTCTCCATTTCGGCCGCGACAGGTTTTTTTTGTTCCACCCTCCTCCCTCTCATTGTTGTTGACTTTTACCCGGATACCCTTTTTTGCTCGTATCGAACATATGTACGCCCCTGGTTTCGCCCACACTCTCTCATCTCTCCAATCGACAATTGTTTGCGACCCCCCAAAGACAATATTAGTGACACTGGTTCCCTTTCTGGTTTTCTTTATTTTCATGCATCATGCCCAGTGCACCCAGGAGCCAAACCCCGTCACAAAGGTTGCAACACAGGAGTACAGGAGCAAGGCACCCCAGAAATCGGACCAGTTCAGGAATAGCAGTGAAGAAAGGGTCCTGCGTGCCGTGTGTGCACGCGAGGGACTTGCGAGGGTTTTGAGATACAGGTGGGCAGGGGCCCACAGGGGAGGGGAAACAAGAGGACGCAGGAATCTAGGAATGCACATCCACTCTGTCTGGAGCCCGGCTGCGCGCGCAGTATCTATAGCGAGATCCAGCGCAGTGGTCCAGGCGCACCGACATTCCGGAGTCCCTCTCAGACCCCGGGTGGCGCGGTGGACGCACACTTCCTCGTTCGCCATGCACAGCGGTGCAGCGGACCATGCCCCGACGGCCCGCGGGACACCGGCGCTGGCGCTGGGGGCACAGGATCCGATGCAGGCTGGTTTCTTCGGCTCGCGGACCAAGTGCCAGTCCTGGGTCGCCGATTCACATCGGGAATAGAAATGGAGACGACGAGATAAGAGAGCCAAGCTTGGCCTAGATGGCACCTGCACGAGGCGGATGCCCGTCTGAAGACGTCTTACAGCCCATGAGCCTGATGCACGCAGCCTGACCAGCTTGTTCTGTCCAGAAGGTGTAAGCTGCTCTGTGCGAGATACAGTAGAAGCAAGAAGCAAACGCGCACGACCGAGACCGGTAACGCTGCTTCCATGCACACCGGTTGTCTCCAACCTTGTCAACGTTGTTGCTTCTTGCTTAACTCACTACCTTCGCCGCATCCTCGAACATTGCCAGCCGTCATGTCCTCATCACCTACCCGACCCCCCAGATCCACCCCCCACCGGGGTGTATCGACCGGCAACTCCAGGAGTACATCCGTCACACCGACGAGGAGAACGCCCGCCTGGAGCGACAGCACCAGCCTCCACGTCTGGCAATGCAACTAGGCTGTCGTTATGCACAACTTCAGCAGCATGGTTGATTGTGATGTAGGCGGCGGTGACCCAATGGCCAATGGAATGCATCCTGGCCAAGTGACCGCCATGCCACAACCGGCGATCGTGCACGAAAAACACATAGAGATGGGGGTGGCCCGTTGTTGAAGCAGTAGGGACGGTGTGTAGTGTGTTTCCACGGCCACAGCCAGGACGGACGAAAAACACGTAGAGAAGGGGTGTGGCCCGTTGTTAAAGCAGTGGGACGCTGTGTAGTGTGTTTCCACCGAAAAACATATAGAGAACGGGTGGTCCCACATTGAAGCCGTAGTAAGGCGGGATAGTGTGTTTCGCGTGCCATCGGACGCATTATCCTGGGCTGACCAGGACGACCTTCCGGCGTAATGGGTAAGCCTCCACGGGTTTTTCTGTCCGACGGTCCCTGTCTCTGATGGCATTTCACGTCCATTACATACTCACATGCTGCAGTCATGTACTCTATTCCGCCCCACTCACACCTAGCTTGGTGGTTATTGACGTTCGTGTCGGCATGACTAGGAACGAGAGGAACCACAGACACGGGAGGGAGCAGGGACAGACAGAAGGCAGAGGGTGTGGGCGTGTGCACGAGGAATCTAAAAGATCCAACCTCTCCAAGCCCAGATGCACCTGTGCAGCGTGTCCAGCTGGCCAGCTGCCTAGCCTGTCAGCAAGCGCCCGGGTGTAAGCTCCTCCCAGATCCGAGCGAGAAGCAACCGCAAGATCGGGGACGTGGCTGTGGCGCCTGCGGTCCCGGTTGGCGTTCGTGGGGCTGAGAGGGTGAAGAGATGTGGCGCACGCGTGAGGATGGATGAGCCGAGGTCCGAAAGTGTGCTCAGTGCCCCGATGGTCGTTTCTCGTGGAGGTTTGTTTCCAGGGTTGTGCCCACTGAGGCCCCCGCCGAGCGACGGCGTCGGTGCTGCTGGAGCTGGCTGGGGCGTTGTGCTTCCACATCCTGGCCAATGCTCACTCGCGGGGATATGCTGGAGATCTTGGGTCTGCTTTTCAGATCCGCTTGCGACGCTCGTCTCCAGGCGGGTCACGACTCGCGCCCCAGAGCGTGCCAGGATGGTTGCCCCGGACCTGCGCGCTTCCTTTCGTTTTGCACAACATCTTGCGATGTTCCGTTCCGTCTGTTTAAAAGGTATGGCCTGACACCCCCGCAAAACATGTTTAAAATCGATCCAACAGCCTTGTATGATCGCTGGATGATGTAGAGCTCAGCCGATACAGAAAATCGCGCTAGCACAAACGTGGCACAAAGCAGGACAAAGACGTACTTGCCAGACGAGATTTGACCCGAGGATTGTTTTGGAGAACCGTGACGTAAAGGTGGTGTCGCAGATGGTTGCCGTGCCACATATTCGACAGATTGGCTTCTCGATCAGGACGATCTACCTGAACATTCACCTATTGTGGCATGTGGGAACTAGCTACGTAACAGATCGACAGACGACGTGCGAAGCTTTGGGTCTGATAGGTTTATCCTGAGAGCTTGTTCGCTTAATATCCAGGTGGGCGGTTCTACCTGCAGTTGTGCTGACATTGCATTGTCCAGACGGTCGCTCTCCGCTTCACCTGTCAGATTTGCGCGAATCGTGGGAAGTGGTCGCCGCATGAATGACCCATTACCATGCGGACGTGCACAACAGGGTTTCGCGCAGGAGCTAGCAGCTACCTGCGCCACACGTGAAAGGCAGGAGGTCAATGTTGAAGTGTCGCCTGGAGAGGTGCGATAAATGTTCTCGCGGAATGCAAAAGTGTCACCCGCAGCTAAATGCTGTGTGTGAATACAAGGACTGCGTTCCATGTTACACAGCCCATTCAATACCTCAAATGCAAGAGAAGCACAAGACGGTGTGACAGGTTTCAGCCCCATTTAGTGGATCCAGGGGAGGAGGAAGGGGGGCATCAGCCAGGAGCAAGTTGTTGAGCAAGAGACGGTTTCCTCTGGCACAGCAGGTCCCGCAGCCGAGACAATTCGGTTCGTGCCGTGGCTGTTTTGTTCCAAGCCGCCCCCTCCCTGTGACGTGATAAATACACTCTGCCAGTCCTGAGACGACACCAAGGAGTCTTCCAGCGTGGGTGCAACCTGGAAGCCCGTGAGGGACAATGTGTGCGTAAGCTAAGAAAGAAAAAAGAATGGAAAATGGATGGAAAATGGAAAATCACGTGTCTGTCTGACGGTTCCTCTATGTTTACACTTGACTTGTGGCCGCTAGGCATTGGGGGTAGGCAACGGCCAACGAGGCCGACTCCTCCAATGACCACCGCCAACCTATTAGCACCCTGCAGTATCTCTCATGCAGCACAAGTGTTTACATAGCCAGTGATCCACCGAGCAAGAACGACCGTCGGTGAACCAACGTCTGTTTGGTCACATGAATAAACGGCTCATACATATCTCTCATAGGGTCATAAGCGCTCACACAACCAACATTTGCTTTCAACGTGTACACAGCGGATCTTCTTGTTCGGGCCTTAGGTACACTGGGTCACTATAAACAGAAGGTGTTTATATGTACTTGCACACCACTGGACTGGCCGTGCGCGCTCTGGCGCATTCTCGGGCTGAGTCGATCAGTTAAAATCACCCAAAGTCACACACCGGAAACATTGGCCATCTTTAGTGCTGGGCGGGGCGGGAAAGCGAGCAGACGTGATGACCCCGGCGGCAGCGGCAGCCACAGCACTTCTTGCTGGTGGACGAGAGGTCCGAGTAGCAGGCGTTGCACCCATTTTCAATGCACTCTTCGCACGGTGGCCAGCGCCTCAGGCAGCCTTCAGCACCGTACTGCTCAAGGGCAGAGGCCTGTGCCGTCAATAATAGTCAGATGACAGCCATTGGTAGGCTCAATCAGTAACGTACGTGTCGTGTTGCACTTAACATATCGGTTCCGATGAGGTCCGGGACCGGGTCGTACCCCATCGCTTGGGCGCGAGCAGCATCCACTGCAACGAGTTCACGGCGACGGCGGAACATTCGGGCTGCCTGGTGGCCATAGCGCTCCAACTCAGCCGGTGATAGGATGACGCTGACGTGGTTTGGCCCGGCAGCGGCCTGCTGCTGCGCCTGCAAACTCGCAAGAGCAGCGAGGATCTCGGCGCGGGTAGGCATAGCCGCCCCAGGAGCTCCGCCAGGGAGCACTGGTGGGTTAATTAGATGCCATTTCACCCACCGTCAACTTACTCGATAACCTGAGAATTTGTAGAGAAGGGATGGCAAGCGCGTTTGATGGCGCGGGTGAGGGTGGTTGATGGCTGTTGGAGACTAGGTGTACTGATGCTTCCCGGGGGGAGACCAGTAGTGCTATCAACGGTCACCAAATATATGAGTGGCTGGGGTCCGTACCCACGTGTGGAGGAATGAGGGGAGGAGGTCTGAATATGGAGATGGGAGGTATTCATGGATATGGGAAGTCGAGAGATGATAGGAGGAAGAGCGACGAGAAGAAGAGTGATCGGGAAGACAGCGCACAGCTAGCCATCACTCCGAGGGGGCCGCGCGCCATAGGAAGCACCGAGCCTTCTCTGCTGATAGAAACGACACAGACCTTCCCTCGGTTGCCGAGGGAAGCCAGCGAGGATATGTACATACATAGACACACAGGGACGACGGGCCAAACCGCCAACGACGACCCCTCACGACTCACGAGTGCGCCAGTCTATCAAGACAAAGAGCCTCTGAACCATCGGGGCACTCCAAGGCGCCACTTGGACCATGGTGTACTTGGATGGTCATTGCAGTAGTCTGTAAATGCCGGGGGTGATAGTTCCAGCAGACTCAGTGGGCCATTGAGGGAGTGAAATACAGTATGGACAGCGGTACGATGGGACAATCGATATCGTCCTCCACGTCCTCCTCGAGTTGAGGCGCACAGTCGGTGGGCGAGGTGCTCGAGACCTGTTTGACAGCGCACGCACCGGAAAGGCCGTCTGAGGGTCATCAGAGAACCCGTGTAAAGCCTTTCAGGCTGGCCGAGGTTGTCTTAGCAAAGTGGGGGAGGTTAATTCTATGTAATGTTCGACATTACTTGGGAGGTGGAGACATGGGTACAAGCGTTTCCGTCCTTCCTCTCATGTATGTGGTTATAAACTTTACATTTACAGGTGCTCAGAAACCAGCAATTTTCACAACCGGGGGGGAGGGGGGGGCATTTGTTGGAGTCGGGCCGTCCAAGTGGTATCACAGGTCCATCATCTCAGCGATGTGGATCGTCGCCAATGGTGGTAGCGCTGAGGGCCGGAGAACGTGGAGAAGGGGTTCGAGGGCGTGGAGCACGGCGTCCTTCAGGCTGAGCACGTGTTAGCGGAAGTTACCAAAATGCGCAACTTACGAGGTCGACGTAGCGCTGGTCGGTGCCATTGCGGTAGCCGAGAGAATTGCGGGAGATCTCACGATGGTGACGGCGGTAGTCCCAGGGGCTTGGAGAGCGCTCGCGATCGTCACGGTGGTCCAACGAGCACTCACGACAGTCGCAGTCCGAGCGGCAGTGGTCCGCGCGGTCGTCGAGACGCTCACGGGAGTCCTCACGATAGCTACGGTAGTAGTTACGAGGGCTTGGAGAGCGCTCGGAACAGTTCCGGCGGTAGTTACGGGGGCTTGTAGAGCGTTCGCGGTAGGTATGGCGGCCAGACGAGCACTCGCGGAAGTTGTAGGCAGAGCGGGAGTGGTCAGCGCTGTAGTCGAGACGGTCATGAGAGTCGCCGCGGTCCTCGGATCGCCGGCCGCGACGGTCGCGTTGTTCGTACGCGCGCTCATATGCGAATCCCGGTTGCCTAGTCCGGAGGTCGGTGTAGTACTTGAGGCGGGCCTTGGTCTCACGCAGTTGTCCCTTGGTGGCGTGCAGTTGCTTCTCGGTCTCATGAAGCTGCTCCTTGACCTTGCGCAATTGCTCGAGGGCGACCATTTCGACCCTCCTTGACTCCTTCAGCTTCTCTTGGAGGACGGCTGTGCAGAGATTTGTGGTCAGCGCATCCCATTCGCCAACACCTGCTTCCTACAAGACTCTTACCAGATTCCATGTTCTCCTTCTCGGTGTTGGCGACCTTGGCGCTCTCAAGAGGCTTGCCCTCGTTGATCCAACGCAGGGACGAGGCCGCACTCCACGAGCTGATGTCGCTGACGCCGAGGTCGGCTGGGTCAAGCCCATTGAACCCCGCCCAGAACCAGGGGTCGTCTTCAATTTCAGGATGATCCCTGAGGTATTGGATAACGTCTTGGGATTCCATGGTGAAGAGGTGAAGAGGTGGGTTGGAAGGAAGTCCGTGTAAACCAAACGTCAGGTTGACGGTGTTTCATGCCTCCTTGTTTGGTTCCGCGCCACCCGGCTAAAAACGGCGGCGAAATCCCAGATCCCACAGATCACGATCCAATGCATGTCCATGACTGGACTTCTCCATACTCAATACACTCATGCGCTCAGGTATAAAAGGATAGGCCGAAGCTCCCTTATACTACGTCTTCCTCTCTCCGTGTACAGTTCCTCTAAAAGTACGCGTTTTTCCCTTTTTAAAATTTGTTTCTTTTTGGTAATGTTTTTTTTGTTAATGCCTGGGCTGACTATTGAAGAATTGCTTCCTCCCTCAGCCGGAAGTCTTTTCCCGGGACACTCTCATTGTCGGAAAGCACCAAGAAGCGAACATCCAGTTACTAGGTCACTGATCACTGAGTCTCCGTTGAGAAGGTTGAGAATACTCCTCGCACGCAGTAACCGCTCTGCGAGACCGACCACATGCCTGGCTGCAGGTGGTGCCATTTGATTCCGTCCTCGTCAATAGCCTCCACACCTCCCTGTTTTGGCCCGGTGTTTATGCACATACTTCAAAGCTCAACGTCGTTGAAGGTGGCGAGCAGCAGTCAGTTGGATGAGCAAAAGTCTCACCCGCAACTGTGGGAACATGTAGCTAATTCATCACATTGACCATCTTCTGGATGGTATACCTGTACACCGCCTGTCGTCCGCCCGCCACATTCTCCGTGTCGCACTTGCCCTTCAGGCCTCTGAACATGCGCGCATCCGCCGCCCATGATGCTTCCAGGCGCTGGTCCAAGCCCAACGCCGTGGCCTGTCCGGTTAGTGAAAGGTCACAAGCATTGTGCTACACGCACCGTGTTGATGTCACCCGTGTCCAGACTCGCACAGTGAGCTGGGCTCATGTCGAAGTAACTGCAGGGTCAGAAACACATCAGAATGACGACGGGACTCTATGCGCTCACCTGAACAGATCTCTCAGGAAAATGCCCAGCCGGATCAAGCGCGGGGTGGCAGCTCCATCAGCCCGATAGGGCGCAGTGCGGCTACCGTACTTGACGCTGACCATGATGTTGAGGCCATGGACGTTTGCGTCGCCCAGGGCCATCACGGGTGCGTCCGGGAAGCTACGTGACATGTCGGCCACGAAGTCGAGGCCCCTGGTGCCCGCGAAACCACCCAACTGCCGTCAGCCGATCAGACCGGAAGTTTAGAATCACCGAAATGACCACGCCCTTGCCGATGCTCTTCTCCTCGAGCAACCCCATCTCCACCAGGTCGGTCATCAGGCTCTGTCCGTCAGTGCTGCTATCTCTCTGTCTCATTTACTTCTTTTTCTACCACCAGCAAGTAGCCCACGCCTGTCCCCTGGAACGACGCTCCAGAACACTGGGGGATGGGCTCAGGCTCGGGCCCACGAGCGATTGGAAACTGTGGCGCGTTGGCACCAAAGCTGTACGTCAAGCAAATGCCGGCGCTGGCCGCGACGTAGGTCGAGCTCTGGGACTTGATAAAGAACCACGAGCGTCGAGCACCATCCAGGCCCAAAACAATCTCGTCGATGAACTGAGGTCAACAGGCGCTCATACACGCAGGACTGGAATCACGTTGCCGGGGAATGTTTTCAGGTCGGCGTCGCAGGCCATCTGCTTGCTGCGTAGCGTCTGCGAAGAACTGTTGAAGAATGTAGGCGCACAGCGCTGGCGCTGTGCGACTACATTCTTCAACAGGACTGTGCTTTGACTCACCAACGCAAAATCCCAACCTTTTCAACCAAGTGAGACTGATCCGGAATCCCTCAGTCTGGCAAGTCATTCCCTCTCGCCAGTCTGGCAAACGCACCAACCACTCCACCATGCGACTGCCCTTCTGCAATGGTTAGCGTCCGCAGTTAGCAATGACTCACGATAGGGCCACCAACATCTTCGGCTAACCGTTGCCAAGCCGCGGCGGGCGTGAACCAGTCCAGAGTTTCCGCCTCGGGTCGTGGATGTGGGTGGTGTATGTGGCTGTGACCACAGGGTGCCGCGCTTGTTGCCAAACTCTGCAAGAACATCTTGCCCTCGGTGTCGAGGGGCTCTGCGGTAGCGAAGCAGCGTTCGAGGCGGAGTTGGAGGGCTGGCGGGGTCGGCGGGGGTTCGTGCGGGGTTCCGGGTGGTGCGACCACAATAGCCCGCCAAGCCAGCTTGTCTTTGTCCGCGGCTTCTTTTTTTCTGCGTGCTTCCTCTCGTTCTGATGCTCCTGCGTGTAGCGGACCCATGTCAGCACTCCGTACAGGTGCCACCTGAACGCACTCACTAGCAGTGGCTTTGGGGGGCATGATGGCTGACCATTGTTGAGTTGGGCCGGGCGGTGAAGTGTGTTTTTGGAAGTGCGGACAAGGGCGCAAAATAAACAGTGATCCTCTGATAACCTGCTACTACGTGCCCTAACTTGTCTTCAGTTTTCCCCCAATGCCAGCCAACAGCCTGTTTCAGACTCGGCCTCCTGGGCGTCCTCGTCACCCAACGCAGACACAGCGCAGACGCCAGAGCGGGCTGCCGTTGCCTGTCTCCCAGCTTCTGACTACGCGAAGTAGAGAGTGTTGTGAAGAGGGAAGGTTGACTCAGCTCGACTAACGCCGTGAATCAAACCGGGGGAAGGGCGCAAATGTGTGCACGCTTCTGTGCCAAACACGCGCCTAACTGCTGCCGTCGCGCCGTCGCCTGCCCTCCGCCGTTTTATAGTGTGCAGCGTGGTTGTCACGCAAACACTCGTATCTCAACATCACCCTACACTCCATGCACAACACCCCACCCATCCATCCTCAGCATCTGACAATGCCAAGCCTTGAGGAGCTCGAGCGCCCGGCCCACCAAGCGCACGCAGAAAACACTGCTCGTCGTGCCATTCTCGGCCTTCCTCCTCGCCGACCACACATCGACATCGAGGAAATGAACGACGGCAATGGCATTAAGGACGTCGTGGACGACATCAAGGTCCACGTCAAGCGCATCGAGAACGATGTCAAGGACGCCAAGGAAGACACCAACGGGCTTTGCAATGACGTCGATATCATCAAGGACGACATGGAAGACGTCAAGTGCGACGTCAAACGCGTCAAGCACGACCTCAAGGGTGTCAAGGAAGACGCGATCGACCTTTGGAACGGCCAGAAGGAAATGCTGGACATCTTGCGCCACATCGACAGTCAAACCGCCTCCACGAACGCCCAGATCGCCCGCCTCACTGAGCGCAACACCCAGCTCACGGAGCGTAACACCCAGCTCACGGAGCGTAACACCCAGCTTGTCGAGCGCAACGTCCAGCTTGTCGAGTACAACGCCCGCCTTGTCGAGGACCGTTGCACGAGGCTCGAGCAGCGCACCATGGCCATCGAGCAGCGCGTCATGCCTCTCGACCAGAATCCCGCTGTACTCCATCGCCAGCACTTTGGCTTTGATGCGCTGGATGCCGTGACGCGTCACGATGGCACTCCAGGCTACCATGCCCCTCCCCGTTGGTCGCAGGGTGGATACGACCGCCGCTGAGCACCCGTGCACCTACCTCTGCGCCGCTGCCCTCGTGGCCAAGATTTCCGACTTTCTGCTCATAAGGATGAGCTTCAGTAGAGTGAGCTATACACCTTGGGAACCGGAGCTGACCGAAGCCCTTGCCCCCAAGATAGACGAGCATGGCACATGGCCAGTGCCAGGCTGGATGATTACGCCGTCGCAGAGCACTCGAAGACGCATGCATGGCAGGACGATGTAGATAGTAGAGGAAACAGGGCAGTTTATAGGTACTGTGTACAGTATGCGCAGGGTACATGCATGTGGCCATGTGGATTAGGATCAAATCTGGGGATCTGGGGCAAGACAGAGATACCTTTTACAATTGCGAGCTAAACCCAGCTTCCAACCCTCCTCGTCACAACTCGCAATCTCCATGCATCCACACACCCATAGCTCCACCAACCTGTCACCATCACAGACACCAGCAACTCCGCGGGGACGTCACAGTCCACTAGCGCTCCCCAGTAATCGTTCGTCTGGGAAGCTACCGCTACCAGCCCCCCTTCAAGCTGGAACCGTACAGCAATGCTCCAGCGAGGAACCTCAATCGCGAGTCCGTCCGACATGCAGCGCGGTCTGCATAGCGTCACTGGATTACTGGATCACAGCTCCATCCAAGGCTGACGCCTTTCTGCACTCTGTAGGTGTCAGCACACGGCATGTGCTGACCGCCGCGACAGATACAGGAGAGTTGACTGGCCTGACTGGACTGGTAGCGACGATGGCGCGGAACCAAACAAAAAACACCACCACCGCCACACCCCTCAGCCGACCAAGCGGCCAAGTGGTCGAACTGCTCAGCCTAATGTTTGACGTGACCCTCTATCGCCCCTGTGCTCTCGCTGACCTGCTCTCTCCGTGTACCGTGTACCGTGTACCGTGTACCGTGTAACCTTTTCATGCGTGGCACGTCGGGTCTTCACAACTGATATCTGCGCCGCGGCGCGTTATCTGCAGGCCATTTGCGTGCCTGCTCACTTCCTTACTGCACCACCAAGTGCTCTCTCACAAACCATATGCACTCGTAAGCTTGACGGCCATCGACCTGCATAGTGCAAGCGACGCGTATGCCGCCAGCCTGTTCACGCGACTGACTGATTGCTCGGCGGCGGAAAGTAAAACAAACGTACGGCGATCCGAGCTTTATCCAACATTTTTGCTCTAATCTGGTGGCCTGGTGGCCCAACACTGGCCGAGATTCCCGCTCTCCTCTCATCTCGGTTGATACCAGAATAACACAGGGTGTGTGTGGGGGAGACGAGACCTGATCGCGGGGGAGGCATGCTTCAGGTATCTGGGCCCGGCCCGGCGCACCGGCGCGCGCACCCGGCGTGTGCTTAGTTGGCGTGCTAGCTAGGCTGTGACACCCGCCCGCTGCCAACTTCCGATCCTTCCGAATAGACAACACGACCGCTCACTCTGGTACTGCACTGACGCCTTTGTCCGTCGCTGCTTTGTTGATCCGGGCTTGCGCGGTGCCCGCGGGGCCAACGACGGAAGAACACCGCCAAAACGCCCAAAAAATCAAAAACAGCGTCTGACATTTCGCGGAACGACGGGAACGAAGTTGCCGCTCCGCCTGAACAGAGTGTTTAGCTCTTGACCCGTTGCCCGTTGCCCGTGGCCGTGGTGGTGGATTGCGTACAACGTGCAAGCAGCAGGGCAAAGGATGCAAGAGAAAGAATGGAGGCTGCGGGCCGTGGCTGTTGGCTCTTTACGGCTTTAACTGCTTGCAAAGGGGGTGAGGGCGGCCGATGACTCGTTCTTTGCATCTTTGCATTCCTGGAACGCGTTCATGGCAGTCATCGTCGCCGGCCGTGTACAGGACCTGTGTGGTTGCTCGTGCGACGTGGGTACGTGGGGACTATACTACAGGCAGCGCGCTGTGAGCTTAACCGGGAAACCAGTGGGCCGGAGTAGGCGAGGTGACCGGTAACTGACGCTTTGTCTTGGCTCTTTCACTCGAGAGAGGCCGAAGGAGCTGAGGAGACTCTGTGGCCTGTGGAGCCTCTGGACTTTTGAAACCTTGGGTCGTGTCCCAATGGCGGGGAAAAGGTCCATTGTCTAATGGCCGCGAGAGAGGGGTTGTATTTATCACCTCAGCAACACCGACCCGACTGTGCCTGTAATTACCCGCGTGCGACGCAATGTGGTGGGTTTCCTCGCTGCCGTCTACTGGATGCTCTCTCGCCAGGTATTCGGCGCTTATGGCCCCCCCGCGCCCCCGCACTCTACATGCAGCGGACATCTAAGGCCCGCTGAGCGTGTCAGAGAGCAGTCTACAGGTGCAACAGACAGGCAGATGGGCGGGGCGAGTGGGACCAGAGGAGTCTCCGGTGCTCCGGGTGCTCCGCGCCTCCGTCGGTCGGGCTGGGTGCACGACGCACTGCACGCCAATCAGGCTTGGGGCACCTTGGGGCTTTAGTGGGGGGGGTGCAGTGGGGGAGAGAGAGCGCGTTGCCCGTTTGTGCGCGTATGAGCGAGAGGTTGGTTAGGGGGAGAGGACAATGATGCCTGCAAAGACTTTTTTGCCAGGTGCCAAACCCGACTAGAGCCGACCGAACGCACCCAGCGAGGCGGAGTTATTGTACAGTGCAAAGGGCCCGGCAATGCTCCCTCCGGACGACCGGCTATGCGACGGCCTCTCACCCAGCAGATGACACCCAGCAGCTGCAATGACGGCGGAGCACAACGGCACCGACGACGAGCTGGTTACTCCAATGCGCCCCGCATCCCACCCGCCCACTCGCTCGCTCTGGAAAAAAGCCCGACCGAACACATCCCAGCAGCTGCCTTTATTACCACCCCCAACACCACGCTGGCTTGCACTCTTCCCCCTCCTCTAGCACTCACTCACCACTCTTCTCGTTTTGCATCAGCTGCCCCGCCCCCACCTCCGGCACATCAGTCTCCACACCCTTTCGCATCGCCCCGTCGCGCTTCTCGCACCTCCCCCCTACTCCCCATCGCCCACCTTACCACCAACCTCCTAGAACTCGTCCACAATGTCCGGATCTGGCCAGAAGCAAAAGGTGCCTCTTAGCACCCACCTGATCGCAGGTGGTACTGCCGGTCTCGCCGAGGCCCTCTGTTGGTGAGTGTGGCGTGGCAGAAACAGCGGGCACAAGAAAGGAACAGCAGCTAACAGCCAACAGCCACCCCCTTGACACCATCAAGGTCCGCATGCAGCTCTCGAGGTCGAACAGGAAGGGCGTGCGTATCTACTAGCGACAACAGTAATGTTTCCAGTGACTGACAACCGCCACAGATGAAGCCCCTTGGTTTCTTCGCTACCGGCAAGCAGATTGTCGCTCGCGAGACCTTCCTCGGCCTGTACAAGGGTCTCGGTGCCGTGGCTACCGGTATCGTGCCCAAGATGGCCATCCGTTTTGCCTCATTTGAGAGTGAGTAGCAGGAAGTGAAGTGGCAAGACAGATCGTGGAACAGCACAACTGACAATCCCTCCAGCCTACAAGTCGTGGCTCGCCGACAAGGACGGAAAGCTCTCGCCCGGAAACATCTTCCTTGGTACGTTACCTTGAGGCGGCTGCCCAGCCAGCCCTGCCGCATCTATATCATGTGCTAACTGTCCCACAGCTGGTCTTGGTGCCGGTGCCACTGAGGCCGTCGCTGTTGTGAACCCCATGGAGGTTGTCAAGATCCGTCTGCAAGCCCAGCAGCGTGAGTTTATAGCTACCACGAGGAGCGTGGGGAAACCCCGTGCTCGTGGTGGGAGACCAAGGACAACGAATGTGTGGCTGACCTCCGTCTCCAGACTCGCTCGCCGACCCCGACGCCGTCCCCCGTTACCGCAACGCCGCCCACGCTCTCTACACCATCGTCCGCGAGGAGGGTTTCTCGACCCTTTACCGTGGTGTCGCTCTTACCGCTCTCCGTCAGGCTACCAACCAGGGTGTCAACTTTACCGCCTACCAGTACTTTAAGAAGTGGGCCACCGAGTTCCAGCCCCAGTACGCCGACTCTGGTCTTCCTTCGTACCAGACCATGGTCCTCGGTCTCGTCTCGGGTGCCATGGGTCCCTTCTCGAACGCCCCCATCGACACCATCAAGACCCGTATCCAGAAGGCCACCAAGGTTCCCGGCGAGACTGCTCTGTCGCGCTTCACCAAGGTCGCCGGCGACATGTTTAAGAACGAGGGTGTCTCGGCCTTCTACAAGGGTATCACGCCCCGTGTCCTCCGTGTCGCCCCCGGCCAGGCCATCGTCTTCGCCGTGTACGAGCGCGTCAAGGGCTGGATCGACGCCGCCAAGGCTGCTCCCCTCGAGAAGGACGACTACGAGGCTTAAGCGATGACTCGACTTTGTCCTGTCATTTGCAGTCAAACAACGAGAAGCAGCAGTCGTAATCCAAGAGTGGCCCCCCCTCCTCCCGCTCTACAGCAGTTGTAGTGCGAGGCGCCGCCGCAGTCTTAGCACACCAAAAGCCGTTGCTCAGAGGGAGCTCCGCATGCCGAACGGGAAACAGAACATAGTAGCAGCATACCCAGCATGCAATGTTGTACATCATGGACCAAGCGAGCATTCTTTACTGTTTGGTCTCGTTATCTGATTGAAAAAGGCTTTGATTTTTCCGAGAGCAAAAGTAAGTGCAATGGCCTCTGCTCGTTTACAACGCGCTGGCGCCGAGTGGTCCGTCGTTGGCCCTATGGCGGAGGAGCCGTTCGTCAATGTCCGCTGGCGCACGGTGGTCGGTGGTCGCCTGGTTTCCTCGGTCACCGCTCATGTCGGTGTCTCTCGGAGATGCAGGCCGAGCGCAGCAGCGGGGCGCCGAGCAGGGTCGGATGCGGGGGAGTTGGATTACCCCGTCCATGGTCTGGGCCATCATGTGCCATACCTATAACCTATACAACATATACATTCTCCTAGCTCCGCCCGACCTCGTCCCACCTCCTCTGCCTGCCGCGTGAGCGCCAGTCCCCCTCCCCCTCGCTGTTGGCGGGCACGTCGGCGACCTGGCCACGGGCACCGAGGCCGGCGCGCTCGAAGCGGACGACGGGCACAATGGCCTCGGCGCGGCCCCCGCCATCCCGCCCCAGACCCTGTCCGGGCGTCCACCCTTGCTTAGCGAGCAGGGCGCGCGAGACGGAGGACGGGCCGGCGGGCGGGGCCGGCGAGGACGACGCCGACGTCGAGGTGTTGTGCCGATCAGCCGCGCGCGCACCGTAGCCATTGTCGCGCTGGCGGGGAGGCGACGCGGGGTGCAGTTTACGCCGTTGGGCCGAGCGATCCATGTATGCATTGGGGCCCCTTGCGGATGGCCGGCCAGTGTCCTCGCCCAACAAGGTGTCGCGGAGCGCAGCCATCTCGAGCTTGCGCTTGAACTGGCGGTCGCCGCGCGTACGGCCTGCGTCGAGTCCCAGCCGTCCAGCCTGCACGGGTTCGCTCTCAGGCTCCGTCGTCGTGGGCTTGCCCGCCGCCGTCCCGTCGTCGAGCGAGATCTGGACATTGCCGCTGAGCTGACACTCGCCGCATGGCCAGTCAGCGTGGACGTGCACAACCACCGTCGTGGTGCCGACAGTCACGCGCGAGAGGTGGCTGAGCGGGTACGGCTTGGACGCACATTTGGCCTCGCTCAGGCGGGTCGCGTCCGGCTGCCCACGGTGCGCAACGTACGTGCCCAGCGTCGAGCCCAGGTCAACGATAAACCACCCTTCGTCCTCGCCGTCCTCATCTCCACCGTGGCCCCAGTAGACGAGCGCGTGCGTCTTGCTGACCTCCATCTCGCGGACACGGAGGCGGGCCGGTGCGCCGCGTTCACACCGGTCGCGGCCGATCTGGATCCCGCCTTGACGCGCGTCGAACACGGCCACGCCGCCGGGCTCGAGGTCCTTGGAGCGCTTGACGACGAGACGGACAAGGTGGGCCGAGGCGTCTGGAGGAGGGCAGGACTCGTCGTCGTACGGTGTCGGGGTCGAGGTTGCGGAAGCCGGTGCCGTCCAGGCTCTCGAGACGCTGTCCCCGGCGGCGTACGCTGGGTGCTTGTCCCTGTCTCGGTCGCCGTAGCGGTCGGCCTCGCTCTGGCGTGTGGTGTCGTCTCTCTTGCCTCCATATGCCAAATGGCGGTCGTCGCCACCATGGTACGCTTGCTGTTGAGCCTTCTTGTCTTTGTCCTTGGCGTTCATGACCCGCTCGAGCTGCTCGGGCTCCATGAGCCCTCCCCATCCCACATCGTCCTCGAGCTCCCCATCCTCCTTCTCCTCGGAGCCTCTTGTGGCAGTAGTTGGTCCCCTTCCATCTTCACCCACTGGGCCATTGTTGATACCACTCGTCGAACTACTTGCCCCGCCGCTGCGAGCGGCAAGTTCGGCCGGGGTGAGGTACGTCCACGCGCCGTCGGCGCCCGGAAGCGCGTACGTGTCGCTGTTGGCGTGATAGTAGACGCTGAGGGTCGGCGACCACACCCATGTGTCGCGCGATGCCTCGGCCGGCCGTGGTTTGTCGCCCGTGGGCATGGTAGGTGGAGCGTTGAGTGTGCTGTTGTTGTTATTGTTGGACGCAAAAGGAAACGAAAACACAAGTGGAGATGGATTTTGCGGACATTTGAACCAATCTCCGACAGTATTAGTTTTCAAATCCTAATGAATTCGATCGGTAAATGTCCGCACCCCACACTTTGGAATGCACCGAAGTTACCGAGAGACTGAGCCATGGTCATACCACCGAACGCCGGCTGTGAGGATAGTAAGAGCACAAATGCATGAGGCAGAGAAAACCAGTCGCGACCGCCTACCAGTACGTCCCTCTTGTGTACTCGCATACTCACGTTCTCACGTTCTCACTGACTCGGATCCTTTGTCCGTGTCTGCAGATCGTGAAAGGTGGCGGTGGCAACAAAGGCGTAAAAGGCGCTGGGCCGCTGGGTTGCTCCCAAGTTCCACAGCCACCTCCCAAGAGTATGTGTTGTTATGTAGAGCCTGTGTCATGGGGGATGGTAGGCATTGCGATAGACACATCAATAGACACCTCAACTGCACACCAGTGCGCTCACCGCACTGCACACACGCTTATCAGCGCCGTCGGGTCCGCCTCAAACGGTCTTCCCGCCAGAGGCGCCTCGCGTCGGCATCTTGACCCTGCTTGGAACTTGCAGCGTGATGCTTTAGCCAAGCCGCCAACCGACGCCGCAGTAGACTATGCTTGCCTGCGCCGCTGTGGCTGCCGCGCCAATGCGTACCCGGCCAGTGCTCCCGCAACGTCGCCTTTGTAGGGCTCTCGGAGGTTGCTTGCTTGGTGTTGCCTTGGCCGTCCACACCGCGGACGACGGTGGACTGCGGCGTCGCTCAAGCCCGCCGTGGGGTTTCCGCAAAGGAACGACCCAAAAGGGTACACACGGTGATACGGTGGGGTGCCGCATTGCTTGGCAGATTGTGGCAGGTTGCTGTCGTCTGGACACGCGTGTCCCTCCAACGGCCATGACCGAGTGTGACGCGCGCGACGGCCGCCGGCCTCCACTGCGCGCTGCCAGCTGTTAGGGCGACGGACCCACGCAGAACGTTCGACCGAGGACTCCGCAGCACCGCAGCGGCTGGCGGACCTTTGCCGCAGCAAGGTGGTACGTACCACCCTCTGCTCTTTTGCTATCGCTGCGCGCTAAACGCTGTTTAATTTTCAGACGACGATTAGCTCCGCAGTCCGGCCGACGTTGATCCCATCTCTCCTGGTGGCCAGGTGGCCTGGCCGGTTGTGACATCTTTTTCGGTATGTTTTTTTCCTTCATCTTCGCAGTGTGGCGGTCGGCCACTTTGAGTGGGGCTTGACTGTGGGGGAACGCCATTAGCTGTTTGCGCAGCAAAGCGCATGCAAAGACGTTATGCAGCATGTGTGGTATGCGCTGCGCACCATTGGTGCTTTGGTCGTGTGCCCAGCGCCTCGTCGGCACGGTCGGCAGGCTCCATGGGTCCTGCTGTGATGATTTTTTCCTGAATGCCAAGAGATTGAGCCACACTCTGTGCCCATGGCTCGCAAAAGGTGGAGACCTGCTTGTCTCTCCCCGCGACCCACCAGCTTGCGCAGCTCAGGACGCGCCTGGTGTCTGTACTGTGCCTCTGTGTTGCCAAGTCTGACATCGTGTGGGAGGGACCTTGCAACGTTTCAACTCATCGGACAGCAACCCCCTCGTCAACCCCTTGCCCGTGAGCCCGGACGTGTCCACGCAACAATGCACAAAGGAGAGCCTTTCAGTACATGCCAGCCGTCAGCGCCACCATTCTCCCCCACGCTGAGAGCGACGTCAGCTGGGGGGGACCATTCCGCCGGCACAGGGCATGAGAGGTTCGGCAAACCCGCAGAGGCCTGCGGAGAGTTGGGCGTACAGAGTGTGATAGCCAAGACGAACGAGAGGCCGGTTGGGTACCAGCGCCAGGGTAGAGCGCGCGCCACTGCACCCAAGGTCATCATGCATCAAGAGCCCATGTCAGGGCCGCACTACGAGGCCCAAAACTTGATTGTCTTGGGACGTGTCACTGCTGCTCTGATGTGATCCTCTCTCTTTCTCTCTTGTTGCTCCTCAATCGCCGCCCTCGCAACCCCTAAGATTCCAACGTCTCGGTGACTCTGCGTCCATTGCGCAGTCGACTGCCCCCGTCCGTCCGTCCGAGCTCAGCCCACCCACCCACACGCAACCGCATACATTCCCTCTACTACATCTATCATGAGCTACACGCTCTTCCCCACTACCCCACTCCTATCACCATGAAATCCAACAACCGCAATCGGAAGCCGAAAGACCGGACATCAACGTCCAGCAGCTGGTTTTCGATCGCCGCGCCGGCGGACACGGCCGTGACAACAGATGTGCTCAGCTTGTTGCCCCGCGCGTTCTTTGCTTCAAGGCGGCGACGATCGTCCTCCCCTACCTCATCCCAATCCTCCCGCTCCTCCCTCTCCCCAACCTCACCACCAACCTCCCCCCCTTTGTTGCCCTTATCCAACCCCCGGCGACGGGGGACCTCATCGCGTCTGTCCAGCCTCGACACATTTGCCCGGCGGCGTGCCGTCTTGCTCGCGTTATCCCTCGCGATCCCAATCCTTGCTATCTTGATAGTGACGGAGCTCAATGCGCAGCGAGCAAACCTGACCGCTTGGGCCGACGAGCTCGCTGTGCGGGAGGCGAGCGCGACCACCGGCCGCGTCGACCTCGAGTCTTGGCGCGAGGGGTGGGTCAAGAGGCGACAGGTCGAGCGTGCTGGCCTTCCTACCCCCACTCCTGGAGCAGACGGCGAGATCGACGTGCCCGAGTCGGCACCAGAGGTCGACGGCTCGGACGTGTGGCCCGTGTGGTGGGGCAATGTCGACGAGGTGGGACCGTCACCCTTTGACAACTTGCCACCTCCCCTGCGCGGGGCAAAGCGCCGCGTCCTCTTTCTCACAGACTACACCGACTACCTGGAACGCATGAACACGCACACATACGAGATTGTCGATGGTGAGTGATACGCTGGGCGCCATGCCAGAGATTTCAAGATTTCCGATGTGGAGGTTGGACGCGGCTGACATGTTTAAACAACAGCCGCCCTCCGCCATCCGCATCTCATCGTCGACGTCTGGGGCCCAGGATGGGCAGGATACGACTGGGACGTCCCACTTTCCGTCAACATCAACCGTCGTGCAAACCGTGTTGCTGCCATCGAGGCGGGCCGTGCGCACCATGCTGCCAACGAGGCGCGTGAACGCCAAGCCTCTACCCACGCGTTGGCCGGCAGGATCGACATCGGTGGCCTGCTTGGAGATAACGCCGACCAGACGCCGTACCACGCTCCCTCGTGGGACTCGTTCGACGACCAGTGCAACCCCGATGTCGCCTTTGACTTTGCGTGGACCATGAGCGACATTTACAAAGCCAAGGACATGCCGCATGTCGATGGTCTCGACTGCGGTACCCTCCTCGTCCAGCAGCTTGGTGACTGCCACGAACACCGCTGCATGAAGGAGTGGTACCAGCAATCCAACAACATCACTGTCACAAAGTACGCGTTCGAGCTGAACGAAATCTTCAACTATGACAACATCAGGACCAAGTTCCCCGACTTCCAGATGCACCTGTTTGGCCACTCGCCCGACACTGGCAATCCGTGGGACTTTTACCCCCTGCCATGGAGCGAGAAGACGAGGGAGGCAGCCGTCTTTGGCTTTGATGGTGGCTTCTACCCCCTGCGCACGACGGTCACCGAGCACCTGCGCAAGCTCGAAAAGGACTCGTCCCTTCCAGCCTCGCCTATCAGCCGCCACCCTCACCCGGGATACACCGTGCACATTCCCGACGAGGTCCGCAACAACCCGCTCGAGACGTACACGCTCGGTCACGAGACGTACACGACCCACCGCGCCCTCCGCGAAGACTTTGCTGGCGGCATGCGCAAATCCCAAATCTGCGTCTTTGACTCGTCGCTGGAGCGCAAGCTCATCCGAAAGTACGCCCAGGCGTTCCTCTCCGGCTGTGTTGTTGCCGGCGACTTGCCCACGGAGCACGAAGAGGAGCTCGAGAAGTTTACCATCAAGCTGGAGCCCGGCTGGAAGATTGAACGGATCCACTGGGAGCTGGAAAAGTACCTCGCGCAGCCCGAGAAGCTTCACCAGATGGCCCTGGACGGGTTCGCGTACGCCCGCGAACACCTGACCGGCACGTCCAAGATCACCGACATGCTCCGTCTGGTCGACTCGCACCGAGCCGGTCACCGCGGCTATGACCGTAAGTACCGACCCACCAGAGTCATCTGGCAACTGGCGACCGGGCTGGCGTATGCTGACCGCCTCTCAGAATCGTTTAGCTTTTCCAACCGCTGCAGGACATACTGGGTGAACGCCCAGCGCCCGTGAGTACAGTAGCGTCGTCTTTGTGCTGGCCGTCCCGGGACATGTGGCGTTTTGACGACTCGTTGCTGACTTATTTGCCAGTGGTTGGTGTGACGCGCAGGAGAGTTACCGTGGGCTGGAGGACCGAATGTATTAGTAGCAAGATCATCGACACATCTACTTCATTTATCTATCTATCTACGCATAGTCAAGCACAGCACTTGCATCCAAATGTATTATTTTTCCCCTTCCTTTCGCGGCAACATACCACTGCTTGGTCCCCGTCGTGGGCGATCACGGCGACTTGGTCGTCAAGAAAGGTGCTACGGCCTACACTGGTAGGGCTGGTTTGCACCATTGCCTTCCATTGGGATATCTTGGTGGCCGGTGGCTGATCTGCAACACTAACGGGTCCCATAAGACACCGACTTGACATCAAGAGTTGCTGTTTTTGGCTCGCTTAATTCTGCATGAAGTCGTACACCCGCTTCTAAACACACCTCTGGTGCAGAGATGCATGTAGTATCGGGTCCACGAGACTTTCTGGGTGCAAAATGGATCTAACATTAGGTGCTCTGCCCTCTCCCCGGTTCCTGGCGCCGGCCGGGTCGGGCTAGCGACGAGATCACGTTGAGCGTTAGCATTTGCGCGTTTGTGTTGCCTTGCGGGTCCTGTTGGCCCTTTGGCCTTTGGTCAGATGGGCTGCCGGCATGGGTTGCTGGCTACATGGGGTTGCGGCGCTGTCCTTGTGTGCGTGGTCACAACCGTAAATGTGTTAGCAACCTAGCAATCATGTCATCGTTGGACCCAAAGGAAAAGTCTCTTCCTTCCATCTGTCACAACCTTCCAGTTGTGTCACGCCGCACTCACTGCTTCAGTGACAGAGATCCACGTCATGCTTCTAGAGAACACAACCTTTGTACCTGTCCTGAGGACATGTGCCCCTCAAGCATATATTGTCCGGTTAGATTGCTGCAAGACGAGTATCGGTGGCAGACCTACCGAAGTTGTGAGCTGGGCCACTCCGGAAATGCTGGGCTGAAGTGTGTAAAAGCGCACAGCATTCACAGGTATGTCTTGCGCCATAAGCCGAGCTCATCATTGGCAGTAGCGGATGGGCTACCCAGGCCTGCATGCACTTGGCCCTCTGTCCTCCAGCGTCCGGCCTGTAAGCTACGGAGAGCCGCGGCGCCACGGCATATTGCATTCTCGCCCAGCAACCAGCTGTGCAGCCTGGCGGAGGGTACCGCTATGGCACCTGTATTACATACGGCATATGCCATGCTCTGCCACGCGAGGCAGGCAGATTGTCCAAATGGCCAAATGGTTCTTGCGGTACGTGATTAGTCTTTCAACTTGTCACGCGGGAAAGCTGGGTGTTCCTAGGGCCCGACGAAAGACCTGTAGCCATCCTATCGAGGCTTGTGTCTGGTGTTTCCTTCGGAGAGTGTGCCGCGGGAGGTGCCGAGCCAATGGGTCGCTTGCAGCTGACGAGAGCCTCGCCCTCTGGGTCTCTGCAGATGCTACGTACATGCATTCAGGTTGGAGAAGCGAGCATTGCCAGGTGTGCGCGTTTGGCAAGCATGGGCGACGGGGGACCCGTAAGGCGGCACTGAGACGCGCGGAAAGAACACAGGGCCTCGATGCGCTCGACCAAGCCGAAACTGAAGCCAAATCAGTCACCCACCTGCCTGTGTGAACCTACCACCGGCCACCGGCAGACGGAGTGGTGAAGAACGGAACAACCGCTCGTCGTTCACCAACGAATCCGCAACCCCAAGACTCTCGTATCGTTGTACAATCACCTTCATGTTTCTTGACTAGAACAATCAACAACAACGCCACCCGTGCGACCCGTCCCCCCTCCCTCCGCCATGTCGATCTACTCCGCGGGCCGAAACCCTACTTTTGGCGACGGCTTTGGCATACCCGTCGCTGTTTCCCCAGTCCCATCAACGTCCCCTTCCCTACCACCACCGTCCATCTCTCGCTCCTTGTCGCTCAAGCTCGCTCTGGTGCAGAAGGAGGCAGGCAGCAGCGACGGTGGTCAGCGAGACAAACGCGGGTCATCCAAGCGCGTGTCGTACGCTCCTTCCCTCGCCCCGTCTCTTGCTGGCACGTTTGGCGGCCGGGAATGTGAACAGACACCGGCCTCTCCCTCCATCACTCTCGACCAGTTCGACGACGACCACGATGGCCAGACAACACCAAGCGTCCATCCACGATCCGGGGTGCTGTTAGCACTAGACTCGAAGCTGGGCGCCCTGTCCACCGATGACATTGTGTACTCGGGTGCGCCAGAGATCCCACAGGTAACTGGCCTGGATTGTGACCACGGTACCATGGGGATATTGTGGCCGGCGACTGGGCAAGACGATTACCATCCGGCACCCCACCAAGACAGCCATAACGCCTTTTTCTTCCCCGTCCACGTCAACGCGCAGGCCATACCAGATGGTGGCCCGCGTACCCCCGATTTTACGGCTTCCACAGAGGCCCTTCATGCTGAACGTTGGTCGCCTGCATCCACCGGAACTGCCACACTGGCGACCCCGGACACGCCCACCATTCCCACCCTGCTCGACGCTGTGGCACCACCGCGCTCGAGCTTGCTGTTCCATGTCCAGCCACATTACCTCGACATACCCTGCGGCGACCATGGTTCCGACACCGCGACAGACGAAGACGTGGCTACAAGCGACACGATCACCGCCGCTGCTTCCGCGAACGGTCGCCAAGTGGAAGCCCCCTTAAGGTTTAAGCCGCAGAATGACAACCACTTAGAGTTGGCGGCGGGCTATGGTAACCATGCCTGGACGGGTACCCCCACGACAATAAATGAACGGGATATCCTTCCGGACGGTCCGCGTGGGCGAGATCTGGGTGCACCCTGTCCAGCTTCACCTCCGGAAAGTGCGGGACAACCACGCTCGAACGCAATGTTGGCGTCTGCGATCGACGAGTTGGCCACCGACGTCGCGCCTGTCAACATCATCAGCCCTCGCGAGCTGAATGAAGCACGACACGCGTCTCCAGATGACGACCTCGAGGGCGACCAGCACTGCGTGGCTGCATGGGACGAGGACATGCCTCGCTCCAACACTCCCCGCGTGTCACGTAGCGGTTCTGTCCCGCTCGACGTGGTACGACCTGCCTCGCAGCCACACACGCTGGAGCTCGACCGTGGTGTAGTCATTGCTGCTCCCATCCCGGTACCTGCTGCTGTCGGTATATACAGAGGTTCTGTGGAGGAGCTCCAAGCTACCAGCTCGACAGTGTCGTCGGCGGCCGCGTCTGATGCCAGTAACCAAGCACCCGTGGCTGTGTCGCGAGTTACCCCCGCGCCATCAACGAGCGCGGAACAGCTGAGCGACCAGGCGCCACCAACACCCCCAAAGACTGGATTGTACGCCGGCAAGTATGGCACGCGACCTGCTCCACCTCCGCCTACTGTGGCTCCGTACGTACTGCCACAAGGCGCAGACATGCGGCTGCGCGAGTCCCGACTGCAACACTCATTTGGCCATGGTGTCGGCTCGAGCCGTCGATCATTTTCGAGCCTGACGTCAACTCCGCACCACCTTGTCGACGCCAGCGGCAGCCGTGCCCTCCGTTCAGCTGTTCTACCCAACCACACGGCCCGCTCGTCCACGTTCGCCCTGTCGCTCTCCAAAGACCAGCAAGACGGGTCTACCACACCGTCGCTGGCGACGTCGCAGCGGCAGCGTAAGTTGTCCAACATGTTTGGCTTGCGCAAGAAACAACAGCAGCAGCCACCAGCAGACCTCCCGCACAGTGAAACGTACGACCGTCTGGGCCTGTTCGAGGACGAAAACTACAAACCTCAACGCAAGACCCTCCTCTTCCCTCCTGAACCAGAAGAGGACGAGACGTTCTCGGTGTGGCGTGTCCCCTCTCAGCGTCGCCTATGGGAAGCCGGCCTGTGCTTTGTCCACGATGACAAAGGCAACGCCGTCTGCTTTGGCGACCTCTTCCCTCGGTGGCCAGAGGACGTACACGTCCCGGAGCGCGAGGGACCAGAACCTCGCACTGTAGTCTTCTTCATCCGCCACTGGTGGTGCGGTACGTGCCAGGACTACACGATGGAGTCACTGTCCCGCCTCGACTCGTCTCTGCTGGCAAAGAACAATGTGCGCGTCGTCGTCGTCGGGTCTGGCAACTGGAAGATTATCGCCGCCTATCGCCACGTTCTCAACTGCGACCACCTCGAGTTTTATACCGACACGGTCGGTAAACTCTGGGGTCTCATGGGCATGACCAAGTCAATGCCATACAAGCGCGAAAAGGACAGGCCGATGCCAGAGTACAATGTCCACTCGCTCCCAAAGCAGATTTACAAGGGCATGAAGAATGCGTTTACGCAGTTCCCCATCGCCCACCCGGGCGACTATACGCGTCTCGGCGGCGAGTTTATCCTCGCGCCAAACTATACGTGCGACTTTGCCCACCGCATGACGCACTCTGCCAGTGAGTTTATTGTATTTTTAGAAGAAATGAGCACGGTTATTGACGTCTTTTGCAGACCACATGGAGGCAGTGGATGTTGTGCGCCGCGCTGGCGTCGACCACCCCGCCACGTCCTTGCCCAGCGCACCAGACGCTGCCGCGCTCGCAGCGCGCGAAGAGCTCAACCGCATCACGCGCGAGGTCCACGAGTGGGAACTGGCGCGCGAGCTGGAGCTGGAGCGCATGCGCCGGAAGCGGGCCGCGCGCCGCGGCGGCTCGATGGCTCTGAGCAAATTGTCCGAGTACGATACTGCCCACGGCGACCGAGACAGCGACAGTGGGAGCGACACGGAGACCGAGGCCGGGACGACTGGCGGCCGCCGTCCGCCAGAGCTCGTCGCGACCAACCCGGGCGACAGCATTTCCAGCTCGGACGGCATGTCCAGCGAATACTGCGCGAATGATCTGGAGGAACTGCACCACCCGATCGTGGTACGCGGTGCGCACCGCCCGTTCCACGAGGAAGGCATGGTGAAGGAGGGGAAGCATGACGATGCTGGGGTGTATGCGGGCAGTCATATTGGTGTACTGTAATGAGCTTCTAGCGGTGAGGGTCTGCTTGGGGGTATGCTATTAGCTTGTACAGTGATGACAATGTACGACCATGACCTCTTCCTTGGTATCCGCATTGAGCTCGTGAGGTTCAATTAGTGCGTATTGAGCAAACGACGTCAGTTAGTGGAATGTGGTTCACCTCATATGACGCAGGCAGTTAGGCAAAGTGATACAATGTGCTACAGTGTGAAATGAATGGAGGCACCTCTACGCCTAGCAGCAGCAAGGGATGGGGATGCAGCAGATGTCGACGCTGAGAACGTAGAGCGTCAGTTCAAGTGCCCTCGCCGCACACCCTCTAACTCACCGGCAGGGAAGGATGGGAAGACCGCAGAACTTGCCGGGGCAACCGCCACGAAGACGGAGGGGCTCGCTCTCAGGCTGACCGGCAGTGGTGGGAGCGGCAGTCGAGTCTGGTAGGGGGTTGTAGGTATTGCCGAGTCGGTAGAGGAGAAGGGGGGAGAAGAGAAACGTATGGTTGGAACGTGAAGATGGGAGGAAAGCGCGTCAGTTGAGTCCCGTCCTGCTGCAACGCGCCTTGACGCGACTCACTCATTGTTGCCTTTGCGGTCGGCTGCTGGGCGACGATGGGGGCCTGGGTGATGTTCTCGGAAGGCTGCATGATGTGTGTGTGGGCGTTGTGTGGGCGTGTGTGTTGTATGTTGAGAGAGAGAATGTACAACAACAACCTTTTTGTAACCGATGTCGCGGGACTGAGAGACCCTGCTGTCAATAATATGTATGGGTGCTTGCACCGCACGCGCGCGCGCTTTGACGTTCGACGTGGGGAAGATGTATCGCATTTGCACAGGTGGAGCGCAGCAGCAGGAGATACCTGGATACCATGACGTCACCGCGTCATCGCACCAAACATCCATAGGCGTGCCAAATGGTTCCGCACAAGGCGTCCCAAGCCGCCACAGACGCCTTTTGATGCGAAAAAGGCACGGGGTCGGTGGTCATTTCTTTGGGCCATTTGGCAGCATCTGACGCCTTCCTCATCTATCCTCCGCCATCTCCTCACACACACCCCAAAAGCACCACTGCACGGCGACGACCGCCCCTCGATTCCCTCCTCAAGAGCATACCCAACCCCCCGACTCGTTTGGCTCCCCGTTTGACGCGCCTCGATTCGTGCATTCCACGCAAAGTTCGCCCCCCTCCCACCCCTCCTCCTCACCGTTCCAACAACCTTTCCATCGTTCAACAGCGCCTAGAGCCGCACGCAGCGCGTGCCAAATCGCGTCAACACTTACCTCTACCAGCCCCCCGTGTGCGCGGAAACACACTCTTTGTTACCGTGGCGTGTGATTGCGTCTGCGTCTGCGCGCGCCCCATCCTCTACAAACACGCTTGCCCACCACACGCAGCGACGTCAACATGACCAACCCCCCTCCCACTCGCCGTACCACCAGCCTTACAGGCACATCGCGTCTTTCGCTCAGCGTTGGAAACAAGGCCGCACCTGTTCTGCCCAACACCATGGCTGGCCGTCACCCCCTGCGTCACGAGTGGGTTCCCGTTCCGTCGATAGGTGACTGACCCAGCAGCTGGTCCATTAGCTACGTCCACCGTCCCCCTGGTACCAAGGTCGACTATGAGAAGGAGATCCACAAGGTCGCCACCTTTGGTTCGGTGAGTCATGACTTGCCCGTTTCGGTCTCTGCGTGTTTCCTTTCAAGTCGTTGTGATGCTGCTGCTCCCGACTAGGCTGTGGCGCTCCCCGCTGCTGGGGTAGGCCTACATACGACGACCCTCCGGTCTGCGTGGCGTGGCAGTGACTGTCATCTCTGTGAGATGGTCGGCGATGATTTGCCACCACCGGCGCCTTATGACCGGCTGCCTGGGTGAACAGGTTGGGGGATTTAGGTACGAAGAGGTGCGCGTTCTGTGCCGTGGGCATGGGCCATTGGCACCCCTTTGGCTCAGTTTCCTCAACGCCGGGAGTGTTGTACCAGAGCTACTCGCCATGGGGGCACCTATCTCTGCTGTCTCACTCCTGGAAGATGGAGCCAGCACTGTGTACCTCTCGCCGGCAATGGATCCACGGCTTGCCTGGTTGTCGGTGTTGTTGGTGTGGATGTGTTATGGGAAGCCCTCACCCTATGGGCAGTGCGGGCTCAGCGCCTGGAGGTTGTGTGTGGGACACACTCGCCGCAGTACCGATCCGGGATCACAACCCCGGACGGCTGACAGTGAAAGTACTGCTGCACCCTGCTCCCTCCTGGGGGCTACCTACTTGCCTGATGGTGGTGCTACCTGATGGTAGCCCTACAGCACCTCTGAACCATGTCTACAAGGGGAAAGGGAGTCTACAAGTGGAGAAGAGAGGCGCGATTGTGTCATGGACCAGATACCATGGCCTCTCCGACCTGGAATACCATGTCGACCGCCGAGTCGCTCTGGACCGGTTCCGCTCGGAGCTCCATTTGGAGCTTGTCGGGGCACCAGGCGCCAGAGTCCGCGGACATAACACGTACAACTGTGGCCATAGACCGCGGGGATGCGGCGTTTACTCCAAGCGCCGCCGTTCCGGGACAGGATGTCCCTGCTGGAAGTGGAGATGCTGGAAGCTGCGGATGTTGGGATCTCTGGATCTGGTTGTGCGGTGGACGGTCGTATCATTCCCGGTCCTCCTGTGTTACCCCTATGCCTGGACCTTGGTGCGAGCCACTGGGATATCCGGACCGAGGTCGCGGAAGACGTTCGGTTCTATCCTCGGTGACAAGACGCACCGGAGCATGAGGGATTGTCGCTGCCCATGTCGAGGCGAGGAACCACTGCACCCGGACCCCACGCGCTGACTCATACCCGACAGATCGAGTCCTTCCTCAACCTCTATGCGCACCTCACTTCGCCGTCGGAGCTTGCACCTGTGACGGATATGCTCTGTTTTGCCAGCCGTATCCAGCGCCCGGGCATCTGGGAGGAGATGGTCAAGTGAGTTGTTGGAAAATGTCGGGGGTAGTGGAAGTGGACGCTATACGCGGACTCTATATCCGGACACTATTGCCGGACGTTTTATCCGGAAACCCGGTCGCTAACTCCGGACCCAGCGGTGGCAAGTTTACGATCCGGTTGCTCCACCCTGCGACCCCCGTGCTGTACGAGGCCCTGCTGTTTGCCCTGATCGGCGATCAGTTTGACGAAGCGGATAACGTTGTCGGTTGCGTTCTGAGTGTTCGCCAGACCGAGGATATTCTCAGCGTCTGGGTGGAAGAAGAGGGCGAGGGTGTTCGCTCTGGCGCGTTGAGGTGAGTTGGGAAATAGAGACTGGACTGGCAACATCCATCTTGCGGAGTAACGACGGAGAAAAGGCATGCTGACGCTTGTTCAACAGAGAGAAGATCCTGACGCTTCTCTCCCTGCCGCCTTCGACTCTGTGCGAGTATCGGTCGAACAAGGCTCTGCTCGACGCTGCGTCCTCCCTGAAGGACAAGCTCGCGACCGATGGACAGCACCTTGACAGTGTTATTCATGGACAGGCGCACTCGCATGCCCTCCACTCGCACCCCCATCCCCACACTCACCACCACAACCAGGGTGCGCAGGGCCACCACGGCCAGCACAATGCTCGGCACCACGACCGGGGACACTACCGGGAACCCCGCGGACCCCGCGACGAGGCGGCGGCCGTCGGTGCCGGCAGCAGTGGCGAGAGGAGGACAGGCTGGGGCAACGGATTCCGTAGGGAGCAGCAGCAGCAGCAGTAGCATCCTCAAAGCAGTACACATTATGTAGTACGAGCAGTATGTTGGGATTTTTTTGACTTTCTACTATCATACACCCGACCGACAAAAACGTTACTTACTCATGTGGCTGAGGGCGGGACCTAGCCGGGCCTGCCAAACCCAGCAGCGCCGCCATCCACAGCAGAAGGTGGATCAGAGCGAGCAGCATGACCAAGCCCGTCTGCGATTGAGAATGATAGGGCCGACATTCCTGGGGCCGCACCGCGCTTCCGCAAGACATGCTCCCCCGCGGTCATGTGTCGTTTGGATCATGGACATGCGGCCCGCCAAGTCCGGAACATCCGGCCCGGCCAGGGAGTCCCCAGAACTGTCCCCGTGCGTTGTCCTCGTGAGCACCGTGCAGGACATGTGCCTGCTTGAAGGCGGGCATGTGAAGAGGTTCCTAGGGACACCGAAGGCAGGACAGCAGAGGTGCACAGGCTGCCGGACGCTGATTCAGTTTTGAATAGGTTTTCCGCGGCCGAGCCCCACACGGCCACACGGCGGCCCATACCGGTGCGACCCAGCTCCGCCTCGCGTTCGTTTACGCACCGCGCCTCCTCGGCGTCGACCACACTGGGCGCACCGGGGGCCTGCATCTCGCAACCGGGCCACCCGGCAAGTGGTTGTGCCAGAACCGGCAGAGGCATTGTCTACATCCACCTCCGGGCCCCTGCGGGCCGGCGTCCGGGCCGTGTCTGACAGCACGCTGTCGCTCTGCTGCACCGTGACACACGCCGCCGCATGGACAGAGTGGTATAAGTAAACTGCGTTGCGATCAAATGTCGGGACCTTCATCCACCCCACAGAGGCCCCATACTCGACATCGACACCTAGAGGCCCCCACATTCACCCTTGAGCCAAGTGCCACTCTCCCTTATCAACACAGTCGACCCCATCGTTTCCTCTTCCCACCATGCCTCAGGCTTACCAGTGAGTCGGTGGCAAAACACGCAGACATGCGAGAGTGTATCGGCTGCGTACTTGCAAGTGGTTTCGGAACGAAAACTGACCTTTTCACCAGGGATGAGCACCACCATGCCCAGGCGCTCGACTCGTCCATCGTCCCCGCCACGAAGGGCAATCGTTACCAGAACTCGAGGGCTTATCTGATGGCCTTCATTGGCTTCATGGGCATTTTCCTTTTCGGCTAGTTGGTATCCGTACAGCTCTGGGAAGCAGTGGAGGGCTTCCAGAAGCAGGAGGACGCAAGGTTGAAATGGAAAGCTGACCATGAACAGCGACACTGGTCTCGGTGGCGGCGTGTTGGCGCTCCCCACTTTCCAGAGCGAGTTCGGTCTGATCGATGACAAGGGCGTTGCGGTTCCCAACCTCTCTGCTCTTCAAGGCAACATCGTCTCCGTCCTCCAGGGTGGTGCTTTCTTCGGCGCAATCTTTGTGAGTATCCAACGGATGTGCCAAGACGTCGAGGAAGTCGGCGAGGTGGAGAGTGCCTAAAACGGGACCATGCGGGGTCATTTCCCCGGATTTGCCGATTCCGCCACTTCCGGTTTTTGCTTCCGTGTGTGGCATGTGGCGCCGATCTCCGCCCACACCGGCAGACCGCTGCCCAACCGTCCCTCGGACGTCCTCAGCAAAGTGCTTGGCGCTGACTCCTTCCAGGGTGCCCCCATCGAGGACAAGCTCGGCCGTAAGATTGGTCTCATGATCGGCTGTGGCGTCTTCATCATTGGCGGTGTTATCCAGACCGCTTGCTTCGGCTCGCTCGACCAGTTTTACGTCGGTCGTGTCATCGCCGGCGTGGGTGTCGGTCTCATGTCCATGATCTGCCCCACGTATGCTTCGGAAATCGCTCCTAAGGAGATCCGTGGTCGCATCACCGGTCTGTTCCAGATTGTTGTTGTCGTCGGTGTCGCCTTCTCGTTCTGGATCAACTACGGTGTGTCGTTCATGACCGCGGCCGACGGTGCCAAGCAGTGGCGTATCCCCATCGGTTTCCAGATTGTTCCCGTCGGTATCATGATGATACTCCTTCCCTTCCTCAAGGAGTCGCCCCGTTGGCTCGCCACCAAGCACCAGGAGGAGAAGGCTCTCGAGAACCTCGCCTGGATCCGCAAGGTCTCTGTCAACGACCAGAACCTCCAGCTTGAGTTTGCCGAGATCCAGGCCGCCATCAGGGAGGAGGAGGAGCAGACCAAGGGTGCCTCGTGGCGCGAGATCTTCGCCAAGGGCAACCCCGTTCGCTTCGTCATCGCCTTTGTCGTCTTCACCCTTCAGCAGTGGTCGGGCCAGAACTCGATCTCCTACTACGCCCCCATCATCTTCAAGGCTATCGGTATTACCGGCTCGCACACCAGTCTCCTCGCCTCGGGTATCTACGGTATCGTCAAGATTGTCGCCACCTCGGTCTTCATCGCGTTCGGTGTTGAGCGTTTCGGTCGCAAGCTTCCGCTGCAAGTCGGCGTTCTCCTCATGTCGATCTGCCTCTGGATTATCGGCGCCATCATGTTCACCCACGTCGTTTACAGCGAGACGACCCATACCTGGGGCATCCCCGTCACCGGAACCACTGCCCCATCGTCCATCGGCATGGCTGTCATGATCTACCTCTGTGAGTTTTTTGGACCCCCCCAAGACATGTCGATGTTTTTTTGCCGATCTTCTCCAAATATCGATTTTTTCACCTTCTGCAGCTGCTAACGCAAAAAACAGTCGTTATCCCGTACTGCTTCAGCGTGGGGCCCCTCCCCTGGGTCGTCTGTTCGGAGATCTTCAACAATAGGACGCGCCACTACGGCCTCATGACCGCTGCTGCCACCCAGTGGCTGCACAACTTCGCCGTTTCGATGGCCACCCCTACTATGGTCACCAAGCTCGACAAGGGCGGCATCTTCTTCTTCTTCGCGACCATTAACATCATCTCCCTCGTCCTGACCACCCTCTTCCTCCCGGAGACCAAGGGTATCTCGCTCGAGGCGATGGACGTCCTCTTCGGCTCGACCACCGCCGAGGAGCGTGAGCAGGCCATTCTCAACCGCGCCAAGATCAACCACGTCGAGGAGAAGCAGGAGGTTGGCCACGTTGAGGACTCCAAGAGGTCCACCGACCAGATTGTCTAAGGCGTGACAATGGGAAAGAGTGGGAAAGGTCAGGAGACGACGGACAGGAGGACGATAATTGGTGGTGGTAAAATTGGTAGTACGCAGTGTAATCGGCGGTGGGGGAAGTGCCGAGGGGGGTGGGCAGGGCTTGTAGTGTGTAAAAGAATCACGCATGGCATCTGGTGCGCTTTATACATGGGGCAACGGTGCAAGTATCTACCGAGCAAGAACGAGGAGGATGAGATGAATGGATGTACGGAGGAAACAAGCCGGACGTGGAGCGTGAAATGCCACATTGAGAAGTCACGTGACACCGCCCCGTGCGGCCCGGATCCGGCCCGCTCTGGACCCTGAGGCCGAACCTTTGTCCTTTGTGTTGCCCACCCACATTGCGAGCAATATGCATGCCTCGTCGTGTGGCCAGCTCGCTGCATTGATGCTACCTCAAGGGTGGCAGGCTCGGTGGATCGGTGGGATTGCACCGAAACCGCTGTGTGTCGTTTGGAGGGTGGCGGTGAAATGTCTACTGGAAGTGTCCCGCAAGTGCACAGCCAGGTGGATGCCGTACGATGGACCAATCACTCACCTCCTGCTGTGAATCGTTGCTCTCTTGGCCTCTTGGTCTCTTGTGGCCTGCTCTGACATAGGTGCATGCCCCATCTTACTCTGGCTTTACATTCTGTCGCCACCGTTGCGTCTGCTTGTGGAGACCTTTTCTAAAAACCAGTCTCCGTTCTTACTAAAAACCAATCTCTCGCTGAGCATTATTTGCAAAACTCTAATTGAAGTTAATAATGTCCAGTGGTCATTAGAAAAGTTATTAGCGGATGCATCTAAAAATTACGTAAATCTAGCTATTTGGTCCCGAGGCGCTCGTCTCCGACGTCCGCACTGTGTGCTGTATGTAACTGCACTGCTGTTCCTCACTGGATCACTGCACAGCAACTCTGTCTCTACATCGCTCCCCCTTACCGGAGATGCTCTATCATTCTGGAATTCCATATAACTGAAGGAAATGAATAAGCAAATGTGATTTCACGCATGTACAATCACATTTGAGCAATCCGCAATCACAAACAGCCTTTCTAATGACACTTCGACTAGATTACCTTTTATTACAGTCTTGTTTCTAATATTCAGGGCAGGGGTGGTCTTTAGTAAGAACGGAGAGGGGTTGTTTAGATCCCGGTAAACACTGCGTTTGGTAATTGGTTCCGTGACTCAGCACGCGGAACCGGAGTAAACAACATATTTGGTTCCGTCACTCTGTGCGTCACCTGTGTCCAGTCAACAGCTCTCAACAGTCGCGCGCCTGCAGCTGTATTTCCTCTCTGCCCTCCAGTTCACATATATCACATATTTCAACTAGGACCCACAGCCAAACCAGCCTTTTATGGGGAACTATGGCCCCACGACCCAGCGGTAACGTTCCGTGCTGCCACGGGCCGCGAGCGACTCGCGGTAACGCGTGTACCTCACAGGCCCAACAAAGTATGTACTGAAGGTGCGCGTGGGATGTTTTTGGCTCCAAACGTCAATCGCCCTTATGAAGACCCTGCGCTGGAACATCATGTAGCTCTGGATTATAGCTGGACCCGTGTCTGGCGAGAGAGCCCCCTTGAAATGACCGAGGTACAGCTGACGCACTGCCTCATCGCCTGACGGAGTCAGCTCACTACCCACATCCGCAACACTCGTAACGCACCTCTGTGGATACGCGGGAGGTACACGCGCTGCTCGCCCAGCTGGTAGACCTTTTCGACAATCTCGACTGCCGCAATGAGGGAGACGCCAGCGCTCTTCACCATGGGACACCCAGGATCCATGATTCTCGAGTTCAGGCCATGGATCTTGCCCGTCTTGGGTTCGCGTTCCTGGCCGCTAGCGTCCTTGATGGAGGCCACAAGGGCGGCGAGCGCCTGCTCGGAAGTGGCAGAGGCGCCAGTCGTGATGATCGCGATGGACTCGGCGCCATAGAAAGCCCCCATGGGGACCGGGATATCAGGAAGGTAACCCATTGACGCGGTGTCAATCCACAAAAGGGCGGAGATTTTATTCGGCCACCCGAATGCCTCTGGCACGTTAGCGCTACACGCTACACGTTGACGAGACTCACTGGCGACGAGCGCTCTCTTCCCAGAAGCAGCTTCAGTTTCCGCCCAGTAGGCACTGGTCTTGATTGCCAGTCCCATGGTGAACATGACGCCGATGAGGCCGAACGTCTTCATGTCAGCGGCCAAGCCAACAGGGTTTGCTCACTCCAAACGGGTTTACGAAATACAGGCCAGCCAGGTCGAGGGACGAGGGATCGACGCCGAGACCAGCGGCCTCGAGCTCCTCATACTTGATGTCATGTTTACGATTGCGCGTGTTGGGGTCCTTGGCCAGGTTGGCAAGCGTCTGGGGGTACGCTCCTTTGGCGGACATTATCCAAGCGACTTGCGCCTGGAGGAGCTTGTGCCCTTTGTGCTTGGCCAGAAGGCACGGCGGAAACGAGGTGGGCTTGTCGGGCTGCACCAAGCGGATCCCATCGCCGTACCTGAAACCCGTCAGCCAGAGGTACAGCACGCTACACCCACTTCTCAAACTCGTTCTTCTGATCGTTCTGCACGGTGAGGTACTCGATGAACGGAATCAAAACGTCCGCCTGAAATGTTAACAATAAGGACCTTGGATTTATCACTCACCTGATTCCAGTAGGCCGAGAAGGTGGCATTCGTCCCCGAAAGGTGAAGATCGATGAGGGCGACAAGGAACCGCTGCAGCTCGTTGTTGAACCGGTCCTTGAGGGCAAGCAAGAGCGCAGATGGGGTCTCCTCGATCCCGTCCGCGCCGGTGGCGGCGGGCCGTTTCTGCCGTTTCTGCCGTTTCTGCCGTTTCTGCCGGTTCTGCCGTTTCTTGGATGGTGGCTTGGCCGGGTCCTTGCGCGGGGCGTCCTCATTTTCCGTGTCGCTCTCCTCGTCCTCATCACCAGAGGGAGCGCCGTCCTCGTCGTGTGGGATGGCGTCGTCATGGTCGGCTGCGTCGGCCTCATCATACGAAGCGTCGCGGTCGACGAACGGGAGGACTGGATTCGGGGCGACGAGATCTCTGCGATGAAAGACGTTGTGGAGAAACTCCTGGTAATCGTTGACCAGGGGAATGCTTGCCATCAGCTCGTCGAGAGTAGCACTGAAGGGTGTCAACGTGGAATCCTTCGAAATCCCATTCACCAAACATACTCAGCAGGAGGCATGCCTTCCAGATCCTCTTGAGACGACATGCTGGGATGTGGGAAAGCGGTGTTGATGGGCAATGGATCAAAATGTCATTCAAAATGCAGGCAGTGATGGGGGATAAGTACGCGCCAGATATCAAGAGAGCGCAGTCAGAGTGGCGAATCCACACATGTTCCCATGACATCGGCCAGAGACCTTCCCGCGCCATTGTCCACGTTCGGGGCGCGAGGTGTAACGAGGGGAGATTGAGGACAGCAAAGGGCGTGCGACCCGCAACACACGTCCGCACCAGGACAATCCCTCGCTCGCACCACACTGCACGAAACCACACGCACAGCGTTCATGGATCCATGGGGACACATGACAAACGGGGCAGTGTCCGGTGAGACTATACAGTGAGTGCGTTCCTCTTTGCCCTCTAAAACTGCAATCCACAGTGTTCTGTGTTGCTCTCAACATCACGGTACTATGACCGCCAACCCAGCCAACACGTCTGACCCGGCCGTGTTTGACGGCTGGACAAACGAGTAGGTGTGACCTGCATAGTGTGGTGTATCCTCTGCTGACAGCTCAGTCGCAAGTTTTGGGATGGTCGCGGCCACGTCAACATCATCCACGTCGCCGCAGGGGACGCCGCCGCAGTGAACAACACCATTTACTGGGACCCTGCTGTCAAAGTTCACTCCATCCCGACACGTACTGTTGCCGCGTATATCGTTGCGGTGCTTGAACGGCTTGGATGTACCGCAGCCGAGGTCAGTAAGATCATCGCCATCCTGAAATCTACGACCCTTCGCACCACAATCGTTCACAAGGCCATGGCTGCTCTCGCTCGTGAGTGTATTTTTTTTCATTCACACAATCTGAAGGCATTACCGCAGGTTACCGTAACGCTGGTCACGGCAACATGTTTCCTACCTCTGTACAGTGGCCAGCGATCACCGACGAATGGCCCGACCCTGCCCAATCGTATGTCTGTTCTCACGTCATCTGCTAATCCAACAGTGTTGTTGATACCGTTCACAGTGAGTGTATGGGTGCCCGGGCCCGGGCCCGCTGACGTCGTCCTTAGCTCCCCTCGATGTCGACATCGTGCCTTTCGACGACGACGAGGTTGCCACTGTCAATGACGTTCTGGAACGCTGCATCAAAGTAAGCACCTTATTGAGGAACCGTAATGCTGAGGGCTCAGGTGTTTCCTCATCCGGGATGGGACGGTGCGATGTATCGGCAGAAGCTCTTTGAATTGAGCTCAGCAAAGGTGGACGGCAAACGCTCAACATACCCCTTCGACGTCCTCTTAGCCGTAGTCAGTGAGTACATCTCCCTCTCTCTGATTATTCTGACCCGTCCACAGTGCTGCGCACCAAGAACCGAATGGATGTCACGCCCAGCGGCTGGGGGGAGTATCTCAGACCGCACTCCGACATGATCCGACTGCACACAAAGCGGTACCTGAAGGAATTTCTCGGCACTGGCAGTAGTGGTGGTGGCCTTCCACTTGAGTTCAGAGCCCCGCTGTCGAGGCCTGGTGCCAGTGGACCAACGTGCAAGATAAAACGCCACAGAGGATGTTTGCCGACATCGCTTACGCGCCGAACATTGTTCAGGCCACCCGCGAGATCGGTGAGTCGCGTCAAGAATCTGAAACGTCACCCGTTCTCACCGCACCACAGCCACCATCATCCTTCCAAACGCCTCCCCCCTGTCCATCACTGATGCTGCGAATCGAATTCGCCTCTACGCCGTATCCACCGCACGCGGTAATGTCGTCGGGCAGCTTCGGAGGAGGTATTCGCCCACCGTCATGGAGCGAGCCTTGATCATCAAGCTGTTCGTCGAGAGAGGTTGGGGGGGTACTACGAGTGGAGGCTTGCCATCTCCGCGAATGGTCCAGAATGTCTGGACCGTTTTACGCGACATGGGTTTCCATTACGTCACCGCCGAGAGCCTTGCTCTCGGAGACTGGAGACGGGTGGACCTCCTCACAGCAATCAAAGCTTTGCGGATTCATTCGCCGCTCTGGTGGGCGGGGTGTGGGTACAAGGATGAGGACATTTGGACCATCACACCGTACGGCAGGAGCTCGTTCAGCCAAGCCATCGTGAGTACCGACTGAGGTGACGCGGCGCTAACCTGCGAACAGCAAGAACGCGCAGACCAAGACGTGGCGACATTGGACCCTTCCACGTTCCAGCGTCTCCAGGAGGAAGACAACCGCCTCCAGGAGTTCCCCTTGGACATCAAAGACTTTGATGATGTTTACAGGCTCTCGGAGGCTCTCCTCGACGTCGACAGTGGTAGGCACACCCGTCTCGATGGGGCCGAGATGCGGTTGACCGAAACGCTTCGGTTCATTGTTGTGATTCGCGTGAGTCAACGCCCAACAGGCAATGATGCTGACAATGTAGGGACAGATAAGGGTAGCCGCCGGCGAGTTTGAATTCAAGCAGACGATTTTCCCCAAGCCCTAAAGCGCGAATCGCCCTCAAACGAAAGATAGCGTGCACTAAATAGTTACTATGCAAAGAAGTGTTTTCTGCCTGCGAGTCTACAATGAGCGGAGAAGAAGCCAGGTCTGTTTTTGCGTACGGCTCTAGCCACCAAGTATATAGCATAAATAAACGCCGTAGTCCCGGACGCGACTGATTTCCAGTTCGGAAGTTACGAAGGTAACCTCACCTCTCATTTCCATCTTTCTCATCAATTCCTCCTTCCTATCGTGGTGCGCCATTACAGGCCCTTTGGCGCCACATCTACCGGAGAGCGCAAGCTCTCTCCGCTCGTTTGTCCGTCCGGGGTGGACCTAGGCAACCATAAACGCGACTTTGAAAAACCTTGGGCTCAGTCGCCGGCATCACACCCCCAATAACCTCCCACAGCTACCGCTACTCTTCTGGCATCCTTGGGCATCCTTGTCATGCACGCCAATGACGTCCCAATGGAGAAGATCCAGGCGAAGGTGTCCCATCGCTTTGGTTCAGATGTGACCGACATCTATTTGCGAGAGCTGCCGTGAGTTCAATGGCTCCGCCGACGTAAATGACACCCATGCTGATCATCCAGGCCTACGGACATTGGAGCTGCCGTGTTTGGTGGCCAGTCGCGGATGCCCACTGCTATCCACCTTCATCCCTTGGCCAGTCGCTCCCGTACGTCGCTCGCCGCCGGCCCGGCGTTTAGGCCCGCCTCATCCAATCTGGCACCCACACCTGTGTCCTTCCCAATGTCCCACCACGAGTATATCGCTGTCACAAAGGACGTGCTCCTGGGCATCTCCGTGTTCGGGCCCGCTGCTTGGAATGCTGTTACCATCGACTCGTCGCCAACGTCTACACGTAAAGGTTTCTTGCCGGAAACGCACCCGGTCAACGACAGTTGTGTCAGGTGTGGCGTGAACACCGCCAAATGGACGAACAAGAAGCTTCTCGACCATGCCATGATCTGGGGTGCAAATGCCTATGGCTGTCAAAGACGGCCTCTTCTCAAAGTACCCAATGTTGCCCCCAATCGCCAACTTCGGCCCTTTCCTCGATCCGCCTCCTTTCTCGTACACGCTTCGCGACAGCCAGGACACGGAATGCCTAGACTTGGAAGTGGTTTCCATGGCTATCGACCTCGAGCTTCATAAAGCTGGACGGTTCTCCTGCTCCTGTGACGAGTCGTCCCACTCGCGTTCCGTGGTTCTCGAGCACCTCGTCGAGTATCACAGTCTGTGGATCCCCGAGAATGTCGCCAAGATCGTATCTGCAATCTTGGACGACGACATGGACGTGGTGGCTACTCTACTTCCGCGACCGACGTACTCTTTCGCCGCCGCCTGCTGGGTATCTAACAGCGATAACGAACTCGAACTGTACGACGAATTGAAGAGCGCCTCATCGACTGCCCTCAGGACGAGCCATACGGGGTCCGTGTTGACATTTCCATCCCCGACATTGTCCTCGCATCCGGTTCCCTTGAGACGGACCTCGGTGCTGGCGGAGAGGCCGACTACACCTATAGTGGTTGATGTCCACAACAAGGTAGCGGTCGCACAGCCCGGCGCTTTTTGCCTGTCTCCACCTCGACGGCGAGGGCATGTCCGAGCGTGCCAGCGTTCCCGAGTATAGGCATGCTCATCTCGTCCGACACATGCACCGTCAGCTGTACCATGCTCGAGACGACCTGCACAAGGGGACGGATCACTCAATCTTTGTGGCCGGCCACAATCTCATCTGTCCTGATGTTGTTTGCCGCAAGATCAACCGCAATTTCACCGAGCTCATCCACCTTTGCTGGCATCTCGCTGCGACCCACAATGTCGATATGATCCGCCCGTACTTGAAGCAGAGCCTGACCCTCGTCGACGTGGTACCAACGACGAGGAGCTCTACACCTTCCTCGATCATTACGACCACACAAAAAGGCCGACTGTTCAACATCTCTTCGCCGACGAGATGGCAACCCTTCCCGGACCCGGCCAACGTCTGACAGACGTCACCTTCCCCGTGTCACCTTTGAAGATTGAGTCCCAGTTCCAAGACTTTGGCTTGGAGTGCCTACATGTGTGCGCTTGATTGTCCGACCTGGCGGCGTTGGGTATTGCATGAGACAGCCTTCGTGGCACCTGAAGCGGTGATGAGACGCGCTGCAGCAGCAATGTTTGGCTGCGCACCCCGAGGCTACATGTGTTGATTGCTTTCCCATGGACTTCATCCTCAGCCTGGTGTCGCTCGTCCAGTTCGTCTTCTGTATTTAGCATGCACGTTGTTCTACAGAGCGAGCTTGGCGCGAGCCTTTGAATCCAGTGTTGACGCAATGTTGTCGTTGTTGTTTGTGGCTTCCGGCTGAACGCGTCCGACGCGTCTACCGCGGTTCATGAAACAGCCACGTTGGTAATTTATCCGGTACCCCCATGCAATGTTCCCATGTTTTGACATTTGCCTCCACCAGTCCACTCAACCACAGTCGTCCTTGCTTTGATAGACTGTCACTTCGTCCTCTTCCATTCTCACCATCACTCGCATCCACACATCTCGTCAACAGAACAACTCCCTCTACCCTCTTCGCCGCATCCTACACCCCGGGTTGTTGGTGACACTCTCCGTCCATCTCTACACAACCCCCCCGGACCTCCGCACGCCACCTGGCGCGTCGCGTCCCCTGGCACCAAACACCATTCTTTAGGCCTTTGCCGCCCTCCCCCCCAAAAAAAAACGCCTCACCATTCCTGCACGATGGCTGCGGTAAACCCACCTGACCTCAACGCGCCCGGCGAGCAGCCTTCAGTCGAGCGCGTTGACCTCGTTGCCCGCAAGAGCCTGGGCCTTGACGAGGACCCGGAAGCAGTGAGTGGACCGTGACAAACGCGTGTGTGGAGAGATCGGCAAGACGGTACAGTCACCTGTGCTGCACGGCTGATGTGTCCGTGCCGATCGCCTTTCCACATATTGTCATCTGCGCCGCTGAAAGCTGACAACAACAACAGGTCACTCCCGTGTTCTATGTCGTCACTCTCACCAAGTTCCTGACTGCCAACCCTGGGGATGACAACTTCTTACTCGAGCTGCCTACCAAGGGCACGACGATGGGCGGAAATGGATATGGTTCTGTCACTTGTGAGTGGAAGGTCAAGTTAGTTTCAAAGCTGACATTGTAGGTATGGAAGACGGCTGCTGGAGTGACATCGTTCTCAGCGCCGATCCCGATCTCCCAGACGGCGGTCGTGAGAACGGTCTCGGCAGCTTCTACGAATACGCTCTCCACTGTCGCAACGAGGACCACATTCACCACCGTGACCAGCGTCTGAAGTGCATGGGTCTTCAGATCCCTGCTCCCGTCTCTCAAGTCGCGGTCCTTCCCCAGGACATTGTCAACAGCTCCGCTGTCTCGCCACCTGCCGCGGGCCCTAGTCGCCTTGCCACGGCAGTTACAACGGCAGCACCTGCCGTTAACACGGCCCCTCTGTTCTCCAAGCCCGCTTTTCACTTTGGCGCAGAGAATGTCGCCGCCGGCTCTACTGCTGCTGGCCCGTCTTCGAAATCGGCCTCTACCCCGCTCAGCGCTTCGTCCAGTGCTGCCGACATCAAGCCCAACATCTTTGCTGAAGCTGGCCCATCTCGCCTTTCTGCCTTTGGTTCTTCGTCATCCTCGGGACTCCGCGACCACAGCCTTAATCTTCTGGATCAGAAACCTGATGTTTCGTCTTCTCCAAAGGTGAAGGACTGGGCGGCGCACCGCACCCCTGTGAACAACGATGCCGACAGTGACGAGGACATTGTCTGTTTAGGGCAAAGCTCCCCCCGCCGACCTGCACGTCGCCACGAGGTACTCCTTGTCGACTCTGACGACGACGACATCAAGCCCATGCTCTCCTCACAGTCGACTCTCTCGTCCTCCCAGAAGCCCCCTTACGTCAAGCGCTGGTTCGAAATGAATATTCCCGACAAGCTGGCCGCCGTCCAACTCGAGCTCGACGCTCTGCGCAAGGCTAGGCCGTGGGTGTTAACTTTCTCAGACCACTCTCTTTACCTTGCTGACATCAAAACAGCATTACACCTGATCAAAGGGGTGCCGTCGGTTCGCGCAAGAGCGAGCTCAGGCAGATCAAGTCGTCATTTGGCATCCGTACCTGGATCCCTCCTTCGCAGACCGTCCTCAAGCTTATCCCGCGCACTGCCATTGACCCCCGTCTCGCCGACACTTTCACCTGGCCTGTGAGTTGCCTATTTTCCTTTGTGTGCTTCGCTGACATGAAACCCAGTATGTCGCGCCACCTCAGCCCAAGGAAGAGCCAGCTGCTGCCGCTATGCCCGGAGCCTTTGCGGGTAGCGCTGTTGCTGGACCATCTACTCACCCTATGGCTGGACCGCCTGGTGGACCTGCAGCTCACCAGAACGCTTTCCGTGCAGCTGGCCCTGGTGGTACGTACATTGTGCTCTTTCTTGACTGACGGATCTAGTTTTTCCTCCTTATGAGCTGCACCGCAGCCCAGCCGAGTACAACGCTATCTGGAGTGCCATCGACCGTGACACTCGCGTTAGGTACAGCCGCGATGAGCAGAACATGCTCGCTCGTTTCTACCAGGCCATGACGTGAGCGGAGAGTCAAGAGATTCCGAACTGACTTGACAGGGCCAACCCCCTTGCGGACCCCATGCTCAAGCGTGATGTCCTCGTCCGCCACGTCGAAGCGATGCAGCGCTGGACTGCCCCAGACGCTAGCAACTGGAAACCACCCACCGCACTTTTGATGAAGAACTGCCCCGAACTGCGCGGTGCCACTCACCCCAACCTGGTTCAGTTCCTTCCCGACCCCGAGGCCAACGTTATCGGCTTTGAAGACATGGACATGGACCATCTTGACTACTATGGTGGTGCCGAACTTGACCGCCCCCAAACCGCTCAGGGGTGAGTACTTTGGAAGCAGACACGTGCTAATACTTGTCAGCCTCACCACCTTCTTCCAAGACGCCCTCCAAGACTTCAAGGAAGACGCTACTATTGAAGATGGCCTCAAGGCCCTTAACCTAGCCTCCCTGGACGACGAGATGCCTGGCGCCAACTTCAAGCTGCTCCCTCACCAAGTCCTCGGTGTCGCATTCATGGTTGGGCGCGAAAAGCGTACCTCTGGCCCCAAGGGCGGTCTCCTTTGCGACGCCATGGGCCTGGGCAAGACGGTCCAGACGCTTGGCTTGATGCTTCAGCGTGACAAACGCCCATCCGACTTCAAGAAAGCCCCCCAGCTTATCATTGCCCCTGTGGCTCTCTTGGCTCAGTGAGTGCCCTTCATTCCACAGGCGCTGACACTCTCAAGGTGGAAGGAAGAGATTGAAACCAAGACGACGGTGGGCTGGAAGGTTCACATTCACCACGGAACGAGTCGTCTCAAGTCGCCAGGTGCCATCAGGCAGTACGACATCATCCTGACATCGTATGGTACCCTGCGCGCTGAAGTTTTCCCCAACGGCATGAAGAAGAAGAAGAAGAAGCGCCCTGCTCACTGGGCCGGCGGTTCCGAATCCGAGTCTGAGTCCGACTACCGCGACCATGCCCCACCTCGTTCGTCTCCTCTTCTCAAGACCAAGTGGTTCCGTGTGATCCTCGACGAGGCCCACAACATCCGCAACAAGGGTACCGCCACGTCCAAGGCTGTCATGGAGCTCGACTATCTTCACCCTTGGTTCCTGTCGGGTACCCCAATTGTCAACTCGTTGGCGGACATTGGCCCCGCCCTCAGCTTCATTGGCCTCATGGACCTTGACGAGTTCCACAAGCGCGTGACCAAGATGGAGAAGAAGAAGCCCCGTCTCGCCACCAAGCGTGCGCAGGCCATTCTCAAGCCCCTCATGATGCGCCGCAACAAGGACTCTGAGATCAACGGTCGCAAGATTCTTGAGCTTCCTCCCAAGATTACCAACATGGATCAGCTCACGTTCTCGCCTGACGAGCGCGCCATCTACACCTCCGTCGAGCAGCGCGCCAAGGTCCGCGTCAACACCTTCCTCCGTGAGGGCACTCTGATGAAGAACTACCAAGTTGTCCTTGTTCTCCTTCTCCGCCTTCGTCAAGCCGTCAACCACCCCTGGCTGCTTCGCCGCAGGCCTGGCGAGGAGGCCCGCGAAGATGACCTCCTTGTGGACGACGATGTTCTTGGGGCGAACATGACCGAAGCACGTGCCAACGACTCGGACGAGTACGGCCGCGCCGTCGGTCTCCTCGGCCAGCCTGCCGTCGACGTCATGCGTGAGAAGCTCGAGGAGCGCTACAACGCGATGACCGACGATGCTGAGAACGACGAGCCCCAGGACCTCGTAAGCTTTTGCTACCCAATAACCTCATTGCTAACTGTTTCAGGAATGCTCAATCTGTTATGAGCCCTTTGACGGCACCGAGATGATCACCAAGTGTTGCCACATTTACTGCAAGGGTTGCGTGGACAGCCTGTTTGGTCAGCCTTTACGCGACGCTACCAGTCTCTCGGACGAGGAGGCTCAGCGTGGCTGCCGTGTCTGCCCCCTCTGCCGCGCCGTCCTTGAGCGTGGTGAGATCTTCCGTGTGTCTGCCATCTTCACCCCGCCCCAGGACAAGAGGCCAAGCATTGACGACGATGTCGACGACGCCTCGGACTCGGAGGACGTGGCGACCGACCGCAAGGGCAAGGGCAAGGCCAAGCCTCCCCAGGACAAGGGCAGGAAGCGCGCTGTAAGTACATGTAGCATTGGTCACTTGCTCATACTCTACAGTCTGCGGAAGACGCTGCCAAATTCTTTGGAAAGAAGCAGAAGCTCGACGAGGAGGGCAACGCCAGGATTGTCAACCTTGATGACGACGAGAACGAGGTTGACGAGCTCGATGAAGAGAACATTGAGGACGTTATCCCACCCTCCACCAAGATGAAGCAGCTTCTGTGAGTTCAGGGCGACATCAGCAGCAATGCTAACTCTTCCCCAGCACTCTTGTTCAGGGCTACCTCGAGGAGGACTCGACCACCAAGATTCTCGTCTTCTCGCAGTTTGTTCAGTTCCTCGACCTGCTCAGCGACTACCTCAATGGCAACGGTGTCCGCAACATTGACTACCGCGGCAGCATGAACCAGAACGAGCGCAGCGAGGCGATCCGCCGCTTCTCCATGCCCTCGGCCATTGCCGACAGCATTTCCGTCATGCTCATCTCGACCAAGGCCGGCGGTGTTGGTCTCAACCTCACCATGGCCCACAAGGTCATCTGCTGCGACTTGGCTGTAAGTCTCTAGACGTGTAGAGCTATTTTCTGACAAATTCACAGTGGAACCCCGCCACCGAGAACCAGGCTGTTGACCGTGCCCACCGCATTGGCCAGACCAAGGAGGTGACCGTTGAGCGCCTCGTCATCAGCAACACTGTCGAGGAGCGTCTCCTTGCCATCCAGGAGCAGAAGGGCCTTCTCGCCGATGGAGCTATGGGCGAGGGCGCTGTCGGCAAGATTGGCCGTCTCACCGCCGAGAACATTCGCATGCTCTTCGCCATTGACCGCGACTACCACCACGAGGATGACTAGTGGACTCCGCTCTAGTGGACTTCGTTCTAGTTGACTTCGTTCTCTCAAGTGACACCCTTTACCTGTGTGATTATAGTTTGTTTTCGTTGTACATACCCAGCATCAACCACCCTGCCTGGACTTCATGTGATTCAAGTTTCATGTAACCGCAACGTGAGAAGAGCGACGACGGACAACGAAAAGAGTACATTGCAGTAGACTTGAACTAACGGTAGTCTCTACTGGTCTCTGTGGGATGTGGATTTACAAAAACTAGGAGTTGAGCTTCTTGACCTCCTCCGCGAGCTAACGACGCGTCAGCGAATGAACTCTGTACTCCCCCATCCACAACCTACCTGGGCACGGGTCTTGGGGTCCTCGAGCGCAGCCGCGACCTGCGCCGTGGGGATGTTCTGGCCGGGCGTGTTGAAGACGTTCGAGCCGCCCGCAAAGGCGCTCTCGCCCTGCCTGGCGAGGTCGGCGGGATCGTTGGTCGTGGCCGGGTGGGGCTGGATCGTGAACTCTGGGGTGGTGGCAAACATGTCAGCGTGTGCCATCCACCACGGGGAGGGGTAGGGACAGGGCATAGGAGGGGGAGGCGGGGCGGTAGGATGGGGACTCACGCTGCTGGTCGTTGTTCTGGCCGGACATCGTTAACAAGGTGGGAGATGATGAGGAGGTGGACGGTGGAGGAAGGAGGATGGACGATGGTGGTGGGGATGGTGGCGACGGCAACTAGCGCAGAGAGCCGGCAGGTGCCGAGGTGCGTCACATGGAAGCCGCGTACGTCATTCCGCATGTGGCCTGGCCAAGTTTATAACACGTCATTTTAGTTAAAGCTCCACCAAGGATTCTGTTCTGTGGCAGCGGCGTTCGCTTTGTGCTTCCATTGCGTTTGGGTATGCATGGAGGCGAGCCCCGTTGACGAGTGTGGCGTGGTGGACGTGTGCGTCTGGTTATCGGCGGTATGGGCTGGCTTGTGCTGGATAAGATAGGGGAACAGGCGCAGGGCCTTGCCCACGCCGCCTGCTGGTACAAAGAAGGCGAGGCAACTCTTACTTGCAAAAAAAATCTGGCATCTAATCTAAAGATATGGCTACAAAGGGTGCCGTTCGTCATTGAAAAGTATTGTCCATCGTCCAGCCGCGCCTTCTGCTCACTTGCTCCCCCTGAACCAGCTGAACATGGAGCTCCTGCTCGACCCGCGACTGTGTCCCGGGGTACTGGCTCCACCCGTCTTCCTCTTTGGTGATCCGATAGCCGGCCGGAGCTGCTGCTCAACCTGGGCGACCTGCCATACCACCGACTTGCGGCCTTCCCACACACCCAGTGGAAGGAAGACTCGTGGCTCGCCCGAGATGACGGTCACTGCCAGTCCACCCATGGGGTCCGTGGCGAAGACCTGGCCGGTGAGGACATCGATGACTGCCATGCGCGGCGCAAACGTCGTCGCTGCTGCTGGGAGATAGTAGACGCGCGGCAGGGCGCGGGAACCATAATTGGTCAAGATGGAGACAAGCGGTGGCTTGGCTATCAAGATGGTGTGCGGGTCGAGCTTGTTTGCTCGCAACAAGGTTGAGCGGAAGGGGGCAAATTGTTGCAACGCCTGCTGGCGGGCGTGGTTGAGGCGCGAGTACATGACATACAGTGGCTTGGCAGTCGAATAGCCATGCAGCCAGATGGCTTCGCGGTTGTGCGGGTCGTTGGTACCAGCGAGGCCCTGTGGGATCAGACTGTGCACAACGGATAGGCGATCAACTCACATGTTCCTGCCCTTGGTAGACGATGGGGAAGCCGTCATTGATGAGGGGGTAGACGGCGGCGTTCTTCAAGAGCTGTGGAGGTTAGATCATACCGACAAGTTCAACATACGGCTGGGTCGCGGACCTCGGAAGGGAACCTGGCATGGTCATGGTTACTGTGGCTGTCAGCTCGTGTAATGTTACCAAGACTCACTCTAAGAATGAACCCAGCAGGGTAGGGTCGGGCAGCATCTTGTGGACGCGCGAGATCATGCCTGTGAGTTCGTCTATGGGTATCGTGGGAGAGGAGAATGCGCGTCTGCACCGGTGTCAGTTGCATATGGGGGCACTGCAACTCACCGCAGATGGTAGAAGGTTGCGTAGTCCATGATACTCTCCATGCTTTGCAGCTGATACTGGCGAAGATAGTGAGGATCTAAAACGTCAGCAGAGCGCCACATGTCGATCCTCTCCAGATCTCTCGACGTACCGCCATGCAAGATCTCGCCCACCGCGGCGACGCCGCCGGCGTTGACGAAGCCAGGCCAAAAGTCTTTGCGGACGTGCTTGACGGTATCCACGCGAAGAGCATCGATGCCAAACGAGGAAACGAGGTGGCGAACCCAGGACTGGAGGGCAAAGACGACCTCTGGTGACTCAGTGTTCAGGTCCGCGGTATGGTCGGTGAGCCAGCCTGTGTGAAGGGGCGTCGTTAGCACAAACGCCCAGATTGGAACGGACGCCTCATCGGCTCATTATCCTTTGTTTTTGTTGCCGAGATGACACTTACACTGCTCAGATTGTACCTGATCATTCCAGTCGTCTGGAATACAAAAGGGGTGGAAATGTTGTTCAGCAGAGAACAGTGGGCCGTAGTGTATCGGCTGGAACTGGTTCGGAATGGCGCCGACATGGTTCGCGACCTGAAACAAAATGGTCAGCCAAGGAGCCGCCATGCCAAAAATGTGGCGACGTACCACATCCACCATCAAGTACATCCCACGTGCATGGAGCGCGTTGGAGAGGTCTCGCAGGTCCTGCTCGGTGCCAAAATGTGGGTTGTGTTCTTGGCATGTCAGCACTGATAGACGGCGTTCTATCGACCCGCAACTCACTTGTAATGTCCGATCCCCAGTACCCTGACGCGTGTGTTAATACAATAATAGCACGCCGAGATCTGCGTTTGGAACCCGGTGCTCACCATGGTAGCTCTCTCCTCCACCTGGGATGCCGGGGATGTTGGCCACTACGGGGCTGATCCACACTGCGCGGTGTCAGCTGCCAACAGAGGTCGGAGGAGGGTGTCTTTCCCTCGGAGCACAGCACAGGAAAACTGCGCTCGGTCGCTCCATGAAACCTCACCAGTGTCAAAGCCCATGCCCTGGATGTACCCCAGCTGGTGCTCGATGCCCTTCCAGCCTCCACCGCAATACGTCCGTTCGTTAGGGTCGCAGTAGACGTCGACGCGGCCATCGGCGCGAGCGAAACGGTCTGTTATCACTTGGTAGATACTTCGGTCGCGCAGCTGAGGGGTGGTGAGGCCCGCCACAAGGGGGACAAGTGCGACGGCCGCCCAGCTCATCGTCGTGGTCCAGGAGCTCATGGTGGGGCGAGAGCACAGAGAGACCGGCGTGGTGGAGCAGCAAAAGGCTACAGAAAAGCCGTGTGCCGTTACTGGTGGAGTTGTGATATGTACAAGACGAGAATGTGCGCGTCCTGGGACAACGCAGACATTTGAAGAACGGCGGCGACGACGCGACTGAGGGGTCCAAAAGAACAGCAAGGGGTGAGACCTCGGAGCAACTCCGAGAACTGAACCCAAATACAAAAAACCCAGAGAGACGCGGCGAGCGCAATGGGCACACCTCCACCAGCAAAAATCACTTACGTAATCTGTCGCGTGGGCACGGTGACCGCGTCGTGTCAGCCTGCAAGTGCGCCGTGAGTGACGCCAAGCCAGCGTCGTCGACAAGCATCGTGTTGTTGTTCAGCTCATAACCAAAGTCACCTACCCTCACACTCTACACATATTCCCTTCCCAAAATGGACGGCCTCACAGACGAGATCGAGTCGGTCCTCTTCATCTGCCGCGAGGTCATGGGTGGGTAAAGCTTCAGCTTCTGCCCAGCTCGAGCTGACCTCCACTTTCAGTCTACCAGGTGCCCCCTCGCACTTCTGCGTCTGGTTACAAGGCGGCCGAGTGGGACGTCGAGCGTTTCCTGTGGAAGGGCCGACTGCGAGTTCTTGAGGTCGGCAATCGCTGCGACATTCGCCTGGAGGTGAGCTCTACCTATACCCTACCTGTGCGGCGACCACTACTGACTGCGGGTGTCTTTTATTAGGACGAGACCACCGGTGAACTCTTTGCTCAGGCCACCTACGCTACCCCATGGACTCAGGTCGAGCCAGTCCTCGACTCGTCGCGCTACTTTGTGCTCCGCGTTGAGGGCGACGGCGGCAAGCGCGCATACATTGGCATGGGCTTCCCGGAGCGCACCGAGTCGTTCGACTTCCAGGTCGCGCTGCAGTCTGTGGCCAAGCGTGCGTCCAACCCCCAGCCTGCCGAGGACGAGGACGTTCCTGTCAAGCCCGCAGCGCCGCCCAAGGACTACTCGCTCAAGGAGGGCCAGACGTTTAGCATCAAGCTCCCCGGCCGCGAAGGTCGCAAGACGCCCTCAAGCGACAACCCCGCACCGGCCTCCACCGGCAGCAGCGGCGGCGGCCTGTTTGCCCTCCCTCCCCCTCCGCCCCCCGGCCGCAGGCGTTAGAAACTGATGACTTGTAACGACATGTAGCGTGTATTCAACGACCTTGAGGAAGGAGTCCGCAAGATTCCTCTACTCTGCAGTTGTCAGATGGGTCACCCTGACCACTTACGTCACAGGAGCGCGAGAGGTTGGCCGTGTTCGCAGTCTGCTGCAGCAGTCCCGCAATCTCGCAATTGCGCGTGAGCAGCGCGCAGGGCGCAGATTGCAGGCCACCTGTCTCAGCGGGCTAGTGGGGTCGTTTGCACCTCGTACGCACTCTACCGACGGAATTGCGTATCGTCAGCTGAGAAGGCAAGCTGAGAAGGCGAACAATGAATGTCCAAGCACATGCGCGTCAAGCCCAGCTTGGCCACGAGCTTGGTGTTCGGGTCTGTAGCGGACCAACGCTGCTGGCGTATTGATTTCGGTGCATGCTGTGGCTTCAATGTCAAGGTCCCGCGCAGTCGCCAAGTCCGCGCCAGCTGTCTGTCGGCCGAGTGGCTCAGTCCGAATAATCTATGCTGCGCATAAAGGAAGGACGCTTGCGACTTGCGTTGCAGGTTATATTCACCTTATGCGCTGCGATAAATGAGCACCAGACGGGCATGCCGAGCCACAGCCCCATGATCCCGCGACCGGAGGCTGCAGCGGAGACGATGTCCGTATGGTGTACAGTCGCTGGCGGCCGGAGGAGGTGCGGGGGATGGCCGGAAAAACGCGCCGGCACAGACGCGGGGCTGCGCAAACGTGCCAGGCTGCGCGCTCGTCATAGTGAGCGGGGAGCGCGGCAAGCCACCGGGCGACCTTGACATTCGCGCAGTCAGGCAACACCGCAGTTTTCGTTTCTCGCAGTACTCTTTCCGCGACTGCGCTGTAGCATAGCACAGGACCCCCAATGCCCGCACGCCTCTCTCTCCATTGACGACTCTGACGCACTCTACCCCAATCACCACTCACTCACGTTAGCCCTTCCCGGAACTTCGCTGCGCAAACAACGCATGAACACCGCAGGCGGCGCGGTGACGGTCCTACCAGCTCTGCCGGCGACCAACCTTTCACTCCAGCTCTGGAGTGGACGCAAATAGGGGTCCACCTCTACCGGCCGAGGACATTACTGCGCCTGCGCCGCATTTAACCTAAGAATACCTGGGCACGCAAGAACTGTGCCGTAGCGCACTCACAAGGTCTTCACGGCTACGTACCGACTACGCGTCATCCAACAGAGTTCCCATAACACTGCAGCGGCCGTCGGTCGTTTCTTCCCCTTTATCTTCATTCAACACCTTCCTTCACCTTTTTCTTCACCCCCACCAACCACACCCGTTCGGCCCCACCACGACACCATGTCGCAGGAGCCTCTCCTTTCCCAGTACCCGACTGAGAAGGTGATCGACCCCGAGATGGCCGCTGCCACTGCTGGCGCGCCTCTCGAGGACGACACCAACCTCAAGGTCGGCGACTCCAAGTTTTCCCAGGTCAAGACCCGCGTTGCCGGTCTGTCCAAGCCCAAGAAGTTCCTCATTGCTGGCGCTGCCGCTTGGGTGACTGCTTCGGTCATTCGCTCGACTGTCCACCACCACGGACACCACGCCCACGCCCATGGCCACGGCCACGGCCCCCATGGCGAGCAGCACCACGGTGTCGAGGGTGGCGACCACTTCTCCCACGGTCCCGAGGACTTTGAGTTTGGCCACCCTCCTCACGGCCACGGTGAGCATGGCCACCACCACGACCACGACGACGAGTTTGCTCCCCACCACAAGGGCCCCGAGCACCACCACGCTCACCCCGACAAGGAGGTACGTGCTGCGCAGCTGCTGCGCGAGGGCCTTCTGCCTTTGCTTTTGCGCCATGAATCGCAGTAAGACTATGAAAAGCTAACTGCGCCGCAGTCCACTACCGTCGCTGCGGTCTACGAGACGCCTGTTGTTTCTCAATCCGCCGATGGAGCTGCGCTCCAGACGGCCAACGCCACCTTCCTCCTCAACCACCGCCGCCCTCTCCACATCAACTTTATTGATGCCCAGAACAGCCGTGTCGTCGTTTCCCGCGCCGAGGGCCAGGAGCAGCCGTACCTCGTCGTCGAGTCGGCTTGGACTGGCGACAACCTCGCCCCCGCCGCTGCCGTCGAGCTCATCTCGGGCCACAACGACTGGCTCAATGTGAACGCCACTGCCGATGCGTCTGGCCACATTGTCCACATTGTGCTCCCTGTCGACGCCAAGAGCGTTCCCCCTCTTGCCATCGCCACCGACGACAAGGTCGCTCTCGAGCTCGCCCCCTCGGCTGCCGATGTTCGTTTCCGCCGCTTCGCGGTCGAGTCCGCTGGCGACGTCGAGCTCCCGGCCCTCGTGTCCAAGAACGTGCACGTCTCCACCTCGGGCTCCATCAAGGGCTCGTTCAACGTCTCGCGCGAGATCACCCTCAAGACTGTCACTGGTGACATTGACGCCACTGTCCATGTTGTCCCCGGCCATCCCAAGGGCCCCAAGCCTCCCAAGGGACCCAAGGAGCCTAAGGAGCCCAAGGACGAGGAGCACGAGCACGAGCACAAGGAGCACGAGCACAAGCACGAGCACGAGCACGCCGAGTTTGAGCACAAGGAGGAGGAGGAGCGCGACCGCAAGCCTTGCGAGGGCAAGCGCCAGCAGGCTCGTTCGTGGGGCTCGTGGTTCCCCTTCAACATCTTTGGCGGTGACAAGAAGCCTGAGGGTGACAAGCCCGAGCACGGCGACCACCCCCACGGCCCCCCTCCCCCTCCTGTGGGCATCCGCGCCATGTCCGTCTCGGGCTCGATCGACCTGCACATCCACAAGCCCCCCTTCGTCTCGACCCGCACCTTTGCCAAGTCTGCCACTGGTGACGTCAAGGTCCACGGCCTGCCTTCGTTCCACGGCCACTTTGTCGCTGGCTCCAAGGTCGGCGAGGTCAAGGTCGTTGCTGGCCCCAAGGAGATCCACACCATCAAGGACAAGGTCACTGAGAAGGGCCGCTTCGTCGAGGGTTTCGTCCACTTTGCCAACGGCACCTTCCCCCACCCTCCTCACCACAACCACACCGAGGGTGAGCCCGAGCACAAGCGCCCCGAGCACAAGAAGCCCGAGGAGGACGAGGACGACTCCGTGATGGAGCGTCGCCAGCACCGCGACCACGGCAAGAAGCACCACCACGACGACAACGACGACGCTGACAAGTTCAACTTTGACGACAACGAGGAGCAGGAAGGCGACCGCCCCCCTCCTCCTGGTCCTCCCGGCAAGGGCAAGGGCAAGGGCCGTCGCCCTCCTCCCAAGGGCGAGCACCCCCCTCCTCCTCCCGGCGACGATGACCACCCCCACCCTCCCCACGGCGACCACCCCCCTCCCCCTCCCGGTGGCGACCACCCGCCTCACAAGGGTCCCAAGGGCCCTGGCGGCCCCCACGGCCCTCCCCACGGTCCTCCCGGCTTCTCCAACGTCGTCGCCTTCACCGAGGTCGGCAACGTCGTCCTCGTGCTCTAAGAGCGAACCCAAGCGCACACTCTCGCTCTTCCCGTCTTTTTTTTATTCCTCTTTTACCCTCTCGCCCCTCCTAGTTTTTATTGCGGCTTCACGTAAAGCCGCGCGCCACAAAGATGTATGTAGATTTTTTTCCGTCTTCGCTACCCATTCCTTTTTTTTTTGCGTTGCATGGCTACTGCTCTTTACTCATTGTTGCGGGTGCTGCTGTTTAAAATAAGGGATATAAGCGTTAATACAAGGGACAAAGCGTTGAGTGTTGGTGGACCACGTGGTTCGGCTCGTGGTCCAGCTGAACGAGGGTGAGGTGAGTAAAGCACGACTGCAAACGGTATGGACTGCGTCCCCAAGGCCCAGGGCTAATGCGTGTGCTGGCATGTGTGCTGACATCTCCAGTTCAGTGGTGACGAGTACAGCCCTCCGTAGCTGACAGTATGTGCACAAGGTGCGGGGTAAGCAACCGCAGAGCTCGGACGGGACTGCACCCCCAGCCCCAGTCCGTACAGTATTCCTTGACTGTTCGTCCTGGACAGGACCCTCTGGACTGCGGCTCGCGCTGGTGGCTGGGCCTCCTCGTTGACGTTGCTCGTCCTCACCCACATCTCCTCGTCCCCATCTGTCGTCATCACCATTGGCGCCGCGTCCCTGCCGTAAACGTCGCACGAGGATCAACCGTGTCCTGGCCGTGTGGACTGTATCGCTCTGCTCACGGACAGGATGGAAGTGCGCGTTTGAGGTATGGCAGTACAGGAATCAAGGCAACGGGTGATGTTGTGGCGAATAGCCGAGGCGATTGCTGGCCCAAAGCTGGTTGAAGGTGTGGTGTCACTGCGCATCCATGTCTTTGAAACGTCCAACGTCCAACGTCCAACGTCCAACCTCCTCTCGCTAGCAGGGAGTATCCCGTCGCAGGGTCAGGAGAGATGACATTTGAGAATGAGGGATGGCTTCCTGTGGACGGCGCACGACATTTGAGTTGTGGTGGAGCCAGTGGTGGAGAGGAGGGACAAACAGGGGGCAACGTCAGACACTGTCACTAGCCATGGGACCATGACCGCACCCGTCACTCTTCATCGGCACAGTCAGCAAGAGCCGTTAACAGCGAAGGAGTATATATGTACTTACGGTCAGTACAGCAGTATGAGAGGGTGAACAGCGTATGGTACACCCAGCAAATGCCAACATCGACTAACCGATGCTCTGGCGGCGCATCTTTGATCCACACTTGGCTGTCGACCAGCTATTCCACTGCAGCTGTGCTCCCCTCACGACAGGTGCTGAAGGAGCACGTTGCTGCATATGGCGGTGTCTGGTCTCCACGCAGTGTATGACGGTTGCAAGACGGTGAGCGCTGAGGATGTGTCAAGAATAGAGTATACAGGGTGGGGTGTGATCCGGCCGGCCGTCACGTTCGTGTCGTGTTGATATCTAGGACCGATATCGAAGATAGACGTGTCGCCCTCCTCATCCAGTGAGGTATGGGTATGACGTACAATCACTTATCATGGCCACACCCAAGCCACGATCGCCGCCACAACGGGCGATCCTCAACGAGCCACACGTGTGTGAGCCCTGCGCGCTGCCCACTGGCCACCTACGTCGCTGCTCATGCCGCCACACGCGCCAGGTATCCGCGTCGCGTACTTGGACTCGACGCGTCCCTCCGCAGGGCACCGTGTGATTGCAGCAGCGCTCCATTGTGCACGGTGTGTGAACAGGACAGGTGGCTGGATAGGGGGAGAGGACGTCGGTTGAGCTCCTCTATCAGACACACACTTGTCGGCGCACGAGTCTTGCCTCGAGCGCTGCCCGTCCTCCACGACCACGACACAATCCGCCTGCGTAGCGGGCCGCAGGACTCGTGCACTCGCTGTCCAGCCAGAACCGAGGCATTTCGCGTATCTACAGTACGGGCCCCCAAGCCGTGCTGTCGCGGCCCCACAACTTGTGTCTCTTGCGTGGGGTCGGGAAATGGCAGACCTCCGCAGCCAATCACTCGTCGACGGCTTGTCTCGTCGCCAAGGCGTGGCGCGAGATAGCGATAGAGCTGCGCTGCGCGCTGCACATCGTGGCTCGCTGTTAACGACAGTTTAATGTGGCATACTCTGACTGGTCGTCGCTGAACAGGGCGAGCCAGGAGTGGCAGTGCGGAGTCGTGTGCGGCGTGATCCACGATGAACAATCAACCATCACGAGACGAGTGCAGCCGCACAATCGATATTGCATCACCGGTGGGAGTGTGTAACGAGGTGGGCAAGTCGAGCTGATGTGTCCGCCTGGAATGATTGGCTGGAGCCTGCTCTGCTCTGCTCCTCTCCCTCCACAGACCTGTTGGCTGCTGCGCTGCGGAGAACCTCCCACCAGCGCTGCTGATCGCTCTGGTGCAGCGTTCCAAGCTCGTTGTACCACCAGTCAGGAAAGGGCGATACCGTTGCTGAGGAACGGGCGGCCAAGGACAGGCCAGAGATAGGCCGTTCCCGCACGCAGCAGGTGCGCCACCGCACCTTGCGCTGCACCCAAACGCTTCTGGCGCCGCCTCTTCTCGCCTCCTTTCGGCGCACCACACCACCCTTGTCCCATCGTTTGTGATCTCAACCGAGGACAACAGAGTATGCACGCACACGAGCGATACGCACCGACAACGCCATTGGTTGGGGCAGGAGTTGTCGACAGACCTGTTGCTTCTCGGGACGGGCAGTCGGGCAAGCCCGGGGGGGAGTGTGCAGTTCCGGCTGGGAAAAACACGGTTTGCACGACCGATGCGTGTTGGGAAACGAGGCTAGCGGCCAGAGGCCAGACAAGACAACCACTGTTAGGTGCAATTCGGGTGAGTGCTTTGCCGAAACGCAGTGTGTTGAGAGGGAGGACCCGAACTGTCCGTAACCCGCCTCTTGTGTCGCTCTCTCTGTACCTCTGTTGTATCTCTCCCCCACATTCCCCGCTTTATGCGGTGTGGCCGTGAGAGGCAGGACCGATCCGGATCGGTGCGGTGGGCCCGACAGGCCCTCGCTGGATCTCTGGCTCCGCGCCTGTCTCACACATAGTGCGTGGGCTGGGGGAACGCGGTCGGGCAGGCCGTGGGGATGCATTGGGCACGGATGTGTGCATGCATGCATGCATCCATCGATCCATCGACTCCAGCTTTTTGCCACCCATGTTGCCGCCGTATGATGGGTTTTCCAGTGCACCCAACAACGCCGGCTTGTACGGGGCGCAGCAGCCAGCGAACTGTGCCGATCACCAGCCTGTAACGTCTTGATGCGTCCGTTGCTGTTGTGGCACCACCGCCACCGACAGCGCTGCGTCTCCCCCGCGGCGTTAGACAGCGATGCATGACGTCTGTTGAATATGGGGATTTCAATGGAGCCCGGGTGAATGCGCTGGCCTTTGCTGCCTGGCATGCAGTGAGCGGCTGCTGGACCAATGGGCTGTGCCGCGGGCAGTGAGACCCGCCCATTGGCTGGAAAACGAGGTTGTCGTGCCCTCTGCGGCCCTCCTGTTGTTGTCTCGCTCGCGTCCTGGCCCCCTCTGCTTCCCTCCCCTGTGGACCCTTTATTGTGCTTTGCCTGCCCTCTCCCCCTTCGGGTGCCCGGCTGGCCTCCCCCAAAGGGGCAAAAGCTCCCAGACAGCATCCACCCGCCCGCCACGACGGAAGTATCGCCCACCAAGCGCCAAACGCCTCCTCCTGCTGCTGGGCCGATAAGACGACGACAGCCTCGCTGCGCCGCTTGTGTCTCCCAACCTCCTCCTCCCTCTCTCACCCCACACCCCCACGTCTGGATCCTCCAGTACATCCTCCTCCTCCTCCATCCTCCTCCCCCTCTCCTCTTTTATTTAAACACATAAACCCCAGGTCTCCACCAGACCCCTCCTTCTCACTGCTTTTCAAGCACTCTCTTTCCTTTTTTCTCTACCCCCCTCTCCGTGAGTCACCACCCAAAAGTGGGCGCACACAAACTGTGGAGCCATTTGCCCCCCCTCCCCCCCCGTTTGGCGGACGCGCCGCTCACACTTGTTCTCCCTTTTTTTCGTTCTTTCAACCACCTTTGCGCCCCCTTCTTCCTCTCCCAACGCTGGCTTCCTTCCCATTGCCACACCCGCCGCCACATCTGTCCCGTGCATACAACATCACGCATCGTTCACGGCACATCCCTCTTGTCGTGCGACCTGTGAACTTGCCCGCCTGCCTGCACACATTCGACTCCGCTTCCCACCCACCCGTGGGCCCTTATCATTGGCCAATTCCCTGCATCAACCGACTCGTACCGCCCCCCCTTCTGCCCCCTCCCCCCCCCCATAACTCTCCGCGCCACCCTGCACCGCCGTTTATATTACATATCTTTCCTCCTCTTTCTTTCCACACCCAACAGCCCCCCAACTAGACATCCATCATGTCGAACATCATCGCCACCAAGCGCGTTGACCTCCTCGCCCCCTACATGGCCCTCGACCAGGGCTCGCAGGTTCAGGCTGAGTGTAAGTTGTTCTTGTTGGGGCCGCCCCCCCAAGGCCCCAATCACGCGACCCAACCGCACATGCTGACACTCCCACCAGACGTCTGGGTTGACGGTGACGGAGGTCTCCGCTGCAAGACCATGACCCTCGACGAGGCCCCCAAGTCGGTCGCCGACCTCCGCGAGTGGAACTTTGACGGTTCCTCCACCAACCAGGCCCCCGGTGACAACTCGGATGTCTTCCTCGTAAGTAGTTTTGATGGCTGGCTGGCGCCCCCCACGTTCCGTCGGCTAAACTTGTTCCCCAGCGCCCTGTCGCCATCTTCAAGGACCCCTTCCGTGGCGGTGCCAACATTCTTGTTCTTTGCGAGTGCTACGACAACGACGGCACCCCCAACAAGTCCAACCACCGCGCCCACGCCAAGAAGGTCATGGACGCTGCCAAGGAGACTGAGCCCTGGTTCGGTCTCGAGCAGGAGTACACTCTCTTCGACTACGACGGCCAGGTCTACGGCTGGCCCAAGAACGGTTTCCCCGGTCCCCAGGGCCCCTACTACTGTGGTGTCGGTGCCGGCAAGGTCTTTGCCCGTGACTTCATCGAGGCCCACTACCGCGCCTGTCTCTACGCCGGTGTCAAGATCTCGGGCATCAACGCCGAGGTCATGCCTTCGCAGTGGGAGTTCCAGGTCGGCCCTTGTGAGGGTATCGAGCTCGGTGACCACCTCTGGATGGCCCGTTTCCTCCTCCTCCGTATCGGTGAGGAGTGGGGTATCCGCCCCTCGTTCCACCCCAAGCCCCTCAAGGGCGACTGGAACGGTGCCGGCTGCCACTCGAACTTCTCGACCAAGGCCATGCGCACGCCCGGCAAGGGTATGGCCGCCATCGAGGACGCCATCAAGAAGCTTGAGAAGCGTCACCTCGAGCACATGACCGTCTACGGCGAGGACAACGACCAGCGTCTCACTGGCCACCACGAGACCGCCTCGATGCACACCTTCTCCGCCGGTGTCGCCAACCGCGGTGCCTCCATCCGTATCCCCCGCCACGTCGGTGCCAGGGCTACGGCTACCTCGAGGACCGTCGCCCCGCTTCCAACATTGACCCCTACCGCGGTGAGTACTCAATCCTATGCTTCTCTACCCCTCGACCTCATCTACCCCATCCACACCCTCCTCCCACTGCCCCTGCGCCCAACGATCGGCGAGTGTGGCACTTCACCACCATGCCGGAAAATACTTCCGTCGACCTTCCTACACTTCCTCCTCCTCTTTCAACACCTTCCAACACCTTCCCATGCATCCCCAGACCTCAGAAAAGTCACTGGACGCTAACGAAACGCAGTTACGAGCATCCTGGTCGAGACTACAATTCTCAACGCATAGTAGTTACGCCAGGTTTAAGAGGTAGAGGTCGTCGGGCGAGTTGGAGAGGCGTTTTAGTCGATGGATGCACCCGTTACAGAGAGATTCGAGTTTCGGCGGCCCATTGCCCCTTTCTGTCGTCCCATGTGCATACTGACTGATCTTGTTCTGCGGATGCAGGAGTACCTCATAGTGTCGTCTGCTACGGTCCTCCAGCGTGTTTGTTGGTGTGGGCGGCGGATTGAACGGTCTGGTGGTGATGGGCACCAGTGTGCCACATTCACGCCATCCGTCCTCACCCTCACGTCGCCAGTCGCACTGGACGCGTAGATCCCCCAACTGACCCCACAAAACATGGCCTCGCTCCTCCTGAACACAGACCTCGACCTCGGCCCCCGTGACCTCTGTTATCAGTGACGTCGCCTGGCCCCGAGATAGTGAGCCGCGCAACGACGCCATTGATCTCAATCAATAGATAGCGAGCGCCGCGAAATCTCCCCGCAACCGTCCCCTCACTCAACACTTATCCTCGTCGCGTCGCACCAGATCGTCGCCGACGAGTACATGCATGAGCGTATGGGATGCATAGGACAGTTAGACAATAGAGATCAGGCAGACAGCGCTTCGTCGAGCCTTGCTTCCCAGCAGGGGTGGCATGCTCTCCGCACAGGCCCACCGCCCTCGCCTTTGCACCACCATACCCCGTGCTGGCCGGGCCAATCCGGCCCGCACGCATAGGTCAACCCTCACCCACGCCCCGCACCCAGCGCGTACTGGAGTCGTGGCGCATCACTACACGCTCACACTCGCGCTCACGCGTGCCCGTGCCGCGTGACGGGCGGTGGCGGCGAGCCACGGGCGCCGCAGTTGCTCGCCCGCCCGCATTCACGCTTCGGGCCAGGACACGATTCCATGGTTCTATCCTTGGCACCGCCGGTGTGTGGCAGTAGTAGTGGGAGCGCGCCAACGTGCGTTGTGTGGATCTGTGGAGATGGTATGCCGACTCGTTTCGGCTCTATGCGTTATCGGCGCGTGGGGTCCTGGCGCTGATCCGATCGTCTCGGACTTGGATGGGTGCGGGCAAGTCGCGCGTGCGAGGTGAGAACGGCGCGCTCGCGGGGTTTAGCAGTGGTGCTGTGCGGTGGTCGCCGCCCAAAACACGACTCGTGTCTCATGCCCAGGCATGTTTCGCAGCCTGGCAGGCCCGGGGGCCCAGTGTCGCGGACGTTTGGTGACACCAAAAGCTGGGGGTGTGGTGTGGCCACTTGGAAACGCGCCAGAGGCCGGTCTCACCTCCGGTCCCGGTGGAAATGTAGCCACGGGTGGAACTTTGGACTGGAAAAAATCGGGTAATTCACAGGAGGGGTATGCCTCGCCGAGAAGTCATTCTCCGGAGGAGAAAAGAAGCGTAGAGCTGCACGGCGGTGGATGACAGAGGAGGAAGGCGGGGTGGACAAGAAGGCGAAAATGAGCGCCGGTGCCACATTTCGTGAAACGGAAGCAAATGAAGGATCGCGGCAGATTGCCCGAAGTGTTAGTATAAATCATCTTCGCTAGTATATCGGTTAGTATAACCGCCTCTCAGTAGAGAGTTTCATCGCGGTAGAGCAGGGTTCAACTCCCTGGCGGAGAAAAATCTTTTTGCGCCGTGTCCACTCACGACCAAACTGGCTGGGCAGGGGCGCGAAGGAAGGTCAGACATTGATTTGTACATTGACTGTGCTTGACATCCTGTGACCTCCCCTCCTAGGCTGTGGTCGTCGCCTAGGGCTGTCCTTGTGACACCGCATGACTGCATTGGTCTCTCTGGGCGCATGTGTTTGCCACCCACAGCACCACAACGGTCACAAAAACATTCACCAGTCGGCCGAGATCTCATGACGCCAGGTAGGCGCCACCAAAAACGTAAATTTGCCACTCGCTTACCGCGCACGCCAAGCCACGCCCCGGCGCACCACTTTGCCTCCTTCCTTCTGTGCCCTCTGTGGTCTTTCGTCGTACGCGTATAGCGGTCGGAACGGGCCGCCGCGGTGGCCGTGGCCTGTGTGTGGTCTCTGGTTCCAAAACTGCGCGTCGACCGTGTTGTGCACTAGTTCTCGGATATCCATGCCGCGGGACTCGGGCGCGCGCACAAGAGTTGTTCCTTCTCGTGCGCGTCCCTGAGATTGTCACCTTACCCTCAACTCCCTCGCACCCAAGTTGCAGGAAAACGAAGGGATTTTTCCTGCCAGGAAGGGGGGAGGCGTAAGGATGGCTAATCAAGGAGTAAATTTGAGGATATTTGAGAGCAAGAACGAAGGTCGTAACGAGACCATGCGTGCAGTTGTTATGCCTGCTAGTACATACATGGCCGAGGTATTGCCTGCGGCAGGTGGCACTTGCGGTTTCCCGAAGGCCGACGGACTTGGGGGCACGAGAGGGGATGAGGGGCGAGGTGGCGCCGTTTCTGCCAGATGTGCGTAGAGTACACCCTAGTACCCTGGTTAACCTGGGTGTTGATTTCGAAGATGTTGATTTCGAAGACGTTGTTTTTTTCGAAGACGTGTGGTAAAAGTTGACTGTTCACAACTCGCCGGTCAGTGGCATCTGCGACCTCCGGTTTGGACGACCAGGTCGTCGATCGTCGAGGAGTGAGTGCAATGGCGCAGTGTGCCCTGCTCTCCGTCCCACCTCCTACTGGGAAGCCATGCACAGCAGAGCCATCACAGACGCCCGCGCATACAAGACGTGACGCATATGCAGGTGTGTCTCACCATTCCCCGACCTACAAGGGCCCGCGGTGTTCGTCCTTCCACGCCAGCCCTTACTCAGCCAGACCCGTTCTTCCCTTACACGCGCCGGTCCGGGCTCGGTGATCCACAGCAGGACATGGCTCGAGAGAGAGGAGAGGAGCTTGGGCCATGTCAGACTTGAAGAGTAAGGTGGGTGCGGGCCAGGTCACCGATGCGTGGATGAGATCGAATCGACCGGTGGCCGGTGGCGTTTATTGCGGAGCAACTCCACAGAGGTGGTGCCGGCGCAGGTCGGAGGCTCAGACGCTCAGAGGTTCAGAGGGCACAACCACACGCCAGTAAAACAGTACACCAGGCGATCTAGCGAGCAAGTGATTCCGTCGATACGATGTGTCCCGTTCAGACCTATGTACTGCAGAAACAGATTCCCGCTGCACTACGGTACGGGATAACACGGCACCTTTCTATCGTCCCGGGCACGGTGGAACCGCTGCCACTCCTCTCCTTGGCCGTGACGGGATACGACGGCACCTTTTATAAGTGTATCCGTCGAGTATCAGCGCACCATGTGACGATCCTGCGGTCCTGTGGTTGTGCGATCCACTGAGGCACTGATACAGTGCATCCCGTCCCGAGCTACTACTCAGCGAGCACGATGACCCCTCTCTTATCGGTACGAGATCTGGCGGCACCTTTTGTCTGTTGTATTCCCCTGGTGACTGGCCTGTCAGCAGACTGACCCGTCAGCATCGCCACGAGGAATGTCCACGACAACGTGGGACGACGCCACCAGACCCGAGGCAGCGACGTTGATGACATTGAGGGCCATTGGGGTCGCGTGTCGCTCGTTTGGAGGATTGGTGCAGACCGCCGGTCGTGTGGCCTTCTCCTTCTATCTCATCGTGCATTACCACTGTGTTTCACAATGGCATGGTTGCAATGTAGTTGTTCAGTTCAACTGTGGCGAAACGAGCTTGGAGAGGTGTTACGGTGGCGTAACGTGCAGGCAAATCTGTCGAAAAATGGTCAAAACGGGACTAAAATTGAGGATTGCCACGCGGCCACTGTACATACAACTGTGGTACCGTGGGTCCCAATGCACTGGCCACTGGAGCGCGTTGGGTTGACAGATCACTCTCGGCTCTTGCCCCATTCCTCAGGCCTTTGTCCATCTGCTCTCTGGTCTCGTGGCCTCTAGCCTCTGACATCCAAGAATTCCCTCCCCACACGAACGACGGTACAACCGTTAGATTCCGGGTGGTGCGTGTCCTCATGGAACCCGTTGATCTGAATGGCCCATTCCCACAGTCCTCAATATGCAGCGGCGGCTATGCACAGATGTTCACATATCACTCGATACTTAAAGTAACTGCTACTACGGAAAGTACTAAGGGGTGTCGGACACCTTGGCGCGGTGGCCTGGGCTTTGATGACTTTGTCGCGAGTCGTTTTAGTCTCGGACTTAAGTTCACGGGCCAGTTTGCGGGACTTTGAACGGTTTCCCACAATGCCCTTGCCTTTGTATTCGCCAGTCACCTTGGTGGAGCCGGCCGCGGGGTTCGCGGCGGCACGGGTGTGGCGCTGGCTTGAGACAAGACCTACGAGGTGAGTGTTTGTAACAAGAGAGAATGGGGCAGATGAACCTACCAGCAGTGTCGGCGTTGTTGAGGAGGGTGGACACCGAGGAGCCGAGGGCGGAGTTCTTGGTGCGGCTGTGGCCGAAGGGAGTACGGCGGTAGCCGAGTGGGGGGGCAGAGTGGGGGCGAGTCTTCAGAGTGAAGAGCTCGGACCCGATCTGAGGATCAGCTGAGCACAGTGGGTATGAACCTACCTTCGCGGGCTTCACGAAGCCAGGCTGAGTTTGCATGTGGTGGGCCTTGGCGAGGATGTAGATGACAGCATCGCGCCACTGGTTGTTGTTGCTACTCCTCGTGCCCTCGAACGTCTACAGGCAGTCAGTTACAACGTTCAAGTGGTAGAGTTGACTAATAGAAACAAAGAGATGCTTACCTCGTCGCCGTCCTTGCGGAGAGCCTGGAGGATCTTGGCGTTGAGGGGGGCGGGGATGGGGTTGAGCTGCCACTTGGTGTCGTGGTCGATCATGAGGTTTCCCGAGGAGAGGGCCACCGTGACACCGTGGGTGATGACGGAGTCCAGGACGGGACTGGCAGTGGGAAGGGAGAGAAGGGCGTCAAACTTCGAGAGGATGCGGAGGGTGGGGGCGCAGGTGGAGATGGTGATGTTGTTATTGAGGAGAAAGGTGGCGAGGGAAGAGCGCTTGATGAGTTCGCTGAGAGAGAGAGAGTCAGTTTGGAATTGGGTTGTCAACTCACATGAAGGCGTCGGGGAGGCTAAGGCCGCAGGTCTCGTCCCAGACACGAGAAAGGAGGACCCTGGTGGCGGAATAGAACTCCTCGTCGTGGTCGGCGAAGAGCTCCACGAGGAGACGGCGGTTCCAAAGGATGTCGCCGGGGTGGACACCACCCATGCCGCCATCGCCCTTGCGGACGAGGAAAACACGGGCGACCGAGACAATGGTCTCGAGGACGGCGGCACGGTCGGCCACCACCCTCTCGACCAAGTCATCAGCGTTGTCATTGTCGGCCCCATTGCGGAGCTCGACAATCGCTTGGTCACGCACAACAGACATGAGGAGTTTTGGCGTTGTGGCCACGATGGAAGGAAGGAGGGCAGCCCATTGGCGACGGGCTGTGTTCAGGTTGGCGGGGAGACTGGTGTAGTGAGGGAATGCGACGGGGGTGTCGTCGTAGACGGGGAGGGGGATGGGGGAGAGTGAAGAAATGTCGGGATAGGGAGGGAGGAAGTGGTTGACTGTGTCGTCGTCAGACATGGTCGGCAGTGTGAGAGTGGCGGGTGGAGTGCTACGGAAGAAAGAAAGGTCTACGGTGCAGTGGTGAGAAAGCGGTGAGAAATGGAAAGAAGTGGGGGAAGCTGACGTTCTCTCTCACCCGCTGGCTGCTCTTAAGTATCCACGGGTCGTCCACCAGCAGCCCGCCGGCCACCAACTGGACCGGCAAGAGGCAGGTGACCACGAAGACCACGCAACGGGGGGCGAGGCTGGACACAGAGGGATGACTGGCACACCTATGGGGCGGTGCTCGCAAGGGCGGGGTGGCCAAGGGAGACGGAAGCTGCCACGGAAACACGAGGCGTACGGTGGAGCTTGGGCGATGAGCCGGGATTTGCGCTTCGTACAGTCCAGTTCTCACATCCGGCCGTCCGTCCGCCCGTTCTCGCTCGAGTTGCCATGGCTCGTCGCTGCGCCACCCACCACGTCCTCAGTAAACTCGTAGTGGGAAGAACTACATTCAGTGGTGTATTATGATAGTAGAAGGGTTGAGGGATAGAGGAGACGTGCAGTTGGGTAAAAGTGCACGAAAATGGCTTTGAAAAATGGCCGAAAAGCGACCAAAAATGGAGGCAGGCGGAACTCGGGATCCAGCAACCAACAACCCGTGACGGAAATCCTAGGCATACATCACCTCCAGCAGACAGGGCGTGCAGGGCACCACTCCGGTCCCAGAGATCGGCGACTGACTGGCAGTTGAGCCTGAACGCTGGACGTATGAGTCATGTGAGGTATCGAGGTGCTGATTGCCGACACTTGGCGCGACAGATGCGATTCCAGCCCATCTCTTTTCCCACTTTGCTTTCATCGGGAACTCACATCGCCCGCTGTCTCGGGACTGCAACCACAGAGATGCCTCCCGATTAGCGCGGGATTTATCGACCGTCCGCTGGAATGCCCGCCTGGTGGCACACGCTGGGCAGCGCGCACACGGATGCGACGTTGTGCCGCCGTGCGCGGTGTGGATCTGTGATTTGTGACAACGTGGCAAGCCGTAACGACACTATTCAAACTATCGATCCCACGGTTACCAATTCCTGTGGGGGGTCGTGAAGTCTCGACGCCTAGCGCCTGACTCGCTTCTTCGCCACCTTGTATATGCCTTCGGCTTGGGGGGCCACACGTTGTTGGACTTCCGCGTCTTCATCCAGCTGGAAGAGAATCGAAGACCATGTGCTTAATGGGCTCTCGCAGTTCACCACTGCACCACTGTTGCCCCTCCTTACCCCGGTGTCTCTCACCAGGTGGGTTGAAGCAGTTCTGCTGTGACTCCTCTCAAACTGATATCTCACGCACTGATACGCTGACCGCACTGATCGCTGATCGCTGACCGAGTCTGGCCCCGCCGTTCGTCTGATCGATCCTCCTCAACATGAAACCTCGCCAGTCGCACTTCCGCACATTTGGCACAGCCAAAGCGTCGCGTTGTGCCCTCGACACATTCAACACGGTTCACATCTCCACTCACCTTTGGCCCTCCTTTCCATCGTCTACCACTTCTGTTCACTATCGTTTCCATCGACGCGCCCACTTCCTGTCGCCACTCCGCTACCAGGATCCAGACCTCCACCTCGAACCCGTGCCTGAGATTCCTCGCCGTTTGTTGTCGTCGCTGGCCAACTCTTTTGACCTTTTCCTCCCCTTGGTCACTCTGATCCTGGACCAACCACCCTCAGCGACGACTCCAACACCATGGCACCCCGAAGAGGTCCCCCTCAGAGGGGCTCCCCACAACAGGCACAGAAAGAACGACAACCGCACGAGCCTCAGCATTCTGATCGGACACGGTTGGCATACCAGTTCCGTCGCGTGAGTTGAAGGACCTCTCTCGTTGGTTCGAGGTCCAAGTTGTCGGGCTGCGTGATCCTAATGGCACCTTTTACTGACAGGTTCTAGGGAAACAAGAATATGGACGATGACTCAGACTTGGAACAGTCCTTCCCCATCTCGTCCTTTGCCCTGGGCTCGACGCGCTCCGAGTCGCGAGCAGTCAAGTTTATGAAGGTGAGCTATCCCCACTCCTAACCACGCACCAAGCTGACACCACAGGGCTTTGGATCAGGCGCCGACGAGACGCATTCACGCCTCTCGTTCAACACTGACCGTCGGTGGATCTACGTCTACCTCATCCCAACCGAGTTCTCCACCACTCCGCCGGCGTTCCTGCCGCTCGAGATGGAGATTCCATTCGAAGTAAGCAAAGCCTGTGACTGTCATCAGCTTACACGCCCCTCTTAGGACATTGTTAACGGTGGTGTACGTGTGATCCGCTCCCAAGCAGTGGACGGCGACCTCAGGCGCGTCACTCTGACAGTCACGGCCCGAAGGCCGGCGCGCTTTTACACCAATATTCCTGGCGAGCGTCTGATGCGCCGCGCAACCGAGCGTGACTTTGTCTTTAGCGTTGGTCCAGGAGAGTCGACAGCGGTGAGCTTGGTCGTATCTGTCCACTAGCTGACAACCAGGGCCGTTCAGTAGATGAGATGAAGGCGAAGGGTCAGTTGCACCACCGCACGCAAATAGTACAGCTCTGACCTGCTCAGGCTACATCATCCACGAGGGCCACGCTGGACCGCTTGAAGTTCTGTCCGATGACCCGTATACCGTCAAGGTAAACGCCTGGCTCACATGGGAATTCAGCTTTATGCTCGACGCTGAAGGGAGACATCGGTTCCGCGAAAAGATCCTCAACCTCGACATCGAGGGCAAAAAGGACGGTCTCGACTTGCTGGCGCCAATGTCACGCAAGGTCCGTGTTGTCCCCCCCGAGAAGATGATACACATCGACCCAAACACTCTCCTCGCCCGTCTCCCTTTCCGCATCCGCTACCTTGTTGAGGGACTTGTCTCGCACGGCATTATCGTCCCGTCCGAGATCCCCGAGCTCACGCACTTGCTGGACAAGAACTGTGGTACCAATGAAGCTGCCCTCGATTTGAAGGAACGCGTCCTCACTGCACTCTTCAACGAGGAGCGTATCCAAAAATTGTCCCACATTGTCTTCGTCCGCACCAAACAGCTGCGAAAACGTCGTCTCCGCGGCGACGAACACCAGGTCATGGTATACAAGTGCCTCGTGACACCGACCCGCGTCTGTCTCTTCCCCCCAGAGTCGGAGACTTCCAACGACGCGTTGCGCTCAAACGCCCTCAAGACCGACCGCTTCCTTCGCGTCCAGTTTGCAGACGAAGACGACCGTATTCAGATCAACGTCACCGTCCTCGACGCGGACACTGCGCGTCCCGCCAACGGCACAATTGCACGTGTCCGCCGCGCTCTCAATGCTGGCCTCAATCTCGCAGGACGCCACTACAAGTTCCTTGCATACGGCTCGAGTTCGGCGCGCGAGCACTCGTGCTGGTTCCTCGCAGAGGACGACAACTTTACGACCCACAGCGTTCGTCGCAATCTTGGATTTGAGCAGATCACCGAGAAGATTGTGGCCAAGCATGCCGCAAGGATGGGTATTGTGAGCGTAAAAAGTGTGACACGCAACTGACGCTATTAGCCCTTCTCGGCCACCCGCGCAGTCACAATTCAGACGAACGTTAGGAACAAGAAGACTGACAGCTATTACGTTGATGGTGACCAAAAAGTGTAGGCCGGATCGTTTCGACATCATCTTCCAGCTAACCTCCAGGTGCTACACCGACGGTGTTGGTCTGTGCGGTGTGCGTGTCGCACGTCAGGCGGCCAAGGCGTTTGGTTTCAACGGAGTGGACGCATACCCCTCCGCCATCCAAATCCGTTGTGGTGGCATCAAAGGCGTTCTCAGCGTCTGGCCTGACCTCTGCGGCTCTCACGACGTTGCTTTCCGCGACTCTCAGATCAAGTTCCCGACTAATCGTGACGTCATGAAGAGGGGTCTCAACGTTGTCAGAGTAGGTTGCGGCCGACCAGTCTCCGGCTAACCTACCCAGACCTCCCAGTTTCACCGTGCTTTCCTCAACCGCCAGTTTATCCTTCTCCTCAGCCACCTCGGTGTACCCGACCGCGTCTTTGAACAGCTCTTCCACGACGCCATTGTTCGCACTCGTGGCCTCCCCCAGCGCTTCACCGCGGGTTTGCAGACCGAAAGCGACTTGCGCGCTGCCGTTGGCCTCTCCGAGTTCCCCATCAAGGAGCTTGCTCTTGCCGGGTTCCACCACAACCCGATGTTCAAGGACGCGTGCAGGGTTCTCGAGACGAGGTTGCTTGCCAACCTCAAGTGGAAGGCGCGCTTGGAGATTAAGAAGAGCGTTTATCTCATCGGTAAGCTGCCGAGGTAGCAATCGAAGCTGACAGGCAGGCATTGCGGACGAGCTTGGTGTTCTGAAGGAGGGCCAGGTGTTTTGCCAATACGAGAACCCTGTCGAGCCCGACGAGGGACCTGTGGTAGTGCGCGGAGCCTGTGCAGTTATGCGGGCGCCTGCCCTCCATCCAGGTGAGTTGCATTGCTCGACTGGGCCGGATACTAACAGGACAGGCGACGTCCGCATTGTTCAGGCTGTGGACCACCCCCGCCTTCGTCACCTCCGGAACGTCATCGTCTTTTCGTGCCGGGGCAAGCCTCTTCCCAACATGTGAGCCCAACGGGTTTCGACAACCTTGGCTGACTTTAGGCTCGCCGGCGGTGACCTCGACGGCGACGACTATACGCTCATTTGGGATGACCGCCTCCTGCCCCACTTTCAGGAGGAACCTGCCGACTACACCGCACCACCGACACTCAAGGTCAACCACGTCACGCTGGACAACGTCAAGGAGGTGGGTTATAACATCATGACTCCACTAACCCGCAGTTCTTTGTCGATTACATCAAGAACGATGTGGGTTGAACTGTGCCGTTCTTTCTGACCCTCAGATCCTTGGCCAAGTGTCCAACGCCCACCTGGCGCACGCAGACCGCATTGGGCCACAATCTCCGATCTGCCTCCAGCTCGCTAACCAGGCCAGCATTGCGTGAGTTTCGCTACCGTTCTCTCTCATGTGCTCTGCTAACTTTCCAGTGTCGATTTCCCCAAGAGTGAGTTCTCGACGAACCTGGACAAAGCCTAACAATACAGCTGGCGTGCCCGCCAAGTTGGGCTACGAGATGCGGCCTAAAACGTGGCCGGATTTCATGGGCAAGGTGAGTTCACTGACCATGTGCAAAGCTGAACCTTCCAGGCCCTCTTTGGTACCGCTAAGAGCAATTACGAGAGCAAAAAGATCCTCGGCAAGCTCTTCCGTCTTGTACGTTGACAGACACCTGTTTACAGCTAATCTTTGCAGGCGGGCGACGAACCTCTGTTCTTCCCAACCGACATTCGCATGATCGTGCCGGCAAATCGCGAGGACAAGCGTCTCGAGCGGTACGACCTGCCCGCCTCGGTTCTAGAGGACGCGTACAAGCTCAAAGAGTGGGTTAAGTGTGACTTCGCCACTAACATACCAGGGAATATGACAGCAGCGTACTGGGCCTCATGAGGCGGTACCGCATCACCGAGGCCGAAGTTGTGTCTGGCATCATCCTCAAGAACGAGCAACGCCGCCGCGGCCGCGACGCTGACCTCAAGGAGCCCGTGGACCAAAACTATCGCACGCTCGTCTCCAACGTCCTCGAGCTCGCTGATCGCTTCCTCGTGAAACGCGCATTCAAGGGACCCCTCAGCCCGAGGATGATTTACGGTATCGCAGCGTACCAGATCACCTATGTGGACCGCGTGCGCGACGCCGTCCGAGACAATCTGCGTAAAAAGAACCAACCCCTCTCGGAACTGCTCGATGAGATGACACTTGACGACGCGACCGAGACGGGGAGCGTCGTCGGCAGTACGGTCGACGGTGCTACAGACGGCGCGTCGTCGGCATACCTGTCTGGACCTGGACCAGCACCGTTCATCTCCTTCCCTTGGGTGTTTTGGGAAGCGCTGTGTGACCTCCCCAACGTCCGTGTTGCAAACTAAGCGCGACATATCGATCAATTGTACAGTACCGTGCTGTGTGATTCTCTTCCCGCCTGTATCATACATTCCTTCTCTGCATGCACATACGTGACCGACCAACAGACAGAATTTTATGATTTGCATGTCACTTGGATCTTCTACACGGTAATGCAGGATGCAGAGATGCGGCTGTCTCGGGTATCGCCGGGGGCTGGCCGGTGGAACGAGAGCGAGAGCGAGAGATGGAGATCAGAGCCAGTGCCGAGGTGAGGGGTTGGGTATACATCGGCGGCGCCGGCCAAGAGGAGATGACAACGTAACGGCTAAACCCGCCGACAACACAGCTGCGCACCATGCGCAGGAGGGATGGGTCGTTTAAAAACGAGATTTGCAGGAGAGAGACAGGAGACTTGAGGAGATTCGTTGCTGCTGGTGCTAAAGGAAATATTCGAGCATGTGGGGACGTTTCTGAGGCACAGACTTGACGTCTGGCTGTGCTGCCTCAAACACCTTGTATTCTTGTCGCAAGTCCTCGTTCAGCTCGAGAATTGAGGCAACATTGCCGCATCTGGAGAGTGTCAGTGGGAGAATGTTGCCAAGGCTGGCCTGTCAACTCACCTATAACAGTAGTTGGGCGCACTCCAGACGGTCACGATCTTCTGGCCAAACATGAGTTTGTAGCCCTCCATGACTGTTCTCGTCAGTGGTGTGCCGGTTTCTCGGGACCACACTTACCCAGCTGGTGTGCTCGCGCGATCAACTCGATGTCGTTTGTATGGCAGAAGCTTTCCACCACGTCTCCGCCAAACAGGAAGCCGGCGCCGCGAGGAGACATTCCCCAGCCTTGGATGTCTGCGAGGCGTCAGCAGAGCTTCCACGGAGAGACAGAGGAGGACTTCAGCTCAGACCTACCGTCTGGATCTGACCACAGCAGATCACAAAAGACACCCTCGTGCGGCACTTCTTGTTTCCTGTCAATTGCTCTGATCTGCAGAGTGCGTTAGCCCACGGCAATGCCATCACAAGGCGTGTTGGGCCTCACCTGGTCTAGACGTCCAAGCTGCGGGCTGAGGCCGCCATGGACACACAATATCCGGCCGTCAACGATGGCCGCGAGCGAGAGAAAGTCGAACACATCTGTGCAGTAGCGCCACACGTTACTGCTGCCGTATCTGAAGCGAGGTTAGGCGACATGCTGTGGAAACCTCGTACTCACTTTCTTTGACACTCGTCGTAGAAACCGTACACCTGGGTGATCTGGCGCGACTCGTGGTTGCCACGGATAAGGGTGATTCGGTCCGGGTAGCGAACCTTGAGGATTAGGAGGAGGAGGAAGGTCTCTACAGAGTAGAAGCCGCGGTCCACAAAGTCGCCTGTGACCCGTTAGCCCAGCTGAGGAAATGGAGGTGCTCACCCATGAAGATATAGTTCGTCTCTGGACATTGGCCACCAATCTTGAAGAGCTCCATGAGGTCGAAGAACTGACCATGGATATCACCACAGATCTGGAGTGTCAGACGCGGTGCCTCGGCCGATCGAGTGACTCACAGTGACGGGGCTGTCGACATATTGAATGTTGCCTTCGTCCATCAGAATCTCCTTGGCCTTGAGACAGAGCTCCTTGACTGCCGCCTCTGGGATGATTTCACATCGCTTCAACTGTTCGATTTGCCTGTGTTTGGTGTTAGTTATAGCCCCCAAATGCCGAGGTGAGCTCCAGATGGCACATACTTGTCAAGATCAGACGACATGATGGCTCAGGCGACCGACTGCACCCAACAACAATTGTGTCACTCGGCGCCTACGGGGGAACGGTGGGCGATGGCGATACACCAGGTCGAGCATCCACAGCGTAGGCCTCGCAATGGTCCCTCGTGGAGAGCGCTGGGCAGCTTTTGGAGGGCGACGGGGAACAAGGGGAGTGGGAGATGTTAGACTTGGTGAACACGCCCAGATGAAAACAACCCAATCCCGCCAACAACGGGTGGCGTCGCGCGCCTATGCCAAATAAATTACGTAGGCACGTGTATATTTCTTGCGCCTTCAGAGCACGCCTAGCCTTGCCGATCAGAGGTTGTTTTCGGACATGCTCAAATGCAACATCGTCACCATCACCATCATATCCATCCACCATGGCCTTCGGGTAAGCTCATGCACACAGACAATGTACCTGCAATCGCTTACCATCTATCCCCAGTTTTGGCGCCCCAGCAGCTCCCGCTGCTCCTTCGGCGTTTGGTAGCTTTGGCACCTCGCCAGCTGCCGCACCAGCTGCTCCTGCCGCTGGCGGCTTCTCGTTCGCGCAACCCGGAGCCGCGCAGCCCGCCGCTGGTACTGCCGGAGCCACGGGAGGTCTTTTTGGTAGCTCCCAGCCTGCTTCTCAGCCTGCGGCTACTGGTGGTCTGTTCGGTTCCACCCCAGCCGCCTCTGCGTCGACCTCGTCCTTGTTTGGCGCCAAGCCAGCAACCGGTGGGTCGCTGTTTGGTGGCCAGCAGCAGCAGACCCAGCCCGCTACTGGCGGCCTGTTTGGCTCGACCTCCGCCCAACCCGCTCAGACCTCTTCGCTGTTTGGTGCCCAGCAGCAGCAGCCCGCCCAGCAGACCTCTTCGCTCTTCGGCTCAACCACTGCCCAGCCTGCCACCAGCAGCATCTTTGGCGCCCAGGCCGCTGCACCCACCGGTGGCCTGTTTGGTCAACAGCAGCAGCAGCAGCAGCCCGCATCCTCCATCTTTGGTGCCCAGCAGCAGCCTGCGCAGACGACTTCCCTCTTTGGACAGCCCGCCGCCGCACAGGCTTCCAACCCCCTGCAGGCCTCCACGACCGCCGGTCCTTCCTCAGGTATCTCCAAGACGACCAAGTTCTCTGACTTGCCGGACCCCGTGCAGAAGACGATCGAGCAGATGGAGTAAGTCATGTCATCGCTGTTAAAGCTGACCTCAGTGCGTGGATCAAGGACCAGAAGCAGGTCGGTGCCAGCATCGACACAGAGAACATTGGACGCGCTATTTGGCAGACCTCTGGAGACGTCAAGGCTGCCAGCGATGTAAGTTGGTTGGTATGTTCCCTCAGCTGACAATATAGGAGCAGGCCGCTATTGCCCAGGGCTTGCACTCGCTCAAGGCCACTCTTGAGCAACTGGCGGAGAAGGTGTCGTCCGAGGCACAGGACCTCCAGAAGCTGCTTGAGACGTGGGAGGCGGCCAAGCCTGCCGACGCGCGTCACGGTGCTGTCCGTCCCGTTCCCCACCGCGACTTTCCACAGGAGTACTTTGGTCGTGTGGCGCAGGGCCTCGAGGAGCGCGTCAACCGTTACAAGAGGACGATTACTGTACGTTTATTGCGAAGCTGGAGCTGCAGAATACAGGCTGACCCATTAGCTTCTGACCAGGGCTGTCACTTCGGTGGCAAACGACAACGAGACTTTGAATCCTCAAGTCGTTGCACAGACCATTCAGAACAACCAGCAAGCGCTCATCTCGCTGGCTGCCCAGCTCGAGGGCTTGCAGCTCCGTATGAACGCTCTGCGCACCAACTTTACGTGAGTATCTGCCATCCGATGACATGACATACTGACTCTGGCAGCGAGGACTACCGGGAACGTACAAACTCGATGCGCGACCCGTTCGAGGTGGCGAGGGAGGAGAAGGGCATTTCGCTGCTGCGCGCATGATTGCCAGGTGTGGGATGGAGTTGCGCATACTGTCATACTGTATTGGGTTGAGATGTCAACGAGTGGTCTCGACATTCTAACGACTGTGACTTTGACTTCCTAATTGCTACAGGGACAGTGCCAAGCAAGGCTGGCTGACCATTGCCATGGTGAGAGGCCTCTCACGCGTCGGCAACCAAGGGTACCATGACATACGCATACAAAGGTCTAATTTTACAGTGCGAACCCATACTGAGAATCCGTGGCGTGCACCTCTCTGGGCTGATTGTCCTGCCAGTTGGGCTGGTATGGCGGTGGCAGCACGTTGATGACGCGTCCCATGTCGCGTTCGTATGCCATACCGTTTTCGCTGATGGGAGCCAGGCCCGCAGCTGGTTCGGGGCGCGTGACTGGCCGCGCCGGGTCGTGTTGGAGATTATAACTGGCCATACCGTCATCACTGAGCGTGCTACCGAGCGAGTATATGCTGTATGCGCTGATCGAGCTCGCGCGACTGTGACGTGTTGGGCCCAGTGACGGAGGACGAAGGTGTTGCTGCTTTTCGCTTCGTGAGCTGAGGGAACCGCGCGAACTGGAGCGCGACAGCCGCCGCGATGGTGGGACTGGGGTGATGATGCCGAATGGAGTGGGATTGGGTAACGTGCCGGGCAGAGGAGATGGAGGGGGGCTGGAATAGTCGAATGGTTCGCTCAAGCTCCCGCCGTCGTCCGACGCCGCATTGTCGTCGTCTTCGTGCGCGAAGGGGCTGGTAGGGAATGGGGTGACCTTTGTGGCTGAGCTGATTGATTCAACTTCGCCCATGTCAAGGGGTGCTTCGGGGGAGCGGGTTGGGTGCTTGGAGTCCTGAGCACTTTTGCGCTGCCTGCAGAGACACACAAGCAAAATCAGAATGATTGCCAAACCGACCGCACCACCGGCTGTGGCACCCGCAATAAGTAACGTTCGCTGGCTGCTCGATAACCCCACGATACCCAGGGCGTGGACGTCCGTTGCAGCAGTGCTGGGCATGGTAGGTGGGGTGGTGTTGGGATCAACGGGCGGGCTTGGTGCTTCCGTTGGCGGGTCCGCGGAAGTCGGGGCGGGTAGAAAGCTGGCTGCCGCGGTTGTGGTTGTGGTTGTGGTTGTATTTGTCGGTCCCGCATTGTACGCAACGGTGGCTGTGGACCAAAAGGACGGGTCCTCTGCTGGACCTAACAACTTGACACAGTCCTGCGACCACCCGGCTTCCATGGTGATGACACCAGAGTACTCCATCTCGGAGGTGGCATCCTTGACAGCGAGTGTGATGGGTGAGCCAGGCCCAATGTCGGGAGTCCAAGTGAAGTAGCTGTCGTCACCGACATAGAACCAGTCAAGGGAGTGGCCCAAAGCCGCGTCGCCTGGGAACACAAACCTGGATGTTAGCACCACCTCGCCATAGGCCACATACAGATAATATGGGGCGACCCCCTGGGACCAGTGCAGGTAGACAGGTTCGCAGGTCGAAAGCTGAAGAGGGGTCTGAAAGATGAATGCCCGAGCCACTGGGAGGAGCAGGACGAGGACGCCGAGCATGGCTGCTGTACTCTCTCTCTCTTGGTCGTGGTCTTGACACCCAGTGAGTGATGGAAGAAATGCAACATGTATATGTGGAGATGTGTTGTGACCTGCTCCAACCAGCCCCACCGAGCAATGGAGGCAGTGGTTGCCCCTCTTGCATCACCGCTTTGTGAAAGAAAACACAAACATGTCCAGCGACCGCGGTCTCCCAACGGAACGCGCCCAGGCATTCCCCGCGACTGTTTCGCGATAACATAGCACAATATGACGTGCATGTGTCTTTCCAGCTGGATAAGGCACAGTCCTTGCTACTGTGAGCCGTGGAGCATCTATACATTCGTGTGACAGTTCGTGGCCCGCTGACGGTGGTGAACCAACAGCCTCGCAATTGTCGCTACTGGATCACCAGCGGTCCTGGGCCCCAGTATCCCAGACGGGTTCCTGGCTTTCTACCACATGGGCTATGTTGAATCCTGTTGCATGTCAGAAAGTCGTTCCAACCCCGTATGTTTCTGCGGGACAGGAACACGATGGCAACAGCAAGTACCGGCTCAATACTGCCCACGGCCAGGCGGGAATGCGTGCGGACGCCAGGACCAACAGACAGAAGACCCGCTGGATCTAATGTTGGACACACATTCGCTCCAAACACGACCCTCGTTTTTGACTCGTGTTGGCTGCCAGCCATATTCGCTGGCCCTGGCATTCCCCAGGAAATACATGCACTGCTCCGGGGAACCACACCGGGTCTCCCGTGGCTCTTCAAAAAGCGAGTGTTCTATGATCTATGGGTGACGCGGGCCGCAATCCAACCGCGCGGGCCCCGCTGCGCACTCCACGGCATCTTGTTATTCGCCGTGAATCCACCGAGCGCGGTGACAGCCTGGGGTACAAGTACTGACGCGTCTGAAGGGGAGACTCTCCTCTTCCACAACTTCTACGAGCGTCATGACTGCTACAGCTTACCGTAACCCCATAATCCCGGGTTTCAATCCTGACCCGACCATCTGTAGAGTCGGTGACGACTACTTTCTTGCCACGTCCACCTTCGAGTACTTTCCTGGTGTTCCCATTTACACAAGCCGCGACCTGGTCAACTGGAAGCTCATTGGGCATGCTCTGAACCGCCCCTCACAGCTTGAGATGCGTTCGGTGGAGGCAGGTGGTGGCATCTACGCGCCCACCTTGCGTTACCACCAGGGCCGGTGGTACATGACCACGAGCTGCAAGTTTCGCGAGTCCCGCCTCACCGAGTTTGACGTGGGTTCTTGTTCCACCACCAGCTGCTGACCCTGGCAGAGTTGGATCCACCCTCGTGGCTTCTATGTGTGGACCGACAACATCTGGGACGAGACCAAGTGGTCTGACCCTGTGTGGTATGATGTTTTGGGCATTGACCAGGATCTCTTTTTCGACGACGACGGCAAGGTGTACATGCCATGGGCTACCGGTATCCCCAATGAGCCTTTGCCGGAAGGCAAGGTTAATCTCTCAATCTGGATTGTTGAGATCGACCTCGAGACTGGTGATTCTCTCATGAAACCCAAGCTCCTCCGCCACAACACGACAACTGGAAACTGGGTTGCCGAAGGTCCGCATATCTTTAAGCGTGGTGACTGGTACTATCTCCTTACCGCCGAAGGAGGTACCGAGACTGAGCACCAGGAGTGGATCTCTCGCTCCAAGTCTGTTCTTGGTCCCTATGAGGTGGGGCCAGTTGGTGTCAACCCCCTTGTCTACAACGCCCAGGACGAGCATATCATGCAGACGGGCCACATGGACATGATCGAGGGCCCTGATGGCCGTTGGTGGGCGGTGTTCCTTGCGGTGCGACCTCAGGACGGTCGACTCAGCCAGCTTGGTCGCGAGACCTTCCTCTGCCCTGTCGAGTGGAAAGATGACTGGCCGATTGTCAACGGAGGCAAGAAGGTCACTGTTGAAGGCGAACCGGCTGCCGGCCTTCCCCGTGTCGCGAATGAGGAGTCCTGGAGCTATGGTTTCAAGCCAGAGATGAGTGGGTAACTTGAACCAATAGCTATGCTGACAACTCTGCAGACCTCACTCACGAAGGCTTCTTCTTCCTTCGAACACCTCAAAAGGCTTTCCATTCTCTCACATCTCACCCGGGCAGCCTCGCCCTCCGCGGCGGACCGTACACACTCCTCGAAGACGAGGCGGTTTCCATGGTGCTCCGGAAGCAGACAGCCTTTATCGGAGAGTGGAAGGTCAAGTTTGACTTCCAGCCCACGGCCCCCGGAGAGGCTGCAGGTGCAGCGGTCTGGTGGTCCAAGTGGTGCTACGGCGCGGTGATGCTTCGGGGTACCGCAGATGGTGGGGCCGAGTTGGTCTACCGCATGCCAGACGATGACAAGGGGTTCACGGTTGGTTCCCTAAGCTGTCGGCCCAAACTGACGCCACAGGAGCACATATTCCCCGCCAGCTCAACCACCGTGTCTGTCACCATTCAGGCGCGACCCCGACCACTACACCTTTATTGCTGGTGGTCAGGAGGTTGGTACACTGCCGGCCACCAAGCTTGTCCAGGCCAGGCCATGGGATTCCATCTTCACTGGTACCTTCTTTGCCCTCTTCACCCACGGTGAGGATGGCCGTGGCTGCCTCACGCCCGCTGTATTCAGCGACTTTTCTTGGGTCGGTGTACGCGGCGACGATTAGGACCGCCGGGAGTAGTCAGTCAGTAGCTGTAGTGGACGACAGAGTAAAGAGCGATTTTAAATGAATTAGTACCGTGGTACTGTGACGGGCTCTTTGTTCCACCCATGTCTGCGATCTGCGATGCGCCGGTCAATTTCGGTCACTCCGCCACCGGCCCATATAACAAAGTCACGTGATGACCATCACACGCGCTACGCGCTTCGCCTTGGCGCCTCGGCAACCTCCGAAGGGCGTGTGGCTCGTCAAATGCCGCCTAGACCGCCAGAAAAGATCAGGACCTTGGCTCTGCATCACATGGGTGTGGAGTTGTTGCCGCGCGCTTCTTCACCCGTTGCGTTGCTTTCATGGCTTTGTCATTCACACTCCTCCCCACTACTCCATGACCCCCCGTGCGCGCTCGCCGCTGTCACTTCACGAGGAGCCGTCACTAGCCGCAGAGGATCGTCGCTCTGCGGAGGCGTACTCTCCTGAGCCATGTCTTCCGGCTGAGGTCGTCCTGAGCCTGTCCCGCACTCGCAACTCGGAAATCGAAACCATGTCGCAGCATGCACCAGAGCCAGAGGAAGACTTGGGACCCCCACCGGACGGTGGATTCGAAGCGTGGCTGGTCGTTGGATCCAGTTTGCTTCTGCTGTTTGCCATTTTCGGTCTGAGTGAGTGCCCGCCCACCTTGCTTATCTTTGCTAACGACAGTGAACTCGACGGGTCAATTGCTCAACTACTACCTGGACCACCAGCTAAAAGGGTACAGTAAGAGTACAGTGTCCTGGGTTGGAAGTGTGCAGACTCTGGTGAGGATGCGACTCCAAGGGCTTCACACTGACAGGCAGGTCGAGTTCTCATTTGCCATGGCCACGGGCCGGTGGTTTGACAACCACGGCGCGCGCTGGCTGACCATCGTGGGCCTGACCCTCGCAACAGCGAGTGTGGTGTCCCTTGCTTGTGAGTTGTGTGAAGCCCACGCCTTTCGAGCATGCCAAGCCGGCCGTTGGCACCTCGTTACGAGGTTCACATTTGGCCGGAGCGCATGGTTCCAGTCTCGGAAGCCCTGACTTGAAACCCAAGACGGATGACGTACAGCAGTAAGCGCGCGTGCTGATTGTCTAGTTTGTGAAGAGTTCTACCAGCTTTTTCTCTCCATGGCACTCTTTGGCTTTGCGGGCAGCATGGTCTTTGCACCCGCGAATGCCGTGGCGGCACACTGGTTCCTCAAGATCCGTGCCACGGCCATTGCCATTATCAGCGGTGGCGCTGGACTCGGCGGTGTGATTTACCCGATCATGATCGAACGGTTGTTGAGGCGCCTCAGTGAGTGGAGACCCGCTGGTAGTCCCTCTGACGTTAGGCTACCGAAACACGATGCTCGTCATTGCGGGCTTCAACTTTGTTCTGATGCTTCCTTCCGTCTTCTTTATGAAGGCTCGCCTCCCGCCTCGCCAACCTCCACCTCTTTCATATCTCCTGCGGCCTTGGCGCGAGCCCCGTTTCTGCTTCCTGGTCGCATCCGGCGTCTTTTACGGCATGAAGTGAGTGACCTTCACATCTACCAAACTGACACAACTAGCATCCTCTCGCCCTTCTTCTACGCCATCACCTATGCTGAATCCAATGGTGTACCAGCGCGGATCAGCAACTATGCCATCGCCCTTGGTGGAGCTGGTTCAGTCGTGGGCCGACTCGTCATGGGCGTGATTGCAGACCGGATTGGTGTGTGGCGTGTTTTCTCGTTCATTCCGTTCGCGACTGGCGTGGTGATGTTTGCGTTTTGGACGCCACCCAACATGGGAACCGGCGGCGCCGTTGCGGGGCTAGTACTGTATGGCTGGATGAGTGGCGGCTTCTTCAGCTGCATGGGCAGCGCGACCGCAAGCTTCTCCCCGCTCGAAGAGGTTGGCACGCGTATCGGCCTCCTCATTTCAAGCCTCGCCATCCCGTCCTTGATCGGACCTGTCATTACGGGTGCGCTCATCCAGGACGACAAGTTCACATACGCTGGTATCTGGCTTGGGTCCTGCTTCATCGTCAGCGGCTTGTTGTTGAATGCACCCACCGAGGTGAGGTGGATTCGCCGCAGGCTGTGTGATGTCACAGGTAACAAGGACATTGAGATGTCACCACAAGTGGGCCCGCCGGTATTGCCGGTGGCCGGGCCCGCCGAAAAGGCGATGGATGCCCCGGAAGAGGAGGGGCAGGTCACTCACTCTGGACCATAGAAGGTAGAAAAAGGGCGGCACATCTTGCACATCTTTGTAACAGCATCTCTAATGGATAACAATTAGCACATTAACATTGAAAGGTCAAGAACGCCAAGCAGACGGAGTTGCAAATGAAGCTGCCTAGTTGTTCTCACTAACGACCATCTTGTTTGCAGGTAAAAATCCTTGCATTCCGAACATTAAACAAATCCCGTATTCACTTTCCACCAACTCCCACTTCCCACAGCCACCCCACTACAATAACTCCACACCCTACGAGCTCTGAGCCTCGACCGCAAGCTGGAGAGCGGTCTTGGTCTTGTGGAAGCGCCAGGGGCGAACCTTGTTCTCAAACAGCTCGTCGAGCTCGGGGGCGGTGAGCCTGGCGGTCTCGGGGATGAGGAACCACGAGGCGATGGCGAAGGGAGCACCGAGGCCGAGGTAGAAGAAGGCAGTCTTGAGACCCCAGTTCCACTCGTTGACAGTGAGCATGTAAGGAACGAGAACTAACGTCAGCCACAATTTCAATGAATTTCGACCCACCATTCATGATGACACCCATGACACACGAGAGGGCGGCAGCGAAGCCAGCAGTGTAAGGGCGGAGACGCTGCGACGAGATCTCGCCGACGTAGGCCCAGCCGGTAGAGCCAGAGCACTGAAGTCCGACCATGTAGATACAGCAGAAGAAGACGAGGAGGCTGTTGGCGGCCTTGCCACGGTTGGGGAGGACACCAACGATACCAATGAGGGTAATGCCGACGAGCATAGTCGTGAGACCGCCACAGCAGATGTTGCGACGGCCGATGCGGTCGACAGAGATGGCGACGAGGACAATGACAACAAGCTGAATACCGTTGGTAATGCAGGTAATGGCGAACGGGTCGTCAAAGCCAGCGGCCGAGAAAAAGACGCTTGCGTAGGTGTAGAAAAGAGTGAGACCGAGAAGCTGCTGAGAGAACAGAGCCCAAGTCGAGACAATGGTACGGAACTGTTGTTTGTCAGTCAAGTCAAATTACCAGTTACCAATGTTTATCAAAACACTCACGCCATCGACACCACGAAGGGCATCGTACCAGTTTCCACGGTGCAGCTGACGGGCGACCTCCTGCTCGTGCTCGATACCGGAAACAATGGCGTCGTAGTACTGGTCGGCATTGAAGTCGGGAACGTCCCTGTAAATGAACTTGAGGTTCTTCTTGGCCTTGTCGGCCTTGCCCTGGGACGCGAGCCAAGCAGGGGTCTCGGGAAGACACAGGTAGATGGCAAGCATGAGACCAATGTGGGCCCACTGAGTGTAGATGGGGGTCTTGTAGTTGTACGGGTCCTTGGTGAACATGGACTGGAGAGCGATCGATGCGAAGAAGCTGCCAACGGAGAACCAGAAGTTGTACATGACCAAAAGGAGACCACGGATGCGTGCAGGCGAGATTTCGGTGACGTAGGTGGGAGTGATGAACTGGAGCGAGCCGACACCGATACCGGAGAAGAGCTTAGCGACGAACCAGACCTGCCACTTCTTCGCCACGGTCTCGCAGGTGACCGAAAGGGCGAGAACCAGCCACAACGTGAACATGGCAGGCTTGCGTCCAAAACGAGAGGCGACGAAGGGGAGGGTGCACATTCCAATGATCTGTCCGACAGACTGAATTGAACCAATGGCGGTGAGGACCGAAGCAGCAAGGATAGGGTTGCCATCAGAATCGGTGGTCGTAGCGAACTGCTTGATGAAACCGTCGTTGGCGATCACATTACCGTTGAGACCGACTGTGTATGGTTAGGACAAGGTCAAGCTAATCAACAAAGTACTTACTCTGGTAACCGTCCGTGGCTCCAGCAAAGGTTGCAGCAAAGCAAATGGCCATGGCAACCTTGAACTTGAGCATGGTCTGGATGATGCCCAGGTTCTCATAACCGGTGACAATTTGGCCCTTGGCCGCGGCGTCGCCCACGGCGTCGTACTTGAGGTCCCCAATGTTGGACTCAACATGGGTGATGTCGTTCTTTTCTTCCTGAACTTGGGACATTGTGTGGAGATGTGTGGGGAGAGATGTGTCGATCGTCCAAGTCGATCCGTGATATTTATCTCTCCAGACAGAAGCCGGGACCTTTGAACGGAGAACTCCGCATTTTGCTGCCCTTGGGTCCCCAGACAAGTCGGAGGGGCATGAGGGGCTTTGCAAAAAAACTCCACGGGGCAATGCTGGTCCTGCCGGGTCATCAATAGTCCGTCCTGCTGTGCATAGGAGTGGTACAGATTTTGTGGCAGAGTGTTGAGAGGTTGGTAATGGCCTCTGGAACAATATCGGCAACTGCCCTGCTTCCGAGCGTGGTTCCGGTCCCTGGGCGCTCCTGGTTTGCCCCCCCGGCCCCGGATATTGTCAGCACGCATGCCGCCAAAAAAGGGATGTAATTCCCCACAGCAACGTCGCGACTGGGCCGTTTCAATTTCCTGTTGAGCACCCTGATGACCTGGTGCGGCACACTGCTCACATGGGCTCACATGTGTGCTGCGGCGGCGCATTACATGAACCGATGTTGCTCTGGACAGGGCTTTTTCGGCACATCGCGATAACACCAACCGAGGTCATGACCGAGGTGTTGATCTATACTGTATTGCACCCGCATGCCAGCACTAACCAGGCCATGTTGGCAGCACGGCGGCAAACGATGCAAATAAGCCGAACGGCCTCGCCGGCCCACCAACAGGCTAACAGCGGTACAATGGCAGTGACACCTCGACACGCAGCCTGTGCTCGCTCTTGAGTCCGCTTCAGGGAGTCGCCGACCACTCACCGCTGTTACGGCGCATCTTCGAACCGTTCGGACCGGCAGTTGCTCCATGCATTGTGTGTTGCCCTAAGATGCCAACCACTATTCTGACCAGGCCCCTCACAGCCTGTACTCGTCCCGACACCATCTCTCGACCGTCAAGTCCACAATGAGCGCAGTCAGCCTCTCCCGACTGCAGTGCGAACACTACGCCAGCCCCCTCGGAATCGAGGAAGCCACCCCCCGTCTCAGCTGGCGCTTTGCGGGCAACGCAGCTGACTGGATCCAAGCCCGTTACGAGATCAAGATTACAACTGCCCTTCCGGGTCAATCTCCTGCCGCGCAGGAACACTACTCAGTCGACAGTTCCGACTCGGTGCTTGTCCCATGGCCGTCCCATCCCCTGGTTAGCCAGGAGGCCGCCCACGTCGAAGTTCGTGCTATCGGTCGCGACGGTAGCGAGACGGAGTGGTCCGCCCTCGACATTGAGCGTGGACTGTCCGAGTGGGCTGCTGTGCCAATAACCTGCGAAGAACAGCCTGTGGACGATGCCAAGCGTCCTTTCCGCGTCAAGACCACCTTCAACGTCCCACCCACCTTCACATCAGCGAGGTTGTATGTCACTGCCCTTGGTGTGTACGAGGCCGAACTCAACGGCGCTCGCGTAGGCGAGGAATACCTTGCCCCAGGATGGACGAGTTACAAGCATCACGTCGTGTACCGCACCTACGACGTGACCGCGTCCCTCACTCCAGGTGACAATGTTCTGGGTGCCTGGGTTGGCGAGGGATGGTATGCCGGTCGCCTCGCTTTCAGAGGCGGTTGGCGCAACAATTACGGCACACGTCCAGCCCTCATCGCCCAACTGGTTGTCGACGGCAAGATTGTCGCTGCTACCGATGCCTCGTGGTCTTGGTCGTACGGCGCCATTGTCAGCTCCCAGTTCCTCGACGGCGAGACTTACGACTCGAACCTCGCCGACCCCCTCTGGTCCACTACCAAGAGCTCCAGTGATGGATGGAAGCCAGTCAACACATTGCCCGTACCCAGCGCCAAGCTCATGGCTACACAGTCGCCGCCTGTCAAGGCCGTCGACTTCCTTGGCCCACAGGAGGTTATCACCACCCCGTCTGGAAAGACCGTTCTGGACTTTGGTCAAGTGAGTTCCCTAACGACACTGCTATTTTCTATGCTGAGACCGACTGCAGAACTTTGCCGGTGTGGTGACCATTCTTACCGAACCCCCTATGAAGGAGGGCGAGATTGTTTTGCGCTATGCCGAGGTACTGGAGCACGGTGAACTGGGTGTCCGCCCAATTAGAGGTGCCAAGGCCACCGACACGATCATCCTCGGCGGCAAGGTCGAGCGATACGAACCCAAGTTTACCTCTCACGGATTCCGCTACGTGGAGGTGACGGGTTGGCCGGGTGTTGGACTGCTCGATATTGTCGGTGTCGTCACCCACTCGGCTATGGAGTGGACGGGAAATTTCAAGAGCTCCCACAAACTCGTCAACCAACTCCACTCGAACATTTTCTGGAGTACTCTGTCCAACACCATCTCCATCCCTACCGACTGCCCGCAACGTGACGAACGCTTGGGCTGGACTGGCGATATCCAAGTGTATTCGCCAACCCTCAACTACCTCTTCGATGGCTCTGGATTCCTTGCGGGATGGCTGAAGGATGTCTACGTCGATCAGCAGGCACTGGGAGGCAATGTGCCCGTTACGGTTCCGGACATTCTAGACGAATTTCACAATCAGCGTCTGGCTGTTTGGGGAGACGTGGCGGTCCTGACCCCGTATGACCTGTATCAGGCCTTTGGAGACGTGGGCATTCTGCGTCAGCAGTATGCGTCAGGCAAGCTCTGGCTAGAGAGCGGCGTCGTGCGTGACCCACGCACCCAATTGTGGCATCCCGATCAACAGCAGCTCAGCGACTGGCTCGCCCCCAAGGCCCCTCCCGAGAGGCCCGGAGACGCGCCCACCGACAGTCTCCTGGTGGCCGACGCCTACCTCGTGCACACCACTCGTGTGTTTGCGAAGACTGCTGCCCTCCTTGGTGAGACTGCCGATGCCGCCAAGTACGATGCCCAGGCCGACAACCTCACTGAGGCGTTCTACGCGGAGTACGTCACCCCCAACGGGCGTGTCATGAGCGACACCCAGACCGCGCTTGCCCTCCTCCTCAAGTTTGGCATCTACCCCAAGAATTCTGCAAAATTCACCCCAGAGGAGTACGCCAAGAAGTACGGTGCTCGCCTTGCCCAGCTCGTGGAGAAGGACGACTGGAAGGTCGCGACTGGATTTGCGGGCACTCCCATTCTGCTTGACACACTCGAGCAGGTTGGCGAGCTCCACCACGCGTACAGGATGCTCCAGAGCCGTGACACTCCCTCATGGCTTGCTCCCGTTCTTCTTGGTGCCACAACCGTCTGGGAACGTTGGGACTCGATGCTGCAAGATGGTACCATCAACCCCGGTGAAATGACCAGCTTCAATCACTACGCCCTCGGATCGGTCGCGCACTTCCTCCACGGCGTCGTCGGTGGCCTGTCGCCCCTCAAACCGGGTTGGCGTGAAATCCTCGTCAAGCCCCAGCCAGGCGGCACCTTTACATGGGCAAAGACCTCGCACGACTCTCCGTATGGTCACATCTCGTGCAGCTGGAAGATTGTCGATGACAAGCTGAATGTGGACGTCGCCGTCCCTCCCAACTCGACCGCTCAGGTCGAACTTCCCGGATTGTCCAAGGTCGTGGGTAGTGGCGAACACCACTTTTCTGTTCCATGGACTGCGGACCCCCGCTGGCCTCCGAAGGGTAAACCTATCGCATATGGAGCAGACCCCAGCGACAACTGGGAGCCGTGAAATAGAAATAGTAGGCTCATTCCCAGTAAATAAGTCCTGTAAATGAATAACATTGTTTTTGTTGGTTATTAATTTATTTTTTGCATCTCTTGTTTATGTCGTCAGGTTCATTGAAGTAGCGCCTTGGTGTTTCCTCGTTCAACAACTTAGGGTTGACGAGAGAGTCTGCCTGCCGAGGGAGAGGAGGCTGAACGGTGCAACGGCACAATGACGAGCAAACTACCTGGCGATGGTCCTCTCAACGCGCTCCAACTTTGCGCCGAACGCACTGCCTTGGCCGAAGGTCATACATCAGACCGGTCGCAGCCACAATTAGCGCAGCCAGCGGCACAATCATCCTCCCATGGCTTGGCTTTCCTGGGTCCACTTTGCCGCGCCACCTTCCTTCCGCTCCTGGAGTCGCAGCTCGGAGAAGCATCCACCTCTTTTAGTTATCGGGGCATCAACTGTGCCGGGACCTTGTACCTCGTGGATCACCCTTTCCGGGGAGGACAGTCACCATCGGACGTCAGTTGGCCGAGCGCCGTACGTGACGTTTGGTAATCGCCAATTCCTTGGCGTGGGCACGACTGTGGCGGATTCCACCCCAATTTCCGTTTTCGCATGCATCACTCTCGGTGTATTGTCCCATGGCAACGGTGCATCAATTTACCGTCTGCCCTTAGCCTTAGCTCGACGACGGTACCTGGGGCAGTTGGAGGTTGGTGGGGCTCACCGTGTTTGCCTCCATAAATCCCCAGCGGGGGAGGTGGAGCCACATCATTGCCCCGCACAGAGTTCGCAAATGACTTCATTGGCTCTATTCCTTCTCCTCGGGACCTTGGTCCACGCCGAGTATGTCGTTCCAGCTGGCAACGGTGTAGGAGGATGGGAAAGCTCGTACTCAAAAGCGAAAGGTTGGTGATCACCATGTCGAGTGGCGCTCACACTACCAGCTCTTGTCGCCCAGATGTCGACTGCGGAGAAGCTGGGCATGACTCAGCAACTCGACAGCAACTCTCGAGCTGGCGAAGTTTCGCGCCTGGGGTACTCGGGCCTCTTTTATGCCGACGGCTCTGAAGGTGTTCGTGGCTGGCCATACGCCAGTGCGTACGACCAGGCAAACAACGCTGCCGCGAGCTTTGACCGTGACCTCATGTATCGTCGCGCTGCTGCCATTGGAGCCGAGGCTAGGGGCAAGGGCATCAACACTCAGTTTGGACCGGGCGTCAACCTCCTCCGCCTTCCCGAGGGTGGACGTGGCTTTGAATGTGAGTGGCACCTTTGTTGGGGATTTTCTGACAAGGAGACTTCGGTGCGGACCCATACCTGGCCGGACAGGCCGCCGTGCAGCATGTGACGGGTATCCAGTCGCAGGGTGTTCAGGCCATGATGCGCCACTACATCAACAACGAGCAAGAAGACGGCCGTACTTGGGTCAACTCTATTTTGGATGACCGCACTGCCCACGAGCTCTACCTGTGGCCTTTCCAAGACGCTGTTCACGCTGGTGTCGTCTCAGCAATGTGCTCCTACAACGGAATCAACGGAACATACTCTTGTGCCAACCCTACCTCTCTTGGAAAGTGGCTTCACGAGGAGCTCAACTTCCAGGGCTACGTGTTGTCCGACTATGCCGCCATTTATGAGGGCATCGAGATCGATGCGGCCAACGCGGGTTGCGACACTGTGATTGGATTTGCTCAGCCTCAATATGGCGCAGCCGCAACGAGTTATACTTGTAAGTTCCCGGTTGGAAACAGAGAGCTGACTCCAGTCCCATGGGGCGTCAACTCCACCCTCTCGGCAGCGGTGGCCAACGGCTCTGTTTCTGAGGCACGCCTCACTGACATGGCCACGCGCATTGTTGCGGCCTGGTACCAGGTCGGCCAGGACAAGAAATTCCCTGCTTTGAACACGAATGCCAATGTGCTTAAGCAGTCGACCAACGATCTCATCCGTGAGCTTGGTGCAAAGTCTGCTGTTCTCCTCAAGAACACCGGTGTTCTGCCCCTTCGCAACATCTCGGACTTGTACGTGTTTGGCAACGCGGCCACCGTCAACCTGGAAGGCTTCCCCCTGCCCGTCGGCTTTTCATTTGCTATCGACGATGATCAGGGAACCTACGCCGGTGGCCAGGGCAGTTCATACGCCAACCTGCCCTACCTCATCACCCCCTTCGAGGCCCTCCAGGCCCGTGCTCGCCAGAGTGCCTCCCAGGTTTTTGGCTACTTTAACAACTTCAACCACACCAACCAGGCCACCTACGCTGCAGCTGCCCAGGCCCTTGGAGCGCCCTGTATCGTCGACGTGCGTCAGCAGTGCTCTGAGGGATATGACCGCCGCAACCTCTCCGCCTCGTGGGAAGGCGATGAGACAATTCTGGCCGTCGCGGCACAGTGCGCCAACACGGTCGTTATCTACGCGTCCTGCGGACCTTTCAACGGAACGGCGTGGGCCAACCACGAGAATGTGACTGCGATCATCAACTCTGGTGGTGGTGGTCAGGAATCTGGTAATGCCCTTGTGGACGTTCTCTATGGCGACGTCAACCCCTCCGCCAGGCTTCCTTACACTATTGGCAACCTTCGCTCCGATTACCCTGCTGAGCAGGTTGCTGCCAGCTTGGTGGCGCCCAACACTTCTTTTGTCGTGAGTTGTTGATCGTCGTTTGCCGCTGACCTCCAGGATATTCCGTATACCGAAGGACTGTTCATCGACTACCGCTGGTTTGACAAGCAGGACATCACACCCCTTTACGAGTTTGGATACGGCCTCTCCTACACGACCTTCCAGTACTCCAACCTCAAGGTCCAAACCACCGGCAGCCACCTCACTGTGAGCGCCGGCCCTTCGGACTCGTCTCTTTACGACACCATTGCCAAGGCGACCATCACGATCAAGAACACTGGTTCCCGCGATGGCACTGAGATCCCCCAGTTGTACCTGGGTTCACCGGCCGACGGCGCCCCAGTCAAGGTTCTGCGTGGGTTCGAGGCTGTCGTGCTCAAGAGCGGAAAGTCATCAAGCGTGACATTCAGTCTCACCCGCCGCGACTTTTCGTACTGGGACACGGCCGCGGAAAAGTGGGCCCTCCCCACTGGCGCGTTCACAGTCTACGTCGGTGCCTCGAGCCGCGACATTCGCGCCAACGGGTCGGTCTCGCTCAGCCTTGCTTGATGCTGTGATGAAGACTAGGGGTAATAAGCAGGAAAGAAAGGAAATAATAAAGGCCCAGGGGATGCATTCTGTTCGAATGGTGGCAGGGAGCGCATGATCTCACAGTCGCTGGCATGCAGACGTACAAGAAACCCATCCGATAATTGGCATCCATTTTTATTGATTTTCTATATTTTTTGTCTTTCCGGCTTGCAGTCACGGTCACGCCATTTCAAGGCGCAAGAGGGATGAAAGGAGTATAAAGGCCATATTTATCAGGCGAGTGAGAATAAGGATCATCATGCCCGTCCAGCGGGTTGAAGGCAGAATTGTCGGGCGACGTGTTGGGGCACCGAGACAGCTGAGGCTGTTTTCGCGACCTTTCCTATCCGTTGATGCAGCCTTTCGGAGTGCTACTAATGCAGACTCCCTGGTAGATGTCGCCAAACTGGGAATTCTTGAACCACACACTGTTGTACACAGGCGAGTCCCAAATCCAGCCCTTGTCTACCCATTTAGCATTCTTGAGGAACCTGTTGAAGAACGGCAGAGCCTCCTCGTATGAGGGGATGGAACCGCCTTCGAACCGATTGCAGCGAAACCAACAACCCGCGTTTGATGACCACGAAAGTTGGACACCGGGCAGCTTGAGGGAATTCCATTTATTAGGGAGACGCGTCAACGAGTTGCTGCCGAGGTATCTGATGGCCTCTTTCAGCTGGTCCTCTGAGACGGTGTTGTCCTCTGTGCTAATCTCCATGTTTCCGTAACAAGCTGCCCGCTCAACGAGGCGTCTGCTGCTGTTCAGGGCCGGCGATGTACCTGTCAACGTCAGTAATACACTTGCAGCCCACTACGTACCGGTATTGGAGGCATGTTCGGCGACCAGCATGGCAAGGGCGTCGTCTTGCTGAGCCTTTGTGGGGCTGTGAACGTCGAACCACATACCGGCAATGGCCTCTGCTCCGTCGTCACCGCAGTCTCCCTTTGCCATCCGCTGTGCCCAGTAATCGACCTTGTTGCAAGGCAAAACTGCGAGGTAGTCGTTGGCCTGAGAGATGTTGTATCCGAATCCCTTGGCGGCGTGAGAGATCTGCACTGCTTGCCAGCCTGTAGCCGGGTCGATCCATGTACTCTCGTTGTCGCGCCTCGGAACGTCGTTCGTGAACACCGGCCCCTCGTCTGTGGTGCCATCGTCGCCATTGCAGCGCCCATTCTGGCGGTGTTTGCATTTCCGAACACACCGCTTTGCGGGAGGGGGCGACGGGGTGGTTGACCGCTTGGAAAACGGGCCACAGTTCTCAACTGGCAAGAACCAGGGCCGGGCATTCTGGCTTCGTCGGAATATGTCGGTTTGGTCATCTGGGAGGTCCGGTAAGAGGGGAGGTGGCGTGTACGGCGGTGGCGGGGCTGGGTACGCATAGATGTCGATTGCGAAATGTGGCAGGGTGAGTACGCTGTTGCCTCCGCCCGGACCGGCGTCCGCGTTCGCTCGCATGCGATGCCCGTACGCCATCCAGACGTATCCAGCAAGAGTTTGGCGTGTCATGGCAATGGGAGTCAAGGGATCCCCGAGTCTGTACTGGAATGTCACCCTGACGCGGATCTCCCCATTGTCATAGGGGGTCCAAACAGAGTCGGTGGGTGTCGCCGTAAAACCCTCAGTGATCTCGGTACCCATGAGGTCGTTTGCTGCCTCTTCCAGGGCGCGAAGTTCCGGACCATCTCCGTCTATTATTCCTATGACTGCAACTTGCTGGTGGTTGTTCTCATACATCTCGTATAGACCTGTGGTGGGTAGCCGCATGTCCTCTCGAAGGAAGCGTTCCGCAGGAGCCGCCTGACGCTCCACGCTACCGTCGTAAGCTGCCCGTTTGCTTGGGGTTGAGGCGCGGATTGATGCACCCGTTTCCTTGTCTGGTGTGGTTGGCCGCTGACTGAATTTCCGGATCATGCGCGTCATCCAGGTGCTGGACGATTCGCCAGTGCCGCGAACGAGTCCATTGGTCGCAATAGCAGGGCTGTTCTGGCGAGAAATCGTGCTGGCACTGAAGGACTTCCTCCGGGACGTGGTGGCTTTTGAACCATGCGTATCGGGGGAGATTGGCGTATCCAGGAGGGTCTTGCGTGACTGGTTCGGGGGTCGCACTGCCACTGCGGCCGCCCGGCTCTGGAGTAGGACCAGAACGCCAATCACAGCATAGCAGAGTGCTTGGTAGGCTACCCATCTCATTGTCGTTCAGGTGAGCCGGTAATAAAATGCAAGGGCAAACAAGTTGTTGGTGGAGAGGCGCAAAGACTTGTTCAAAAGTCGGTTGTTGCGTGAGTGAGCTGGTGCAAAGAACGGCGCCCTTTATATGTATGGATGAAGCCTCCTTGGCTGGTTGCTGGAGTCGCGTCCACCAACGCTGGGTGTCGAAGACACGTCGAAGGCGGTGACCAGAGACAAAGGTACAGGGGTCTCCTAACGAGGGGTTGGTGCCACGAAGGGAAGGTGAGTCACCGTGCTGCCTTTCGCGAGCTGCCCATCCCCGGTGCGTTAACAAAGGGGGTTACCGCAGTGTGCATGGAACCACCTCCGCTGGATATCTTAACCTCTCGCGGTTGGGAGGTGCTGCGTCAGGTAGTACCATACCACCGGAAATAACAAGTAACAATTCCCGAAGGAATCCACGGCACCTTCGGCCTTCACCTATGTATGTACAATGCCAGGTCGATTCCAAGCTGTTGTCATTCACCACTCCGACGCCGCTGCCAGTCCTCGCAGCCCCCAGTGACCTGTTGTTTGTCCGGGTAAGTCGCGCATCCCTGCCTGACACGACAATCTTGAAAAAGAGAGTGCTAATGGGTTTCTGAAACCGCGTTTGGTAAACTCAGCTGCGGATCTTATGACCCAAATGCTGTGTCGACGCGTTTCCTTGGCACACGATGTCACTATCGTTCCAGACCGAAGGTCAACGACGCACCGCCGTTGGTTTCGATATAACCCATTCATTTCCTTGACGAACATGCATGTGGATGTGACCCGGTGCTCTGATGAATATACAAACATTCAATAACTGACGCTCCCCCACCGCGAATCCCGGTATGCTGGTGTTCGCGACTGCCTCGCGACCCGCTGAAACGCCGCCATGTCGAGTCTGGCTGGAACGGCTCTGCAGTGAACGAGAAAGCGGTCCAACTCAAACTCTTAAACCTTCTCCACAGTCGCAGGCACGTTGACAGGGGTGACTGGCTTGCCGGTTTCAAGGCTGCCGGGTTAGTCACAAGGCATCTGATGTGGTGATACTCACTAAGACTTGACGTTGGCAAACACATCCCGCTCGCCTCGGAGGATGGTGCCGCGGGTGAAGGCGCCGAGGTGAGGCTGGAGCGAGACGTTGTCGTGGTTGAAGAGCTTGGACTCGAACTTGGGCTCGGGGTCAAAGACATCGAGACCAGCACGGGCGACCTTTCCGCTGTCCAGAGCGCGAACGAGCGCATCCTCGTCAATGACGGCGCCGCGGGCAGTGTTGACAATGTAGACACCGTCCTTCATCTTGGCGAATGCATCGTCGTTGAGGATATGGCGAGTGGCGGGCGTGAGAGGGGTGTTGACACTGATAACGTCCGACTTGGCAAGCAGATCGTCGAATGAGACGTATGTCGCGCCCAGCTCCTCCTCCTCGGCGACGGTCAGGCGGTTGCGGTTGTGGTACAGGATGGACATGTTCCAGGGCTTGCTCTTGCGTGCCATGCTCTTTCCAATTGCGCCGAGACCGAGGAACCCCAGGGTCTTGCCCTCGGGGTCCTCGGTGAGGGGCATGTTGTCACGCCACTTGCCGGACCGCAGAGCCTTCTCAGCCTGATACACGCCGCGAAGGGCCGAGAGCATGAGGAGGATGCCCATGTCCGCTGTCGCGTTGGTGACCGAGTAAGGGGTATTGCTAAACCACGCGCCGTTGTTGGTGAGGAAGGGCACATCGACGTCATCGTAGCCAGCACCACCTTGAGCCCAGAGACCACAGAAGCCAGGCTTCTCAAAGAGAGGAGCAAGGAGGTCGGGGTTGAAGGGCGAGTACATGGCTGTACCAAAGAGCTTGTGTGACGTCAGCGGCATACCACAGTGTTGGATGAGGTACTCACCACGTAGCCAGCGTCAAAGGGACCGTGCTCGTCACAGATGCGCTTCACCTCGGAGACGACCTGCTTGCGGTCTCCGGGCACAAAGTAGTGAATGTCATAGGACTTTTGCAAGTCCTCAAACTCTGGGATCGCAAACTTGGGGTAGCCGATGCCGAGGATCTTGGGGCGGGTTGCAGCGATGGTCATCTTGGAGCTTGAGAGGTGGGGGTGGTGAGCAGTGGGCTGGGAAGCGTTATGTGAGGACATGGATGCGAGAGAGCTGGTACTTGTATATAGTGAGAGTGTGTCAAGCAGCGACCGAGAGGGGTGTGCAAATGGGCAAATGGGACATCGAGTCGGCGACCGCCGATGATGTGCTGGATGATAATCATATGGGTTCGTCCACTCACGCGCAACCCGCTCGTCGGATCGTCGGTGATATCCGAACGGAATAGCGGAAACCGCCTGGGAGGCGGGACATGTCCGGGTCGCCACGGGTCACCACGGGCAATCTACGCGCCGCACACCTCCCTATCAAGATATCCATGTCGGCAAAGAGCGACAGACGATAGACAGGACCATGCCGCGCTGCAGTGGAGGATAGCAAGGCGGGTCATAAGGCCAAATCCGACCCAGAGGCGTTGTCCACCCACCAAACCATGACCACCCCAAAGCTTGGCGTCCTTCAACTGCAGACCACATTCCCGCGACCGCCGGGAGACGTATCAAACCCCGCTTCGTGGCCATTCCCTATCACTGTTGGCGTGGTCAAGGAGGCCACTGCGACCAATGTGGTCGGCGGGACCTGGGGTCCAGAGTTGATCGATGCGTTTGTCCGTGAAGCCGAGAGGCTCCAGGGCGAGGGCTGTGTTGCGCTTGTGACCTCGTGTGGCTTCCTGGCTACCATGCACCCGCAGCTGTCTGCTCGCGTGCCATTCATCGGCACCAGTGCGCTGCTCCAGGTCGCGTGGCTCCAGAATACCTTCTACCCAGGCCAACAGCATGCCGTTGGTGTCATGACGTTTAAGAGAAGCGCCTTGGTGAGTCGATATAGATATAGTGGGCGGTTGCTGACGTCAGACGGAGAAGCACCTCGTCAGCGTCGGTGCAGGTCCTGACACTCCCGTGGTGGGCATGCCCGAAGACGACGACCCTGCTGCAGCTGTATTTCGTGCTGTACTTGACGAGCGCGTGCCTTGTGAGTTGGCACGGCCGTGCGGGGCTTACATCAGACGACCACAAGGGGATGGAGCGAGAAATGGTCACAGCTGCCAAGGCGCTCGTGGCTGCCAACCCTGGCCTCAAGGCCATCGTTCTCGAATGCACTAACATGCCGCCGTTTGCGCATGCCGTAGCCAAAGCGACCGGTCTGCGTGTTTGGGATATTATCACTCTAGGCAAGTGGTTGTACAATGCCGCGGTCAAGGAAGACTATCGCTCGTAGTGAACATGCAGTGCGTGAAGCCGCAAGCCCACATCGCCAGTTCTGCTCCAGTGGCCACCGCCTGGACACCCTCTTAGCCACCAGGTTTCCTTCAAGGGTTATGCATCTACAAACACGTCATGATTTGTACAACCTATGCACCATCCTCAGAGCTTGGACCGCTCCACCGTATTGGGAAACTTCCAATCGGCTTCTGTTGCCATCTCGAGGTCGGCCAGATTCCTGCCACCAAACTCTCCCTCTTCCAGTCCATTGGCATGCTCGCCAGGCTTGGCCGTACGCCAGCGCCAAAGTGGGGTAAACTGGTCGTTCTTCTTCTCCAGGGCATTGACTACATGCTTGCCCAGGACAGGCAGGAACTTGAACCCATGCCCAGACCCGCCAGAAGCGACGAACAAGGTGTCATCGTACCCAGGGACATAGTCGATGAGAAAGTTGTTGTCAATCGAGTCGGTGTACCAGCACATGCGGGTGTCCGTGATGCCCACGGCAGTGAGGTCGGGGAACATTTCAGCAATGACGGCCTTGAGGTTCGTAATGGCCTTGAGCGGGAGATTGACCTGAGGGTCCGCCGTGTACTTTGTCTTTGGGACTGACAGGCGGCGACCAGTTGCTGCCTGAGACTGGTAATTCGTCCACTTTCGACCGCGGTACCCGATCTTGATCTTGCCCTCTGGGGTACGCGGGAACCCGTAGAATCCACCGTACTCTGGCGACTCGTGGCCGGTAAGCCCATAGGCAAACACGGGAAAGTTCTTGGGCGAGTACTGGGAATTGGAGGTCAGCCACCCGCGACATTCGAAAGCAAGAGAATCTTAGATGCCCACCTTGTCCCACAGGTCCTTCCTGTGACTAGGTAGCTGGATGGTAACGACACTCCCAGCTGTCGTCTCAAGCGCGCCAGAAACTTCGGGCACGATACTTGGTGTCCACCCCCCGGCTGCGGCGATAACCACGTCTGCTGGGTGGGTCTTTCCGTCGGCCGTCTTGAGGCCCCTGACGACCTTGCCGCCTGTCGAGGTGTCCACCACAAGCTGGTCAAACTTGCCCTTCAACGGACCGAGGACAAACTTGACTCCAGCCTTCTCGCACAGGTACCGTGCCCATGTGCATGACTTGTCGGCGTACGTGAGGCCAGCGCTCGTGTCCATGAACCCATCGCGCTTGCCTTCTGTAAAGGCGGCAAAGGCGGCGACCTTGGGGCGCCAGTTGCCTTCTTTACCCCACAGCCTCTCCATATCCTCCACATCGGTCAGGACGTGTTGATGGTGCTTGAGGCCAACCTTCTCCAGCTCCGAGATGCAGTGCTTGTCATAGTCCGACATGACGGCGTCGGACGAGATGCGCATGAAGCCGCAGTCCTCGAACAGCTTGGTCGACGGTGTGAGTCCACGAGGGAGCTTGTCCGCCGGCGTGGAAGCGATGGCGGCATTCCACTCGAGCCAGATGGGCCGACCAGAGAAGGCGAGGTCCTGGTACTCCGTCTCGTCGCCATATGAGCAGCGGTAGATCTTGTTGACGTCCGCCGACGCCGCATCGCAGCCGTCAAAGGGAGAGTAGGCATTCTGGTCGTAGGGCTGGTAATCGTAGACGGTCACATCCCTGTAACCTGGAACACGTGTAAGCGTACGCACAGACAGTGAGGCGTACCATTACGAGCCAGGTGCAAGGCTGTACTCAGGCCAAAGACACCTGCCCCAACGATTGCAATCTTCTTGTCTGGTGTCGTCATTGTGTGTGTGTGTGAGTGTGAGGGAAGCGACGGGGAAGAGAAGAGAGGTAGTTTGAATAGGGCAAGAGTCCAGCTCGACGCAGTGATATGTGAGACGAATGGTGTGATATGAAATCGAAGGGTGGGCTTGAGATTGCGCAGAGGTGGAGGCGGATGAGACCGACGACGTTGCGATAACATGTGATCATAATCGGCAACCTGTTTCGGAGGACGCGCCCGTTGTACGCGGATGGATGCCCCCAGGCCAAGCTGACCGGGAGACAGGGATTGTGAATCCGCCCAAGGGTGGACGGTCGGATGCGGCCGTGCAAAGGCGATAGCAACATTGCGATAGCGATTGCCGCACGATCACCCGATAGACAATCAACATCGCCTGCATCACCTGACAATTGTGATGTTGCTTCGCCCATTCAACACAACGTCGAGAAGGAGGAGTACTTAGTGGCCGGCTGTGAAGGCGAAAGGACCTCTTCATCAAGGCCACAGCCCACCTCGTCCAACCACACATACACACACCCCAACACAGCAAGAGATCATAGATAGACATGGCCCAATACGCCGACGAGAAGGCAAGCGCTAAAGATGGCGTCGAGACTTCTGTCTTTACCGTGGACGAGCAGGCAGAGCGTCTCGACCTGGCACAGTTTGACTTTACGGAGGAGGAAAGCCGCCGTATCGTGCGCAAGTTTGACTGGCACGTGAGTGACATGGCAAATGCAAAGGTGGTGGGGGCTGACGTGGGGCAGATCCTTCCATTCATCTGGTGGTGCTATCTCTTCAACTCGCTCGACCGCTCCAACGTTTCCAACGCCAAGAGTGATGGCATGACCAGTGCGTTCTCACCTTCCAATACATAGCCACATCCAGCTAACCCACTCCCCAGCCGACCTCAACTTCCCTGCCAATGGCTACGCAGTCATGTTGTCGACATTCTACGTTCCCTTCTGTGAGTTGCCCGCTGCCCACATTGCGTCGACACCGGCATCGGCTCCAATTGGAGGCATTTTGCCGATCGAGGTGCTATCGGAGATGTGAGGTCGAGTCGAGCCACTGACCCTTTGCCCAGCCGTCCTCGTCGTTCCTGGGGTCATGCTCACCCGCAAGATTGGCCCTGTGAGTGACAGTAGCATGGGGGTCAAGCTAATCAAGCAGAAGTGGACCATTCCCGGTTACATGGCAGGTTGGGGGACTATGGCCATGCTCAACGCAGCCGCCAAGAGCTATGCTGGTGTGCTGGTCGTCCGTATCCTCTTGGGTGCCTTTGAGGCCGGCTTTGCCGCCTCTCTCATCTTCTACCTCACAACGTTCTACAACCGTGGCGAGCTTGGCGCAGTGAGTTCCCCGCCACTGTATACTGCTACTTCGTCACTAACGCTGTTAGCGCGTCGCCGTCTTCTACTCGTGCAACGCTCTCTCCGGCGCCTTCTCTGGTTTGATCGCGTACGGCGTCTTCCAAATGGACTCGAAGATTTATGGCTGGCAAATCCTGTTCCTCGTCGAGGGCGCGTTCACTGTCGCCTTTGCAGTTCTCACGGGGATCTGCCTTCCGTGGTCCATCGACTCGGCGCGATTCCTCACGGAACGCGAGCGTGAGGTCGCCCGCATGCGCCTGCTCAAGGACGGCAGCGCCACTGTCGGCTCCAAGTTTGACATGCACAAGTTCTTCAAACCGCTGGGCGACTGGAAGTTTTACGTCTTTGCCACCATTGCCCTGTGCTATGGTATCGCGGCGTCTGTTGGCGGCAACTTCCTCACCCAGATCATCGGCCGGTTCCACTATTCGACCGTCAAGACCAACCTGTTCACGGTCGCGCCCTTCGTGTGCGGTACGATCGTGCTGCTCATCACTGCCTGCTCGTCAGACTACTTCCGCGAGCGCGGTCTGCACCTCGCTTCGAGTTTCCTGTTCGTGATTGTAGGCTGCGTCATCCTCGTCGCTCTGCCCGTCACGTCGGTCGGCGCTGGATACTTTGCCACCTTCCTCATCACCTGCGGCGCCTTCACGCCTTCGGTGCTGTTCCACACGTGGCACCAGTGCAACGACCCAAGCGAGGACGGCCGTTCCTTCCGCGTGGGCGCGTTCACGTTCTTGGCCAACGTGGGCGGTATCGTGAGCGCCAACATCTTCCTCGACAAGTGGTCGCCCGGATATGTCATTCCGTTGGCCATCACGGCTGGCGCAGAGGGTTTGGCGCTCATCCTGGTCGTCAGCCTGCGCATGTGGATGTGGGCAGACAACCGCCGTCGCAACAAGGAGCAAGGCGTCAACTGGCAGTCCAAGGATGTTCCGACTGCGGCCCTTGCTGATGGGCCGAGTAACCCGGATTTCCGCCACTTCTACTAGAGGCAGTCTAAGACACGGACGAGGGTGTGCTGAAGGATGGTGGATTGTACAAGTCAGAGATTGATACGTTGTTAGATACGAAATACGCTGTCCGGCCAGTGAGAAATGCAGTTTTGCCCACTCAACATGGTCCACCGCTGGGGCGGCGACTCGGGCTTTCAGCAGCAACACATCTAGTAACGTCAGAAGATGTCAGTTTCCAAATCTACGGCACGCAACCTGCATGCTCCTATCTATCGTTAAGTTCAATCACCTCGCCCTCGGCGTGCGGGTTCCATCCAATGTCGAGCTCCGAGTTCATCTCGCGCTTGACGCATAGCTGCGGTGTTAGTCCATGTCGAAAGGAGACGGCTGCTTCGACAATCTCGCAGCTTCCCGTTGAAGGCCACTCACCTGCTCGCCAACAACAATCATCAGGACCGATCCCAGGGCCTGGACGACCCAGAAGAAGAAGCTGGTGGGGAACGATTTTGCGTAGTAGGTCGTCAGGATGATGTGGATGAAGGTGAGGGTGAGGCTGAAGTCGAGGATGTGAGTCGGTCGGCGGATTAGGTAGTAGAGTGGTGCGATGCTGTGGACGTTAGCGGTAGTTCAAAGGAGTGTAGTGGAGACAAGTGAGGTCGGGCAAGGCAGCTGCTAGCAGCTCCACTCGCCCACAAAACCGATCCCCATCGTACTCACTCCACAGCAGCGGCCGTAATCCACGCCAGACCGATAAGCCAACCCCGTCGGTCATCCACTCCATAGTCCCAGCCCTCCTCCGGCTCGGGCCCCACATCCACTTCGGGGTTTCCGTCATCCTCCTTGTTCTGCCCGACCTTCTTGCCACCGGCCCATGCGCCGCGCAATCGCTTCCAAGCGCCCTCTCCCGTGTGGGTGTTGACTGCAGGTCGGGCTGCCATCTCACGCCAGTCCATGACGTGCGCGACTGTTTGCGGGCCGCCGCTGTATTCCAATAGCGATGGCGAAGTGAACTGCGAGAGCAGTGGGGGGACGATGAGGGTCATTGTGAGATAGTGGAGGGCTTGGAGGCAGATGATCTGGATAGGTTAGCTGTGAGTTTGGAGGAGTGTACAGTAGAGCCGGAAGCAAGCAGCTGCACGCGTCCCAGGCCTCCCGGTTGTTTGCGACAGCACCACATGAGAGTTGACGCGTCCAACTACTCCGTCTCGGCGCCGCCGGGGCTGCTGACCGGATGCTCACCTGCGAAATGATCCTGTTCGAGTCAGCATTGCTTCGAGTATTTTACTCACAACACGGGGTCCCATCCCTGGACCCGCATGATGGGCGACGAAGAGTGTTGGTTGAAGGGCAGAGAAGAGGGAGTGAATGAGATGGAGTGACTTGGGGGAGTTTACTGCACCTCCACCTCGACCGATGCACTGGATGTCTCTCGATTTGGTTCCGTCGCTCACGTGGTGTGACGAAGGCGTTGATGAGATCTCGACACAATAGACGACCGCGAACAAGAGGACAACTGACATCCATCTCGTTCTTGCAACTACAACCCAGCCTACGTGTCGTACAGCGGGGACCATCGTCTTGAAATATCTACCTTTCGACTACCCCACAACAGGCTACAACGACCTCCATGTCCGTGAGTGTCCCTCGAGGTCGAGACCACGCAGCGACCGACCTGGACACCTCCATGGTCGCTGATGGCGCGGTTCTGATGGCGTGTGATTAGTTTACAACAGCTTACCTTCTACAGGACGCTTACATTCCCCTCGGCCAGCGCGGCGAGTGGGCAGATCTCGAGCCTGTGCCGCAGAACGATGGGCCAAATGCTCTCGTCCCGATCATGTACACCGAGGAGTGTGAGTGATGGCAGCGAGGGGGTCTGGCACGGGGACCGTGATGGCGTGTCGATTCGCCAGCTATGAACCATGACACTGATACCTCCAGACCGCGACTCGATGGACTACTTCCGCGCTGCCAAAGCCAAGGACGAGAAGAGCGAGCGCGTCCTGGACCTCACCGAGAATATCATCAGACTGAACCCTGCGCACTACACCGTGTGGTGAGTTAGTGGGTATTCGTTTCAGCTAACTCTTCTCAGGCAGTACCGCTTCGCTACCCTCCTGGCCCTGCAAAAGGACCTCAACGTTGAGCTCGAGCTCATGAACGAGTTTGCAAGGGAGAACCTCAAGAGCTACCAGGTGTGGTGAGTTTGTCGTCTACCGGCCACTCAACTCACTTGCAGGCACCACCGTCTCCTCCTCCTCACCCACCTCTCTCCCGCGGACCCCCAGTCCGAGATCGACTTTATCCACGCCTCACTTGGGCCCGATCCCAAAAACTACCACACTTGGGCGTACCTCCACTGGCTCTACTCTCACTTTGGCGACTTGGGTCGTATCACAGCTCAGAAGTGGGCCGACGAGTTGACGTGGTGCGAGGAGATGATCGCCGACGACGGGCGCAACAACAGTGCATGGGGCTGGCGCTGGTTCCTCCGCATGGCCCGCCCTGGCGCTACTGCTGCACAGGACGGCGGCCACGAGGAGATTGCCTATGCCGTGCGTGAGATTCACCGCATCCCGCACAATGCCTCGGCATGGAACTACCTCCGTGGCCTGATACGTTCCCTGTCGGCGCAGCGCGCAGAGCTTGTTCCCATCCTCGCGCCGTACATGACCGGAGCGGCGGTCGACCTCCCAGCAGACAATGCGGACGCGACTGCGTCATGGCCGGCACGTACTGCTCCCCTGGGCGAGGAGACGCCCACACCCATCCCCCTCGCTCTCGAGTTTTTGGGCGACGCCCTCATCGAGAGTGGCAAGCTTGGCGATGCGGCAAGCGTGTTCGCGCAGCTGGGCGATGAGGTGGATAAGATGCACTCGGCGTACTGGGGTCTGCGCAAGGCCGAGTGCGTCAATGCGTAAGGGAATGCGATAGGAAGTCGCGTTCGGCGCGCGTCAGAGCGATCAGAGCAAGGGTAGTCGTCATGTTCATGTATATTGGATCTCATAATCTCGGACCAACCTGCATTGGTTTCGTCTGCCACTTTCGGCCTGGTGTGGGCGGCTGAGTGGACCGTCCGCAGACCCCACTCAAGCACACGCACCCTTGAATGTGCCCGTGTCTGCGCATGCTGGCATACGTGCGCAGGGGATCTATGCGAAGTGTTGCCAAGCAAGACCAAAGGCACGCGTCGGCATGAGGGGCTCCGACGAGATGACAGCAATCACCTCGGCAGTCTCGGCACACCACTCCGGCGGGCCGCTTTCAGTGAGATCTCACGTCGTCGGGCTCTCCACACGTTCTTCCTTTGTCCACTATCTCACTCCCATCAGTCATGGCGTATCAACCTCCCCACCGCCGGACGGCGACCGGGAATGGGAGTATCCCGGCCCCCGTACCCTCTCACAGGGGATCCACGGGCGGCATTGCGTTCAGCAGCAAAGACATGCCCGGTAACGGCAACAACAACACAACTGTCTCCCCGGAACCCGCGCCGACACCGTCCCCGGCCCCACCGGCTGCATCCTCGCCCAGGCGGGACTGGTCACTGCCCACACAGCCTCTTCGGCCGCGCCCACAGCCGCCGGCGCGGTACTCGTCCTTCCCCACTGTCGCCGGTGGGTCCGATAGGGACACCATGCTGTCTGCTCGGCGGGGATCCCCACTGGCCAGCCCCAACTCGGACCTGCGCCCGACCCAACGTATGTTCTCGCCTGCTCCCTCTGAGATGGAGTTGCTAGCCAGTGTGTCGAGGAGCGGCGGGGACGGTGCCGAGGGCGACGCGTTGAAGGATTACGCGACCCAAGAGCGGTTCAGGCGGTACATTGACGAAAAGATCCACGAGTACCACAAAGACGCCAGCGATGCGGATACGGGCAACCTGCAGAACGTCGTGCGGCTGTTTAGAAAGCTGAGAGAAGGGGTGGTCGCGTCTGGGAGGCTGGACGCGTTTGCCATTGAAGGTGAGCTACATCTTAGACCAACCGGGAGCTGACAAAGACAGCGTTTGAGACGTCGGTCCGCTATGCGGTTCTCGCGAAAGATGCCTCGCAGCTCCTCTCCGTCCTCAGTGCGCTCGTTCCTGACCTCTATCTCGCAGTAGACGAGGCCAAGAGGGAACGCGCTAGCAGAGGTGTGGAGGAGCGCTGCGCTAAGCGCATCGCACTTCTCAAAGAATTGCATCAGCAAGCCAACGGACACTCGCATTCGTCCCATTCGCATTCGCACTCACACTCGCACTCGCATTCGTACTCGCCGACCTCGAGCATCACCTCCCCCTCCCTCTACTCGCCCAGCAGCCTCGGCGACCCGCCCACGCCCTCGCCCTCCATCCCCGGATCCCCCCAGATCGACCTCCTCGATGCCGCAGGACGGGACTTTGACCACCCGCATTTCCTCGACAACGTCGTGGGGATCAACGCAGACGACAACCGCGCCCACTTTGTCTCCCTCCTGCTCATCTACCACCTGGTCCACTCGCCGCGCGAAGTGTTCAACGCGACATACACGCAGCTGGCCCTACCGCAGAACCCGCTCCTGCGTCCCCGGCCGCTCCGGTGCGAGGGGTGCACGCTGCTGCCGACCCCGGCGCCGGTCCCCGTCAAGGCGCCGCCGCCGTTCGTGTGTCCGCAAAACCTCGTGTTTGTGACCGCGGCGGCGCGCGCGCTCGCGCCCGAGACGTTTGACCCGCTCCTCTTTGGCCGCATGGTGCGCAACATCAACCTCCACCCGGAACGCCCGCACGACCACCCGCAGGCGCTCGAGCGCGCCCTCCTGGCGTGGGCCAGTCCGCGCGTCCGCCAGGAGGCGGCGGACAGGCTCAAGAAGGGATACATGTCCGCCGGGGCCGAGTGGGTGGGTAAAGTGTTAAACTTGGATGGCGGGAACAGTGGCGTCACGCTGTGGGCCATGGCCAACGGCGTGGCGATAAGGGATGGAATGGTGAAGCTTCGGTAGGAGAAGAAGGGGGGGGGGGGGGGGGGGGATCTAGCGAGCGGTGATGTATTGCAAACTGTATCTTATCTCCACTGTCCACAAGTGTCGTTTCTGAAGCATAAGGGATCGCCATGGCAACCGCGTCAGTATCCACACCTCAAGCAGTGCCGCGGCACGTCCATCTGTTCTGTGCCATGATGCATGCCAAGCAAGTATGTTGTTGTTGTTGATTGAGAGAGAGAGAGAGAGAAAAAAAACCTGGAAACAAAGACAACCACACGCTGTGTGTGTTGCGATATAAAAAGATTAGGCATTAAAGTACCTGGGGTTAACGCCCTGCACTCGCTGTATGCTTTATTAGATCTCTAATGTCATCCTGAAAGGGGAGAATTAAGACAAAGCAGGTACGGAGGTGGGTGGGGTGGTCGCCGTGGTGGGTAGATGTGGCAAGGATGTGGGGCCTGGGGAGCGTTTTGTGTGCAGTTCGGAGGGACTGCATTTACTGCACCAGGTCGAGGTCGGTGGTAGCGACGAGCTCCTCGGCGCTGGCGATGACCTTGTCGACGGGCCAGTGGGGGCCCTCGGATGAGAACTTGAGGTTCAAGATGTCGCCCACCTCGTCACATGCGCGGAGGAGGAGGTCAATGTCCGTCTTGGTGTGGGATGCCGAGAGACAGAAGCGGACGCGCGAGGTGATGAGCGGGGTGGCAGGGTAGGCGACGATGACGACGGCAATGGGCGTCTTGTCGGGACCAAGACGGTTGAGCATCATGCGGCTGAACATACCCATCTTGCCGGGGTTGTAGAGCAGGAGGGGGATGATCGGCGAGTCGCGGTGGCCGTACACGATAAAGCCGAGCTTGCGGAGACCAGACGAGAGGTAGCGCGAGTTGAACGCCAGACGGCGGAGACGCTCGCGGCCCTCGGTGCCGTTGGCCATGTTGGGTGGGAGGCTGAACCACACTGGGAGTTCTTGGCGGGGGGCGGGGCCGAACGACTGGTGGCGCGACCAGATGGAGACCGAATCGCTGACGTCCTCGTCGAGGTCGACGGGGGTGGCAAGGGGAGGAGCAATACCCATAATGGCCGCCATGGAGGCAATGATCTGGGTGAGAACGGGCGGGGACATGGCCTCGGCGTAGCAGAACGCATGGGAGCGAACCTTGAGGCCGTCGATGAGGTCCTTTGTACCGCAAATGTAACCACCGGCGGCGCCAAACGACTTTGTAAAAGTACCCATAAGAATGTCGATTTCGCGGGGGTCGACACCAAAGTAGTCGCAGACACCACGGCCGTTGGGACCAAGAGCACCGATCGAGTGGGCCTCGTCGACGTACAGGTAAAACTTGTAGCGGCGCTTGAGCTCGATGACAGCGGGAAGGTTGACCATGGTACCCTCCATGGAGAAGAGACCCTCGACAATGACGACAATCTTCTTCCAAGGACGGTGGGTACGGGGCTGGCCCTGGGCAATGCAGTCACGGAGGAGGTCCTCGAGGGCGTGGACGTCGTTGTGCTTGAATGTGCGGACCGAGGCGCCCGAGAGACGGACACCGAAACGGATCGAGGCGTGGTTGAACTCGTCAGAGATGACGAGACAGCCCTTCTCAACAAGCGCGGGGATGTTGGTCGAGTTGGTCGCAAAACCCATGGACACGATCATGGCCGCCTCGCTGCCGACAAAGCGGGCGGTGAGCTTCTCAGCCTGGTTGTGGAGGTCGAGGGTGCCGGCGTCGTGACGCGTGGCGGCACCAGCGGGGCCATAACGCTTGAGGGTCTCCTCGACGGCATCAGCACAGCCGCCAGTCGACGAAGCGAATCCGAGATAGTTGTACGACGAGACGTTGAGCGCGCGCGTCTGGGTGCCCGACAGGTGGAACGACTCGCGGCAGTCGTTGGTGTAGCGGTCCAAAAGCATAATGGTGCGACCGGGAACACCCGTGACGGGGCGAGAGAAGCAGTCATCAAGGCGGACCTTGAGACGACGAATGTAGAACGAGTCAAAGTCCGAGTTGAGCGCCGCATAGCCGTCGCGGGGCATCAGGTGCTCATAGTACGACGGGTAGAGCTTCTTGCCGAAAAAGTCACGGATGTGACCCAGCAAGATGAGCAGAGTGTAGCTCATGTAGGTCGTCAAAAGCACATAGTATGGGGGCAGGGGCTCGGCCTCGGGCGTGACAGGCTCTGCAGGGTTGTACTGTGACGTGTAGCGGTAGTTGGGGTTGTTGCAGTGACCAAACTCAGAGTGCTTGTAGCTCGACTGGGTGAGCACATTGGGCTTTTCGAGGTAACCCTTGTACATGCGCTCGAGCTCATCGTCGGATGGTGGGGATCCGTTGACGGTGCCGATCGACGACGCATAGCTGGAAATCGTGCTCTGGTCGCTGACCTCGTCGTCTACGGGGTGGTGGGGCGAGCTGTCGTACGAGATGGCAGCGTCAGAGTGTCGAGGACGCGTAATGACACCAAGCAGCGTCGAGCGTGCTGTCGCGCTGCCCCCAGCCTGGGAGGCCAGGTTGTTCCGAGGAGCAGACGCGGCAGGCACGCCTGTAACAGACGACGCCGAGCTGCTCGCCTTGGACGAGCGTGTGCGCGGCATTGCTAGGGAGGTGACGGGGAGGGAGGAGTGGGGGGTGGGGGGTGTAGTGTGGTGTGGTATGTGGTGGTGGGCACGAGCGAACGAGAGTGCGACCAAATGTGACTTTCGAGTTGGTCTGTGCAGGGTCTCTGAGGAGTTGGTGCAAGGGCGGCGCGTGGAGATGTAGGAGAGGTGGAGAGTTTGTTGATGGGGGGGGGGGGGGGCTAAGGGGTACGCGGCGGGGCGGCGAGGTCGCGCCTGCCGCGTGATGGGGAGAGAGGGCGAGGCTGGCGGGGGTGAGCCAGAGAGAGGGGTGTGCCGGTGTGGTAGCTGATGGGATTATGTGTGTATGTTATAGAAAGTGATGAGGACGACGGGTGGATGGAGGATGATGGAGAGGGAAGAATCCTAAACTGGGCGCGGGGACACCTTTGTGCAATGCCTCACGGCTTGTAGGACCCGCGTCCCCCCCTCTTGTCCCCGCCCCCCCTTTCCTCGCTCGCGCGCGCGCGCGCGCGGGCCCAGCCGGTGGAGCGAACCAGACCGCTCAATGGGAAATGCAATGTGGGTGGAGCGTTTAACGTCCTTTGCACCGTCAGCCTGGCCATTTGACCCCGTCTGGACCCGTCTAATGGCGCTGCGTGGTCCGGATTAGAAAGCGAGCGGACGCGGGATGACCCACGTCGACCACGTCATCATGTCTTCATAATCACACAAAACATCCACCACTTGCACACCTTCCTTCTTCCCACGACTTTGACACAGTCGCTCCCAACATTCTTCCGCACCTGCACCACCTAGTACGGACTGACCCAGCTGACTTGCTGAACCGGGCTTTGTACTTGCTCACTTGGCTCACCGGCCACCGTGCTTCCAACGGACGGCGCGGCGTGACCGTTTCTCGGCGCCCGGTGGCCTGTATAGATGTGGCCGTTCGGAGGCATAAAATTAGGGCCTCTCGCCGTGTTACAATTGCGTGGGGCCGTGGCTCGTGCACTGCACACTTGCCCGCGTCCGTCGTTTCTCTTGCCCGCCGTCACCGCAGCCGTCTCCATGCCCTTGCTAGATAGCGAGAGCGCGAGCCAACTCTTGTCCCTCCAGCGCTTGTTCTTGCATTCTTGTTAATGGTTCATTCGTTCATTCACTGCACAGACCTACAACCACACTGGCCACTGCCAATGCCTTGTTTGACAGCGCGCTTTGCTGCGCAACCCGGCTTTCGCGGGCTATCGTGCCCCCCCCCCCCCCCCCCCCCAGCGGTCAGCGGTACGCGTCACCGGGTTATCCGCGTGCCTATGCGCCTTGGCGACGCCTCAATCATCCACGTATCTCTGCGTATGCGGAGCGATATGTCGAATTTCATAACCGACCAGAACCAGACAATGGAGAGCATGGGCCATGGCCTATTGGTTCCATTACGAGGCGGTTGGCCTTTCCCGTCTGTTGTGGCTGCACCGGTTGCCGGTCGCCGAGCTCGCCAGGCAGCCCCTGGCCACTGGCCACAGCCAACCATGCAAGCGTCTGGCCCGCGGGCCCGCCGGTACGCTGGTCACCACACGCCACGCCACACGGGCAGTTGCAGGTGGCAGAGATCTGGTATCCACATGGAGGCCATGAGGATCGTCGAGCGGGCAACGGGCAACCAGCGGGCCAAAGTTCCAGTGGTGATGCCGCGGCTTTGGCGGTGGCCAGCTGTCAACGATGTCAGTGATGAGGAGAGAGTTATGGTGGCCCCCATCGTTCTGGAGATCTGGAGCTCATGCTGGCATAACAGCAACGGCGCGGGCGCGGGCGATAACGCCAACCCTCCCCAAGTCTGGTTGTAGATTGCAAGGGAAGCAACAATCAGAGATACCAGATATCCGAGACACTGTGCATCGTGTTTGTCACTGCAAATGTCGGCAGGTCATGGACGGCTGCGATGGCGAGGTAGGTTGGTCAGAAGGTAGCAATCTCCCGTTCTCCGTCAAGCTGCGGTCCGTGTTCTATGATTACATGAACAAGACACCACAAGCGCACTGTTTGAGCGTTATCACTCCATCACGTGGCTGTGCCCACGGATCTCCTCTCCTGGCAGGCTATCGATTACGAATTGTGCATTGTGGTGAGCGGTCGTTGATATGTGGTTTTACACATTATGCATGGTGACGAGTCGGGCGTGCTTTCCTGTACCCGTATGCCCATGACACTGACGATGTATATCTCCCAACCGTGGCCCACAGCTTAGCCCGGCGTCGAATGATATCCTGTCCTGGCACTGGAGGTACATACGACGCATGGCATGAGTCGGCACGAACCTCCTCTACGCAGGCAATACCAATGCCGACTACTCGACCGACGACGGGAGGAGGAGTGCGATGGCACCCAGGAAAATGGCATGGCGATCGTGCTGAGCTGATATCAGGTGGGCCATCGTCCAAGACGAAACCCGGCGACAAGGTGTACATCACCCGCGGCCCGCGGCCCACGAGGGCGGCGATCGTGCCAGTCACGAGCCGCGACATACCATTGACATTCGCGTTGCCATCAAAATGCCCAGCTCACCTCTTGCCACCACTGACGTCCTTGCTGGAAGGCACAGAGGCATGAGAAAGAGCAACTAGAGCAACTTGTGTTACTCAAGACCATGGACCGTGAGCCGACCGCGACCCCGACCGACTAACGGACATGGGCCACCGCGCCGGCGCAGGTGGTGGTAGTGGTGAGCTACGAGTTTAGCACAACGTCTGTGTGGCAGGTCAGTGGATTAGGGATAGGCAGAGACCTCGCCAAAGGAGTGGCCTAAAGCGCGTGCTGCGGCTATTGGCTAGTCATTAGGTGTTGTGGTGAGTGTAAGGCAGAGACGACGACGACGACGACGACGACGACGATGGAAGGGGGAGGGAACATGGCGATGGTAGTAGAGTTGGTGACGCGGCCCTCCAGCCTGGCCACGCGGGTCTGGAGCGTGAAGCAGCCTTCCCCCTCTCGCAGACAACCATGTCCCATTCGCAGTTCGCAGTTCGCCGTCGGTAGTCGATGAGGTTGTCCGTCAGCTGTGCCGACTGGCACCATCAGTTGCCTTGTGGAAGGACCCGTGCTCAAGCCGAGTCCGAGGCCACAACCACAAAGACGCATGGTTTTGCAAGGATCAGTGGGGAGGGGAAGAACTGCGTCCTCTGCAAGACGGCGATGACGGGACCCGTAATCCCTAGTCAGCAGCAAGCGTTAAGCAAGCGGTAAGCAAGCGACAAGCAACTGGCAACCAGCGGTCATCATGCCCGCATCCATCGGAACACGGTGGTGTAGGTGTGCACACGGTCCTCTGCCGTCTCAGCCGCGGCAAACTCGGTCAACTACAGCACCAGACGGTCAGACGCGTTCCTCGTCGCGTTTTGTCGGTAGTAATGTCGCACGCTAACGCCTGCACGCCTCTGGTAGCGTACACCGCAGATGCCGAAACGCCGTATTCTGATCTATCGAGACTGCTACTAGTGTATGCCAAGCACACAGAGGCCGAGCACTTGCGTCAACATCCACCAGAGAGATTTCCCAAGCTGCCAGGTCAACGCTACGAGGAACGACGATGGGTCGGAAACCTTGTCGAATAAGTGTGCGTGTGTAAACGGGGCTAGCTACCCGATGCCTCTTGCCGATACCGCTTCCTTCGCTAGGCAAATGTTCTCTTCTGGTTAGCATGTCAGTGTGGGCCAACGTGGGCTGCAGACCATGACAACATGCTGTCTTCCCCGACCCGTTGCTCTGGTGGAGAGGTGCGAGGTGTGAGGTGCGACGCGCAGGCAGTCCAATCGCTGTTCCCAAATGCTGGTCGTAACGACACACAGGTAGGTGTGTTGGTGGCCTGTGATCCCGCTAAAGTTTTGCGCTGGGGTTTATCAATCAGACGCTAAACGTACAAGTGAGACGCTAAAACAACCGTGAGCGAGGGCGCGGGGGGAAGACATTGTGGGTGCGAGCGATAAAACGACAGCCGACCCCCCGTTCGTTTTCGTGTCCAGTGCGCTACAGTGCGACGTGTTTTGGGGGGCTTTGCGTAAAAGTGCAAAAGTCCAAGTGTACTACTGTACTGCACCACACCATTGCAATGCACGAGCCTTGCATGCACAGGATGTGGTGGGTGCGAGAGGGCAAGTGGAGGGCGACCGCGAGGGAGGCGCCACAACCGGGCGCCAAGGTACACGGTTAGTGCGATATTTGGTCGTCAATCAATCAATAGGTGGTAGATATACCTATTTTCATTCAGGTGGCTGTTTTTTTCGGCCAGGGACAAAGTGTGGATTGTTGTCTATTTTTCTTTCTTTCTCTTGTTAATTACTTTTCAGGACTTATATTTTTATTCTCCATGAGCAACATTGAGGAATCCAGTAATCTTGAACATGGAGTTGTCGAGCAACGTTGAATTGAAGGTATTGAGCCTCTCTGCGCCTCTGCTCATGACGTGGTCCCGGAAGGGAACGAACGGATGGACGACTGCGTGAAAGAGGAACCAAGAACAAAACGTCAACTGCTGTGCGCGGGGGTCTGGGGCGGCCATTCAGTACTTGCTCTCGAGGCTTAGAGTTGGCGACGAGCGCTTGAATGAAAGCGACCTGACTATAAATGGAGTCAAAGCTTGCTGCTCGCTTGAGGTCAAGGCCGGTGTAAGTACAGTACCAACCCAACCTTGAGTTTGAATTGGGATTTGCAGCAGGATACTCCGTCAATACTCCGTTGCTCAATGGGGTTCCCGGTTTGCTTTGCTCTCCTTCCCAGAAGCGGTTCCTTTGCCACTCTTGCTTCTGGCTCTCATTTTCTGGACCTGTGGGGAAGACCAAGGTACTAGCGACTCACCACGCCTCATTCAGTACCGCCTAGTGCTCATACAGTACCTGTCGTGTCTCCTTCGATCGGCCATCTGAAGAACCGAGTATGCTGCGAAAAGGCGTTTGTTCGCACTTGCAAGGCAAGACCAGACAAGACAGTGAGTGGTACAGTGGGTGGTCGTCGTCGTCGTCGTCGTGGTGCAAAATCGCCCATGTGGT